CAGATAGTGAACACGTAAAGTCACTCAGGAATTATACATATTAGGGGCGCGATATTAGGGCAAGCTTGACCCGCTTCGAAAACTTGCTACCCCCAGGATCTGACCTGTACATGCATAGGAGATCGCTCGAAGTATGGTGCACCATGGTATGCTGTCTATGAGGGCGTGTGCTTGAGCTTGAAGGCTAAGACAGCGTTGCGCCTCCGCTGAGAGCTGCAGTTCTTGGGGCTCTTTGCCACTTTGGCGCCCCAAAAGCCGTTCGACCTGCTCGGCTTGGCAGCTGCCTTGTACTCTTTGCCCTGCTTACACCGATACAAGTGCCTCATCAGTGACTGTTCGGTCTCTTAGTGACCTGACTTGACCTTCTCGAAGTCCCGGCTCAGATTTGGCTCTTCAGCAGTTCGCCGATCCACTGCAGCTTGACAGCCGACACATGTCGCTTCGTCGCCAGTCGAAAAGACTTTTGACAATATACAGCAGGGACCAGTCCGGCCAAACCTTCAGGCGGGACGTCTTCGTCCTGCATTGCCGGCTCGAAATAATTCGCTGCCGCTCTGGCAGCTTGGGGGCTGGTACGGCTTGCACCGCCAGGACTACTGCCATGTTGTGCGAGCGTATGCGTACCGCTCCAAAGGTGCTCCCTGCGCAGTCGAGGTACCCCCGACGACGTTCGGAGCGATCTACATCAGCTTTTTTGCTTCGGGCCAATCCACAGCTATGCTCGATACCCATGCGTACGGCGATTATCCAGTATGGTACGCTTCACGAGTATGGTTTGACATTGCAGCTATTGACACAAGCAAACGCTGACGTTCGGTAAGGTGATTTCGCTTGCCTACAGATGTTAGACTGCTCACCGACCTGCTCGTATTCGAGAAATCTCGTTGGCTCTTCCTCAAATCGGGTTCGAATCACTCAAAAAGCTCAGCAACGGCGTGAAGACATACGATGCACCCTTGAGCTCTTTGTGAGATTATGAGATTGACCTGTACGGTGTTGGCGTACCTTCTACCCATTGCCCGGCCGAATGGTGCCGGGCACTACTGCTGCTCAGGCAATGGTCAAAGCACAGCGCACAGCTCATCGAAGGCTCTTGTACTTACTCTGATTCCGTCAATGCAGTCAAATGGCCATTGCATTGCGTTTCGGTGGCTTTGTGTTCAGCTTACCACACAGCGGCCAAAATACCACTTTTTTGACTCTACACGGCACAGCATGCACCTGATGGGCCTGTAAGTGGCATGAGAGCAATCCTGAGAGTCCGACGGATCTGCCCATATTTGGTTTGCAAACTTTGGGAAACATCAAATTGGCCAGAAAGCCGGGTATGTTTAGATACTGAATGCTAACACTTTCCGCGCCGAACGCATCGCAATTTTGGCATGCAAAGGGAAGGTCCGACCATTGAAACCACAAGGTGTATTGCATATCGTACTATGATATGACGGAATATGAGACGCTCGCGAAGCAAACGGACCGAGCAAATCAGGTTTTTGTGCATTTAGAGTGGCGTCCACTGGGCTTGATTTACAGGAAGCCCGCTGGAGCCATAAGTATCAATGCTGGTGCTCCAAAACGTCTATAGAGAATGTGTCGCAACAATAAGAGGCTTTGCTGATGGTTTGGTATGATTTGAACGCATGCTGAGCCCGCCGCGGCGCTTCCGGATCTTTTCGATGAGCTTACGTATGAACTGCAAATCACAATCAATCAAGCTATGATTACTGCGGCGGTGTGGTATGATGCCCAGCATATCTACATATTGGTGAAAAAGGCTGCAACCCAATCTGAGCTGCGCAAGAGCCGTGCAAAATCTTTTAGATTTTCGAAAAGGCAAGGGGCCAGAGCTCGGCCGCATCGTATGCTAAGCGCCCAAGAATAGCATTAAAAGACGCAGGACAAACTTAGAAAGGGCCAACTGGGCTTCGACAGCGGCGCGAAGCCTGAGCCCGGGTTTGCAGCCAGCTTTGACTGGTTTTCGGCGCTGCGAGCCGGAAGCGAGCGAGCCAAGTCGGTAGGTCCCCTAGATAGATGCAAGTAGCCTGGGATGGTACGTCCGACCATTGATCATCTTCTCTTGAAACGACAGAGGTCCCGCAGGCGCCGAGCTCGAGGACCGGCCGCTGCTTTTTGAAGCAATATTTGGGGTCGCAAAGCCCTGCAGTGGAAGTGCAAAGCAACGAAACGGCCGCTAAAATGTATCTGGAGATGCTCCAGAAACGCAGTCAGGGGTGAGAGGTGTTGAAAGCCTGGACGGGTGAGGTACCAAGCTGGTAGCGCTGCTGCAAGTAATTTCTACGTAGGCACGACGTCATCCGGAAGCCCGCGCCGGGCTCTTTCTGTGACACGTAGCTGCCACGTCGNTAGTTCGGTGACCGTCCACAGACCTAGCGGCGGTCTGTATCTGGCTATCCGTCCCCCGTCCGGCTTCGCTACGTGCACAAGCTATGCTGCGCCAGCCAAGCCGCAAGCGCGGACCGTCCGGACTGTCTCCGAACCATTCTAGAGGTCCCAGAACGCGGATACATCGCTATACCAGCAGAAACCTGCCGTCGTCGGATGAGGACGACGAGAGCATCGGAAGCCTGGATGACGTGCAAAATGTACAACCACTCTCTCAAACTCGATACTGGTGGCAAGACCTGGATCTCCGCCCCTCGGAGAAGGCGCCTGCAAGCCTGCAAAGCGAATCGTCAACAGATGAGGAATCCGATACGAGCAGTGCACATGCCGCCGCAGATCAGCAGGCAAATGCGATGATATCTGATATCATTGAGTTTCATGATATAGAGCCACGTACGGAAGAGTATGGCGGCAGTGGAGCCGATGATCCTTGGGCAGACGAGGACATGAGAATTGACGATAGACCTGACCTGAACGACGTCGCTCAGCCGGAAGAGCCGCCCACCATACCCTCGAAAACGTCTCCTTTAGCGCCGCCTTGCTCAAAATCGGGCGCCGCATCCTCTGGCAGCATCGCTGGCAGCGAGCGCGCTGCTGTTCGGTCGTCAGGTCGAAGCTTAGCAGAGATTGTTGCCTCAAGCGACGAATCGTCAGACTCGTCTGGACTGGAGACCGACGATGAGACTGATCTCGCACGGCGGGAAAGGTTCGCGGAGCTGAAGCAAGCCGGTAATATCGTACGAATGACACCCTCTTTGTGGGCTTTCCGTCGGCCAACAAAGGTACGAAGCTTCCTGCAGGCGTCTTCTGTCTGACTGTGCTCAAGCAGCCCAACGTATGGGATCATCTCTGGGGCCGACTGGACTGTGGCAGCCACGTCTGGAGCTGCGACTGCGCGCTGTACTCCAAGATAAGCACTTGCCCGAGCGTCCGTCTGGCCCAAGCGTCAGCGACTCAAGATCGTCTTCTAGCCATGCGACCGATCGACGATAAGTGCGAAGGTAGCAGAGCAGTGTTGTCGAGAGGCGAAGAAGCTGAGGCCTCGACGAAATACAGCGCAAGGCCGTATACCTCACGCGATCTTGCTTGCTGCGCGCCATGGCATGGGCGGCAAAAAGATCTATTGGGTCTCGGTTGTCAGAGGTGCGAATAGAACGCAAGAATCCAGCAACAAGCGGGGCATCGTCACCCTTACGTACAGCTCCGATCGTCTACCGCCAGAATCGCACTGCTCACTTTGCGCTCGTCGGCGCATCAAAGGCTGTGAACATCGCGACCTAGCGCAACATCAGATTGTGCGTGCACTGTCCCTACAGACAACTAGCACTCTGCGCCCGCGAGAAGACACGCCCCCGTCAGAGACGGCGGCGGCAGATACGATCATGGCCTCAGGCAGAGGCAGACGCGACCGGGCAGAGTCCAACATGCCAAGGCGTGCGCCTCGCTGGGCTGTTCACTCAGAAGACGTGAGACTGGCTCATGGCACGGACTACCAACCATCTGAAGACTGCGAGTGGAGGACGTTGATGATCAAGGGCCAGCCGATGACGCTGCGTGTGCTCCGGCTTGATCGACACGCTGCCTGTACATGCTCGTACAAGCCTGTACCTGGTCAGGACACCGTCTGGAAAACTGGCGTCATCTATGGCCTTACGGCGCCCTCANACGCCATGATCGAGGTGCGATCTTTGCGTCTGCTAGCGTGTACGCTGATGTCCTTTCTTCAGTGCACCAAGTGCATGAACAATGATTGCCCACGAGCAGTAAGAACCCACAAAAAGNGCGGCGGCATCCGAGACCGGTCGTATTGGATCACAGGCGACTTTCGTGCTCAGAAGCTCTTTTCAGTGGGCTCTGGCCTCGTATTCACGCACGAGATTCTGGACAGCTACCTGGCACATATGATCACCATGGCTACACCCTTCAGTGCCTTCCATGCCATGACATCGTTGTTGNACGAAGCATCGGATCCGATGGCCAAATTCGTGTCGGCCAAGACTTTTGCAAGCGCATTTCGGCGATACATGGCATTCAACGACATAGTGCGCAATATGAACGACATGAAGTGCAGCATCTGTGGCGACGATCCAGAGGTCGTCATTGTCGACGGATACGCCGCAGGATACGACAAGACGAGCGTGTCTGGTAATCTACGGGCGCCAACAAGGGCCGATCCGGGCATTGTCTTTCCGGACGTCAAGGCTCCGACGAAAGGCTTGCAATACGTCAGCGATTACCACCTACGCTTGAGACTCCTGACGGCCTTTGTCGGCCAAGTCAAGGACAAGGAAAAGGCCTTGCCGTCTGCAGACATGTTCCAAGAGGATCTCGCTCGCTTGTCGAGAGTGATCTGCCCTGAAGACCTGGCGAGGCGTCGACATCGAGAGCAAGCAACACTGAACGCGAGTCTGACGGTCTTACAGCGCTACCTCGAGTATCTGGCCGGCATGACGGAGCATCAGTGGCAAACCGACCTCGAGATTAGGCCACATCGTGACTTCATCATTCAATTGCTCGGCCCTGGCTCTATCCTTAGTTTCATCACGTCCGAAGCTGCCAAACGACTCGAAAAATGGTGCATAGCTGCGCGGAACAGGCCCCAGGAAATGCGGACAGATCAAGCCGTGCGATATCGAGAAGCTCTCGCGCAGCATCAGAGCTTCTTCGAGAAGGACTGTCCGGTGTTAGGCACGCTCTGTTCTATCTATGCGGCTAGTGGCAAGCGAGTGCTACCCTTCGAGCGCCTTCTGCACGACATATCCAAGCGGACGCTGTCTGCCTTTGAGATGCTCAAGAACGGTCGTGAGGCAGCTCCGCCGACGCCGGAAGCGTTTGCACCTATCGATTCCCTGCGTACTGGTTCAGTCTACGGCCAACAGTATCGCAAGAGGCCAACCTACAGCAGCCTANGACACGACCAGCGTAGTGACAGCAGCAAGAAGAATTCCGCAGCATCTAGACGAGTTGACAATAACGAAGCGTCTACAGAAGCGAACGATGGCGACCAGGACGCGTACGACGAAAGGCACTGCCAAAAGTTCTATGACGAATACAGGAAAGCAGGCTTGACTGGCGGCATGCTCCTGGTCTGGTGTAATCACCTTGTCTGCTACGGGTTCCACTTTATCGAGACATCGGAAGGCAGGAACGATATCTTCACGGCGCTTTACTGTTTCTTTCGCAGAGCGCCCAGAGTAGTCGTCTACGACTTTGCGTGTGCACTAGGGCCATACTGCATGCAACGCGAACCGGACTATTTCAAGAAGACCCTGTTCCTCATCGATGAACTGCATGCCAAGTCTCACACAAAGTGTACATCGAATGCTTTCGTCAGCAAGTACATGGCTCATCACAAGGAGGTTCGACACATCAACACGAGCGCCGCCGAGGTTGCAAATGCCTGTCTTAAGCGCATCCGAACATCGGTGTCATATTCAAACGAGCGCAATGCCATAGCCCTAGCAAGGATCTTTGTGCTGACATGGAACTGCCAGCGTCAGCGTCACAATGCGAACAACACGACTCGAGCGACCAGCCGCGCACGATGCAAGCCTCGGGCTACTTTCAAGCAATCGAATATCGTAGCCCTGTCTAAAGGGACCGTGCAAAGATTCCAACCTGGCAGCTCCGATGACGAAGCGGGCTGCTTCAGCGCGCAATCCTCAGAACATGCGAGCGCGAGCGACTCAGAGGAAGATACGCTTGTCGATGACCCTGTCGAAGAGGCTGCTCGACAAGAAGGAATGGTTGAGCGCAACCGCATCGAGCTCATGCAATTGAGCCGTACACCATCTCCGAACACATAAAGATACAAGAGAAGACCCCTCTCGCACGTCGAACCAGCGAGCGCTNCGGGAAGCCTGTCTCCTGGCAGACAAGCGTAAACTAAGATAGCGTAATCGAGCAATGAAAGGGAAGACTATTATGCAGAAGCTTCTGAGCCGTCCTGATCGTCCTGATCGTCCTGATCATCGCTGCTGGATTCGAGTCCAGGATGATCCGTCTGAGCTCGAGTCTGTGCAGACGCCAGGGCTGCACGCATCACCTTCAGTTGTCTCTGCAGAGCCCGGTACTTCGCCACAGAAACTGTGCCCTGTTCACCATTCACGGCGTCGTCGATCGGCTCGTCGTCCTCTAAGCGACGTTGCTCCTCCGTGTATATCTTGCGTTGGTTATAGCCGAATTCGAAGATCTTCTCTGCAGCGTTCAAGATTGCCTCTCGGACCTTTTCATCCTGCATGAGGTCAGCAGATGCGTGGACGTAGTTGATGCCGGTGTGGAGCTTTTTCGTTGCTGGACACCAGGCGGATTCTGCCATAGATGCCGCATTGTCTATCTTATCGCCTCGCGCTCCGAAAGTGACAAAGAATTGACCTGGCAATATCGCTTCTGTCTTGATGATCTGCATGGAACGCACGCCAGTATCAGCGCATACGTATGAGGCGCTATGAGGCGCAGAAGCCAAGATATTTACCATGCCCATGTCTTGGTATCTGCGGTAACAGAAATAGTTCTCCGCCTTCTTCTTCTTCTCCGTTTTAGTTTTGGGCCCCTTATAATAGTTTTGCATAGGCGTGAGCGCAGGCAAAAGACCAGTGTGCGATGCTATATTTGTAGACCCGCTCAATCCATCAGGAGCGCAGTAGCGGAGCAGCACTTGCTTCCATTTAGCTATACGCGAACGCAGCAAGCAATGAGCGAGTGCACGGGTAAGACGGTGCAGCCTCACATTGTTTGCCAGTCATGCTCATCACTATGCCTTGCTCGTCTCGCCAAAGTAGCTTGAAGTTGTTGCCTGCCGTCTTGTTGCCGTCAACAACCTTTTTGCGCTTTCGTGTTCCCTCGGCCTCTTCTCTGGCCTTTTCCGCTTCCTCGGCAGCAGCTTTATCCATCGTGGTCTTGACTAACTGCTGCTGCTTGATTGGATCCTTAATTACCGAAGCGTAGAGCTCTCNACGGTCAACAATGTGTCGCAAGAAGGCCTCACGCCAGGAAGAGGCAGGTGGCCTTTTCCCAGGCTGCTGAGATGAAGATGACGCCTGACCGTCTGCCTGGCTACCTGCAGATGGGACCCTTTGATCACCAGATACGCCGAAATTGCCTGAGCTAAGCGCAACAGGCCCGAGGCGAAGCAGCTCAGGATCGACCGGCACGTCGGTTCGTGTCGATTGACCCTGTCCAAGTCCATGCGGCCGGGCTTGCNGCGTAGATTGATCATCATCGGCACCGTCCATGCGATCAACAGACGTCGCACCGGCAGCATTTGGCCTAATGTGGGATGCTGGATCTGCCGGAAGGTTCGCGGCGGCGGCAGCGGCGGCAGCGACAGCGGCGGCGTGCTGCTGGCGGTAAGCCTAGATCGCCCAGAAGGATCAGCACTATTGTCCATGACATCATGACCTCATCATACCTGAAATTCTTCAGGCGGATCTGCTTCGAATTCGGTCATCCGACCTTCGGTTGCATAAGCCTGCACGGTTCCCAGCCATTCCGTGAACACTTGCAAGCGCTCCTCATCTAACGCTGTGTCAGATTGAAGACCCAGTGCTGCGCATAGTCTCTTTTCGATGACGCTGTGCTCCTGCAGCGTGCGTGCGACTATCTCGTCGTATAAAGACGCCAATAGCGCGTAGCGCTCCGGGCCTGACAGGTCGGCATTCGACGGTCGCGACATCTCTTCGCGCACCTGCGGAAGAGCATCAGGCCGCGTAGCGCTTGCTCCCTTCGCTCTGCCGCCTCTCTGAACAATGGCAGCTCGCTTAGGGACGTGTGCGACCGGTTCGAGGCCATCGAGGCCCCGCGCTCTCTTGCTGGCCTTGCGTACACGGCCGACCATGCTGGGTACGACTGCGACGTGTCTGACTGTTGTAGGCCTGTAGACGTCCTGTCAGTAGGCAGTACTGCTGGCTATCGAAGCAGTCGAGCCCGTCGAACGGCTGGGCATGCGCTGGGCTCACGCGACTTTCTTGCCCTAAGGGGAGCCCCCTCAGGCGCGATTTTCTGAGTGAAAATGCTTGTTCACGGTCTCACACGTATGTCGCGCGCTTGCGCCCGTATATTAAAACTTGCGCGCACACAAAAGTTCCAGATTGAAAAATTCTGTCCAGAGTCGAAGCCAAGGCGAACGCTCCTTCTCGCAATGAAGATCGTGCCGCTTGTCACGCGAGAGAGCCTAGTCCTGCCTGCACTCACCGTTTTCGCGGTCGAAGCCAAGAGTGCAGGCACGATTGCATTGGCAGTCTCCGCGTCAGGCGGGCTTAGCCACGGATTTTCGAACTACATCCTTCCCATCCTTGATGATGAGCATATGCTGTGCACCAGTCTGATCCATCAGCTGTCGAGCATGTCGCAAGCGGCTCTCGAACAGCGGAAATGCAGACAATATAAACCAGGACGTTCACACATACGCAGAATCGTCCCTGACTCCTTACTTCCCCTTGCCTTGTTTTCGTCAGTCTGCTGCTGCAATTAGGACAACAACAATGTATACAAAGCTTTATGGAACGGTCTAATGGTCGCCGCTATCCGTGCACGAGAGGCGCACCTGTGACTGCGTCCTTCGCCTCGCTCTCTCGTTCGTGCTTGTCGTCGCCACAGCCGCAGTCGTACAGTCCCTCAAGCTGCAAGCAAGTTCAGGCACAGTTGCGCTGATCAGCAGGCGGCTCACCTTTGAGCAATCGAATAAGGGCTTGTCCAGGCTCTCATTGACTTTATTGTGCATCGAACACAGATAGATGCTCACGACACTCTTGCTCGCCGTCTGAGGCGGATACTGCACGAGCAACTCATGAAAATGTTGAGCGCTGCAGTATCGTATGAGCCAAGTAAGCCGTGCTACTGAGAGACTGACCATTCGCCGCAGGGATACAGCCTCGAGAAAAGCCATAAGAATGCCTTGAATGCTTCTTTCTCGTCTGTCGTAGGCTTGTCGGGGAACCTTTGACCCATCGTGTGCAATACTTTCCATGCGGCTCTACCGAGCTCGGCCCTGCATGGCATGATGAGCAATGAATGGGACCAGACCGCCTCGCCAAACTCACTTGACCGTCGCATTGCCGAGCTTCGGCATGATGACCGGTCCCTTCACTGAGGCGTGCTGTGCCTCGAGGCCATGCATTGGGCTCCCAGCGAGATCTGCGAGCTGCGATGGATGCCGCAACGACCCAAATGCACTGCTGTCACGAAGGGAGCCGAGCATATCTAGCGTGTCGCCAACGTCCTGTCCGTGACTACGATGAAGCAGATAAAGTGTCGGCAATAGCAGCATCACTGCCGCATAGATGAAAGGCAGGGCTAGTCTCGGCAGCGGCATCGAGCATTGGTGAACAAGACAATGATCACTCAGCTCGTGATGATTCCCAGCTGAGCGTTGAGCGCGGAGCGATGCGTGACGCGACGAGCAAATGCACACAGATGCCGAGCCGAGAGCCCCCGGACTGCCCTCAAGTATGCATTCAACAGATCAGCTCGCGTGTGATCATACATCACGGACGCCTAGTCCGCGGGGTAGACGTGAGCGTCAGATACGATCTTGCTCTGGGGAGATGAGATTCTATCGACGTTTCGGACGATGCTGACGAGGTCGACGCTGATCTTGCAAGCCGCCGTAGAGCGAGCCTCCTCGAAGGATTCGAATGATCCGTGAACAGATCACTTGCCTGTCGCAGTTTGTGTGAGAAGCTAGGCAGTACATCTGTCCGAGCAGACTCGATGTTCGGCATGATCTTTGGAGCGGGCGTGATCGCGAAAGAGCGAAAGCGTCTGCGCAAGGGTGTCAGCAACCAGCCAAGCTCACAAATCTGTCTTACTGAGCCGCGCGCGCAGCCGACCGATCCATGCGCTTCGTCCGCCAGATACCTAGAACGCTCGCGGCGATGCGCTGATGCCGCCACCCAACTGCTTCATTGAGTGCAGCCTGAAGCGGCAGACGCTCGTGCCATAGTCTGAACGCGTGTCGCTTTGTGTGGTGCTTTGCAAATTCGAGGGCCGGCAGCACCTGCACAGTAGATGAGCTCGTGAAGCACTCGCTTTGCTGCACGCGCCTGTGTCTTGCCAGCCCATGCCTTAAATGCGCTGTCTAACAGCGCCTCTTCTCTTGCTTGCAGCAGAAGGGCAGCCTGTGATATCGTGAGCGCATAGCAGTGGCAGGCAAGGGCGACTAACAGGTTCTTGCAACCGCCTGGCTTTTGCGAGAATGTACCAGTGCCGAAAGATGGCGGCAGTCTTGCTCTGCATTGTACCCAAAAAACGCACCCGAAGTGCGCGCCGACTCTCTTGCTTGCGACGCGTTTTCATCAACCAGATTTTGAAGAGTCGTTTGCGATTGCCTACACGTTTGAGGTCAGGCAGGTCGTGGACCACGCAAACATGCCAACCTTCCGCCGCAACATCACGGTAGCTGCTTGCGAGCCTTTCACGATCCTTTAAGCGAGCACTCTTCTCCCTCCATCTGCTCAACGCCTGGCGCACGACCGCCGTCTCTCGCGTGGCATCGACGGCTTCTTCACGCGTGCGCGCGCCGATGACACGCTCGAGCCAGATAGATATTGTCGTGTGCAATCTCCTCTGCTCACATGGGAATCAGTTTGACGAACGAGATCAGGTTGCTGGCATACATGGCATGAATCGGCCTGCACAAGTGCTATTCGATGATGATCGTGGATCGCGCGACGAGCAGCGGCTCGCCATACTGGACGTGTCTTTTAGCCTCGGAAGGCAGCCGGATACGACAAAGTATGCTTACCATCGAATGCGAAGCTGAGATCGACCAGCTGCTTGCGAGCAAGCAGAGAATTTTGCCGTCGCCTCTGAAGGTGCAGGCGCCAGACTTGCAAATAACGGCGCTTGATTGAGCCAGCATGCACCCGAGACGCTTGACTTTGCTGAGCTATACGAAATATGCGAGCTTGGCTCCATTGGCGCAGTACACTCTGAAGCAAGCCGAATGCGTATTTAGCATTCGCCACCTGCTCGGACCCCCGGATAGCTTGTCTTCGCGCGATCCATGTATCGAGCGCTCGTGTTCGTAGTCTATTGGTTTTGTTGCTTTGCAGCACGGCAATCGATTCTGCGGGAGAGGCTCTCTTCAGCAAAATCAAAGGCTCTGCATGTCACACTGGCCCTTGGAATTGATCTCATTCTCGACAATGCGAGCGTGCCAGAGCCACAGTGCATTGGCCTGCAGCTTGACCTCAGCAAACTCGAGTATTTGCACTTCTTTCATTCGCAATTGCCAATACCGCAACAGTCTGGCGATGATGCGCATGTCATTGAGTCTTCGCAGCTCGGCAGCTTCCGAGTTACCCGCATCAATCGCTGCTAGGCTGCTGCGCCATTTTCTTATGCTGTTGCCAGCCAGAGCCAGTCTGTGGACTCGCTGACATACGAGGGCATCAGTCCTGGAACCTCTGTCAGCTGGTATGATCTGTGGCGCAGGCAAGTGAGATCACAGACTTCAAGCGACGCCAGTGAAGAAATGTTCGCAGCATAATGTCATAAACATTGTCCCGTGCGAAGTCACTGCATCTGATCGCAAGCTCTGTGCGACGTCGCCAACGCGACAGCACTGCCGAGCGAAGCTGCCTGTCTTGACGATGCTGCAGTTTAAGGAATCGGGTGCGTAAGCTCTGCTGTTGGACCGCACGTTTCTGCCAGCATTCAAACGTCCGGCGTGCAAAGCGTAGCACTACGTCTGTCGCGCTTTGTTCGGCAGCAGCGCGGGCGAGCCACTGCACGAAGATGCTTGTCGCGAGTTTGCGATTCCTTGCGCGAACGAGTTTGTCGCACTTTCGGTCAAGCATCTGAGCATGACGAGCTTCTATGCGATGCCGATAGACATTGAGCATGTTCTGCATAGTTCTCGCTCTCAAGTGACAATCGAGTGTGAGGCGCAAACGGTCTGCAACGTCCTTGAGACATTGTTGTTGCCAGGTCGCAACATGCCAATGCCTCAAGACATGCTGGAGGGCGAAGCGTCTGCTACATTGGTCTGCGGTGCCGGTAATAGCATGCACGCGTTCAAGACGGTCACGCCAGATGGTCAAGCCTCGCGACAAGACCAAGCGGCGGTCATGCAACACAGCTTGATGTTTGATCTGCGCGGCTTCTGCAGCGGCGTCTTTCGTCATTCCTGTCGTACTTCGAGCTAGAGGTGCGAGCATACGGCTGCTCAATGAAGGTACGGCGAGACCATCGCTGTCGCTGCTGACTTTGCGCGAAGCTAAATGGGTGATTGAGCGCAGTTTCGCTGGGATCGGACTATCGCGAGCAATGCGAGACGCGGCTGCAGGTGGTGGCTCTTCGTCACCTGACGAAACATAGCGCATACGACCTCTATGGGAGCTTTGACCCACGCTGAGTTCGCTAATCGCTCGTTCTAGATTGCTCGTCGCGTTGGTTCGCGGTGTTGCAAGTTGCCGTTTTGGCGCGATAGGCTGGTCATGCTCGCCTTGGCTGTCGCGAAGACCAAGCTGTTCAATGTGTGACAGGACGCCTTGCCATTTGGCGATCCAGTCAGCGCCAGGACGCAAGCCAAGCTTGAGCAACGCGGAATAAATCTCGGTTTCCGCCTCTTTTTCGCGCTTGCCGTAGCCCAATCTAGACAGCACTGTGTGGTAGGCATCCAGAAGCTTGCCAAAGGTCGTGCTCTGGCCGTGGGGACTCGCTTGAGCCGCTTCAGTGACGATGCGTGAGATTAGCGCGAGCTGATCTTTAGACAGGCGAGTGAAGTTTTCCAGGCCGGCACTGCCCGTTCGTAGAGTCATGGGGTCTTCTGGAGCCGTCAGAGAGGCAGACGGAGCCATCACTGCTGTATGGCGAGCAGCCATTGGATAAAGGCGACCGGCTGCAGCCAGCAAGCAGTCTCGCGACGAATTTCTCGCCAAAAGAAGAGGCGACGATATTGACTGGCCTTCAGTCGACCATGGCGAGCTCAAGCAGGCAGGGGAATCCTGCTGCGACTGGTGACAGCTACTACATGCCCGGCAAGGCCGACAGCGATCAATTCGAGGTCGACCTCAAAGCTTTTCCAACGGCATCGAGCAGCTCGACCTACGATGGTTCATGGTGGCAGCGCAAAGGGCTCAACCCTTTCGCAGCGTCTACACCTCTGGGTGCAATGTATCACAAATTTGAAAGCTGGCGGGCTCAGCTCGACCTGCCTCCACCTGGCTCAATCGAGAATCTCGGTAGAGAGACGAAAAGTGCGTCTTGGCCGTCAGCGCTTTGCGCCAAAGTCTGACCGTCGTGTGACCTCAAGACGTCATGGCTAGCTCGCATTGCTTTGAGGGCGCAAGAGCGGACTTGGCCAAAGCGATCGGTCTCAGTCCGCCCTTTCAGATCACGCACTCCTTCACGCTCGGAGGCCCGACAGCGAGCAGCGCCATGGATCCAGCGGCCGGCAAAGGTGGCTCGTACCAGTTCTCATCCTTCTATGCACCTCAGGATGTGAGCGCGAGCTACGAGCTGTGCTCCTGATCGACTGACGCACCGGATAGTTGCTCTTGCAAGGTAACATAGATCAAGAGGGGGCCGTATCAGGACGAGCAAATTATTCCATCAGCCCGAGTGACATACTCAAGCTACAGCTTCAGGTGAGCGCTTGATCAGCTGATGTGCCTGCTGTTGACTGCTTTCGTCAGCTCTCGCCGAATAAGGCGCATAACACCGTCCAGCTTGAGCATGACAGACAATCGGGCGACTATGCCCTCAACTTCAAAGCCTACAACGCTTCTCTGGCAGACGCAACCGGCATTTATACAGCGTCATACCTGCAGTCGATCTCTCAATCTGTCGCGCTAGGTGCAGAGGTTGTCTGGCAGCGTCCGCAAGGCGCAGACATCGAAGAGGCGGGCATTAATTACTACGCCCGACTAGCCGGCAAGAACAGATCTTGGCTAGGCTCTGCCTTCCTCATCAATGGCTCTATCCTCAATGCGACATATTATCAAAAGATCAACGATAAGGTCGACTTGGGTGCGGAGCTCACGATCGTGCCGCATCCCATTCCTGCGCAACGACAGTCTAGTGCGGCGCTGGGCGTGAGGTATGAATTCAGGGCCGCCTCGGTGCGCGCACAGCTCGACAGCAAAGGCAAAGTGTCCATGTATCTCGATCAACGCATCACCCCAGCCTTCGGCTTCCTTGTCAGCGGCGAGATCGATCACGTCAAGAATTCGTCGAAATGGGGCATCGGAGTCATGGTATGTGGCTTCGACGCTGCTGGGATTGTGCTTATCAAACCGTGTTTTGCAGGTCGAGTCTCAAAACTTTACAGAAGCCGAGATCGCGGCAGCTGGCATGGGCCCGCCACAGCCATCAGTATGATTTGCTTCGCAGGCCTGATATCTCGCGCGATATATGCATGTCACTTCTCGCCCGTCTAGTAGAGGCCATACAAGCGTATGCTATACACAGAACCTCAGCATGCTCTATCCGAGCGCTGAAATCGTCGCGCTTGAGACAAATTGCCTAGCCTCATCGCTGCAAGATGATTGGCGTCCGAGGCGGGGACGCGCCTTAGGTGCAAGGCTTGACAGAGTGTTGACAGGTCGCAGCTTCGTGCTATGCGTCGCGGGTGGTGAGGGCAGGGCGCGGCCTCGCTCGACTGAGCTGCCAAGATGCCGCAGCTCGGCGCGACAGGCCCGCGAGCGTGCGAGCATGGTATTGGCAAAGCCCTTTAGATCCTCAAAGAGTTGAACAGCTTCGCTGGGTAGGTCGATCTTGCTGGTGAGACGCATATCAGCATGCTGTAGCCATGCTTGCCATTCCTCGACGTCCACACTGGACGACCACTGAAGCTCAGACAGCAGCGCAATCTCGCTGGCATTGATGTCGGAGACTTGCAATGCAGTGACGGCAGCGAACATCGAATTGCGGTACGAATTGTCATCCAGTTGCTACCAAGCCAGCGTCAGCTTGCGTACGGGTAAACGATATATGAGGGAAATTACCTTGTTTGCTACGATCAGCGCAGCGACGAACACCTTGAAGCTGCCGAGCTCTGCATGATCGGGTCCGACCTCGGCAATTCTGCATTGATCGAGAAGCAATGATGTGGGATGACGCGAGAGGCGACTGATATAATATAGCGCAAGGAAGAGTACTTGCGGCGAAAGAAGCGTCTGCGACAGCAGATGCGCAATGCTCGTCTGTAAGCGTGAGCCCATGGCTCTAGACTGTGATGTGGCGCTCGCGCGAGTACTGCGCGCAACAGCGGCATTCAGGCGGGAGGGTTGAGCCGGATCGAAGGCCCAATTGATGTCCGTGGGCAGACCCGAAGCAAATTTGAGGTTCGCGGCGTCGTCGCTCGCGATATCGACGACGCGCGTGGCATGGTGAGCTGATGGTGGCGTGACTATGAGAGAACTCGCTGGGCTACTCGCGCCGCTATTAGCAGAGCTGTTGCGGGCCCTGCGCTCACTGCCGATGGCACCGAAAGTATTGGGCGTCATTTGACCGGCCAAGATGCCGGAGCTGTTCAGCGACGATCCGGATGTACGCGTGCGCGAAGATCTTAGCGAAGCGGGCGAGGCCGGTGAGTCGAAGACGGGCGAGTCGAAGGGGAAGCCCGATAGCGAGCAAGACGTAAGCTGCTGTCCGGTCGTCAGAAGGCGTACGACATCCGAGGCAAATGTTGCAAAGGGCACAGCCGATAGATGGGCTGGCGGGGGAGGGGGCACCGCGGAGGCGGAGGGCGTGACCAGCACAGGCTGCTGCTGCTCTGCCTGTAGCTGCAATTGCAGCTGGGCATGCGCGTGCTGCGCTTGTCGCTGATATGCTTGAGCATGCTGCGCCAGAGCCACAGCCGAATGCATCGCGTCGTTGTATTGACCGTAAGCGCTCTGGCGTATGCTGTTGTTTGCCGCAACGGCAGGCTGAATCTGAGATTGCAGCGGCCACTGATTCTGCTGTGGTGCGACAGCAGCTTGCACGGGCATCTGTCGGTGATTCTCTGGCCATGCCGACGCATTCATATCAGCTTGTGCAGGCTGAGGCAGCACAGATGGATATGCGCGATAGCTGAGCATGGGCGCAGGGGGCACTGCACCATAAGTCCATCCGCTTGCGCCATAATTGACTTGCGCAGCGTTTGGATTTGCCATGCTATACGGCTGATACTGTTGATATTGTGGGGGTGCAAAGGAGCCCTGCTCGACTGGTTGATCATTCATGCGCACTTGGCCATGGGCATTTGGTTTCGCGTAGGCTTGCGAGGCCGACTGATGCTGGTATTGATACATATCTCTATTGGGGGCAGCCAGGGGAGTTTGCCACCGCGAAAAGTCGTCGTTGTGGCCCGGCATACCCATTGGGAGCTGTCGATGCGAGCGTGGCGCGGAAGGCGCTGAGCACTTCGGACGCCTTGGCGCCTGGCTCGTCAAAGATACTGGCGAGAACAGGAGTCTCAATGTATTGTCACACGTGCTGTAGAGCGCAGTGCCAATGAAGGCCTGTCCCTAGTAGCGAATTTGGCTGTGCGCTGCAATCAGCATTGTCGGATTACAGCGGCAGGCAGTGCACCCACTTTTGATAGATCCGGCTGAGACCAGTCATCAACGATTTGTCAAGTCGAGACAGGTGACCGCTATCAGTCTAGTGCTGACTGCGACTCTATCTAGACCGCCATGTCGTCCTTCAATATGCTGGCAATTCGACGCCGCACCCGAGAACAGCTAACTTGCCCCAGTCTGCGCCAAAGATTGCTTCGCTACGGGTGAGACAACGATGAGGCAGTCTGACTGGCCGACGAGACCACGTTCCAGAAGCGCAGCAGGCGAGTTGGCGATCGAGACCAAGCAAGACTGATCCGGTGTTGACGCCGAGATCAAGCGCGCGATACCCGAGTATCTGACTGACTAGGCCGAGACTGCGTGTACGACTAAGACTGCTGACGCTGCCGTCGAGACTGAGCCTTGCGCACGTGTGCCGTAGACCTCAAGCGGTCGTTGGTACAGGAGCTGACCGCCTGCGCAGAGTTTTCCGCGTTCGACCTTGGATCTCTCACGGTCGAGATGATGACGCGGCTGTCCGGTCACAATATATATGAAACGGATCTCGCGCCTTTGTTAATCAAGACCAAAGAACATCCAGCCAGCAAGCATGGCGAGCTTCCTGTCGAACGAATCATGCGGCCCAGTCAATCCTCTGACTCAGCTGATGAAGCATCAGGAAGGGCAGAACTCGCTACATGCTGACTTGCCTGGCTCGCAAGTGGGCCCGTCTCGAAGTTCCGGCTTTCGTCGGACAGCGAACGTCGCCGGTCCTCAAACTTACGATCCTGAGCTCGAGCAACGCTTCTTCGGTGGTCAGAATGCGTCCGGTTCCAGCTCGACTTCACCTGGGCCAGAGATGAGCAGTAGAGCTCGTGCTGACTCGGCATTCGCACTCGACCAGATGAGGCGAGAAGTCGAATCGATGCAGTATGCCCAACATCAAAATGGCTTCAGAGGAAGCTCCGCACCGGGCCAGCAAGAGCTTGCACGTATGGAAGCTGCTTTTCGTCAGCAGGCCAGCAGAGATCCCTCCGTCCAAGGTCAGCCGCGCCGTCATCGCCGTTGATTCGAGCTGATCTTGGCCTGCCTGCAGGAAATGCGTGGAGACAAGCTTTTGAACAGCCTCTCGTAGATGACCAGCTACCGGCCCAGATCTACGATAGCGGCGCCGTCTCTGACTTCGCCATGTCTCATCGTTCGAGCGGCCTGCAGTCACAACGCCTGGCCAGGATGGGCGGGATGGGTATGAGCGCAGGCATGGGTATGGGACTAATGGGCATGGGAAGTCATATGGGCGTCCAATCGTATGGCTCATCGGCATTCGAAACTGCGCCTGCTGTCGCCAAGAAGCCAGAAGGCAAAGGCAAAGGGCGCTTCGTCGAGTTGGGCGATGATGAGTGGGAGGCACAGTTTGAGAGAGCTGCACCCGTCGTCGAGAATTCTCAGCAGAAAGACGAGACTGTCGATCTGACGCAGGGAGAACTGGAGCTTGACGGTGATCAGGCCGATGCAGACCTTTTGCGCAACCTGGAGCAGACTTGGAAGGGTCTCTCTTCATCTCTCAATGGCCAATCTGCCAGCGACAAAGAGCTTGCAGCCTGGGAAGCTCAGTACGGTTCTCAATTTGTCGATTCGGATCTCGATCTTAATTTGGCATCAAGCTCAGAGGACCCGCGCCATTACGAGCCTTTCAACCCTGCGCAGCTGGAAGAATACATCAAGAACCCACCGCCATACCCGTACGAGAAAGAGGCAGAGAACAAGTACACGAATCATCCGGATCCATTTCAAGAGGGGCAGCGACTGCTTCAATCTGGTGCACCACTGTCAGAAGCGGCCATGGCGTTTGAGGCAGCATGCAGGCTGGACGAACAGCGCGGCGAAGCATGGAGAGCACTCGGCGATACTCTTGCCGCTGATGAACGAGAGCTGAAAGCTATACGAGCCCTCGAAAGGGCAGTTGGATGTCCAGGCGAAGGCGGCGATGGGACTTGGATGGTCAGTATTTAGCTTAGCTAGGGGAACATCACTAAGATATGTTCGTAGAGTCTCGCCATATCATACGTAAATGAGGGCCAAGATCTACGAGCGTTAGCGACGCTCGAACGGTGGCTCAACGCTACATACCCCGATACTGTCAAGCGCTCCCCTCAAAAGCCAAGGGATCCTACTAACCCTTGGGACGGACAAGAACGTATGATCGATCTGTTCCTTGCCGCTGCGCGATCTGGACCTACTGCTCGCACCGATGCAAGTTCCAGGTCCGCCGAACCAGTTGATGCTGACGTGCAAGTCGGCCTCGGTGTGCTATTCTACTCCAATTCTGATTTTGTGCGAGCCAAAGACTGTTTCGAGGCGGCACTATCGGTACGGCCAGATGATTTTCTACTCTGGAATCGCCTCGGCGCCACGCTGGCTAACGGAGGATCTCCCGAGCTTGCTATAGACGCATATCGCAAGGCCCTCGAGTTAAGGCCCACATTCACTCGCGCGATCTACAACCTTGGCGTGTCCTGTCTGAATATCAACTGTTATCAAGAAGCTGCTGAGCATCTCCTGTCGGCTCTCGATCTGCATCGTCGCGATGGCGATTCCGCGGAGGGAAACCGACGCGGAATAGAAGACGACGGCAGCTCAAATCTCTGGAACACGCTCAGACGTGCTTTCCTCTGCATGGTCAGTCCCGAAGCACCCTCTTCTTTTTTGACCTTTGAACTCATCAGCCGAGGATAGGAACGACATGACCTCGCAGATCGAGCCCTTCCCGGCGGTGATGTTGACTCTTTCAGGAAAGACGGTTTCGAATTTTGAACAGCCAGTATAAGTGCTCTTTCGACCTCTATGCGTTGCTCGACGATGTCGTGATGTACACTTGTGTATCGGCGGCATGCGTGTCACTATGACTGAGTGAACGGTGACTTAGGGGCGCTGAGCAAGAGGCTACAGCGCTGAGCGCGCGCCGCAGTTGACGACAGAACATCAACAGAGCTCGATATGGACGACACAGAGCTAGCTCGATGGCCGCCGGAGGTCGTACGAGCTCTCATGTATAGTAGTGGAAGCTTTCACGTTCCCAAAGAGCTGCTCTCCTGTCCTTTCGACGGCTGCAAATATGCTCATCCTCACAAATTCAGACAAGCCAGCGACACCAGGCGGCACCTGGCCTCAGCTACACATGGCATGAGCATCTTCAGACCAACGAAGCGCTCCTTATCCTTCACAGAGATGTCCGCCAACGAGGTAAGGCGCAATCCGCCTCCGGCCCTTCGAGTACGCCATGCAGACTCTGCCAGTACGTCCTTGCCGCCCGAGATGCGCTCCCCGGCGCAATTCGACGGCCAAGCTGTCCTTTCCTCGACAAGCTCGATGATCAATGATCCGAATCTGTCCGGTACCGGTGGCCTCACTACTCTTGCGACCGAGCCAAGCTTTCCGCAACATGCGTATCACTACGCTTTCCTACCTTCTACCAGGCCTTATGCGTTTCATGCCGTAAGTTTCATCGTGTAGCGTCCAATATCGCTCATGAGCAACTTGAGGCAGTCACCACTCGCTCGTTCGCTCGAGCGGGCAAGCCTCCAGTGGGACCCCGAATTACGCCGACGTCACACCGCAGCCTTGACTCAGGCAGAATCTAATACATGTCGGGGACATGCCATCAGCTTTCGACGCGAGCAGGCCTACGGTGCCACTGCACCGCTATCAATGCCTATCCTGTCGCAGTACGGCACGCTTCTCGATGGCATCGCACGCGGGCTGTCGCCTACTCGGAAAAGACTCGTTAGTATTTCCGACTATGTTAGAGGAGGCACGACGACGACGTACTATCCCGTCGATCAAGTTGTCGCTGGCACGCAGGGTTTCGAAAGTGAAGGGGCCTGGTTGAATACCGCGGTTGCAAGGGACGAGATCGCCGGTCTCGTGTTGGCAGATTCTCTGGCCGGTACACGGCCACAGAACTTTGCTTACTTCTGGCGCTTCAGGACCAACGTCATCCCAGAGCCATCCCTGCCAACTCTGGCTGTGCTAGCAACGCCCCAGTTTGCTTGCTATCTCGCCTCACACTTACGTTCGTCGCAGGGCGAGATCATTGGGAAAGTCAGCGTGATCTTACTCGAGGATTCCCAAGACTGGCACGAAGCTTTGCTGCACGCTGCTGCGGCGCGCCTCGAGACGCTCAACGAAGCTGTAGCTATGCTGTCAATGTACTGATCCGGCTGACGTCGCGCACAATGTCACACCAGCCCGCTGTCATTTACGTAGCCAGACTGCTCGGTATTGTACTAGAGATTGTATGCCCCGGAAGTAGTGTCAACATATCAGCATGTCAATCTTTTGTTGATTATCGATCGTCCAACGCGGCGCAGCGTCGAGTGAATGATCAGGCCTAGTAGGGCGGTGCAAGTCAAACCGATCTGGCCGTGCTGACAAATTCATGACATCGAGTGCGCACACAGACAGTAGCTAGCTCTTCAAGCAACGTCAAGACGACATGTCCCCCGGTCCCTATGGCTACAGCGCAACGGCGACGGGTGGTCGCCCCAGCTACGATGCAGCATCCTCCGAGGACCACGTCGGGTATCCCTCGCAGTACTCAGAGGAGGATTACAGCTACTCCCGAGAGCCGTATCCATCAGATTCATACCATCAACAGCAAGACGCTCAGGGACGCTACCCACCTGAGCCGCCTTACGAAGCTCAACAGCTGCAGGACGAGATGCATCGCCAAGACCTTGAGCTGCAATCGCCTCAGCGAACGGGCCAATCAGCCAGGCCCTGGATACCTACTGGCAATCAAGCCCTGATGACGCCCTCGGTCGCGCAGTCAGACTTCCCAGTACCGTCGCCAGGCGGTCTGATGCCTCCTGGCGACCCCTACAGTCGCATCAGGCCCCAGATGTCTGCATATTCTTCTCAGAACAATGTTAGTGCTGCAGGCAGCAATCTCAACCTGCCGAATGCGGCACAGTTTAACGACGATTACCCCCTCCTACCAGCAAATGGCGACCCATACAGCGCCTTTCCTGGCGGTTTCGCACCTGGTACAACGCAGATGGCGAGCGATGATGGCGAGAGCTATGTACGCTATGGTCGCATTCCTCAGCGGCAGCCTCGTCGATACAAAACCGTCAAGCGCGTCGAATTGTACCACGGCAACCTGGTGCTTGACTGTGCCGTGCCCAAGCGTCTCCTGGCTCTGTGTCCTCGCAAAGAAGAACGAGAGTACACTCACATGCGCTACACCGCCGTCACGTGTGACCCCGACGACTTTATGGCCGAGCGATACACTTTGCGTCCCGTGCTCTACAACCCACCTCGACGTACAGAACTTTTCATTTGCATGACAATGTACAACGAGGACGAGATTCTCTTCAACCGTACGCTCAGTCAAGTTATGAAAAATATTCAGCATCTTTGCTCGCGCGAACGAAGCAAAGTCTGGGGAAAGGATGGCTGGAAGAAGGTTGTCGTCTGCATCGTCTCTGACGGACGCAAGAACTGCAATGCCCGTACGCTGGCCGTACTTGCGGCATTGGGCGTCTATCAGGAGAACATCGCAAAGGCAATGGTGGCCGGCAGGCCTGTGACTGCGCACCTGTATGAGTATACCACTCAAGTCTCCATCAACGCCGACATGAAGACAAAGACGGCCGAGCGCGGCGTGGTTCCTGTCCAAATCGTCTTCCTGCTCAAGGAGAACAATGCAAAGAAGATTAATTCTCATCGCTGGGCATTCAATGCGATGGGACCTGTACTGCAGCCCAACGTCTGCGTGCTGCTCGATGTCGGCACAGCGCCAGCCGATAAGGCGATCTACCACCTCTGGAAAGCTTTCGATGTCAATTCGAATATCGGCGGCGCTTGTGGCGAGATTGTGGCGTTGAAGGGCAAGTACTATCGCGCGCTGCTGAATCCACTTGTTGCTGCCCAGAACTTTGAATACAAGGCATGTCTTGCTTCCACCTTCACCGCTCGTGCTGACGCGAATTCTAGGTCTCAAACATCCTTGATAAGCCGTTGGAATCCGTTTTTGGCTACATCTCTGTCCTACCTGGAGCCTTCTCGGCTTATCGATATATTGCCATCCAAAATGACGCGCGCGGCAATGGTCCACTGCAGCAGTACTTTTTGGGCGAGACGCTGCACAAGTCACCCAAAGCTGGCCTCTTTTCGCTCAACAAATATCTGGCAGAAGATCGCATCCTCTGCTGGGCTATCGTGGCCAAGCGCGATTCTCGTTGGTTGCTCAAGTACGTCAAGTCATCGAGCGCCACCACCGACGTGCCAGATCGGCTTCCAGAGCTAATCTCTCAGCGCCGTCGTTGGCTCAACGGCTCCTTCTTTGCCGGTCTTGACTATGTGCGTTGGCTTTACTACTATCACCAGTCATATTGACTATTGCTGGCAGATCGTCCATTTCGGTCAGATCTATCGATCAGATCACAATATCTTGCGCAAGCTTTGGCTGCATGTACAGCTCATCTACAACATCTACTCGCTTATCTTCGCTTGGTTCTCGATTGCCAATCTGTGGATCAGTTTCATCATCCTAACTTCGTCATTGTCAGACCCTTCATTCGGTATCGAATGGACACACTATGTCAACATCGTCCTGAAATACGTCTACCTCGGACTCATTGTCATGTGTTTCCTGCTAGCGATGGGCAACCGTCCTAAAGGATCTGTCAAGCTGTACACACTTGCAGCTGTGTCTTTCGGCCTGATCACAATCTACATGGCTTTTGCTGCAGTATTTATTTCTGTCAAAGGCATAATAAATGTGAAGAACAGCATCGAGGCAGACGGTGGCCACTTCTCTGTCGATGACATCTTTGGCAACAAGATCTTCCGCTCGATTGTTCTCTCGATCGCTGTCACGTACGGTCTGTACCTCTTTGCGGCACTGATCGCCTTGGATCCAGCGCACATGATCACATCTTTCGCTCAGTATCTCTTCTTGGCACCCACCTGGATCAACGTTCTGCAGACATATAGTTTCGCGAACACTCATGATGTCTCGTGCGCTCCTACGTCCTCGCAAGATGATGAGCTGAAATCTTGTCTGCAGATGGGGCACAAAGGGCTCAGACAAAGTCGATACTGATCTAGGTATTGTCAAGGGAGACGGCAAAAGTGTGGAAGTGTCCATGCCGACAGAGGAGAAGGACATCGAGGAGGCGTACGAAGACGCAAATCATGTTTTGATGACAAAGTACAAACCCGCGCCATCTGTGCCGAACGCAAAGGAAGTCTCTGAAGATCATTACAAAAACATTAGGACAAACACGATCTTGCTCTGGTCCCTCACAAATGCTGCTCTCGCCGTCGTTATCACGTCGACGTCTGCGAGCTCGAATTATTCGACTTATGCGAACAGTGCCAGAGCTTCTGGCTACATGGCCTGGCTGCTTTACTCTATGGCAGGCCTGGCTCTAATCCGAGCCTCTGGCTGCCTTATCTACATGGTATTCTGGTAAGCTCATGCATTGAGGAGCTTGCGCGCGGCTGACACGCACGGCAGGGTCTTCACTGGCTGAGCTCGGATTCAACTGTGACGACCCTGAGACGATGTAGCCTTGTTGTGCGTTAGTTGCATTGGTCTGTTGACCATTCACTAGCTTGGCGAGCGACATCCGGCGCGCATGGTTTGGAGAAGGTCTGTGCCATTCCTTGACAGACTTTAGAGAGCATGTTGCAAGCAATCGCCAGATATGCGGATGATCCTCAGTATCCTCACATTGCTGCTCGTTGGCAGCAGTGGAGCGAAGCAGATCGAGGTAGCGCGGCCAGCGCAAGCGTCTTCACCGGAGCGCGCTGCGAGAGTCAAGACCGCGTTCACGACCGCCTTTGATGCTTATGCGCTGCGCTGCTATGGGCAAGATGAGCTGATGCCGGTTTTGGGTCGATGTTCGAACTCACGCAACGGTTGGGGTGCGACTGTCATTGACGCAATGCCAGTCATGCGCATCATGAACCTCTCGACCCACTACGATCAGGCGCTTGTGCACGTCAAGAATACGAGCTTCGCAACGAGCCGTTCCGATGACCCGATTGTTTCTGTGTTTGAAAGCACGATCCGCTATATCGGCGGCATGCTCTCTGCCTACGAGCTCGGCGGTATGCGTGATGAGGTACTTGTGACGCGATCGAAGGAGCTCGCCGATCTACTTGAGCTGGCTTGGGACCAGGTAACCCGACGCTCCCTCTATGCGATTGGTCTAACATAAGCGCAGGACGTGACGATCCCCTGGCAGCAAGTCGACTCGAAGAACCGCCAGCCTAATCGAGATAACGCGGAAACGACACTCGCGGACGCGGGCTCGCTGATCATTGAGATGGGTCGCCTTTCTATATACAGCGGCGACCAGCGATACGTGCAGCTGGCAACAAAGACAATGATGGCACTGCGAGAAGGACCACAGGTGTTGCCGGGCATGCCAGGCCTGCGGATTGATGTGGCGCATCAGATTCAGAATGACACACTCGTCACCTGGGGCGGCGGTTCTGATTCATACTTTGAGTATTTGCTCAAAGACGATCTCTTGACTGGTCAGCAAGTGTACAGTGATGCGTGGAACATCGCAGTCGAATCTTCCTTGCGCGTTCTGCGGGAGACATCGACTCGAGGTAACGTCTATCTAGCAGACATGTACAAAGGCAGATTGAGCTCTCAAGCATCACATCTTAAGAGCTTTGCTGGCGGAAATCTGATCCTTGGCGGCCGGCACTTTGCGAACGAGACAATCTTTCAAGCCGGTCTCGATCTGACACGGGCATCCTGGCAGAGCTATAACAGTACAGCCACTGGTATCGGACCGGAGAGCTACTCTTATGTGCCGCAGAATGCCCACAATAGCTCTGTTCCTGCGGACCAGAAGGATTTTTTCGAGGCACATGGTATCGCTATGCTTGCAGCTGACTACTACCTGCGACCTGAGACGATCGAGAGCCTCTTCTATGCTTGGCGTACGACTGGCGACACCTTATATCAGGATCAAGTTTGGGAGATCTTCCTCAGTCTCGAGGCGCACTATCGCACGCCAGCAGGCGCGTTTTTCGGCCGAATCGATGTCAACGATGTCGATAGTCCGCTGCTCGATGACACGCAGGAGAGCTTCTTCTTCGCAGAAACGCTACTGTACACGTATCTGACCTTCAGTGACGATGTCTCGCTCGACGAATGGGTCTTCAACACAGAGGGACATCCCTTTCGGAGAGTTCTCGCATAGAGTGTATCGATGCAATATGTGACGGTGCTTCTTGGTCACGAGATCGTTGAGAGAAGTGACTGCAGATACGGTGTCCTCGGACTACGGATAGACGGGCGGAAGCCAGCAACTTTCGGGTCATTACGTGCAGCCATCGGCATGCAGACGTACGCGTAGACGTGGATGCCAGATACGCGCTGCGCGTGGCAACAGACCCAAGGCTGGTGTGGAGGTGATACGTCACAGCACGAGCATCACCGTCAAGCCATGCCCGCACCAAGCCTCGAGCGCACACTCAGATCGATCAGAACTCTGCTTGAGTCGGGCGATTTCTATGCTGCCCATCAGAAATATCGCACGTCGGCCGCACGACTGCTCAAGGGACCTGTAGGCAAGGGCGCACCTGGCCATTGGGATGGACCAGCTCAGCAAGCTGCCGACATCTTGTTCGAAGGATCCAGAGGCCTACTTGAGAAGGGAGAGATCGGCAGCGGGACAGATCTGGGCCTCTACCTGCTCGAGGTCTGGTCGACACGCAGCGTGCCCTGCACTGATGCAGAACGAGGTATGCTGAGCGTTTTCATGCTGCCTTGTGACTCAAGTGCGGTGATGCAGGCAAGGTGAAGCAGCTCGTCGCTTTGGCGGGCTCCTCGGGCACATGGCGCAAATCTCTCATGGATACCGCCATCTCGTGCGTAATTTCGCTGCAGAAGTACGGCGCTCCACTCACACTGTGAGCCAGTTGGACAGCCAAGGTCAGTGGTTCTCCGAGCGGAGATGCAAAATTGCATGAAGCGTTTGGACAAGCCTTAGCGAATGGTATGCGTCGCGCAATACTTGCAGCAAGATTAACGAGTCTGCAGAGCAAGACTACGTCGCTGCGGAGCCTCATCTGTTAGCATCAGGGTCCAGCGACGCGGCAAAGACACTCGCAGTCGGTCTTTACGCATGGTCGATCAATGATCCGACAGGCAACCAAGGCGTAGGCAGGTATGCAGCGAGGGGTGTCCTGAGGTCAGACAAAGCGCCGATTTCTCCTTCTGAGTCTGACATTTTTGACAGCTTACTCGAAGCTTCCTTCATAGAAGCTGCCCGCAGTTTCCTTGCTCAGTTCCTTGCGCTGCTGCTAAGAGCGCAGCCCGATCTTCGTCTGCAGGCGATGCCCCTCAAAGGCGACTCGTTCTCAGACACCAGCTCGCCAGACGAGTTCATCCTGACAAAGATACCTTCGCTCAATTTCCTGCAGCTCGCCATCAGAACATGTCAGATCGGAGCAGGCGAAGCGCTGATTGCTCCTCCGTCAGGAGCCGGTCGAGGCATGGGTCGCGCGGCATGGCAAGCTCTTGTGGGACGCTACGAGCGCGAAGTTCCCTGGTTGCGCCTGCCTGATGTTGCAGAGGTAGACTTTGCAACCTCAATACGTGATCGTGCTGATATATATTGCGCCAGTCTCGTGCTCATCTGGCAGAGCTATACTTCGGTATTGCACCGCCACGCAAGGGCAATGATATGCTCAGCGGACTCATGTCGAGCCTCTTTGGCGGTGGATCTGGACAGTCCGCGTCCGCAGGAAGGCCAGCAGTCACGGGCGGCTCGCTTGACTAGGCAAATGCATAGCCCGTCTGCCTACATCTCCGGCTCGCCTTCCTGCAGAAAGGGCTTGTCCAGATTGAGCAGTGAGAGATCACACAATACACAGCTGCTGCCCAGGATCTCATCTATCTGTGTCCGGATGCGCTCGATACGGGCTGCGCGTTCTTTGGCCAAGCTCCCTACTGATGGCGCTTCTTGCGCTTCATTGACGGCTTGCGCAAGCTTGAGGCCGTTTGCAGGCACGATAGCACCGACTAGCGCATCCGGGATGATCAGCTTCCTCAGCTCGTTCAAGCCAGACACGCCAGCTGCTGCTGCACGCGCCGCTACCGCGCCAGCACGCGCCTCTGGCACGCTCGCTTGGCCTGCGGAGGCGCTAGCCACGGATAGCCTGCTTTGCAGGCCAAGCAACAATCGCAGGACGTGTGGCGGCGACAGTCGCGTGATCTCAGACACGAGGCAATCGGCGTGCCAAGAGTGTCTACAGGGAAATACGTAAAAGTGACGCGAGATCACAGGCTGTGAGCACCTTTGACAGACGTCTGAAGCGTCGAGCGTGACGAAACGGCTCTGAAGCGCCTCAATATCTTTTCTGATTGCCTCTGCAGCCGATGTCGCTTCGTCCATCTCGATCTTAAGTCTTTCGATCTCCAAGCTGTATACTTCAAGCGCGCTGCAGATTTCGTCTTTGAACTCGTCAATGACGACAAAATCTGGGAAGAAGGGCAGCACATCTTCAATGCCGAGCGTGTCGGTAGCCTCGACAAGGACCATTGCGCTGCATGTCAGATTAGCATCGTAATATTCCACAGAACGAAACATACGCTTTGATGTCTTTCTCGCGTTCGACGACATGCTGAGCGATCTTGAGCCAAAGCTTCTTCCGCAGTGAATCATCGTCGGGCCTGTCAGCTTGAATCTTCGCAAGGTCGAGATCGCCATGTGAAAGTGCCACAGTGACCGCATTGTCATGTAAACCCATCTTGCTAAGGATCTGCACGTATGCTTGTGGATGTCCATTCAATTTTGTCAGTCGCAGTGCAAAATCAAGATCGTAGTACGGCATGCCTGTCTCGGGATTGTCTTGTGAGACAGCCATAAAGTACAGCAGATCACCCTCTGCCTCTGTAGGCGCGCCCGCGATTAAAGCTATCATTCCATTATGGATCGCCGAGTCCTTCATGTCGAGTTCGTCTAGACAGTACTGCAAGTATCGCCGCACGTGTATACGTGAACTCGATGTAACCGCCAAAGGCTGCAGAAGGGCCGGTATCAGTTTGGTGGGTTCTAGCGCCGGCTGGCGCAAGAACATATCGACAGCTTCTCTTGGCGCATGCTTGACGAGCGATGGCGCGTATTGGTAATATAGTGCTACGTCGTCTTGACTTGAGATGGCTGAAACTACTTTTGGCCAATCTTCCAATGCTGACCAATGTCGAGCGATGCGCGAAAAGTCATGATTCACTTCGCAGAAATGAAGGAAAAGCTCTGTACGACCATGACTGATAAGCAGGTCCAACGTGACCTTCTGCGCAAGATCCGCCTGATCACGTGGTTTCAGCTCACGATGCTCGGGTTACTCAACTTGCTCGCCTTGTGACTCCTCAAGAAGCTCTTCAGATCGTCTTCGAGTATGCTGCGCTCGAGATCGATGTTGGAAGTGTGACTTGTGTGCGATTGAGAGAGCGCAATATCCTCGAGATCCGCTATCTTGGAGAGAAAGAGCTCGACCAGCCATGTAGATAGCATCATCTTCTGCGCGTGTTCAGCCTTGCCAAGGCGTGCGAGACACGTATTGATGTAATTGCGCAGCGCATCTCTCTCGCCTTTGTCAATGAAGCGCAGAGCCACGTATTCGAAGCTACTTGATGACTGTGCATAATAATCGGCAGCTTGCACAAATCTCTGCTGATCGAAATGCCAGTCTGCTTTCTTGGTCATGATGGCGTCTTTCTGTATGCTAGTCTGGGCGAAAGCGAGTGCAGCGTCGAAATTTTGCCGCTTCATATATATTTGCCATATGTGCCGGCTTTCGTTGTCTATGCTAAGCTCGAAGATGCTTTGATCGGAGTATAGCCAAACCGTACGATTGATGGGATCCGTCACCAGTCCCAATGCATGCTCGCCAGGCCGCTGTGATGCAGGTCAGCTGAGTATTCGCCGGTTCAGTATGGACTTACTAAATCGAGGGTGTCCTCGTACACCTGCTCGTCATCTAAGATGCGTATAGCCTTGAGGGCATGCGAGTATAGCAGAATGAGGTGATGTTCAGTCAGAGCCGCACTCAACGGGGCCTCAGCGCTATTTTTTGGCCGCACCGGATGTGGCAGCAGCTGAGCATTGTCGATGATGCCGTCGCTTGCTTCTTGATTGCTGAGAGACACTCGGCCCATGTAGGTGCCCGGCGCAATGAGCCACGCCAGACTAGCTGTGACTGGCTGTCCGCTCGGCGAAGCACCTCTGCGCGCCTGCCGATGAACATGCAACTCGCTATGACTTGACGAGTTTGGGAGCTCAAGCATCCCTGCAGAGCTAGATGGTCACAAATGGGGAATTTGGGGGCGCAGCAAACTTACGCGGAGCGCTATCGCGGTAACGCAGGGCCAAGCCTTCGAGCATCGTCACATCGCCCGTAGCGCTATCTTGCGTCGTCTCAACGAATTGGTAAATTCTGCTCGCAGTAGTTGCGATGATGGCGACGCTTTGCTTGTCTGCCGCTCGTGAGGAGCGCGAAGCAGTAGCAGCAGCAGCAGTATGCCCCGACCAGACCTCAAGAGCCAGCCCGAGGATTGGCGATCGATCGGGCAAGGTGAACACAGTCTTGACATGGCGATCATGCGCGCCCTTGCTGAAAGGACGCGCATTTTCTACTTCGCCGTCGAGCCGAGTCTCCAGGATTCGCCCATCGCTGGTGCCCAGGATGCAGTCACATGCTGTCTGGGACCGAGGATGTGATGATGCATCGGTAGTCGTATAGCTAGACGGATGCCAGGCTACTGAAGAGATCAGGACGCCCTTGAGCTTACTGAGCGGACGCGAACGACGATGGCCGTTTGCCTCCTTTGGCCATCCTAAACAGATGTAATGGACGTCGCCTCGCTTGGTCGAGATGAGAATGTGTCGTCCCGATGGATCGCTGAAGACGCTATGCAAGACTGTAGCGATTGGCTGGGAGCCTCGAGAGCTGCTACCGAGACTTGGGTCGATGGCTATCTCGAGATAGTCTTCTTGCTCCGGCCGAGTGAGATCGATTTTGACCAGTCTGGGACCGCTTCCATCCATCAGGGCGAGCAGTAGCTGATTGGAATTGCAGCAGAGCCTGAATAAGGAAGCACTGAGAGCATACTACAGTACTAGTCAGCTCATTGCAATGAAAGTGGCACACAAGCTACCTGCACTCTGCCCAAGCTAAAGATAGGCTGCTCTCGCTCGCTCGCTGCCCTGATGCCGAGCTCATGGTCAGCCTCGAAACCGGGCGTCGACATCAAGCGCTAAGCGGTCGAATGTCCTGCCTGCTGTGCGCGCGCAAGCTACGTCGTACATATACCTTTTGTTAGACGTGTTTGCGTCCTTCCGAGACATCAGCTCTATTACAGCTATCGGTCACAATGATCGCTAGTCACAAAGGCTTGCCAGCTTATCCAACGCCAGTGACACAACAAAAACGTACTACGCGCAGATGAGTCCACAGCGCTCCGGCGTCTCGATGGTCCGACACAGGGGAACCTCGACGGCGTCTCTCGGCGGCTCGAATCGACTGATGTCATCATGATCCATAATCGTCAGGACGGGCGCGGAAGCATATGGCTCACTGGACAGTGTGTCGAGAGCATGCTGATAAGTATTGAGGAGCATGCTATCAACAGGTCTTTGTGCGACACGCGCTGCGCTAGCAGAAGAAACGAGGTATCGAAGCGCGTTGCGGAGGTAGGATGGCTCGAGAATTGTAACATCTGTCAGATGTAAGAGTCGCTCTAAATTGATAGCCGCTGGGAATCGACGGTGATAAATCGCGGGCGCGTCGAGCATCTTAATATCAGTCGCATTGGCGTGTTGCAGACGATCCTCCTGCGTAGGCGATGATATGCCTATACTGTGCAGATGCTCATATTCGGTCACTGTCATCTGCGGTAGTCGCGATACGACATAGACCTGCGACGGCGGCACGAAAGCACGACCAGTGGCACGAGCCAAGGCGAGCATAACCTTCACCTGACGTGCTACTGTGGTCTGATTGCCGGCAAGAGCGCCTATGGTCAGTATCCTGCACAAGCGAATCAGCATAGTCATCATCCGAGCGGCCTCATCATACCGAGGCGGGTCTGTATAATATCGATTGACATCGTGCCAGAAACCGTTCTCTTTTGCGTCATGAAGTCTGAGCTCGGCAGGACCAGGACATGTCAAGTGAAGCCCAACGACACTGGCAGGCGGCATGAGACCCGACATACGTGCCCATACTCGAGCTTTGTCGATGACATAGACCTTCAATCCGGTCGGGCTGACAAAGCTGCTGATCGGCGGCCACGTTGTATAGTTCGCCGTACGCAACCTGCGAACGTCTAGGAAATCGTTGACAGCGCGCTGATCCCAAGAGCCTCCAAAAGCGACGTCGTTTGCCACGGTCCGCCAAAGAGTCTCAACGGCCGATGTGCCACGCTGAGCAAAGAATCCTATATTAAGGGATTCGTTGCATTCGTCCTGCATCTGTATGTCATAGGCACCGTCTTCAATATCGTGCAGATACTCGAAAACGTTGCCCTGGAAGAACACATCGAGATCCGAGAATACGACGGAATGACCGGCACTCGCGAGGTCCGCTAATGCAGTTGCCTTTTGCCAGCCAATCGCAAAATACGCACTCAGCTTTTTGTATTGCTCCGGAAAGTCCTCTGGCTTATCGTATATGAAGCACATGAGCCCAGACGAGGCGCATTGGGACATACAAGCCTCGTCGAGACAGATCACCAGCAAGGCTGGCTTTGGCGTGTCGGCTGCGCTGAGATTGCGATATACTTCATCCGGATGACCGCCCAGCTTAGGACCCGGGGGCCGTTTGAAGGCGTCGGCAGTGTTGACGAGCTGCAAAGCATCGAGGTAGGCTGCCAATTGCGGCAGAGCGTTCTCTAAGTAAAAGCCACCGCCTATAACTGCCCAGATCGGGCGCCCTGCTCGAGGCGCTCCAATTTGCGAGCTGATGAACGTGATAAGATTTGTTTCAGCTGCTCTGCCTTGCGCATAGCCCGTATCGCCGGACATGAGAAATTGCGAGTTCCTGCCGCCAAACAAGCTTGCCGCGCCGATTCCGTACTGTACAAGTGCTGTGCCAGCAGGACTTGATGGTCCTAGCCAGGACCAAGCTGCGATCGTCCGCCAAGGCCGGTCTTGCTGAAGTCGGGAGGTATCGACTGTCACTGGTAGCAACAGCGAGATGACGAGGACGAATATGATTGTGCTGGCGACAGCAAGCGCACGTCGGCGCCGTTGTCTGACAACGGACTGGTATCGATGCTTCAGTTCCGCCATGGTGAAGGCGAGCGCTCGGAGGCAGCCAAGGGCAGACCATATCGGTCGTGCCTATTTACCACAGAGACCAAACATCTTCGCGGGACTGCTTCGTGTCCAAGCCACATTTTGGGAGACTTGCAATTCGATTCCGCGGTTGCGGCGGTGCGGGAGCCTTTATTCAACGGGATTCGCAGACTAATATATAAGATCCTAGCATCGTGGCTCACGAGCAGCAGCGGCGACAGCGGCGATGGCCCCAATTGCGAGCTGAAGTGATCGTCAATGGGGCTGAAATTGCTTGCCAGAGATGACCTGAATACGACTATTGCTTGCGTCAAGCGAGGAACTTTTCTGATGCAAATGCCATCCTGTAGGGTTTGACCGACCCGATGAACAGCTCTATCGCTCAGAGATGTCAGACTGATGATCACGTCCAAATGCGTGAGGGGCATATAGGCGTGCAACGGGGCGAAAGCACGCTAGTTTGAGATATCGATATATCACGAACGACCGGTGCTCGGCAATCTTATAGACTTTGTAGATCATGCACAGTGTACCTTTGCAGCGCTCGTCAATCAACGAATGTATCATCTCAGATGCTCGAACGTGACCGCAGGTTACGCCAGGTCGCCAGCAGTAAGCAGCTTAGGATCAGCTGGCCAGGCTGCTATGCAAGCGCGTCATATGGAGGCTGTTTGCTGCAAGGCAAGTGCATATCACCGCCTATTGCGTCGAATCACGTTTGATTTGGACACGCAAGCCTCTCGCCTAGGAGTGTGTTTCGAACATGCAGACCTAACGTCTGGGATGGCTCGACGATCGACGCAAGCAGCTAGTCGAGTGGTAGCGTCTGCCGCAGGTACGGGTACGGCGACCGTGCTGCATACCACTTAAGCGCATCTGTCCTGTTACCGCATCCGATCAGCTAGAGCCAGCCACTGTGCGGCGATGTCTGCACAGCCATACATCAGCTGCTTTGCGGTCGCACAGATCAGGGAGCGCGCCTGATCGTGCAGCGAGTAGATGCCATACCAGTCCTGCTGTATACTACAAGACTGCATCGTGAAAGTCTGCTGCATCCGGAGACGGGCTGCGAGAATGAAGAGAGAACTTCACCGCAGTGCGGTGCGCAAGACGGACAAACAAGGTGCTCGCTTACTTGCGTGATGTTGTAACAGGAGCGAGCGTCGCAGCCGGTACCTTGACGGGCAAAATGAGGCCCTATCCGGAAGAGAAAGGTGCCATTGATCCGCATCACGGAGTCGCTCGGCGAATAGTGTGTGGAGCTCCGGGCAGATACCCACTGGATTGAACCAGTCGCCGTGACAGGCTGAGAACGGATCTGCCGCGGTCACATTCAGTGCTTCGTAGTAGCCGCGAGCGGTGAGGTGGTAAGGTGTCAGCCATCGCGCCCGATCTGTAATCCGATTGGCTGCGTTTGTGCGCGAAACATCCTGGGGCATCGATAAGGCTTCGCCGCGAGCGTATGAGAGTCTGACGTCTAGTGTTCTTAGTGTTCTGGGGTCTATGCGGAATGTATTTGGGTCATTTAGCCAATTCCACCGCTTGTCTTCTTGCAGGTACCAACGAATAAACCCTGCCTCATCGGCGGCCCAGTCCGGCAGGTTATCAAGCGTGTCAATAGACGCCAAAGGCGGGCTGCAGGACAAATCAATCTGCACCGTGACTGAGGCAGGGAGGTACGCACTACTGCAGATGCAACTCTCGCGCCCGCTCTGATAAGCAGAAAGCGGTGAATTGGCCAGTCAGCCAGACGCCTGTCCCGAAGCCTTTGCTGACGGTGATGATGTCGACTCCAGGTGGTATAGAACTTCCGGGCCAGAGATCGTCCAAGTTGCCCTACCGCACATCTAGATCTGACCAAGCCCACCTTTCGGTAGTGATGTATTGCCCAGCAATCAGGCCTAGGCAAGGTCTGTAGAAGATATGACGAGTATCCTTAGGCTCTCTGGCTGCTGATGCTGCGCGGTTCCTGGCGCGGCACGGCACGCACTCACGTAGAGGGCGTTTGAATATTTTTTTTGATTATTTGCGAGGGGAGGAAGAAGAAGAGAAAGAATTCAGAGGAACCTCTCATGGATTATGCTCAGCGCTACCTGCCCAGCAAATCTGGGCTCCTCAGCTCGTAAATTTGACGCGTCAGATGGTTTTTGAAGTTTTCGTCTGACAGGCCAAATAATCAAAGGTACCAACGAGGAATTTTCTGAAACACGAAGCCCCTANCAGCTCCAGGCGTGCTTTACCGCCAGCTGGCGGTAAGATCGCGATCACCCNGCCGGGAAGCTTGCCTGCGGCGGGGAAAGAGGTTGACAATTATGAGAGGACGAGATCATAGACGCGTCGACGCGATTCACCACGTCATCATCAGCGCCCTGGCAAAGTGCTCACTCATCTGTCTCACGGTCCGTATAATGGCGTCGAAGGCGTAGGGGAGCCCAATATTGCATCCTTAGTATGGCTGCGTTGCCCATATTGAGAATACAAAACAGCCCTACAACTGACCATTTAGCTTGGCACGATTGACTCGCTGTACAGAGCCATGATGCGGCCCCTACTTGCAACTGGTGTTTGACTTCTGTGGCCGCCAGCGACTGAGTGCGCGAAACGAGAGACCTCGAGCAGCCGCAGCGCTACGACGCAAGGACCAGTCGGTTGGACGTGAGCGGGAAGATATTCCGAAGTAGTCGTTAGTTCATTTCGAAGGTATCGCTCGGATCCCTGGCCTGCGCGGATTTTCGGCGCAGACGACATGCAGCAAGGCGTATTTTTACCCACGTGAGAGGCAGAGAAAAGCCAAGAGGACGGTCATAGACAGCCATGCGTACATCAGATGGCAGATCCTCTTGTCGATGACTCTTGAGCTATCTGCCAATAATTTTGCAGTACTCCTTGCGCCGGCATCGATAAGCTCGGCGAGAGACTATCGTCGAATAGCTACTGATTGTGTTCGCTCGTTTGTGCTCGCAGTATGCCTCATAACGTATCGATGACCGCATGTTAGGCTGAAGATGCAAAGGCGGCGCCAGTGGACGCTTGAAGCTTTTCTTTCGAGCTCGAAAGCGTGCCGCACTGCTCACGCAGCACTTCTTGATTTATCATATCAGCATGAAATACAGTCATCTATAGCACGATACATGCCGGTGCAAGTTTGCTAGTATCTTCCCCAGCTGCTTCTGGCTGAAATACGCCGATTCAAGCCTTCTTGGGTCTAGACTCGGCGGCGTCGCGCAGCAGAGGTCCTTGATACCGTCCAGAACAGTGATGTCTGTCGTACAGACCCATGCGAGCATCTGAGCTGCCAAATTGCAGGTATCAGAGCTACATACTGATAGAGTCTTGCAGTGTCTGTATCTGCGCCGCTTCGCCCTCTTCCGCCTATTTGCTGCACGATATACTACTCTGACAATACGGAAGTATAGTGAGGTATGTCACAGAGATCAGGAAAGGGGCCGAAGGCCTCTAGAGGCAGCATTAAGTTGAGGCGGTAAGCCAGAGAACCAAATTTGTAGCGCGCTCATATTTAACGGCCCGCGAAGCCGTGGCGGTAAATTTGGCGGTGAACTGGCGGTAAGACTTCTACGACAGTGAGAGGCAAGCCCCTGGCGCCTGGCCCGCGTATTACCGTCGCATTACCAAGCGCTGCACAGGACGCTCGTCACGGCCCCATCTTCCGATCTAAGGTCAGATAGTCGGGTATTGTCTATATCGCTCAAAGTCGAAGCAATGCTCGCTTTGATCGAAATTTAAATCCACGACAGCAGTCTGAGGATTTCTGCCGTAGCTCTGCAATGGTTGCGCCGCATACCTGCGTTCCGATCAGCCGTTCCCCCTCCTTCGACACCTATGTCTTACTCACTGCGGCAGCTTCGGGCCAGTCTACGGCGCCAGCACGGTGAGGACCCTCTGGTGTAGATTCGGTCCGAGCCAGCTCGGTCGCCAGCGGTCAAATCGATGGTCGCCATCCTTTGGGACACGAAATAGAGCGACAGGTGTGCAATACCGACGAGCGCGAATACACGAGCGACAGGAGTGCGTGGGGAAATCGCAGTAGTGGCCTTGTGCGCATGATCAGAGACAGTCTGCCATGCATCGCTCGAGCGACTGAGGTACGAGCCGCTCAACATCTCGACGCATTCACAATCATGCAACAGCAATCTCACTGACACGACGAGTCGAGATCACTCCACTCAAGTTCTGCATGCAGCGCTACTGCGTCACCCTGCTCTATCGCAATGCATGTATCCCGTTTAAATGATCTACGTCCCGTCAATCAATATGAGATCATCGGCCGCTGAAAGCATTACGGAGACTAAGCAACACCCCTCTATCTATCCGAGACAGGACACTGGCTTGGCACATCTTCGAATGGCCGCAACGAGGATCGACAAGAACCACGACGAGGAATTGATCGATGGCTTGCACTTACTTTATCTGGCTGCACCGTTAGTGCATTGCTCGCTCACAGCGCGATGCTCGCCGGCATGGAAGACGAGCGCCTGTTGGCTGAGGGATCCGATGATGAATACACTGGAATCACCCCAAATGTGCAGCTGCCAGATCTTTTAGAACGTAAGGTCAATGTTTCGTTACATCCGCGTACCCTACAGTCCTGATAGTATATGTCAACAGCGAAGACGGCGAAAAGGTGCCAGTGTGATAGCTGCGGCCGTCGTCATCGCATTTGCAAGCTTGTTCATGCACAATGCCTTCGGCCTTTCAAGCGCATCCATGGGAGCGCTCTCGTATAAGTGTGACACAGCAGCAGACTTGACGCAGACCACGGAAGATGCTTTCTACGCTAGCTCAAAAGTTTTCACATCGCTGTCGAAGAAGTAGCAGGCTACCACGGCGAAGTAGTCGCAGCCACTCTATACGCTGCTCAGGCGCTTGGCAGCCGCGTATCGCTATTCCGTGACTTTCTTGGCGCCGAGCTAGATGCTATTGTTGGCGCATACTACCGAGGCAGTAATCTTCCGACCCGTGCGCTCATCCCCATGCTCGGCTATGGTCCTTGGACAAGCCCGGTCATTGATCTCAGCGCCCAAAGCATCCCAGGGCCGCCCTCGGTCAAGCATGCCGAGCTAAGCGCTGAAAACAATGTCACGCTTGGCGCCTACTTTTCAGCCCATCCTATCAATGTATTGCTGCTCAGCTCATGCTCAGAATCTATCGCGGTATATGGCGATAGCATTGTCGAAGCTTGGGATGCCCGTCAACAGATGCTAAGTTTCAAGTGATATGCAGTGAGTGGCTGCGATTGCGGCCTGCAAAACTCATTTGCGTGCAGCTATACACCATGCTGATCGCTTCACTTGGGGCGACAAATTTTTCGGACTTGAGCAACGAGGCGCTCTGAAAATTCTCACCCTTAATAAGGCAGCTCAGACTTTTGCATACGATCGCTCAATGTCATACGCTTCTACTGCTGGCAAACACGGCGGTCTGGACTTATCGTTCGATTCGGTTCTCATTCGAGCTTTCGCGCCCATTTTCCCTGTACCGGGCTTGCCAAGTCGGCCTATGAACGTCGGACTTGACTCGGTAGTCGTACAAGGTGGACTTAGTCAAGCGAAACGTGACTATGCGGGCATATTCAGTGACATACAAGGCTTTCTTCAAGGTCTGTCGGCCTAGAACCCCCGTTGGTGATGTGACTTAGCTTTTCAACAGAGGATGCGTCTCGCTGGGGCTATCGCTACGATACTGCCACGGGGATGTACGAAGAAGATGCCACAGTGACGCAGCCATTCAAAATACATCTTATCGGTAGTGGCCGTCTCGCAGTGCCGAGCAACATAAGTAAGATAGCGATCGTTCAGTCTGGCCTAAATTACATCGCCTTCTATCGCCTCATCAATTCTGCGCAATTGCTTCTACCGGCTTTCAATCTCGAAGGCTACATGACTACGATGGCATCAAGTTCTATCGCTGCCGGCGTGCTAGCGATGACACCCGTGCTGGCAGACAATCGTATCATGCGCGCCTATTCTTACCTCAATGAGCGCAACACAGTCATAAAGCCCTTCGACATGTCTGACATGCAAGCGGTCAAACGACTCAAGTTTGGCGAAAGTCTGGTGGAAGGACGTCCAAATGCGAAGCTCGGGCAATGGCGAGAAGACTACTGGCAGTTAGATGTGCCTTCAGCTTGGGCGGATCGGAACCATGCGGGCTATGCGCGAACGCAAGCTGACATTGACGCTGCCACACGCGATATTCATCGCCAAAACCGCAAACACCTGACATACACAATCTTTAATTGAGCAATGGCTATCTGCGCGAGTCATGGTGTAATTCTGGCAATGGAGGAGCTTTGATGAGTGAAATAGGAGCGAATGAATTTTTCGATCTGCGCTATGTAAAGCTTCACGCCCGGCGGCTTCTTTAACCCAATTTGCATACACTTGCATGACAAAGCGTCACATGTCGCGCGTCACCCTGTGTGCACTACATTGCTACGTATCTCATGGCGACAGTCTTCAAAGCTCTGCATGTTGCTGCGGATCCCAATAATGCCTATGTCTGCTTGCAGTCGCGGTCTGACCATCAATGCATGGCCCTTGACCCCAATACCCTTGTGCAATCCGTGACCAGATATGACCGCGTCTGCCTTAAACCGCATCTTCGGATGGCGACGGATATAGCCTTGGCTTCTGCATCGCCCACAGTTCGCCGCGTCTTTTCGCTGCTGGTCTTTCACAATGCGCAACGAAAGGCTCGCGCAGACAGGTGGCTGCGCAGCCCGGCGTGGTCCAGAGATCGTAGCTATCAGGTGATCAGCCAGAGCTACAGGTAGCAGGAGACAGGAGCAGACGCACCACATCCTGACTCGTCTAAAGTTCTGGGGGACATCTTGCCAGTGCTCAAACGGCCGGCTAGGCATAGTACCCATGTTCAGACTAACGATCTCCGCATCGCTATATACCGGACTGAGCAGAGCCTTGCTGAGCTGCGCGTAACTTGGGCGCATTCGTACGTCTAGTAACCGTAAATCGCTTGACGCGGTCTGATATTGCTGCCTATGCAACAGATAACGTGGCTCGAGCAAAGTGACGCCGTATTCTCGGGCAGTCTCTTCGAAGGGTATCACTGACCAGACGTCTCGATTGCGGACGGGAGGCATCGTGCTGGCATTCAAGTAGAGCGCCGTCGGTGGGAGTAGGAGCGCGCGCCCAGATTCGGCGGCAAGACCAACAATGACGGCAAACGTCGCCTGCAGACTCTCAGTATCGCCTACAAGGGCATCGACTGCCAGAATTTTCCGAGGCTGAGAATAATAACCATCGACATCCTGTGCAAAACCGTGGTTTGCAGCGACAATGCGACGAATCTCGTAATCATCGATGCATGTGCCGTGAAAGAGCACGCTCTCTGCTGCCACGCCATAGCTGAGATGGTACTGTACGAAACGGTGACGATCGAGATAGTGAACGCCAAGGCCCCATGGTGTTGCTGCCTTGCGCTCGTGCATACCTACAGTATAGTTCGGATAGGTCAATTCCAGCACATGGTTGATCGCTCCTTGCTCCCATTGCCCCGGCACATTGATATAGTTCTCGAGCGCTCTGCGCCACAATTCCGCCGCACGGTAGCCACCACCTGATAAGATGACGCCAGCGTTGACGTCGGCAGAGCCTTCGAAGGTGAAAGCAACACTGTGGCTCCCGTCTGGCGAGAGGTCGGGAAAGTACGGAAAGGGATCGTGCCGCAGCCACACGTCGCCCTCAACAAATATAAAGCGATAGCCGGCCGCAGAGATTTGGTTAAAGGCCATCAGCTGGCACGCCACAAAGTCAGTCATGACGCTGTCTGTGGACTAAAAGCTATCCACCTTTGTCATCATGAGCGGATGCTTGGCAGACCCGTAAGCCTGGCTGGGCTGTATCAGTCCACCATAGCCGAACCAGCCTCGCTCGTTGCAGATGTCCACGCAATCTTGGTCTGTGCAGAGGACTAGCAAGTCTTGATGTCCCCGAGCTATAGCATTCATCTCGGCGTCATAGAAAGTATCGCCAGCGTCTATCGGTACTTTCCACATTTCTAGTGGGCTGTGATCGGGAGTCACCTTCGTTCGGCCCGATGCCGGGGGCAAGGTGCCATCCGCCAATCGTTGCAAGAAGAGTGCGAGGTCACTGCCACCTTTGCGTAGATATGAGCCATCAAGCATCGTAAGCCAAAGATAGTCATCTTTTGGCAGCTCCCCGATTCGTTCGTGCAAGAACTGTCGCAAAGGGATCGTGTCGTTGATGCTGGTCGCAGTAGGGAGGACTTCAGGGCGATCAGGTCGCTGACTGGAGTAAGGTGTATTCCTTCCAGCGTAAGTCGGGTCGACACTACTTTGCGAGGGCACGTCTGGTCGCATGCCCGGCGAGCTGAACAGCATGGCAACAGTGAGAAAGCTGGCGAGTAGCGCTGGTTTTGAGGGCTTGAGTCGCATTGTGTCGAGGGCGAACATCTCGAAGAGCTTTCCATGGCCCCATCATATTGCGTTGGTGATAGGGGAGGTCTGGCGCAGTCTCGGCGCTCAGCCGCCATTGACGTATGTGCGCGCAAGTTGTATTGACGGGATAGGCGGGACGACGAAATCATAACCGCTGGCGAATTCGCATAAGTCGTGTCGATGGTGGCTTCAAAAGCCGTACGGGAGGGACGGGGCGAGAGTAGCCGAGACAGTCGCTAATCAAACAAGCATCGCTTGAGGTTGCTTTCTCTTTGGGCGGATCACTCACGGCTGGCCCCGATGTCGGTAGAGACAGCAGCTGCCGAGACGAGACGCACAGTATGCGTGCAGTACTGTGGTTGCCATAGCATCACAACCATGCCTCTGTCAACAGTCGGCGGACGAACAGGATAGATTTGGACTCGGGTCTGGGCAGCTGGGTCGCGAGCATTCAGTGTTCATTGATCATATGACATCCATCTAGAACGAAAACAATAATGATCACCTATAGCGCTTGATTCCCACAATGTCCAGCGGACAGGAGTCATCCGCATCGCATATCATCGGAGTGCCCATGCACTACAGCGCGAAAGTATCCTGACGAAGCATTTCTTCATCTCGCAAGATAATGACCAATCTGCACGAGCAATGCAGATTCCCTGCAGAGCGTGCGTCGACTGAACTTGATCCACAGTCGCACATGTCAGCTCGTAGGAGTGAACGTAAGATGGCGCTGAGTCTTCGGTACCGGGTTCGATAAGCAGCAGCAGAACAGCCTGCATTACAGTCAAGCGTGCCAGAATGGCAAAGGCTAATGCCACCGCAAGTAGCATGGAGCTCATCGCAAAATCCCTTCCAGCGCCTCTTCACTGTCAGATGCTGTTCATAACATATTGACCGTCATATCAACGGCGGGAAGGTGCATAACGCATGTTACCAAATTGCCCCCGGCAGTTGGTTGCAGCAGGCCGCGCTACCCATACAGATGGCTGACTAGAGCAACGAATATATTCAGCTGATTCATAGCGCCTAGCACAATGCATTGACTAGATGAGAAGACTGAGCGGGCTATTTGCGCGCCTCGAGCGTCAGTTTGACCGGAATGACTTCAGTAGTCGTTCCGTAAGCTGACTTGAAGCCGTCGATATTGCCTGACAGGGTGACATAGGTCTGACCTCCCGGCTTGCCATTGGTGATGCCGCGAAGCTCTGCTGCGACGTCGTTGCTAGAGCTGCCATCGGGATTGACGATGTTTGCCGAGATGGCGCCGGTGTCTTTGTCGACCTTCCAGATCGCCGACGATTCGCCCCAACCCGTGCCCGAGGCGTAGTCAGTCTGACCCCGGGGTGTCGCGGTGGCTAAGAACAGATATCAACGCCCTCATTGTCGAGACAGAGACGAAACCTTACTCGGCACAAGGAAAGCATAACCACTGCTCGTCGCATTGAGCTCGCCAGCAAAGCCGATGCGGGCGCCGAGGAAAGGTCTGCTAGCAAAGTGCGGATTGAGGACGAATCTACGCTCAAAAGGTCAGATTCGCGATGTGAATCTGATTTTTGCGCAGACTCACAGATGAGAATAGTCATCATCTTCTGCGTTCTTGATAACGAGTACCTTTGCACGAGGACCCTTGTTGCCATCGGTGCCCTTTGTATCGTCAAACAGGTTGAGTGCGTCGCCTGGATGGACATAAGGCTCGCCAGCCAGATTGGTGAGGTTGCTAGATAGGTAACCACGACTAGCAACCTTGACGTAGCCCATCGGTCCGGTGCAACCGCATACCTTGTGAATGAGGATCATGTTGGCGATGGCAGGCAGAGATTGGGTGGGCTCTGCTTTGCCTTTTGCTCTTGCTTCACAGAGCTTGAGGGTGTCGTCGAGGTAGCCTGCTGAACTGACGGACATGACTGCATCGGTGCATCGTAGTGATAACACAGTCGTAGAGAACAGAGCCAGCAGAGCGAGCGAGCAAAATGCTGACATCTCGAAGACCCAGAGAGAGAGAGAGAGGAAGGGAGACAAGACTTAGGCCTGTAGGAGGCAACCCGTCGCTAAGCACCGGCAAGTCTTGCCGGTCGTCAAGCAAATTCCTGTGCCGAGGAAGGCGCGAAAAAGTCGTGGCAAAGTCGAGGTCGTCGTGTGGGACTGACGGCAAGGCGCCCGGCGTCTTGTTACGCGCTACGCGTTGCCGAAGGGTCCGAATGGCAGCATTGCTCGAGGACTTGTCGGATGGCGCAGAGCCGACGGCCGTGCCACTCTATGCTTCGTGCTCGGACCTGACAACTCTACAAGGAGTCTTCGTCGAGGTACGGCTGCCTCGCAAATGCGATCGCCGAGTTCGAAGCTGAGCGTGTCAACGACAGTATCTTACTCATCAGGGCGATGAGCTATATGACAGCGTGAGTCAAGGGTGCGGCTGTACTTGTGTCGACGGGGACTGCATGAGCAACGGCCTTTGCGCCTGTCTTGAAGATCATGGCTGCTTCTTTAAAGATGGCACCCTTGCCCTCGACGACATTCCGCCGCGCCACGCCCTCTTCGAGTGCGGCCGGCATTGCGCATGTCACGAGCGCAAGGAAATCTGCGGCAATCGCACCGTGCAGCGAGGCATACAGCATCCGTTGTACGTTGCTATCACTGGCAAGCGAGGGTTAGGCTTGTTCACGAGAGACGCGCTCAGCAAAGGCGCGTTCATCTGTCTATACGAAGGCGAGCGGCTCGATGAGGCAGAGGCTGCAAAACGGTGGGAGGCGCAGCGAGTTTCAGGACAAAGCAACTTCATTTTGGCTGTAAGGGAGAATTCGAACGCAGGAAAGCTCAGCACCATCATCGATCCTCGACGGCGAGGCAATGCCGGGCGATTCTCTAGTAAGCTGCTGGACAAGCGATGAGAGGAACATGCTGATACTGAGAAGATCATGCTTGTCCGCCGCTTGCGAACATGATCCCTTGTCTGTTTCGTATGGCAGGCGATCTACATCCCCTTATTGCCATGATCGCATCGCGGGACATTCCTGCAAGCACAGAGCTGACCTGGGACTACGGCGTAAGTAGCTCGGTCGAATCAGGTCGGGAGCGGACGCCGTGTGAATGCGGCTCCGAGCAGTGTAAAGGGTTCTTGCCGTTCGACGATTCAATTGAACAGTAATGCATGCGCGTACAAGCCATCGACGAGCGAGCCAATAGCCTAGTCCTCGCGCTTGCGGCCACCAACGACAGTGCGAGCTCCTCTTCGGTTGTTCTCCTGGACGGGTGCAGCGACGTAGACTTGGATGTTGTCCATGCCAAGCGACTTGAGCAGATCCTACATGCCAGCCTATGAGTCTGCGTTGCATGCTCGGACGGCACAAGCTCACCTGAGTGTCGGGGTCGACCTCAAGACCAGAAGCGGTAGTGTCGAGTGCAGAGACCTCTGGTACGTAATTGTCCTTGCGTTCTCTCTCCTCTTCTTGCAGCTTGAAAGAGATACCACGGACGGGTCCCTTCTGGATACGCTTCATCAGATGAGTGGTGAAGCCCGCGATCTTGTTGCGCAGTCGCTTGCTGGGGATGATGGCAACCTCATCACAGATCTTCTTGTTCGTGTGAAAGTCGAGCGTCAGGCGAGGGTAGTACTTCTCGATGACCACTCTTGAGGCCCTCTTGACCGTCTTTGTGCGAACCCGACCCTGTGGAGAAGCGATGAGTGGTCAGCTGCTGTAGCACGACGCAAGCATACAGGCGTTACGCACCATTCTGACTTGTTGCAAGCTAATAGCTCTGCTTCGTCGAGCGTGGCTACACGCGGCTGCGCGGGCCGCTTTAACTGAAAATATCTCGAGTCAGGTTTTCACCAGTGGCTGAGCGTCGCGCAGGATTTGTTGAGATCCACCGCAGTGTATCAGGCGGAGACAGAAGAAGGCACCTCAGAAGCTCATGTCAGTGACTGAAGCGAGCATTGACCAGTCTCTGGATTGGCTGCCGCATGCATTCCTTCGACGAGCTACCTGACGGCGCTGGATGGCGAGGCCTCTTGCATTGCGCAAAGCTCACTTTCGTCGGTCGTCCTTCCCTCGGGCACCCTTCGCTCGTCCGACTGTATCGTAACAATCGGATGAGCCGAGTCGGCATCCTTTGGGAGACGTACCAGGGTCATAGGGGAGAAGAAGGAGCAGGCAGGCCGATGCAGAGACTGGGTACGCTCTCGAACTGTTTGCTGATCCTTTGACTCGCAACAGTGATCTCGTCATCATGGTTCGAGTCTCTGTGCTTGTAGGTCCATCTATCGACACACTTGGTCCTCGACTCACGTGTTCGTCAACAGAATGACTGCCTTAACAACATCAACAATGCCGAGCGACGAGGAAAGCGACAGGTCATCATCCGACCGTCTTCGAAAGTCATCGTCCGCTTCTTGACCGTCATGCAAAAGCATGGTTAGTCATCATCACCTCTCACCTTTCGGCCAAGGCTGAGAGATGAGCAGGCTACATCGAAGAGTTCGAAGAGGTAGACGATCACCGCTCTGGCAAGCTCGTCATCCAATTGAACGGACGCATCAATAAGTGCGGCGTCATCTCACCTCGCTTCAACGTTCAGCTCGGCCAGATCGAAAACTGGGTCGCGCTGCTCTTGCCCGCCCGTTCGTTCGGCTACATCATCCTCACCACTTCTGCGGGTATCATGGATCACGAGGAGGCAAGACGAAAGCATGTCGCGGGCAAAGTCATTGGCTACGTGTACTAGACTATGTGCATCTGCCTGCTGTACTTCCTGTGTACAGCTGCTCTTGGCTTTCCTGAGCTCAGTGTGGCTGGCTGTCGCGTGCCTACGCCTACGCTGGCCTCTATTGATGCACAGATTGGCGACCAAGCTTGGTAGCCTGAGAATGGTGTCATCTAGGGCAAGCCCAGTCAAGGCTACCCGCGAAGCGATCGACGCAGCAGTGGCTCGAGGCTGGACTGTCGTCGCCGGCAAGGAGATGGGTCAGGCAAGACTTCACAAAGAGCTTGCCTTCAAGGGCTTCAAGCAAGCATGGGCGTTCATGAACCTGGTCGCAATTGCTGCCACGGATCTCAAGGTCGGTCACCTATTATGTCACTTGTGCATGGGCCAATGAGCAAAGGACAGCATCACCCGGAGTGGAGCAACGTCTACTCGAAAGTCTCGATTAATCTTACAACGCACGTCGCAGAGGTACCCAACAGTCTGACAGTACTCGACATTCAGCTTGCCGAACGTATCGACCAGGCAGAGCAAATCACGCGTAGTGGAGATCACCCATAGGATCAATCTCTATCGCGATATTGGTGAGGATCAGTCTCTATCGCGATATTGGTGAGCATCATCATCATCATCGTCGTCGTCGTCGTCGTCGTCGTACTCGTCCTCATCATCTTCATCTTCAGCCAGATAGTCGTCCAGCACGGCTAGGGCGAATTCGTCAAACAAATGCGCTCGCATCTCCTCGTCAGTGGCGAAGAGGAGCCGCTCGCCGGGCCTAAGCATATTGCGTGATGGTAAGCTGCCGTTGCGCCGCCTGGCACTGCGAGCGCTGCGAGCCTGTCGCCTGGCCTGTCGTAGCTCTTGGGTGTCCTCGAATGTATGCGTGAAGCCTTCGTAGACCTTGCCGTCCGCCGTCTCGTGCTTGTAGTGACACGATATGCCATAGGGGCATTCAGTATGATCACTCGCTTCAAAATATCGGCACTTCGTCGCAGCACACTTGTCGAGGTAGCCTTTGACGACAGCTTCCTTCTCTGGCCCTTGAGCAAGGAAGCGGTGGCATGGGATGATGTAATGGCTGCGATTGCGGCAGACGCAGCAGGTCTTGCGCACGCCGTCTGCGCTAATTTCTTTGTCCTTACGATCACGCCACTTGCGAATGCAGCCGAGGCAGTAGCAGTGCGAGCAGGCCTCCAGCAGGCCATAGCTCTGACTTGGCACTTCGAGACAGATCACGCAGGCGTCTTGCTCCTCTTCCGCCGATCGCGCCGCTGATCCGCTTGGCCCCGCTAAAGTGAACTCTGATGACCAGTCTTCGAGCTTGTCTGGCGCTGAGCCTGCGCTGGATGCATGCTTGAAGTGACATCTGGCGGCCCGCCAGCAGTAACCCTCGTTGAAGAACTTGCAGGGAATCTCCTTGCGCTGCGCGGAAACCATGTTCGGCTTTGTAGCGACTGATCAGAGACAGCTTACCTTGGTGAGGGTGATCTCGTTCATAGCACTGATCGCTGTCGGGTTTCGATCATTCGGTGACGCGGTGTCAGTCAAGAAATTCATGAAAGCGGTCGCGCTTATCGAATTTAAGAAGATCTTGCGGCCAAGGAATGTAATCTGCATGAGGGCCCCTCAGGATCAAGCATGCGGCGCGGAAGATGCATGCAAGTGACAATTAGTAAGCGATAACACCCCTGAGACGCTCTAATTCCGCGCCAATGGCAAACACCCATTGATCGCGTTCGGCCTTGCTTCGTGCCTGATAAGTGAGCTGTGTGAGTGCAGCACTACTTCCAAGGGCCTTCCAGTAGAGCACGAACGCGAGATCTTCGTCTGCTGCGTATGAAACCAGGCCGTCTTGTCCATAGTATCGCGAGACTGCTTTCTGTTGAGCGCGACTCGAGCTGTTGCTGTCGTATAGATCGGCATTAAGCCGGCCGACGACGATATAGCAGCCGTGGAGATCGATGACGTTCTTGCGACGATGATACGTGGTCTGTGTAGGCTGACCCTGCCAGTCACGCTGCCGGAGCTGAAATTCGACGAGTTGACCGGCGGCGAGGAAGACGTGCCTTTCGATGAAGGGCCCTGTCGCTGCTTTGTGGTATAAACGCCCGGATAGTGTGATACCACGGCAGCCTTGAAGTATGCACCAATTGTAACGTGCAGCCGACAAGGCACTTTCGTCCAGTTCCGGCAAGGCTGAGACAGGCTGCTCTTCAATTTTCGCCGGTCGTGGCATTTGCTCAAGTGCATCCACACGTTGTCGCCGTGCCCAATAAACGACCAGCGCAGATAGCCGCTGCACCCATTCTTCGGCGGTCGCGCGGGAATAACACTGCCAGAACATCAACACCGTCGTAGAGCTTACTGCGAGCTGCCTTACCTGGAAACGCAAAACGCGATCATTCTCAGTGACGATCTCAAAGGTACGCGTCGAGACGTCTGGATCTGCAGGTGCAAGCTCCCCTATTGCCTCGTCTTTGACCAAAGGCGACTGGCTCGTCGTTGAAGCGCGATCGTCTCGGCTCGTTGCATCTTGAGCGGTCGCCAGTCTGACTGCTTTGAGCTTGCGCAAATCCACGTAACCCTTGGCCCGACGTATCTGCTCGGCTGAGCGCTTTTGCTCGGATAGCCCAAAGTTCTCGAGCAGTTCTTCAGGCGAGGAAGTCATGCCAGTCACTTTTTCACCTTCTAGATTTTGCGTCGCTGCTTTGATACGAAGCCACCGATGTACCGAAAACCACCGTGCTTTGCGAGCCTGCCGCTCTGGAGCCATTGAATATGGAGCGCCGAAGACACCTCCTGCGCCTGCCAAGAAAGGTGCCAAAGCGAGCGTGGCTGGGTTATCGACGGTCGCTTCAAAGGGTGGATCGGGCGGATGCGCTTTACTCGGCTTGTTAGCGAACAGATAGCCCCGATGTGTCGAGATGTACAGTCTTTCGGTGCCAGCAGCTTTGATTCTCGTCACATAGCCCTCGACCATCGCCGGTTCTGCCATGAGCGTGCGGTCGGGCATGCTGACACTGGTAGGATAATGTAATTCCGCCCGAAGCTCGAGTTGATGCAGCTTCCGCGTGGTTTCTGCCATCGGTATGCCCACAAGGACTTCTAGACCTTGACTACTCCCTTGAGCTTTAGGATCGCGGGCGACCCACTCTAAGATTGTGCCGCTGTGCCATGCAAGCGAGAAAGCGGTACCCTTGTCGACCATCTGCGCGTGTAAGGCGCGCCATTGCGGTGCTTTGACAAGCATGTCGAAGGTTGTGTCGATGACGCGCTTCAAGGTCAGTAGACGATAACTTTCTCCAGATCGCGTCAAGGTACGTTGGGTTATGTCGGCAAGTCCGAGTCGGCGAGCCTGAAGCACGCTGTTCGGAACAGGGATGCGTATCGTCGCTTCCAGAACCGGGACGTGAACATCGAGCTGACGGGGTAGCTCGCCGCCAAGCGCTTGCCAAACCTGAAAAAAGAAAGTGCCTGCCTCTGACATATGCTGTGTGCGTAGGATAAACACGTTCGTGCCGAGGTGATAGCGGTGCAAACGAGCAGTCTTGCGAGCTTTGCCAGAACTGAGCGCATGCTCGTGCTTCGACTGAGGTGAACAAGTCAAGCACATAATTCGATCCGAGGCCGAGAACAAACTGAGCATTGTCTTCCCCGGCTTGAGTGGGATGATATGGCGCAGCTTCATGTGCTTGACAATACGCTCGCGAAAAGGTGTCTTGTAGTGCGACCAGCACTCAATCGCGTTGGCCTTGCGGACGACAGTAAGCTCTTCCCAAGGTCTGAAAGTGACCGCAAAGTTGCGAATTGAAAGCTCATTCAGATCCTCAGGCAGATCCTCCCTGATAGACCAGCCCGACTTAACGAGCATCTTTGTCCTCGTGATGATCTCCTGCGATCCGTGTTCAATCCGTCTGATGAGCCCAGACTCTGAGAAGGCAAGCATTTGGTGTTCCATACCACCGGGACGATCCGGACGCCCAAGAACGTGTTCGACGCGAGCAGGCGGTGCATCGCCAGCAGGCGGCGAGTCGGACAAGGTGGGCTCTATTTCGCCCGGGAGAAAGTTCACAGTTCTTGACTTTCGGAGCATGTGCAATTGGGGATGAGTCCCTTTCACCGTACTAGCTTCATGTGCTTGTACGCTTGCAAGGGATGCGGCCGAAGACGCAAGATCGCTCTTGGTTCGAAAGAGCTCAAACGTCATATCGGGTCTGTCTTCGTCGATTCGTAACGGTGGTCGATTGCAATGCGATGCAGGCGCGCGACGCACGGTAGCAGGCAAATCAGTGATACTGGGATTGAACGACGATGCATCGTAGGGCTGTGTTCGGGCAGTCTGGAATGACGTAGCCGTTCTCGCAGTCGCATTTGTTGCACGGGCGACCGGCTGCGGTCTGATGGGCTGCATTGACGTCCGATCGGTACTGTTAGCTGTCTTACCGGGATGTAGCAATGCGAGAAGATCGGAATCATGATCGACATCACTGTGTCTACGTCTCAGTCTGGTACGATACGCATAGTCGCTGCGATACCTATGGGAATCCTTCTGTGCGTTAGAAGCAGCTTGCTTCTGCTGATGATCCTGATTGGTGTGCTCGCGTTCTGCGTCTTCCTCGTCCCTGAGCTTGTCTTGCCGCAATTGTTCAGCGGCGGCGCGTATGTCTGCGCCAATCTCGAAACTGCCGCCTTTCCACCTACTCCAGCTGTCCTCGCCCGCTGTCTGCTTCTCGCGGGCAGCCCCATCGCTGCCCGTCGCAAGGTGACGCTTCAACCGTCGGGTCAAGCGGAGTCTCTTGCCCTCCTTGCCACGCTCGATCGTCCGGCGCCAGAATCTGGTCTGCTCCTGACGCGCCTCCCTGACTTCTTGGGCAGAGTGACCGAGCATGGTATTGACAAGATGGGGTCCTAGAAATACTCGGCGCAGACCGCCTTGCGATGGTTTGCATGTACACGACGGTCCGCCGTCCCTGCGTGCCGGATCTGCGTGCACCGTGTCGCCTTTGTGTATTCTGGACTGGTCGCGAAAGGCCTGAGCGGCGGCATTGCCCGTGCTGAGCGTTGCATGAGTTCGACGAAGGTCTTCTGGTGGACCGAGGGACAGTGGTTCGTGCTCTGGATCAGCGTAAGGCACAGCCGAGGTGGACGCACTGGGCCCGCCAGGTCCCAATCGTGTTGGCGCGGCAGGTAGCGAAGCACTCGTGTTGGTCTGCTCAAGCTTCGGTCTGAAATCGGCATTGTCGATCGCAGGAGCAGATCTGCTCTGCGTCAGGACCGGTCTATCGCCAGGCATCAGGGCACTAGCAAGTCGAAGCAGGCCAGATCCAAGTCAGATTGAACGTTGAACGTCGCGCCCTGCCCAGCGTGCCAGGGTTCGAAGGAGTCGGCAAAGTAGCACGCTGCCACTCGCAGCTGGTTCAGAGGTACATGCGAGAGATCAGGTAGCCTCGCTTGTAGCATGCCTAGACCCTCTCGAGCGAATGCTAGTGGGACAATAGGGCAACCGGCGAGCAAAGCAGGAGAGACGACAGTACAGACTTTGAGCGAGCCCAGGCAGCGCTCGCAGCCTGTCAGCGCATCAGCAGCTAGTCAGTCCCCTTCGAGCAGTCTCAGACGCAACAACCGCCAGCCCGCGCAGTCCAGTAGCAAAGCGGCCCAGTCAGAATCCGTGATGCCGGCGCAAGACGAAGACGGGCAGGAGGAGGAGGAAGAGGAGGAGGAGGAGGAGGAAGAGGAGGAGGAAGAGGAGGAAGAGGACGATGAGGGAAAGGCACCAGGCGGCGAAGTCTATGGTCTGCTCGGCTTGGCTTGCGCGAGACTGCATGTGCTGAGTGTGCTCGGTCGCAGAATCAGAGTCTAGCTCTCAGTCAGGCACAGAATCCCTGACCTGGATCTCCTGGTTCTGCTCGGTCCCGGGCCACGAGTGTGCGTCTACCTTCATCAGCACTCGTGAACAGCTCATAGACCAAAGCTGACACACTGTTCCGCAGATTTTGCCGAAGTGACAGATGACTTCATAGAGGACGACTTCAATCTTACTGGCCTTAACGCGCTCGTGCCCTTCTACCAGGAAGCCTTAGAGATGGTTCTCGATGTTGAGCCAGGTATGCTTTCGTTCACGTCAGAAATCGTTCCGCGTTCATTGCACGATGAGCAGAAGAGGAGAGCCTCAAGATACCCGACGTGTCTATAGTGGAAAGCTCTGCCGAGCTTCTGTACGGACTCATACATCAGCGATTCATCCTGACCAGACAGGGCCTCTCTCAAATGGTATACTGAATCGTCTGCATGCCACGTCAGAACTGACAGCGGCCGCGCAGCTTGGCAAATATGAACAAGCCCATTTTGGCTACTGTCCGCGCGTTTACTGCAATACAACGAAAGTCCTACCGTGCGGCCGATCAGATCTACCGGGCGTAGATACCGTGAAGCTTTACTGCCCGAGCTGTACAGACACCTACACGCCGCCCTCGTCTCGCTTTAACGGTGTCGATGGTACGCCTCTGTCTCAGATCCCTCATCAAGGCTAATGTATGTGCAGGCGCATTCTTTGGCACGACTTTCCCGCATCTTCTCTTCCAGTCATTCAAAGACATTGCTTCGACCGAATCGCGCGTGCCTGCCTCGCCCGTCCCCGAAGAATCTGCAATGTCGAATACTAGAGCAGACGGGCAGGCGAGAGGACAGGGTCTGCCAGCAACAAACGCGCTGACATCGGCCAGCAAACTCTATATACCGAGGATATACGGCTTCAAGGTGTCCGAACGTGCGAGGAGTGGGCCTCGAATGCAATGGCTGAGAATGCAGCCCCGGGATCCGATCGAATTAGATTCGGTAGACAACATGGGCCGATGGAAGGACGAAGATCCCGGAGCTGAGATGTTGCACGAGGAGGGCATACAAGAGGCCACTGACGGCTATGGACCTGACGTCGACGAACCAATCGAAGAAGACGAGCAGCCAGCTCCGATGAGTCCGCCGAAGAGGCCAGCCTCTGCTCGCTATGACGACACAGATTAGATTCATCATCAGTCTGTCATGCATCTGTACTATTGCATACGACAGAAGAAGCGCTCTCAGAAATCAGAAGTGTACACGTGTTGCTGATGCGACCGAACTCTGCACGGGACAGTAGGGACACTTGAAGACACTGCGCCAGCAAGTCAGATTGAGCTCCTGAGCGACTGGGTGTCTTTGGCTTACGCGGATCCCTTGGAAAGTCGACTCAAGGACTCTTTCGCCACAACGTGGCCGCAAGGCATCATCATCGGCGGATTGTCCTCGGTCGCTTGCTCTTTGGAGACCGGACAGGCAAAGACCGAATGGAAACGGTACTGTGAGGGTAGCGCAATCTCGATAGGCAGCTCTTCCACCTGGGACCATTCGTTGCGCTTCTCCTTCATGACGCTTCTCACTTTTGCAATTCGAGCAAGCGCTCCGCCTCCGCCGATGTCCGTCGCGACCACAAGCGGTAGGTCTCGAGAGACTTTCAAACGCGCACAGTATTCTCTTGTGAATATGTCAACCACTTTCTGCAGTGCAGGTCTTGCCCTCCGCTTCTTGCCTGTCGCTGCCTCGGCGGGCGCAGGCGTAGCTCCAGATCGAGGCACATCTTGCAGAACCGATTTGAGCTCGTCTAGCCAGGTAGAGTAGTAAGGTGAGTTGAGCAATCGCTCGAGCGGCGTGAAGAGCGCTGCAGTGATCATCGAAGCTATCTTGGCGTGGTGTCGTGCGTAAAGTGGCTTGAAATGTCGCATGGCATAGGCGAGAGCAAGACTAGCCCCATTTGATATAGCAGGCTTATCTGAAGCGCGTGTGGGGAGTCGTATGACTGAATGAGCTTGTGCGTCTTGTGTGACAGGATAGACAGCAAACGCAAGCGTGTCCGGTAACGGGACAGAATCCGAGAAGAGTAAACGTGCGAAAATGTAACGCTGCGTCACGAAGAGTAAATCGGAATCTCGAGAGAGAAGAAATGGTTCGTGAGCCTGGCACCAGCTATGTGCGTCGTTTGCTCAGTCGCAGCAAAGTCAAGAGGCAGAAAGCGTACTCGAGGACAGATCGGAGGTTCTCATTGCGAATATCATCAGCGATCACGTGCATCTTCTGAAAGGCTTCTTCGAACTGGACTGGAAATGGCGTGCGCGATTCCACGCAAAACGAATTGGCGACATGGTAGTGGCCTTGGCGCAGAAGATGCTGAGCGATAACGGTGTTGACGCGATCTGCACAAGAGGCAAAATACATGTGCTCAAACGGATCTTGTTTGCTTCTGCTTGTCGATGCATGTGCATTGAAGGCTGTCAGATCCGATACGAGAGGAGCAGCGGGCGCAAAAGCGGGCGCGTCAGGAGGTGTCACTGGCGGTGCCGAGGGTAACAGCGGCGTCAGGTCTGCGGTGAATCTCTGCGAGATCGTCCACCAGCGTTATAGGCTACGAACCTGCAAACAGATTGGGGACAGACCTTGTCAATATTCTTGCCGAGCCTGGTGAGCGACGACTGCCACTCTTTATGCCTCTCTGCGATCCTAGCGTTGCTGGCTCTCACAGACTGTGCCAGGCTTGCCAGACTGTTGTCGAATGCATTGGGATCTGCATTGACGTTCAGTCTCAAAAGATGGACCGGATTCTCGCGGGCAGACCAGATGTGACACGCTGACGCAAGACTTGCAGGCGGTCAATGAGATTTTGCAAGATCTCTTGCTCGTTCAGACTATCTGAAGCCGAGGCGGCCTTCTCATAGTCTCGCTTGAGCGAATCCATGCCTCTTGACGTCCCGCGGAGGACTGAGCTCGACGCACGTCAGCGATGCAGCTGTGACGCTGTGACGTTGCGAACGAGTCAACCTGACGCGACTATATAAAGCTATAATATAAGTAATCCCTGGTCGACGTTCCACTAGCGACGCCAGCCGTTTCGATTGGCGAAGCGCTGCACTTCGCGGCTCATTCTGCTCCCCGGCAGCTGGTCTCAGCGATGCATCAGACCGTCTGGTACTCCCGACAAGGCCCTACAGATGGCTTCTGGGGCCCTGTCACTGCAAGCATAGACTGGTGCGAAGAGAATTACGTCGTGTCGCATTACATTGCAGAATTCAGCAACACTCTGTCCAATCTATTCTTTGTCGGTCTGGCAGCCTTCTCCGTCATCATGGGCATGCGCGAGAAGCTCCCCTTGCGGTATTTGCTTTCCGCTGCTGGTATAGCGCTCGTCGGCTTCGGCTCATTCGCCTTCCACGGAACGCTTAAATATCAGACTCAGCTAGCCGACGAAATCCCGATGCTTTTCGCGAGCTCGCTTGTATGTCCAACTTCTGAGAGCCGTCCGAGGCTGACTGGGTTGTCGCCGTGTAGATGACATGTACGCCTTCATCAAGCTACACGCGACTTGCCCTCATGCCCGAGCAGACGTCGTCTTTGAGGATAGCATAGAAGGTTCGAAGCCAAAGCTCGGCGTGTGGCTACCGATCCTCTGCTTCAGCTATCCGACGCTCATCACTATCGCATACTTGATCTATCCCAATCCAGGTCAGCTCGCTCCCTTTCAGTCGCAGAAGCACTGCTCACTGGCGCGAAAATGTTCAGTCCTGCATCAGATTGGCTATGCCTGCATACAGCTAAACACGACCGTCAGAGTGACGCAGATCCTGTACGTGATCTCTCGTAGCCCTGGAGTACTCCTAATCCTCTGTCCACCAGGCTGACGAAGCTCAAAGCTAATCAAAGACAATTGAGTCTCAATCATGCCATCAGGCGAATGGAGCTCCTCGGCTCGGCGTCCTTTGTCGCCGGCTTTGTCATCTGGAATATGGACAACTTGCTCTGCGACTCTCTAACGGATGTCAAGCACGCCGTCGGCCAGCCCGTCTCAGGCATCCTGCTTGAGGGACACGCGTGGTGGCATATAGTATGTCATCGTGCAAAAGCTGGTACATCACTAATGGAGAGACGAACAGGGCACCGGCCTCGGCGTCTTTCTCATCAACGTATCGACTTCTTTGATGATGCTCCTGCTCAAAGATCCCAACAATGCGGGCTACCAGCTTGAATATAAGCTCTTTGGCCTATTGCCCTACGTGGCACGTACGCAAGAACTCAAAAAGAGCCGATAGATGGGTGGCATTTGCCTCAGCGCAATGCAAATTGTTATCGCCGGAGTGCAGATTGACATCAGTCGGTTTTAGAGTCTCCGATTGATCACCTGACGACAATTCGCGCGAATCGCGCTCCATTAATTGTGCCCTTTCTCCGCGAAGTCCTCAAAGTCCATGTCAGCGATATCGAACGATTTGAGGATGTCCTTCTCCGTGCGAATTACCATAGCTTTCGTTCAAACAATCTCCGAATCAATTGAGAGACAGGTTGGCGGCTCGTCTACTTTACAAAGCAGAGGCAGATGCGCTCTACCGTCCAATGCTTTGCTACTTGGACGGGCCGCTCAACAAGTCTGCAGCCTGTCTTGTGAGATGACCGCCGGCGATTCTGTGTAGACGCATCGTTGGTCGATACATGGCTCGGCCCTTCACACTGCCAAAGGTTCTGGCTCGCTTCGCAAGAATCCTCGTCCTGACCATTACGCTGGTATTGCTCGTGCTCATCTGTACCCAGCAACTGGTACCTCGTCATGTTCGAGAACCCTTTTACGATGTACAAGTCGTAGCACAGTATCGTGAACCGCCTGACGACCATTCGACCCCAGCCAATCGGAACGTAACGTGGCTTGTCGAGGCAGCGGCGAGCCGGAAAATCCATGTTATACCAATGATCTCAAGCTATCTACCATACCCTACCCGCACACCTGATATGGACAGCCTGGCGTTCGTCTTTGGCGCGAGAATAAGGCAAATTGACGACTGGCTACCCAACTGGCATACCTTGATGCGCGACCACCCTGGCGCGACTTGCACGATCGTCATTGTGAGCACGAGCGAACGACATGTAGACGACATGGTGCAGCGAATGCATGCCGTCCATCTAGACTGCAAGATTGAGCTGTCGACTCACCGCGATGTGCGCAGAGACTATGCTCTCGCTCCCTTGAGCGCACAACAGCATCACAAAGACAGCACTGGTCATTGGCCAGACTATGTCATCGTCTCGGATGAGTCAGTTTCGTACATGACTGGTAAGGACACCCTTGCTGACATGGAATCACCAGCGATACTGTTTATCTCGACATGCGGCAATATAGAAGGATGCTCAGCAGATATGATCCCTCTATACCTTACTTTATCGGTTCTGCATCCGATACGGCGCAACGCAGACACGTTGAAGGCGCTTTCGCATACGGAGGCGCAAGCATGATTATCACATCGGCTTTGCTGGGTTCGATGCATGGCAATTACGAGCAGTGCCTCGAGGACCTCCCGAAGGAGGAATTTGGCGGCGGTGATCTCTATCTTGCGCTGTGCACTAGCCGAGCAATTGGTCTCCAGCCCCAACGGACTGCACACCGAGCAAGAGATATGACAGAGTTTTTCAATTTTCAGAGCGGCTTGCATCAGTGCGATTACACTGGCAATGGCGACGGCTTCTATCAGTCCGGAGAAAGGTTCCTTACTCTACATCACTTTCTTTCCAAGATATTCAGCAAACCATTCCCCGCTTTCATTGACCATCAGATATCCTTGCGATGCACTGTACTTGCAGCGCAACGTATCGGCGGTCAGAACCTGTATAAACGCTTCGTATTCGAGCAAGGAAGGCAGCTCTGGGTGCCGGGTCATTCTTTCACTCGCTACTCGCGACCAATAGCGCAAGAGGACTTTGCATTGATGGAGGTGACCATGAAGGAAGTGTATTTCCTGGAGCCGACCCGCCCTGGAATCACGGAGGGCATCGATGCATCTGTCGAGGAGAATACAAAACAGACCTTTTATCTGTCTGCTACATCAGCACGAAGTCCCACATCAACTGTACTTGGGTACACGGCGAGCGACAATTCTACAATGACAATTTTGGTGCACCACGAAGCTGTCGATATTTAGGACGCCCGCGTGACGCGACGCTCGCGGCTCAAAGCTCGTTGTCAAGCAGTATAAGCCATAGCATTGTGGAAAACGACCTGGACGGGTCCAATGCGGCTTGTTCGCATATCAACGTCGTATGCAATGGGGCGCCGTACGGCAACGAAAGTGGAGAAAACACGTCATCTTCGTTCCTGTGCGCCAGATGGGCTGTATCGGGGCAATGTATTTTGAACATACATAAGGAAGAGGTCTCGACAAAGATCTCGTTAAGACTAGAAGCTACGAGGAGAAAGCCAGAAGAGCTCATTCTTTCCACTTGTGCAATAACATCGCTGGTCATCACTTTGTCAGGTTTACTGCACGCACGAAGAGCAAAACTCACGGGTAGGCGCGCACATGTCCAAATTTTCTCGCCATTCGCGATAAAATTCGTGAGCTGTTACGCCAGCCCAGTCGAACGTGGTGCCTGCTGAGCCCGCATGCTTGTAGATCGGCATGCTGAGACTGATGGTGCTGAGGTTAGCATATCGTGCGGCTGTGGGTATGAAGTACTCTGCAATGACGAGCGTTCAGGCTGACTATGGCATGGACGCCACCATCTTACCTGTATAGCAGCTATGACCTGCCTGATACAGCGTCTTGAATGCCTCATGCAGTTGGCGAGTAGAGAAGCTGGCGTAGTTGTCAGCTGCTACATCTGGGCGAAGCACAAACTCTGCATACCCAAGCGTAATCCAGGCTTTCGACATGACGCTAGCATCAACAAAGCCGAGGCAATCCTCTGCACGTGGAGACACCCAACCGCCGCACAACAGGTCGTTGTCTTCGCCCATGAAGAGCATCAGGTTCGGTGGCTTGAGGGTATCCTCCCTTGGAACCCAGCTCTGCCATCGCGAGACGGCCAGACTGCTGTTCACCTTAGCAAAGAAATCTTGCCATGTGCCGAGGAGCCTAGTGTCTTCCTCGGCCCACCATACTTGATCGTACTGCTGCGATTGCTCGAGGTCTAGAAAGTAGTTCACCGCAATGTGGTTGGACCACATGACGTTGCGCCAATCTATGTTGGGATATGGTGCAATCGCTGTCTCAAATGAGAATGGGATGACGCGAGATCGGAACTCTGACGAGACGCTGTTGAGGAATTCGGTCGTATTGACGTCGGGCGGAATATGAGGCACAAAGAAGACATCGACGCCAGCAACGGTCTCTGCCTCTGCAACGAGCGCCCGATAGCTCATCAGTCGGTCCTGTTGCATGGGCTCGTTGAAAGCGGAATGTGACATCCGCATCATGAAGGCTTGTGTTGCGCCTCTGTGCGGCGGTGGCGAGGAAGGCCTAACGTCTCGAGTGATATACGGTCGGTTGCGCTCCAGATAAGTCACACAATCCGTCGGTGCGTTGACGAGGGTATGCCAGTCTTGAGCCTTTTCATATTTGGCTTGCCATTGTACGCGATGGTCCGAATAAACCCGTCCGTAGCTCGATCCCCTCTGCAGATTGAGGTGCGAAGCCACTGTATCGTGTGCCGTCAGGCAAATTACTAACAGTACTGCCAGAAGGACGGCCAGAAGCCAGGGCGTCGCTAGACCGCCTAGCTTGCGCCTGCGCGTCCAGTATATGAGCCAACTTTCAAGGGCCCTGTCGACTTCGAGAAGCGCGTCGCCGTCTTGACATGGTTGGATCTTCTCTTCCTTGTCGGTGTACACCGAATCGTCGTGGATCGATTCATATGTGCTGCTGTGCCACCCAAACCATGTACCGGGCCGCATATTGGCGAGGAGCAAGGGCGGTTGCCTGACCGCGCTGACATTGTACGCGACGCAGTCACGAGGCTAGCCATGCAGTCTAGCAGAACGATGAGAAGATGTGTCCATAACGGGATGGATGGGTAATGATGGGGGCTTTCATATTACGCCTCGGAGCGGGCTGTGTGAATTCGATAAATTCTAATTGCGCGCGATCCGCTAATTCGCGCTCAGCGGCTTTCTCTCTTTGCGATACCTCGCGGGCTGCGGACTTTTATCTCGCTTCAACCTCAGCTGACACGCTTTTCGGCTCATCTCTCCGATGTCTCTTGCCCTTGCCGCAGCCTCAAACGTTTTGATCGACTTATGCTCGAATCTTTCCTGGTGTCTATTACGGGACATGCACTCAAATGCTGTGTACCAATCATGCACATTCGGACTCAGCACCCTCATATCCCGTGATCGTGTCGCGTACAATGCCGGTACGCGTGCAACGCATGTTAGCAACATTGAGCGTGGTGCCCACTTTCCAAGCTGGCGAAACCCTGAGCATCGAAGGGAGCGATGGGCGCTTGGGCGAACGGCGCGAATCTGTCCAGCGAAGATGTGCATTCATCGTCTGCGGACGAAGAGCTCAACTCGGACGCTTTTGATGCTTCCGTCTCAGTGGACTCGAACGAGAGCTTCAAAGAGCCGCTATGGCGGCTCAACTCATCCGTCAGACGACGCTCTGGCTTACTAAAGACGTTTATTGTCCTGTTTTGCCTCGGTGTCTGGGCTGTATCATTGGCCGTGTCGCTGCTCCAATCAGATCGGATGACACGCCGCGTTTCTAGCTTCCTCACCGCCGCAGCTGACGGTCCGACAATGACGCCGAACACGCAACGTAATGCAAACGTCCGGCCAAATCTACTCAGTCACTGGCACAAGGCGCAAGACTGGCATCCGCTGGTCGGCAGCAACTCCGAATGCGCGATGTATCAGGAGCGCTACCGTCCATATACTACAGGCCATTGGGTGTCACCTTCGCCACCGCCCCACAAGGGCGTTACCATTGCTTTGCTGCTGCGCATGTCCCATACTGCTTTCCAAGAACCGATGCGCGCAGATCGACTGCTGAGCTATAGAGCTCTGATCGCTGAGGCCGAGGTAGACGCTGGCATAGATGTGTATTTCGTACCGCACGTGCCGGCCAATATCAGCATCGAATCCTTCATGACTACAGTGCGTTCGGAGTTTCGCGAGTGCGTCAGTACCCTCGTCATCCGGCTTCGCTGACATGCAGCCAGTCGTACAATCCCCTTTTCGTTCGAGACCGCGTCAGCGCCGTATCCCGATGTCGACTGGCAGAACGTCCTGGTGAGTGCCTCAAGTCACGGAATGCGCGCTCTGCTCAATCGTTAAATCCATGAAGCATTCCAATCACATCGCTGTCGACTACTTCCTCGACCTCACGCAAGCCCAACAGTATGACGGAGTCTGGTGGGCGGAAGAGGATGTGAGGCTTCTTGGGTCTTGGAAGACATTCTTCGAAAATGTCAAGAGAAGTCTGGCCGTCTCCCGATGGCAGAGCTGGGTTGCAGAGGAGGAGACTCGAAAGCCACCCAATCTCATACTGTTCATGGGTCAGGAAAGCAACCTCCTGCCGCCATGGGTTGAAGGTAGAGCCAGAGGCTGCCTGGCGTTCAGCCCGCCAGAGCATATCCTCAAAGCATGGATTACAATCGGGTCAGCAAGGCCTCTTGCACGCCTGCGTAGCTGACAAGTTGGACAGATACCTCACGCGAAAGCTCCATGAGACTTTCAAGGAGCTTTATCGTTCTGGCATCAACTGCTACACGGGTGAGTGAGGAGTTCAGCAATTCGCAGGGCACGTGAGGTGACGATATCTATTCTCAGAGGAGTTTATCCCGACTGCTGCAAGGCACGCTAACCTCAGCACTATTAGCATTAGCATGCCGGTCTACAAGCGCGCGGATAGGCCCGAGACTACCTTTGACTGGGGTGGTCGAGCTGCTCCCGATTTCTACCGTGATTGGAGGGATTTAGACATATGTGTGCCAACACGTGAGTAACTCATGATCGCTGCACAAAGGATGTCTAACAATCCTTTCAATATGGACAGCCATGTTGCTACATAAATGGAAAGTGTAGACCGGCTGATGCAGCTTCCTTATGCCCGCGCATATCTGTCGTCTGCTCGACCAAGCTCGAGCAAATGACCGGTGCTATCGTGGAGAAAGCGTAGATTGGCCCGCAGCCGCGTCTGCCATGTCCCTTGATATTTGAATGATCTGATATCTAAATTAGGCATTCACGGAAAATCCGTTAGTTCCCCATGTCACGCTTCTGATTCTCTCCGTCCGTGGCTATTGTCCAATGGCAATGTAGGGATCTTGGTCCAGCATGCTCCTTCGATACTTTCCTCAACTAGATTTCGTGGGCAATGTCATTAAGCCAAGGCACCACGAGCAATGATTCGATGTCCGAGGGCGATGACTTCGCGCGTGAAGCTCCGGACGTACTCATCTGCATCGAAGACTACATGAAGCCACTGGCCTACGCCAGTGCATCCCGCGCCAAGCAATCAGTTTTACGATGCCTTGGTCATCGATTTCATGACTTTTCTAATTCCGGCTCTTTACGGCACCTTGTCCAAGCTTTGGATCGCCAATCTTGACAATTCTAGGCTAGCGATCACAGATGCTTCCATATATGCACAGACGGTGACAGAAATCATCAACGAAGGGTTGCCGCGGGCTTCGTGACTCGTCATTGGCAGCTTCGCCGGGAGATCGCTTTCTGAGAGGCTCGGTCTCGTGAGGACGCTCATCGCGTTTCAAGTTTTGCTGTGCCTGCTTCTATCGACTGCCCTGCTAGCGTCGTCTGATACGTTCGCGGCCGCATTTTTGCCATAAGATATTTCAGTCGAGTCACTCGAGTATGTGCGCCTAGCCGCCTTTGCATCCTTATTCAATGCGACAACTGCTGCTCTTGCCGCGGCTACGCGAGCACGGCATTGCACGGACGCCCAATTCGTCATCGCACTTTGCACGACAATACTGAACTTGATCTGTGATCTCATACTGCTTTCTACCGTTCAGCCAATTCGGGTTCATCCCACAGTAAATACACAGCAGAAGAGGAGCTTGCGTGTAATGGCCTTGGCGCTGTTGCAGGTCTCATTTATCTCAAAATGACCCTCGACAGACTAGGCCAGCACACCCGGTCGAATATCAGCTGGCGGCATCTTCAGACACTCATCAAGGCTGGCTTATACTTCTTCATTCAATCCGCGATCCGCAATGCTCTCTACCTCATCCAAGTACATGAAACCGTGAAGCTGGACAGTACTGCAGCAACAGCGTATGAAATCTTTGTCTCGATGAGAGAGGGTCTGGTCAATCCCGCATACATCCGCATGGATTAGAAGGTGATCGATGCGCAGGTTGTGGTGCTGGTGCGAACGTTGGAAGTCGGCCATCGTTTCGGTCTTGTCGTGCAGCAAGCCTGCATGCAGGCGCGAAACCGGCTAGCGTTGACCGAGATCGTGTACATCATGAGGCCCGTCGTGCTTCGTGTAAGCATCGCGTCCACGATCGAAGGCGCGCTCGCACTGCTACTCTTATCCGGACTCGTCACGCATTATGCTCGCTGGATTTCGCAGTCGGAACAAGTCGCCGAGCAAGCCGCACGATTCTGGCGATCGATCGATTGGTGCTATGTCTCTAAATTGCACTCTCAACGATGCTCGCTACCGCATTGACTGCTACACGACCGGCGCATCATCTCGCGAGCAGTCTCATGTCAAAATTGCTTTATATCTTGCTATGAACAATCGCTCTCGCTGTAAGAGGTTTGTAAGCTCTTTTGACGTGTGGCCCCATTCAGGTGACTGATGTCCACGCTGGAGTCAGAAGATAGCGCAGCTCTATTACGCTTGGATCTTGAGGCTCGCTTATGGTCTCAGACATGACCGTTGGCAGCATGATTATATTGGGGGTATATCGTCTCCGTACAGGCTTTTCGACTTGGGCCGCGCGCTCGTGAAGATCATGAAACTCCCAGACATGCGTGCGCCAATGTGCCAAGGCCAGCTGCTATTGCATCTCTGACAGAGTGGACGACGGATCTAGCGGATTCTGTACTAATAGACGTGCGCGTCAAATATTGTCACTCAAGCGCCGAGCGACGCGGAATTCGAACATGCAGTACTTGCCTTGCCTAACCAGTCGGCATTTGTGATGAGCAAATATGGTTCTCGAGATCATGGAGGTGACCATGCATACCTCTCACATCTATCACTGCTTTCGTGGGCGCTTGACGAAGGAGAAGCCTCCAGCGATCAGAAAGTGGTGCTCTCACTTGACGCTCCCTTGCTTCCTCTCGAATTGTGGTACGACATATTGGATCGTATCGACCAGCGTGCCCGCTACGAAAACTTTCCATGTCCTGCTGCGACCATCAGTCTCAGCTTGGTATTCGAAGCCCCAGGCGGATCTGCTTGCCATACTTATTCTGGGTTAGTCTGTACATCCCTGCTGACACGCCGCCCAGGTCCACACGCTCCGCAGACGGTTAAAGCAGAACCCTAATGGGAGCTCTGCAACCTCGGAATGGCATGCGAAGTGAACGATGACCTTGCTCACAGCGTTGACCAAGTAGCATTCTGGAACTATTGAGTCTCCCACGACGAATTCACACGTGACATAGCAGACCCAGTCGTCGACTGACTGGACTTTATCAAGCCGTCTTGCGCCAGTATCGACGCTCGCGATAACTTTCTGCCCTGCCTCTCAGCAATCAAATACCACCTTTACGACTGGATCACCGATGATCTCCAAAGTCTATCGATTAGCGTCGACGGAACTTACAGCGATTTTCAGAAGACTGCCGGAGTCGACGGACGTTCGTCCGTCGCAACACATCGTGTATTGCTGCGGCTCTAGGCATGCGAAAGCATCACCCATCTCGAGCTTGTCGACAGTTTGGGCCAGGAAGGATTGAGATACGACGAGATGGAACCGGTCATGAGGAGCGTGTAGGGAGCGATCAAAGAGCACAAAGCGCTACGAAGCCTAGATGTGCGCCCACGTGCTGAGCTTGCCACGTCTGCTGCCAACAGGGAGTGCTCGACTGGCTGGACCTGCAGCCTGCAGCATTTCGGCATTCATGGCTCAATGTCTCATGTGACGATTGAAAGGATCTGCAGATACACAGAAAGCCTGTACAGAGTCTCAGTCTGCGCAAGATGACGACACAGCAAGCTAGTGGTTCTGGCACATCCCTGCGCTGCACGCATTGTCATCTCTGGAGTCACTCGAGCCTTGTCTTCAATTGATCGCCCAGCGCTTCACTTTGCCTTGCTTGCGCGAACTACTGCTCGCGTCTCGACCTGCCAGGGCTTGCGAGGATCCCCAAGACTTCGACTTGGCAGCAGCTTCGCCGCCTCAAATTAATCGCGCCGATCGCCAGAGTGGATCTAAGCATGCTCCCTCCGGCAAAAGCTAAGCAGAGGTACAACGATTCTGCCAGCGCCGTGATATCAGTCTCAGCTAGGACTGGCAAGCTTGATGAGTTGACTCGGGGTGTCCGATGGCAAAGATTGGGTCGATGCTATGCTCGTGAATGACCTTACTACGATACTATGCATACTCTTAAGAGATGGTAGCTCGCTAATGATGTGGCGGAATCCACCTTATGGACCTTGTTACTGGATGGCTGACTATGATGACAGTCAAAGGTTTTATTTGAGGGTTACTTCCAAATTAAATGCCAGTTGACGTACTAACGTGGATGATCTATAGCTGACTTGCTTGACTGGCCAGACGCTTGCCCAGTGCTCACTACGCCAGCATGCTCGACTCGGCCACAGCAGGCTTAGGGGAGACGGCGCTCTCGGCATTCGAGGCGAGCATCAGTGTCTTACTAACCTTGCTTTATGGCTACCTTGCCGGCATGTTCGGTATGATGACAGAGGAGACCGTCCATCAGACCTCGAAGATGTGCACAACACTGTTCCTGCCCTTCCTGGCCATTTGCTCTATAGGCCCCAACATCAACCTCGAGACCATCGTCAAGCTGTGGCCACTCATCGCCTGGTCGTTCATTTCTATTGGCTTTGGCTTCCTGTTCGGCTACATCGGACACAGACTGATTCGTCTGCCAGGCTGGGCAGTCGCAGCGTGCGGTCTCTGCAACGCCAACGCCATGCCACTCTTGCTACTCCAATCACTCGAGACGACAGGTTTGCTCGACAAACTCTTGTGGGCAGATGAGACCACACCGCAAGCACTCAAACGTGGAAAGTCTTATGTCTTGCTCAACTCTGTGGTACAGCAAGCACTTGCCTTCTCGGCCGGCCTGTGGGCGATGCGACTCGACGCCGATGAGCGAGGCAAGAATGACATTGACATTTTGGGTCGCAATGGCTCCGGACCTGCGCGGCATCACATTGTCCAAGATGAAGCGCACGTCGGTCTGCTCGACCCGCGCACGAGCTTCGGCAGTGATGACGAAGCGATCGCGTACGAAGCGCACGCACAGATTACCAGTCTAGCCATCGCGACCGAGAACAAATGGAAGCTTGAACTGCCCGAGGCTATCACTAAGCCGTGCCGTACAGCAGCATCGTATCTCAATCCACCCATTGTCGGTGCTGCGAGTGCTGTCATCCTTGGTCGTGCGTGTCGGTTTGCTGGACATTGCTTTTGCTGACAAGATCCACAGTGACGCCGCCCTTGCATCAAGTGCTCTTCTCGACCGATGGTGCTCTGCATACATCGCTGTTCCAAGTATGCAGCCACTGCAGTCCTTTGCTTCGCAGCTGATCGCAGCTTGTGCAGAGCTGGAATAACCTCGGCGATCTCTTCACTGCGCTCCAAATGTTCGTTCTCGGCGCACAGCTATATCAGAATCAACGGTCGGCACGGCCAGGCCTATGGCCGTCCCTCTTCGTGCTCACTTTCCGCTTTATTCTCATGCCAGCCTTTTCACTGTCGATCATAACACTGCTCACAACACGACAGATCATCCAAGGCGACCAGCTCATGTCATTCATCATGATGCTCGTGCCATGCGGGCCATCTGCATTACTTCTTGCTAATCTGGCCACCATCACGGGTCAGGACGCGGGCGTTGTGGCCGGTTTCCTCGCTCTATCAGTGAGTGATCTGCATGCTACAGGACGGCTCAAAACTGATGCTTGTGCGGTCAAAGTATGCGCTTTCGCCCCTGATCGCGGTCGTCGTAGCCGCTGCCGTCAAGATATTAGAAAGCATAGACGCATAGAGACCGAGATGGGCTTCTGTGATCTGCCAAGGTTGTTCATGCACGATGTACGGCGGGAGTCAAGTAGCGCTCTCTGAACCTCACATGGCCAGCATCCGAGGCAGTCTTCCTCGCTGCTGCACCAGAGGTGACAGTCGTCGTCTTCTCCATCGTGATGAGCCGGCGTGACCACTTGCCAAAGTTTTGCGAGCTATTGTGGAGCAGCTTGAGTCCTGCCAGCTGGGGCACATCGCTGTCTTTGTAGGCTGCATCCTCCGTCGGAAGGAAATAGACTAGCCTTCCGCCGGGCTTGAGCAGGTAGAGCGAGACGCTCAGGAGCTCTTGGAGTACCTCGCTCATCTCCCAACCTACGGATGGCGGACGGTAATCGTCCTGGAGGTGCGAGTAGACTCCGTTCGGCATCAGACGAGGTTCTTGCGAGAGTTCTCCTTTTCTACCTAGCTTGCGCGCGCCCGCTCTGACACCATACGGCGCTGCACTTGAAGGTATGAGCTTCGAAGCGACAAGATGAGGCTTGACGCACGATCTGTGATGATGGCGTCAAAGAGTTCGCCCGTTCGCCAGGGATGCAACTGCGAGAACGAGTCAGATAATGAGCCTGCCGGGCTATGATTGCACACATTGATATCGAATACGGCAAGATCGAGTACAGCGATATCGCTGAGGCCGTATTCAAATGCGCATTGACGTATACCGACATTGGTCTTGCCACGCATGTGGCGACCATCTATGTCGCTGCCAAGTACCGAGGCGCCGTAATGCGCGCTTGTGTAGACGCTGCTCCCAGTGCCCATAAAGGGATCGTAGAGTATCTTGCCAGGGCCTGCGAGGGCCTGATTGGACATGTAGAGCGAGACTTCAGATTGCATGGTCGTGTTACCGATGTAGAGCCGCTGCTTTACGTCGTACTGCGCGATCAGGTGTCGCTGTCCCTGGCAGATCTGCATGCCATCTCAGATGCCATTGTGATGAGTGTGATGTTGACTAACGACTTGTCCTGCAAAGGCTCGTCGGATGCTGTGATCGTCGGGCGAGGCAAGGAGGAAGACGGACATGTCGAGATCTGGTTGGTTCAAGTCGATGTCCGCTCTAAAGTCGAGGAACCCAAAGGAATTGAGGATCCGCTGCTTGTCATCATAGTCAAAATGATGGTAAGCTGTGTCGAGGGTGATGCGCCATGTGCTTGACTCTACAAATGGCTGCCATAGCTCTGGATCTTGCCGGAGCGCATCTTGCAACGAGGCTATCGACGTCCCATGGGCCCAGAGACGGATAACACAAGACAGCGCTGCCGCTCTCGAGCCAATCTGTCGCGCTGCATATTCGTCGGGCAGCCAGACGAGGAAGAAACGAGGCGCAAGGTTGTCGATTGGCTCTGCAAGGGCCATATCGATGCCAAAGTAGTCTGCGATCGATTGAACGTCCGGCCAGACAAATTCGTGTAAGTCCTTGCCATAGCGTACAAGCAATAGGTACAGCTCTCGCATGCGCCTGCTGCACAGATTGAATTGCTATCTCGATATTTTCAAGGGTTTGAAAGTTTGACGTGCGTAGCAGATCACATGATTGTCACATGGTCAAATATGCAGAGTGGCGCTGTCCAATTCAGAGCCTCGAATTCTTCGCCTTCCACGTTTCATTGCTTGAATCGCCCACACGGTCGGGAAACCGCTGTTCAAATAGCTTAGAGGTGCTCAGCGCTGTGTTTCCGTCGCGTTGCACTCGCGCATAGCATACTTATATTCTTGATCCGCCCTCCTGATCGCCTTCCTCCCGTCCGGGAGCAGCGAGCATCGTGTCCAAAATGCTCGCCTGGCGCCTCGGCATACGCATGACATGCATGACAAGATGCGCAGGACGTGATGAAAGCGATACTCGATCTGCCCGTCCTGCTGAGCCTCGCTTACATACTAAGTCCTTTGCTCACTCTTGTATGGCGCCGCGTCGTATACCAGTCGTCAGACATCGCGGCAACGAGTATAGACGAGATCACCTACAGCAATGCCGCTGGCAGTCACCAAGTGCTCGACGAGTTAGATGACGACGTGTATCGCTCAGCTGCAGACAGGGCAGGTTTGCCGATCTGTCCGAGTAGCGCGCCGAGCGCTCGCGTCGAGTTGCGCCCGTTCTTGTCTGTTCAGCTTAATGCTCAAAGGACCTGGTTCGCTGAACCCGGCACGCATTTCTACTCGAGTCGCCTCGCATCTATGCAGACCGTCATTGCAGCCGAAGGCCTCGATATTCAGAAGGCAAGCAAGACCATCGCACTGGCATCTGTTCACCGCCAACCGCCTCGCTTGAGTAGCCGGCGTCGAGGCAGTAGACTCTTCTTCCTCTTTGCGACTTCGCCCGAGCGCGCGCAGCATCAAGCAGAGTATTGGCACCATTACCTCAATTGGGGCGCCCGCAAGTCCAATCTTCACAAAGCCGCATCTGATCGTGAAAGTGGAGCAGACGATGGTCCAGGCTGTCTTGTTGTAGACAACACCGAGCTCAGCCCGGACGCTTCAAATCCTAGCGCATCTGTGCCGGAATTGAATCGCAGGAGACCTGCTATGCTGCAAACCCAAGCACACTTTCGCCGGCTTGGTCTTTCTTGTACGATGACAGTAGGTCTGCGAGAGCGCTCGGTCTATAGCGACAGACTGCGCTATGGCGTCAGCCATGGCGCGACAACGTCTACAGAGCGCGTCCTCAGTCTCGTTGTGCTCGGCTGGCAAGCAGCTCTGCGCGAGGAGCGAGCCACCGAATGGTTCCTTGTCTTGTAAGTCTGTGCTTTGGCCGCAGTGTCTGTAAAGGCTGACCAGAAGTCAGAGACGACGATACGTTCTTCATCGATCCTCACAACCTAATAGACGCGTTAGGGAGATACGACTCCGATCAAGACTGGCTGTTAGGCGGCTATAGCGAAGCTGAAATCCAGCAGTGGACTTGGGGTCATATCGCATACGGCGGAGGCGGCATCATCATTTCGCGATCATTGATGAAGAAGATGCACGACCAGTGTACGATACACATCGTATTGACGTCTTCACGACTGACGGCCTGCAGATGAGGGATGTAGGGCGCACAACATCATCATCAATGAGCATCAAGGCGATGGCAAGCTTACATTTTGTGCTGCGCTCGTCATCGGAGAACTCGATCGTTTCAACAAGCACCTCGGCGTGAAGAGCAGGATGACGGATCCATTGTTCCAGTGGGGTTCCAACAACGTCGTCACTCCCTTAGAAGGTCTCAATCAGATGGACATCGGTGACGATTGTACGCGCACTGTCACCCGGAGCAGCTGTCTGGCGTATACTTACGACTTTTGTGCATAGCCAGTGGCTTCTTCCAGAGCGGCTTGGAAGTACTCAGTGTCCACCACTACAATTCTTGGACTATGATTTTTCCACAACGCCATCTGGAGCAGCTTCGCTTTGCGCCAGGCCATCAATCCGCCGACGCTCGTGTGCTCTCGCTTCGCCTTCTGGCAGCAGCTGCTTGGACTTTAGGTGGCGGTAATCTCTTTAGACGAAGCGTCTTCGACGATGGCAAGGTGGTACTGGTACTCGGTTACAGCATCACTTTCTACGCGAAGCCTCTCTCAAGAGAAGATCTCAATCGAACCGAATGGACCTGGCAGGATTGCTGCGAGCCCGTGCGACAGCACCGACCAAGTCTCGTGGAAGGTTTTGACAAGTTGACGTATTATCTGTCCTACGTCTGGATAGAGGATGACGACACACATTCTCAGGGGATTCTGCTAACGGGATCACGCAAGCAGAAGCGTCGCGTACGCAAAGCTCGTCTCGGCTACAAATGCACTTGGCGCGCAATCAATGATTTTCTCAAGAGCTCGCACAAGGCGTCCAGTCAGCTGACCACAGACATAGAAAGTGTCATCTTGTTGCCATTGGTCGATTAGTCAACCATTGACTTTGTACACATCTGGAGAATTGTGCATTGCGTACCCGCGCAAGAACAGGATGCTCACTGGCGGACGGTGCTCTGGGATTGTCCGCCGTCATGCGTGTATGCCGGTCTCGACGTCATGTACGCAGTGCAAGCTTCATGTAATGAAAGAGTGCTTGATTGATGGCGGCACCACCTGCGCAAGAACAAAGAACATGAGTTAGATTTGCACTGAATAAGAGGACTTCGACCTGGATAAAGGTCCGGATGGACGCCCCAGGCGCGATTTTGATGTCCCTCCCATACACGAGCAAAATCGTAATAATGCAGGCCATGCTGCTGCGCGACAGCTTGTGCAACGCTGCGCAGCTGATGCAGCCTGACATCTGGAAAGAAGTTCGTCCAGCGCTCTCGGTTGCCAGTTTGCCAGTCGAAGTGAGAGGTAGCGTCGACGTGCTGCTCCCCAACGCGATGGAGTCCTCGTATACTCAGTGGCGTATGAGGCCAAGTGGATTGGATAGGATATGTGACAGCATGGAAGTATATCTCTGTTGGTACCAATCAGTCTGTGCTGTCGTCAGGGGTGTCTCCGTTGTTCTATTGTTAAGCTTGTCAAGGCGCTGCTCGTGTCATGAGCAAGCGTCGTATGCACAGTGAACCGAACTACGCACCCCGAACATGGCGCTGTCCCACAACCCCGTGGCAAAGGAGAGATAATCTGGCCTGCCGGAAGGCAGATCAAGATCTTTGATGAAGGGCAGAAAGAGCTGATCAACGCGATCCTCGAAGAGCCCAGGTGGATGCCAATCCGATTGGATCCTGAATGTGTTGCGATCGTCTGCGCCATAAAAAAAGTTGGAAATGATGCGTAGATTGAGTCGCTTAAAGTGTATGATGTGCGGCAAGGCTCGTTCTTCCCAGCCTGTGGGAATTGTCTGATTATGTGCATTTTCATAAGAAGTTCGCATGATTGTCTGGTCCGTCAAAGTGGCAAGATGCTCTAGGGCATTTCGATCGATCGAGTCACCCAATATAAGCACTGTCTTGTTGCGAAGCCAGGTCAACTCGCGGTACGCGAGCTGGCTTTCCTTGCTCAGCTCAATCTGGCCGACGGTCATGCCTTTATAACGGCGCTCCGGCTGACCCGACAAGTCGAAGTGTTTGTACCTGAGCCAATCTGCTTTGAAAACTTCGCTGTCTGTGGTCCCCGTTCTTTCGGTCGGACAAGCGAGCCGCAAGAGTTCAAGATAATCCGGCGGTGACACACATTCTGTCAGATACGGACGCCATCTCGTCTGTAGCGGATCGAGAGCACTGTATTCTAGAAAGCCTGGCTCTACGTAAGGATTAGCACATGTGCTGCGTGTCTGGAATCTTTGCTCAGGCTCGACTTTGATGCCCTGCTCTTCGTATGAGACTGGCTTGTACCACCTAACAAGGCATGAGTTCCCATTGTAAAAGGACGCAAGGTAGGCATGAATCTCACGCATGGGGTGCCGCGGCGGTCCATGTGCTACCTGACAGAATCGCACAAACGAGAAGTGCGAGCCACGCTAAGTACCGATGTTCACGCTTTAGACTACGGGATGAACTGTGCGAGCCGTCGCCGCACTCAGCGGCGCCGTGTGTCAGTGTGCCATCCGATCGTGCGCTGGCGGCTAGACTGAAGACGGTCTCGCATGTGCTGAGCTCGCTGTCTGCCGAGTTTCTACAGGTATCCATGGCAGGCTCGAGGCGCGGGTGCAAGGCGGTCATCCTGCACCCAGGCCCTGTTTTCGAGGTCGACAGGCAGTCTTACCGAGTGCTCTTGCCAATGCTGAGGACGCCATTGTTCGATGCGGGTGAAGCCGATTAGACCGGGACGACCACTACTTATTAGGAATCTGAGACTAACGAGCATGGCAGACGGGACGCAAGTCTGAACCCGTACGGAAAGACAGCGCTGAGCATCATCTTCTTTGTGACAGGAATGCGTGACTTTCGTGACTGGCCGGCGCCGTGAGTGCCCAACAATACCGATGAAACGCGAGCATTTGAATGTGATACCCATCGGCCCAGTGATGCGAACTCGAAGATGGCTCGCTAGGCTGACGGACGCGCGCGTCACAGGAGGGATAGGAAGCCGCTTCAGCAAAGCTGGCTTCCGCTTTCCCAGGGCACTCATTGCGATCGTCACTAGACCGATCATGTTTGGCTTCTCGACAATCTGCAGGCAGATACTGTCGATAAGATCTTCATCGCCGTGCAAGAAACGATCGAGAAAGATTTCAACTTCTCCGCGACGATCCGACGCGAGCTTGCTGGCCTCCACATGAAGTTCATACCGCTCTAGATAGGTTCACGTGGTGCAGCAGAGACCTTGTTCATCGTTTCGCAAAGCGTGACTGATGAAGAGCTTGCGCGAAAGACGGTCTGCCTGGATTGCGATATGATCTACTTCCAGCAATCGCACATTCTTTGCCTGGTACGCGCGCTTCCGCCAGGCTTCGGCGCGACGGTCGGCTTTGTCGATAAGACTGTTCACGCTCATTCCTCGTCACGATCTCCCTCTTCGCCCTGTCTTCTTTGACATGTGCGAAAGTCTCATATCGCGTATCCGTTACCCGCGAGGGCATGTCATTGATTGGCTTGCCAACCTCTAGATCCATACAAAGAGCAGTGATGTAGCCTGACCATCGACATGCTGTCAAGACGGGGGCTGAAGCTGCTCAGGGCAGCTGCTGTGCTTACCATTATCATTGACGGAGCGCGCAGTGCTTGGCTCCGCCATTGACAGTCTGTGAATCCAAGAAGAGACGACAAAGGGATCAGATAGTGAATTTTACTCTTGGAAATTTCGACTGGCAAATTTGCATCACATCCGCCGGCTCGGCAGCGAGCCGCGATTTCACCAGAAAGAATTTACTTTACTATACTGTTAGCCGTGCGCAAAATCGTACGCAGGTCGCAAAATCTACTTTTGCTTTTACTTTCAAATTTACTTTCGAAATTGTACGGGCCCTAATGCACAAGACACCATAGCTACATAAAATAAGCTGCTATTTGAAGGGCTCTAGACCCCGCTATCCTTCTGTGATATGACGCATGATGCTGTCACTATTCCAAGAACAATTGCGATCTGCAGTCAAAGCGCTGGGCACAGATGCATAGCAACGCGACTGCATCGGACAAGTATGCTCCCATAACGAGAGCTGCCGCGGCTTGCCGCGGCTTGGAGATACAGGGGTCTATGTCACGCACTGTCCGCTGTACAGCGGACTCAGGCAGCTCAAATCATCGCAGAGACAGACAGCGGTCTGACTGGACCATCTCGCCGAAACGCCGACTGAACATGAGCCTCGCAATTTTGCCCCGGCGGGCGATGTATCGACTCCATCGCTCTGGTGATCGGACGCGACAAGACACATTCTGAGCTGCTGCTTGCGCAATCTCAACTATTGACGCTACGTTTGCATCGGCGCTCGAATTGCGCTCATTAGCGAGGCAAAATTGCACGAATGTCCTGCGCGGCTAGACCGCCGCACAGCTGTCGCAGGCCTCTGCTACCTTGCGGCCCAATTGAAACGGCCGATCACTCGACAATCCATCTGCCACTAGAAGTGTATCGATGCCCGAGCGTTCTCTGATAGTTTTGCTTTTGGTCCACACGGTGTATCACTCGAACATCGAACGCACAGAAAGCGCGCCATATGATCGTCGCTCGAGACCATGGATACCAGGCTAGAGATCGGCCGCGAGACGCTTCCCTAGTTTGACGTCGCTCCACAAATCTTGCCGCTATGTCGATGGAGTCTACTATGACCCTATTGCCATTGCCCAGACTGTCCTTGCTGTGCCATCAATGTTGCATGGTAGGGTACAAAGCCAGGTCGATACAGGCGTCCTAACATATGGGAGCGCGGTTGCGCCATACAAATATCACCAGTCGTGCAATAGGTGCTGCTTGCATATACTACTCAGCAGATGAAGCATTCACGATCCTCTGTGAGCAGACGAAGTAGCCTACTCATCTTCCAAAGCAGTCGGATGGATGGCCAAAAGCATGCGAGTATGCATCAGACTTGCTCAAATTCAAGATACAATTCGTGGATTAGTGCTTGAGCCATCAGGGCAGTACCAGGATACTGATACGGGTGTATCCAGTTGGCATAAATCTGCCAGCCTTCGAAGATATTTCCGAAGTCAAAGACATTGACGCCTGATTCGCGGGCGCCTTGCACCGCCGCTTGAGACAACCTCTTGACTGAAATATCACTGAAGTGTTCCTTGTGTAAGCCCGGCCCTGGCCGATGCATTGTGCGAGCCCAGATAGCGGCATGCGGGAATGCTGCCTGGATCTGGCCGAGCGCCTGCTTATAGCGCAAAGTGTACCTCGTAAAGATGGGCATTGCCTCTTCGTCTTGGCGCGCCGACTGCATGCTCGAGTTCCCTTCATGCGCGTGCAGCACATCATCCGGCAGGGCCGTAAGCGCGTCCACATCCCATAATCCTGATTGAAACCGCACTAGATCAAGCCGATCAGTATACATCTCGACTAGTGGTCGGAACAGCTCCGTCAATCTGTCCTGCATAGCGAGTGGTTTGTGTACGTCCGGCGCTATCCATTGAGACAATCGCAGATCCGTCATCAGACCGTAGTGAAAGACAGAAATGACACGAAAGTCGAGCTCCTCGTAGTAAAGCAGGCGAGGCACACCGTGCGGCTGAATGTCCCTCATCTTCACGTCGTCAACTGCCAGCATATTTGCCTTGTAGTACGACACTGCTTTTGGCGGGCGAGATTGAGTGATACTCGCGAGGTCCTCTATTGTTTGCCGATCTGTAGAATCGCCTATGATCAATGCTGTTCTGCCCCGCAAGAAGTCCAGCTCGCTTGATCTATTGTCCAACCGCGAGAGCAGCCCGAGCCAATCTGGTGCAGGATCGCAGGTGCTCGAGAGTGGCCGCCACTGTGTGCTCGCGGGATGCGCCTCATCGTAGTGCACGTAGCCAGGTTCTGCAAAAGGATCGCATCTAAACAAAGCCTCTGCCGGTAGATAGCTGCGAGTTTGTGCCAGTAGTATCGCCAGCAAGAGCAAGACAGCGCACGTGCGGACCTTACTAACGTGCAAGCACGACTTCGAGATTTCGGTGCTGACTACTCGATTATTTGCATCAATGTCGAGCGGCTCTTGATCGAGATGATGGTAGCGCACAAAAGAGCGCTTTTTCAATGCCGGAAGCGAAAACATCCAGTCGACGCTGCTACCCAGAGATGCCGACCATCGCTTGTGGGGTCGGGCTGGCATCAATGACGCTGTTGGCTCGCTGTCGTTACCGTCGTTACTACTGGGTACATTCTCCACCGCCGCCTGCATTTCGGCTAATACTCAATGCTGTGTCCGAAGTTCTCGAGGAAGTATGGCCACAAGCTCAGAATGAATGGTAAGAATGTCTGGGAGATAAGCAGGGCGACGCCGCGTCTCAGCGACCTTTGGCGCTTCGCGATCCCGTATAATACGGGACACGTACCCTTATATTAATCACAGTAAGCATGATGATCGGGACGTAGTTGCGCACTCGGATTAAGACGTTGCTCTCGTTATGATCGCTGGTCACATAGACGCCTCGGTTCAGATTTGCGATGTGCGTCTGCGAATAGGATCTGATCAAGGTACACGTGCAATGTGCATGGAGCTTGAGCTTGATTTTGAGCGCTAGAGCTGGAACAGGTCGCTAGGCTTGTAGCGGCGTCGGCTCTATGCTTGTATCTCGCCATAACAGCTGACGTGCAAAACCGACTTGGTCTAACGTATTGAAGTTCTGCAGTAATCGACTCCCGATGTTCCCGCAAAGCCTCTAGCTTTCGTAGCCCTGTTTTGCGCGTTTATCGCTAACAAGGCCGATAGCCGGTTATGCCCGGATATGCGTCGATCAATGTCCGACACGACGGAGTCTGCGATAGCCCGCAATCGAGCGTTAAGCTCCAGTCGACTGGTCATCGAATAATATACTTCGACTGGAATTTGGCCATCTGATGCACCTGAGCCAGCCAAAAATGCACGCAGCGACATTTGCGACGACCATCGACAAGCGACCATCATGTCACACTATCCACGTATCGTTTCTCAGCAGACGATTAAATGAGACGCTGTAGGCGCACTGCACAGAGCTCAGCGAACATACCCTATGTGCTCAAGTAAAGCCAGTAGAGCCGTTGCTAACTGCACGCAAGTCCTAGTATACCGGATAAGAGATGCAGGGCATACAGACCTGGACATGCAAATCCTCGAGAGGGCGCATTCCTCCCGGCGTTGCGTCGCGATGATAGTGACAGCTGCCCGTATTGACTCTTGGTAATCTAGCCCAAAAAGAACTCAGGCTCGCATCTGTTCGTGGCTGCGACGGCGTTGCACCACTTCCAAAACACGAACCAGGGGCCGAATCCTGTCCACTACGTTAGCACAGTCTATGCAGGAAGCTGACGGCCTGCATACCGCAATTGCCCTTTTGCTTTTGAGCGGTAAGTATCAGCAGTCGTGGCATATTGATGAGTGCGGCTAAGTTCATAATGTCTTGCTCTTTCGCTGCGAATCTGCCCAGCGCAATTTGTGTGCTTGCGACACGATGCATCTCTTCGGCCCACCAACTGACCGGCGCTGGAGCTCCGCCGAACCAGGCACCTGCGTCGTGTATTCAAAGTTGTTCAGGCGGCAAGTGTAGCAGATGCTCACCCTGGATGAGATTGGCGCGCAAGGGCCAATCGCTCGCATTGTGATATGCCTGCAGCCTCGAACCGCTCGGCAGGTTCTCTACGGCGGAAAGCATCAAACGGTCGTCGTGTATCCCGAAAGCCTCGTCTAAGCGATCGTCGAGCTCGCTGAAGCGTATCTCGTCGGAGTCTCGGAAAACGCCTGCGTCGATCCAAAAGAAGCGCTCCGAGTTGTATGGATTGTTTCTCGAGACTTGTTCGACGAACCACGCTTTTGACATCCAGACGGCATACATGAGCTTTGAATGGATTCGTTGTTCTGGATCCATCAGCCACTGTTGTTCCAGCCAGGGTAGTCCGCCAAGCTTGACGATCGGCGGCAATTCGAAGGCAGATGCGACCGGCACGATCTGCAAGGGGCGTGCTTCCGTGCTCGGCCCATGCGCCGCTTGTACCCTTTCGACCAGATCCGGCGAGGTGTAGAAGACAATTGGTTGTTCGTTCGTCTTCAAGAAGTTGTCAAGCCAAACGTAGTATTGCCCGGGCGAATGCCGCATCGTATCGTTGGGATTCATGAAGAGTGCGGATACGAGGGTCGTGCGGTGCTGACCCGTCTTGCTGACCATGGACCAGATTTGATTGAAGGACCATGCATGCGAAGGCAGGCCTGATCTATGGCGAACGAGCACAAGCGAGGCAAAGCCGCCAAAGAGCCCGACGGCCACCAAAAGCGTGCAGATTGCCAGCAAAGTCCTGATCAACGCGGCTCTAGCAACATTGCGACTCGGCTCATGCAGGCCCGATGAGGGCAGCAGCGGCTCTTCAACGTCTGTCAAATCCTTCGCCATGACGAGCCGCTGAGATTGTATGAGAGCAGCGAAACAATGTTAGACATCGCGTAGCGCGTCATGAACGAGCAGAACAACAGAGTCGCCCTTGTAGAGCTTCTCAGCGCGTCGAAAAGCGATGCCACACTGAAGTGATTAAGGCGGGGAGAAATACAGGCGCGTACGTAAATTTAATCCCGTGCGCAAGCTGTCCCGAGTTTGTAGTAACAGAAAATCGGGCATAGTGGTCGGTACAGCTCTAGTAGCGAGGCATGGTTGACGTTGTGCTATTCGCGACGCATGTAATCGCGTCTCGCTGCTCGGCGCGTTGCATGTGTCGCATGGCCCGTCGTAAGTGACCGCGTGCTGATTGAGGAAGGCGGCGATTGAGGTTTTGAGACAATGCGTCGCATGATGAGCAGATCGTACGGCTCGCGCACGCTCATCGTCGCGTTGCAAACACAGCATTAATGCGTGGCGACATGCACAGCCGGCGCTATTCGTGTCGGTGTTGCAAGGTACGCGGACATTGGCTCTGCCGAACACGCTGTAATCTCCCTCACGCACACTGCCGCGTCACGAAAAGACGTCCATGCTGTCTAGCCATCATTCGAAGTCACGGCTGCCTCGGAGGTGGACGGGGCCCGGGGGACATGTCCGTTCTCGATGTTGCACTACGCACTGCATTCGCACGCTGAGTCTGGAGGCGCTGCTTGACAGACACAAGTGAGTGTGCTTTGATGGCAGTGAGTCGGCCTCAATGGTCAATTGTGCAGTCTGCAATCGTGCGCCCTCGATAAAATGGAAACGTGCAGGAGCCGTTTTCGGCGAAGCGTGCCGGTACACAGTCGAAGCCTGAAGAGCTAGGGCAGATCGATGAAGCTGCTGTTGCCAGCGAAACAGGCAAAGCGGCCACTCGCTGCGTGAGCACGCCGCATGCGAGCCGCCTACTACAAGGTATAAAAATGCCAGTTGCTGGCGATGCTAGCAGTTGCACCGAGTGTCGGATCGCACGACATCAGTTCCAGCTAGGGGCCCGACGGGCACATTGATGGCGAGTCAACGAGGCAACATGCTGCGATCAGATCACGCGTACCAAACCTTCGCAAGGAGCGAGCTTCGCGAGCTTCGCGAATGAGACGCGTCTGCGCTGACTGGCCGGCGAAGCTACCATTGAACATTGTACAACCAGCTCGATGCTATGCTGAGCAGAACACCACTTGCAAAGATCGGACCCGGCCGTAGGCCGAAAGCGAATATCTGTATGAGTGCAGATGCGATGATGCTCGCAGTGATGGCAAAGGTCTTGAGCACGTTGTCAGCGTACTGCTCATGATACATTAACGAAATTTTCAGCTGCGTAAGAGGCACGCACCTTGATGACGACGGCGATCAGCAGGCCGCCCATAGCTTGCCATAGCACGATAAGCCAGACGAGGGGCTCAAATCCGGTGGTGAGGTTGGCGAGCCGCAAGCCAGACGGACCTTTCAGGGCAGCGATGACGAAGGGTAGCGCCAAAATGGTATAGAAGGACAAGATGAGATTGGTCATGACGAGAATACTGACGGGCCGTGGAGGCTTCGTCGTGATGCTCTCTTCGGTAAGGGTCGTATCGGTTGACAAGTCTTTCTCATCTTCTGTAGGTAGCTGATCATATTCGGCCTCTCCGTTCTGATCAGACGTTGTGTTCTGGTCCTTCTTGAGAACTTTCTCGAAATAGACTCCAGCAAAGCCGGATGTGAAGGCAGATGTCACTGTCGCCAGTACGCCGAGCAAGGCATTCGGCAGTTGCGCGTTCCCTGTATCTACTGTGACTTCCTCTTCCGCTCGCGTGAACAACGATCGCTTGAGCAATGCACGCGCAATGTGGGCGCCTACCGCGGCCGTACTTGTCGCATTGGACGTTGGCGCAGGCAATGACGCTTTCGGTTGGTCCAGCTGTATTGCCAGGATACCTAATGTGAGTAAGGCCATCGCCAGGTACTGTTGCTTCGTGAACGTGCGACCGAGCAACACGACGGAGAAAAGAGCGGTCGCAGCTAGCTTGAGCTGGTACGTCACTTGGAATGTTACCGGATCCAGATTGCCCATCGCCACGTAGAGCAACAAATTCTGAACGAGGTAGACGGCCGCAGGTACAGCCATCTGCTCGATAACCGGTCACACGCATCATGGAGGCTTGAGCAAAGGTTGGCTCACCTGCTTTGCGAGCTTGGTTTGCTCGAGATATTGTCGCGCTGATCGACATGCAGGCAGTATGCCCCGGCTTTGAATGATCGACAGCACAATGCATATCAGAAATTTGGCAGATTCACTGAACAGAAGTGCAGCAGAAGGAGTGAAAGGGGGCGTGCCGTCCAGTCTGGCTTTCCGTCGAACTGCATAGATGACGAGGACGAGAAAAGTGTTCTGAACCGCGAGCATGACGAGCGAGAGGAGCGGCAGACTCCATGCGGGGCTTTGCTGGTCTGACGACATTCCGCTTTGCTTGCTCGATACTCCGACGTAGTATGACAAGAAACACCGCGCACTTGGCTTTACTCGCTGGTCTGCGCTTCAAGGATGACAGACGCCTTCCGAAGCGATGTCTTCCGGTCTCGTCCTCGCGGAGCCCAGCGGTGCCTCGCCGAGCACCGCGTTATAATCATCAGCGGAAGATAGCAGAATAATACCAGGACGCGATGCGTGCACGGTACGCCTGACAGATTTCGTACTCGTGTCTGGTAAAACCAGTCCCGTCGACGCGTCTAATAAATACGGACTTGTTTTACAGTCCCGACAGCTTTGCGATGAGTCTTTGAACTGGAGCCCTCGAGATTGGAAGGGCCTGCCTTCTGCGATCCACACGCGTTCGCGCTCGTCATGCAAAGGGAGGTTTCTTTGTGATCGAGAATTATTTGGCTCTTCCAGCTTGCATGCTCGTATCAAGCTGTGAACAGTACAGGCTTGACAGCCTCTTCTTCTGTTTGCTCCGTATCGTCAAGAAGAAACACGCCAGCTTAGCATCTGCCAACATGTTGCCGAGCCTCCTACGCTCCTCCCTTGATCTGACGCCGAACGGAGCTGACAGCTTCCTAAGCGGGGCTTTTGTGGATAGAGTTTTCGAGCCACGAGCTCTTAGCGAATCGCATTGAGACAGCAGATTCTATGGCCGAGCCAGCCGGGACATGCATGGAAACGATGATGGTGTTGCGGCCAGGAATTTCGAGAAGACCCGAACCAGCACGGCAACGAAAGGGCTGATATCCGAAAGGCAGATCAGCTTGCAGGTGCAGCAGCATGCAACGTCGTTCGTTCAGGCAGCAGCGGACTCGATCTCGCAAGCGAGTGAGCAAATGTGCCGTTCAAGCTTTGCCAGACAATGGGCATCTTCCGCTCAGCGCGACCTTGGTGAGCGTGGCGAGACTGCATTGTTGGCAGGCGAGGAAGTGGGAACAGACGCTCCCTCCAGATCGTGGAGAGTCGTTCTGGTGGCGGATTTTGCAACAGGACTGCAAGAGATCGTCTGTGAGGCATCATGCACAATCACTATTGCACGTGATTTGAACCGGCATTGCGCGAAAGTGAAAGTAGCGAGCCTTGTTAGCCAACTGTGCCTGCGCTTGACAATTTCCTGCTATCAACAGCCTGTTCTGTACCACCGACATCGTGGCATCCGATGTCCAAGCACCACTCGACACACGGCCCAGGAAAGCAGGTCCTCTGGTCTGGAGTCCGCATCACTCGTCGCAGGTCGGCTTCCCATCTTTAGGATCTCGGCCCCGGCCCTGCTTAGAGCTCAGACGGCTCAAAGAGTACAGCGGACAGCGCATACATCCTCGGGAAATGCAAGGGTAGTGGTGAGCGCATGTATAAGTCAGAATTCCGGCTTGACAAGCAGGCATCAGCGCATCAGCGACCATCCAAGTCGCATCAAGCGTCGCGAACAGGCATTGGATCTCGCAGTCGAGTGAGGACATCGCCTCGAGTAGGTACGCGACGGATATGATCTGGCAGCGTGCCGCATGACATAAGAAGGGCATGAGACACGACAAGGATGATGCCGCCTGTTCTCTCGCGTCCCCGTCTGATGCTCAGGCATGAGCACCAAGATAATCACGGCGAATTTGTAACGCGGCAGCTTGTCAATACGCTACGCCACAACGATGAGCGCTGGGAAGAATATATGCCCAAGTACGAAGGCACATTTCTGTACCTTTCGGCTGCCTACGGCTTCGCGTCAGGGCTGTATGCGCTCCTGCGCGATGCATGGTACGCGGACTCGACGGATTGGCAGCTCATCTGCAATGATACCGTATGGCAAATGTCAGACAATCCCGATAGACCTCGGCTCAATTGTCGCGTCAGAAGTCAAACGCAGACGCGATACATACAGGCCGGAGCAGAACATGATAGCAGGGAACGGTTCGCAGCAACCTCATCCCGTGTCTGAACGACGCACCGATTCCGATTGGCATAGATACCTTCGGGCTCGCTTTCCACCAGCTCGCGTTGACCTTGGCGATGGCATTTTTTACGATGCCAATCACCCCCACCTGTCATTTGCAATCTGCCGCCTCTTCTTGCACGTTCGCTAATTGATCTTCGGCGGCTATTTGCTCGTCATTGATTGCGAAAGTAGCAGTCGCGAGAGCTTGAAGAAACGCGTGCGAGAGACCTGCAACACGGCGACGATAAACTGCAGCTGGGGTGCTTTCTTTCGAGGCGGCGATAGAGCTGGCGAATGCTTCGAATTCCACAGAGTCTGCGGCTCGAGGCTGCCACAACGACCCCTCGATGATCCTTCATCGGCAAGCGGACAGAGACGTATCAGACTCCATGATCCTTCATCGCCAAGCGGACAGAAACGTATCAGAGTCCGTTTAATGTCCGCCGAACCGACAGCGCTAGAAAATGCTAGCAAATCGAGCCCCGTCTTTGACATGATATCCGTGCACCGCTCTGAGCTGGTGTGCCGCTCTTATCTCACCGGGAAGCGTTCCATCTACTCCCGTAGGACGTAAGGATAGCAGACACTGCTCAATTCTGGCAATCTCTCTTCTAGCGGACGGATCTAAATTGACAATTTTGTCTATGGCAAGCGAAATTGGTCGATCGGCAATCTGGTCATAAACACTAACACTCTTAGGAGCTCAAGTGTTGTATGGTCGCCTTGCATTTGGCTCATCTGACGTTATGCTGTGCATGGCAATACTTCAAGCCTTGGAATACTGGTTCAGGATGGTGTACGCTGCTCCCTTTTCGCACGCGTAAGGCTAATCTACCAACGTTTACGTTCGCGGCCCGGAGCTCCGAGTTGTACGCGTACGCAGTTCGCCATACATATTGGTGCTGTCCGCCGGGGCGTGACAAGATGGAATGCAGCTTTGGCGTACGCACAGACAGACTCCAAGGAGCGTCTGCCGAGCTGACGTGAGGACAGATCACCGGCAAAGACTTTACCATCATCGCATCCGACACTTCGGCCGCACGTAGCATCGTCCGAATGAAGGTATGCCTCTACCCCCGGGTTGCTTACAGACCTGTAGTGAGTCTGCAATTGGACAGTCGAATGAAGACAAGATGCGTGTGATTGGCAAGCGCCTCGTGTTCGCCTATTCTGGCGAGTCAGGCGACACAGTCCAGTTTGCGGAATACGTCGAAGCGAATCTCAAGCTCAATGCGATCAGGTCAGTGCTTCGATCCGTCTCGAATGGCACTTCTGACGGACACTATGCAGGAATCATACCGAGCTTCGACCGGCTGCGTCGGCTGCCTGGATCAGGAAGACGCTGGCAGACTCGCTTCGATCGCGCAAACCGTATCAGGTGAATCTCCTACTAGGCGGCTTTGATCCCACGGACAGCACGCCACATCTCTACTGGATTGACTACCTCGGCACAAAGGCGACTGTGCCGTACGCAGCGCATGGCTACGGTAGCTACTTTTGCCTCTCCACCATGGATCGCTACCACAATCCAAACTGCTCGCTCGAGGAGGGTCTCGCGTTGCTCGCAAGATGCATCAACGAGCTCGAGACACGCTTCATCGTCAATCTGTGCGTAGTTGCGCCAGTATCCGCTGCACAATGGCTTACAAACGCACTTGGCAGGGGCAAATTTCAGGTCAGGGTGGTCGACAAGGATGGAGTACGCGAGGTCGAATTGCCAGCGCATGCTCCCGCTGCGCCTGTCCCTAGCACGACGCTCGACACTGCTCCCCAGGTCGCTGTATCAGCATGAATGAATAGTATCGTGCCGGATCTGCTGTGATGCATGCATGTGATGCCCCGCGTGCCTTTTTGAGCGCGTCGTTGACCTGCTGGGCGAGCAGTACGCATGGCGTCGGGCAGAGGCGGCGGCTCTGCCTTGCTCCTGCGTCTCTTCGAGTCTTCGTTCTTCAACGTCCATCTGGCAGTCAGCTAGTGAGCTCCGTCAGGCTCTCGAGATTCGGCTGATGGCGTGCGCAGCCTCAAGAATTATGCCGACTCAGTAGGCATAACGTACTACCTCATCAGGCGACTGGCCCAGTTCCCCGAGGAAGAGATTGAATTCTACTGGCCACAGCTATGGTCTGTCACAGACGGATTTCCTACCGCAACTTCGAGCTGACACCCTCGTGCACAACCAGTCATCTCCTCGTGTCCAGAGAGACGGACAGTGCAGCTCTAGAGGGCTTCATACTATGCCGCTGCGAAGAATCGACGCACCTCGCCATGCTGGTGAGCTCTCGCACGCTTGCATATCGGTCGCTGACCGGCTAACGCGAGCGCACAGACATTGTGGTTTCTGCAAGCCTCCCTCTTCGACCTGTCCACGACGCCCAATGCCACTTCCTTCGTGACCTGCCGTCGAGTGTATAACAAAGTGCAGCAGATCATCTTCTCGGATCCTGCTCTGCCAGACAGCACGCTTCCAGTCAATACGCATGCTCGAAATCGCAGGCTTGGTCCCCGAGCAGGCGCGGCTACACTTGGCATGTCGCTCATCGCGGCAGCTTGTGCAATGCCAGCCCTATCTCGTGATGTTGGCAAGATTGTCGTAGAGCAGGCGCGATGGAAGCATGAAGACGCAAGCAAGAACGGGCATGGACTAGCACGCGAGGATTCTGCGAGCGATTCCGGTAGCAGCGATGACGAGTCGAACGATGTACTAGACCGTCGGCGAAGTGTTCGGATGCGCGACACGAGCAGAATGAGCTCCCAGCTTTTCAAAACAGCGACCAGTAGTGGCAATGCGAATAGCCATCGGCAAACCGGTTCCGCCGATCTTACAGCGCCGCTACCGCGAGCTATGAACGGCAGCCCGCCTATCACCCAAAAGAAACCGCCGCTAAGCGCTAGTCTGTCTCACAGTGCTTCGTTGCCGCCTCGTCATCCATCATCGGGTCGTGTGGCATCAAATCCCGATCTACTCAGGAAAGTGTCGTCCGGTCGTTTGCCTCGCGCCAGAACGCCGGTCGCAGCTCTCGTACACACCTCGCACTCTGCATCGGTGCCCGTCCTCCGGTCGCCCTTTTCGCCATCATCGTCAGCAAGCTTGAGCTTCTCATCGAGTTCTGCCGCTTTAGCCTCTGCCTATTTGTCATCCTCATTTCCGAAGCCTTTCCTCATCACTCTGCTTCGTGCACACGCATGCCGATCACAGCTGGATCTTTTGACAAGCCTGCAAGATATCTCGACTCGCTTGGTCGTCGTACCGAAAGCTGCAAGACTATCTGCGCTTCGTGCAGAGCTGACTGTTCTCAATCATGGCTTGCCAAGGGGCTGCTGTCTCGGCATGGGGTGCAATGGCCGAGGCCCAGGGTCATGCAGCCAGCCGATGCCCACGGACTCGCATCACACGCTCTTCTCTGCCAAGATACCCAAGCAAACCGCGCATCACCGTATCATCAGGATCAGCCCTTCAGAAGCAGTCGTGCTCAATTCTGCTGATCGAGCTCCGTTCTTGCTACATGTCGAGATACTTGAGGATGACCTCGACTTTGACCCAGAGCGCCGACAGAATAGTGAAGATCTGCGGCGAGTGCTCGCAGAGATGTCCGGCACCGGTTTCCGCTACAGTCGGCCCTTTTCCAGCACCAGCCCTTACGCGTCCAGTCATGTATCGCTAGCCTCGGATCTAAATGTGGCGGACCGATTTAAGCCCGGAGTCAGTCCTGCCAGCAATCCGTATGCGCCCGCCGCATCGACAAGCAGTCCGCCTGTCCCGCCGGATGATGATTTGAGCACAACGAATGACGAAATCGATCTGGTCGAACAGCTCTACGGCGAAACATCTCTGAGACAGCTGGAAGGCGAAGGAGACGCCTTTGAGGCTACATTTCAGAACAGAGACGAAGACGAGCGTGCATGGCTTCAGTCTGATGATGTCTCGCCGAGACGATCAACGCCCTTGGGAAGCCCGAATCCGTCAGTACCGTACGCCCATTCGAATGCAGGCATTGCAGCATTACCGGACGAATCGCCACAAGTACCTCCTGCGGGAGCAAGACGACCAAATCTTTCGCTGACACAAAGCTCCAGGCAGAATATCTCACTCGACCAATACGCAGAGCGAATGCGTATGGCGGCCATCATGCTGGCGCAGCTCAATGCATCCCAACACTTCGGCAATGCCGGCGCTCAGGGCGGCGGTAATCTCGTCAGCGCTGGCAGCATCCTCGGTGCTGGACTTGGTCTGGGATCCGGTATAGGTGGTGCAGTAGGCGCTGGCCTCGAAGCTATGCGCGACAAGCTACCAACGTTTGGCAAGAGCACCGAGGTCATCGGTCAGGCCTCATCGGGTGTGAAGATGTCATTGGATACGACTACCGCTGTGTCCGGTCACTCCGGACTGGCTGACTCCATGTCTTCACCAGCATCACAGCCCGCCCTTCTGCCTAGCTCGCCAGGCAAGTCGTCAGCGAACGGTCATATCGCAGCAAGACAACGTGTTCTGATGCCGAGTGAAGCTGCTGCAATTCGTGACAAGATAATGAGCGAGATGATGGCGCTCGAAGAAGAGCGTATGGAGCGCATGCAGTCAAAGGGACGGCATGCTAATGAGGCTTGGACTACTGATGCGGATGATATCGACGTCATCAGAATAGCAGTCAACAAGGAAGACCCAAGTGGCGCTATGCTGTCAGAATCGTGGGCACAGAAGAAGTCGAGAATACGTAAAGCATCACCTTACGGTCATCTGGCGAAGTGGAATGTCCTGTCGGTAATCATCAAAACGGGCGCAGATCTAAGGCAGGAGCAACTCGCTGTACAGCTCATCCAGGAGTTTGGTCGCATATGGCGGGAGGAGAAGACAGCGAGCTGGGTCCGATAGTATGTCCTGCTCATCTTCACGGATTTGAGCTAGGCTGATAGCAGGTACAGCTTTCGCATTCTGGTCACGTCCGAGGGTACGGGCCTGATCGAGACGATCAAAGACTCTGTATCTGTGCACTCGATCAAAAAGGATGCCTATGCTCGCGCGCAATCCCTCGAGGCGACATCGATGCAGTCGTACACTCTCTACGATCACTTTCTGCAGACGTACGGTCCGCCGTCATCGTCAGCTTTCAAGAAAGCCCAGACAGCCTTTGCGACCTCGCTGGCATCGTACTGCATCATATGCTATCTACTGCAAATCAAGGACAGGCATAATGGCAATATCCTCATCGATCGCGAAGGCCATCTCATCCATATCGACTTTGGCTTCATGCTGTCGAATTCGCCCGGACAGATTGGCTTCGAGATGGCGCCATTCAAGCTGACTCAAGACTACATCGAGATACTTGACGGCTACGGAAGCGACGCATTCGAGGCCTACAAGCGGATGATGAAGGCGTGTTTCAGAACAGTTCGCAAGCATGCTGAGCGCATCATCACGCTCGTTGAGCTCATGCAGAAGGGTAAAACTGTCTGACGTTTCGTGATGTACGATTGCTGATCCTCAAGCAGAGTCAAAACTGCCTTGTTACTCACTCGGCGATCAGACCGCCGCACGTTTGCGCGAACGATTTCAGCTTGGCCTGTCTCAGGTACAGGCTGATGAATATGTCGAGCGCTTGGTAGTATCGTCGGCCGCTTCCGTCTTCACGCGGCTATACGATACGTACCAGAACCAGTCACAAGGTATCCTGTAGATTGCATGCCTTCTGGTTTGTTGGATCGTGACCAGGCAATTCGTGGCACGTCACCTCTTTATCTTGACGCGCGCGCTTCCCGCCTGGACTGCAAACAGCGGACTGGCCCAAGTCTAGACACGAGTACATTGGCGATGATCTCTTGCGAACGCCTTAGACGCTGACAGTCACATCATCGCGAGAGCCCACCCGAGTATGGGCGCCTGTCTGAGCTCGGATAAGGCGGCTGCCAATGGCGGCGATGTCGGGAAGAAGCAAAGCCGACAGCCGTCGTCCGCACAGATTGACAAGAAGATCGCCGGCGACTCGACCAACTACAGGAAGGAATGCAAGATACTCCTGCTTGGTAAGTGAGGCTCCCGACTGGCTCGTCACTGCCTCCGCGCGCGTAGCCGAAGCGACGGAAGAGCTTCGAGATCGCGGCAGGAGCTGACAGCCTTAATCGTGCAGGCTCTGGAGAGTCTGGCAAATCGACGATCGTCAAGCAAATGAAGATCATCAACCAGGGAGGCTACACACGAGACGAACTGCTTCTCTTTCGCATGACAATCTACAAAAGTGCGTGGTCAGGCAGCGCGTTCGATGCCAACTGACCGTTGTGGACTGGATTCAGACGTGCTAGACTCTGCACAAGGCATCGTGATGGCACTCCGCAAGTTCAAGATGGACCCTGTAGAGCCGGCCAACAGGGCAAGTCCTCATCCGTCGCGCATTTGGCATGCTCGCAGCTGACATCATCCGAACGCGTTCAGGTCTATGCTGATAAGATCCTCGATTATCGATGCGAGCTCGATCCCTCATCACCCTTGCCAGCCGAGATCATGCGAGCGATACAGTCTTTATGGCGGGATTCCATCATCCCCAGCGTGCTCGACCGTAGCTCAGAATTCTACCTGATGGACTCGGCCAGTTATTTCTTCGATGAGGTCGAGAGGATCGGGGAGACAGACTATGTGCCAAGCGAAGCCGACGTCCTGCGGTGTCGCACAAAGACAACAGGCATCAGTGAGACGAAATTCACCAGTGGTCAGCTGAGCATACAGTGCGTGTCACTGTTGACTTTGCGTATGGGTTGCTGCTCATGCCAGATTCCGACAGCATGTTTGACGTGGGTGGGCAGCGATCAGAACGCAAGAAATGGATACATTGCTTCGAAGAAGTCACCTCGATCATCTTCTGTGTCGCACTCAGCGAATACGACCAAGTCCTGCTCGAGGAGTCCGGTCAAGTATGCTGTCCGGCTAGTCGTGCAGGACAAAGCTTATGTCCACACGCAGAATCGAATGGCAGAGAGCTTAGTGCTATTCGAATCCGTCATCAATTCGCGGTGGTTTTTGCGCACCTCTGTGATATTGTTCCTGAACAAGATCGACTTGTTCAAGATAAAACTGCCGAGAGTACCGCTCGAGAAGTACTTTCCGGAATATACAGGCGGCGCCGACGTCAATAAAGCAGCAAAATATATCTTGTGGCGATTCACACAGCTCAATCGCGCCCGGCTGAGCATCTATCCTCAGTGCGTGGCCTTCGAAGCCTAAGAAATGGCGCTGCTGATTGCCCGCGACAGCTTGACGCAAGCTACAGATACCTCGAACATTCGGCTCGTCTTTGCTGCCGCAAAGGAAACGATTCTTCACAATGCACTCAGGTATGATAGCCATAGGTGCATCAGAGAGGCTTTTGCTAACGTGTAGGACACGCTACAGAGATAGTGGCATCCTCTGAAGATACCCTTACGACCCATGTCACAGTCCCTCATCAATCATCACTTGTCTTGCCTATAAGGCTGGATGTAGATAGTCTAGATCTGTTGCATTGTACTTGTTCGTGCGCCGGGGTGCTCTGCGGTCTAGTCGTCAAACAATGTCGCATTAATCAGGGTCACCGGCAGATCGTGCAGTATCGGTATTGCTTCGCTGGGGAGCTTGTACGAATTCGCAATGACCGCATGCTCCGGCTTCTCTCTGTGTCCAGGGGCCTCACGCGAGCGCAGCTGGCGGCGTGAGAGACTATCTTGCCCTTGTGGCAACATGTAGGCGTAAGAATCTGTTATGACCTCGAGCGACTCAAGCGGCGCTGTCCGGTAGACGTTGAGGCTCATATAGATCGCATAGGTATAGAGGCTCGTCATGAGGATCCATGCGGGCACGAGGAGTGCCCATTCTCTGCTTGGCTCGGTCAGCAAGATCCGCGTGCAGCATTGACGAGCGTGCCTGCTAGGGTACCAATCTACGCCCCACTTGACCAGCGTCTCGTCTTCCGTGAAGGCCCAGAGGAGAAAGATGGCAAGTACAAGCCATGAGCCGACGTAGACCACGAAGCCGTAGATTTCCTTGCTGGGGCCGACCGGTGAATGAGACGCCTGAGCAGCTTCCTGCCAGCCAGCCGATGCCGCAGCAGATACATCGTCCCCACCGATGTCCATTGGCAGCGTCGAGCCTGATCTACTGTTGTTCTTGGATCTCAAAGTGTGCAAGTCTGCCCTCGCAAATGGTCTGAGTATGCCTGTGTCTACATTGCTCGGTGAGGACGGTCGGGATGACATTGTGCGCCATAAGGATGCGAGTGAGGCTGGGCTCGATGCGCGGACTGGAAGTCCATAATGAGGAGGTTGTAGCAGACCATGGAGGTCTTCGTGCGCCTGACGCCAGTCATCAACCTGCCGATCCTCCATGAGTCATCTCATAGCTCTTACAGCCACGTATTGCATCGACGCGACGAACGTGCGCGATAGAGGACAACAACAGAGGTACGAATGATCGCTGGTCATTTTGGCTGGTCGTGGCATTAGCTAGCAGAACCGCCTCACCGCCAGACCAGCGGGTGGATGTTGACGCATGCGCTGCCGTTTTTTGAGCTCGCTAACACGCCGGGCGTCAGGCTGTTGTGCAGCCTGGGGGGCAGATCGCAATGCAGCAAGAATTGCAAGTCGATCATGCTGGGGTTGTCTGGGGCATGATATCGAGACTGCCAGCTCCGCAGTGCTGTCTGGTGACTATCTCTACCGGACTGACTGACAATTGATGCGCTTCCTGCGGGTTGTGCGCCTGCAGTCCCTGTGGAATCATTGGCAAGGCGTGCATAAGTATCGCTGGGCACCACGAGCTTATCATCCGAATTAATGAACACCACAGATTCGTTTTGTAGCATTTGGCGAATCGGTCCATAGTGAGCCTCAACACTGTCTGGCCGAAGAAAATCCAGGCGGTGTCCGCATCTGAATCGACGCACAATGTCAGGCTGCGCATCTGGTGCTGGTCTGCAACAATCGCCCCAGCAGCCCCCCGCATCTGCGTCGTCTTGGACTAGCCAAGATATCACGCTCTCGTTGTTGCGCGCAGCGTATGTCGCTTCGATGATTCGAACGAGATTGATTAAAGCGATCTCATGGAAGACATGGTGCTTTTCGAACACTGCTGCGAGCCTTATCAGATCCTCGAAACATCGCTGAGGAACGTAAAAGATGTCTGCGAAGCCGACGCAAAGGACTTCCTGGTCGACGACATACGCCTGCGGCAACTCTGCGATCTCTTTCAGAGCCTTCGGCAAAGGTGCCTCGAGTCGCTCATCCCTGAAGCCCCACCAGTCGTAGGCTCGAGGAGGTGCCCGAAGGCTGTCAATGACATAACAGCCGGTACGCGGATTGCCTGAAAATGGAATCCAGAACTTATCGAGGGGCATGTCCGTAAACCTCAAAGGGTCTATCCAGGCGTCGAAGTGAAAGTATAGCACGCCTGTTGCACTCGAATTTTGACGAAGCAAAAGCGATGCGAGCCCGGCCGAGACCAGATGCGCACCAGACCGCCAGCCGATATGATCTACCTCTGGAGTGATCTCGCCAGTAGGCGGATCGCTGTACGAGATATGCATCGATTGGAAGAACGGTCTGTAGAGGTCCATATAGCCCGCCCTCTCCGGTCCGTGCTGTATTCCGTACCGAACGATCGCAACGGTTGTGTTGAAAAAGTCAAGAGCCTGTCTTGCTGGCGACGGCCCACTCGCATGTGCCACCGCATTACTGTCCGAGAGCGACATCACAACGGCGATGAAGATCAACACTGTCAATGCAAGTCCACTGCGTTGCCGCGTCGCAGGAGGCGAAGCTGGGGCACCGGTGCCTACTTTCGGCTCGGCAGCAGCGGCTGCCTTGGCAAGATTGCCCGCGCCGACGTAAGCCCATGTTGCGACAAGAACGCCGATGGCGCCAAAGAGCGCTGTCCACGTAACCGGCGCATCAAAAAATTCGGCAGATATCAACAGCATCAGAGCCATCGTGACCGAAGTCGCAACTCCCTTGAGGACAGCGTCGCCATATTTGTACACGGCCGTGATGATGAGACCGATGCTTGCGTTGCTCAGGATCAGCATAACAGCGCCGAAAGAGCCGTAACCCTGCCAGAAGGTTGGTGAGCCCGCCGGGGCAAGTCTTGATAGAAAGAAATAGACGTTAGTCGCTGCGCCGATCGAATAAAGAACCACATTCTGCGCGTGCAGCGATACTTCTGTCGCTTTGCAGAGATGGTCGTTGATGACGCCAGCAGCAGAGGAGAGGCAGGTCATCGCGATTAGGAGCAAATAAAGTGATATCGAGTAATGCAAGTGGATGTTGCCCGTTTGTGTGACTGTGAGAGCGCATGCTTGCAGAGTCAAGATCAGCCATTGTGGTGATGGGATTGGTCTCAGTAGAAAGAGGGTGAGAATTAGGGCAGATATGAGCGTGCCGCTCCCTTTGACCAACTGAATCGTCCCCGGATCGGCTTGCCGGAAAACTGCAAACGCCTAGTGCGTCCTCTTTAGAGACGCTTGTAGAGAGTACGAGATGCGTACTGCGTGGTTGTTGGCAGCATATAGCAGGGCGAGAAATGCGAAACCGAAGACCGGGATCGACTTTACGTCCTGCCTGAACCTCTTGAATGCGCTGACAAAGGTTTGCAGACCAGAAAGGCTTGCAAGCTGGACATCGCGCACAAGAGACCCTGATTTGGGCTCGTAAGTCTCGAGCTGCTCATAGTGGAACGCCTCGAGGCGTTGGAGTGCGCGTATAGCGCGAACGATATGCCAAGTTTGAGCAGCTCGGTCAGCGTGAGAGATGACGCTTGTGAGAAGGTGTAGCCGCCATGATTTTGCGATGCCTTGAAACAGATCGAGATGGAGCACTGGACGACTACGAGCGCAACCTGCCTGCTGCATCAGTTTATGCATAGTCGGATAAGTCGCGACAACGGACTGCGGCAAGGTAGCCTTGTGGATGAGCATGCAGTATCACACTGTCCTAAATCCTGCACCGAGCCGCGTAACAAGCATTCTGGACGGGTGTCGCGCGCATTCATCGGACGGGACTGGCGCCTTCGCAGGACGGAAAGACAGCGCTGAGCCATGCAAGCGGTCTCGTTAGGTATGACCGCTTTGAAAGAGTATTCCCTTTGGGGACAGTGTCGGGACAACCGCGTATGACGACGATGTGAGCAGAAGTCTTCTGGACGCTGTCGACCCCTGCCCGGCTACCTCATGCCGTCTGTCATCGACGCTTTGTCTGGTCTTCGAGCGGCAGCACATGCGGCCGATGATAATTGATGGCAGCGCAGGGACAGGACCGTGACTGCGGATGCAAGCATAGATGACGCATCAGATATTCGGCCGCTAGATATGGAATGCTAATGTTGCACAGCGGAAGGCTCTTTGTCTGGCCACGATCTAAGCATATCGGCATGGGTCGCGCGCGTCACGTTGACCGTTTGGGCGCGCAGATCAGACAACACTTGCCATGTTGCACGAGAGTACAGTGGCTTTCTCATGGCATCATCCGAGCCAGCGTAAAGGTGCTGCTCGCACAACAGGCAGCCTGGAGTGCAGCGTCGACAGGCCTGCCATACCGTATCGGTCTTGCGCTGCTGTATCTCCCGAAGCTGATCGTCTTTTGCGAGTGCATGACACAGTCGCCGTGGGTCCAGTCAGTCACTCCAACGAGCTGAGAGTATGTGGCTGTATACGGATCTGCTGACCAGCGTACGGACCAGCTTTGTGCCGCTAGGTCTGGAAACTGACGTCAAAATGACCGATGGATCATCTTGATTCGTCATCGCTTCTTGCCCGTACCGAAAGCGCCGAAGCCCATCTGAGCAGCTACGTCTTCATCCTGCCCCTCTTGCATTGCAGCTTGCTTTGCGGCCTGGATGGCTTCCTTTCGTTTGGCCTTCTTGGCATCCTTGTCATCTGCCTCGGCTCGCTTGATCTCCCTGAGCCGCTGCTCAAAGTCGTACTGCTTCGCCTTTGTGGCTTCGGCAGACTTGGCACGCAGATCGGCAATCTTTGCGCGGACTTGGTCGAGCGTCGAACGAGCGACGCGTGTGGTCTGGCCGAGCGTGCGCAAGTCTGTGCCAGCCGCAGACACCACATCAGCTCATGCCGGTGTGAGAGGCGGAGCGAGCACGAACGAGACCGACTGTTGAGGTGGTTGAGGTAGGATGCGCTGTCTCTGTAGGTCCGATTGCAGACGTCGCAGTAGTAGCCTGGCTGTCCTGGACCTCTCCCGCCAGGATTGGCAACGATGACGGTCTTGTTGAGATCTTTGGTCAGCTCGAGCTCCTCACGAGCCTTGGCCGTCTCTGTCGGCTTGGGAAGATCCTTTGCCGTTCGTTTGGGCGGCTTCTTGCCTGCACCACTCGTCGGTGTCAGACTAGAGATTGGCCGGTGGTGAACGCTCGCTTGCCTTTGCGACGGTACTCTTCTGCCTCTTGTGCCTTTTCTCGATCTTCTCTGTCCTGCAGACATACCCGCGAGATCAGCAGGGGGGAGCTGGCAGACAGAAGGAGCACAACTTGCCTGCTCTCTCGCCTTTTCTGCATATTTCTCGCTGTCCCATGTCCGTCTGAAGCTCACATCCGTCTGTGAAGCCACTCATCAGTCTCTCACTGTATGTACTGAGAGTGTGCAGACTGACAGATGCTGCTCCGTAGGCGCCCGACATGACACTCCACTCCACTCCACGCTGCTCGTCCAGTCGCGACACAGCCAGCAACGTCACAAAGACCCGAGCCTCGGCGCCAGCCCCAAAGGAATGGTCAACCAAGATGCAAAGGGAAAGCTGAAGAAGCTCGAGCCCGTAGAAGCAGCCAAGCGACTGGCAGCCTATGCCGCCGTGGACGCCCACATCAAACCCCACCACCGCGTTATCGGCATTGGCTCGGGCAGTACGGTGCCCTACGTCGTCGAACGGATCCTCGAACAAGGCTCCGAGATCAACGAGGACAGATGGTTCATCCCGTGCGACAGTCTGGCTCTGCATGGCTGTGCCCGCACTGAGTGAGGGAAGCGATGCAGCACGGGTTTCCAGTCGAAGCAGCTCATCGTGCAAGCCGGTCTCAACTTGGGCGATGTAGACCAGGCACGGGGCCCGCCATACAGTCCGCCGTAGGCTGATGGTCGATCTGGGCTGTTGCAGTTCCCGTCCATCGACGTCACAATAGACGGAGCAGACGAAGTGGTCCGTCTCATGCGCGCCCATCACGCTCACACCACCAGCTCAGCCTTCATACAGGATGACGATCTGAACGCCATCAAAGGCGGAGGAGCGTGCCACCTTCGAGAGAAAGTCCTAGCGGAGGCAGCGGCCGATTTCATCCTCGTTGCAGACAGCAGGAAAGACAGTCGCGTGCTCGGCACAACGTGGACACAGGGCATACCTGTCGAAGTCGCCCCCTTTGCATGGGCCAAAGTCTACCAGAACCTCGCCCTGTTAGGCTGCGAAGAGCCGATACTGAGGATGGGCAAGGCGAAAGCTGGTCCCATCGTTACAGATGTCAGTCTTTTTCCTTGGCTCGTCCGCAACATGTGCTAATACTCATGCAGAACGGGTGAGCAAAGCGCAAAAACAGGCACGACAGTCCTGAGCGTACTACAGGAACTTTGTCATCGATGCGCCCTTCTCTGCAGTCTACATGCGAGATCCGGCAGATCTGTTGCATCGCATCAAGATGTACGTTCAGCCTGTCCTGTCTCGACACCGCACTGACGCCCCGTCCAGGCTCACCGGTGTCCTCGAAGTCGGCCTCTTCGCAGGCATGGCCAAGGCTGCCTACTTTGGACAGAATGTGAGCCTCCGCTACTTCCCTTTCGATGTCCACGCTGATCCCGGGGAGGACAGGACGGCTCCGTCATTGTGAGCTTGGGCATCGCTCTGACAGGCACCCGAGGCTGACTGGCAGGGCAGGTACGCTATGTCGACGGTACGACTGCAAAGATTGATTCTGTATGATTGCACGGCCCGGCACGGTCCAGAGGGTGACGCGCGCGGGCGAAGGACGGGCTTGCCGCCTATGTATCATCGAACCATCTGAAACGTCGGACGAAGCTTCCCCTCCAAACTCTGCAAGGGGTCCTCCCTCTCCCTCGCTCGCGGTACTGCAAAGCTTCAGCTTCACGTTCCAGAACGGTCCCCCCGAGCATCGCGCGCGCATCATGCCCTCGACCTCTCTCTTCAGCCAGCGTTCGGTCATGTCCATGTTCACGGAGAGTCACATCAGGTCCATCAAGTCTCTCGACGATCTCGATAACGCTCCAGGAGGTCGTTCTGCCAAACCGAGTGAGCTATCTCTCTCACGGACCAAACCTTTCATCCCGAAGAAGTTTGGTCAACCCATCTCGATGCTCATCTCTCTTTTCGTGCGTCCTTGCAGAATATCCATACGTCATCACACTCCGAGCTGCACTTCTCGGGAGTCCCAACGGTCAGCTCACGCTACAAGAGATCTATGCCGAGATCGCCAATCGGTTTCCTTACTACAAACACGCTGGCAAAGGCTGGAAGGTCCGTTGCCTTGTTTGGTTTGCCCCCCCCCCAACCCCGCGCGCGCGGGTGCTTATCAGGACGCTGACCCTCCTCTCTCTTCACACAGAACTCTGTCAGACACAACCTCTCCATCAACCGATGCTTCAAGCGGATCAAGTCCGCCGATCCCAGCAAGGGTTCACTCTGGTCAGTCGACGAGGACGAAGAAGTGACGACGACGCGCATACGCAACAAGAAGCGTTACGCCACTTCGTCTCGGTCCAACTACCGCTACCGAGCCAGAGCGGCAAAGTCGCGTCGCTCGTTCGCAGACGACGACGAGGACGAGGAAGAAGAGGACGACCGGTCGAGCGTTTCAGAGTCAGCCTCGGCAGCCTTTATCGCTCGCTCGCCCATCCGTACCCGTCGCGCCGTCCTTGCAGTCGATACCCAGACCAAGTCGTCTGCCTCCTCGCACCCGTCTGCCACCATGCCGAGCTCGCCCACGACGTCCGAGCTCAGCGACGCCAACTCGGTCAACTCGACCTTCAGCCCGCTCAGCCCTGCTCACAAACCGATCCAGCACATCCAACGCGAGCCCGCACCCATCGACAGTTTCGGCCGCGCTGGCACGCGTCCAACGCCCATCACCGCGCTCAATGCGGGTCAGTCAGTTGCCCCCCGGGCTTCAGAGTCGCCTCGTTCGGCTGCTTTTCCTCACACGGAGAGTCACATGCGATCTTTTGCTGGTCATGTCCAATCGCCCTCGTATCGCTTCTCTGCTGTACAGGGACATCAGATGGACGATCACTACCCGACCGTCTGGCCATCGCTGGGCACTTACACGCCTCGTCAGACAACGTTTGCTGGAGCTGCCAGCAGCACTGTCGCCGGTACTGGTCCATCGTACCCTGATGCTCGTCATTCGCTGGGCAACTATGCGCTCAAATCGGACAACAATCACGAGCATGTGCCTTCGACGAGCGGCGCAGAGAATGCCCAGCCTTACTATGACTACCCGCCCGAGACGGAGGAGACGCCGACGTCGAGTTACTACCGAGACTATGCAACGGTGACCCAGTCGGATCCTCACTGGTGGCAGCAAGTCTACCAGCATTCCTCTGCAGCCCAGCAACATTCGCCCACGCAAGCAACCCATCCTGCACCTCCGCCCTATTACCATCACCAGGTTCACCAGCCACCGGTGACGATGTCACCTCTCCATGCTGGTCATCCTCTCAGCTCAGGCTACGGGACCTGGTATCCCGCGCCCAACCTGCCGCCTATCGGACACGCTCCGAATGGCGATGTGACTTCGCCACACTATCCGACCTTGCTGCCCATCTCGCAGCAGAAGCGCATGCTTCAGGCCGCCCAGTAGACCCTAAGGGGACAATCTTCATCAGAGAGCCAACCTCAGCGCCAACTCATGGACAGTACGCCTGATCGTAGACATAGACAGGGTGGACATCAAAGTTTTGTTAGTTCCTTTCGGACTTGTATTTGTCAACAACCAACAGGACGTGTGCGTTTGTACATTGCATGATCATGCTGCATACGGCAAGAAGTTGCCTGCGATGAGCGATGGGATATTATAGGCGTCCCGACGGACGGTGAAGCTGAAGCAGCAATTGAGTATCGCTTCCGATGCAGACGTGCGCTTCCGGCGTAGCGCGTGCTGGTTGACGAGCACGCAGGAAGTGAGAACTGCTTTTTGATCTGGCTTGAAAGCGACGTCGGCGTACTTTTGCCAGTAGTGAACCGCGCTCTCCTCGGTCATGAGCTCGTAGATTGCCAGCCGGCCTTCGCGTAAGGATTCTATGGGCACGCCGACCAGCTCGGCAAACTCTTTGTTGCCCTTGTAGACTTCGCCTGTGCGTCGCCACAGACTGCGAGCCTGTCAGCTCAAGCTTGTCTGGCTAGGTTCACAAGCTCACCATGCTGGGATGCCCATGGTAGAAAAGACGCGATCATAGTCGAGCAAGAGCCGCTCAAAGGCTTCTTCGATGAAGACGAGATCGAGATCGGTCAGTGAGGATGCAATGGCCTGCTGGACGATCAGCTCGCGCAAGATGAGCTTTGATTGACGCACGCGAAAGGCAGGCCTGAATGACGACAGGGCCTGCAGTGTCCGCTGTCGCGATTGCACAGACATACTGTGCGAATCGGCGTCAGCTTGGAATCTGATGAATATGCACCACACGACTGACTTTTGCTCCATCCAGCGTGATAAACGGGTATATCTATGCTAAGGATCAGCAAGAGTACCTCACAGCGTGCAAGCAAGGTACCCTTTGACATAGTCGTACGGCTTGAGAAGGCCAGCTTCGAATTTGGCATGAATGACACGCTGTAAGCGTTCGTCGCGACTGCCGTCGTTCTGATCGGCCGCCGTCAGCAGGAATCGCTCCGTCTTTGTACTGGCAAGTGCAGGATCGCTCGTATACGTCGCAGGCTCTGTCGAGGTAGGTGGCTGTATGACAGAGGGCGTGATAGGTGCAGGTGTATGGCCGGTCGTGCCATTGGCTGCCGTAGAAATGGTGTCGTAGAGTGCAGCTCCGTTGCTCTGCCCGTATGCGTCATTGCCAGCAGGAGAGGGTCCAAAGCTGTCTTCGAGCGATTTGAGGAATTCACTGGAGAGTCTAGCTTCTTCAGCTGGTGTGGCCAGCCGGGGAAATGAGCGACGCGCCTTAGGCCTAGACCGTGGAACTCATGGCCTGAAGTCTCCATGAGGGCATTGCCCGTCATGATCGAGTTGAGATCGGACAGGTCGGAGAGTGGCAAGTAGCTAGCGTCTGCTACGCTGCTGATGCCGAGCGCATTCGATCCGGAAGGTGACAACGGTCCTGCCGGTGCTACGTGATCAGCATAATGTCAGTAGACGAGCCCACAGTGCTGACTTTGAGACGTGCGTAGTGTCGATGATGCTACTGTTTGTGCACTCTGCAGAGGCGCAACGGTCTGACGGGATCCTGATGCAGCCGAAGCAGGCGCGGGGGCAATAGCCTGTTGTGTGACGGGCTGTCTTGGCGGTACTTGGCTCGGACCGGCGCTCGTCGTGGCAGAGGGTAGCAGAGCAGGAGCAACGGGCGTCTCCGAGAGTCCCCTCGAAGCGGACCGTTTGCGTTCTGAGGAGCCAGACTCGTCCCTGCACAAGTGGGCAATGTCTCGCTTGATACATCGTGAGCAAGGTCGCTGGTCATCGCACGTCATGTGACTCCTGCCCCCTCGCAGCATCAAATGAGCGACGGTGATTGACCATCAGTGCTCCGAGAGACTCGCCTTCGACAGAACATGCATGCTTTGGACACTTTCGGCCTGGCCTTCTTGCTCGTTGCCGGGTCTTTCTTCCTCTTACCGTTTGCAAGAGCAGCAGCAGACTGAGCAGCAGCTGGTACGCTGACATCCTCGCTGGCACTCGCGACAGGCACATAGGACATGCCTTCCGGCGGCCTATCGCCTGCTGCCATGTTCCGGCCCGAAGTTGGGAGAGCAGGCCAAGGGCGACGCGAATGTCACGTCACAAGCGGATCCTGGCCAGGCATGCAATGAAGTTCCACGTCATACAAGCAGTCTGTCAGGAAGCCCGTGGCTCGCCTACAACTCGACTGTCTCGCTCTATCTCGATATGACGGGCTGCACAGACGTTGAGGAGTTCCGTGTGGAGGGGCCACTGCCAGCCTTGGCCGTACACGTCCTCCTTGCGTAGCTGGGGCCATTCGAGCGCGATCTTGCGTAGGAGTGGCCAGCTACCCTGCCTGATGTATTCGACCATTGTCGTGTGGAGTTGCACAAAGGTCGTCGTCGAGGTCCGAGCGGGATGAAGGTAGCGAAGATGATCTGGCTGGAGATCCGACATTCGCAACTCGAGCAGGTTGGGTGCATCTGACATCCATAGGACCTGATCAATAGAGTATCGACAGGTGGTGTGAGTGAGCTTGGGCAGAGTGATCGCGTACACATGCGCGGACCAGAAGTCTAGCGCGCACCGTTCGGATCTCATGATCCGGAGCGTTTCGAGTGTCTCGCTGTGAGTCCTCACGATGACCCGGAGCGAAAGGTCATCGATGTCCATGGTGAGCTCGAGTGATTGCAGACGACATGTCCAGCTGCCTGGCCAGATGTCCGACCAGTCTTCATGGAGATGCTCGATGTCGATCTGGCAATATTTTGAGTGGAGTGACAGCTTCTTCAGGCTCGGATGCTTGGAGACCGCCCTTGCGACAGCTCTGACGATGGGGCTGTATGGATTGCTCCGGTCGGGCAACTGCTGCCTATCGACGTCATCTTTGATGTAAAGCTCGACGAGCGACTCTGCGGTCAACGTCCAGAGGGTGATCAATCCGGATGCATCATGATAGTCATAACGCGTCTTCTCTGTGCATCTCATGGAAAGGCACTTGAGGTCATTCTCGATCCAGCCAGGCAGCTGCTTCCTGATGTCGTAGAAGCAAGGTACCAGCGCTTCGTGAAGCCGTACTTTCGGACAAGATGACCTGACGGTCGTGATCAGCTGCACAAACGTGTCTAGCAACCGCTGCGGCGTCTCCTTGGATTTGGTGCGCCGTAGACTGACAGTCTCAAAGTGGTAGAGCTCTTCGAGATACATGGGCAGCACAGCACTGCCCGCACATGCCTCGACGAGCGCACACAGTCGGGCGTATGATTTGACATTGGCCGACTGCCACCATACGGTCAGCCTCACTACTTCAGTTGTCTGTATGAGGAGGTTGCTTGCCTTGAAGAGATACTGCAGACAGACTGCTCTGATGCTCTTGCATGTCGTGCTGAGTGCAACCATTGCCCGCCAATTCGCACGCTTTTCGTGTCCTGAGCGGATGTTGTCGAGCAGAACGCCAATGATGTCGATCCATACGTCTTGCGGAAGCTCGACGGACCTTTTCGCATCCTCACAGACGGTCCCGTCGATAATGTTGGGCTGTGCCAACGGCCCGCTCGCTGAGATCTTGAGACCGGGCCGATAGCGACGAGATGTGCGGCGCAGTGCAATGCATGTGATGGCCATGTCAAACCCTTGGCTTCTGTACCGAGTCTGGTGAGGTCAGGTGTCAGGCTCAGCCAATCTCATATCACGCGCTATCTCGAGCGCGTCACGTGGAGGGCGTGGTCACGACTTAGGATAGGATTGCATTGCAAGAAATGTCCATCAGCTTCTTCCTCTATGCTGCAGTGATCTCCAGCGGGATGCGAGCCGACAAGGGTGTGCGGATGAGGTTGGACTGCATCGCACGATCAGCTCGTCCTCGGCAGATCTCGCATCAGGCTTACCTCGTAGGCATTGAGGGTGTAGTTGCCTGCGCCCGCAGTAGCAGGTAGCGTGACAGTCTGGTTCACCTGGTTCGTCGTGGGCGTGACGTCAGTCTTGAAGATCGTCGTCGAGTCTGATCCATCCGAGGGCTGCAGCTGGAGGAAGACGAGCGATGCGAGCCAGGTCGTGTTGCTCGCTGCCGCTGCCGTGGCATTCGTTGCGGCGATGACCTTGGCGAGAGCCGCGGGCGAGTCGTAGACAAAGTTGAACGTGCCACCGACGGGCAAGGAGAGCGCAGCGGAAGGCTCAACAGCAGCACCGACGTTGCTCTCTGTCATCGCCGAAAGTATCAATCAGCTGCCCACGCAGATCTATAGGAACAGCCGATGTACCTGGTGAGGTGTTGACGGTCTGTCCGGCAACGAGAGCCGCGAGTGCGAACACGATGGAGCTTGTTGCGAGCATGATGACGTGCTTTTGTTGTTATAGGTGACTTGTGTGAAGACCAAGTTGTTGTGGATGGGGCATGATAGCAGGAAGCCGGCATGATATCTCTCTTCGGACTGGCCGCTCGGCTCCGCATCTTGTGGCGATGAGATAGAGGGGCTTCAGCGCACTGACACTGGTGACGATGACGACGGGGACGAGGGTGACGATGCCGGATGAGTCTGCCGGTCGCACAGACAGCGCTGGTCTGTGCCGCCACTTCGCGCGTTTTTCCAGCCAAGCCCGTCCTCGTCCAAGCAACAGCGCTCGTCGCCAAGCTGGACCCTCCCAGATGGCTCGAGTCGTCCCGACAGACGACGATCTGACCAGGCTGCAACGTCTGAGCCAGAAGATCTCCTCTCGTACTCTTCCTGTCGAGTTGCTCGGGGCCTGTTGGCCAGGTTACGACTACAGTCCGGTCCTGACCGCCTCTCGTCCGGTCCCTCCCAGGCCGCCCTCACCCGTCGAGAGCTTCGAATCCCGAGATACTTGGCACAGAGCCGAAGATGGTCTCCGTCCTCTGCCCCGACGACAAGTCCCTCCACCCCCGCCTGCACCTTTGCCAGCGCGACCCATCACGACGACGATCGTCCCAATCATGTCGATCAATCCCTATCGGACAGAGACCTTCTCGACACCTTCCTTTCTGAGCAGACCGGAGATCATCGAGATCACTCCCGGCGTAGAGGACGGTGAGATCGACGACGGTGAACCATTTGATGACGGTGAGCCAATCGACGAGACACCGCTCACGAGCAGGACACCCTCGCGTTCGCCAGAGCTACAGATCATCGAACCTACGACCGATGACCGTCCCAATAAGCATGCTAGTCCTCTCGTTCATCCCTCGCGTCTCAAATCCGTCGAAGCAAGCCCAACCGACTCGCAAAATCCTGCAGCCACTGACAATCCACACCCCAGGACATTGATAGAGCCACCGCCAGCATTCCCTTCTTCTGAGGTCATCTACCTGGACGATCTGGATGGAGACGAGCTGGACGGCGAAGAGGTCGTCGAGCTGGATGATTCCCTCGAACTCATCGAGCAATCTGCTCGAGGGGACATGGCATCAGCAGAGCCAGACCATGCGAACAGGGGCACTGTGCACGATCCAACATACGTAGCTACTCGTGCACTGCCTTCACCTGCCACAATGAGCTCAGTTGGCGCGCGCACGCCTACAGACGACGTTTCTCAACCTCAGATGACACTCGCCGCCAAGCCTCATCACGAGGCAGATTTAATCCAGCGTCTCTCGCCTCGCAGTCCGCCGAAGAAGCGCAGGCAGACCAGCACGCTCTCACAGAGCGGCAGTGACGATGAACCGGTCGCACTCGAGCCTGTACCGATGACGATCTCGCACGATGGTCTGAAGACGCCGGAACCGCAGCACGAGCCGCAGCTTCCCACGCCGGCCGATAGTCATCACGAGAACGAATTGATCTCTCGCATTGCGCCCATCAGTCCACCACGCAAACGTAGGCGCACGGATCTCACATCGGATAGCGATGGCGAGCCTCAATCGGAGAAAGTGGAGCGCAAGTCTCGCAAACCGGAAACGACTGCAAAAGGAACGCACGCGCATGAACACCCTATCGACGTACCGCGGAGCAGTCCGACCTCGCCAGCAAAGTGAGACGACAAGCATCATGCCGCGCTTGGTCAGGGCTGACAGCTAAGAGCACAGATCACGATCATTAGCAAGTTCTGCGGGCACATTGATCTCGAGGATCTTCGGAGGATCCCAGGGTCAGACTGGCGCTTCATCGCCGCCCCAAAACGAAGCCAGAGACGCAGCATAGATCGCACACCCCCTCGCAAGCGATAAGCTTTATGAATGAAATGTCCAAGCGCATGTTGTCACCATCAACGTCAGTCTGCATTTTGGTGTTACAAGCATACACTTGCGGTGAAATAGACTGTGCAGGACGAGTCAGATTACACCCTGAAAGCGCAGTCATCGACTGCTCTTCACGGCGTCAGCAAACAACATCTGACCGGAGGAAGCTGCAGGAGGCGTGAGAGCTTTTACTGAGCCAGGTGGGGCAGGATGATCACCGTTCGTCGAGATCTCGGTGAGCGGGGTAGCGGAGCCAGGAGGCAGCGCGGTCTCTGGCACGAATGCTTCTGTGGGCCTGAGCTTCTTCGAGGGTTTGTCGATGACTTGATTCGCAGGAGCGGGTGCGGCCGAATCTGGACTTGCTGCTAGCTGCAAAGCAAGAGTTGTTTCAGCCGTGCTATGCGAGCTGTAGGTCTGCTTGTGAAGACCGACCATTCCGTTCTTGTCACGCTTTGCGCCTTTACCGGCCGCTTTCGCAGGAGCAGGTCGAGGTCGATCACCAAACACAAAGTCCGGCAAGGCGATGCTGACAGGCAAATTGTCAGCCACGACTTGATCCGTTCGAGCGACCCACTTCTTCATGTAGCGCACGGTGATGCCCATCTCTGGCGTGTATTTCTCCCAACGCTTGACGAGCTTGGTGAATTCGCAAGTCGGGTAGGATAGATCCAGTTTCTTGCTTCCTGACCCTGATGATCGACGCTTGTCAGATACAAATCTTTCGATCGGAGTCGACTTGCCTTTGGGCCCTAGATCGATGGACAGGCCGATGTAGAAATTGGAAGTATGTAGCTTGACCGCGCCTTCGACATCCTTGATGTCGTCTTCTGTGCGAGCACTTATCTCTGGTGTAGACGCGCCGGACGCAACGAGCTTGACTTCTTCCTCTGTCTTGCAAGAGTAGGTCTTTTCAAACTCATCTACATAGATGTGAGCCAAAGTAACGCCTTCTGCGCCCTCGAGGTTCGCGCCGAGCGTTCGTAGCTTCGATTCGACCGTGCCGGACCTGCTCGTCGTGAGGCAGTGTACAAGCTCTGACTGTGTGAAGACGGACCACTTGAGCTGATTGTCCATATCTTGTGATGATGCTGTGATCTGAAGGTAATAGCGATACTTGTAGAAAAAGTCTGTAGGCTCAAAGAGCTCTGCCCATGTAGTCTGACCCACCGCAATACGATTGACAATATTCTCGCCTACCGTCGCAGGTCAGCTATGTATACAGCATGAGATCGAACCGCACCTCGCTCCCATTCTGCTTTGATGACGGCCATGCTGCTGTGCGAGATGTTGTGGGTCGAGCACATCGAGGGATATGCGGGCGTGATGACAGGCATCTTGTGCATGCGATCTGCAGAATTCACCTGCTTATGTGTGTCATGAGCCCTAGATGCAAGCCTTTGAGGAACAGACTTGCGTGTGGATTCCAGACGCGCACGTTGAGGGGACCTTGCTTTAACGGCGTGAGCAATACTGGCTCTGGCCATTGCCTGCGCAGAAAGGTCAGCAGACACTAAGATGGGGAACATCTAGCTCTTACCAAAGCAGAAAGATGTGGAAGAATCGGCTCAGGATACCGCCGGGGCATTCGTTCGGGTAGAGCTGACATATTCTTGCGACAAGCATCGCCCACGAGACCCCACCCGGGAAGCCGACGACGTTGGCGTATACAGCTCGACCTACGCCGGTTCATCAGCGTCGCAAAGGAACTCGGACAGATAGCCTACGTTTGGCCCAGTACTTGATCGCGCGCAGCGAGTCGCGAAAGACGGGAATGTTGGGGACGAGGCGGAGGATCTGATCTGTGACGCGCGAGCCGTTCAGAGAGCGGACATCGCGTTCGTCGAGCTGCTTGAGCAGGTTATCGTCGCCGAGCTCGAGATCGTCGGGCACGGTGGGTCGGTTGATGCGAGCAAAGGTGAGATCGATCTCGACATTGGTGAATTTGACCTTGATGAGGGGAACGTAAGCTTCCGGGATGTCGGTGATATCTCGAACGTCGTCTCTCTCGCGGAGCATGTCGAGGAAGATGGTGAAGAAGTCTGCCCGCTCGACGTAGACGGGCACGACACAGAGGGTGTCGATATCCGCGCCTGGACCGTGTACGCCGAGCCTGTAGGAGCCAAAGGTGAAGATCTTGCCGCCTGCCTCGTCGATCTCTGACTGACTCCGCCCTCTGAGCTGGCATGCTCTTCTCACAAACTCTTTGACCATGCCATCCAGCCTGCCCAAGACGCTTTCTCTGTCGGGCATGCCAGTCTGTCAGCTTGAGCAGAGCGTGTAGCTGGGTGTGATTGACCTTCTTCGCTCGCCTGCGTCAGTCTCAAAGAGATTGCGTGCTCGCATCTCTGCCATCAATGACTCTGTCATGCGCAACGAGTGAGGCTTGGGCGGGTCTGTCGTGACTGGCCTCGTCACGCCGAGGTAGTGAGGCTCCCTGTGCATCATGCTGTCAGATGATTACCTTGCGCTTGGCTGTGAACAGACTGACGACATGTTGACCGATCCGGGTGTCGTCGACTCGCAGCTGAGCCAGTCTGGCTGCTTATGGCTTCGACGACGACGACGACGACGACGCGCGCAAATCGGCAGAGGCAGACGAGCGACGACGATGGCGCTGCTCAGAACGGCCTGTCCCCTCACAAGTTGTCTAGCATTGGTCGCTCGACAGCGAGCTATAGCTCTGCCGAGAGCTCAGCGACGATGGCTGCTGCGACAGACACGCTCCCTCGCCACTGTTGCTCCCCACAGTCATCATCAAGTTCAGAGGTCCAAACGGTTCAAGGAGCTCAATGCGAGCGATGTCGAAGCCTTTCGATCCATGCTCTCCAAATCTGACTCGTCTGTCTTGACAACAATCGAAGCGAAAGGGGGCAAGACGCTCACTGCAGACGAGCTGACGCCGTTCAATCACGATTGGATGCGAGTCGCTCTATTGCTTGCTTTCTCTGCCTTTTGCTGAACTCGGACAAGGCAGGCAAAAGTACAAGGGCGATTCGAAGCTCGTCCTGAAGCCGAGAAGCACAGAAGAAGTCTCAAAGATATTGGCCTATTGCGTCAAGAACAAGATTGCAATGGTGCCTCAAGGTGGCAATACCGGCCTCGTCGGTGGATCAGTGCCCATCTGGGACGAAGTCGTCATCTCTCTCGTCTGTCTGATTGACCAAACGTCAGCAGCACAGCTGATCTTTCATTCTCTGACAGAGCGGCATGGATAATATAAGACACTTCGACCCGATCAGCGGCGTCATGACTGCAGATGCAGGCTGCATATTACAAGTGCTAGACGACCGTGCCGCCAAGGAGGGCTTCATGATGCCCCTCGACCTAGGCGCGAAAGGCTCGTGCCAGATCGGTGGCAACCTCGCAACGAATGCGGGCGGGCTCCGATTGCTCAGGTCAGTCTTGCCGCACCAGCTGCTGCTTGCAGTTGATGGGTAGGGTCTGACAGGTACGGGAATCTACACGGTAGCGTCCTCGGCCTAGAGGTCGTATTGCCGGACGAGCGTGGCACCGTACTCAAAGTAGGCATGGGCGGTCTCAGAAAGGACAACACTGGTACGTCATCGCGTGCTCAGACAGCAGGATCGTGCCTGAGTGCTCGTCAGCAGGCTACGATCTCAAGCAGCTTTTCATTGGTTCAGAAGGCACTCTCGGCCTGATCACCGCCGTCAGCATCCTTACTCCCAAACGGCCTGCAGTAGGTGCCATCGCTGTCAACATAGAGATCACGAGCTGAATGTACTATCAGTCTGTCAACGTAGCGATGCTAGCATTGTCATCATACGAAGCCGTCCAAAAGGTCTACATAGAAACACGATCTCATCTCGCAGAGATCCTGTCAGCATTCGAGTTTGTCGACCAAGAAGCGTTTGAGCTCGTTCTCTCGCACACCGGCACAAAGCGGCCTTTCGAGGGCGGCAAGCCAGACGCTAGACAGTTTTACGTACTCATCGAGACGAGTGGCAGCAAGAAAGAACATGACGATGAGGTAGGTCACTTGTCAGGATGAAGAACCCCCCGCTCATGTGAGCTGCAGAAACTCACGGGATTGTTGGAAGATCTCATGGAAAAGGAGATCATCGTCGACGGCGTACTGGCACAAGACGAAACACAGCTGCAAAGTCTATGGAGCTTACGCGAATCGATTCCCGAAGCAGCAGGCAAGCTCGGCAAGGCAAGTTCTGTATGCAATCTGGGCGTATCGAGCTGACTGGTGCTCGTCCAGACGTACAAATTTGACGTGTCGATGCCAGTTTCAGAGATGTACGGACTCGTCGAAGCGACTCGACAACGCTTCAAAGATCAAGGCATGGCGGACGAGATTCGGGAAGTCGTCGGGTATGGTCACATAGGCGATGGCAACCTACATCTCAACGTCGTTGCAAAGCGCTTTGACCAGTCGATAGAGGACGTCCTCGAGCCTTGGGTATTCGAATACGTCTGTAAGTCGTCTCCATGTCTCTGGCTAGCGCCGTGGCTGATGCGATGCATCAGCTCAACGTAATGGCTCCATCTCGGCAGAGCACGGCTTAGGCCAGCAAAAGGCGCCTTTCGTGGGCTACTCGCAAGCGCCAGAGTCTATTGCGACCATGCGAGCGATCAAGGCGCTCTTCGACAAGCAAGGCTTGCTGCAGCCTAGCAAGTACTTACCGGCTGCAGACGAAGGCGTCGAAGCCTCGTCAGAGGCGTTTAAGCAATAGTGTGCTGTCGTGACCTTGTTGTTGGTTGAATCGTGGCTTGCAGCTTGCATTGCTAGCGTACAGTGTCGATGAAGCCCACGAGGAGCCACCGTTCGCCAGAGGTAATCGGCAAGCCTTCGTGCAGGAGCTTGGCGTCATGCAAGAGTGCGCTGCCTTGGCTTGGCTGGAAGGTTTGGTTCAATTCGCTAAAATGTGTGCCTCCACCGATGAAGGAATTAGACTCGTTCAACAAGAGCGAGAAAGACAAGAGGCAGCCGTCTCTATGCTCCTGCAAGCCTGCTTGTGCGCCAGCTGCGTCATAGCGAGCAACGAAGAGATCTTTTGTGAACAGTTGCAGATCACTGCCGGTCCGGCGAAGAAGCTCTGGCACTATGCGGTCTCTCACATAATGTTCGATGATGTGGGCATTAGGCAGATCTGCGACCGCCACGTCTGTCGTTCGAAATGCTTCGTGGCGCTTCGTCGACCAAGCGTTGGCGCCAACATAGCTTGAAACAATTGCGATGATTTCTCCACACTCGGAGATCGTGAGCAGACGATCGACGATGCATGGACAGAGCCTTTCGGTTGGCTTGCCCGATAGGAGATAGGCCTGACGAGCCTGGGCTGATGTGCGCTGACCGGGCTGTGGCAGCGATGCCAGCTTCTTGGCTCGCTGATCTTCCATACAAGTCGATTTTTACTCCGAGCTGGCCTGCATGGCTCGCGTGGGATTGGAGAAGAAGCGAAGATCTGGTCTAAACTCTAGTTTGAGCGTGGCTTGCAGCTGCGCGATCGACATAGTAAAACTATTGACACCTTCCTAATGCGCAAATCCCTGCAAGTCTGGCTCGGTTCGCGAGACTTCATTAAGCATGCAGGACCGGCTCGTTGGCTCATCATGCGTTTCGACCGCTCGCCATCGCGTTGGGGCGAGCTTCATAAGAGCTCCTGAGCAGAGTGTCCGGTCCACGTACAACCAACATCGGCAGACATGACTACACAAAGCAGACGATCCTTCAGGAGCGAGTCCGGCTTGCCCTTTCAGCGTATCGTCGTCTTTGGTGATTCTCTCAGCGATTCTGGTCAGTCGTGATTTGTGCGAACGAGAGCGTCAAGAGCTCATCAGGCTGGCATACAGGAAACACGCACAAGCTCACCAAGGGCGAATGGCCAAAGGACGAGCGATACTACAAGGGTGCGTTCAGCAACGGCAAAGTATGGCCGCTCCTCCTCGGCGAGCGTTTCGGCATCGAAGTCGAGAACAGAGCGTTCGGCGGGGCGACGGCAGACAACAAGCTCGTCCAAGGCAAGACGGGCTACTACACCGACATCCCTGTGCCTGCGCTGGCAGATCAGGTCGACACCTACCTCGCCTCGTCAAAGTCGCATCTCTTGCATGCTTACCCTCGAGCTGGTGCTGCACCCAAGGGCGAGACCCTCTTCTCCATCTGGGTCGGCGGCAACGATGGATTCCTGCAGCCAGAGATTGGCGGCGCGACCATCTTCAAGGCCATCGAGCGCTCCATCATGAAGCTCTATCGTGCTGGTCGGTCTGATACATTTTACGCGCAAGTGACAGCAGCTGATGATAGCGCAGGTGGTCGTCACTTCCTGCTCTCGACTCAATCAGACGGCAGTCCCTACTCGGCAGCCTACAATCGGCAGCTCGCAGAGAGCATGCACAAGCTCACGGATACCCTCGGCAACATACACTTCGCGGTGGCAGACAATGCCTCCCTGCTGGCTGACATTGTCGGCGATCTAGGCAAGTATGGCTTCGACTCGCTCTCTCCTTGCATCACGGGCATCTACGAGAACGAGAGCTACAACCCGGCAGCAGTCGAGGGTGCCAACATGGTTCTCGAGCAGAGCCAGGCACTCCAGCGGACTGCAAGTACTTGTGTCGCCCATCCGGAGAGACACGTCTTCTGGGACATCTTCCACCCGTCTGCGAGGCTGCATCAAGTTCTCGCAGACAACACTTGTGCTGTCGTCCTCAAGCGCTGGGGTGTCGCCAGCGTCAAGCCCAGCCAGTCTGCTCTCTCGCCGGTCGGAGAGCCCCTTCCCATCTTTGACTTGTAGAGGCAGCATCACATCAATATCGTACCATCGCATCAATATCACATCAATACAACAACATTGACAGCACTTGCACTTAGACAGAGGGGGATTCCGTATAGCGTGTATGATACCATTAATGAATATCGATCATGTCGTTGCAACCCGTTCAGCGTGCCTCATACCATGCGAGCTCTCTTCCACCCGTGCCCATCGTGTGACGCATGCCTAGTCGCGGCGGATCATCGATCAGTGACTGTGCGAGCTCGACAGCGATGCCTTCGAGATCACGACTGTCTCTGAACTTGACCTGCACGATGCGCTTGGGCTTGATGTCGGGTCGTCTGCCTTTGGCCGGACCACCAACAGGCAAGGTCAAGACGGCATCCCGTCGGCTGAGCCTAATACTGATATCTCTCCCTTGCAATTCGCCAAGCTGAGGATCGACAAGCTCGTCAAGAGCAGCTGCCGTCAGATCCTCGAGTCGCGCTCGCGGCTGATCGACACTGAACAGATCGTTCTCCTTGAAGTTCCTCTCGCCGTGGAGCTCAGACTCTGTCCTGAGCGCATTGATCCTGACCATGAGGACAGCATACTGATCGAGCACCTGCGTCTCTCGATGGCGTGGCGGGATCGCGATGGCCTCTACCAAATCTGTAGAGTGCATTGGCCCGACATCGTACGCTTGATCGAGCGGGTCAGAGGAGAGACCGGGTTGTACTTTGTCAGCGTAGCTACTGACGAAGCGTTGACGGAGGAGATGGCTAGCGAAGAGCCAGAGCAGTCGGCAACTTGGACGGACAGACTCGGCAAGCGTGCGCGATGACAAGCAGGCGAGACTGCGCAAGATCAGGTCGTGGGGTAGGTCTAGTAGCTGTAGTCTCCGACTGCGAGCGTGTGCTGTGGCCGTCGCTTCGTAGGCAGGTGGTGGGAGGCCGTTCATCGTCGAGGTTGTCACTCCACCGGGGCACAAGCGCATAGCGGTGACGCTGTTCGCTCGCTCAGCCGAAATTCGCTGGTCCTTGCTCTTCACGAAGCTGCTGCACGCCAGTCGAGCGGCGTGAGATCACCTCGGACGAAGCATACTGAGCACGGCGAGACTGCTCGCTAGGCATGACAAGATCGCCTCGCTCTCGACTATATCCACCTCGAGCTGCATCATCGGCTGCTCTGCTCGGTCATGGCGCACGATCAGGACACGTCAGGAGCACGCAGCTAGCGCTCGGCAAGTTGCTCGTGCTCCTCACTACGGCGGTACCGCACGTCTTGGCTGTGCCTCTTTCAAGCTACAGGGGCAATGTCATGCTTGATATACTCGCTCATACATCAAAGAAAGACGATCCCGATGCACCTGATGTGACGCCAGGCTCGCCCGAGTTCTGGATGAAGCTCGGCCTCATCGTCGTGCTCGTCCTCCTCGGCGGAATCTTTGCAGGTACATCCCAAGCTTGACAAACGCGCTTTGTCGCTCACTTGGGTCTGCAGGCTTGACGCTCGGTCTCATGGGTCTCGACATGGTCAGCACATCGCCTTGCTGACATGTTCACACTGATCGAGGTACACAGGTCAACCTGCAAGTCATGTCGACGTCTGGCAGCGAACAAGAACGTGATCAAGCCACCAAAGTTCTCAAGCTGCTCAATCGCGGCAGACATTGGGTTCTCGTCGTCCTATTGTCAGCTGAGCACGTATCAGCTATATGCTAAGCTGACGTCAGTTTGATCTGGCAGACTTTCAAACGTCGTCGTCAACGAATCTTTGCCCATCTTCCTGTGAGCAAGACACGAGCTATGCATAGCACTCTGAGCTGACAGATCGACACGCAGTGACTCAGTCCTGGGCGGCGGCGTCGGTGCCGTTGTTGCATCAACTGCACTCGTTGTCATCTTCGGAGAGTACGTCCTTCGCTACCTCTTCAAGACACACGCTGATACAAGGTGATAGGATTATCCCGCAATGTGTGTATATCGCATGATGACGAGCCCAAGCTGATAGTCGTTCACCCACTCCAGCCATTTGCGTGCGATATGGTCTCTCGATTGGCGCTCGCTGCTGTCCCTTTGTGCTGATGTTGATGTATGTCGAGTTTCCCATCGCCTACCCCATCGCCAAGCTGCTCGACTATCTGCTCGGCGAGGATCACGGCACGACCTACCGCAAAGCAGAGCTCAAGACATTCGTCGGCCTGCACCGTCATCTAGGCTCGGACAATCTGGACGAGGATGAAGTGACGATCATCAGCAGTGTGCTCGAGTTGTCCGAGAAGACGGTAGAAGAGATCATGACGCCGATCGATGATGTCTTCTCGCTCGCTGCTGATCAGATTCTGGACGAAACGACTGTTAAGGAGATCCTCGATGCTGGCTATTCGCGTGTACCCGTGCACGAGACCGGCCACAAGGGCAACTTCCTCGGTATGCTTCTGTATGTCGCGCTACTCTAGCATCAGCTCAGAGCTGACCGTCACGAGGCCGGCAGTATCAAAAAGCTCATTACATACGATCCGGAAGATGCCTTTCCGGCGAGCGCGTTCCAGTTGTCAGCTTTACCAGAGACGGGCACAGATATGTCATGCCTGGAAGCGCTCAACTTTTTCCAGCAAGGCCGATCTCACATTCTGCTCGTTTCGAGTACGCCAGGCGAAAACGGTGGCGCGATGGGAGTTGTCAGTCTGGAAGATGTCATTGAGGAGATGATTGGCGAAGAGATCATTGACGAAACAGGTCAGTGACTGTCGGTCCCCGTGTGCATCCAAGCTGACAGGCAAGCAGATGTCTTTGTGGACGTTCACAACAAGATCAAAGTCATTCGCAAGGGCCCACAAGGCTCTGCAAGGGGCAAAGGACTCACGCCCCTCCTTCGCGGCGTCATCGAGCGCAGGAAGGCGGGCAGACCGAACGCCGAAGAGTCCTCCACAACATCGCCACGAAGGAACATCGTTCCCGAATCGCGACCTCAGACACCCATGGCAGTCTCTGATAATCCTTCGTTGACGCTCTCGCCTAGCAATGCAGCTTATGGTACCATCTCGAAGGCAGACAAGGATGCACCAGAGAACGGACCGACCGCTCGCGCATTTCAAAAAGTCAAGCTAAAGGGGGGCGAGCCTGCTCCGCGCAAAGTCGACGTGCTCAAAGACAGGGTACGCAACGGTGCTGTCGAATCCTCGACGACAAGTCGAAGGACGTCTTTTACAAGCGATATCAGGGAGGAAGAAGAGCCTGCGCAGTCGCCCGTTGCGCCCGGCTCAAAAGTTGCAGGCACGGAAAATGAGCCCTTGCTGCGAAAGCAATGAGACTCTTAGCAGCAGCATCTCGCACACTTTGTATACGCAATGCACCATGCATATATGCTTCTACATACTGCAAGCCTTTGCGAGGATATCGAGCGAGACCGTGCGTTGTTGGACTTTGCCCAATCGAATCGCAATCATGGCCGCTAGCACATGCTTGCACTACACAGCGTCAGAGGAGAAAGGCATACCTGATGCTCAAGAACTCACAAACGGATGGCTGGCTTGTAGCAAGCAGACTTGGGCGAACGCAGGACAGGGGCAGAATGGGCGCAGAGAGCTCTTCTCGCCCGAGTCCGTCAAGCCTGGAGTGATCGTGTACGAGCTCGACGATCCGGCAACGACGTAGGCAGAGCGTTCGCTATTCTCGAGCGACGCTTTGCACACTGTCCTCATCACATGAGCCGGCGAGCGATTTAGGCAGATTCAGGAGCCCCAACTTGCCATCGCCATGGTCTACGAGCTCGAGAGCGCCCATGAGGACATTGTCACTGCCGCAGAGTAGCGCGAGCTGCCTGACATTTGCCTCTGTCAACCTGCCCTTGTGGTCACTGCCTAGTTGGGCCACGACGGCGGCGAATGCATCGTCGAGAGCTGATAGCGCTGTCGTGCTTCCCATATGCCATACGCGACCATTGATCTGATCTAGGTGCTACAAGCTCGGGACGAGGGAATGTTGGTACGAGCTGGAGCTGGATGAAGGGCCCAGCAATGGCCTCGCTTGCTGTCGATGACGTCGTCAATTGGCAGAGCTCGGTACGACCCGTACGACGCGAGCGCGACAGCCACGCTTGCGTCGCTTCTGTGCGACACTGCATGGCTCGCTGTCCTTTCATATCTCGGTGGACTCCCTTCTCGATCTTCAAGAACTTCTCCCTGTCTTTCGAAGAAAGCCGTCGGATCTGCCTGACGTCTGCACCATGATCGACCATGACCTCTCAAATCAGGACAACTTTGCGGAAGCTCCGTCAGCTGGTTCCGGCGTTATCCTTTAGCTTCGATAAGCTCAGCTTAAACACTGTCTGAGATCAGCCGCCATCAAGCCCGTCACATCAGCGCGGTCAAATGATTAGTAGGAGCATCTGCTTGTTACCAGCTCATCATGCCTAGCTGCACTCAGTCTCAGCACCAGACCCTCGCCCGAGATCCTCGCACGGCATGGCAAGCTTAATCGCGAACAATGTCGCTGCATTCGCTCCAATCGTTCATCAGAGTCCGGACTGTAGCATTCAGTTAGCGTAGAAGCGTATCAATACGACAGCGACCAGTCAGCGCCTAAGCGTGTCAGCATGTCAACGCCATTCCAACCGGTCAGCGCGTGGATATATTGATCAATCAGCTCTTCAGCATGAAGGCGTCAGCACGAAGGCATCTGTCGATATGTTAGTTTTGTCAGCCAAGTCAGCACGAGAGCAAAGTCAGCTCATGAATAGGTTAGCATGACAGCAAGTCAGTCAGTCAGTCAGTCAGCTCGGCAAAGTGTCAGTAAGATCAGTAGAGTCAGTGCATAAGCGATGTCAGTACGAGAACGTGTCAGTACGGCAGCACGTCAGCAGGGTCAGTATGTCAGCCAAGTCATTACGTCAGTATAGTCAGTATGTTAGCAAGGTCAGCTCTTCGCAGTGTAAGCACGAGCATAATGTCAGCACATGAACGAGTCAGCACAACAGCAGAGTTAGCAGAATAGCAAAGTCAGTACGTCAGCAAAGTCAGCACTTTGGCAGTGTCAGTACGTTAGCAAAATCAGCACGTCAGTAAAGTCAGTACGTTAGCAACGTCAGCATGTCAGTAAAGTCAGTACGTTAGCAAAGTCAGCACGTCAGTAGAGTCAGCACAACAGCGAGTCAGCACGTCAGCAGAGTTAGCACATCAGCACATCATCACAAGAGCAAGTCAGCACAAGAGCAAGCTCATTCAGATTCAGAAGAAACCCAGAAAAGACCAAGACCCTCAGACTCAGCGCGGCGACGCGACTCNCGCNAGCAAGCATGCGACAACACTAAAGCGCTGACCGTCTCGAGAAGCGAGTNNTGAACTTGATGTCCTTGAATGGAANCACTTTCTCGACGGCAGGCTTCTTGACCGGATTGGCCCCCGGCCCAGGCTGAGCTCGTAAGATAGTGCGTTCCGTGCAACCTGGTGAGGTGAGGACGATCTTGGGGATCGCAGGCGCAGAGATCACTGCCGGGCGAGGTCTCGCCGGCTGGTAAGTTCTGACTTGAATGCGGCTGCTGAAAGCGACCGACNTGGTGATGGGTGCAGGGTANCTATGCACGGTCACCGTCTCGTCAAAACGAACTGACTTCTTTGCCTTTGCCTTGAGCTCTATCTTCGGCTTCGTCACATAAGGCGNCATGGACTTGTTGGGTGGTCTGTCCATATCCAGAGTGGCCAGCGTTCCATCGGTAGTGAAAGAGCGCAGCCATGCTGACTGAAGCACGACGTCTTCTTCCCNACCCCAAGTCGGCTTGCGGCGGGAGCGAGGTAGGTTGACGACGATACGTGCGACAGAGCGAGGATAGATCTGGATAGGCGCCGTCTGAGCAAAGTGCGACATGACCGCACAACCCGCCATCTTGACTTGAGGTCTTGACAGCAAGCTTTGAACCATTATAGTAGTAGGCTTATGCAGCTTATAATACGTTCGTATGATGCTTTGAGGCTCGCGAAGGGTACTCTCGTCCAGCAAAAGTAGATCTCTTTGGGCTTCAAAGACTTGGGGGAAAGGGCGAGATGTTCAGTCCTTTTATATGTCCCCTGCCGGCCGAATCGTACGATCTTGCCGATGGATCTTAACCGAGCAAGGAAGAGTGCGCGGGTAGAAAGAGTATCCGTACGTAAGCCACGCGAGTTCGACGTCCTCGACGCGTCCAACGCCAAAATTGCAATGCGACAACCGCCGACCAAATCTTGCAGTATCATGATTCGTCCCCGAACCTGACTGCGATGGGCTTATCGTGAGGGCGAACCGGTTGCCGGGTCTTTACGAGGCTAGACGGGGGTATTGGTCTTTTCGTCGTCGCTCAATACGACTTCGTAGGGATCAGATGCGGATTCGTAGGCATATGCTTGGTCTTCTGAGCGATCTGTCGTGACCATGCCAAGGATGGCGAGTGCAGTTGTACCCGTGAGCGCATCGAAGCCCGAAGCAAAGCGAACAGATCCAGGTGGGCCAAGACGGAATGCGAGTATGAGCAGCACGGCCATCTCGCACAGGATGAGTATTGCGACTGTCGCTGCGTTTCGCATCGAGTGATGTAACGATGGATGTAGTCGATGCCCTGAGATGTTCCTGATGAGTTGTGTGACGGCGATCGCGGCTGCGAGCAAGTGTAATGCACTCAGGATGGCGAGCGCGACCGGCACATGGCGCAAGCTGCTGTCGTCTGCGACGTGCGAGGACCAAATATCGCTGCGGTTGACATTGCCGGACCAGACGCATGAGCGATGATGTGCAAGCTCGGTCTCTTCGATGTAACAGAGCGCGAAGGGACTGAGTTCGATCTTGCGTTCCATAGACCCACCATCAATCGCGAACCTTTCCTCAGCGTATGGCAGCGAAAGCATTCGCTTGTTATTGTTGTTACGCTTTGGCACGATGAGAGAACTATTTGCTAGTCAGCTTGCAGATCGCCACTGCAGAGCATCAGTGAGCTCACCAAAGGGCGCCTGCTAACCCTTCCAGCTCGCTGAGCAGTGAAGTGTCATTCGGGTCCACGTTGAAAAGATCGAAAATATTGCCGAGCTCGCACAAAGGCGGCAGAGCCTGGATTCCCTGCTCTCGAGGGTTAGACAAGGCAAGGGATACGAGAGAGGTGCATACCTTCTTGAGATATTTGATGATCGTGTCTCCAATCCCTCTACGCTGTAGATCGTGTGCCTGGTCAAAAAGCGCAAGATCGGTCGAGTTGCTAAACGACATCCGAGCCTGCGTAGCATTGAGCCATCGCTCAAGCGCATCGACATCGGCTTCTTCAGTTCGCAGTGTAGTCCGGGTGAACTCGAAACCGTCGATATGTGGATTCGTTGTATGCTTGTAGCGCAAGAGAGCTTGATTCGATAGGGCGGTTGGCCCGAGGTGAAGTGTTAGAGGTACGATCAGTAATCCACATGCAACGAGGGGCCAGAGAGTCGTATACACTCTCGACAGTCGATCTGCACACCTGCTTACTGTCATCGTGCTGTAGAGTAGCACGACGGTGTCTCAGAGCAAGGGACTGTTTTTGTGGATCCCAAGAGAGAGGCTCGTCCGCCTCGAAGAGCGTGAGTCAATGGTCAGCTCTGCGCACAGACCCAGTCGGCTCGCATGCAAAGAGGAGCAAGACTGCAATGATCACATCATGCAGCGTTGGCAGACACCGCGAGCTGCTCGACTTCGCTCTGCGTAACAGGTATTGCGGTCTGTTCGAGCTGTGCGCGTGCGATCGTTCCCATTTTGCCTGGTCGGAAGTGTTCCGCTACTTCGACATAGCCAGCCATGGGTAGACTCTGCCTTGTGATGAACTCGCTTTTGACGGGCAGCTTTGCAGCGGCCAGCTTGAGCGCTACTCGATGGTTGTCAATCAGCGCGTCGGACGAGAAAGGAGCATGAACGAACCTGTCTTTGCGATCTCTGGCCGTATGTCACCGCCTCCTACTTCGAAGAGGACTGTCCCTATTGGCGCTCTGCGGCTATACATCAGCTGGCTGCACAATTGAACCAAGCTGACGAGCTTACCTGCAGGACCAATACTCGAAAGTACCCTTGCCCTTGCCCATACGAGTCTCGTTGCCCTTGATGCAGACAGGTATATCGGGGAAGACCCTCAAATAGCTGCATGCCCTCAATCAGCCTGAGTTGTGTATGACAGCCAAAGAACAGCAGACCATTTGGCGCCCTTGACGGGTTTGATGCCTCTTTTGATGGCTGCCTCGCATGACGTGAGGACTTTGGCAGCCAGCTGACATCCCTCTTTGACTCTCAATCCATAGTCTCCATGCTCTACTGTTGTGCCTACGGTCGAGCCTCCCGTACGAAGAGGTACCCGGCCTTTCTGCGCTTTGCGATACTTTGTCCGTCTGGGGAAGAGCTGGGACCGATGTCGGACTTGCTGACCTGTCAGTTGGGATGACGGTCCGACGAGCAGGCTCGGCGAGAGAGCGCTCCTCAGTCCGCACAGTGAGGCCAGCATCGTCATGGTGCCTGCGCTTGTCGATCAAGCGCGCAATTCTTGGGCGGACCGTCGATGCAACGACTGCTCACACAGAGGCTCTCGCTTCGATCTCTGCCAAGAGCTAGACCACTTCACATCAGGATGTCATCAAGCGGAACGAATCAGCAAGTCTACGACGAGCAGCTGGGCGACACGCCCGAGTACTATTACTTGTGTACCTGTCCCGATCTCAAGGACAGCAAAAGGTAGGCGCTTGCAATCATCTACATCGGCCGTTTAGCCCATCCATCGACGGACAGGATGAACGTTCGTGCGCAGCATTTCGAGGGCGTAGAGGCAGCGCACAAAAACGGTCATCTGCGTACGCGCTCTTTCCACATTGTCTTTTGAGCAAGGCCTGACGCAGTGCGGTAGCATTCGCGGGAGCGATGCTTTCGGACGATCCTGCAAAGAATGACGCTGCCAAGATGATCGGCAGCGTGATGATCTATCGCGCGAGATCAATCGAGGATGCCCGTCGAAAGCTCGAAAGCGACATCTACGTCTCAGGCCAGGCGTGGGACATCGCCAGGACGACGATCCAGCCCATAAGAGTGCCGCCCATCTTCTTAGGCAAGCAATAAGCTTGAGCAAGCAATAGGCTGTATGAGCTCATGCAGGCGGATTGATGCGTGCTGCGCCCTTGAGCTCTTCGTATTGCTCATTCTTCTTGTCCTGCACGCGTTGCAAAAAGTCTTGCTTCTCGAGATAGCCGTCTTTGCGTGCCTTGGCAAGATCATCAGAGATCTTCTCCTTCGCCACAAACTTGTTCCAGTCGTGCTTTGACTTTTCGAGCGTCGTCATCTTGGGCGGCTTGAGTCCGAGCTTGGTGTGCATATCCAGCAGCGACGTACGAGGTCTGCGATGACCTGGTCGAGCCGAGGTGAGCGCAGGTCTGCTGACATCCGCTGCCGTCTGTGGTTCGCCAGCGGCTTGCTCGTCGTTGGCAGGTAAGCCCTGAAACGCTCTTGCCTCGGCAGAGTCTTCCTCCACTTCGACTTCCTGTCTGTCGATCGAACACTCGCATCAGTATGCTCAGAGACACCTTGATGGTGCGTGACCCACTCGACCTGTTCGCCCGCAAAAGTATACTTGCGCGTGATCCTTATCATCTTCTTGGTGGACACAGGCACATTATGCAGGGTCGCTTTTGTCGCATCTGCTGGTGCTGTCGCTTGTAGTGCTGATGGAGGAGCTGTGTCGTTATTGAAGAGCGCCCACAAATCGTCAACAGCTTCTTTGGTCAGACTGTCCATTGAAGCTCAATGAGACGAGCTTGGAAAGGCTGGGCAAGCTCTGGCATACCCCTTGTCTACTGATTCAGCTGGTGCATGATCATGCTTGGCACGCTTGACCTTCCTGCGCTTGCTCCGGCCGTCACCGTTGGACCGCTTGCCACTTGCGCCCAAATGTTCGTCAGGCTCAACTTCGTCGCCTGACACGGCGCCAAAGGCTTCCAGCTCTGCATTCTCTCCGTCATCCGAATCACTCGAGTCCGACGAAGCATCAGAGCCGTTCGCTTCGGCTTTGCTCTTGCCTTTGCGCCGTCCATTGGATTCCTCGTCCGGTACGACGAAATCCTCATCTTCCTCATCTGAGGGCAAGAGGTCGTCGTCCTTGGCTTGCTGACCAGCTTCTGCCCTGAAGATTGCCTGCGCAGCTACTGTCGCCTTGCGGGTCGGTCTGAAGGACATCTCGATCGTAGCGAAGTTGTCGGTTTCAGGGGAAATGTCAATCAGATCAGACGCGACTGCTGCATGTTGTCTGTGGCGAGGACTCCACCCATCGACAAGTCATCATGCATGGTTAGGGTTAGCTTCCAACACAGGTTCCTCGGCCGCGGCGGCTGCTTGTCTCGCTTCCTCTTCCTGCCTTTCTTCCTCTTCGACGACTTCGATGTCGAGCGGATATGTCAAGATTGCAGCGACTCCAGTCAGCTGATTGAGCTCTATTCGGCAGAAAAGCGGCCGTTAGCCCAAGTGAGGTGTCACAGCAGTGGAGGCTTACGCTCGCCGCTCTCGTGCATGCTGCTAAAGATGAACACTTCGCCTCCGTACCGCTTGACTTCCTCGACCAATTGCACAAATCGACGCCGACGCTTAAAGTCGCTCGATCTGCTCCTCGTCATCAGACTGACTCAGGGTGCAGAACAATCAGAGGCTCACTTGAAGAGGTTGTCTGATATGAGCAGCGTGCCAATAGCGCCTCTTTCGGCTGCCTTGAGCACATGGCTCTCTCCATACCAAGCGCGCAGCTCGTCCGTGCTGAGCATGCGGAAGAATCTGTTGCACATTCAGCACAAGGGAAGAATCGCTGGAGAAAGACGAACTTGTCTAATGCAAGTCCTTCGCGCGCAAATTTAGTATCCTTGAGTTGCGTCGCAATCTGTGCAGATCAAGTCAGCTTCCGCTTCTTGTTCACAAGCAGACCAGACGCACTTCCGGACTCGATAAGACCTGCGTGAGCGCATGCACGTGGTGCGAAGACGAGTGCACGAGCAAGAACTTCGACCGCGCCACCAGCAGGGGCTTGTTCGACGTGCGCGCTGCTTCCGCGAAGATGAAGTCAAGGACACCCTCTTTGGTGAAGCCGGGCGAGGCTATAATGATGGCTTTGAGCTGATCGAGATCGAAATGCCGTTGTATCGCTTGGTAGATTTGCATATGATACCGTTGCGTAGCCTGTCGGTCCATAAGCATCTCTGGACGGCCACCAGGAGAGACGCTACCTTTTCCTGTCCTAGGGCAGTACCGCCGCCTTTGCGCTTACGAGGCACAGCGACTTCGATCCGCTGTCTGACGATGGTCGTATGTTGAGTGATCAAGCAGACATTCGCTTGACCTGTATGCATGTCAATAATCCCTTAGTGCTCCACGCATTTTTCCGCACCATTATTGCAAATGACAGCACCGACTTCGGCTGATGTTCCTTCCTGACATGCGTCTTGCACTCGCTCGAGAGCTATACTGTCCCATTCGCCAGGCTCTTTGATGATAGTGAAATCGCGTCCGGGCTCGAGATCGAGCGTATGGAAAGAGCCCATCTTGACATGCTGAGACTCTGCATCGACAGGTCCAGAGAGGTGGAGCGTCGTGCCCTCGCCTCCCGATGAGCCGGGCCCGCATGCAACGGTGGCGGGCGCGTCATTGGTCGTGGAGGTGAGCCCGTTCTCGACTGTGCCTGCGTTTGCTGTGGCCGAGAGCGAGGAAGATGAGGCTGCGGCCGAGAAGGCAATCTTCTGTACCTTGATGGTCAAGTTGAGCTTGATGCGATGAGACTCGACAGAGCCCGTTGAAGACTCGGACTGGATGCGTCGCACTGCACCAGCTCGCACGCGGTCACCCTCCTGGATGAGGTTGTAGGCATGCCAGATGTCTTCATCCCGCTCAGCCCGGAGCACGATGAAGCCGCTCAGATCTTTGTCGATGTGCCGCTTGACGAGGCGCATTTGCGCAAGAGAGGATAAACGTGGCGGGCGCTCAGATGGACCGAAGAGCCAGACTCAAGCAAAAGTAACAATATGACGTTTAAGACGGGTGCTTCAATGCATCGGTACAACGAGTGCTGCTCTTACGATGAACGTGATAGGGAACCGTTTAGTTCTTGAGCTTCTGCTCGTAGCCCTCGGACCTGGATCTAATGTCAGCACGTTGACACAACAATCGGTCTGGGAAAACGTACTTGGCGTCGTGCTTGGACTCATCCATCTTGTCGCTGACGGCATCCTTTGCGGCGGTTGCGCGCGTGCTGAGGGATGCGTCGTCAGACTTGGCGACCTACACGTCGACCAGGGTCAGCTGATGCGGTGCAAAGCAGGGAAGATGACATACGTTCTTGTTTGCCTCCTTGCTGGCGGTGGCACCAGAGCCTTGAACGGTCTCCGAGACTGTAGGGAAAGGAAAGACGAGGTCAGGCAGGCAGACACGAGGTCACGGAACGAGACCAACCGTAGTTAGCGGCTGCAAAGAGGAGAGATCCATCAGCAACGGCCTGGGGCGCGTAGAGGGGGAAGTACTAACCGTCCTTGACAGTCTGCATCTTTGCTTATGTATATAAAGTGTGTGTAGTACGGTAAAGCTTTGCCAAAGGTGAGGTGAAGACGAAGGAGCGGTTACGACGCATTTATGTACTGCGTTGTGACGTCACGGCTGACGGGGAGCAAGGCGATCGCCGATCGAACACGACCCGACACGACGACGCGTGGCCTGTAGAACCGGATTGGAAAGAAGGGTGTCGCGCGCGCTAGTTCATCCGCCTTTCGCTTGACTGAAAGGCTGCTGGCCTTGCACTGATCTCTCAGACCCGACTGCGCGACTAGATCTCATTTGCCCAAGGATCGCACTTAGCAAAGCGGCCCGTTCACCAGACACACATCTGACGACCGACACACACACACACACACACACACACACACACACACACACACACACACACACACACACACACACACACACACGCCAACACGCACCATTTGACAGAGGCTGGACCTCTACATTGACTTGATTTGATACAAAGGCAAGCATCTCCAGCGAGCCAGCAGACGGGGCGCTGACTTGCGAAATGAATCCCCCAGATGGATCGCCAGTCTGCCCAGTACTTCTACCAGAAGCAAGCGCGCAAGGCAGCACGAGAGATGGGCACACCCTCGCCTCCAGATGGTCGCTCGCCCATGTCACATCAGGCTCAAGCGAGCTACTTTGCCGCGCCAGCTCCTGCAAGGCAGCAAGCAAGACAACCGTATAATCCCGGTATGCGCAGCAGTCCATCCTTTCCACCCCCTGCCTATACACAACAGCCCACAGCTCAGTATGCACCTCAGCCTCAACGCAGCGCGCGCTCCAACGCACCTCGCGAGCTCGTCTTACCCGCACGACAGGCAGCCGCATACGTCCGCCCGCCCCTTGCAAGCGCGGCCAGTGCGACTTCAACTCTCGTCGGTTCGCCGGACTCGCGCAATGGCAGCTACAAGAATGCAGCGCTAGCCCATCGCGACGATTTCGACGACAAGCACGCTGATCCTGAGAACGATCGCTTCGTCCTTGCAGGCGAGAAGAATACTCGCGCCGTGCTCAATAACGAAGAGACTGGACAAGACCGCTTCTGGAAACGATTCTCAGTCGCGCAGAAGACTTCGCAACAACAAAATGCGAATGGGTGAGCATGCTGGCCAGACCGCAATCATTACGGTGCTGACATGTCTCGCAGGGGATGGCTTGAGGCCGAGCAGCGTAAGACGCAAGGCTTCGTCAAGTGGGTCTGGCTAGCCGGTCTCCTCATCCTTGTCGTCGTCGGCGCAACGCTCGCGTATCACTTTACACACATGCCCAAGACAGGCGGCGTCATCGAGCCACCTACACAGCACAACTTTAATCTCGGCCCAGCGACGACGACAGCTTTACCTCAGACGACTCAGGCGCTGGACGCCGATCTCGTACTCGGCAAACGACACCTAAGTAATGACTTGCGAAAGCGACACCGCGGTCAACACCGCCTTTCTTGAATTCTTCCTGGCTTGTATGATTCGGCACATGCTTTCTATCATGATATGTAATTGACGACAACAATGCACTGCTGTTTCTAGTATTTCTTTACGAGTGGGGTCGACAGCTACAGCCCTCGCTGCAATCGAGGCTTTCCGGGTCAGTGTGTATGTCTGTGAGAGCGCCGATGCTCTGGATCGAGTCTGCCATACGATTGGACTCGTTCTCGGCATCAGAATTACTCGTATGGCTCGGTGTCGCCGCCGTGCTCTTGGACTGTGTCGTCGAGTGAGATGGAGATAAGCCTGGTACGCCAAGGAAGGGCTCTGGGGAGCCAATCTGGGATCGTATGCCACCGACGATGCTCGCTTGGGCCAATGCACGATGTGTGGGCTTACTCTTGGACGGTCTGCGGATCGTTGCGCGTGGCACACTGGCCATAGGTCGCAAGGCAGCACTCCGCTGTCGCGTTGCGCCTAGGTCGGGCGAACTTGCACCGGAGGGTAGATCGAGCATATGACCCATGCGTTGTACTTTGGTCTCGAGATACTTGTCGAGCTCTGTGCTCTGCGTCATGCCCGCGCCTATCATGCCGACGCCAGACCGTCGCAGGATATGATTCTCGTCAGATTCTGCGCCAGAATCCGAATCTTCTGGGTCGGTAGAGAAATCGAGCACATCTGTGCGAACGTCCTCTTGACGCCTCTTATGCCGCCGGCGGTGTGTCGAAGCGAGCTGCGTACGCCAGGCTCGAGGTACCATCGGTACGCGTTCTGCGACGGAGATTCCCTCGCGTTCGAGCTGCTGCATCTTGTCCGGGTTGTTCGTCAGCAGATTGAGCTGATCGATACCTAGATCTCTGAGGATAGCGGCAGCAATATCATATGTGCGTAGATCTGCGCCATGACCCAAGAGGAGATTTGCAGTCACGGTGTCATGACCGAGATCTTGTAAGTTGTAGGCCCTTAGCTTCTCGAGCAAGCCGATGCCTCGGCCCTCTTGTCGAAGATAGACGATGACGCCTCGACCAGACGGATGTGTAGCGATCAATCTGAAAGCTTCGTCCAGCTGTTCGCCGCAGTCGCACCGCTGAGACCCAATAGTCTCGCCGGTAAAACATTCGCTGTGTATCCTGACCAGCGGCGGCTCGCTCATCATGTTCACGCCTGTGGCGCGATCCACAGGTTCTACGTACTCGACCGAGGTAGATGGCTCGGCGTGGGCGGCAGAGAGTCTGCCGACGAAAGCGCCTCGGACAAGTCGTTCCGTCTCTGTCTCTGTGTTGCGCCATCTGGCATCAAGCGAGCGTGATCGGATATATGTCGCCTGATCTGTGCCGACCTGTGCTTCGTTGGGCTCACTGAGCTGGTTGCGATCCATGACGAATGCAAGGTGCTCTTTGCGGTCCTTGCTATTGCGATAAAGATGCAAGAACATCTCGCCGTGCGGCGTCGGCACCCTTGTGCGTACATGACAGACGACCTTGACAGGCACAGGAACAGGCGCGGGCGCTCTCGAGCCAGAGGTGCTTTGCCGATGTGCGCGTGCTCGTACCGGCGGTTCAGAGGGAGGAACGATCCAAGAGGGCTGTTTCGCCCAGGTCTTCTCCCTTGCCAGATCCTCGAGCCGCTCTCTGGCTTTCTTCTCCTTGCGCTCGCGTTCCTCCCTGGCCAGTCGCTCTCGTCGGGGTGCCTGTCGAGAGATGAGGCGTACTTTGTGGCCCTCCTTGTCCCGTATGCGCAGCCCGGTCACTGCTTCCGCGAGATCTTCTTGCTCAAGCGCATCGTCTGCTTCGATGTCGCATCGCTGGTAAGGGTTCAGATGGGGATAAAACTCGTGCAGGAAGTGATTCCTCGTCACTCTGTGCTCCTTTCAGCATGCTGACCGAACAGCCTACAACGAGCAAACGCACTGTGGACCGCTCAGAGCTGCAGTCTCCAAGATGAGCGGATCGAGCTGGGGCCGTCTGTCCCAGTTCTTGAGCCGAGCGACGTGAGAGCCGGCCTGAGAGTGATCATCCAGATTGTCTCGAGATGAAGAGGCGATGGGCGCAGCGGCCAGTCCGGCGACGTTAGCCCTCGTCAGCGCTGGTGTTGGCGCTCCCGTGAGACCACGAAGGATGGCCAGATCGCCAGGAGTGACCTCCGTCATTGCCGTTTGCGAGTGACGTTCGATTTATTAGCCGGTCGACAAATTCTCTGAGGAACCCCGAGCGGATGCTCCATGCGACGCCTCGGTTCCGCCAACATGACCTCGTACCACTCGGCACACACATCGTCAAGAGGTACAAGTCAGGCTCGAGCGGCCAATGGCTCAGACGAGCGGCCAAGGATCCTCACAAACGCACCCGTGCAGTCGAGCATGACTCTGTCCAGCCCATCTCCCGGGCGTATCACAAGCTCGCAGAGATTGACAAGCGATTCAGACTCCTCCGTCCGGGCATGATCGTCGTCGACGCTGGTGCTGCTCCCGGTGCATGGTCACAATACGCCTCGTCTCGCATTGAGCCAGATGGCGCAGTGCTCGCAATCGACTTGTTAGCCCTTTCGCCTCTCGCTAGCATACTCCCAGGAGTACAAGCCTTCAGAGGCGACTTCACCAGTGCTCCTGTGACCACTAGATTCGTCCAGGCCATACGACAGCATACAAGCCTGACATCGCGTCAAGCGGCCAAAGTCGATGTCATTTTGAGTGACATGTTGGGCAACCTGTCTGGCGATGACGTGCGAGATAGCCAGCACTCGATCGATCTTTGTTCTGCCGTGCTCGACTTTGCCCTCGCCCACCTTGCGTCGGCAAACTCGGCAGCGCTCGTTATGAAGCATCTCGCTTCCGACATCGCTACTGCCTGGCAAAGGGACTCCTTGGAACCTCGCTTCGAACGCGTCCAGGTGTTCAAGCCAGTGTCGTCAAGAGACGAAAGTCGCGAAGCCTTCTTTGTCTGTCAGCGGCCACGCTGGCGTTGAGCTCGCCTCAAAGACTTTTACGAATCGTTGGCAGACATATCCTTCTTGTCTCCTCTCGTTGCCAAACGTAACGCCTCGTTCTACGCGCGACGATGATCATCTGATACCAGCAAAGGAGCAGGAGCAAGGTCAATATTATACTGCAGACCAGTACGCTCGTAAGCCATGCGCTGAGCAGTCTCCACCCGAGGCTGACACCTGCCATGCAAGCTCGACCGAGACTCGCAACAGCCGCTCGATCTGTCGAAAGTATCCTGACTCCCGATCGCTCGGCAGCCATGCAGCCCTCGGTGAGGCCCGAGCTCATCACTACAAGACATGCATACATGTCATGCGATACAAGCAGTACAATAAGATAAGCAACAAGCGGCAGTGCTGGTAGCATTCAGAGCAATGTGGCGAGGCTATCTAGTGCAGCGCAGACGTAATCTATGGTAGGACGATCTTGTGCTTGCGGCGATGTCATGGAGCGCAGGAGCTCTCGGAGCGATTCCGGCACGACGTGTACACCGTCTAGAAAGTATTGCAAGGGAGTGTGGTCAGAGTAGACCTCTGTACTCGTGTTGGCATAGTCATCGTGTAGATGTTCCTGATCATCTGACCATGCGTCATCGAGGGGCGAGATTGGACTCCTGCGGGAGGTGTCCGTTGGTGATATTGGAGAGGGAATCTTGTCGATCTCTCGACTTTCGTCCGCATCGATCTCAGGACGGAGCAATGTCGCTACTAGGCGCGAGCTGATGTGCTGCTTGATGGGTGCGCCTGTTGATGGCGTCGCTGCAGCACCGAACGAAAATCGAGCTGCATCATTCAGCGACCCAGACAGAGAGCCAGACAGATTGCCGAGGTCATTCAGCCCGAAATCAGTCTGCAGACTATCGCTACGACCGCGGCTGCTCTTGACGCTGCTCTTGCGCGAGAGCGCTTCCGTCGCGAGCGAGATCGAAGTCCTCGTCTTGCTATGCTTCGGCGTGCCGGCGACAGAAGAGGCTCTGCTGCTCGATGTGCCCATCATCAGGCGTTGGCGCTCCTCCCATTCCCAGTAACCGCCGCGCAAGACCCATAGCATCTGCTCGACTGGCGAGGAGATACCTCTGTACGGCTCACCACCGACGATGAGGGTATTGAACGTCACGCCTAGAGCAAAGATGTCGGCCTCGAACGAGAAGGAAGAGGGTGGAGGTCTGACAAGCTCTGGAGGGTTATAGACAGTCGTGCCGAGACCTATGGGGTCATCGGGCAGTGGCCGTCGTCGAGAGATGGGGCGGGAGGCGCCAAAGTCGGAAAGTCTCACTGACCAATCAGCTGCAAGCTGCTCAAACCTGACATCAGCCACAACACAATCGTGACATTGGCAAGTAGCTGACCAGTACGTTCTGAGGCTTGATATCCGCATGTAAGATCCCTCGATGATGGCAGCAAGCAATAGCAGACGCGAGTTGGATTGCCCATCTAAACCACATCTTGCGCGATAGCCGAGTCGGCTCCGCTCGCATGAGCGAGTACAGGCTTCCATGGGGGCAGTATTCAAGCAGCAAGATGAGTTGGGATGTACCGCGAGTCTCGTGGGGATGCTGCTCATGCGCACTTTGTATGGAAGCCAATCCGTGCCGCTGTCCGCGCGGGTGATGGAAAGAAGCGGGTTGACGGGCAGATTCTGAGCGTCGAAGTGACGAGCGATCGTCAGAGAGCGGCAGAAAGGCATCATTTGATCCAGATGCGATCGGCGTATATGGCTCTTGCAGGCTGGTAGACAATGGCGCGGCATGCGAGTCCGCATGAACGCCAGGTGGCAAAGGCACTTCGACAGCGCGTGGTATTTGATGGCGCTCTGCGTCTACGTGCGTCCGTCCCATCGCCCCGCTGACGGCGCGAGAATGATGAGAACTCATGACACCGAGCGAGCCCGATCGCGGCCTGCCCTCTGCTGTACGTAGCTGCATCTCCTCGACAGGAGCAACATCGAGGTGTCTCAGGTGTCTGTTCAGGCTCAGCTTGGGCTTGGGCAGTCCGAGTCCTAATTCTGACGTGGCGGCTGCCTGTTGAGATCGCAATGCAACACCTGGCAAATTCGGCTCGCTCTCGACACCGTCCAGCTCGCTTTTGACGCCCAGGAGGCCTAGTAGATAGCACCGACCTGGCTCATTGACATCTGCAGAGTCAGATAGTCGGCTGCGGGGCGGACGAGCCTTGCCAAGCTTGCCCATGATGAACGCCTCTGTCAATCCTTCGAGCTGCGATTCACGGTCCATATGGACTTGCTTTGCAGCACATAGCTGCCATGCACCCGGACCCTCGCCATGGGCCTGCTGTGCGTACGACGACAAGAAGACATCGGCATGCCGGCCGGAGCCTAGCCAGAACTGCCGCGTCTTGTAGAGCCTAAGCTTGACTGATGACGACGATGGCAGAATATCGGGCAGAGAGGGGCGCTCGTGAGAGCCGGGCGTAAGCAGGCCTGGCTCATCGCTGGAATGCGGCGTCAAGAGTCCCAAATCGAGCGAAATGATAGGCACCGGCGGTACAGCTCTGTCAACCTTGGGCAACGGGCTATCGAGCCAGGAACGGCGCGGCGTCGTCGAAGAGACACTGTTCTGTTGTACGAGAGTGGCCTGATCTAGCTTAGAGCCATATCGAGGCTCGCTCTGCCAGCCTGCGTCTGCCCAAGGGGGGGCTGGCGTAGGGTTTGGTAGGTCAGGCGCCTCTGTACGCCAAGAAGTGCCAAAGATGTCGTTCTTGCTCCTCCTGAGGGCCATAGCGGGAGCAGTCTCACTCTGAGACATACCGCCCGACATCTCGAGCCGCAGTCCGTACGACTTCGCGTCCAGACTGGTCGCTAGGATCGTTGGTGACGTGCCCGACTCGTTATAGCAATCGTGCAGCTTGAGACCTTGCGAACATGCCAGCTGATTGAGAGGCTCCCGCCTGCCAGTCTATGTGCCTCACCGATGCGATCTTGATCCCAAAAGAGGCGAGCATCTCGTTCGCTGCCTGCTGTTCGTCGACTGGCTTGCCTGCGCGCTTGGCCAATTGGCGCGGCGCCTAAATCAAAAGTGCTCTGTGCGAGGCACCCGGCCTGGCTGATCAACACATCAATGTCCTTGTCTGACACTTGCAATGTCTCCACTAGATCCACCGACTTGGGCAGGGGATCCTGCACGGACACATCACAATGACTGCCTTGGTGCAGAGCGCGGGGACAAATCAGATCTCACGCGGCTCTTTGCAACGACTAGCCAGATCATCTATCGTACGTGAGGTGCTCAATATGCCACGCAGCAGTGAGTTTATTCCTCGTCGTCTGCAATTTCAGACTCCTCCACGACCGGCTATCATGTTCAAGGCATGCCATTGGAGCGAGTCGAGATGCCTGTGCCAGAATCAATCCAACGCTGGCTTGGCCACGATCAGCTCGATGCTGTCCTGACCGATGGCAAGCTCGTCGGCATGCACAGAGCGCTCGTCATGCCTGCAAGCGTGACGATGGTTGACGACGCGTGCTTGTCTGCCACCGGGCTCTTTCTGATCTCGGCAGGGCGCAACTTGTGGCTCGGCTCGGCAAAGTGTGCAAGCTCATGGACTTGTCTCAGCGAAGAAGCCAGCGAGCTGGAGCAGCTTGTCGCTGGCGGCGCGCACTTTCTGCTCCTGAGCCAGTCAGGCGGGCTGTCGGGGATGGGCGATAACCGATTTGGTCAGTTGGGCGTCACGCGACCAGTCCGAGTCGAACGTCCGACGCGAATCGAGACAGACGAGCTCGAGATCGTTCAGATAGCAGCAGGCGATCTTCACAGCGCATTTGTAACTCGTCAAGGCGGTCTCTACGTTTTCGGAGACGACACGAATGGTCAAGTTGGCGGTCTGGGAGGAGGCGAGCCTTGCTTCGTCGACCTGGGCGAGGATGTCGATGTGCAGTCTGTTCTGTGTGGAACCACGTATACCATCGCTCGCACCACCCAAGGCGCTTTCGTGGCCGGCACTGACGCGCACCACGAGCTCGGGTCGTTCGGTCGGGCGACTTACCCCGCCTTCGTAGCTGTCGACTGACATAGCCAGCCAATTGGGCGTTATGCGCTTCGGCCAACCGTTTTTGCAACTTAGATAGCATGTCCGACCCCACGGGGCTTGCACTCAAAGCCTGACGCGTGGCCAGGCACCAGTGGAGCAGCCTCGCAGTTCATTCTGCACGACCACGCGCGGCAGAACAGAGGCGCACCCCGACAGCTCGCGAGGTCGATCTCCGCATGTACGAAGGATTGGGTCAAGAGACCCCTTCTCGCAGCAGCGCAAAGACTCGACCCCCCTCCTCGATCCCAAAAGGCATGTCCGATCAGTGGGGTCTTGGCAGCTAGAACCGAATTGCTGTTGGGCTCAACCTGCAGTCCTGATCGTCTGACCATTTCTAGCTTTCCATCTTCTTGATCGTGAACCGTGCTAGTGTAATACGCCGGAGTTCGGCAGCGCGCAGACCTTCCCGAAACGTGGACAGCGCGGGCGAGAAACGCGGGGGAGAGAAAAAGTGGGCGCGAGGTTGGCTCCAGACTTGGCTGCGACTTTGCGCCTCAAAAGGTCATATAAAGCTTGCTGTGCATCTCGCCCCTGCACTCGACACACTTGCAAGCTCGCAAAGATGGCTTCACACCTCACCGATGAGAAGAACAGCATCAGTTCGATGGACAAGACGGGCTCGCCTCAACACCAGCAGCCTGTCGTTCGCTCCCAGCCAGCAAAGGGCAAGTATGCCATGGACCTGTCTGCCGCCTCTGGCAAGTCCAAGGTCCCTGCCATCCTCATGGTCACCTTTGCTGCCTTTGGTGGTCTCCTCTTCGGGTAAGCAACCTTGCTGGCTAGCATCATGTTCTACTTGCCGATGCTCATCTGACCTCAACAGCTATGATACCGGCTACATCTCCGGTGTCAAGGCCATGCCATACTGGCTCCAGTCGTTTGGCTCGCCTGACGCGACTGCCGTCTCTGGCTACAGCATCACCACTTCTCAGGATTCGCTCGTAACCTCAATTCTCTCGGCCGGTACCTTCTTTGGCGCTCTCCTCGCTTTCCCTCTCGGTGATCTTGCTGGTCGCAAGCTCGGTATTCAGCTAGCTTGCATTGTCTTCTCCATCGGTGTCGCCCTGCAGACTGCTGCCACCAAGATCCCCCTCTTCGTCGTCGGTCGTGTCTTTGCCGGTCTCGGTGTCGGTATGGTCTCGTGCCTTGTGCCCATGTACCGTGCGTTTCGATCTGCTTCTCTCATGCCATGACCAGAGCTTACCCGCTTCTTGCAGAGAGCGAATGCGCGCCCAAGTGGATCCGTGGCGGTATCGTAGCTTGCTACCAGTGGGCCATCACCATCGGTCTATTGCTCGCCGCCATCGTCGTCAATGCCACCAAGAACCACGACAGCGCCTCAGCCTACCGTATCCCCATCGGTATCCAGTTCGTCTGGGCAGCTATCCTTGCCGGCGGTATGGCACTCTTGCCCGAATCGCCTCGCTACCTCATCATGAAGGGCCGCGACGAAGCCGCCCGCCGCTCGCTCGGCCGCGTCCTGACTGCCGATGCCGACAGCACTGAGGTCAATGAGGAATTCGCAGACATCACCGCCGCTCTTCAGCACGAACGCGAGATTGGTGCCACGTCATACCTAGACTGCTTCCGATCTGGCGAAGGCCGCAACGCTCTCCGTTCGCTCACCGGTATCTTCCTCCAGGCGATGCAACAGCTCACTGGTATCAACTTCATCTTCTACTACGGTACTACCTTCTTCCAGCGCTCTGGTATCAGCAATCCCTTCCTCATCACCATCGCCACGAACGTCGTCAACGTCGGTATGACCGTCCCAGGCATCCTGCTCGTCGATCGTGCTGGTCGTCGTTGGTTGCTCATCTACGGAGCTATCGGCATGTGTGTCTGCGAGTACCTCGTCGCCATCGTCGGTGTCACCATCTCCACCTCCAATGAAGCCGGCCAAAAGGTCCTTGTCGCATTCGTCTGTATCTACATTGCCCACTTTGCTGCCACCTGGGGTCCTCTCGCCGTACGTTCCTTCCGGCCCTTTTCAAAGTAGTCGACTGACATGTCTTGCGCAGTGGGTCGTCTGTGGTGAAATCTTCCCGCTCGCCATTCGCGCCAAGGCAATGTCCATGTCCACCGCTTCCAACTGGCTGTGGAACTTCGGTATCGGCTATGCCACTCCTTACCTCGTCGACTCTGGCCCCGGTAAGGCTGGCCTCGGTGTCAAGGTGTTCTTCCTTTGGTACGTCGTGACACCAGCCTAGCGCCCATACAATACTAACGATGCCACTGCAGGGGCTCCACATGTCTGCTGTGCATTGTCTACGCCTTCTTCCTCATCCCAGAGACAAAGGGTCTATCGCTCGAGCAAGTCGATATCCTGTACCGCAATTCTTCGATCCTCAACTCCAACAAGTACCGAAGACAATTGATCCAGCAGGATGTCCACGCTGCCGACGTCGAGGGCGCAGCAGCATTGCCAGAAGACAAGCGACCGGCACTGCTCAACCCTACCAAGAGCAACACCGGCGAAGTCGAGCACATTTAATCGCACCTTAAAAATTCGTTGTAAATGATCGGGCTAATGTCGCAATGCAAGGACCAGGGTATATGAAAACGTGTGCAATGAAGCTGTCGCTTGTGCACTTCTCCGTGACTAGAGCGACCTGGTAATATTGATCTATGAAGCGATGTGATGCCGGTTGGCATTCAGTTGACAACTCTCAATTGCTGTCGAGGAATAGTTACGACGGCAACATCGCGCGTGTTCATCTCTCGCTCGAGCTGATCGTCATCGTCATTCGAATCCCATTGTGCGTTGTGCAAGCCTCCATGGCCTTGCACCCAGGCTGCGATCAGGTTCTGTTGCTGACACGCAGGATCCGGCTTCACTCGTTCGTCTAACTTGCCGTGCGACCGCCACCGATAAAGTAGTGTGACAAAGAGTGATGCTGCTTGTCCAGGCCGACCGCGCAGAGCTAGAAGTATGACGGCAATGTAGAAGCCCGCCACGATGCAGCACAGAAGTGCAAACAGGCTTTGCCGCCAGCTCCATGCCGCGCCAAGCAAGAGTGCCACGCCAAATCCGATCACGGCATGCGTCAAGCAGCGGATTGCTATAGCGAGCCGGCTGAAGTCACTTGGGTTGTCTGGATTTACTAAAGATAGCAGCCGGAGGGCGGGCGATTGTCGTGGAGGAGCTTGCCACAACCCTGACTGGATCGGACCCATGCTGAGCTCGCTCATTGACCTGCCTTGTATTTTCAAGCTCGTCGAACTTGGCTCAGGCGAGTGCTGCCCAGGCAGAGCGAGAGTGCCCTGGCTGGCGCGAACGCGACGATTGACAACCCTGAACGAGCTGGAATCGCGGCAACGATCTGAAGCGCCAGATAGTCGCTTGGATGTGACAGACGAGATGTAGCTGATGAAGGAACGGGTGCGCGATTGTCTCGTTGCGGGTGACTCGTCGTAGCCCTCCCTTGCAACATCTCGATCAAGCATAGCAAGCTGGACAGATGAAATTTCGTGTCTTAGCTTCTGGGCTGGAGTCGGCGGTCTCGCGTAGACCGCGCTGCGGTAGCGCGCCAAGCGCACAAAGAGTGCACAGGGCAGCGCCAAATAGCTCAAAGCACAGTAGACCAGCGCCGCCTGTGCATGTCTCGATTGATCGAGCACATTCATCAGAGACGCGGTCTCGTGGCTATCGGTGCTCTTTGTGCGGAGGAGGCCAGCCATGAGAGAGCTGACGCCGGTCGCCCATCCGATGCAGAGCAACGCTATTCCGCTGTAATCGATGGCAGAAGATGTGCAAGCAGCTGCAGCTGCCGATAGCTGACCCTCGAGTCCTTCCACAGAAGGTATGGCTGCTCTGAGCACGACGAAGCCAGCCAACAAGCACAGGATGGAGGAAAGCCCGAGTACAGAATGTAGCATCGAAGCTGATAGGCCGGCCGTAGTATCGGTAGATCCGGCAGGGCTACCATTGGGTGCTTTCTGGACCGCACAACTGTCCAAGAATGTCATATTATTCGCATTTCCTGGCGTTGCCACCGAGCCTCCGTAAAGGCGAAGCAGCCACATTGCGTTTGAAGCTTGACCAGACGTACTGTCGCGGCCGCCATAGATGATGACGTCGACGGCGCCTGAATCTACTGCACGGCTACCTTTGATGCTCCCGATACTACTTTGCAGAGAGACAGCACTGATATCTAGGCCGAAGCTCGGGAACGATCCGTCACTGTCAGGCGCAGGGATGACTCGCATCCAAGTTGCGGAAGATGCGCTATAGACGGCCACTTCGCCAGCATGTAATGCATCGTATTGGTCCGTGTCCACAGCGCCACCTATCAATAGAGCTTGCGAGCTAAATGCAGCATTGGCACTGTTGAGATTAGGTACCATAGCCGCGCCCAGCCGAGCTGCGGGACAGCTTTGTGAAGATGAGATACTGGGTGCTGCTTTGCCGAGATCGGAAGGATCAAAGGAAGATCCCATGGTGGCCACACTGATTGTAGACAGGGCGCAGGCGAGATCGGGAGCCCTATCTAGGTATGTCTTTGCCGAGGTCGCAGTCGCATTGCAGCCACTATACTGCACGAGTGTGGAGCCAGGCAAAATCGTTCCTGCCGCACCATACCGTTGGAGCAGCCCGGCCGACGAAGGCTGTAGGACACTGAGGCTTGCCGTTGCAGATTGCACGTTGCTGCTGACTTGGCCTTGCAACGAGATTGTCTGGAGAGCGTCGCTGGCCTTGGATATACCACCGGCGAGTACGAATGCATTCGAAGTATTTGTCGAGCTGGTGTACGTTGGATCGATGCCGCCTACGGCTGACCATGTAGGCTGAGCGCCATCGGGCGTGTCGACTCGAGTCCAAAATTCGTAGAGCGAATCGAAGAGCCAGAGATCGTTGAGTGCTGTCGTGCCATCGCTGGCAAGTCCGCCGAAGAGTGCGACACCGTTGCGATAATTTGATGCAGAGTCATACGTACAGGTCGAGTGGCTGCGAGAGCTGGGAGCGGCGCTCAATCCGTTCGGCGGCGAGGGTTTGCTCCAGCTGAGCGTAGTGAGATCGAGCAGATATGTGCCAGAGGTAGCAGACGAACTTGACCTGGATGGATCGTGAGAGGGTCAATTGCGCCAAGCTCTGCTTCTGGCGAGACTTGCCTTCCTCCAAAGAGAAGCAGAGAGCCAGATTTTGTGCTGGTTGAAGCGGCTAGTGTCGGTGCAGAGAGACATGCACCGTACAGGGCAGGTGGAGACAAGCCGGTTGCGTTGAGCTGCTTGGAGAGATTGATCCACTGCATTGGAGGCACGCCGAGACTGTCATCTACTTCCACCGCACGGACGGTCGCAATCAGGATCGCGGCAGATGCAAGCCGCGAAAGCATGCTCGCACACTTGTAGCGTTGGTCTCATGCTGCACACGGGAGACACGCCGTACAAGGTGAGCATATTGCGCGTCGACAGCCATCATGTCACGTCTGTGCCTTCGAGCTGTCGTCACGCCAAACAGGGGGAGGAGGGGGGGCACAGACAGTTGTCGAGGCAACAGATTTCAGGAGAGCATGTCAATCTCACGCGCGCCGTGTGAGAAAGACGGCAAGATAAGAAGGAGGCCGTCGCCAGAGTCAAAGGAACAGCAAAAGGCCAAATCGGCAAGAGCAAGTGCAGTGGAGCACACTTTCAGCATTCCGATCGGGATTTGTCTCGCGGAGGGAGGCGTCTTGTTTTTATTCAGGGAGATTTCATTCTCTCGCGCGAGATTCTGCGCAGCCCACCGAGTGAACGAGCCAGGCTCGCTTTGCCAGACAGTCCGGCCAGAGACCGTCACAGAACGACCGGCAGATTCGCACATCGTTCGTCGGAGAGCCATGGCGTCCGCATCGACGAGCGCTCAGTCGCGCATCTCCAAGCCGAGACGGCACAGCCGCATTGATCCCACTAGCCAAAGGCAAACGCGAAAAGGCACACGCCAGGCAGCCCTAGAGCCATCGGACATCACTCAATCCGCACTACCATCAGAGTGTCACTTGGGACTCGTCTGTCCATGCCATCTCATCTCCGATCTCGAACATGAAGGTACACCGGATGAGCCGAGGGGAGGTCAAGCGAAGAACGTCCGGCGAGCTGTGGCGGCTTCCATCGTATCTGGTGACGACTCACAGCCCATCAGACATCATTCGTCAAGGAAAGCGAGTCCACTTCTGAGTATGACCTGGCTCCTACTCGTCGGACTATGCCTGGCGCTCATCAAGCCTGTTGCGGCTCAATCTGCGCTGTATGAACCAGCAGGAGAGGGCGTGCTCTTCGGCGCATGGCTCAACACTTCCTCAGGTACGTGCTCTGGCCTTCTGTTTGATGTCTGACTGACGCGACCGTCTCAGGCGACGTGCCGACCGCGTTCAACGCCAGGCTTGGCTACAACGCTTCCGTCTTTCAGATCGCTCAGCAGATTCCCATGCTCGCTTACAACTACACAACCGGTCAGTCAGATACTCTCTAGTGCAGCTCGCCCGATCAGACTGACGCGTGCTCACAGGCGCCGGTGGGCCCGCGCCGGAGTACCACATCGAGCAATCCTTCACTGACGCCGGCGTTTTCTTGACGGTCTATCCTTCCACTCTGGCCTCCGTCACTGCACAAGACCTCACAGATCTCGGCAACCAGCTGCTTAATTATACCGTCACTTACAATCGCACTTGCTTTTTGCGATGGGCGCCCGAAATGCAGGGTCTCTGGAATCCTTATGGTCAACAACCCACAGAATATGTCGCACTCTGGAAGATCATGTATCCCGCCATCAAGGCAATCGCACCCAACACTGCTATCGTCTGGGCACCCAACACGGGTCAATCTTATCCTTATGGTCAGACAGCACCCACGAACGCCGCCGACTTGGCCGCACTTGACACGAACGGCGACGGTCAATACGACAATGCCGATGACCCATTTAGCCCTTACTACCCCGGTGATGCGTACGTCGACTGGATCGGCATGTCAGTCTACTACAAGGGCCCCAATCACCAAAACCTCAACGTTCCCCAGACTGGCGGTTTCTGCTCGTCTGAGATACATAATCTCGATCCAGACACTGGCGTCGTCAATGTTGTCGACTTTTACGAGACGTACTGCACCAAAGCTGGCAAAGCATGCATGGTGCGTTTGCTGCCCTAGCCGCTCTTCGAGGTCAGCTGACATCCTCTACGCAGCTTGCTGAATCTGGTTCAGCCTACCACGAAACGGTGGCCGGTGGCTCATCTCAGCTAGCGATGCAGCAAGCCTGGTGGCAAGACTGCATGCTCAATACGACTTTCTATGATGCCAATCCCCGCCTGAAGCTGATCATGCAATTCGAGTACGAGAAGCTCGAAACTGACGGGGGCACGGCGGATCTACGTGACTATCGACTCACCAACGCTACCGACGTCCTTGCGGCGTTCCAACAAGATCTAGGCACCACAGCAGATCGGTTCGTCTGGGCAGGCTTCAGGCAACCACCCGCTGCCATCCCGACGACAGGTCGACCCACCGATCTGCCAGGCCAGACCCAACCCGCCACTTCGACAGGTCCGCCCGCGCTCGCGACTGTCAGAAATACCCAGACGAGCTTCCCCTCGCTATTCTTCGAATCGTCAGCAGGGCGAAGTTACGCTCTCGCTTACGCTGCGGCGAGCGCGAGCATGATGGCAGTCATCGGCGCAACAGCGTTCATGTCAAAGGCACTATAGACGGTAGCAAGATTTCAGCATTCGCATCGTGTACCATCATGGACATTCATAGCTTCACTCGAGCTCAGTGTATATGGATATGCATCACCTATACACTACGCATCTCCCTGAACCGTGTAGCGATAGTCTCAAATGTGTGCATGATCGAAACAACTGTCTACTCTCGTTTGTGCAGACCACCGACTGCCGCCAACGTGGACGGTAGCTCTGCCTCGCCGACCTGATAGAGCAGCACGACAGATGCAGCGACCGACAGGATCAAGACGATCGTGATGCCTGCCAGTAGCACAAACGGACTGCAGCAGCGCTTCAGCTGTACTCATTCTTGGGATACGCGAAGCTTACCTAGAGATATCCATCTTTTGGCAAGTCTCGCCTGACCACACTGTCGTCTTTCCGTCCTCTGTCGTCGGACTGCAGGCACAAGTCCAGCAGCCTGTTTTGCCATACTGAACGCCAGAGACGCAGCTGCCGTGGCCATTGCAAGTCGATGTACTGTTCTCGCAGCTCGATTGAGAATCGTAGCAGGATCGGTAGCTGGCCACAACCGGCGTCGTGGAGGGCGCCGGCTTGTCATCATCCTGTCGCTTGCTGTAGCCTCGTCTCGGGTGTGTTGAGAACGGCTGGACTAGCGCGCGTCGAGTAATCTTGGTATTATGGCGTGGCTTTGCATCGCGCGGCACGACCATTGTGATGACCTGTGCTGCGTCGTTCGTCGCTCGCGCATAGGCTTCTTTCGCAGCCTGGAGACATCTCAGCTTTGCTTACGCGGCTCGGAACATCGTCTTACTGTCAGGATCTGCTCAAAAAGCGACCGGGCTTGCTTGAATTCGCTCGAGTCGCTGCCCAGCTCGGCTTCCAGTTTCGACAGCGCCTGAAAGCGCATTGCGCTGACACTAGACCTGGCCTCTCTTCTGGCAGAGAGGGACTCGACGAAGTGATCGATTTGGTTCAGCTCGGCTACAAATTCGCCTGTCGAGGCCTGTCATGTTTTAATGTCAACAGTGGACGAGCTAGATTGTGTCGTGTGCCTACTGAGTCGCTCAAAAAGTCGAGCTGGTTCAGCCATTGTCCAGCAGCTTTGATCGGCTGCTCGACACGAGCGGAGCCACGGACAAGTCGCGATGCCCAGAAGAGGCCATCAGAGACCTGACCTGAGAGCCAGTCTCGGACACCTTGGGCATGTGTTGAGAACTCTTGGAAGCCTCTGATCGATGAGAGGTGAATGCCAAAGATCTCGGCAAATTGAGTGAGATAAGTCGCAATGAGCGCATCAAATGCAGCGGTCGAGGGTGCATCTGTCATGACCATCGTAGGTCTACTAATCTCACCGAGAGCATGGCCAATTTGCACAGCGTCGGCGTCATTGGACTGGATGACGAGCAGCAAGGTGTCCTTGGGTGCCGATGACGCCCAAGGATCAGCTTCGCCCTTCGTCGCTCCTGCCTCGTCGAGCCCCATCAAGCCCCATAAGGTCGCCCATCTCGAGCCAGATCCCTTTGAGTCGACGAGGGACGTCCGCTCGTATGCTGACAGTCCTAGATGATGGGCAAGTACGATATTGGCCTCTACGGGCGATACCTCGAGATTCTCGATTGGGGCTTCGCCCAAGAGTGATTGATACGTAGGACTCGGTGTGATGTAGATACCTGCCCTTCTTTGCGCCAGCACCGCTGTGGCTAACAGGCTCAGGGCTGCGATAGGCCGCCTCATCTTTCGCAAGGTATACACGGCCGCCGTCGCGCGCGAAGACAGGGCTAATCAAGATTCGGGCTTCTACGTCGAAGTCCTCTCTCATGCATTGCTCAGCAGCGGGTCTGCAAAAGATATTCGGTAGCAGGCGTCCCGACGATTGAGCTGAGTCGATGAGCAATCGCCTGGCTTTTGGCGGTGCGCATGAAGCTGCGCATCCCCTGAAGCATGACCGTGTATCTCGTCGGTCGCTGTGAGAGCACGTCGCAAAAGGCTTTGTATGCGATCCTGTGGCGTCATCAGCCATCATCGCATTGTACTGCAGAAGACCGACCATTCGACCTCGTGAAATCGAACATTGCAGTTGGCGCCTGCTGCTACCGCGAAGCCAACCTGCGCCCGGCTTCGCGCACTGACGAACGTAAAGCGGACGAGCTGGTCAAGTATACCTGTATCGTCATCAATAGATAGACTTCAAAGAAGTGTGTGACAGCGTACGGCAGAAGAATGAGGCGTCGTGGCCTTTGCGTGGCTTCCACATGCGCACAATGGCATGGAACCGCATCGCGGCCATCACAAAGCTGGTATAAAGGTTGGAAAGAACGCCATGGTCACCATTGAGATTGCTATCGTTAAAGAGAATGTGTGTACGCTGCTTCAATGTGCCTAGCAGAGACTGCAGCAATGCTCGTCCTTGATGTCCAATCCGGTCGACTTTGATAGAATCTGCCGCACGAGTCGTCCGTAATAGCTGCGTACTGGGCTGCACAGTGAGCGTGCGGACGTCGATCCGTAACCCGCACCAGATGAGACCTTCTCCAACGGCCAACTTGGGCACAGAAGTCACACCGTCCCGTTGTAGCATATCAAAGTTGATGAGCGTCTTGTCTGGTCCAATGTATGCACCATGCGACTCAGACCCTTGCTCCATGACACGTAGATACCGTTCTGCGTCGGCGCGCGAGGTCGTCAAGAAGAGGGAGTCGTCGAGATACCGCAATAATGTATTGCCCGGCTTTCTGACGAACGGCAATTCAGTATTCTCTAGGTTGCCATAAAGTAGATGCGCCAAAATAACAGAGACGACTGAGCCTTGTGGTATGCCTCTTGTCTGACGATAAAATCGGGAGCCGAAGCGGACAATATTGTTACATATGTGCCGCTGAAGTACCTGCAAGACTTGCTTGCGGGTCTCTTTGATCTGCACCACACCATCGATGAAGATACCATGTCGCACAGTCTCAGCAAAGGCATCGATTCTGTCTGCTTGCTGAGGTTCCAAGTCTTGTCGATAGGCACTGTCCACGTATCGCTTTTGCGCCTTCCCACTACTAGGTCGCACGGCCGACGATCGGCTTATAGTATATCTATCGCCGCTGACAAACTCAGCGAGCAACTGCATGAGCTTGCCTTGGTCCATCTTGTCGTACGCGCTTTCAAAGTCCGTCTTGACAACGAAGACGAACGGTAAACTGCCATCTGCTGTCTGAATGCTTTGGCGATACGCGACGAGCTTCGTGTAGATGTCGTTGTTGCTCAGTACACCGGCACCAAGACTTGCTGGTTTCTGCGAGCGCTCCAAGAGGAGCACCCGAAAGGCACTCCGCAATTTGGTATTAAGGGATGTTTGCGCGCGCACTAGCCACGGACCGCGGCTTGAACGGCAAACGCTGGCAGGTCGAGTGTATGTGAGCGTGCGCGAGCTCGACAGATTGACGATCGGCCGCATGCCAGACTTTTTAGGTACGAAGCGAACATCTGAGCAGGCAAAGTTTTCGTCTCGCGCAAGTCGCAAGATATCTTGCTTCGTCAAGGGCGTCAGAAGCTCGCGTGTGAAGTCTGTCGTCAGTCCAGAGCATAGCTTCTGCCAGTCGTCGTGGCGATAGTACAGCGTTCTCTGCTGAAGATAGCCCGAACTTTCTGTGGCATAGAAGTTGGTGCGAAGCAGGTCGATGACAATGCTATCGCATATCCATAGCACGAGCTCCGCCAGAAGCTCCTGTCTCTTGATGCTGTCCGAAGCAGTCCCACGCTGCTGTCGTGCAGCCGTATCTTGCGGGAAGCCCCAGTCGAGGTCGGTCGTGCGCAGGCCTTCGAGGAAGAACGCCAAATTGAAGCGCTGATTCAACCGAGCATACACAAGCGCCGAGATTCGACACTGCAAGCGCCTCACATTCGAATTACCACCCAGGAGTTCGACTGGCAGTAGTTCCGCAAGCGCGCGCGATATGAACCGCTTGACTTGCCATGTCGGGATCGCATTGTCCGTATGCCGCGCGTTTGGCGCCTTCAGCAAAACTGACTTGCTGGCATCGCTGGTCATCCGAGCAGTCGCGAAGGGATGATCGTCGAGCTGTGTGGTCACAGAGGGATTGGTAGTGGGTTTCGATTCGCGCGACATGACTGTGCAACCTTGCTTTCTGCCTGCCACTGTGCGCGGACAACAGCGATCGAGCAGCCTTTTGTAGTCAATCTTCAGGTGCCTCTGGTGCATCTGCCGGAGCCAAGGAAGGCATGTCCGTAGTCGTCTTGGTGTCTGGCAGAAACCGATTGGATAGCTGGGTATGCCTGGCTCGGCTTCCTTTATCTTGCCTTTGCGAGATCGCCGTTCCGGAACCGCTTGGCGGATCTGTTCTCGCGCTTTCAAGATCTCCGCACGACGATCGTGCGAGGAGCCGCGACCATTGGGATCTTCTTCGCTTGTGAAAGCATTAGCAATTCTGAATTGGCGCGGGAAGATGGTGCGCAGCAGAACAAACTCGAATAACTCGTCTTGGTCTGCGTTGAGTGGATGCGAAGGCGAGAGACCAAAGACCGGTAGATGTGTCTCTTTGTCGTGCGTCCTTCGCCAGCGTAATACCTTGCCCCGATGAACGAGCACTTCCGTCGGCGTGCGCGGCTGGTCAGTCCTCGAGCTGACTGGGTCCTGCGCGTCGTCTGTCTTTAGGCGTTTAAACCCCTGCTGTCTCGAAGCAGTGAGCGTCACGTCTTCGTCTCTTGCACGCTTCTGCTGTGGGGAGTGCAGAGGCAATTCGACGGCGGTGAGAAAGCGCACTATGCGCGGCGTCTTTGATAATTTGAAGCCCACATCAACGCCGCTCCTCGGACGGGGTATGGCAGAGAGCGGCTCGCCACAGAGCTGATGATAACATCCTTGCGATGGTTTGATGGGCACAAAGACGGCAGTATTGAGCAAGAGAGAGCTCATAAGGTCGTTGCCAATCCTACGCTGCCGTGAGCATTGCGCAAGACTCTGGCGCCGTAGCTCACCTCGTCAGCAACAGTGCCCACTCCGCACTATGTGTGAGACGCGTGACCATGCCATTTGTGTGCTCAGAGACGATACCAGAGCGGTCAGTGAAGGTCGCGCTGCCTGCGTCGCGTCTATCGTCTGCCTGTGTTGCTATTCAGGGGACTGTTGTGACGACCGAACAGCACTGACTGAGCGAAAGCCAAGGCTCAACAGATGACGTTTGTCGCCATAGCGCACTCCTTTGAGGAAGAGACGCTTGATAAGTTGGTCCAACAACTATGGAACTCACGTCAGCGAGCGGATCGAGGCGCGGATTGCACTCGCTTGTGACATGTTCGATTCGACGATGACTCTATCGATCTTGGCGTCGTTTGCAATGCAGCCATTGTAACAGACCAGGCATGATAGGAGCTCCGCATATTCTGTAGGATCCTCTGGGCGTTCCAAGCGCGTATTCGCGGGCAAGCGCTGAGCGAGATATGTTCTGAGAGAAGTGACAGTGGTATAGTAGCGACATAGGATCTTGTGCACCGTAGACCGCTTTGACCTGGCCATCTGACGGATGCGTACAAAAGCTCAACGTGACCGCAGAGCGCGTCGCGTTGATATTGCAGAAATCAACTCGTCATCGATTTCGTCGGCCGGCAGAGGTTTGTCGGCGATTTCCTCTCATCGACCTTGTGTATGCTTTCCACTGTCACCCGTCAGACAGTCAGATCCTCATCAAGAAGAGCTTTCAGTACTACTCCATACGTCATGTCGAACTCTGGCAAGCCAAATGCATCGGGCCTTTCTGCAGAGGAGAGCAAGAAGCTGCCTACCCGTCAGCCAACGCAAGATGAGCAAGCGTCCGTCAAGGCCATGAAAGACATCTATACCGCCAACCCGAACGAGGAAGCTTATCATCAATATGATGACAAGGCGATCTTCCATGACCCAGTCGGTCAGTCAGGCCAGCCCAAGAGCAACTAGCAGGCTAACGTCCGTCGTCATACAGGCTATTGCGAGGGCGTAGGCAGGATTCGCGAGCAATTCAACGGGCTCGCGAAGCTTTTCCCCAAGAGTGTCGCAGACAAGCACAACGTGCTCGAGAACCCGCCAACAGTGGCGAAGCATACGATCCTCATCGACCAGGACATCACCTACTACCGCGATCCCAATGGAGAGCCAACCAAGACGATGAACTCGCTCTTGACCATCGAGCGTAACCCAGACGGTAAGATCACAAAGCACACTGAGGAAGTAAGCTCTTTGCGTGTCCAGGTGCGGCACATGAGCTCACGGACGTTTTCAGTGGAATCACCAGCACGAGCCTTCGAGCCAGGATGGCTTTTTCGGCATGCTATCACAGTATCGTAAGAAGGCGACAGTCGCGGCCACCGGTGCGTTCCTCGACCAGAAGGCGCCGAAAGAAAAGTCCTCGGACTAGATGCAAGCATGAGATTATACAGAATTGCACTGCTGTGAGACCAGTCGCTGCGTGGGATCTTTTGGAATCCATCCATGTTCCACCCCCGCTGAATAGTCCCAATCGTCGCTGTTGCCTTCTGAGCGCCATCTGCCACGGTATATCAGCATGACACTCGCACAATGTCTGGGTTGACTGACGTCCAATGTATCCAGCCTGACGCGCTGCTTTCGTAAGTCTCTACTTGTGCTTGCCAGAAACGAGCGAGAGAGTGCTTGTAGTCATCCGAAAAGCGTGATGCTGAGCCAGTGCGATCTGTACAGGAGCCGCGTCGAGTGCCTCCGGGCAAAGTGCCGTCAAAGCGCGCTCCCCTGCCACGGCCGTTGAGATATCTGCGACGACCATCAGCTTGACTCTATCGCATGTTTGTCGATACTCACGCAGCACAGTCGCTGCTGGCAGCAGTGAATTCGCCGACGATAACCTATGATTTCGTCAGCGCACCGGCCGGCTCGATCAGAAGAACGCACAGGGTGGTGTGAACTCGCATCCGACAGACTGGCATTGTATGAGCAGTAGATTTGCACGCGAGCATCGTCGGAGAGACCGTTCAGATCATCAGCAAACATCGAATAGATATGTGTGTCCATTGTGCCAGCTCCCGGGGTGGTATAGTCGCCGTTCCACATGCTGACCGGCTGGAATGCGTCGCTGTAGACAAACTCCATGCGAGACCCAGACGCATCGAAGAACGACGGATGAAGATCGCTGAGATACTGGCGATAGGGTTGCAGCACAACGTCTGCTGCCGCGGTCAGACAACTTGTATATCTACGATGTGGGATCTACCTCCGCGAGGCTCGTTGAGCACTTCTATGGCCGTTACTGCACCGCCATACTTGGGCAAAGTAAACTCTGCAAGTAGCTGCTGTATGATGGCTTCGGTCTTTTGCAAGCTGTCGCCGCGTCCCCAAGTGATATCGCCTCGTCTGCCCGAATTGTCTTGACCGTTCTGTGACTCGACACTGGCACCGTGCAAATCGATGAGAACATTGATCCCGTGCTTCTTGGCCCAGTAGACTGCCTGCTGAAGGTAAGGAAGCTGCCCCTGGGCATATGGTTGGTTCTCTGAGATGTCGAATGCCCATGCACCGATCGGTATTCTGACGTGATTGAGACCATAGGAAGCGATCTGTTCGAAGTCTGCCTCTGTGATGAATGTATCCCAATGTGATTTCAATACCTCTTGCGCCTGGCCGCCGAAAAATTGGCCAAGCGTCCATTCGTCGACGACGCTTTCGTTACCGGTCTTGTCGAAAATACTTGGCGTGATCCAAGGTTCGAGCACAAGCCAGCCCTAAACGCAGTGTTAGCCGAGCCTCATGGCGAATGCGAGCACGTACGCCTAAGCTGACGCCTCGGACGATATCCTTGCCATATTGAAACGCGTGAGTGGTCTTGATGGCATAACAAAGTGCAGCGATCGGAAGGGCGTGGCGTACGTGCATCGTGTAGTCCTGACGGCTGTGTGGTCTGTTTGGAAGGGAAGGAAGAGGCTACGAAAGGTATAATGAAACTTTCTTGCGGCATCCTTTTCACGAGTTTGCGCACGGACGCCTCTGCAAATGCTCTGTTCTGCGGGGGTCACCCGAGGGTCACTGTCAACGACTGTCTTTTCCGACGTGAAGAATGTGTCGACGAAAGCCTGGATTGAAGCATGTGCGCGGCTGACCGCTAGAAAAGCTGTTCGGAATGCATGCTTGACACGCGTACAACATGGCGGGGGCGATTACGAGCGGTAGACGATGTCGTACTCGAGGTTGTCGAGGATGATATGGAAAGGCTCCTTCTTGACCGAGAAGATGCGAATGTGTTGAACGTCTACGCACGCGTGTCAGGCGCGCTCACACGAGATATGCTCGATGATTCAGGGCGAGCTTACCGGCAAAGAGAGGGTCAGTGATATACTTCGTCGGATCGAAGTGATACTTGACGCCCGGCACGAGCTTTCCCGAAGATTCATCGCCGAGTCGGACGGTGTAAGCTGGTTTGTCCTCGGTAGTGCCGGCCTGAATGGATTGAACGTAGATCTGATCTTGCGCAGTAGTCACGCCATAATCGAACGACTGCCATCGTTCTCATGTCAGCAGCGGACACGTCATACTCGACACGAAGCGCACGGTGAGCGAAAAGGGGTCTGCGAGGTTGGCGGCGTAGATGCCAATGTCTGCAGCTTTGCAGCCTTTGATGGGACCCTCGATGGCCTTGCCACCCCAGGGTGCGTCGACGACTGACCAAACGCCTGAAACGAGAGGTTTCGCACTCGTGTTGGCAAAGGTGAGACCCTGAATGGGGCTAGGCAAGATCTTGATGGCTCTTGCGTCGCAGCTGACGTGCGCGTCAGATGAGTGCGTTCACAGGCACGACAAGGGCTGCAGACCTTGCGCCTGGGACAGATGTGATCGTGTCAAATGTTTGCACTGCACTGCGTATCAGGATGTCGGCTAAGTGTACGCCGCAGCTCAGGCTGACCGGTCCATTGAGGAGCTGCCAAGGCAGATGCGCTGAGGAGGGCGAGTGCGACGATGGATTGCATGTTCTTGACTTGCTGATCGTGACTGAGACAAAGAAATGAGGATGGGGAGATGTGCGATGCACGAGGCTATGCACGCGGAGGAGAGGCTGCGATGCGACGAGGGGACACCGTTGCAATCGCTTTGGCTTTCGCTTCGACGCGCTCCGCCAAAGTCACCGGCTTCGACACGAGCTGCCATGAGAGCATGGCTCATAGGCCTAGCTGTCCTCAGAGCTGTGGCCGCACAGACTTGCACGAATGGCGGCTACGCTCAAGCAGGAGCTTGTGTCTGCCCGCCCGGTCTGACAGGCCCGACTTGCGCTACGTTGGCATGCGGCAATCCTGTCCAAGCATCGGCGAGTAGACCAGCCATCGCCGCCAATGCAGGTGGCAGGGGATGTGCAGGTACTGGCGCATGCTCGAGCGGGTTTACAGGTCTCGATTGCAATCGTTCGTCTCTGCAGCTCCAAGAAGAGCACACAAGGCTGATCTGCTTGCAACAGTCTGCACGAGTGCGCAAGCCTGCTCAGCTGCTCTTGGCACAACGAGTAGCCCACCGGCAAGCTCAGCACTCTCGCCTGTCAACACAACAGTGACCTGTCATCAATCGCCGCTCACGTTCACAGAGGGCTTTACATCATGCGGGGTAATCAATCCTACCTTGCAAGCCGTTTTCCCAGGCTCCTTCACGCTCAACATCCAGCGCTCTCTCAATACCAGTCAGAGTCTTTCGAGCGCATTCGGCAGCCCGGGCACAGCGCTTGCTCAGCTATGGTTCTCGAATGGCTCGACGCCCCAGCAACAATTCTACTGTAGCGCCTCGAGCTGTACGCAGACTGCTCTCGGCCCGGCAGCCAGTCCACACAACGTGACGTACGACTGTGACAATCTCTCGTGCAACTGTATACCCGGCAGCAAGCTTTGCGGCGGTGGTGGCCCGCTCGACTTGACCGCCACAATCAATGGCCTCAGCGGTCCTCTCGGTGTAGACTGCGACAACACCGGCTCGGGCACATGCTACTTCAAGCAAGCTGTTCTCCAGTCATTGTTCGGTCAGAATGGCCTCGGCCTGTCCAATTGTCAATTCGGTGAATGCGTTCGTCAGAACGTCATCGATACCTATACTGCTTCCATCGAGCCAACGGACTCTTCGCTCAGCGGCGGGGTCATTGCCGGCTTAGCAGTGCTCGGCGCAGTGATTGCGTCTCTGATGATCTTATTGCTCGTCGGTCTACGCAAGCAAGCTAAAGCAAGGCGGATACCCTACATCGATGAACCGACGCGGCCAGTTGGCCTCAGCTGGCAAAATCTGACTTATCACATACGGTCAGGTTCAGCCTTGCATTCAGCAAAGACGGAAAGAACGGGCGAGCACCTCACACGGTCAGTCTCTGGCTCGTACTTGCCCGTCGTTCGCACACAGAGCTCAGGCAAAGCGATCCTGTCCGATGTGTCAGCCACCGTACCAGCGGGTAGCTTGCTGGCTGTCATGGGCGAATCAGGCGCTGGCAAGTCGACTTTGCTCGACATTCTCGCCGGACGGCGCAAAGCAGGCACAGTGCGTGGCAAGGTCGACGTGACCGACACGACTGGCTTGCGCAATGTCAACATTGCCTATGTCGATCAAGAAGACATTCTGCCGGCTCATCTGACAGTACGCGAGGCGCTTCGATTTGCAGCCACTCTGAAAATGCCAGAGAATGCACCGCGAGAGCTCAAAGAGGGCCGTATTGGGACTGTGATGGCTCAGCTTGGCTTGACGGCCGTGTCGGAGTCTCGAATCGGTTCCGGCGAGTCGCGCTCTTTGTCCGGTGGCGAACGTCGTCGCCTGTCTATTGCACTAGAGCTGATCGCAAGGCCGAGTATTCTGATTTGTGACGAGCCTACGTCAGGCCTAGATGCATCCAACGCCACGCGTGTCGTCGAGATGCTACACAATCTCTCGCAAGGCGATGATCAGGTCGGGCGGACAACGGTCATCATCTCAATACATCAGCCTTCATCGCGCATCTTCCAATTGTTTGACTATATCAGTTTGCTAGCTGTTGGCGGGCGACAGATCTACTTTGGACCTGCTCAAGCATCGATGAAGCATTTCGCAGACCTCGGCATGCCTTGTGCCGTCAACTACAACCCTGCCGACCATCTGCTCGAGATTGCCTCGGCTGATGTACAATCGAGACCTGTCATCCAACGGGCAATGAGCCAACAGTCGCAAAAGGAAGATGAGAAAGTTGCAACATCCAGCCTGACGTCTCAGAACGAAACGACTTCGACCATCCGCAAAGCATACCCTTGCGCGACATTCCTGACTCAGATCGAGGCACTGTCCCGGCGCGAGGCAATCAACTTGCGGCGCGACCTGACGCTGGGCGTCATGCACAATCTTGTAGCCATATGTGTCGGCCTACTCGTTGGCGGTCTTTTCTACAACGTAGACGATTCGATCGCTGGCTTTCAATCCCGAGTCGGCTCACTCTTCTTCCTCGGCACACTACTGTCCTTCTCTGCGCTGTCAGCACTCTCGACCAGCGCAGACTCTCGCAGGCTATTTCTTCGAGAGCGTGCCTCGGCGTACTACTCGCCCTTTGCCTGGCTGCTCAGTCGGATAATGTTCGACATGATACCCCTGCGCCTCGTACCAGCGACATTGCTGGGTCTGATCGTCTAGTGAGTATCTCGTCTGAGTACCTGCTTGCCTCTACTGACGTGAGAGCAGCTGGATGGTCGGCTTGTCGCCGCACGCAGCCGAATTCTTCAAATTCCTGCTCATCGTGCTCGAATTCAGCATCGCCATTACGTTGTTCAATTTCGTGCTTGGTCTGGCAATACGAGCGACCGGTGTCGCCATCTTGCTATCAGCCATCACGAACCTGTTTCAGATGGCGCTGGCAGGCTTCTTCATCAATCTGCCCAAAGTACCCGGCGTGCTCAGATGGCTCCAATGGCTCGATCCGCTTCGCTATACGCTCGAAGCATTGGCAGTCAACGAGGTCACGTCTGGGCTATCAATCACAGACGAGATCAGTGGCGTGCCCATTTCAGTCTCTGCTACCTTGATCATGAAGCTCCTATTTGGCTTCTCGAGCTCGGCCTATTACCGTGACGTCCTCGTTATGTTTGCTTTCATAGCACTCTTCGGTACCAGCCTACTCGGGCTCGTTTGGCGATTACACGAGATCAGATGAGCCACGCACAACACGCGCACACAGAAGTTGTAAATTAAACGTCATCGTCGATTAGAAGTACACAAAAACGCAATCTAGGGTGCGACTGAGCTCTATCGGCCCGACTTTTGATTGTAGGTCTGTTTTCGTCCCATGTCAAATGGTACATAGCGGTCTGCTCGCAAATGTGAGTGGCGAGCGAGCGATGCGGTGAAGGGGGAACATACATCGTCGCATGTGAGCGATCTGTCGTCGCATCGTGATGGCAAACAGGACACAGAAGTACACCAACAGAATTGGCCAGTACACCGGCACGTCTACCGCTCTGCAGGCCTTCGTGTCAGCCTGCTTTGAAGGATATACCGAGTTGACTTGCGGAAAGAGTGTCGCGACTAGCGAAATAGCGATTGCGCGTGTTGCCGAATGCCTGTCTCACGCATTTTCAGCTTGATGCCGCCTATAGGGATCTTCATGATGACTTGCCAGAACTTGAACTCGGGCAATCTTCGAATGAACGGCCTGAATTCGCCGTCGGTATCGCCTCCTCTTCCCAGTCCTCCCATGCTCGTCGGCAAACCAGGCGCGCCTTCTTCTACCTCGCTCTCTGCGATGTCGAGTTCGAGCGCGGGATCAAATTTTGGCTGCAAAAAGGCAAGGAAGAGATCTGTGGGCAAGGCAAAGGCATAGGCATCAGTCAGGGAGACAGCGCTGACGACGAGTGTGACTTGCTGAGGAGGTAGATGCCCAGAGCATACGTGACGATGTAGAAGGCTTGCACGAGGAGTATCCGTAGCATGAAGAGGAAGAGCAGGCCTGCAGTCGCGCTCCATCGCTGGAGTGAGTAGGGCGTGCACTTGTCTGATTGGAAAGCGCAGTCGGCCGAGTCAGTAGGGAGAGCACGCCAAGCTTGGTGACCAATCTACCTAGCGCTGTCTGATATTGCTACATGGTCGAAGTGTTCATGTCAGCTGAAGCCGGTGGGCGACTGAGGATGCGCCACGTACAGTGCCCAGGTCTGTCAAGGGCTTGAGTTGCTTCTTGATACTCGCCGGCAGATTTATCCCTGGCCCGCTGCCCTCTAGCTCGTTCTCACTGGAAAAGCATGTGGATGAGCACTGCCTGATGTCCCTTTGCGCCACGTCGACTCACTCTGAGCGCATCATGTCTTGCCTCTTTGGCGAACTCGCGCAAACAGAAGGCACGTCGTGCCCGTCAGTCCACGTTGATTGGCGGTTCATCCAAAGCCCTTCAATGGAGTTATGCATAAGAGGGTGACTACATCTAGAGCTTTTGCATAGCCTGTACATTCCAGAGGAGTGCATCAGCTAAAGTGCAGGAGCGAGGGGTAGATCGTGTACTTGCCTGGACATCGCTGGACTGCACGTAGTCCTCAAACTCGGCAATCTCGTCTTGCAGGTCATCAAGGCTGATCTTCTCGTCCTCGACGACGAGGGTGATCTGCAGCTTGCTCACGCCGTACTGTGCGGGTGTGTCAGCTCGTAGAGTGGCGCGAAGGACGATGGACATACACCGACAGGCACGAGCTTGCTGAGACCCCAAGTGAGTCCGTCCTTGTGGATCGAGCGAACGGCCGCCTCGAGCTCCTTCATGTCGGTCTCGTCATCCCATGGCTTGACATCCCTGCAGTAGCAGCCAGTGTCAGCACGTCATGTTGCCCGCTGACCCCATTGCTACATACAATGTGACGACAGATTTCGCGATTGTCTTGGGCTTATTAGCCTGCCGATTTCACAAGCCAGTCAGCCACGAGACGTGTAGCATACCACAGCAGACCGACCTTTTTGGCAGCATAAGCAGCAAGACGCTCCTGCTTGAGCTTTTCTGCGGCCTCGTCGACTTCCTCATCATCAGAGCCAAAGAGGTCAATGTCGTCCTCATCGGCAGCAGCAGCAGCGGCAGCGGGCGCTTTTGATGTGGATGCCGTCGCCGGTCCGTACTCATGGTAGGGCTTCGAGGCGTCACCAGGCAGGGAACCGTGCTCGGCAGCGTAGGACGTCAAGTGCTTGTACCAACGCGCCGCATGAGGGTACTGCGTCGCATCGGGAGCAGACTTGAGCTCCTTGTAGACTGCTACATCGGCCTGCGAAGGGTTGTAGCTGTCCAATTAGGAATGTATGAGCTCTGATCACGACTCGAGCGAGCAAATTTTTCGAGCGAACAGGAGGCGAAAGGGGAGGATCAGTGAGCTCTAGTATGTCGTTGTCGTCGTCGGACAGAGAGGCACACGAGGACCGGGGTCTTACGCCGATCGGCTCTCTTCTGCGCTCGGAAACACGGACCAAAGCGACTAGAATCATCTTGTCGTGAGGAAAGTTGCGTAGGAACAGCCTGAGCGTGTCGCGCAGAGTCGACCGCGAGCCAGTGGATGGGATACTCACCCTTCGATGTAGCTCTTGTCTGACAGATGCTGTTCCAAGCTGCCCTGTAGGTCAGAGAATCCCATCTTTGCAAACGTTGACGTCTGGCCTTGGGTGAGTTGCACGCGAGGAGAAAAAAAAAGGAGTGGAATCCCCGTAGGTGGCTCAAGCAACGTCGCTCGTGCCTCGTGTGTCGCTCTGTTTCGTTGCAGCTCGCAACGCTGTGCTCTCCCCTTCTTCCTCTGCTCACTACCGCTCAAATCGAACAATTGGCTGCTGGTCAAGCCAAGCAAGTCGACTTTGCAAGCCTCGCCCGTCAGTCACAAGCCAGCCAACCCCGCCAGTCATCCTACTCGACGTGAAGAGTAAAACTTCCAGACCTATTGATTACCTGCCCAAACATGTTTGCCATCAAGCTCATCACCGTCATCGGCCTCATCGCCAGCGCTAAAGCCCGCAATGCTCACTCGGAAATGGCTCGTGCGATCGAAGAGCGTTCGGCTAGCCCGGTCCCTCTGATGGAACATCACCGACCGCACTACAAGCGGACGCTCGCTCCTAGTACCTTTGGTGCCCTCGGAAGTATGCTGGCCAAGATCCCAGACGATTGCGTGCCTTGCGTCACCACGAAAGACATCCAACTCTCCGGTAAGCCAGCCAAATTCCTCTTGCGCATCGCCACACTGACCGGGGCTTGGTTTCTGGATAGAATGCTCACTCAACACTCGCTGTGAGGCTGCGCAACAGACGCTCGCCGTCTTTGAGCTCGACGTCGATGTCTCAAAGCACAGCCAGTCGAAGGACGTCGGCTACGGCATGGTACGCCACCCGTGTCCCTCAGACTCGGCTGACACGACAGATCAATGCTGCAGTGCACCGCCTACAAGGATGCACGTCTTTCACTGAGCATCCACTCGCATCGCTGACAAATGTACTTGCAGTGCACCATCACCAAAGACATGCCACTCGTCGATGCAGTAGGCAAGGCGGTCATGGTCTGGCCCGCTGGAGGTCCCACCCAGAGTGCTGCTTTGGCGCTCAAGCAAAAGGCGATCAACATGGTCCTGCCTCGCGTCAAGACCGGCACGGGACCCGATGGCACTGCATTCTGGAATTGCCCGACTGGGTGGTTGGACGTAAGCCAGCCTTGCTCAACGATTCGCTAAGGCTCTCGACTGACCTTGAGCATGCTGTTCAGGACATCAAGCAGGAGACGGGCTGTATTAATGATCCCGGCAACGGGTCAGTCTCAACGTTTCACGAATACGGTGGCTAATATGAGTCCTCCAGCGGTTGCGCTTGCGAGAAGAGCAACGAGCAAGGCGTGTGGCACACTGGAAAGACAGACTGCCTGTAAACGCCCTCCTCGCGCCTACCGCACCTAATCTACACTCCTTTCTTTCAAGACGACCGATCCAACAGCCCGCATTGTGTACACGTGCTGGCGCTGATATGCATCGCGCATGAGGATCCTTCGTCGCACTATCCCGTGCGCAATCTGCTACGTGGCATGATGAACAACACAATGACGATATGTTGGAGCGCGTGAATGACAACATGAGCGCTAGAACTGTAGCACTTCTCGTTCGAGCACGTCGCGGAAGCGGCTCGCCTGACGCGCCGGCAAGCTCTGGACGGCGTCTCCCCGTCCGAGCTGCAGTATCACTTGCGCCAATGTTCTACAGACAGTGTCAGTCTTGTCTTGGCCATGCTGAGAGGCTGCGTACGCCGGTGTAGCGGTCAGAGCCCATCTCTGTTCGCGCATCTTGTCGGCGAGTTCCGACTGGTGATTGTCCATCAAGCCATCGTTGGGTACGATGATGAGCGCTTTGGGCTCGCACAGGCGTCCTACTGGCCCGCGCAGGGCAGCCAATATCGAGCCTGAGCCTATCCTCTGCAACTCAGCGTTGCTAGTCTCTAGAATCATGCAAGGCTGGTACCCGCGTGACTGATGACGAGCTGGCAAGACTGCATACGGTCGTCGAGTGAGTCCATGTAGTCATGTACGTCGATCTGCAAGCCAGCCACGGTGGGCGTAGGCCGAGAGAGTATGCTGTCGCCCTTTTGGACGATGAAAGTGTCATAGCCGAGCGAGCGCAGGGCATGCAGGACGTCCGGTGACAGCGCAGCCTCGGCCAGAGCAGCGAACTGCGTCGAGCCTACTGTGAGCAGTGCAGTCTTGCCTGTCGTGGCCTCATCCTGCATCGGCAATACGAAACGCGTGAGCAGCAGGATGGTCGGTCGATGTCCTCCACGCTTTCGCGAGCAACGAGACTCTCTCCCTCCTCCCAAGCAGCCCGGCTCGCTATGACGTCTGCCTGGATCAAGGGACCTACCGGCGTTGAGCTCTACACAAAGGCAAGCTCGTCGGCTTCGGGAACTCAACGATGCCGGCTAAGTGCGTGCCGAGGACAGACATGGACCGTCGACAAGCCGAAAGCCTACCTCGTCTTTGTTCATGGGTGCGCCAGAAGGGCAGCATGAGGATCGAACAACTCATCTGCCATCTGAACATGCAGATTCATGGAGCATGTCAATCGGTACGACCACGTCTTTGAGGCCTTTGCCAAGCGGGGTATCCAGACGTTTGCCTGGGATCAGCAAGGTGCTCTTATCGCACATGCTCATGGGAGTATGAGGTAATCGGAAGTGCAGGTTTTGGACAGACGGCAGCCAAGACGAATACGCAAGGCATCACGTCGTTTGCAAAACAGCTTGACGATGTCGACTATTTCGTCAATGAGACCGCTGGCAAGCTCACAGACAACGCCAAATTGTTTCTCATGGGTCACTCCATGGTCAGCCTTTCACGTCTCTCCTGCTGGGATAGCAATACCAACAGGACCTGCAGGGCGGTTGCCTCGTTGCGACCTATGCGACTCAAAAGCCTGCATTCTCAGGCTTGAGCAAGATCAACGGAGGCATGATCGTATCTAGTCCACTCATCGAGCAACCCAAAAAGGTCGCGGCGCCCATGCTCGCAGTCAGAGCAGGCAGCATCATTGGCCGACTCCTACCGAGCTTGCAAATGAAGGTCGGCGTGCCCTCGAACGACATCTGTCGCGATCCTGCCGTATGTAAAGCCTACAAGGAAGACCCACTCTGTCCGCCCATGGGTTGCTATCGCGGTGTGGCAGATATGCTGCTCGGTGGCAAGGCTTTGCTCGAGTCACGTTATGCGGATTGGCCAAAGACGCTGCCGACGCTCTTTGTCCACGGAAGCGGCGATCTAGTTTGCGAATGTTCCTCGACCGAGAAGCTCGTCGAGAAGATCAAAGCAGACGATAAACATATTCAAGTGGGTCCTACAACTACCTCTAGTGACTCTATTGACGTAAGGGAGTAGATCTTTGATGGTTACTATCACGAAATGCACAATGACGGCGAAGACAAATGGCCCTATATCGCCTATTTGGGCGACTGGATCGAGAAGCACGCCTAGTCAGTATCCACTCTATCGCACTCCACATTCGTCCTTCCGGTATCTCAGGCTGTTGTAAATACGCACGCGCCTGTCATCACGGTGAAAGCAAATGTATCTCCATTCTGCATGCCAGATGAGCGTGACTATTGACGGCTATGTTCGATATGAATCGGCTCTTGCGCTCCGTCATATAGATGCTGAGCAGCGTTGGTCAAATGGGCTCTTGCTAATGGACTGCAAACAGGGCCAATGCGTAGCCCCAGTGGCAGGCGCGTGACCGACTTTCTTCCCAAGCCAGCGATCTCGGACAGCTGGTCGCGCAGTCAACTCTGGCGACATTACACAGTGCCGTTCTGGTCGGGCAGATAGCGGGCGCGATCGGCAGGCGAGAGGTTGTCGAGTCGCTTGAGCAAATACTCGACCTCGACATCTTTCGTCAGGGGAATGATCCAGTCTCTGTATAGCTTGACGACCTCGTCAACGTCTACTTTGGTCTTTGCATGTCCTGCTGCGGGAAGCGGATTGCCCGCCCCGTCTAATTCTTGGCCGTACATGAGCGCCTTTTTCTCTAGCCGACGCAGGAGGGCTTCCTCGACGGCTGGCTTTGTGATCAGACCCGCTAGCTTATCCGGATCGGGTTCAAGAATATGGGGAACGAAAGCAGCCGGGTCGCTCCTGAACTTGCTCTCAGATACAAACATGCCTGCAAAGCCGTGAAAAAGGGCGACAATGCAAATCGTGTATGTGCGCACCGTAGTGTATACGTCTGCTGATAGCTTGCAGAGCTTCTATATCCCTCGTGGCCGAGCTCCCATAATTGCCATCGCTTTCTGGTCCAAAATCAGGATTATCAATACCGCCACGCGCCCTGACGGCTTCCGTCGTCATTCTCGTCATGGCAGGCACGATAGAGTGAATGTAGAAATCGAGTATGCGCGCGTTGACATTGACGTTTGAGGGCGGATGCAGCAAGCTGGGATACTCGAGCGGCGGAAAGAGCGGTTCGGGTAGTTCAGATGACGGCGTGAAGGGATGCTCGTCCGGACTGGTGTACCGCCGCACTTTGGCTACATCATGAAATCAGTATACGTATGCTATCATCAAGGTGGGGCTTACCGTGGATCTTCTCGGTCTCCTTGAGCATCCAGTCGAGCCAAGAGCCGTTGAAGCTCGCATCACCTTGGCCGAGGTATTGCTTGAACGCGCCCTTTTCGTAGATCTTGGGATTGCGCGCAAATTGGGCCCGTTCGATGAGAGCTGCATATTCGCATCAGCACGAGACGGTGGAAGCTGATCTCAGGCTTGCCAAAGATGATGCTCTCTTCGAGACGGATGAGCACATTGCGGATATTCTGCAAGTCGAGAGGGTTCGACTTTGGGTGGAGCAGATCCATGGTGTCGGTCTGCATTGCGCGCTTGGATCAGTCTGGAGTGCATGACTGCGAGGGACTGACATTGAGAGCACCTCGCTCGGCTTGCTTGCCGCTTCGGCTTCGCGACGCGGTGAAGTCAATTTATTATTTCGATTGGGCACAGACCGAGCAAAGCGAAGCGCTCGGCAAAGATGGCAGAGGTCAAGAAATCGAAGAAGCGCAAGTCGACGGCGGTAGCAGATGAAGTTGACGATGTGTCCATGGTGTCCGCCGTGAGCGAGATAGCAGGCGCAGCGGGCGAAGAGAGCAAAAAGAGCAAGAAGAGCAAATCAAAGGACAAGGCCGACAAGGAGGCCTCGACGGCCGATATACTCGATCCAGACGACATCTCACCCATCGCCCATCCACTCGCAGAACGAAAGCTGACCAAGAAAGTCCTGAGGACCGTTCGAAGGGGTCCGTTGTGATGCAAAACGCAATCTCGAAGTCCACTTACAGGCCACATACGAGCAGGGGCCAAGCAAAGAGCGATACGCAGAGGCGTCAAAGAAGTCGTCAAGTCCATCCGCAAGGGCGAGAAAGGGTGAGCTCATCTCGTTCGGCAGCAGAGTCAGGCTGACGCGCTTGTGCAGCTTGGTCGTGATGGCAGCAGACATCTCACCTATGGACATCCTCACCCACATCCCGCTCATGGCAGAAGAATCCCAGAATCCTTACATCTTCGTCCCCTCCAAGGAAGGGCTCGGTACAGCGTCTGCTACCAAGAGACCCACGAGTTGCGTCATGATCGTGCCTGAAGTGTCGGCAAAGAAGAAAGCTGCCATTGCCGCCGCGGCAGCAAAAAAGGTTGCAGCGGGCGAAAAGGTCGACTCGGCCGCACTCTCGACCGAAGCGGAAGAGTTCAAGCAGGCTTATGAGGAGACGGCAAAGGAAGTCGCTGTCCTCAACGACCGCATCGAGTATTGATCAGAGATTGTAACACCGTGCATACTCGGGAGCGACTCCTGATCAAGCAGAGGAAATGATGCATGCGTGATGCTGCGCAGCGGTACAACTACATATGAGACTGAGACTTGCGAGTGTGAAAGTGACTGAGGTGCGAGAAAGAACAGACAATTACATGACGGTGCATCCGCGATTCCACCACCAAGATGTACGCATCTGATTGATCCAAAAGACCAGCAAACGTAGACGCAAACGAGCACTCGTGATTCTATGACAGGCCGGTAGTCAGCACAGGCATGCCTGATCGATTCGAAAAGGAACATACTGCAAAAGCTTCGCCTTTTCGTACTGATCAATCGGGATGACAGCCGCCATCCAGAATGAAAAGTCAGCCGGTGACTCTGGCATCGGTCCGAAAGTGTTATTCAGCCGCTGAAGTAGCCAAGGAGCAGATCCAGAGCGCAAGACCTCGATGAAATCGCGACAGACTTCGATTAGCTCGGCCGTCGTCTGCTCCTTCGGTTGAGCAGGAATATGCACATTATTGCTCTCCGAAGCTAGCGCTGATGCGCCAGAGATGCTGCGTGCAAGCGCAGCCTCTTCCAGTGCACGTTCTTGCTCTTCCGTGATATCGTCAATACGTTCGACTTTACCGATCGTGTATCCGTCCAGGGTGCCTCTCGACAAGACCTTGAATCTGTACATTCCCACTGTCTCAATCATCGATCTGCCATCTTGCAGAAGCTGAAGTGACTTGATCTCGAGCATCGTGCCGTACTCGTACAGCCCGCCGGGCTGACGACTTGGCAAGACCATGCCAAAAAGCTTGTTGCCGTCCATGGCACGTCGCATCATGAGCCTATAACGAGGCTCAAAGACGTGCAAGAAGGTCGGCATATTGGGAAAGGCGAGCGAGCAGACAAAGATCGGTACGTCTTGTGCAGCCTCCGCTTGTTCTCGCTGTATGTCGGAGATTCGCGTGGCGTGCAGCTGTGTGTATACCTTTTCCAGCACGACATCAATGGCACCATTGCTCGGATGATCCTTGTAATGCGCAAAACCGACGAAATCGGATCGGCACAGGGGACACTTGTCAGAATGATCGAGCGATCGCATCAAGCAAGCTCGACAGAACGTATGACCGCAATGCGTCGTGATGGGCTCATAGTAGGTGTTGAAGCAGACTTGACACTCTAGCTCCGAAGCAATCTCTTCGCCTAGCGTTTCCGGCAGAGCCTCGAGCTCTTGCTCCAGTCCAACGGCCGACAGTTCGGCGTTCCTTCGCTTCTTTTGCGATTTATGCTGCGACTTATGCGTCCTCTTTGCTTCCTCACCCAACGGAGAGGCCAGTTCTGCGCTGCTACAGCTCGATTCGGATGCCAGTGTCGGAATCGTGCCAGATGCACTCGGCTGTCGTGACAAGCTAGCGCCAGCTTCTGCGCTAGTCCGGCTCGCGATCTGACCTGACGGGAGCTGTACAGTATCACCACCTTCTTCGCCAGCTGAGATGCTCGAAAGATCGGCGTCCATCTCGTGCCGTGCCTGAGCGTAAATCAAAGGCGCTGCTCGTCGAATGATGGAGATGATCTTCTGGAGAACGACATCGATACGTGGCATATCTACAGTCTCGCTCTTCAAGGCTTTCTTCCGACAATCTTCGTACGGACATAGCGATTTCGCAGCCGGCGTGGTAAAGTCAACTTCTTCTTGACCTCGACGAGGCGCGATGGGCTCTAGCACAGGCGGTCTGCGTGGCTGGCCAGACGGGCTATCGACGAACGGATGGCTCCCTGGAGTACTAGATTGCGAATTGCTGCGTGGGCCCAGTCCAAGCCATGATCCGATGCGAGTCGATGAGCCCGATCGTGATCGTCCCAGCTCGGCTGAGTCCGGAGGCGAATCCGATCGAGTCGGGGTGTCCTGATGAGAGACGGTGCGACGCATTCTGTGCTCGCCCGGCTCTGCATCTTTGTGCATGGTCGGCGTTGCGATGCAAGAGAAGCAGACCGTATGCCCACAGCTGAGCGTCGTCGCATCTCTGAGCGAACGCATGCAGACCGGGCATGTGAGGAGACGTAGCAAGAGGGGTACGAGCTGCTTGGTCGGCAGAATCCGTGAGCTTGCTCGCGGGGATGCAGATCTCTCTTGCACGTCCGCTTCTAGCTGACTCCTGTACTGGATACCAGACGGTCTATGGTGAATCGCATGACGGCCCAGGCGGGAGGTCTTGCTCTCGGAGCCCTCCTGCGGAGTCTTGTCGTCTGAAGATGTATCTCCATCGCCAGATGTGGGCGAGCGCGGTGGGGCAGGTCGCCTGATTCTGCGATCAAGACCCAGAGTACGACTGCCTTCGTCCTCGGAAAGCCAGTGAAAGTCTGGGTCTAGATCGCGAGCGTTGCTGGCGTTCTGGAAGGCTTCGACAGTAGCTGCCGAGCTGCTCGCAACCGGCGGCGACTGAAGCGGATCTGACGATCGCCTGCGAGCAGAGGGACGCCCTGGAGCTTGCGCGGCAGTGTGAAAATGCACTGGATGGTGAGTAGCAATGGCAGATTGAGCTGGCAAGGTGCCGATGGGCAATGCACTCGATACTGCGAAGCTCGATCGCGCATTAGCTGTTGGTGATTCAGTATAATATAGGTGCTGCTTGCCTGGCAAGCTGTCGTGACTCAAGGCAGACGTGCGCTCTCTAGTTTGCGATGCTGATGGCTGTGGTAGATCACTTGCAGATGCGGTCGACTGCGATTGTTGGCTGGCGGGGTTGCCAGGCGCGACAGCGAGTTCGAGCGCCTCGTCGGGACAATCGAGCGATAGCGCTGGCTGTTGTGGATGCGGATTGAGCAGCGGTATCTCGCCAGGAGCTAGGAGGCTCTCTGCAGAGCTTGCCGGGCTCGCCGATGGCGAGATCTGGTTGATCGCAGACATTGATCACGAGTAATCAATGGGTGGCGAACGATCAGTCGGGCGCCGTCGATATGTACGCAGAAGGCCAAGATATAGCAGTATGCTGCTATGATTGATCACTATTGGCTAGCCTTGCAGCCATGGCTCGTCAGGCAGGCTGATCAAAGAGAGCTTGTGACGAGCGTTCCTAGATACGGCTGTGAGCGAACAAGCGGTCGATGCGAACTGCGATCGATGGAGGGGTGGCTTATGATAGTCTATAGCAGTATGCTTGAAGCGAGTACGCAGGCGATGATGGCAATCGCAGGCGGTCTGAGAGCCAGGAAGCAGGAGGCGTCAACCGAGACTCCAAGGATGCGTCGATGCAGGCAGGCCCTGATGCTGTCCAGTGTTCCAGACACACTACCCGAGTCTGGTAATGATATGCGATCAGCTTTCGGTCTGCTGTCCTTCTCCTGCTGCGTGACTGATCGTTCGGCAGAGGGTGTTGCTCTTCTGCGATAATTCGCGATGAATCGAAAGCGATCGGCAAGGTGGCGTCCAAGGCGTCACGATCTCTTTGGATTCTTCGCCCCGGCGCCGCCTCCACGCTCTGGCTGACTTGTGATCCCTCACCCTCCCGCTCTCCTCTGCGAGCTGAAGCCTGTCTGAACTACCCCCATGATACACGAGCTAGGCTCAATGAAACGCATCTGCCTGGCTGAAACGTGTCGCCTATTCGCATGCTGGCATATGACTGCCCACCGAGCGAGTCCTTTGCGACTACGAGAGGCATGCGAGCATACAGGGTCGTCATCGGCTGCCTGACATGCACAGTATCCGCCCATCTTCGCGCGCATCATCACGATCATGCGCTCCACCACGAGACCATCAAACACTCCATCCGCGACCTGCCAATCGGTTGGTCCGAGCTCAATCTCGCGAGCCGCGACATCGCAGCGCACTCGATCGAGCTCCACTTCTCATTGGCACCACGCGATCAAGCGTCTCTCGAAGCAGAGCTGGCAGAGACCTCTGATCCCGATCATCCTCGTTGGCGCCAACACCTCACACGCGACCAAGTCGATGCCTTTCGTCGACCGAAGGAGCTCACCGTTCGCTCATTGGAGTCATTCCTCAAAGGTCACGGATTACACAACATCAGGTATTCCAGCGATGGCACGATTGCCTCAATCAAAACTTCAGTTCAAAAGGCAGACTCGATGCTCAAGGCCAAATTTCGCATGTTCCAGCACAAGTCAGGCAGCAAAGTCCTCAGGACGCGATCGTACGAGCTGCCTGATCATCTTGCGGCTCACATCAGGAGCGTACAACCCACCACATTCTTCGGAAACCATCTGGTCAAGCGCAAGCCGGTCACAGCGCCGCCGATACGTGAGCTACAGGAGCGAGACCTGGCACCTGTGTCGACAGAGTATCCGGAAAGCTGCCGAAACCTATCATCTGTGCCCTGGGACTGTCTGCGTCGTGTATACCAGACGGACGACTATATTGTCAAGCGACCCGGCACGAACGCAGTCGGCATCGTTGCCTTCCTCAACGAGACAGCGCTTCATTCTGATGCGGTCTTGTTGGCCAATTTGGAGCGACCGTCAGCAGCCGGATACGCAGCTCGCTTCTCTGTCGAAGCATGGGGCGGGGCATCGGATGAGCAGGTTCTCAACAAGGCTACTCTCGAGGCTGAGGATGATCAAGAAGGCAACATGGATGCTCAGACCGTGCTCATGATGACGCACCCACTCCAATTCAATTTTTACACTGTCGGCGGCAGAGGGCTCTGGAAGCCCGATGCCAATGAGAACACAAACGGAAACGAGCCGTACCAGATCGCTCTGGCGCATTTGCTTGCTCTGCCAGACGATCAGCTCCCCCGCGTGCTCTCGTTTTCGTACGCAGATGACGAGCAAGCTACCCCACGGGGATATGCAGCGGCAACGTGCGAGCAGTTCGGTGCTCTCGCTGCTCGTGGCGTGTCTATCTTCTTCAGCGCTGGCGATGGAGGTACGGCGGGAGCAGCTACGAACTGCGAGATCAACGATGGAAGCCGCCGAGAAGCAATCCTTGCAACCTTTCCGGCTACTTGCCCCTATGTTACTGTGTAAGCTTGTTTGCACACTCGCACGCTATCGAGCTGACCAATGGCAAACACAGTGTCGGAGTAAATCGATGCCTGTTTGCAGTTTGTAGCCTGTCTGACATGTTTGCAGGGACTCTTCAATTTTCCAGAAGAAATGGCGACTGTCTACCGCTCAGGCTACTACTCATCAGGAGGAATCTCAAATTACTTCCAACGTCCATCATGGCAGCAAGCCGTCGTGGCAAAGTATCTCGCTAGTCCCTTCGTCGACATCAAAGCGAGACAGATGATCCAGGCCGGCGCAACCGGTCGAGCCTTTCCCGACATCTCTGCTCACGGATCGAGGCACGATTTCTTCTGGAACGGCACTCTGCATCGTCAGTCACTTCGCGCTTCCGTCCCTGCATTGACAGCTAATACCATGTCGTAGACTATGGAGGGACGTCAGCGGCTGCTCCGCTCGCTGCGTCGGTCTTTGCATTGGTCAACGACGCTCTTGCTGCCAAGAATGAGCCCTCGCTTGGATTTCTCAATCCGCTAATCTACTCGGGTAAGATCACCCAAGGGTTCTACGATGTCGTGCGTGGCAACACAAAAGGATGCGGCACGCTGGGCTTCAGCGCATCGCCAGGCTTCGATCTGGCCAGCGGCTGGGGCTCGCCTCGATTCCGTCCGCTCTTGGAGGCTGTATGGGCGGTTGTCCGTCCTTAGAGCGATCTCCCGGGATTGCATACTCAGTCTGCTACCCAAGCTAGTCATTGTCCAGTAGCCAGCCCTTCTGTCGCTCCTCTTTGCGTTGCTTCTTGCGCTCTCTGAATTTCTCCAGCTGGGCTTTTGTGAGTTTCTTCGGCGGAGGAGCGTCAGAGCTCTCGCCTGCAGCTCGCTTCTGTCTCTCTATATCCTGCTTCATGTCGAATGCTTTCTGCCAACCGTCATAGTCGAAGAAGTTCTGGTTCTGGCGTTTTGCTCGCTCGATACCCGATACTCTGTCTGGCGTTTTCTCGGGATCGCCTTCGAATCTGCCCGTTCGCGCGTTGAAGCGAGCAGAGAACGCCGGTCCGGGACCTGTCGACTCTCTGCCCGGTATAGCGAGCTTGGGATCGAGATAGACCAGGTCTGGATCGATACCATCTACGTTGCCCTCTGCAGAATAGGAGAGTTTTGTGAGTTTGCCGCCAGCTGGCACGGTCGATTGGACAGTCGCAGTAGACGTGCTTGCTTCAGCGGGCACTTGGACAGGGTTGACCCATGTTGTCTCTTGCGTCTTCTTATTCCAGAAATAGTATGCTTGCGCTCTGTGTCCTCAGACTGCTCAGCTTTGCCTCGACACAGGGACCTTTTGATTGGACTGACTGTTTGTCCCAAACGGCAGTCCAGTCACCATGGGTTGCCGCAGGTATGATCACAGGTGGCCCTTCTGTCGCCCCAGTAGCAGGCTCTGGCTCGTCCTCGTCTGGCAAGGGCGGGGCATCGTCTTGCTCATCCCCTCCATCATCTTGCTCGTCTTCACTGGGCAACGGCGGCTCTTCTTCCCCGTCCGGTAGTGGCGGCTGCTCCTCGTCTGGCAACGGAGGAGCTTCCTCGGTGACGGACGGCTGCTCTACGGCCTTTTGCTTGCCTTTGGACACCATTCGAGCTGACGGCGGGCTTACAGCGCTGCAGTTTGGCCAGCCAAGTCGCGAACAAAGTCGAGAAAGTTGCCGACAAAGGTTCGATTGTCTGCCGAAAGAGCCGTCATGGCGAGTCAGACTTGACCATGGAAGCGGCTCGCGCTGATGTATGCGCTAGCAGGGCTCCTTGCGACCCAAGTTACCGGATCTGGAGGAAGATCTGGCCGAGTTTCGAGCTCAGGAGTCAGCTTCATCTCAGGGCAGCTCTCGCTTTGCAGCGCAGGTCAAGGCAGGTCAGATTGATGCGCCGACGCTACGCCACATCGATGCAACAGATGGGCATCGACCTGAAGCCTTCAGCTTTGGTTCTGGTGCAGAAAGAGTCAGCTTCAATCTCGAGAGCCAGAGTGTGCCCCGAGCCGCTGGGAGCGCAAAGGGCAAGGCCAGGGTTGTGGGAGAGATCAGGGAGTCACACGAGAGTGAAAAGCCATCCTTTGCTCAAGCTGACCTTTCCTCGACTGGCTTTCCCATCGCCCAACATCGCTCGCAACGCGGCTCAAGATTCAGACAAGCAAAAGAAATTCCGCCAGCGTCAAGCACGCCGATAGCGACAATGGAAGCGAGTACATCGGCATCAAAGCTGGACTCTTCTGAGGACACAGCAATCTCTCGCGAGAACGAGGAGAGACTGGCCGGTTTGTCTCCTGGAGAGATCGAGCAAGCGCGACGAGAGGTCCTAGCTCAGCTGAATCCAAGCCTGATTTCCTTTCTCGAGAAGCGCCAAAGCAAGACACTATCACAGCAAAATGTCGTGCTGAAGACCATCCCGTCCGAGGAGGAGGAACCTCGATCTGAAGCAAAAGAGCTACGCGATTTGCGAGATCAGTTCTTTCCTGATGAGCCTTTGCATCCGCTCGCGACAGACGCCCCTGTCGAGCATGCACATCTACCGCCTGCATCAGAGCACGAGCCTCGGTTTACTGCGGACGGCCGGCAGGCAGACAAGAATAACAATCTTGCGCACACGATCACTCAAATACTTGCCATGACGGGCTCGACAGCAATTTCGCAAAGACGACTTGCGCTCAGTACAGCTCGTAACATACTGGCAGATTCAGAAAACCTAGCTCTACTCGGCCAGGAGGCCAACTTTCGGGAAACAATTGCTACAGCTGTCAAGTGCGCTGCCCGAGCCCTCGCAGATCGCGACGTCACCTGCAATGCCAATGCAATCCAGCTGTATTCAATCTTATGGCCGGACAACGTCGGGGCGAGCGACACCAAGCAACAATTGGCACGTACAGCTTCGACGACATTGCTCAATTTGGAGCCTCCACCCCTGGCAAGGCTTCAGCAACATCTCAACGAAATTATTAGCACCTTCGAAGAAGACCCGACCGGGCAATGCAAGCTGACAGTCATGAGGATCTGCCTCCTTCTGCGACATATGGCAAAGACAGCCATTGAAATGACAGACGCCATCGTGTCTACCCCTGGCCTTCTCGAGGCAGCCTGTCAGGCAGCTCATGGCGGCTCTTGGCCACCCATTCGACCGGCTCATCTGCCATTGTCAGAAGCGGTCTACCTGCTCACAGATCTCGTGCGTGCGTCTCGAGACTATGCAGTCGCCATTCTCGACAGGAAGCTACCGGATGGGCTTTTGCGCTTTGTCAGCCTGCCTCATTGGCGTCTATCGAGCAAAGCCGACCTCAGCTCAGAAGGCAAGGGGATGCTGGCAGCCACCTTCGAGCTCTGGAACGCACTGGCATGCTATGGTCTGGGCTGCAGCGTACGCACTTCTGCCATGTCATCTTTGGCGACGATCGAGATCGACTTGCTCAGCAAGTGGAGAGTACATGCCTCAGATGCAGAGTCTTGGCTCACGCTCGCTTGTACGTGGGCAACGTGCGCGCTCGATCCACATCAGACGACGCCAGAACACGATATCACTTGGTCTCAGGTGCAGAGCTGGCTCGACTCGGCTTGCACGCTAGCCGATGAAGCAAGCAAAAGTCTCGAGAGCCTTCCCGCCCGCCGAGTGCTCGGATCTGCTTACACCCTCATCAGTATCATCGTCACTGGATCGATGCGTAAGTCGCCTACTTCTCCGATTACAGCCCTCGTCTCGGCTCGGGTCGCAGCGCATCACCTGTCGGTCGAGATCTTCAGCATGCTGCTGCTCGGAGCAGAAGAGAATGACCCGCCAGAAGCAATGACGGCCATGTCTCATGCCTTTCAAGGCCGCATGCTGCTCAGCCGCGCACTATCCGAGCCTCGATCGAAGAGATCGCGACCTCTTTTCGTGGCCATCGAAGAAGTGGCAAAGAATATCGATGACTTGGCTCTGCAGAACCTCTTGTGTGTCGGCTTTGCGCGCCTTGACGTTCCTCCCAAGGAGAAGCTATCGGCAATCTGTAGCTTGCTGCCGTATCTGGCAGACGGCATGCAGCCGGAGGCCATCGAGCTGGTCAAGCTCGCACTCGAGCTCACTTCGCATCTCGAGCTTCTACCGCACTATGAAACGGCCATCTCGACTCGCATGAAGACGCTACGCACTGGTGCTCTGCCTCGCTCCGAACTGCTCAAAGTCTATGCACGACAACAAGCGCCTCTGCCGTCCATTGTCGAGCCGACGGAACACGATGGCGGAGCGCTACCGCCTGCATGGCCGTTCATGACGCTTGATGCGCTCCTCTCTGAAGACTATCCCCGTACGAGGGAGATCGTGCAGCAGATTCGACAGACATTCGATTTTGCGCGAGACCTCGCTCTGTGCGCCGAGCCCATCGTCGACGCAAAGCGAGTCAGTCAGTGGTCGCCGGGTGACCTCGTCTATCAGATCTTTCGCTTCTACTGCCTCGCCGCCAAAGAGTCTGGTAGCTCTCAGCCACTCTTTCTTGAGCAGACTGTCGCGGAAGCTGTCGATGCTTTGCTGCAGCCTTTCAGATCACCACGCCAGAAAGCTCTCAAGTCTGGCGAGACTGCACAGGATGCTTGTATCAAGATTGCTCGTCGCGAGAGGACAAACACAGGGTTGTTCTTGCAGCAGTATCAGGATCTGCTTGCATTCAACGCAGCTTATTCGATGCCCGAGAGCAGTTCGTCACGAGGCCAGATCACCTTGCAGGCATTGTTGCTCTTGCCGCTCGTCACTGATTCGTACGCGCACGACTATCGACGCTTGCTCTTCATCGACTATGCGCACAGTCTGCCGAGCTTCACATTGGCCGCCTCAGATCTGATCTTGGAGAGCTCTGGAGGGTTGACTGCCTTCTTCAAGCCGGCAGTGTCGGATCTGCCGACCCTTCAGGCGTTGCTCGATAGCCTGATCACAGACAGAGTTGAGCGTTCCAAGCAGCCCTTCATCCATTCCTACGCCAAATGGCATGTCGCGGCGGCTATCGCCAGCAAGAGCAACTACAGTGCCTCCCTGCTTACCACGCTTCTGACAAAGGCATCGGACGAAGTCGTTCGCAGTGTTTTCGACGCTCAACCGACCTCAACAGAGAGCCTCGCTGCTCGCAAGGTCTCCTGGCAGAGCCTAGTGCCTAATCACCAGACCAAGCTCAAAGAGCGCCTGCAAAAGCTCGCAACGAGCTTTGCATAGAGTAAGATCATACTTCAGCTATCGCCGTAGCCGACTGAAGTTTTGCTTTCTTGCGTTCGCTCTTGCCAGCGCGTTTCTTGGCTGGCGCTGCTGTTGGCTCGGATGCAACTTGCTCTGCTCCGATAGTCGTATCACCGTTGACGTCCTGATTTGGCTTCTGAGACCTCTTATCACTCTTCTCGAGCTTGGGCCTCTTGCTCTTCCTAGGGTAGACGGGCAAATCGGCGTCCTGGGGGACTTGCGCTCCCCATTCGCGACTGCTGAGATTCTTGCGGAGATCCCGTAGGCGCTTCTTCTTGCTCTTCTTGGTGTCATCGTCGAAGCGATACGGCGCGATCTTCCGCAAGCCGACATAGCTGTTCAGTTCCTGATCTGTCGCCATGAGGATCTCTGCAGGTGTAAGATCGAACCCTGAAGGCGGAACTTGGGTATAATGAAACCTGGTGGGAGTAGTGCCCGCCAGATCGCCGTAATTGAGCTTGTCGTACTCTTGAACGAGCTTGTCAAGCTGCCGCTTCCGTTCAGCAGGGTCGACGTCGACATTCTCTTCTGCTTCCTCGGCTTCACGCGCTCGCTTTTTGCTCTTCTTGTCCTTGCGCTTCTTCTTCTCCTTCTTCTTGCCAGATGAGGGCTCGAGAGGGTCATACGCGTCGCCACCCGGCTCGTAATCTGCCGCTTGCTCCTCGCCAACAATATCTGTGATATCGATATCGTCTTCCCAGATGGGCTTGCCGTCCGCATCTGTAGCCTGTATGTTTTAGCTGTATCAGCTTCGTCGTCTGCACTAGCAGATGCAAACCGACCTGATCTGCATAGTACTGCTCATCAAAAATACGCTGCATCATCTGATCGTGCTTATCAGGATCGAATTCGCCCTCGAGGTCGATGTCAGTCTGGAGCAGATCCTGTCTGCCCATGGTTTCGGCAAGCTTTGCAAGCTTGTCTTGGATCTCTCGTGACTTGAGATCGCGCAGTCTATCGAGCTCGGCGGCCTTCTTCGCTTTGAGCTCTGCTTTGCGGGCCTTGACGAGCTCGCGTGACTTCTTCCTCGTCTCGTCTTCTCGTCGCACCGAAGCGTTCGCAGCCGCGTCGCGAGCATGGGTGACGAGATCTGCCCCAGCCCTGATATGGCCATCAGCGCTACGGTCTGAGCAGAGATACAGAGACATACTCTTGCTCGAAGCGAAAGTTGTACTTTGTCTCGTACTCGTCTGCTCGCTCTTCGTACTCCTCGTCTTCGCTGTCGAACGCTTCATCTACTCGAGTCTGTGGCGGCACAGGATCCTCGAGCTCGACGGGCGCCTTTCTCGCAGGTTCTTCGACCATTTCTGAGTAAGAGGGCAGTTTCCGACTTGATTTGTCTAGCCAGCCTCGATCGAGGATGTAGCTGCAAGCCTTCGTCAGATCCGCACATGAAGCAAAAGGTGCAAGACCGACTTTCGCAAGAAGGCATCTGGATCCTCTGCAGGCTTTTCGGGCCTTGCAACATTCTTCTTATCTCTGACACGCTTGACTTTGGATGTACTTGCGACCGGCATCGCGTCGAGTGACTTGCTTGCATCGCTAGCCGATCTCAAGGCTGCTTCTACGTCTGCCTCGCCTACCGACTCGAGCAAGAAGCGCCTGTAAGCTTCATCCTCGTCCTCTTCGCCTGCCTCTGTATCTTCCCGCTGCACAAGCAGCACATCCTCGTCCGAGTCGGCATCGTCATTGAGCGCGTTACGAAAAGCGTCAGCGGTCTCACGCTGGAGTCGGACTGCCTCTTCGGCAGGCGTCGGGCGCTCGTGAACGTCTTCGGCGTCTCCGTTGCCCGCTGCAAGTATAGCTTGACGCTGAAAGTCTTTGAGATAGACGGGCTTGCTTTCCTTGGCCTTTTGCTTGCCTTTCGATGTTCTGGCTGCCGATTGCGCGTTCCTCTGTTCCTCCTCTGCCTGACTCATGAGCTCGCCTTCGAAGACGGACCAGGATGCGCACCCTCGAACCAGCGCTTGGTCTTCGAGGCATCATCATAGAGAGCTGTATCACCCCTTTTGATGCGTGCAATCGTCTTGAGGATGGCTGCATCGACCTGAGGCGTGACCAACTCGGCGTCCGAATCCTCAGACGAGTACTCTGTCGACTCTTCGTCCTCGGGCACATAGTCTCTGCCATACCGGTCTTGCACTGTGATGCCAACTTCATCAATTCGACATTTCTCTGCCGACCTGGCGCAGGCACTGACGCTGTGTGAGCTCCTCGCCCCGCTTCCGGCGCTCGTACTGCTCTGCGTAGTTCGAGTTGAGCTTGAAGCCGTTGGTGTGAGTGCTCGTGGAGGCTTCAGGCTCGTCGAACAAGTCCATCTCGGCTGCGACTCTTCAAAAAATTAGAGTCAACAAAAGTCACCGTCCTCAAATTCTGCTAGGCCTGCGCTCAGCATGGGCCGCTCCAGGGAAGGCAAGCTATGGAGCTCTACGTCTGCCAAACCCAAGCGCAAGTCGCTACCAGTGCCGGCCGCCAGCTCCTCAAGCACGAAGACGGCTAAACGGGACAGGAAAGGGAAAGCCAAGGCTCTGCCTGTCAAGAAGACTGCCTTTGTCGACACTCGCTTCAGGGTACGCTGGCTGGACTGAGCTCTTCGATGACGATGCTGAGATGGGAACGTCGTACCAGTATCAGACCCTCTCGGCCAAGCTCAATGCAATCTCGGTCGACTTGAGTTCCTTGCTCGACCGCAGCCAGGCTTATGCTTTCGAGTCCGACTTGGAAGCCAGCGAGGATGAAGGAGAAGCGAGTACATCAACCAAGCAATCAAGCGAGACACCTTTCTCCAAGCAACTCGCCTCGCTCGTCTTGCTCAACACGACCACACCGTTCGTTATATTCTCGAGACAGGTCGCTCCAGCGTCTCGAAGCCTACCTTTGATTGTCCATCATCGCCATAGGATCGTCAAGAGCATCGTCGACGCTCTTGCTGGTCCGGGCTCTGCGTTATGCGCGGATGCTGTAATCGAGTGCGTCCTCCGAAGTAGCTCCATCGTTCGTTGGCGCTGATGGGCTGCCTCTGCTTCGAAAGGCTGATCCCGCAATTCTTGAACACGCTGCCATCCTATGCTCTGCTCGAACCACTCATGCCACAGTTGCTAGCCGGCTTGATCGATCTGAGCACGTCAAGCACCACCGATCCTGCTCATCTCGAGAAAGCCGTCCAGACCATCGCTTTCATCTTTCGCGAATTGGCACGAGAGCTTGTCAAGCAGCCAGACTACTGCTGGAATTTTCTACGCGTCGCATTGGGTGCTGCACCGCGCAAGCAGCCTGCCCTCGCGGAGCCCATTGTAGCCGACGCATCTGATGACGAGGACCTGTTCGACGGCGAGGAGATTGCGGACCTGCCCCAGCCGTCTATCGATGGACTACGCCTCGAAGCTTCTCTCGATGACAGCGCAGCCACCATGGAGGAAGTCGCTGAGCCCGTTACGCCCACGCTCGCCACTCCGACGCGGCGCAAGATCGTAAAGCCGCAGATCAGGCACCTTCTCGCGAGCGCGTTTGCGTTTCTCATTCGCAAGTCTAGCGCATCTCAGCTAGACGACTTCTTCGAGATCATGTTCGCCGATCTGCAAGAGCTCGTCGCCGCTGACGACGCCTCGATCGATGCTCTAGCTCAGAGCGTCGCTTGGATCGTCGTCGAGAGCGTTCAGAGTGTGGAGCATCAGCTACATAGCCACGCGCCGAGTATCTTCAAGGCCTTTCTGACCATCGCTTCTCGTCATTGTGACGACTCGAGCTGGCCGCTTCGTACAGTCGAGGCTGCGCTTACCGCTGTCTTACATCAGACCAGATCGGATCCCTTTACAGCTTCTGCTGACGTTATCATCCAGCATGCCAGCTCTCAGATCGAATCTACGAACAAGGCGGCTCAGATTTTTGCCCTTTCAGTACTTGATACTCTGTCAGCAGTACGCAGCGCAAATCGACTGAGTGCCCGCGGGCGCAACAGCATCTGGATCGCCCTTCAGCAACAGCTACATTCGAACCTATCAGATCCAGATCTCCTGTCTGGTCTTACAGAGGTCGTCAGCAACTTACTGCTCACGGCCGATCTGCAAGAGACTCTCGGCAAAGCACGGATTTCGCTGGAAGCGTTATTTACTCCAGAACGTCGTCGGTACGCATACTACCTTGCTCGCGTCCTAGCGTCCCAAAAAGCCAGCCACTTTGGAGCAGTCGTACTGTCAAGAGTTCTCCATCTAGCGATCAGTGATCTGTCGCAGACAGATGAGGCATGGTTGCTGCTCGCTTTCCTTGCTCGAGAGAACCAGCTGCTGGATATGGCGACCATTGATAGAGGCGTATGGCCTGCAAAGCTACGCCTCCAGATAGCCAGACTCGCCGATGACTTGGGAAGCTCATCCGGCGATGCTACTGCGGCTACTTTTGCGAAGCTAGTTGTTGCTGAATACCATCCTATCCTTCTCGAAAGCCAAACAACCGAGTTCCTTGCCAAATTCGCACTCACACTACAATCAGTGCATGATGCCCGATCTCGCTACATGACTTCCGCAAATAACCCTGCAACCCTTCTCGCTCAGATCTTACGGACTCTGACCGCAGCTACGACCACCACGATGGCAGGCCTCTCGCTTGATATCACCATCGATTGTCATCACTGGTGCGCAGAAGTCTTGCAAGCTACCCCGACCCAGAGCAAGAATGTTTGCACGTCAAACGAAGGGTCCGCGAGCCTTCACTGTAGTCGACCAAATGCTGAAATGGCCTTGCAGTCCTTCTCCTGATCGCATTAATGCCCTCATCCGCAATGTCCTCTCGGAGAGCAAGGAGCTTCGCGTCGCCTCACTCAAAATGCTGTTACATATCTGCTCGAATGAAAAGTACGCAGCGCTCAAGTCGACAGTCGAGGCTGCCGTCAGAGTAGAAGAGACGTCGCTTACTTTTCAACAAGCTCGCGAGCTGGGTATGTATGTCCGCAAAGTGGCAATCAACGCGCGCGCTTCAAACTCGGAAGTCGCTATTTCCGTCGCTGTACACCTTTCTGCAGGTGAGATGACCTGCGCCGAGCTCTTGCGCGCGCTGACATGAGTCATGTAGCTTTGTTGAAAGTCAACTTCAAGCCAATTTGGTCAGATGCCACCCAGAATCTACTTGACTTGCTGCAACACTCGCCTGCTCAAACGTGGCCTGTCATCAGCAGTCAGCTTGAGAAGGTCGCTCGATACAAGACCGATCTGATTCAATCGCCTTCTCCGACATGGCGGTACACTGCGGATACATACCGGGAACAGCAGGAAGACTTGCTGAGCAGCTCTGAATTTGTTTGCTCGCACAGAAAAGCGGTGCACGTAGTATATAGTCGCCTCGAACACCTCGGCTCAGTACACAATGCCCTGGATGCCTTATTCGCCATAGATGTGAGTGTGACCCGTGCGATAGCTCGAAAAACTTATGCGCATGCAGATCGATCCAACCTCTCGCTTGGTCTACAGCTCGTACGAGTATCAGCTGCTCCAAGTCTTACGCAAATCGCCAGCGATTGTTGCGCAGTATGGACGCTTCTTTGTGCAGCTATTTTTCGATCTCTTTGCGGACAAGGACACTTCGGATGAAGTAGAAGCAGAGACGGATGCGGAAGGAGGTTTGAGCACCCGCTCTGATCAGCCTCCGATGTCCGGCAAGCTTACAAGGCAGCGCTTGCGATCTTGGCAGGAGGTCATCGTTGTCTTGCCGAACCCCAAAGCACTATACCGTTCGGATGACCTTCGCGCTTTCCACACAGACATGCTCTCTCATGGCGATTCAGCAATACAGACTCTGGCCGTCGACTGTCTACTTGCATACAAGACTGCGCAACTTGCGCCTCACAAGGACATGCTGAAAGGCTTACTGAACGGCAGCGCTATGCGCGAAAACCTCCTCGGCTTTGCCGAGCTCCTGCAGTCAGGCACCGTCGTCGGCGACGATCGCAAGATCCTCGTGCCTATCGTCGTGCGACTCCTGTATGGCATTTTGACTTCTCGCAGCTCGGTTCACTCAGATTCAGCATACGGTCAGTCTGCGCGCAGGACGGCGATTATGTCTACGCTTCGCGAACTCATGCCGACAGAGCTGGATACGCTCGTCGACCTCATGCTTGCTCCCTTTGGCACCCTGTCAATCTCCGAGCAAGACCTCGCACGTGTACAGCTAAATGAGGGCTTCACCGCGAAGCGACAGATTGGTCTGCTGACGCTGCTGGCTGAACTCATCAAGCATCTTTGCAGCTCCCTAGTCCACCGCATGCCGGATATTGCCGGTGCCCTCACAGTACTGCTTTGCTCATCCCAGAGACTCATCGATGAAGCTGCAAGTGGTTCAACCATCAATGCCTGCAGGAAGATCAGACAGCTAGGCTTGAAGCGGTTGAAAGAGCTCTTCGAGCGTGACATTGATTTCACGTTCGACGCGTACCTCGCTGTCATATTTGCGACCGTCATATCGCCTCGTATACCCACTTTTGCGGTAGAGAACAGCCAAGCACTCTCGGCGATGTTCGAGCTGTTCATCACATGGTCAAACGAGCCGGCGTACGCGCACTTTCTGTCGCGGTACGATGCCCGTCTTATACCGGCCTTATACGACTGTCTCGCTGTTGACAACGTGCGACCGGCCGTAATCATAGGTGTACTCGAGGTGATCAATAACCTGCTGACGAATGCGAGAGAATCGTCGATTGAAGGCAAAATGGATGACGGTGTTCTCAGGCTCAGTCATTTGCTAGACTGCCTCACTGCAAACTTACGGCATCGCCCGACGTCTCTAGCATCACGAGATGTGCTAGGACAAAGCCAACTGAAGACTCTGTCGGCCCTCGCACCTTCTATTGAAAACGGCGATCAAGCTAACAAGTTGCTTGTCCTGCTGCTGGCTTTGATCGACAAACCTTTCAAACAAGTTCCGGATTCCGTCAAAAGTGACCTGTTGGCCATCGCCACCAGACTCGTCGGCTCGGCTTTTGACGACGACAATGCGGTAGGCTTCGTGCAAGCTTATAAGTCAGTGTCGCGATGTCTTGAGACCGTGCAGCTCCGTGCTGGGCGCGAGAACGCCGTTGCTTGCATTGGAGCTCTCTCGCTGTCACACGATTCGGACGAATTGGCAGTCACTGCATCCCTGATTGGCGATCTAGAAGCTTACTCGGGGCGGCGACTCGGCGAACCCGATTTTGAGCGTAGACTGTCAGCCTTCAACAAGATCAACGAGACGCTCTATAGCACCTTGACAGAGATGCAGTGGAGGCCTATCCTTCACAGTCTACTGTTCCACATGCGCGACATCAATGAGTATGCCATCAGAAGTAATGCGACCTTTGGCCTATGTCGATTCCTGGAGGCTGTGCCTGGATCTAGCATTCCACTCGATTCACTTATCGAGCCTCTTCTGCTTCCCGGCCTTACAGCCGCGATGTTATCACCACACGAGCCCGTGCGTGCCGAGATCATGACGGTGCTGGATGCTGCGGCAAAGCTCAAAATCGAATCTGCCAACCTCAAGCAATTGGCTGCTTTGACAGCAGGCAACGACGTCGAGGCCAGCTTTTTTACAAATATATACCACGTTCAAATCCATCGTCGCAAGCGAGCGATGCAACGCCTGGGTAACACGGCGCTAAAGGGGTCCCTATCCAGTGCGCTGGTCAAATCGCTCTTTATTCCACTTCTGCGTCATTACATTGCTGGCGCGTCGGACATCAAAGACCAGGAGTTGATTAATGAAGCCGTCCTTGCAATGGGGCAGACGGCTGCTGCACTTGAGTGGCGAGCGTACATCGCCTTAGTCGGCCAGTACACCAGACAAGTCAAGGTGGCTAAAGCGGCAGAATCGGCCGACGCTACCAGTGCGCAACAGAAGCTTGCGATTCGTACACTAGTAGCGATATTGCGCAATTTTCGGCTCGCTGCGCACCCAGAGCATCGTGCTGAGCAGATAGAAGCGACCCGTGTGCGCTTCCTGCCACGCCTTATGCGTATGCTCGAGCAGAGGGATGAGGCGGAAGCCATCAACCGCATACCGCTCGCAGAAGGCATTGCAACTGTGCTGCAGCAAATGCCTGGCGACGCGCGTCGACGGCAGGTGCTTAGCCTGCTAACAGCGCTGGCCGGTATCCTCAAGAGCAAAGCGCAAGATGTCAGAGACTCGACACGTGCGACGATTTGCACAATCTCTACCGCACTCGGTCCTGAGTATTTGGCAGATCTCGTCAAGGAGCTGAAAGAGGCTCTAGCTCGGGGTCCTCAGCTCCACATCCTCGCTATGACTATACATGCTTTGCTTGCTCGGCATGTCGCCGCTGGCACTCCTGAGTTCGACGAGGCTCTGTCTGTCGCTGTGCCTGTTCTTGCGAACGATTGCTTTGGCCAGCCCGCGAAAGAGCGTGCATCCCAGGACTTCCGATCAAAGACCAAGGTCAAAGAAGTCAGAGCATTCAAGAGCGAAGATTCGTTCCAGATCTTAGCTGAGCACATGTCGCCTACAAGCACGCCCATATTGTTGGCGCCGATCCGAGACCTTTTACAGCAGACAGAGGGTAGCAAGGCCCTGCAGCACGCCCAAGATGTCCTGCGTCGCATCGCTCAAGGCATACGTCTCAATAAGAATTTTGACAACAACACGCTGCTCGAGCTGTGCAATGCACTCATCAGTCAGAACACAGACTTTCTGCGACCTCGACCGAAGCGTGTCAAGACCAAAGCAGCAGCTGCTGATTACCGCATCCAGATGTCTGCCAAGGTTGCCATCGAAGATGATCATTTCCGCCAGAATGCTCATATCTTCGTCTCTTTCGGTCTCGATCTATTGAACGCGTCCTTCAAGGCCGCTAGATATGACATGCGTGACTCTGCGACCGTGGCCAAGCTCGATCCACTGATCGAAGTCGTTGGCAATACTTTGTTCTCGGATCATACCGATGTACTTTCTCGTAGTCTCAAGGCTGCCGCATCGCTCGTGCACTTTCCACTTACTTCCGTCAGCAAGGCAAGCCCCCTTGTGCTGTCGCAGGTGTTCAGCATCTTGCAAGACATGGGTAGCGCGCAGACAGAGGTCAGCCAGAACGCCTACAAGACGCTTGCTGTCATCTTGAGAGACTGCCCCAATGTCAAAGTCGAGGAGGACGAGCTTGTGAGCGTTCTGCATACGATCAAAGCTGGCATCGAAGATCCAGATGATCAGGCGACTATGTTCACCCTGCTGCGTGCAGTCATGGCGCGCAAACTCGTCGCGCCCGAGATCTACGAGCTCATGGATAAGATAGCCGAGACACTCGTCACAAATCAAACAAGTCAGGTCAGGCAGATCTGCAGATCTGTCTATCTGCAATTTTTGCTCGACTATCCCCAAGGCAAGCAGCGTCTGCATCAGTCCATGACATTCCTGGCCAAGAATTTATCATACGTCTACGAAAGCGGTCGCGCCTCGGTTCTCGAGATTTTGAGTGCCATCATTGGCAAGTTTAATCAAGACCTGGTCGCTCAGCATGCCGATATGCTCTTCACGGCACTTGTTCTGTGCCTCGGCAATGAGCAAGCGGCTCGCTGTCGGGAAATGTCTATCGAAGTTCTGAAGGCTTTACATGCTCGGCTGACACCATCATTGCGGAAGCAGCAGCGAGATTTGCTCGCACTGTGGGCAGCGGGAGACGGCAACAAGGTCCTGCAACGAACAGCACTGCAAGTACTCGGTGCGCTGAACGCTGCGCCCTCGCCCACTGTCCTTGCTCCCATGTTCGCTGTCATTCGCGAAAGCGCCTTGCACATCGGTACGGACCAGCTAGAAGACAGCGAGATTGATTGGCAGACGTCTTATCAGGCGCTCAATGCGATTGCGAAGCAGCTGCCAGGTCTTGATGCTGCAAGTGTATTTACGCCCGATCTCGACTGGGCGTCTATACAGAGCCATTTGACCTTTCCTCATGCATGGGTCAGACTGGCGACCAGTCGTCTTCTCGGAGCACTCTACGATCTCGGCAAAGATCTGGTTGCAACTGGAAAGCTACCTGAAGAGCATATCCTCTCGACCGCTTCGTTGCTCGACGCTGCCTTCAAGTCGGTTCGTCAGCTCGAGAGCGAGCACCTGACGGATGAGCTCGCAACGCAAGCCATACGCAATATTCTCTTCACTTTCAAGGCCTTTCAAGCTCGTCATCCTCTTGTCATCAACAGCGCTGTCTCCGCGGACTACAGCCCGGCGCAAGAGCCAGTGCGGTGGATGCTCGATCGCCTCACCCGGCGCTTGCGCAATGCTTACGTGCATCGACCGAGCGTATATAATGGTGATCAAGTACGCTCGTTTGCAAGAAGCCTTGGCCGATACTGACAGGACTGACAGCGCGTCTGGTCACGCGAAGCTCTGTCACTTCTCAAGCTACTTGCAGCGATCGTTCAACAGCTCGAACCCGAGGCTTTGGCCGCTGTGCTCGGTGATCTTGTGTCGCCTCTATACAATCTTATCGAGGACGGTAACACCGCTGATCCTCAAGTCGGTATGTATATCTTCCCCGGGTATACGAACAAGGCTCACCGTGGTTCCGCAGTCGAAATCCAGAATCTCGCGATCGAATTCAGAGAGCTCTTACAGGCCAAAGCCGGTGTGTCTGCGGTTGCAACAGCCTATAGCACAGTCAAACAGGCTGCAATCGATAGACGCAACCAGCGCAAGGCTGCAGCTGCCGTAGCTGTGCGTCCTTGCTGCCGTCTTCACGACGCTGAGCTGACCCCGATTTGTAGGTTGTCAATGATCCTGAGACGGAAGCAAGGCGGCGCGAGAAACGCGCAGCAGTGCGATCGGTTGCGAAAAAGCGTAAGGCAGAGTCATACGCTCGCAAGAAGGAGAATTATGGCGACATCAAGTTGAAAAAGTCGAAGTATTAGATTATGTTGATGTCAACAACAAAGTGCAGGCGTGCTTGTATGCTACCGAGACGCGATTGCTCTCGCAGTCTCTAGTGACATTATGCCATGGTCTTCTTCTCCCAATGGCTCTAGCTGGTCCCACAGCTGATCGAGTTCAATGTCAATGGCGAGTGCGGCAGATTGCCCGGACGAGTTGACCATTTTGGGCGGGGCCGGTCCTGGCGTGGCAGGCTGCGCAGGAGAAGTGGGCGAGACGGGCAAAGCCTGCGCTGTGGGAAGCGCAGACGCAAGCCGTCTGAGAGGCTCGATCTGTCTAGGTAGCGGCAACACCCATATCTTCTCACGCAGGCGCTTATGCTGTTCCCGAATCGCTTAGCTTATGGCCAGGCAAGGACATGCACGAGACTGACTCGCTCGCGATCATCTTCTATGCGGCGAAGAACGTCGTTGTGCGAGAACTTGTGGAATGCTGCTGCTTCGCCTTGGCTGGCAGACGCTCTGCAGACCGCGTCAGTCGTGATGGAGGGCACAAGGGCACGTCAAATTCGCCTTGCGTTACGAGAGTCTAATGCTCTCTCGACAGGTTCGACGATCTCTGGCGCTATCATCCGCTTCGTCTTCCACACTTTAAGTATCTGTTGGACAGAAATTGTGATCTATGTGACGGAACGGGCAGGATCGGCCGACCTGCTTGGCGCTCATGAGATTGAGAATGCCCTCTCGCTCTCGGGGTACGACGAGGCCGACGAGCTTGCCGAGATCGCGCTTGGTAGACTCGAGGTAAGAAGTGATGCCCGAATTGAGAGCGGCGTCGAGGAGACTGTCGATAGCAAAGAAGATATTGATGCGCGCATTGATGCTGCTCTTCTCGCACTCCTCGACGAGACAATCCCAGATGTCGTCACTGCTTCGGGGTGCATGCTTGATGGCGAATGCGACGACCTTTTGTATCGATTGCTGAGATGAATTGAGTCGTCTTATCACCGAAACAAATTGCATTCGGATCTGCCGAGAACATCTCCGTCAGTCTCGCCGCGCCGAAAAGATATAAAAGGGACTCGCCTCGAAAGCGTCCATGCTCGTCGGGCCTTTCGACAGAGACGGCTCACTTGAATCATCGCGACTATTTGATTTGGCAACATACAAGTGCCACGAGAGCATTAGCCGCGTCGCGTTCGACGAATTTGTTGTGTCGAGGCGAGTCGATCCAGCACACGACTATGGGGCTGCGAGGCAGTCCGCAAGCTAGCGATGGCTCCGAGAGGCGCAGAATGCCGATCAAAGTGCTCTACACACTCAATTTTGCGAATCAATCGCGCGGCAACGATCAAAACGACGGCAATGATAGAGTGCCTCATCGCGGCTCAGACTCATCTTCACGCAAGCGCTCGTCACAGCAAGAGTACATAGCGCGATGGCAGGGCGGAGTAGAAGTCCAGATACGCTCTCATGTTGCGCCACTGCCTAACACGTCCGCATCCGGCCAAAGTGACGTGCAGCTCGGCAAGCGACGTGACTTTGGCGAGGTGCCTCTTAAGACCTGTCTGGGTGCCATCTGCATGTCTAGGTAGTCTCTGTCTCCTCTTTGGCCTATCAGACTGCGCTGACGAGCGACGTAGGCCGGATTTGATCCTCGATCAGAACAAAGATTTTCAGGTCTCCTCTCTAGACGCTTACGAATCCCATCTGCGCTCTCGCGAAGGCTCGGTGAGCCAGAGCTACGGACATTCCCGGCAGATGCCCGATTCACCAGGACCGTCAGGCTCGACGCGCACGCGAACGAGTACGAACGCGCTTCATCTTTCACCCTCTAGACGACCAGAGGAGGGTCTGCTGGAGGGCAAGGGCATGCTTAGCTGGTGTCTCGAAGAGATCAACGTCAACTCTGCGACGACCGTCATAGGGCGCGTCGTCGTCAGTGAAGCTGCGACAGGGCGAGAACACGATGTGCTCGTTACGCGCTCTCCTGCCCATTCAAAACCCGCCACCAAGCGACTAAGAATGACAAAGGAGACGATGAAAGAAGAGTGGCAGCTCGCCGATGAAGATACAGATGGTCTCGTGGAGACTCTTGAAGTCTATCTGCAATTGACGGAAAGACCCAAGATCAGTCAATCGCAATTCTTCAGCTCCCTCAGCGCCTTTGGACGCGGCAAGAAGACCGCTTCGAGCTCTTCTGGCCCATTTGGAGATGTCTCGGCGCACACCGCTCCTTCGCCTAATATGAGTGCCTTTGGAGATTCGCAAAGCCGCACAAGCAAAACGACGCCGTCCGATTCGACGGGCAAGGCGCATTCGCCGCTTGTTCCCCAATCAGAGCCTGTAGGGCCGAGAACAGTGCAAGAGGATACTCTACCGGTGGCACAATCCGTCGGCGGTGATCCTGTCAAGAAGCGACGCGGCCGGCCGCCAGGCGCCAAAAACAAGGTCCAAGACACTGCCATCGTCGCGGCTCGACGGACCTCAACAGCAACAGAGACGCTCGTTATGGCATCTGATATGCTTGCCGAACTCGATCCGAACGCGTTCGCTGCCTTTCCCACCAGCACAACTCCGGCAGAGCTCCAAGACGACTGTGACGATAGTGCTGCTTCGCCTGCCGATACGGCGTCTGGCAGGAAGAAGCAGGTGCGTTTATACAACAGTCAGGGATGTTCCAACTGTGGCGTCAAGAAGAGCTGCACCTGGCGTCGTCGACGGAATGGCAATGACGAAGTCCGTCTTTGTAATAGTGAGTATTTCGCTTCTGACGTACAAACGCGCTGACACTTGTGTAGCTTGTGGGGTCTTCTTCAATACTAAAGGCTTTCATCGTCCGGTCACGAAAGCATACAAGCCTACCAAAGTCTTGACACAAGGTCAAGATGCGCTAGGCAAGGAAGCAGACGACCAGAAATTCGTGACCCTCTCACCGACTCATCCCGAATCGCGCAAGTCGCGTAGCTCGCCACGTCAGGTATCGCGCAAGCGTGCGCATTCCTTACCAGCCTCTGCGCCGCCTTCGCCCGAGAAGGAACAAAGTGCTAAAGTCGATGCAGCGGTCAACATCATCCAGCCAAGTCCAGGCACTGCAGCTCTCTATAGCTTACTAGCAGGCGCTGGCATGGATATTCAGGCGGAGTCCAGGAGCGAGAGACAGCAAAGGCAGTCATCCCTGCCCATCAGCGGCGAGCCCGATTGGTCGACCTTCTTCTCGGCGCCTGACCAAATCGATTCCGCTACGTCACTCGCACCGGATAGTCCCAGCCTGACGCCTCACAAGCTCGCAAAGCTCAGCAATTCAGTCAAGCGGATTACCGATATCCCTGATGTTGCTGCCAACCTCTTTACGCAGGTAGAAGATAGACCCACTCCTGCGGAAAGCGCGACACCGCACAGCACCACAAACGAATGGCAGCCTTTCCAGCCATCGCAGACCCATAAACGACAAATCTCTGGCGTGGAAGGAAGCGAATTCGATTTTGAGCTGCCGCAGATATCAGTCTCGCAACGTCGTCTGGCTCACGTCAGATCGCGTCAATCGAGTGACTTTGACATGTCGAGCCTGCCGCCTTCCTCGCCTCCAGTGTTGCCCGCTCATCTACTACTGCCGAGCGATATCAACGAGGGCATCTCGCCCTTGTCGGAGGCATCGTGTATCGACACAGTGGCCGACCAGACTATCACCCATTTTGAGCAAACCACCCGAATCATGAGCGTCGAGAGCAAGGACCGCAATACATGGAGCGAAGATACTATATCTGCTCTCGCCGGTAATCTCGGCCTGGAGCAGCAGCAGCACGACGTCGAAGCTTTGCTGAGAGCGAGCCCGAATGATCTCAACTTCCTCGATCTTATTGACACTTTTTTGAAAGAAGAGCCACCAGTCCAAAGAACTGTTGCAGCTGGTGTACAATAGCTTACAATGACAATACTACCTTTGCGTCGCTTTGCGTTGCATCAAGATGCAGATGTACAAGTTTGCTAGCGAGGAGCGAGCAATTCATCAGCCAACGATTGAGGCATTGGGCGGCAGTCCAAGCAATTTAGCAGCTTTGAAACCGATAGGCCGTGGCTCCGTCGTAGGCGGTTTGGGCGTCAAGGGCGGACTTGGCCAGAGATCAGGTTCGGGTAGGGCGTGAGACAAGGTGCCGATGTTCTTCAAGGCAGGGCTATCATGCAAATGACTTGCGGAACTGATGCTGCTACTGCGGGATTCGTTACTGCTGTAGCTTGGAGTAGCGGACATGTCGCTGCTCGAAGCGTGGTGGTAAGCTCTCGATCGCATCCTCGTACTTGTAGCCGAAGGTGGCCTTGACAGGGCTTGCAAATCGCGTGGGAGTTGAGCCATGCTAGAGAAAAAGGACGGTGACAGAGGTGGCAAGGACTGGCTTGAGGCCATAGCGATCGAGCGAATCGATGTAGCCATTTGTGATTTGTGCGGCGAAGGCAACGTAGCTGAATCACTCGAATTGCGCGTGCTCCGGGACGAGCTGACCGAAGGGCGTGCAAGTGCCGCATCCACTTCGCCGCTCAGAAACAGCGGTGGCAAAGCCGGTATTGGCGTCGATCGCGTGCGCTTCGGCTCGTTCGACAGTGTAGCGGAGGCATTGGCTTCGAAGATAGGCGCGCTGATGGCAAGTTTGCCGGTAAGGTTAGCTTGAGTCAGAGACAAGACAAGGCAGTGCTAATTACAGTGACATAAGTACACGCAATAGAAAGCTCGGGAGGGCCTTACAGAGATGGCAAGGGCGCCACAATCAGCAGCCATGATATCGCGCTTGTCAAAGATGACACGGCCCTCGGTGCGAATGGCGGCAACCGTTACATCAGAGCGATTGAGGCTCATTCGGCCTTGCTCGTGTCGTGAAGGGATGCAGATCATGGGCGCATTCGACGGCACTCCAAAAAGTATGCGTCGGCCGATTTCGACATCGAGAGATTTGAGTAGCGGATCAGTCAGCACGACGCTTTGATCGATTGGCACAGGGGTCGCAAGCTCGATGATGAGCTTATACTGACATACAAAGTCGGTCTTGGTCTGCTTGAGCCGATGACAGATCTACGATAGCATCAGCGCCTGTCGTGATCGACCACCTGGTCTGACTTACTTCGGCTTTGCTGATGCGCACGTTGGGGAAGAGAGTACTGCACAGGTCCACAGATTGCGTGACAGGCGTAGTCCAGTCCCACGCGCGCTCCTTTCTCGCAATCTCGCTGACGTACGGCACCTTGCCGCCTAGCAAGTCCGCGGGGAGGATCTTCACAGGGATAGATACTCTGCGCTCGATCAGCGTACACCCTGGTCAGTGACGTGGAACTCACTTGTCGCTTCGCTTGAGCAGTTGACGCCGCTTTGCACGTAATATGAGTTCGTATTTGACCGTCACGGAACTGGTGCTGCTCAGCACAGCCTGGCCAGCGTTGCGGATGGGCAGACCCGCGAGCGAAAAGCTGCCCGGTAGCGCGACACCATCATTGGTGAACTTCGGTACGTTGATAGAGAAGCTCAGGCTGCCATCTTTGCGCTCTATAGACCAGCCTTGCTCTGTAGAAGTGCCCGTGACCGCAAAATCGTGTTCGACAGCTTCGTCGCACAGGACAACCGTCGTCGTCGAGCCGTCTGGTGAGATGACATCACATTCACCAAGCAGCTGAAGAGCTACGTGCGAATAGCGTGCTCGCAGGTTGCCGGAAGTCAGATCATGTCCGCCCGCAGAGAGTTTTGCAAGAATAGCCGTAGAGGCACGTACGCCGCCTTGCTCTCTGTCAACATTTTCAAGTGACAGTTCGAACGCTTTGAGCGTCATAGAAGTAGGGTATATAGTGTGCCTCGACATGGCTCGACCGTCGATGGCTGCCGTTCGACACGAAAGAGTGGAGAGTGTCTGACGCCTTTGCTCGAAATTAGTACTTTAGCAGGCGCGACGCGTACTGATCAGGAAGAAAGTTCGCAGACGTCGATCACAGACTGAACGCCACAGCCAGTATAAACTGATGAATCCCTCAAGCTGGTGCGGACGTGCATCTCATCATTTAATCATCTGATATTGCATCCCGTGTGTCTAAACTTGACCGTTGCCATTGACCCCCATGACTGCAGTCTCATCATCATACCCACACTTGTTTCACGTCCGTTGCTCAGTTTCACCCGCTTTGCACCGCACCGCCATGCCACCATTGTCGCCAGCACTCGGCCATCACTGCCGCAAGCATGTCCTGCTGGTTAGGACTCTCCACGCTGCTGGTACTGTGCGCGGACTTGGTCAGCTGTAATGCGAGCGGCCGTATCACGCTCGAACGCACCCCTAAGCTGAAGACCCAACTGGAAGTCATCAGTGGCAAACATAGCGGCAATGGCGTTGCTTTCGGCAGCAAAGTCTATCATCCAGTCTCATCAGCTAATGGTGTCGTCAGACTCACCGCCGCCCCGATCGGCGACGCCTTCCTTGTAGCCACAGTTGGCGCCGCCAATGTCACTCTCTCAATCGATACAGCCTCGCCATTCACCATCGTTGGACTCAACCACCTCAATCCCTACGTGCCTGGGCCGACAGCCGTACAGACTAACATGCGATGGGCGACGCTCGGCAGTAATTGGAATCTGGCAGGAACGATATGGACAGACGTCGTCAAGATCAGCGCAGACTTTGTCATGTCAGGCGTACGAATAGCAGAGGCGATCCCTTCAAAAGCTTTCGAAAGCTTCTATGGTACCAACGCAGGCTTGCTGGGACTGTAAGCATGTCCTTTGCGCAATACGAGTGCAGCTCACGCTCGAGGATCTTCAGCGGACTGAAAGCGCTCAGCAAGGGCACTATAGCGGACGAGCCTTTGACAATCCTGCCTACCTTTGTGGATGAGGTCGCTCTTCAGCTCATGCCATCCAAAGCAGGCGTTACCCTGAACTACCGGCCCACATCATCGCCAGAGAGTAGCACCTTGTCATTTGGCGCGATTGATACGACCTCACTCGTCGGAGGCATCAATTACATGCCTCTTGGCGCGCCCATCAATGGATCACAGTACTGGACGCTGCTCATGGAGCTGCCCCAGTTTGGCTTGAACAGAACGTCGCCTTGCAAGGCTAATGCTTTCCTCAATACGCAGTCGACGCTCATGATCTTGCCATATACGGCAGGCCAGAACTACATCAATAGCATTCCTGGAGCCGGCTACCAGCAAGGTATTGTGAGCTTCCCTCAGTCATCGACGCCGCCCGATCTCGTCTTTTCGACCGTCACTGGGGCAAAATTAACTCTGCCCGGCAAGTCACAGCTCCTGAGCCCAGCAGAAGTCCAAACGGCAGGCCTCGATTCGACTCAATCCTACAGCTGGATTACACAGTAGGTCCTTGATGCTGTATCATACAAGTTGGCTGACGTATTCGCAGAGCAACTGATGAGCAACAATACACCATAGGTTCTTTCTGGCTCGAGAGATTCCTTGTTTACCTCGACCACACCATTCCTCGGATCGGCATTGGCGCGACTGCTCTCACATAGACGTCGGTGTCTCACGGACAAGTTCGCATGATGCATGCATACATCGTTTGCGCTTATTGACCTGGCGGCCCTTCTGGTTTCAATGAGGAGCGACCCGCGCGCATGATCTCATCGCAGCTCAGTAGGTTTATCGCAATGACTCCGCTGCTCTACACATTAGCGCAGCAATCAGTGACGGCTAAATGACGAACCAGGAGTGAAGCAAGTGTCGTTTGACTCTGTAATTGTCCCAGATGCCTTCGACGATTGGGTCGAGCGGTTCGCCTGACCGCAGATCGATGCCGACCGTATGCCCTTCTGCTTGCTCGTCCTGCAACGCAACAATGACATCTTGTACGTCATAGCCACCGTTTTGCGCCAAGATCTTTGGTATGATCAGGAGAGCGTCAGAGAAGGCTTGTATGCCCATTTTGGCTCTGCCTTTCGTCTCGCTTTTGAGCTTGAGCAGGGAAGCGCTGCAAGCGATCTCGAAAGCACCTGCGCCCGGTACAAGAGAGCGGTCTTCTAGTGCGTTCTTGACCGATCGCAATCCGTCCCTGATGCCGTCGTTGATCTGGTTGATCGTATGCGCGTTGGGACCTTTGAGAAGAAGCGTCACGCTCTTTGGCTCTTTGACGTCCTCTATGAAGGTGTACTTCTCTTCGCCCAGGGTATGCTCATAGACTAGACCGGCCCAGCCGAGCACGTCTGGCGTCAGATCGTCGACCGAGTTTTGGGCGACACCGCCACAAGCAAACTGCAGTCTCTCCATATTCCTACGCTTGGCCCGTCGGAGTGCAAGGATGCCATCTTTGGCGAGCACGTCTAGACTGAGCGGATCGATGCCTTTCTGATTGACCACGACGAATGTCTTTGGCTTGCTGCTTGTGGGGTTGCCTTGAGCATCAATAGCCTCGTCGCAGACGTGACGCTTGAGCTCGATGATCTTCTTGAGCTTTGCGTCTACAAAGCGTCGCTCTGACTCTGCGAGCTTTTCTCGCTGTTCTGCGGAATTGTAGAAGAAGCCAGAGTTGACCTCTGTCTTCTCGTACTCGAGACTGACATTGAGCGTGAGAATGTAGGCGTTCTCGAGTCGCTTAGGCATGTCGGGATGTCTCGCACCATGATCCATGACGAGACCACGGACGAGTCGAGTGTCTCGGTCCGACTGATGCTGCATCTTCATCACCTCGACCATGTGTAGGTCAATGGGCTCATATTGTGTCTCCTCTGCAATCTCTGGCGCTGTCGTATCTGCGGTGGGCACAGTCGTTGTCGTCGGGGATGAAGGCGTGACCTTTGCGATTGCAGACGCGACAGTCGATGCGATGCTGGAAGTCGCTGGCTCGTCCTCCTTCACGCTGTCTGGCTTGGCGAGTGGCTGTCGGATGGCGAGTACGGCATCAACGACAGCCGGAGCGAGCGCAGTCGCGAGCCGAGCATGCAGTTTTGTCGAAAGCGAAGTGTGTGCAACTGAGACGAGCGTGGCATGGTCCATCTTGCCCTTTTGTTGTACAGTGAAGCTGTCAAGAAACTGACAGGACAAAGTGAGAGATCAGCTTGATGCCCTGAAGAGTCTATCAATAGACAAACCTCTAGACTGTGCTTCTGAGCGAGCTCGATGCCTTCTGCAATGATGCGCGGGTGGACGCCCTCGCTGGTGAAGCGTTCGGATTGCTTGAGCAGTTCGCCAATGAGCAAGATCAAGCTGGTCGTGCCATCGCCAGTCTGGTCATCTTGCCCTACGGCAGTACGAGCGATCATCGCTGCCGTCGGATTCTGGATCTGCATCTCTGACAAGAGCACTTTGCCGTCTTTTGTCATCTTGAGCTGTCCGGCGCCATCAACGAGCATCTTGATCGTCCCCTTTGGACCTGTCGTGGCATCCAGTCAGCGCACGACAAGATGAACATTGGAGCGACAAACCCAAATTGGAGCGGACGACATTTGCCAAGCCCACTGCGCCTGTCGTATTGACGAGCAAAGCTTGACTTCTCCTGACGCTCTCTGCCCTCGGATTGATGAGCTCGATAGAGGACGACCTGGCAGAGCGATGGCAGACGGAGCAGACACAGACAGGGCCCTACCATCAGCATTGCGTCACGACAGCGAGCTGGGAAGCTACTCACATTGTCGTCGTCTCACTGCAAGTCAATTATTGCCTTCGCGCTCGCGAGAGAGCGTCTGGCAAATTCTAGCTGACAAAGACAAAAACTCAGGCAACATCAGTGTGCGCAACCTCGGCAGGCACAGGCAGGCTAGAGGACGACGGTGTGACCAGACAAGTGGCTGCTCGAGCAGTGTCCGAGCATCAAGAAGCCACGTGGCCGCGATCAAAGCTCGGATCGCTGCCTTGCTCGTCAAGAGCTCCCACATTTGATTTTGTCTAGCACCATCGGGCTCGTGAAGCGTCCTCGAGGCCCGCATTCGTCAGAGGCCACTCGCCATCAGTTATTGGACCGCTCACAACACGGCTTGCGTGACCTGGCAACCCCTGACACGCGCAAGCTGGTCTACCAAGCAAGGGCAGCCGAGCGCAAGACGGCCCAAGCTAGCGAGCAGTGCGACATGGCGACAGCCTCCAGCAGCGCTGCTCTGAGTACCTACGCAACCCCTTTAGGCTCAGGCTTGCCAGGTGTACCGGGACCGAGCGGAAGCGTCGCGAGCAGCTCAGGCCATCACGAGCGCTCGTCCCATCATCACCATGCGAACCATCATCACCAAACCGGCGAGCGAGATCGTCATCGGCGCTCCAGAAACGATCACCGCCACGACAGAAGCGATGGACATCACCGCGAACGCGACAGAGACCGGGATCCTGCTGCCTCGTCCTCCAACGGGAGGAGTTCCAACTATGCTCGACACGGCGCACAGTCTGCTCATTCCACCACTAGCTCGCTAGTCAATGGAGGTTCGGGTCATGTAGACGCTGCCGATGACAACGCCAGCTCGGCCCTCGACTTCGACAATTTTGACGACGAGGACATCGAGTGTCCGCTCTGTCTCGACGAAATGGATCTTTCAGACCTCAATTTTAAGCCCTGTCCGTGCGGCTATCAGGTGCGTGGGCATATCAGAACGATGACTGTGCAGACTTCAAATTGGTATTCTGCGCAGATATGTCGGTTTTGCTGGCACAACATCAAGGAGAATCTAAATGGTCGATGTCCCGCCTGCCGTCGGCAGTACGACGACAGCACTGTCGAATTCAAAGCGATGAAGCCAGAAGAGTGCGCATCTGATGTCGCTCTGCTGTTTACGGCTAACCTTGCTTCGCACCTGCACAGATTGAAGCGACTGCAGGCTGCCAAGCGGCAAAAGGAGAAAGAGAAGAAGGAGCTCGAGATCACCAACCGGCGTCATCTGAGCAACGTCCGCGTCAAGCAGAAGAACCAGGTGCACATCACGGGACTGACGACAAAGTATGCAAACGAAGATGTCCGTCCTTCTTCTCGGCGTCCTTCTAGAGCCGGGCTGACAGCAGCGCAGACTTTACATGCACTCAAAGGATCTGATCACTACGGACAATATGGCAAGATCGCAAAAATGTTCGTCGCTCGCAAGGCGCTGCATCAGGGTCCCAGCCCTGCCGTACAAGTGCCGACATCCCTACTCGATTCTCATTACCAACCCGTCAACGTCTACATCAATTATGAGCAGCAGAGAGATGCTGCAGCGTGCATGGCTGCGGTCGATGGCTCGACTACTGCGGATGGATTGAAACTGCGGGCAACATGGGGCACGACAAAGTACTGCACATCGTACCTGCGCGGACAAAAGTGCGCTATCGATGGCTGCATGCAAGCACACGAGACAGGTGAAGAAGTTGATGGTCCCATTCTGTTAGCAAAAGAGGAGATATCTTCAATGTACGTGACGCTCGCTTTTCAGATCTTGTAAGCTCATACAGGAAGCAGGCAACATGCTGCCAAGCAGTCAGAGACGAGAGCAGCAGCGAGCTCAGCAGCGCCTAGTCTACCTGCTTCTGCCTCGTGGGCCAAGCAACCTACAACGCAGCCTGCGAAGCCCAGCATACAGCGCCAGTCATCTATCCGCAATGCCGTGCCTGCGCGACCATTATCAGCCGCTTCGAATCCCACCACGTCCAGCAGCCGCAGATCGTCCGAGCCACAAGAAGCCAAGCCAGTCTTGCCTTCTCAGCCAGCCGTCATCCCCGCGGTTGAGCGCTTAGCCGACGTCCGCAATGCGTCAAACTCCTTGCCAGCACTCCCACCTGGGCTGCTGCCTGCGACGAGCATGCTCTCTGCGCCGCCTGGGCTCGTGCCGGCAGGTCCACCTGGTCTTTCAGCATCAAGCACGCCCATCAGCGATGCATCGATTCCTCTGCCAGCTTCCGACTTTGCCGGCTTTGATCAGACGCTAGACACGCTAGCAGACGGCGGCTTCAGCTTTAGTCTGGATCCGGATATCGTCCATCACGAGGCGAAGCCGGTATCGGCGACAGCTTCACTCAACGGCAGCACAAGCTTACTCAGCAGCTTCGAACCCGGCATACTGACGCCCTCCAATCTCAGCGGCCCCAGCTCGCCCATCACCAGCTTGCGATCTTCGCTCGATATCATGAGCATCGCAAGTCCTTTAGCGACAGCGCAGCCGTCTGGTTACACTGGCTCATTCGACCCTTTTGCGGAAGTCAAGCCGAGTCAGAAGTTACCGTCGGATGACGAGACAGAGACTCAGCCCCCTGCATCTATCAGACAGTCATCCCGCTTTGGCTTTGCTCGTCAGCCTTCGAGCTTCTCGCGGGGTCTGAATGACCAGGCAAAGGCTGCTTTTCTCTCGTCCATGTCAAATGAGAAGCATGCCATGGGACGTAGCCCGTCTTCGTCTGGCCATTTTGCCGATCTGTCGAGCGGTCCTCAAGCTGCTCCTCTGCCTGACGCAGCAACGCTCTTCCCAGGCGTAGATCTCGATGCGTCGTATTCATCAGCCTTGCCGCCCGTTTTCGGTCTCGAGGGGCCGCATCGCAAGTCGCCATCGCCAGCGCGTCATCCTAATCATCATCCGCTAGCGTACAACATACAGCACGATCCATTTGCGCCCCAGTACGCCGGTAATGGTGTGTCTGAGATGCTCGTTACACAGATCTCCCCATTGAAGTATGCCCTGACAGAGCTCTTCAATGACCCGGCAATCGTCAATATGCGCAACGCAAGACCCGGCTATGTCCCGCCCTTCGAGTATGGCCGTCGATGAATGCACGGCCTCTTTCGTGGTGATTTGCTAGCTGAATTCCTCAGATGAATCCATTCTCGGTTATCCAATCGTCGGCATCACGATCAGACCTGACTTGCTTTTCTCGAATCAACACATTGAGGATGGCGCGGCACGTCTTTGCGGCACCATCTGACCCTTTCGTACATACTCGCTATCATCAGTCATTGTCTCGGGAGCGATAGCAACTCGTCGGCATCGCGACTCTTCCCCACTGAGCCAGCAGTCTGAGACGATACTGTCCTTTATCGTCGGCTCCAGGGGCGGATCAGCTACTGATGATAGCAACAGCTGCATATCAGTTGCCTCTTTACGATGCTGCAGCTGCCGACTGACCTCCTGGGCCAGCTCCTCACTGCTTCTCTCAACGACGTGGCCAGGCATCGATGAAGGGCTCTCTCCTCGTCTCGTTCGCCGCTACAGCTTCAGTAATCGCTACTAAGATCGTGCAGAAAGCTGCAACGGTTCATATCAACAAGCATTCGCATGGGCGGGGCCGCAAGTCCGTCCAGATCTCAAAGTATATCTTTGCCGACGTTGTGTGCGCTTCTTACTTCACATTCGGTGACGATCCGACGCCCTACCTTCTCTCTATCGACACAGGATCGGCACTCACCTTTGTTGGCGTCAGTCGCGATCGCGTCTTTTGGCCAGACTCGACCTTCAAGCGATATGCAGCCCTGCCATTCTCTGAGGTCAGCTGGGCCCGCGCCGCTCCGGAACGGTCAGAGCTCACGCGTACGCAGAGCTTCGGAGATGGTAGTTCAATCAATGGCAACCTCCTCGTAGGCCCAATCAGTCCCGCCAAAGGGCTGCGTGTCAACTCAACCCTGGGTGGTCTTCTTCCCAGCGAGTCATTCAGCAAGTTGAGTCCCGATGTCGACGGATTATTCGGTCTCTCTGTTGAAGCATCGCTTGACTATGTGCTCACTACGGCTGGCTTCGATGCGGCAACGAGAAAGAACTTCCATCCTTTCATGTTCGATGCGGTCGCTCAGGGCGCTCTGCCTGTGAACACCTTCGGACTAGGCTTCACACCTCAGATTGTCGAGCAAGGCGCCCAGGAAAATGCAGTCACACTGGGCGGTTATGACGAAAAGGTTCTCACATCGGAGATCATGTGGTCCCCTGTGCAAGGGGTACCGGGCAAGGGCTTCGCACCTGCCTGGAATGTGGACTTTCAAATCCCCGCTATTGGCTTGGTCCCCGGCAAGAGCGGCCCTTTACCAGCAGGATTGGTTGACTCTGGCACGGTTCTACTCAATCTGCCAGGCACGGCGTTCGCAAAGTAGGCTACCGAATTTTCATTTCAGATCTCAGCTTACACTTGTCTTAAGCTATGTCAAACAACTACCCAATGGCGTATTCGATCCGGACGTAAACTTTGTGCGCGTTCTCAAGTCGGAGGTTGACAAAGTCAAGTCGCTCGATATCAGTATTGCCACACCAGCGACCAAGTCAGGACGGTCGATCATCAAGCTTCGCGGCGAATCTCAGTTCTTCTCTGATGCTGTCGCCACGAAGATCGGTCTCGATGTTACAAAGTATGCTTGGTCTTGGATAGGTCAGGGGTCCACCGAAGACAACTACGGGTATGGACCTCGCTCACTGCTCCTTGCGCGGTGCTTACACTATCGGACAGCGCCATCTTTGGACTATTCTTCCATCAGTACTTTTACGTAAGTATGACCGACGAGACCAGCATAGCGCTGATATATTGCGCAGGTCATCTACGACGCGTCCTCATCCGATGGTCTGCGCGTGGGTATTGCGACGACAAAGTATAGCTGAGCGAATCCATGCTTTTGCACTTATGGTGTGCATGCAAATGTCCGTCTGTATTGAGCGACAACAATTACTTGGTGATTGGCGAGTGCTTGGTTCTTGCGATACCAGCGCGGCGGCTTGGGCCACTCGCATCCAAGATGACGTAGTACCTCTCGAAAAAGTACATGCCGAGCAAGAAACTGCCTGAAGGGTCGCGCGTCAGCTTCTACAAGGCTCATGCACAGAGCAGAAGGGTGACACGCCTTCTGATGAGCCACCTGATGCGACAAGTGAGTACGCAAAGTTGGTATCGAGCTTTTGCGAGGGATAAAGCGCGATCGGCACGACTGTCTCTGCCGCGGTCATAGGAAAGACGGCGCCACCGATGGTGATGTCCAGCGTCGGAACGCTCGAAATGCTCGTTTTTGGAAATCTGAGTAGTCCAGTGTTGGGGTCACTGATGGCGCCCGGGATAGCTTTTGAAAAGTTCTCGAAGGCGGAATCGGGAATGTAGATGAGCGTTGTTCCTAGATCAAAGCATGTAAGCTCCAGCAGAGCACGCATAGAGCTTTGAACGTACCAGTGTCAAGGATGGCATTTGTGGCAGCCTCACCAGAGTCGGTAGCATTCAGGCCAATGCTCGGGATGGTCGCAATCACGGACCAATATGTAGCCGAGTTGATGGGGCCTGAGCAGGGCGCCCACGTGATCGGCGAGGTAAGACTGGCGCTATCGTAGCCACCAAACGTGACGGCACCGTTGACGTCTGATCCCGTCGTGCCGGGCGCGAAATTGATGCCGAGTTGATCGACTGGCAAGACGCCCGACAGGACGGCATCGGTCATGAAAGTTCGGTACGAAGAAGACTTGAGTGTGAAATCTAGGAGGCTCTGCGGACCGATGCCGAGTATGCCATCGATCTGCGTTGCGGAGACAGCAAACCCGGGCGCGGGCGATCCACCGCCTATGGTCGAATTGACGACGAGTGTTCCTGAGACTGCGATGTTGTCGAGATAAATCTCACCGTTGACCGATGATCCGTCGCCATAGATGACGGCAAACTCAAATCGACTATCGATCGCAGTGCGAGGTTTCGCAAAGGGATTGCGACTGTCCGTGCCTGCAAGCGTGAGGCTTGAGCCGGAATCGAGCAAAAGGTTGTACTTGAAAGGCGCATTGCCGAAGCTGACGCTGATGACATAGGACTGCCAGTTGTTCTGGGCAAACATGAGCGTCATTGGCTTTGCATGCGCTGGTCCGGGCGCCATGGAAAGGCGTGTGCGGCCTGTTTGCACCGTTGCTTTGGTAGCATCGGGCCTCACGATCTTGCGAACGGGCAACTTGATGGCCCGACCAGCAAGACAAGCTGTCACGTAGGCCAAGACGATGCAGGGCCAGAGGAGCATCGTGAATTGAGTCGAGATCTGCCTTTGTGCGGTCGTTGAGAGGTCGTTGCATACCAGTGAGGCTGTGTTTGTCTCATGCCGCCGTCACGACGGGCGCTTGGCACGCGGTAGCGAAGCAGAGGCTCGAGAGCGGGTGAAGTTCGCTGAGAGCTCAAGAGAGAAGGCTGCATTGTGGCGAGGCAAGCCAGAGAGTATCACGTGTAGGCAGGCCTGACTGACGTCAACAGAGGCAATTGCAAGGCTGGCGGCGCGCGTCGGCTTCACGCCGTTTGACATTTGACGGAAGGGGGGCGTGCTGCTCGAACGATGGAGTCCCTCGAAGACCTCAAAGCAGCAGTGGGTGCATCAATGACCAGCATCTCACCTGCCATCAATGGTCAGAATCATGCAGCAGCCCCCACAGCAGTCGCAAGCCAGCTTGGCGTTGGCCCGAGCTCGGCGACGTCGGGCACCTCGAGTCGCCAAGTCAGTCTGTCGAGTGGCTCGGCCAGTTCGGGCAGAGAGATGCTCCAGATCATCGACGAGGATCAGACATTCACGTGAGCGCCGCGGCATGCCATCGTTCCACGCTGAATGCTAGACAATAGTGATCAGCTGCCCGAGTTCATGAAGCGTTGTGGTCTCTACGACAAAGGATTCAGCTACGATGTCGTAGCAGTCTTTGGCTCGCAGTCTACCGGCAAAAGTAGGCCACAATCGGCTTCGACATCGCGTGGCTGATGGACCGCGTCTCAGGCACGCTACTCAATCGTGTGTTTGGCACTTCCTTTGCCGTCATGAGCGAGCACGAGCGCCGCCAGACCACCAAAGGTGCCGTCAATATCAGCGCACATCTGTCCGCCAGTATTGAGCGCGTGTCGCAGGTATCTGGATGAGCAAGGGCGAGAGCATGCCCGTCTTGATCATGGACGTCGAAGGAACGGATGGACGCGAACGTGGCGAAGATCAGGTAAGCCAATCAGTGCCGCTCAATCGAACGATCTGACAATAGACGACAGGATTTTGAGCGCAAGTCAGCCCTATTCTCGATGGCATCTGCCGAAGTCATCCTCGTCAATCTGTGGGAGCATCAAGTTGGCCTCTATCAAGGCGCCAATATGGGGCTGCTCAAGACGGTCATGGAAGTCAATCTGGGGCTCTTCCAAGCCTCGAAAAGCAAGCAGACGAGCAAAGGGCGCGTCGCAAGGCATGAGACGCATACGATGGCTGATCATCTTCTGCAGACAAGACAAAACGCTTCTGCTCTTCGTCATCAGAGATCATATTGAACCGGGCGGCACACCTCTCGCTAACTTGAGCAGAACGCTCACAGCGGATCTTGAGCGGTTATGGTCTGGCTTATCCAAGGTGAGCTACTGACTTCAATTCGTAGATAATAAGTGTGCTGATGAAGCTGCAGCCCGAGGGTCTTGAGCAGTCTCGCATATCGGATTACTTTGATCTCGACTTTGTCACACTCCCACACAAGTTACTGAAGCCGGAGCAATTCGACGTGGAATGCTCGCAGCTCAGGACCCGATTTGTTGATCGACATGATCCCAACTATGTCTTCAAACCGATCTATCACAAGCGCATTCCAGCGGATGGCCTTTCGATCTACTTCTCTCAAATCTGGTCGCAAGTACTGTCGAACAAAGATCTCGACTTGCCATCTCAACAAGAGCTTCTCGCGCAATACCGATGCGACGAGATCGCCAGTCTGGCATTTGCAGACTTTGAGACAGATATAAAGCTACATCGCAAGCCCGTAGAAGGCGGCAAGCTCGTCGAAGCGCTCGGCAAGCTCATGGCAGCCGGTCGCGCGACGTGCATTGCGAAATTCGACCGCGATGCATCTCGGTACCATCCCGCGGTCTACCAGCGCAAACGCGCCGAACTGCTTGCAAAGGCAAACGCTTCACTGTCTCCGCTCTATGTCGGTCAGCTCAAGAACGTACACAAGCAAGTCGTGCGAGACTTCAAAGCAGCAATCCTCGCGCAACTCAAGGCAGATAGCTACGATTTTGCGTCTGTAGTCGACCAAACCCGTCAGAAGGCTGAATCGACTTTCATCACGGAAGCGAAAGGTACATAGACTCGTGCTTCACAAGTCGATAGCTGACGTTCTTGAGCAGCTTTAAGCCTAGACGGGACAGACTGGTCATACGATGATGCGTTAGTCCAGCTGCGTGAGGATATCACTGCTATCGCAGACACGTGCAGAGTTGAAGAGACAAAGCGCATGGTCACGAGCATCGAACGAGCCCTGAAGAAAGCATATAACGAACCAGTCGAGATTGCCCTGAAGAAGCCAACCACCGAGATGTGGGACAACGTCTTGAAGGCGTACAAGACTGCCATTGCTAAAGCCGAGACTGCGTATCTCGCCAAGGCTGGCAGCTTCAACTGCACAGAAGAGGAGAATACAGCTGCGCTGAGCTCGCTGCGCCGCAAAGCTTGGCTGAGCCTAAGGCAAAAGATTGACGAGCAAGTATCAGAATCGGCGCTTCTCGTCAAGCTCAAGCTTGCGTTTGAGGATCGTTTTCGGTATGATGCGGAAGGAATCCCGCGGGTCTGGAAGCCAGAGGACAACATGGATGATTTGTTCAGAAGCGCGAGAGAATCGACCCTGGCGCTCATTCCACTGTATGCAAATATCAGGCCGTCAGACCCTGCGAACCAGTATGTCCTCTCAGCAGAAGATGCAGCCTCAACCAGCGACGATGTCGAGCCATTCGACTTTGACGAATCTCTCGTCGTGCTCAGCGAGACGAAATCGGACGAGCTAGCAAATCGCTTCCGGCGAGAAGCTGACGCGTACTATGTCGAAGCGAAGCGCAGTCTGGTCAGTTCGATCAGTCAGATACCTGTCTGGATGTATTGCGTGCTAGTTGCACTCGGCTGGAACGAGTTCATCGCCGTCATTCGCAGCCCGATCTACTTTACGCTACTCCTACTTGGTGCGACAGCGGCGTACATCACCATTCAGCTCAACATGGTGGGACCTGTCATGACGATCGGTCGCAGCGTGATCAACGAGACTTATAGAGTTGGCCACGAGAAGCTCGTGCGTTACCCTTGCTGTTCCATCAGGATGTGCTGACAAAGCTTGAACATGCAGAGAGAGCACTTCAACACGCCAGAGATCAGACGGATGTATGAAGGATCAGTGGCAGTGCCTGCCGAGCCGATGGAATTGCAGTCGCGAGCGCAGAACACGACGGATGATCAAAAGGAGCGATAGCTTACGCGAGTTGTACGATCGTTGCATCGGTAGCTTACATCCAAGCAAACGCCCTCGTGGTCACACAACAAGCGATAGATAGTCCATATGCGATCAAACGCTCGTATCCGAGGCTTTGGCAGAGAGTCCAGCTTTGCTGTCCGAGCTGAGGTCTTGCTCGTGCGCCTCAATAGCCTCTGCAACTTCCTTCTTCTTCTTTGTCCTCTCTGAGCCTTGCCAGATCAGGACACCTGCGGTTATACCAACGCCAAAGCCGACTACAATGCACAATGCTGTGGAGACAGCAGGTCGATTGCGGTAGTTGTAGGTCGTCATAACGGTCAGAAGAGCGATCTGAGCCAGGCTGTTGACGATGTTGCAGAGGCAGATCCAAAGGGCCCAGGAGAGAGGGAAGGCTCTGTGAGTCGGGGTAGCATGCGGCTTGTACCATGTCTGCCCGGCAGCAAACTTGTTCTGATGATAGCGAAGCGACTTGAGTTCTTTGTCGGTCAGAACGACTTCTTCCGGCGCCTCTGTAGACTCTTCAAGAGCCAACTTCTCTTTCTCGGATAGTCCGGCGAAACATTCAGGATCGGGCAGGTCGTTTCGATCGCGCAGTACTGCCATGCCGCCTCTGCGCCGTCTCCGCCAGACACGATTGGCGTATGTCCATATGTGAGCCATGTGCCATAGCGAGACGACCCGCCAGGGAATGAGACCGAGACCGGTGATACAAAAGAGACCGTCAAGCACTTGTGAACAATATTCGACATAGAGATCATGCGAGTGATAGTGTGAAGGGATGGCACCCATGAGGATCAGAACAAGCGCCGCGCCAAAGCTGCATGACTGTCAGCCATGATCGTCGAACATGCGTGAGACTCACAAAACGACACAAATCCCATAGATGGTGACAAAGATGCCGAGCGGCGTCTTCATGAACGCCCAGACGCCCTTCATGATGGCTCGGAATTTTTCCTTCTTGGTTTTCTTGTGCGAAGCGATGATGTGGGCGTCCAGATCGGCCGCAGACGAACTGATGCTCGCTTTGTCGCTCGCGTCTGGCAAAGGTCCCTCTGGTCTGTCGCTGACAGGCAGTTTAGATGCAACTGTGGTCACGGTATCCTCACGTTGTGGTATGGCCACTGCCGGCGATTGAGTCGTCAAGAAAGGAATACCAGCAGGTAGACCGATTGAGCGACCGATGTTCGTCAGATGAGCCGCCGTCGAGACCGAATGATCGACGACTTCGAGTAGCTCGACTTCCTGTCTGTCGTGATAGTCTTGCGCGTCTTGGCCGAAACTGAGGGCGTGCGAGCCCGGCCGGCTTGACGAACCGCTGAAACGACGACCTTGACTATCTGTACGCTCGATCTCGACTTCGGGCTCATAAGTTTCGCCTCTTGCCGCCCGGAATGCAGAGGCCGCGAGGGCGTCTTTGTCGAACTCGCCTTGCAACCGCTGCGTGATGGTACCTGCTCTACTCCTAGCACGTACTCGACCAAGCGGCGATGCTGTGGAGCCACGCGGCGAGCCTAGTGGTCTGGCCTGACTTGTTGGGCCTCCAGTAGAAGCCTTTTCTGACACGGCAGGCTGAACGATAGTGACAGCCCGCATGCGGGCCGGGCTTGACGTCGGCGGTGACGCATTAGTGAGACCGGTGAGTGATGGTTTGGACCCTGTGCTGACAGTCGCTCGACGACCTTTGAGCACACGGACCGAAGGGTGTGTCGCAACAGGCAGAGCATTCATGCTGTCCATCGCTTCAACTCCCTCCTCTGCCGCTGTGGGAGGCACGTTGGTACTCGACATGTCGCGTCTAGCTTGTGTGCGCGTCGAGCTCGTCCTGTCGATGCATGCAAGGGCGGCCCACCAAGTCCCGGGACTTGCGCAGATAACGATGAGCGCGCTCGTAATAAAAACAGAATATTCGCCCGAGCTGGTCGAGCTTTAGCAACAGTTGACGCGTTACTCGACCCAGTGGAGCTTATTTGAAACGCGCGCCACCCGAACGACGAGAGACAGCGTAGCTCCTCTTCGAACTTCGCACCTCACTCACTTGGCGCTCAGGCTCTGGCGAAGATACTGACAGGCAAGACTCGACTCACTAGCTTCTCTGCGCAACGCGACCAGAGACCAGCAGCGCACCGCTACGTCGACGCTCTCGCCTAGCCGATCGATTTTCTACTTCGCCGGGGACCCCGCATTGCCTTTTTTAAACGGACCGCTTCACTCAAAGGCTCGTCCGAGAGGCCAAAACCAGGTCAGTCCAGTCGGAGTCGTTCCGCTGCGAGACTGTCCTGACAGAACGAGCAACAGGAGGACGGCACAGTAGGGAGTAGGAAGGGATCTGCAAGGCGTCAGACGAGGTCATCGCCACCTCATCTACCAATCTGGATAAGACAAAAGAACAAAAGCTCGACCGCCGTAGGAGCGTCAGAAGCTCCTCGGCATCAAGTATGGGTGCCTTCAGCAAGAAGAAGTCCGGTCAGGCGGACACAGAGTCGACTTACACCGGCTCAAGCCATACGAGAAGCGCGAGCACAATGTCTCGATCGTCAATCTCTGGCTCCTCTGTCATCTCTGGCTCATCCTACACTGGCTCGACACACTCACACGGCGGGATGGCTGGCGAGAAGAGCATGACTGGCTACACCGGCTCTGATCGAACGAGTACCATCTCGAGCGGCTACTATGGCGATACTTATTCTGGACGACAGACTGAGCCGATACCCAGCGCGCCTGGCGCTAGTACGTCTCTCGCATGCTTGATTATCACAGTCCTGATGTGTATGCTACAGTGATGACTGGCTTTGATGGCCCTCCGGGCGAAGTCAAGCAGGAGCGTGGCGTTTTTGCGCCGAATCCCTCCTTCATCCGGTTCGTGCGGTTTGTGCTCTACGGCCTGACATCACTCTCTTGTCTCGTCACTGCGGCACTCGCAATCTCTGTGGTCAGCTACTACAACCAGAACAACCCGTCCATCAAGCCATCCTGGGGTTCATTGATCGCTCTCATTGTCTTTGGCATCGGCACGCCCGGATTCTACTTCGGCACCTTCTTGCTCACACCGCGCTTATTCCGATATGGCACCTTCCTCGGCATCGTCAATCAAGTCAAGACGGAATTGCTCATGCTCTTTGCCATTGACGTCGTCTGGGTCTCTGGCGCGCTGGCCATGGCAAATGACCTCCGTGGCACCGAGAACTGCATCTGGGATGGATACTACCATTATCCCAAGCCATCTGACTTCAATCACGTCTGCAAGCTCATCAACATCACTGTCGCGCTCGGCTATACCACTTTCGGCCTCGCCACCTTGACTTTCTTCACCGTCCTGGTATGTTTTCGGACTATGTGCGTTGACGCAAAGCTGACTGCTATAACAGTTCTTCGCGGTCTACATCTTACTGCATCTTGATCAGGAAGTCCTCTCCGAACTGACAAACGACATGGGCGGTCGAGCGTATCGAGCCCGCACAGCCGCACTCAACGAAGAACGCGATCGCATGAACCGCTACCAGGGCCAACCCCAATCGACATACTTTGGCGACGAAAAATCGATGGGCACATCCTACGAGAGCGATACCGAGCGTGGCACTCAGACAGGATACGACTCCCGGACTGGCTACGAAACTCAGACTGGCTATGGCACCCAGACCGGCACAGGCTACGATGATCGCACGGGCTATGACTCTCGCACGGGCTATGATACCCGCTCGGCACATTCCGCTCGCAGCAACCAGTCTATTGACGAAGATCAGCGCACCGAGACTGGCCGTGACAGTCCAAGGATAACACACGAAGCCGAGGGCTACTACGGACACCAGGAATCGCCGTTTGCGCGGTAAAGTGACGACAGCTGTGCCTGCTAGAAGTGCAGCTCCACCCGATCTCTAATTTCACACTGTTCATCAAGCGCACCGGTCGCTATTCCGGACCTGTTCTGCAAGTCCGCTGTTTCACTATCTGCGTGATGCCTGCCGGCTCCACAGAAAGGGTTTTGCTCTATCGTAACATTATCATCGACACCTAAGTAATCGGATGCTGTATTCCTTGCACTGCAACCTTGTGTACTCTCCTACAACACACACAGACTACTTTGTCTTTACCTGGCGCAGCTTGCCCGGCGAGTACAGGAAGTTGTCTGCGTATGCCTTTGGCTTGTAGTGGAATTCGGAGGGCTCCTGGACGTAGAACTGCCAGCCCTGCTTCTCGCAAAAGTGGATCGCATCCTCCTTCGAGTTGAACTTGACATGCGTGCCTGTCACCTTGGTATGAGCACGCTGGCCAGGCTCGATGTGCGGGGGAGATGACACTTGCCTTGCATGTAGTCTGCTGTTGAGGCCCAGCCCATGAGCGGATTCTCCCATCGACCGCCACCTTGAAGGATATCCCAGTCGACTCTCCAGTGGTGGCTCGTCGACTGAGCAGACTGCGTCGTCGGTGGAGCGGGCTTGAAGATCCTCACGGGACGACTGTGCATCTCAGCTGACGTGATCACAAGGCAGCGTTAGCAAAGCCTCGAGAGTGAGCTTGATCGCAAGGCCGACCTGGCATGCCGTTGACCGTCCCTGCAGGCACGATCTCTCCATCGGCTCGAGGCCTGCCTACTGCAGTCTCTGAGGCAGCAGCCTCTTCTTCCTTCTTGATGACCTCCTTGCTTGTCGGGTCTGAAGTCACTGTCCGGCGCTGTTGGTGCGCAATCGCTGTCGCCGATCGAGACGAGCTGGCTTGTCTGCTCATCTGTGCCGGACCTGCCCAGCGCACTGCTCTCATGCCTGACATGGTGTGTAGCTTGAGGTGGCCGGGCGGTAGATCGACTTTCCCCTCAGAAGAACAGGCAGGCACTGGCGCCGAGCAGCGCGACTCGTTGTTTGGCCTGCGGGCAAGGCGGCCGTCGACCTTGCACGAGCAGGACACGACGTGGCGCAAGGCATGAAGAGATGCAAGATCGCTCGCTCAGTCTGCCATGGGAGGATGCACACATGACAACAGCAGATGACACGTCCAGATCCATCTTTGACTGGTCATTGCGCCAGGAAGAGCTGACCGCTGAAGCTGTCGGGGCTCACTCGCCGGGAAGTGTATCAGCAGACGATGAAGCCTCGGATGATACAGCTGCTCTGAGCGTGCCCAGTGCAGCTCGGCTGGAAGCTGTCAAGGCCCTGCTTGCATTCCTCGACACCGCGCCGACGCAAGATGGAGCCAGCAGCGAGAATCTACGAACAGACGAGGGCAACAAGCTAGACTTGCGCAAAGTCAGGCGTCTCGTCCATGCTGCCAACACCTCCCGCGATCCGCACGCTCTGCCTGTGCGGGTTGAGTCACCTCTGTCGCGTCAGGACAGTTCAGAGAAAGAGACGCCCTCATCCTCCATCACTGCGGTGGAAGAGCCACTCCTGACGCATCTGGATACGCGTCAGCAGCGTATACATCTTCCGGAAGACTACACGCCCATTTCGCCTCCCTCCTCGCCGGAAGTGGGCGGTACACCTACGCGCGCGCCGCGTCTGTCGACTCCTCCCGAGACCGTCAGACAGATCAGGTCTGCCCACAGTAGCGCACAACGCAGTCGGGCAAACGTCGTTGTCAGTCCTACGCCTACCAGATCCTCCCGGGCTCGTGCACCGTCTGCTCAGCGCATTCTCGCTAGCGATCTATCTGGCAGCGAGAGCGACGCGCGCCTTCAAGTCGACGAGCTTCGGAGAGCGCTGTCAGAAGCGACGGGTCCGATAGACCGGTTGCGGTCAGATGTAGCCAATCTCAAATCAAGCATCTCTGCTGTCATGATCTCTCGCGATCCTCCCCCAGAGCCGCAGGATGCTACTTTGTCCACCATCACTGCAGCGCTCCATCTTGGCAGGAAGCTCGACGCCGTTCTGCACGGCAACCCAAGTCATACCAGATCAGACCGGGAGATTTTTGACAAAGCAAACGTCGATGAGCTATTGCGCAAAGTGTCTGACAATTAAGCATGCAATATTGGCAGCACTTGCGATTTGCATGCAGTAATGAGTGGCAAATTCTATGTAGTGTAAGGTAAAGCTCTAGACGCTCGCACCGGCCTTGCCCTTGTTCTTACGCTTGAAAAGACCAAGGACGTTGCCAAGAGTAAGTTTGCTGCCGAGAAACTTGACTTGGAAGGCATAAAAGGCGGCATAGAAGATCATGACGTTGGTAGACACGAAGACGAGGAAAAGGCCAAAGTATCTCCAGCGTTGATCGTGGTAAGCATTGAGGGAGGCAGCAAAAGTGTCTGCGACGGTGTACTGGCAATATGTACAGTCTTTCGTCGCATCTGGATTGGTCAAGTTGCCCATGACCGAACTGATGTAGGCGCCGGCATACGATCCACAGGTCTGACCCTGGGGAGGCGAGAATGCAAAGAATTCGGACGGCTGACAGACGACTTGCTTGTCGTGCATGAGAACCGAGATTGATCCCCTGATCCACCACTGCACCGGATTCGCCCAATATAGGAACTTCTTATAGGGCGATGGCAAGACTTCGTACTGCACGATGACGCCGTTCATGAGGGATAGAACCACTGTAGACGAATCATATGAGGATAAACACATCGAGATAGTTTTGGAAGCGCACCCAGCATAAAAGGCAGCATATTGGCGACGAGCGTGGGGCTCATCGCCAGTGCGCAGAGCCAATGGGCGAGCGTGTAGACAAAGATGAGCAGCAGGACGTTCATGAGTAGTGAATAGCCTGCGGGCTCGCCTGTGCCAAAGGCGACGATCCAGTACCTGTATGAGATGTCAGAATAGGTCTGTGCAGTCAAGACATAACGAACCAAAGTACCCAGTAGAGGATACCGCCGGCAATGGCATACGGTAGCTCGGCAAGCATGATAGCATTGCACAGAGGCAGCCAGCTGTAAGTGCGCGAGGGACCTTCGCGCAGCATCCAGTAAGATTTGATGATGAAGGCCTTGGGAATCGAGCTATTGAGCAACGCCGGCAAAATAAGAATGATGAGGAAGATCGTAAAGACAGATTGCTGTAGCTGTGCTACCGACAGAGGTCCCTCGCCAATCTTGATGAACGTGAGAGCATTGAACAGCGAGACGACGACGATAGCAGAGACTTTCGAGTAGCCGTACGCTGCATCTCGCCACAGAGCGATGACTGTTCGCTTTGTGAGGAGTGCAGTCTGAGTGCGTGTCGAGGTGGCATAAGGGCGCAATAAGTTTTCGGGCGTTTCGTCCGGCAGCTTGCTGCGCTCGGCCTCAATCTCTTCAATCTGACGCAGGACCTGTCGATACTCGTCGCTTTGGACCCAGATGTCGGGCCACGCAACGCCCTTCGGACCTTTGCGGCTGACTACATCGACGGCGAATTCGGCAAGATTCTCTTCTTCGCCACATTTGCGCGAACCTTTGCCTTCGAAATAAGCCTTGATGTCCGACACTTCGCCATGGTAGCAGGTGCGGCCGCCTGGTGCAAGCAAGAGCAGACGATCGAAGTAGTTGGTAAAGAGTAGCGAACTTGGCTGATGGCAGACCACGAAAGAAGTCTGACCACTCAATGCAAGTCTCTGAATGAAGCGTCCGATTTGTAACTGCTCGCTAGGTCAGTCGGGCCCACGCAAAGAACCTAATGACGCACTGCTCCTTCCGAGCTGAGGCCGCTTGTTGGTTCGTCCATGACTGCTCGCTCTGTACGTCAGCACAAACTCGAGTTGGACATGGAGGAGATCGTACACTGCATGACGCGGGGCTTTGCTGCCAGCTCCACTCCAATCGTGACGCGTTTCTTCTCTTCTACCGAGAGTCCATTCTCGACTGTACCGATGATTGCGTCTTCAAGATCCTCTAGAGCCAGAAGTTTGATGACCATGTTGACATGATCGAGCTTGTCCTGCTTCGGCGTCTCCGCTGGTTGACGGAGCAAAGCTGAGAATTCTAGAGCCTCGCGCACAGTCTGCGTAGGATCATGAAGGTCCATCTGTTCGGCGAAGCCAATGTCACGCGCGAAAGAGGGTCCTAGAGGGCGACCATCAACTTTGATGTCGCCGGTGATCTGCATAGGATTGTGCCGTCCAGCTAGCGTATTGAGCAGGGTCGTTTTGCCAGCGCCAGACGCGCCCATGAGCGCAGTAGAAGTTCCAGGCTTAGCCCAGCCAGAGACCTTATTGAGTAGCTGACGGGGTCCAGCCGGCGTCTGGACCGTGTAGCAGACATCGCGGAAAGTGAAGATACTGGGCGAGGCATCGACACCTTTGACCTTGCCTGTCTCCGATTTCGACGTGCGATGGCCGGTCATGCGACCGCCTACAAAGCCCTTCTCCTCGTCGTCAGGCTTTGCTTCTGCAGCGACGGCCGCCTTTGCGCGCTTAGTGCGAGCGAAGACGGTGACTGAGCCACCACTATTGCTGTAGTCCAGGAATTGCGAAAAGACTGCGCCGGCGATGATGTATACAGCAGTGAAGGCAAGCGAGATGCCAAAATTGCGCCACAGATTGCTGCGCGAGAAGCCATACGACGCCTCGATGTATGCTGAGCCTGCGACGAAGGGCTGGCCGGGCACTGCTCCTGCGATTGGGCAGACTTGATTCGCAATCGTTGTACCTGCCACTTGAGGCACAAGCTGCGCAGTACAGTCGAAATCTGTACCGGCAAATTCGTTGCCCATGAGTGCTTCGAAGGTGTACGAGATTGGATGGATGTAGGATATCCATCTGATTCCGACGGGCATCAAAGAACGAGGGATCACGTATCTGGACCTACGTATCAGCGACGTCCGATAAATAGAATGTCGCACACTTACCCAACGGTCACGACTGCAACGTTCAAGCTGAGCACAGCAAAGCGAATTGCTGTGTCAAAGTTGGGCGACAAGGCGGCGATGGCGCGAAAGTAGGCAGTCAAATTGAGGACCGAGCTGAAGACGATCAAGAGATAGATAAAGAACTGGCTAGCTGTTCTTTGGAAACCGCACATAAAGTACGATATGAGCGAGAATAATACACTGTATCGCATGATCAGCATATCCGACTGAGCAAAGCCTAGCGACATACACCAAGAATGCGTTGATGGGCAAGTCTATGACGGTGCGCGCGATCGAGACGGCGGCCGGTGAATAGAAGCCAAATGCTTTGTGGCGCTGGATGATGGGACGACCCTGGCAGGCTTCGTAGATTTCTGACAAGTTTAGCCAGCCCAAGAACAGCAGCGAGAAGAAGAGTGCGCCGCCTCGCGTGAAGAGTGAAGCCGTTGTGTTCTGCTTGTCGACCGAATAGAACATTGCGGAGACGACGAGTGCGACGGTCACGCAGGTGAAGGTCTTTGTGTAAAAGGACTGCCGATCGCCCCACTTGATTTGTGCTTGTCTAATGATGAGTGATTTGACATTCGTTGCGAAGCTGACCGTGTAGCTGCTTTTCTTGAACTGACGCTTGGCCTTTTCGGCGCGAGCAACGCGGTTCAGCGTTTGCTTGCGATAGTCATCTTCTACGAAAGACTGCTCGCGTGCAGCGATCAAGCGCAGATTCTCCTTGTGTTGCGCTGACTCGAGGAAAGCGCGCTCGCGTGCAATGGGTGTCTTTGGGGCTTTGCCTTCCCATCCTTCACGATATCTGACTTCCTCAAAGTCTGTGACAGATGTGAGAGCATCGGCACTGGTCTGTCTGTGTGGGAAGAAGAAGCCGAGGTCTCTGAAGTACGCCTTTGCCTCTGTTGCAGGTCCAAAGTATATACATCGGCCTTCATCGATGAGCAAGACTTTGTCGAAGAGGTTATAGATGTCTTCCGATGCCTGGTAGAGTGTTACAATGTTGGTCGTCTGCACAGTGTCTGTCAAAACTCGCAATGACTTGATATAATCCAAAGCGGTCGCCGAATCGAGGCCTCGCGTTGACTGATCCCAGGCTGCGACGGTCGCGCGAGCTACCAATGCCTCTGCGATGGAGGTGCGCTTGCGTTCACCTCCACTGACGCCAGGCGCTCCAGGACCGCCGACGGGGGTATTGATGGTGTGCTCGATAGCAAACATCTTGAGAATGATGTTGAGCATCGTCTCCTTGAAGTCGCCTCGCGTTTCATTCGCTGGTCGATATCTCGGGATCTTGTTCCTCAGTGCGAAGCGCAGCGTTTGGCCAACGGTGAGAGAAGGGAAATGGATGTCTGCTTCGTCTGTGAAGATGACTTCGCCTCTGAAGTTCTTATTGATGGTCTGGTGATCGACGCCGCCATAAGATACCTCGCCCTTGACGGAAACGAAATTGCCTCTTTGGTTACTGAGCGCACGAAGAAAGGTCGTGCAGCCTGCGCCAGGCTTGCCAAGCACGAGGCACATCTCGGGCTCCAGGACACCAGAGAAGCCTTGTATCAGATTGCGAACAGGCGGCGGATGCAGACCTGGGATCATCGCGGGCAGCTGGGGCACAAGTTTGGAGATGAAGTGCCAGACGTTGGGCCCGAAAGTGCCCAGGATGGCGCGGTCGACAGAATGTACGAATGTCTTTGTAGAGCCCATGCCTTGCACAGAGAGCTCCTTCCATATGACGCCGAGTGGCTTACTAAACTGAACGTCAGCCTCCTTGAGAGCTTTGATTCGCTCATCGACAAAGCGCTGTAGATGGGTCGAGCCTGGCAACTCCTCGGCCGAAGATTGGTAAGACTTGTTGGCCTGGTCGTAGGGTGAGAGCTTCTCGTTGTCGGGCGTCTTTCCAGCATGCTCCTCATCCTGCGTTGGCGAAGGGGCCTGAGCGAGCGTGCCAGTCTCGCTATTGCTCTTCAGGCCGTCGGAGGGCGTATGCTCTAGCTTCTGAGTATCATGTGCAGTACTTGCTGCGCTGCTCACAGAGTCACGCTGGCCATTGCCCATGGTGGCAAGGGGATTGCTAGAGACGGCCTGAGCACTTTCTGGCTCTGTGTCGCCCGCCGCTTGCCAGGTTTTTTCGACGTCTGTCATTGTGCTGGTCCGCAGAGCGACGAGGATCCAGACAGTGGCAACCCCTCGAACCACACTCCAGCCAAGCTCACGCTAAGTCAGCGACGCACTAATCGTCGTTAAAAGCCGAGCTGTCCGTCGATCAGTCTCGATCAGTAACGCAAATCTCGCGTAGCCCCCTGGAGACAAAAGAGTCGCGCAAAAGTGGCGGCCGCTCGTCGCTAGATCGCCCTTTGTGCGAGCCCAGCAATGCGGCTCGTAGACATCCAAACATGCTTCACATCCTCATCTTCCTCTTTCTCACAAGCACTCAGTGTATCCAATGCTATCTGCAGACTTGCAGTCATCGTCAGGGACGGCAGCGGATGGCAATGTCGACAGTCGACGAACAAACTCAATCTGGCCGTGCTGGCTACAGAGGCATTGGCCGCTTCCTTCAAGAACGATCTTTGGATGTGAATTCGTCGGAACCTCATCGTGCAAGAGCTCGCTGCCGCGCTACGGTCGTCTCCCTCAAGAGCTGCTCGACAATGACAAGCCGGAACCAGCGAATGACCCGGACACGCGACACAAGTCGTCGTCGCACGCTTTCCAGGTCGGCATGTGTGCTGCTTTGATTGCACTAGTTGTAGTATTGGCGCACAGCCGCAGACTTCCGCCGCCTTGGGTCATGCATAAATGCGATCCATTCGGGGAGCCTGGCTACGTCTACTACGATGAAGCTCGCCCGGCGCAGACGCAATGGCGGCCACTCTTGCGGACTTGCGATCCCGCACCTGATTGGCTTGGGATGCTGTCCCGCACGCAAGAAATGACGGAGGGACTCGAGTTTTTACGCGGCAAGACAGCATTGGTTATCGGCGATTCGACAGATCGGCAGATGATAGAGGACCTCGCCAATATCACTCAGTCTCGTCGGCCGAAGATCGTGTCTTACTACGAGGCGAACGTGCTCGCCTCGGACGATGCGCAGATGAAGGATGTTCGGTCACACGGCGCTCCACGTTTGCTTTACTACGAACAGCTCGACTTTCGTATCATCTCTGTCTTTCACTACGGTCTCTTATCAGACTTGCGGGCATCGCCATCAACAGCACCAGATGTGCATAAGCCGATCGCTTTGCAAGATAGATTGACTGAGCTATTTCGACCTTTAGTCGAAATATATACCGATGAGCTCGACTTTGTGCGCTTTCAGTCGGGATTGTGGGACGTTGATGCGCTCACCGTCCTGTCGGACGATCTAGCGCACGCACATCAGCAAAGCTCAGGCACGCAGTCGGTATACTTGGAAGAAGATCTACCCCTGTTTGCGAGGTACACATTGCGCTATGCCCAAGCGCTCCGCCAAATTCAAGAAACATTTCCGCACGCAGTTGTGTGGGCTCGCACAATGCATCGACCTGGGCAAGGCCCACACAAGGAGCACTTCGGCGACCTGCCGGTCAAGAGACTGTCGCAAGGCGCCAAAGAAGGCGCGCGCGAGGCACACGTCAGAATGTTTGATTTTGGCAACCTCTTCGAAGGCTGGCAGGATCATGCTGATTGGATCCATCCCAATCGTTATCCTGGCACTGCCCTCATGGCTCAAGCACTGATTCACGAGATGTACTTGGAATTCGATCACGTTTGATGGACAGATACGAGAGTTTAGCTGCCCAATCGAAGGCCATTGAGTATACCAATGACTGCTTTAGCTTCTACACGAGAGATCGAGCTGGCATCGAGTGCACGAACAGTCATATCTGCTCGACGCAGCGTCGTTTCGACTTCTCTCGAGGCACTCGTCGGGCTGGCTCTGCATTCGTTCAAGCGATCTTTGTGCATTGCCAGGACAGTCTTGAGGATGCCGACAAGATCGCGCCCGTCTTCTTCCGTCATCGTCTGGACATCCGTTGAGCGCAAGGCGACTGCGAGCTCCTGAAGTGTCTCGCGATGGATTTCTAGCCTGAGATCGTTCGCTTCGGGCGGCGTGATCTGGCGTCGGTCACAGAGCGCTGCGTGAACGGGAAATGAGCTAAGTGGGATTTGCAACAGGAGAGAGGCATACTCTCCGTGCGCTCGGTGTGGGAACGCTCGGGTTTGGGGACGGAGAGCGACGCTTCCGGAGATCGCTCAGGTGTGGGCAAGTGGCCAAGGTTGGCATGCTGCTGAGGTCCGTCAGGCAGATGGATCGGATCGTAAGGGGGCAGGGGAACGCGGCAAGATCGTGTCGGATGAGTGGCCGGGCAAGCATGACAACGCAAACAGCCGTTGTGCTGACGTAGGTAGAGTTGTTGCTCCACCGTCGTCGGTAGATGGACGTTGCTGTCTGTCACACCAGCTGTTTGAGTGATCTGAGGCGAATAGTGGCGTTCGGGTGATGCTGATCCGCGAGGGACCGTTGGACTGACAGGCGTTCGCATGTAGACCTCATGTGGGTCACGCGAGCTGCAAACCATTTTAGTCTCGCAGTGCAGCCACGCAGACTATCTTACCTCGAACGAGAGCGATAGGAGGGAGGTCCGTAGATGACTTGATGATTGCGGTGTGCGTCGCGGTGCGTCTCGCGAGCGTATGACGCGTAAGGGTGATATCGACTGTTCGGCGCTCTGTCGGATTCATGTCGGCATCGAGGCCAATCATCCTCTAGAGGGCGGGTAAGCGATATCGGATAGCCCGAGCGTAGGCTGTCAGAGCGGGCTAACGTCGAAGGATAGGTCGGTGCTCGCAAGGGCGTTTTGGCGGGTCGCATGGGTAATGGTATTGCAGGCAAGTCGACGGGTGTATATGCATAATCGCTCGCTCGTGAATTGTTCGGGATCTCTTCGCCTTCTTCGTGTGGCTCTTCGTGGCCCTTGACGACGGACGAGCCCCAGACGGCAATCGCGTCATCCGTCAGAGTCATCGAATCGTCCAAGTCAACTTGGCTAGGTTGGCCATCGAGCGCATGACCGTGGAGCTTGTCGTCATTTGGCTCCTCGCACTGTGGCGTGATCGTCTCGTTTCCGGCTTCAGGAGTTGGCACGCCAGGTTGATCCGACGCCGTGCCTGAATTGACAGCAACAGGCTCGGGCTCCGCAGTCTCGGATGCGAGACAGATCTCTTCGGGTGGCCCAGCTGTTAGCGGACAGCAAGGCCTTGACTCGCCCGTCTGCTTATCACTGAGCTGCTCGGTGATGGCGTTGATGGACTGGGCAGAGAGCGGCTTGATACTCGTTCGCTTGACCGCCTTGCCAATGTAGTACGACCTGTCGTCATCAGCCCGACGTCGAGTCCAGACAGACAACTCACATGTTCGCCCACTGAGTAACGTGAAGACTCAGCCAATCAATCGAGAGGAGAGTCGGCAGGGGTCAGCGCAATGATAGAGGCTCCCTCGACGCGGAGCCTCCTCAACCTCGGAGGGGGGTTGCGGACAGCGTGCAAACAGTCATGCATTGAGTCGATTGACAGTGTCTGTCTGTCTGTATATACCGACTAGATAGCGTTCTTGAAGACCTCGCTTGCCTTGACAAAGAGAGTGATGCAAATGCCGGCACCCGAGAAGAAGAGGACGGTGCGGATGTAAGAGAGCGGTCCGGATTCGATGGTGACATAGGCGAAAGAGTAGAGCACCCGCGTCAGGACGTATGCGCTTGCAAGCTAAGCCCACTCTGTCGTCAGCCATCGCACTGGCGTCAAAAGGCGCGGAGTTCACCTTGTTGAGCGTCGAAGAGGGGAGCTTGGCGACGTTGCCCGCGATGATAGCAGCGGCAAAGAAGCCTAGGTTCTCAAACGTGTTGCTCTGAGCAGACTCTCTGTGCTCATGTGATCAGCCGTCGAGCTTGTCAGTCTGCCAGAGGACAGCGTACGCTCGGATAACGCGACGCTGGAGAGCAGATGGCTTGGGGATGGACTGCATCTTCTGCAAGTACGCTCTCGGTGCGACATTGTCAAACTCGCCCTGATCTCTCGCATCAGCTTGGGTCGTGTTCCGCAGTGGATGGAACTGACCGTTCCTGACAGGTTTTGCGACATCAGGCCATAAATGTGTGTACCGATGCCAACGCCCCAAACGGCGATGGGGGCGAGGAGTGAGTAGTTCTGCTGGTCAAAGACTGCATGATGGCTCAGCAGGGCCACACTGCACGACGGGAAGCCCACTGGTCGACATGGTGGTGGTGAAGTGGCAAGGAGAAGTGAAGGGGGATCTCGGACGCGAGCAGTAATGAAGATCATGACGCTAAAAGTTGCAATTTTACATTCTACAGCCGAGATAATGCTAGCAGTCCGGGTATCGTTCAAATTAGTCGACTTCTTCGATATCCACATCGTCCAGCAATTCCTCATCCTCGTCGATGTCCTGCAGGCACATGTCAGCATAGGTGGAATGGGGGCGTCCAGATGTGCTTACCATGCTCTGAATCGTGCTCTGATGATTGGGAAGGATCACGAGTCGATTAGCTTGATGATCGCATGTGACATTTGCAGTCTCGCCGTCCAAGATCGAGTCGTCGAGGATCATACGCGAGAGCTGGTTAAGTAGTTCGCTCTGGATGACACGGTTGAGCGGTCTCGCCCCGTAAGCATTCGAGTAGCCAGCAGTACCGAGCCAATCTTTCGACGCTTCGTCCAGATTGAGCTGGATCGTCTTGCCACTCGCTGCCAATCGGTGCTGGATCTCGCGCAGACGATGGTCGACGAGCTTGCGAATATGCTTGCGACTGAGCTTGTTGAAGATGACGACACTGGAGATGCGGTTGATGAACTCTGCAGGGAAGTAGGCACGTATGGCAGCATCCACTGCATCTTTGACTGCTGGCGGGAGAGGTGCGTCGCTGTCGACTTCGTTGAGAGCAGCCGAGCCAAGATTGGTCGTACAGATGATGATAGTATTCGAAAAGTCAACGACCACGCCCTTGTTGTCGGTCAGTCTGCCATCGTCAAAGACTTGTAGCAAGAGCATCCAGAATTGGCGGCAGGCTTTCTCGATCTCGTCAATGAGCAAGACACAGTAAGGTCTCTCCTTGACCTTGTTCGTGAGCGTGCCGCCTTCTTCGTAGCCAACATAGCCTGGCGCAGAGCCAATGAGCCTCGAAATCGAATGAGGTTCCGAGTATTCAGAGCTGTCGATGCGTATCATGGCCTCCTCCGAATCGAACAGTAACTTCGCCAGACACTTTGCAGTCTGCGTCTTGCCCGAGCCAGATGACCCCGTGAACATGAACACGGGAGGTTTCTTAGGATCTGCCAACCCACTCCTGGAAAGTCGTATAGCGTTTGCCAGAGCTTTGATGGCCTGCGGTTGTCCGACGATCTCTTTGGACATTGTGCGCTCGAGGTTGAGCAGTTTCTCCTTTTCGCCTTGCTTGAGACGGCTGACGGGTATACCCGACCAGCGGCCTACGACTTCTGCAATATCGTCTGGCGTCACGACGTCGTCTGCCTCCCCTCGCTCTACATCTGCTGCGCGCTTGTCCTCCTCCATCTTCTCGAGCTTCTTCGTGAGTTCTGGTATCGAATAGAATCGAATGTCCGAGGCAGTCGCAAAGTCTTGATTTCGCTGGGCGGTCTCTGCCTTTGTGCGAAGATCGTCGATACGTTCCTTGAGCGCCTGAATCTCTTTGCCGCGAGCTTTGGTGGCTTCGTGTTTGGCTTTGAGAGGATGAAGCTCTTCGTCAATTCGAGCGATTGCTTCCCTGACTTCGACCAGACGAGCAGCAGAAGCTTTCTTATCGCGATCTTGGCCCAGAGCGTGCTCTTCAATCTTGAGCTGGGTATGTTGACGCTCGAGCTGATCGATTGCTTCAGGTTGCGAATCTCTAGCGATGCGTACGCCAGCGCAAGCTTCGTCCACGCAATCGAGAGCGCTATCGGGCAATCTCCTAGCAGGCAAGTAACGATGTGCGAGCTTGGCAGCAGCGACAAGAGCAGAGTCGAGAATGCTGCACGAATGATGAAGTTCGTAGCGCTCGCGTAGGCCGCGCAAGATGGAGATGGTCTCTGGTATGGAAGGCTCCGTCACAAGGACTTGCTGGAAGCGCCTCTCGAAAGCTGCATCCTTTTCGATGTACTTGCGATATTCGACCAGAGTGGTGGCACCTATCATTCGGAGCGTGCCACGAGCCAGCATGGGCTTGAACAGATTGGCCGCGTCCATCGATCCGTTGCCTTGCCCTGCCATGATCAGATGTAATTCATCGACGAATCTGCGTCACAGTCAGTCTGAGCATCACTGAACGGCCACGAGATACTTACAGAATGATAGGTGACGTCGCTTTCTCGAGCTCAGATAGGAGTGCTTTGACGCGCTCCTCGAATTGGCCTTTGTAGCTTGCGCCGGCAGTGAGAGCGGCCAAGTCGAGCGACCAGAGACGACCGAGTAAGCCGGGCGGTACATCGCGGTTGATGATACGCTGTGCGAGTCCCTCGACGATGGCCGTCTTGCCGACGCCTGGCTCTCCGATCAAGACAGGGTTGCTCTTTGTGCGACGGGACAGGATGCGAATGACGCGACGGATCTGATTGTCACGTCCTATGACGGGGTCGAGCTTGCCTTGCTCAGCCAATGCAGTCATATCGATCGCATACTTCTTGAGAGCATCGAAACCTTCTTCTGCCTGACGAGAATCGACCTTGCGGGATCCTCGAACTTCGGCAATGGCGCTTTTGAGTTGGACAGGATTGACGCTGGACTCTTTCAGGAGAGCGAGCGAGCTATCGTCGCCGAGGAGGGCAGAGATGAGATGATCCTGACTAACATAGGAATCGCCGTTCTTCTTCTGGAGATCCTGAGCTGATCGAATGAGTTTGGCAAGCGAGCTCGAGGGCGAGTAATCGTCCGGCGGTGGTTCTTGGCTCGGTAGCCTGACGAGCGCCTTCTGATAGGCCCTATTGAGCTTGACCGAGTCCCCACCTGCACGCTCGACGACAGACTTGAGCAAGCTGCCGTCCTCTGCTAGCAAGGCACTGGCGACGTGGACAGGAAAGACCTGGACATGCGAGTGATCGCGCGCAATCTGGAAAGCATTTTGCAGCGTCTCTTGCGCTTTCTCCGTGAAGTTCTGGGTCATGCTGTTGTGATGTTACAATGGGTTCGGTACAGCGTGAGTCTCTATATGTGCAAACTTGGAGCTCTTCGCCGGTGCATTCTCGCGAATTCGCGAAGCTTCGGCCGACTTCGGGCATGTGACGCCTTGGCGAAGTTGGCGATCAGCAGAGGCCCCTGGCATCAAGCCAATGGGCAAGGTGAAGACGCCCAAACCTGATCATCATCATGCGTCTGGCAAGCAAAGGTGTACCAGTCTATGCTGACGCGCTAATACGAGCGCAGGAGGCTTCAAGAATCCATGGCCGTCTGCAGATGGTCCAGGCGTGACATCATTGTTCTCCCGGTTTCCACTCGAGCTCATCAGCCGACTAGACGAATCGGAAGTTCGCCAGGTCAACGTCGTCCCCTGCCGGTTTGACGATGAAGGCAAGGCGGGCAGCGAGAAGCTCAGGGCGACTTGGCTCGGACACGCCGGCGTGCTCGTCCAATTGCCCGCGGTAAGGGCGGATGTACGGTCGATCCGCATTCTCTTTGACCCCATCTTCTCGTATCGGTCTTCTCCTGTTGGCTTCATCGGTCCTGCCAGGCGGCAAGAGTCACCCTGTACAGTAGAGGATCTGCCAGAGATTGACATTCTCTGCCTTACACACAATCAGTCAGTCGTCCGTTCGATCGTGTCGCTCAGGACTGAGCAGCTCGGCGCAGCTATGATCACATGGACTTAGAGACGCTAGACACGCTCCGCTCGAGATTCCCAGATCTCATGTTCTGCGTGCCGCTCGGCAATCGCGCTTGGCTGGAGGAGATGCATGTCGCGTCTGTACGCATCAGAGAGCTGGATTGGTGGCAGAGCGACACGCTGTCTCTCGCGAGCATACTGCCAGCGCCCGAGAAGGAGAAGGGAGAGATACAGATTCACTGCGTGCCTGCCCAACATAGCTCGGGTCGAGGACTTTTTGATCAAAACGCGACGCTATGGTGCGGCTGGGTCGTCGAACAGATCCACGACGGCAAGCGATGTGCAGTGTTTACAGCAGGGTAAGCACAAGTCGCATTGCTTGATGCTCTGCTGACCAAGGCTTCAGAGATACGGGCTACAGAGGGCCTCACCACGATATCGTCTGTCCAGCTTTCAAGGAGATCGGTCAGAAGCACGGTCCCATCGATCTTGCATTCATACCCATATGGCGAGGAGGCTCACTTTCGTTCGTCAGCACTTTTGGTCTTCGCGTGCGTGGAGCATTACCTGCAAGCCGCGCCCGATCTGACCGCGAGTATCACAGCTCAAGCCATATGTGAATGCGGCACATCACTGCACACCCGACGATGCCTTACGACTGCATCAAGACGTACAAGCACGACACTCTATTGCGATTCATCATGCGTGCTTTGTCGGCTCGGAAGACGAGGCGAGGTGGCCTACGGCTCTCTTTCTGAAAGCAAAGGCTAAGCTGGATATTCCTGAATGGGATCAAGAGGGCGGATTCGGCATTGTTGATGTAGGCGAAAGCATATCTGTGTAGATCACTTGGCGCTCTTCCGCCTGAATTGACTTGAAGCGCGTCGCGGTTGATCGATTGCTCTCCTCTCGGATCCAACAAGATGAACGTCATTGTGAGTTGGACGATGCCATGTGACTGACCGAGCTGAAGCAACAGTGACAGGAAACGCTGTTCGGGCGGGCCAAGACGCCGGCTGAGCGGATGCGCCAGCACCAACGCTCGCTACAAAAGGCACAACGAGAGCTCGACAGAGAGCGGACCAAGCTCGAAGCACAAGAGAAGAAGCTTGTCGCAGATATCAGGAAGAATGCCAAAGCAGGTCAAATGGTCTGTCACTCCGTCGTATCACTAAAGAGGCGCTCTGACTTGTCGAACAGGGATCTTGCAAGGTCATGGCGAAAGATCTCGTACGGACTCGGCGCTACATTTCCAAGTTCTACGCAATGAGGACACAATTACAAGCGGTATCGCTACGGTTGCAGACCATGAGGAGTAATCAGCAAATGGCAGAGGCCATGAAGGGCGCAACTCGGGTCGGTCCCCTTCTCGCGTCATTGACCTCGTCAGAACTGACGGCGCGTACGGCAGGCCATGTCGGGCATGTCTCGCAATCTCAACATACCCGCCATGCAGCGCATTCTCATGGAATTCGAGAAAGAGTCGAGCTCTATGGACATGAAGGAGGAAATGATGAGCGACGCCGTCGACGATGTCATGGAGGTCCGTCACAGAACGGCATGTCTTGCTTCTTACTCACTGAGATTCACTGGCCAGGACGATGGCGAGACAGAGGAGGAAGAAGGCGACAAGATACTCAAGGAAGTTCTCGACGAGATTGGCATCTCGGTGTCACAACAGGCAAGCTGCGAGGTCCTTCTGCGCGCACACGGCTTACCTATCCCTTTTGCTGCAGCTGGGCGAAGCACCTACATCGCTTGGACCGGTAGAGCAAGTATCGAATGCCCAGCAGAGGATCGCAGTGGGCGAAGGTGTAGGTGCATCTCTGCCAACGACCAGTGCAGGCGCGCCCGACACGAATCTCGGCAACGAGTTTGGCGACCTGCAAAGCAGGCTCGACAGCTTGCGCAAGCCATGAGTCTTACTACTGTGTACCACTCTCTGTACGATGTATTGCATGTCATGAAGCTGCGAGCAGGTGATCCTTGCCTTCGTCCAGCAAGTGCATGATCAACTCGCCGTAGAGGGAGTTGGCCCATGCGAAGTGATACCGGGAGAATCGAGCAGGATTGTTGGCATCGAAGCTCTCGTGAACAAAGTGAGTGCCTGCTGTTGTCGTCTTGATTGTATGCAACGCTGTTGCGATCTCTGCGTCGTCGGAACTAGTCAACGCTCGCATGATGATTGACATCGGCCAGATCTGATCGAGTCCACAGTGTGGACCGCCCACGCCTTCGCCTAATATGCCTGAAAAGAAGTATTTGTTCGCTTTTGATAGCACGTCTTTGCGTGTCTGGAGGTAGGTCTTGTCTGTCTTGCTGATGAAGCCAAGATAAGGCAGAGAAAGCAAGCTCGGCAGATTTGCGTCGTCCATGAATAGTGTAGAGCCATAGCCATCGGTCTCGTAAACGTATCGCCCGTTGACGATGCAATGTGTCTCGATCGCTTGCTTTATGTCGTCTGCCAGTCCCTGTGCTTCTTGCAGTACATCTGACAGCGCATCAGAGACATCTTTGCTTTCCAATGCGCCCAGTAGACGAGCAAGACTGGCAGTCAGCTGAGCGTTGGCTGGCACCAGGAAGGGCAGCACCGTTGCGTCGTCTGATGGGCGGAAGGCTGATTTGACCAAACCGCATGCTTCGCCCGGTTCGCCAAGACCCGCGAGCGAGCGTGTCTCGGTAGCAGATGTGTCGCGTCTCTGAAAGCGATAGATTCCTCTCGCGCCAGTATATCGCTTGCTCCAATCTGCAGAGTAGGAAGCATCGAGCTGGTCCGTTTCTCTGCCTTGTAGTATAGCTTCCTCAACTACCGTGGACCGCTGCTGCGATCTCAATGTGGCTATAGCCAGCGCGAACGCTCTGCGCCAAATGTCGTTATGCACGAAATCGACTCGAGCAGTCGCAAGGCTCAGCTCGGCAGCAAGACCGATGAAGCTTGCCAAGCTGTCGACTTCCCATTTCGCTTCCCATATTCCGACATTCTCGTCGCCCGGCGTGGAACGTTGTCGCTCGTCCTTTGCGGGCGGCCAGAAGGTGTTGCCGTCGTTCGCATCAGGATTCGACGGTGTGCAAATGGGTCTGACCCAATCGCCACTCGGCGGCTTTCTTGTTTGGCCGGGGGGAAGATACGCGTTAGCGAAAGGATGATGGATGATGGTACTTGCTTGTCGATACAGCAAGCCAAGCAAGAGTCGGTAGAGCTTCTGTGCGTCTTGCGCTGTTGCATCCTCCTCTCCGGCTTCGAGCGCTGTGGGGTGACCCGCGAGATGCGCTTTGAGAATCTTAATATAGGGCCGCTACTCGCGCACGTGTGAGCTTCCTATCTGCAGCGAGGGAGCACGCACGACTTGATTCGTCGAGTCTCGAGTCCATTGCGCAGGGATATCGCCCGTAATAATGAAAGCACGGGGCTGGGCTTTTGAGAGGTCGCGACAGGATAAATCCAGATCATAAGAATGCACAGTCGTGTCGAGCGTATTAGGTAGAGCGTTGCGCAGGATGCGTTTGAGCTCGGGATCTCCTATCCGAGCTGCATATTGCTCCAGGGCGGCTTCGACGAGACTTGAAGAATAGCTTCTCGATGATTGTGGTCGTGTGTCATCATCTCCTTGGGATGACGTGGCGACACCTTGCCGACCGCGCCGCCACATCTTAGGCTGATTCGCTGGCGAGGCCGGTGAGCTTGCACTTTGCTCGTCGCGTCGATCGACAAAGCTCTTTGGACAGAAACAGGCGTGTCAGGCGTCAGGCTCGCAAGGGCGCAGAGGCAGCACGAGAGAGTGTACATTGATCAGAAGGGAGAGATCTGCTGTGTGCACTCAGGTGCGAGACCCAGACGCCCACATCTGCAGAAAGGCGCGCCACATGCTCGCGACGTCCATGCCCGTACCGCTGAGTCAAAGCACATCGCGACAGACACCAGGCGGCGTACGCTACTCGCCAGACTCACTCTCGCTCTCGTCCTCATCCGAGAGTAGCAAGCGCGTGCAGACGAGCTCGCCTGCGAATCGAGGAACGCGCACGTCACAATTCGTGCAAAACAGCCTTGCAAGTACGCCTCTTGCCCCTCGCCGATACACAGTGACGCCCGCAGCTTCAAGTGCTTCGACTGCCAGTAGTCTCACTCTCGTCGACGGCGCGCAGCAGCGGGACGCGTCCGACTCGCCTTCAACCGCTGCCGCGTACAAGGGCAAAACGACGACAGAGGGCATCCATGCAGCCCTTGCGCCGTCTAGCTACTCTGTCTGGAAATCACAGCAGCAAGCACAGACCAGTCAAGCAAGGACGCGCTTTGAGCCGAGCAAGATGATGTCCTCGCCTACAGTGGAGCGGAAAGAGCCAGATTGGCCGGCAGAGAGGCCGCGCACTCGCTTCGATCTGCCCGAGTCAGAACAAGCCGATACCATCACTTCCGGCACTCAGTCAGGGTCAGACTCGGACGTGGAGGCGAAAGGCGCTCACACAACGAATGGTTCTGTCGGCCGTGGCGCATTGCTGCAATCAAAAGGAGACGATTCCGATGCATCTGAAGCTTCGCCGCCCATGCGATGGACAGCATCGGCATATGCAGCCCATGCTAGCCGTATAGCGACCTCAGTATCCAAGACAGCGCCTGCTTCGAGCACGCCTCTATCGCTGAGGCAGCAGATCAGGCTCGAACGCGCCCAGAGGAGGGAGGCCGAGCAAAGAGACGAACAGCGTTTGGACGCTGGCAGGGAACAGCTTGTTCCTCATCGTCAAACACATGTCCAGTCTTACTTGGAAAGCCTGCCCGGAACTCAGCAGCGAGGGTCTCCTGCCCGACTGACCGCGTCGCTCCGTGAGCCACCTTCAGGATCCAGTCCTGATCATAGCGTGTCCCTCAGTAAGTCCGCACATTGGCACAAGATCGCAGCATTGAACCTGCTTGGACCAGATGCCGGCACGCCAGCAGCTCGACTACGTGATGCGTTTCAGCGAGCAATGAGTCCAACCTCGCCCAGCCCGATCGCCATGCCATCGCGACTGCGCAGCTCGAGAAGTCCCGAGCCAATTGCAGCAGCGAGTCCGTTGACGCGCTCCTCGGCCGGCAGAGAGCTAGGACGGGAGCCAGTACTGCCCGTACGTGTCTCTCCGCCTCGGCCACCCTTGTCGACCGCTTTCTTACGGCGACGGCCCTTGCTCCAGCCCGGCGAGAAGACGTCGTCGTCCGAATCGGAGCCAGAGCGCGGCGATGATGACGAGGCCGGTCAATCTTTGAGCTACTATCCCCCTGCGAGACCAGCTCGCGTAAATGTCGGCTCGCTGCCAAATCATGCCTCGGCCAGGACGAGCGACCAGCCTGCGAGAACGCAGTTCTTGTCCAAGCAACAGCAGAGTTCAGCAGAGTCGGAAAAGCAGACGGAAGCGACAGACGAGGAAGAAGAGGAGAGTGAAGAAGGCGTAGGCGCCGAAAGCGACAAGGAGATCGTGCTCAGTCGTTTCAAATTCTCCACGCCGTCGCATAAATCTGCTGCTCTAGATGTTCCTCCCACACCTCACGTGCCGGGTCATCTGAGAACGCCCGCAGCCGTCGTAACAGCGGGTGCGAACGATGAGCTCGCGCAGACTCCGCCATCCCACTCGGGTCCCCTCAGCATGCCTACGCCACATGCACCGGGTCATTATGCGCAGACGCCCGCGAAGATGGCCGAATCTGTTGTCGATACTTCTGCTGCGACGTCTCACGAGCCCTCGCCTGCTACGACAGATTTTATAGGTAGCAGCATCGCTAGCGCGCCCAGTGACTACAAACCGATACATTTCAAGCCTGTCAAAGACACGACAGTGACAGAAGGCCCTGCACCATCGCCACTGTCCGTCAAGCGCGATAGCAAGCAGTCTAGAGAAGATGTTCGCACGGGCATACAGCAAGTGTTCGAGCGCCTGAACGAATTGATCAGCGGTCTCACAACTTCAAACGAGTGCGTGGTCTCTGCTCAGGCATCCCGATGGTGATGGATGAAGCCAGTTCGCACAGATCTGCTACAATCGCATCGGAAGCGCTCGAACGGCTGTCAAAAGAGGACGAAATAGAACAATCGGCCGATCTCATCGCTCGATTACAATCAGATCGGCAGGAATTGCAAGCCAAAGCGTCCGAAGCTGCAGCACTCGAACAAGAGCTTACTGAGCAGCTTGCAAGGCTACAAGCAAGCGCGCCCGTTGAGCCAGATCGCGTACCAACCGCTGCTGCTCAGCCGGATGCAGACACACAATCACGAGCAGTCTGGCAGACGAGCTTACCGCTCGCATTGCTCGCTTCTCAGCTACTGTTCATCGTAGCAATCTCGTGTGTACACGTTTGCTGGCAGACGTCTTGAGCTAACTCAATCTGCAGGATCTGGAGTTCGCCACTGCAGCAGGCGTTGATCGATCTCTTCACGCTCCATGACATCGATTTGAGTCTCGTTTGCAGGCGGATCCTCGATCTGGCAGCGGGAAGTGTCGCTTTCCTGTCGCAATGGAGCAAGGAGGGTGCGAGTGCAGAGACGCATAGTCATCTGGCCGAGGTTATCTTGTTGTAGAGCAGATTGCTTGTATTTCACAACAACAGGATCTTCTGCACACAGACTACTCGCGATGCAGAAGCACGAAGCCGCCAAGGACAGCTGAGAGCATGTTAGGGACGAAGCCAGGCTGAAGAGGTCTATCATACCGAGCAAAGCGTATTTGAGCTTGGGAAAGTCGTTCATCGCTATGGTGACATAGCCCACGAAGGGGACGTATCCTTTGACTTTGCCGACGATATGGCTGCGTTGTAGATACTGTAGACCGTTGTAGAGCGAAATGTCATCTGTCGGGTTGTTGTCGCCTTTTGTCACTGCGGGCGAGAGTATGAGCCTGCGGATCTGACACTTTGATCCGTTGGAAACGTACTGATCCATTGCTCTTGCACGCCTTGATGAGTGACGACCATGCTGAGGTTGGCTTGCTTGACCGGCTTGGGGTGTCTGTCTGCGCGTCAGCCAGGCGCGTGTTGCTAAGGCCTTTCAGACGTACTCATCGTGAACTTCTATGATGCGATGGACAATTGGAATGGCAGCGCCCGGCACGTTGTAGACTGGGATATCGCCTGCTCTGAGGGGCTCTTTGGGCGGTAGCGCCAGGAAGAGCAAGTCGCCTCGATAGAACGCAGGTTCCATTGAGCCACTGGAGCGAGTGGCCGATGAGTACGCTTCAGGTAGACTCGTTCACCTGTCTGACCTGAGTACGACGACGATGGGTGACTCTGTATTGGTGACGATACTCATGCCTTTCCACATGGCCAAAGCGGTTGACAAGACAGTGACGAAATTGAGCACCTGAGCGAGGACCTGCCAGCATGGCTCGTCAGCGAAGTCTCACAGATAGCGAAAGGGCTGCTCGCATGTCGTACGCCAAGCCTGCGAAGCTGCTGTAGCTCTGACAGCATCGCCTCGAGATGCGCCAAAACCAGGCACGAAGGGAGCACGACGCGCTTCGAATTCCGTCTAGCCCCAGATAGCTCGCCTGCTTCGACCCTCTGACCTTTAGGGGAGTCTCGATCGCTCTCAGCCCACAGCCCACTGTCTTTTTCCTCAGGAACTTGGTTCAGACGCACGAGCTTGATCGATCGTCGGCGTTCGTCGCTCGCACGCACCGGCCGCTGTAAGATCTCGAGAAAATCTGGTTACCCTCGGGCCCCTCGCTCATTTGAACGTCCTCCCGCCTGCTAGCTTGCCCAACTCATCGCAGGACTTGCTCGATCAGAACCAATAATGTCAAACCTCAGTCGTACAAGCGGTGCTGCTACAAATGGCAATGGCCATGCATCCTCTCGCTTGCCTCATCGTGCTGCAACGCTCGACATGTTCACGGCAACCAGATCGGACTCGATAAGACTCAACGGACACTCGCTCACCGTTGGCCAAGTGGTCGGCCTTGCAAAGTCGACCAGCGATGTCGCAATCGAGAATGACCCAGAGATTGCCCGTAGGGTCGGCGCCAGTGTTGACTTTCTCGCTTCAAAGGTGCGCGCAAGATTCGGCTCATCGATGCACTGCTCATCGCGCGACGCAGGTTGGACTGTCGCTCTATGGAGTTTCAACTGGATTTGGCGGCTCAGCGGATACTCGTTCGAGTGATCCCGCTGCTCTCCAGCTTGCGCTCATCGAGGTATGTCTAGATAAGCGCAAAGTCCTACGGAGCGCTTAACCACTTCCCAACACGCAGCATCAACTCATCGGCGTCACGCCAACTGATCTCACGAACAAGCTCGGGTCGTCTGCCTTCAAGACGACTGAGCCTATGGCCAATCTGATGCCAGAGGCTATCGTCCGAGGTGCCATGGCAATCCGCGCCAATTCGCTTACCCGGTATGTTGCCTGTCGCGTATCTCTCTTGCTGATACTGACATGCGTGGATCAGTGGTCATTCAGCAGTACGTTACAGCGTCCTCGAGAAGCTCTGTCAGCTCGTGCAGAATAAGATCACACCTTGCGTACCTCTTCGCGGCTCGATCTCAGCCTCGGGCGATCTTTCTCCTGTGAGCTTGTGACCTTGTGCAGTATAGGTCGTATACTGATGGCGAGTGTCCAGCTATCATACGTGGTCGGTACGCTGCTCGGTCATCCCGATGTCTACGTGACCGTTACCGATGTTTCCAATCAGAAGCACATCATGCCCGCTGCAGACGCGCTCAAGCAGTTCAACATTGAGCCGATCGTGCTTGGACCCAAAGAGGGCCTCGGTCTCATTGTGCGTACGATGCGCTCAGTCCGCTGATCTTTGCTGCCTGACGATAGTGCTCGAACAGAACGGTACGGCCTTCAGCGCTGCTGCCGCCTCCCTCGCTTTACACGATTCCCAACAGCTGGCGCTCATGTCTCAGATTCTGACGGCCATGTCGGTAGAAGCAATGGAAGGCGCTGCAGACTCGTTCCATCCCTTCCTCCACGACATCGCTCGGCCTCATGTGGGTCAGGTTGAAGTCGCTGCCACGATCTACGATCTTTTGCAGGGCAGCAAGTTTGTCGTTGCTGAGGATACCGAAAAGGAGATCAATGAGGATAAGTACATCCTTCGACAGGATCGTTATGCACTGCGCACGAGCGCTCAGTGGATCGGACCCCAGCTCGAATCGCTCGGTCTGGCTCAGAAGCAGATTGAGACCGAGCTCAACACGACGACGGACAATCCGCTCATCTTTGTCGAGGCAGAGAAGCGTTGCCAAGGTGGCAACTTCCAAGGTACGCGCCTTGCGCTCTTGTATGACTCTTGCTGACTGCTTCGTTCAGCCATGTCTGTTACGCAGTCCATGGAATCCGTCAGACTCTGTCTCGAGCATCTCGGCAAGCTCAGCTTCTCGCAGATGACAGAACTGCTCAATTGCACTATGAACCGTGGCTTGCCGAGTTGTCTTGCCGGCAGCGAGCCGAGCACCAACTATCATTGCAAGGGTCTCGACATCGCTTCGGCCTCGTATCTCTCCGAACTTGGATTCCTCGCCAATCCAGTCAGTACGCATGTCCAGAGCGCAGAGATGCACAACCAGCAGATCAACTCGCTCGCTCTCATCTCTGGCCGAAAGACGATCGAATCTGCGGATGTGCTCACTTTGCTCATGTCCTCGCATCTCTACGCTGTCTGCCAAGCTCTCGATCTCCGTGCTGCCGATGCCACGTTCAGACGCTCACTTGATGCTGCCCTCGTCAAGCTTGTCAAGACTCACTTTGGCTCTGTTGCCGATGCCGATCGTGTTGCAAGCAAGCTTGCCGGCCAGATCTGCCGCAGTCTCGAGTTCAATGGCTCGATGGACCTTGACGATCGCATGACCGACCTTGCCGATGCTTGCTTGGCTATCTGCATTGCTCAAGATGCTCAGCTCACTGTCGCTTCGATCAAAAGCTTCCGTGCAGATCTGATCGTAAGCCTCACGAAGCTCTACGAGGACGCGCGCGCGTCGGTCATCAGAGGCGATCTGTCCGCTGCTCCCTTCCTCGGCAAGACAAAGGCCATGTATCTCTTCGTCAGACAGCACCTCGGCATTTCTTTCCGCGTCGGCGACGTTGCTTCTGGCCAGCCTCTTGCCACAATCGGTCGCTCGGTCACAAAGATCTACGAGGCCTTCAAGTCGGGCGCCATCACGCCCATCATCGCCGACATACTCGCTCATGCCCAGTGAACCTAGCCAACAAAGCCTCGCGCATCTCCTCTCGTAATGTTGTCAGCATCATGCATCCCGTAGAAGACCGGATCGCGTCACATATATTTGACGCGTTTCTGTCACTCTCAGTGAGTGGTGGGGTAGCCGGACCAATGCAAACGGCTCGGATGATCGCTAGAGCTCGTCCGAAGGAGGTACATGAGCAGCACGTCCTTACTGTGTGAGCTGACAGAAGAGCGATATGCAGACAGCACTGTTTCTTTGCGATATTGTAAGCTCTGTGCGCGCTTTACCCCGCGTTGATGCTAATGGCAAGCGTGGGCAGCAAGAGAAATTTCGTAGATAATCCGAGGCTCGGTGCTTGCTGGGCTCATCGTTGGCTTTGCAGGCAGCGCTATCCACTGCTTCAGCGATGTCATTGCAACCAGCTCCAAGCTCGTCAGCTCTCGCGCGCTCTATGCCACGATGAGAGGAAGCTCAGCGACCTGCGCAGGTCCGAGCAGCAGAAGCACTCGACCTGCCCGTTCTCGCGACTGAGCAGTACCCAGATCGGTTGGGCAAGACAGTGAGCGAGCTCAAGATACCGAAAGCGCAAGATGTACTCGGCGAAGCGCTCGCAAAGACTCGCTTCTCCATGTTCATACCACCCGTCAAGGCTGCACTGGAGAAGAGCGCAATCAAGAGCGTGATCATCTGTGGCATCGAAGTATGCTGTCCTCTCGTTCTACCCACAAAGTCGAACTGACGCGTTGGGTAGAGCCACATTTGCGTGCAACAGACCACGCTCGACTTGCTTGACAATGGTACGCGCAACTTGATGTGAGCGCTCGCAAGACTGATGATTTTCCAGGCTACAATGTCTTTGTCGTCGCAGACGGTGTGTCGAGTTGCAATGCGCAGGAAGTACCCATAGCACTCGCGGTATGCTGCCGCTACCTGCACCTATCCCGCTGACGCAAGAGCCATGGCAGAGAATGCGACAAGCCGGTGCGACAGTCACGACGAGCGAGAGCCTCCTCTTCGAGTTGCTCGGCGACGCAAAGGCGCCCGCTTTCAAAACCGTCTCTGGACTGATCAAAGACACGAAAGAGCAGACCGCGGCGAGTCTGAGCAGATTGATACCGCGGCTGTGAGTACAGACGTCATCTCTGTTTGCATCGTGCCCTCTCTGTTCGCTTCGCTTCGCCTCTGAACCTGAAGGTGTCGTCGTCGCGGATGTCGCGTTTCCTGCCACTCGCTGCAGCTCCCTGGCTTCATAGGTTGAGCCGGCTTGCGCATGCTCAGATCTGGACCACCGACGAGCTTGCGCATCGTCAGCAGACGCTCATTCGCTTCGAGCTCGTATGCTCGAACGAAAGTTCAGCCAGCACGAGTTCTAGACAGTGCCAGCGATGGAGGCCCACGGCAGCATTGGCAGAGTAGTACCATCCTCGCCTGTGGCTGCGCGCTCGCAGGCTTCACAGTCATGCTCATCTATGGTACTCGCTTGGAAGTAGTCAGTCTGCCGTCCCCATCACTCTCCAGCTCGAGCTCAGGGCCGTGGTCAGATCAAGTTTGATGCGACTCGTGAAGCTGCCAGGCGAGCCAGGGCTAGCTCTACCATCCAGTGTGACTCTGTCCCTCGCAGAGCAGTCTCGAGATCTATCATAGACGATGACACGGCGCCCATGCGAGCACGCATGACGGCTTGGGTGAAAGATCTCCAGTTACGCATCGTCGAATCGCTCGAGCAAGTGGAGCATACTCAGGCACACGAGCTAGGCAAGCTCGACGACCGTATAGACTCGCCGCCACCCAAGAAGTTCTTCCGTGATGCATGGCTGCGCAAGGAAGGCGGGGAAGGCATCTCTTGCGTCCTACAAGACGGTCAGGTCTTTGAGAAAGCCGGCGTCAATGTCAGCGTCGTACATGGCACGCTACCGCCTGCCGCAGTCAAGCAAATGCGCTCTGATCACGCGGACAAATTTGACGTGCTTTTGTTTGCTGTCGCGCAGCAATGTCATATACTGACAAGAGCGCACAGTGGTATGACGGCGCGTCGCTCCTGCCTTTCTTCGCTTGCGGCATCTCCATCGTTGTCCATCCGCGCAATCCGATGGCACCTACAGTCCACATGAACTATCGCTACTTCGAGTGCGAGGGACCTGTAGATCATCCTGTCTAGCGCTGACACATTCAGCAGAGTGGAAGATCCCGCCAATGCAGGCGCACCACGTGCTTGGTGGTTCGGCGGCGGAACGGATCTCACCCCAACCTACCTCTTCGAAGATGACGCGCGACACTTTCACAAAACGCTCAAGAAGGCCTGCGATGCACACTCGCCAGGCTTCTACCCAACTTTCAAGGCCTGGTGCGACAAGTACTTCTGGATCAAGCACCGTCAAGAAGCTCGCGGACTAGGCGGGATATTCTTTGACGACTTAGGCCTCGAGGACGGCATCACCCAGAGTGATAGATTCGCGTTTGCTCGGACTTGCGGCGAAGCTTTCCTACCTGCTTACATACCCATCATCAACGCGCGCATGCGGACAGATTTTGGACAACGAGAGAGGCGGTGGCAGCAACTACGTCGGGTTAGTCAACCGTGTCTTCGAGCTTCAGAGTGAATTGACGAGTCTAACAGAGTCGCTACGTCGAATACAACCTCGTGTACGATCGAGGCACCCGTTTCGGCCTCAACACGCCCGGCGCGAGAATCGAGAGCATCCTCATGAGCTTGCCCTTGACTGCCAGGTGGGAATACTGCACAGACGCGGCGGAGGATCCGGCATCACCGGAAGCTCAGCTGCAACGAGTCCTCAACTCGCCAAGAGAGTGGGTCTGACGAGATTGCATCGTCTACTCTCTGCGGCGTGCTCACGCGCTAGTAGCCTCCGTCGGCACTTTCTCTTGAGCTTTCTCTTGCGCTTTGTCTTTTGCGTTGTCTTCTTCGCGCTTCTTGCGACGATGCTTCTTGGACTCCAATTCGTGCCAATCGCCTTTGACATCGCCCAGACTGCATATGCGCATGTCAGCACTCACTCCCTGCCATTCACGAAAAGCTCACATAGATGGTATTTCTGGTGCAGGCTCTTCGCTGAAGTAGTCTGAAGCGAGAGCTTGCGTAGCTGACCAACGCTTGGCAGGATTGTTCGCAAGTAGCTTGAGGGCAAGCTCGACAGCAGCTTCTGTCGTGAGATGCTTCCTGCAACTCCTGCTGATCAGCATGAATTGAAGCATGATGCCCGACAAGCGTACGGATAGTATGTTTCGCGCAGGATGTTGGGCAGCTGCTGCTTCGGCTTAACGAGCTCGAACCAGGGGAGGTCTGCAACCTCTGGCCAGTCGTCAAGCGTCGGCGTGCCCATAATCTTAAACGTCGCGCTGAGCTGATCGATTTCGTCTTGACCCTGGAAGATCGGACGCGAAGTGAAGAGCTCGACGAAGATACAGCCTGCACTGAACATATCGACCTCTTCGCCGTAGACTGTTCCGCCAAACAGTAGCTCAGGCGGCTTGTACCACTGAGTGATGACCCGATTTGTGTAGTCGTTGTTGCGGTGAGGCACGTAGAAGCGAGCCAGCCCGAAATCAGCGAGCTTGACATTGCCGGATCGATCGAGCAGGATGTTGCTGCCTTTCAAGTCTCGATGCAGGACGTTCCGGCTGTGAATATATTGCAGGCCAGACAGAAATTGCTGCATGATCGATTTGTTATGCGCCGCTGTCAGCTCTAGCTGGGGATGGTGTAGCACGCCAGTCAGATCATAGTCGAGGTATTCAAAGACCATGTACACGTGGCCTTTGCAGAGCGATATCAGCGCCATAATAGAAAGAATGAGCCCAGCACACCTTGCGAGACCATCATCTCTAGCAGCGTGACGACGTTGGCATGACTCAGGCTTTGTAGTAGCTTGATCTCGCGCACAGCAGTGACCGGGAAGCCGTCGCGTTCTTGCTCCATGCGTATACGCTTCAACGCGACCATCCGATTATTCTCCCGATTCCTGGCCTTGTAGACTTTGCCGAATGTGCCTTCGCCGACTTGTACTAAGCGCTGATAGACCTCCTCCGGCTCTGCTTGGGGCTTCACTGCAGCCGGCATAGCCGTAGTCACGGCGTCTTGTGTGCCATTGCTGACCGCATGTTTCGCTGCGCCATTGACAGGTGACGCTCGCTGACTGTCATCGTGCTGTCGCATGTGATCACGAGACGAAGAAGAATCTTGTCCTGCCTGCGGCGAATCGCGGTAGCCATGTCCACTCAGATTGCCGTTAGTTGCGCTCGGATAAGAGACGGGCGGTGGCGGTGGTGGAGAGGTGAGCATCGACGAATCATACGGAGACTGTTCGCGCCTTTGCGAAGGTGTTCTGGACCGTGAGGGTGCATATGACCTCTCATCGCTTGCGTCTTGACGCCTCATGTCGGACGGATGGACTGCTGTATACTGATCTGGGACAGTAGCTGAAGTGTAAGCATTGGCTTTGAGTCTGTTGATGGGCGCAAATCCGGCAGGCTTTGTTCGAGCGACATTGAGTGTAGTAGTCAGTTCTGGCATTGGTGGCATGCGCGATAGGTCATGCCCGTGAGTCAGAGCGTATGGATCCGCGCGATAGTGATCGTCGAGCGAGGCAGGATGGCGATCATAGGTGGGAGCCTCGCGATAGTCGTCACGATCATATCGAGGCATATCACGGTAGGCATTACGATCGTACAGATGCAGTGCTTGTCTCGCATCGCGTTCGTATGGATGCAAGTCGCGTGGCAGCTCGCGGTCGTACATTGGCGGCAAATCGCGATCGTAAGGCCTTTGCAAAGGTTGAGGGGAATAGTCTCTTCGCCTGGGCGGGGAAGGGTACCGTCTTCGATCGTAGTCATACTCATCTCGCGACCGCACAGGCTGTCTCGTATCTGGCCGACTGGGTAGAGCGTATCGAGTGGGCGCGGCACCATTACGTTGCTTGTCCCTATCAGAACGAGGACTGGACGATTTCTCGCGCCGTCTTTCCTGTCGTGGACTATCAGCGCGCCTTCGCTTCTGCACGCGGTCTGTACGAGCGTGGCCCTCGGGCGTCGCAGAGCGAGAGGATCGTCGATGCCGCGATTCACGATGTCGGTGACTGTCGCGCTCGTCAGGCAGGTCTCGCGATCTATCTGATCTACTCGTCGATTGAGATCTAAGTGAGACGTGCTGCTGTCAGATATGTGGAGTTGACGCTCTGAGAGAGGACTCACTGTCTTTGTGGCTCTTCACCGGATTGGCGGTCCGTTCTGGGCCTCTGCAAGCAAAAGGGTGATGAGCACACGGGACAGTCCAGCCGCTTATCCCTTACTGGAGGCAGATGATGAGGAATGTCATATTCCCTTGATCTTTCTTGCGCATGGGGTCTCGCTGCCCTCAGGCTGCCTGCAGGTGGTGGCCGCTCGTATAAATCGGTGGCAGGATTGTAAAGCGCCCGGCTGGGCCTGACAGGCAGCTCGTGCCGGTCTGAAAAGCACATGCAATCAGTTTCTGGACCTCTCCGGACGTTTTGATGCCGCGGAGAGGAGCTTACGAGTAGCTCTGCGGTCCTCTGCTTCTGCGTAGGACGACTCGTGCCGAGAGCCATAATCTCGATGGCTGGACACGTCAGCCTGTCTGTCGTAGTAGTCTGCAGTCTCTCGCCGATGGCCACCATCGTGAGGCAGGTCTCTCCGGCTCCCGGACATGTCTGGCGTATGCAGGCGGCTGCGTACGCTGGCGAGGGTCGAGTAAGCCAAACGGAGAGCGTTGACCTCAGATCACTCCGCGTCTTCGGCCTCGAAGTGCTAGCAGTCTGAGCTGAAGCTGTCTCGAGTCTTGATGATGGATGCCGATCAGAATCAGCAGAATCGAAGTCGAAGAATCGCCATAGTCACTGCGAAGTTGCTCGCTAGCCAACGCGCTTTTGGCGGTTTGGCAAAGGCGGAAGCACAGTGACATCAGATCGAATGAGGACTGTTCAGACTGGCCGCAAGCTCCCAATTGCAATCAACTCATGCGTCCAGCACTGTCCTATGCATGGCTGGTCTGAATATGTATATAGCTCAGTCAGATAGGCTGTAAGCCATGCAAATATACAATAAGCTCCAATCCTCGACACTGGTGGCATCGTCCAGGCATCAAAACCCCCCAAGGTCGACAGTCGTCGTTCACGCTCTACTGATACAGTCGCTTATGGGCGTCGATCCGTGTAGCAAAGTGATGCGAATAGTATATTGTGACAAGTTGGCTGTTCACATCACGCGCGCTGGTATGAAAGCTCAGACGAGCAGCAGGCTGGCGAAGACGATCGTGATACCGCTGACGCCAATTGCAAGGGCTTGCTGAAGGTTGATCAGCGATGGTGCACTTGACGTCGATCCAGTGCTGGTCACGCCTGTACGTATTGGCAACATCAGCTTGCCACCTTGTCAGCAGCCCTGATACTACGTACCAGGAGCAGTCTGTGTCCCTGTGTATCCCGATGGCGTCGCAGAGGTGGTAATACTGTACACGACGATCGCATTAACGCGTGCCTTGGCTAGCTGAGAAACGCTTACGCGATGCCTGCTTGCTGGCAAATGCCTTGACCGTAGGCCCTGTGGCAGCAAGTCTCAGACAGATGAACAGCATGCACGGGTACGAGTAGTCCTTACAGAGCTGCCTGGAAGTTTGCATCCGAGCAATTAGCCTTGAGACAGGCGTAATCGGCGAGCTGGTACGACGGGCCTGCGCCGACGCGCATCAACAACGCGTACCGCATGCAGCGTAGGGTAGAGACTGACTCGTGCAGATACATGTGATGTTGGCCACAGAGGTGCAGGTCGTGTTGCCGCTCGACAGGACCTGAAGAGAGCATTCAAGGGCGCATCGGGGCAAGACGGGTGAGGTATAAGTCGCTGTGCCTGCAGGCCCAACTGACGTGCTCGTACTGCTCATCAAGAGTGCAGAGGAGAGCGAAGCAGGGATGCCAGTCGCAGCTGTGGCGGCAGCAGTCGCGCTTGTCGCTGAAGCTGAAGCTGCAGAAGAGCTCATCGTTGTCGTCTGGGCGAGAGCAGCGCCGGCTAGGCAGAGAGCCAATAGATTACGGGTGAGCATCGTGTTGCTTGCGGGTGTGTATGTGGTCGGGCGCCGTGCTGGCTTTGTCGTTGACCGCCAGCCGAAATTAGCTGGATCGCTGCCGGACGCGGGGTTCCGCCCAAATTCTCGGCGATCCGGCTGCAACAAAATACAACACGTGTACATCGCTCACTACTGCTCCACCTGAGTCAACGCGATCCTGCGCTTCTTGCTCGGGTTCTCAGCCGGTGGCTCTGACAGGCTTGTTGAAGCTGCCAACGGGTTCGCGGGCGCAGATCTCTGTGCTTCGACAGCTGTGGCCGAAGCAGACGCGCTCGCGCTGACTGCTGGCCTTTTGGCGACGAGTGGCGGGTTGACGCTCGGTGGCGGGGGACCTGCAGCAGCTGCTCCTGGAGGTGTTGCGTCTGACTTGCGGAGCTGCGAGAAAGGCTGGGCCTCGCAAGGTGTTCCGAGATCCTTGCCGTCAAAGGCTGCAATAGTGCAGTAGCCGTCCTGACTGCTCATCACAAGCGTGCGCCCATCGGCGGTCCTGCAAATAAGCGCGTGAGCATAGCCATCTTCCAAGTTTGCGAGGATCTCACCATGACATATCTGAAAAGGGCGAGTAGTGCAGATTGCTAAAGGTGCAGATAGGAGAAGTCTGCTGAGTATCGTAGACAAGCACGGCATCGTGAGTCGCAACGGCGTAAACCATCCGATAGGGCAGGTCGATCATACTGACGGGTGGCGGCGAGTCTGGTGCTGGCTCTTTGCCTTGCGCTACCTCTGGTTTGCCCGTGGTGGTCACCTCGGATGAACCGGGCGCGGATGGTCCGGCGACGGGCACGGCGGAGTCTGTAGCAGCCTGAAGAACTTTAGAGCGCAGGTCCGTCCGAAGCTGGAATAAGACCGGATTGAAGCGGATGCCAATACTGCCAGTTCGATGACCGCGTAAACGTATAGCTGGCCGGCCAAGGAATGCGCGCGTATAGCCGTACGTCGTGAGGACTTTGCCGCCTTGACTAGGCTCGCCGTCCTTTTCGATCTTCTTAGGACGCTTCTTGGCCGGTGCGGATAACACGTCCGAGCCATTCGAAGCCGTCACGCTTGCCGGTATGAAGGGGTCCTCAAAGATGCCAGCTGGCGTGAACAACATGCTGCCGTCTGTGCTCCACGATAACCGCCGGAAGAAGGGCGTGAGCTCTTGGTCGCCATACATTGCAATAGCTTGTATCGAATTGGCAGTCGAGGCCGTAGAAGAGCCAAGCGAGGGGGAGGGAGGCAGTCTGACGGCAGGCAAAGGTGCAGGCGATGGACTGCGCATATGTCGATGCGAGGGTGAAGCAGTTGCGTGCGATCCAGGAGCGAGGTGATGCTGTGGCCCGAGCGGAGGTGACATAGTGACTTGTGAACCCGCATTGGACGATCGTCTCGAAGCTGGCTTGTGCGATGGCGGATTCATCGTGCCCGAATCAGGCGGCGCTGCTTCTGACGCTGGCGTGGGCATACGTGCAGAAAAGTCGGGTCGGCTCGAAGACTCGCTTCTCTCGCTCGCTTGCGACGGCGTTCGCTTTGGCGCAGGCGGGCGAACGAATGCCGTGCTAGTTGCACAATGCTCTTCGTCCTCTGCGCTAGCGACAGTCGGGGCAGGTGTCGGCAAAGGAGCACCACCGGCTGCGCGATCGAATTTCTTGAGCGCGTCTGCAAAGGCGAGACCGCCCGCACGTTCGAGATCGAGTCGAGAATTCTTGCCTTCGAGATGAACTTCTGCCAAGTCTCGTCCCCCTGAAGAGTTCTTGCGATATTTGAGCGAATAGACGTGCATATGCCTGTGTAACCCGTGTCTGTGTCAATGCCCTGGTTCGAATGACACGGATGATGACAGACCTGTCGCTTGATTGAGTTGCAATGTACTTGTCCAAAGGGTCCCAAGATACGCCTTGCACGTAATTATTGTGGTCGGTGATCTGATGTATGCACCCTCCTGCGCAATCCATCCCTCTCAGATCAGCGCACTAAGCCATCTGACGCCTGTCGGTCGCACCATTATCGGCGCTGTAGATCCTGGCGGTATGATCGGTGCTTCCAGTGATGAAGAAGTCTCCTTCAGGTGACCATGCGAGGTCATACACTTCCGTAGAGGTAGATCTGCAAAGGAGAATGAGCGCAGTCTGCTCGAAGGAGTAAGACGCACCTGGCCATCGTCTTGACGCGCCAATTCTCGCGCTCGTATGCGCTGTCTTCTGACAGCAAGTTGCCGAACGAGCTAGATGATTTTTCTGCAGGCACCCAGAGCAAGATCGCGCCGTCTGTATACATGTCAGCTGAGGCCCACTGACACGCTGGTTCGCTGACCATCGCCCGCAGATGCCAACATATCGCCTGAAAAGCAGGCTGGCTTGTCAGCTCTCGTGACTGATGGGCGCGTCCTGCCTGACCTTTTGGGGAGAAGCGGACGATGTTAACGACGGCAGTATGTTTCGTAAGCGTTGCCAAGTATTCGACTCTTGGCGAGCCTATACCTGCGCCCGTCTGACTCGATCCTGTGGCTGCCGGTGCTTCTCCCGGAGCGGGTCGCGGCTCAGGATGAACGAGCCAGATCTGCCAATCCCCTTGCCGGCTGAGCAAATGGACAAGCGCAGGCAGGGCAGTATGCTGACCCGAACATTGTTGTCACCTCCTGCGGTTGCGAGTCGCCAGCAGAGTTCAGGATCACGGTCCGGGCTCATGTCCTTGCTCATGTACGGGTGAGCGCTGGTCTTGCGGTACTGGTCAGCCGGCAGAGGGTGGAAGTCGGCCGAGAAGATGGGTCTGAAGGTTCGGACGAGGGTCAGCAGATTGCTTCGACTGACTCGAGGCCGAGCTCACTGGGTGTTGTGCCATCGTATCTCGAGTGCCTTGACACGCATATTGGCAGAGCTGAGCTGTCAGCGAGATGTGGACCGTGCGGCGAGGAGCTGGTCCAGTCCCAAGAGCTGGACAAGCTCGAGCTGATGCAGTCCTCGAGAGCTCAGGCGTAGCGAGTGGCTGCGACCGGCTCGCTGGTGGAGCTGAGTCGCCGTTGCGCGGAGGAGCGCGTTGCCAGCAAAAAGGCAGAGGCCAAGCCAGGCGAGCGCTCAACGTCGAAGACGGTCGCCAGCCATGTCAACAGCACACAGACCGACATGGACGCCAGCACAGGGCAAGGAGGCTCGTGCCAACTCGCGCCAGGTCTCAGTGCGCCAGATGGCCTCTCATACTCGCCTCAAGTTCCGCCAGGCCAATCAAGGCACTCAGTCTGAGATAGCTCGTCGTGATCTCAAGCTGGACTTGCAAAGGGCGGAGGATGAGGCGAAAGCACGCAAAGCCAAGGGTCTATCGGGTATCGTGAGCGAAACCGAAGCAGTCTCCGCGAACAGATTGCTCGAGGATGCGCCGCCTGCCGTGACACAATACGATCAAGATGCGGCCGCACTGGCTGCCAAAGTCGCTCAGGACGACTATGCCGACGAACAAGATGCAGCAGAGAAGCGAAGGAAGATCTTACTGGAAGGCAACTTGCTCGATCTTGACCGTGATGACTCGAGCGACGAAGACGAAGCGCGCCCGACGGCCAACAAGGGCAAAGGCAAAGAGCGAGCCATTGAGGCCGATGGAGAAGCGGCGGAGGAGTCTAGCGAGGAAGAGAGCGACTCGGATGACGATGATGAGGATGAGACGGCCCAGCTCATGGCAGAGCTGGAGAAGATCAAACGCGAGCGAGCGGAGGAGAAAGCGAGGCAAGAGGAAGCCGCCAACAGTGCTGCCAATGCAGACAGGGAAGCAGAAGTAGCCAGCGGCAATCCTCTGCTAGATCTCAAAGCTGCCCTCAACCGCGGCGGCTCACCTACACCTTCGATGATGTCCTCGAGCACTGCCACCACCGGCTTTGGGGTCAAACGCAGATGGGATGATGTCAGTCTTATAACGTGATACGAACGTGTCTCCTATGCTGATCGGATGACGGGACGGACAGGACGTCATCTTCCGCAACCAAGCTGTGCAGAACGATGCGCCTCGCAAAGAATTCGTCAACGATCTGCTCAGGACTGATTTCCACCGCAAGTTCATGAAGTAAGCCGGCAACGTTGACGGATCTACCTCGGGCTGACATGCAATTTCTACAGACGTTACATAGCTTGATCGATCTACAGGCCTTCATCAGAGAGTTGTGTCATCATGCAGACTTGATCGCTCCATGACCGCCACCTGCAGGCGGATCTCCTGCACCCTTGCCTTGATCCTTGCTGTCATTGACAGGCTTGACAGGCTTGTCCGCTACCTTGTTGTTCGACGGCAGCTCGGCAACGTGCGTGGACGGGAACCAGCCTATCCTTCCGTCTCTCATTCTACCCCTCCACCAGCCAGGCTCTTGCCTTTCTGCGGGCGGTGTCAGGACGGCAATGATATCGTTCGAGTTGAAGTTGAGTTCGAGTGGATCTTGTGTCGTATGTGGATGAACAGCTCGCACAAAGGTAAGCGTGGCAGGGTCTATCGCTTCTGGTGCACCGCCCGGTAGTCCCTGTACGTGTGGTGGTTGCATGTGTGTTGGCAGGGGTTGTCCATCCGGTCCCATGAGTAGTCCTTGTTGACCAGGCGGTAGCTCGCCTCTCAACCTGGCTTCTTCCTCTTGTCTTGCGTTGATCATGCGCACGAAGCGATTCATGAGGTACGGCAGTCCGACAACGGTCAAGAAGAACATCACGATCGGCTTGCGTGATGGCCGGACGCCGGCTTGGCCAGGCATAGAAGGACCGGCCACCTGTCCTGTCGCCTCGAACGCCCTGAAGCCGTCTGCTGTCAGCTGGCCAGAATTGCCCGAAGGCATGAGCGCCAACGGATCTTCTCGCCCCAAGACACGGTTGAGCATGGAACGCAGCCACCGTATGAGCGTGAAGATGCTGAGTACCTGACCGAGGTAGTTCCGCAAATGACCGAACTGCTCGGCGACGCCAATCATGGCAAAGAATGACGAATGGGTCGCCATGAAAGTCGATTCGAGCATCTGTGCGAACCCACCGAATGCGCCCACGATGGACTCGATGATCTGAAAAGTGGCCTGTGTGCCCGCCTCCATCCGTTGGGTCAGTGAGGGATCGCCTGGACCGCCTGGCATGCCCATCCCTGCGCCAAATCCGCCCATGCCCATGCCATATCCACCCATACCCATACCATAGCCTCCCATACCACCCATACCACCATAGCCACCGTAGCCGCCCATTCCCATGCCCATTCCGCCGTAAGATGAGCCCATGCGACTATAAGGTGAGGTGTAGGATGAGCCGTAGCCGCCGTAGGATCCCATGGTGCCCATCGTTGAACCGTATCGAGATGCGGCACCACCGTACTGCATATCGCTGTCAGCTAAAGTCGCAGTGATGCTGTGTCAGCCGACTCACGGGAGAATAAGCCGAGTTAGCCGCGCCATAGGGCGTCACTGCTTGCGAGCCTGCATCACGACTGCATCAGCCAGTCGCACCCTTCATGAACTCAATGACCGACCGGCAGCCGTCATGGTGGCTGGCCGCGCGGGTAGAGCAGGAACACTGCTGTCGAGAGCAGAAGCCGTCTGAGTCACGCCGGTTGCCGCTGATGGGTTGACAGCCGGACAGCGGGCAGGATCGCCGCCTTGGCCGTGCCCTGATGGCATTGTCGTCGTCGATGCGCCGTTGCCTCGCTCCCATGGCTTCGGCGGCGACGGCATCTGTTCGTCAATCGTGTATCAGGCTCAGGCCCGACGGCTGCTGAGGAGGCGCAGCGAAGATGAAGTCCAACGCGTCAAAGTATTTTCCTCGAGTGGCAAAGCTGTACAAACGTTCAGACGCTGATAACTCCGTTCGACAAGGATGAAGGCATCACAAGCAATTTTCAGACATGCGCAAGGGTCGCTGGCCTCGGCCCAACACGCTGCAGCTCGCACCTCGACTGCGCTGCAAAATGCTCCGAGAAGTACGACAACCGGCGGAGCCAGAGCCTTATCATGCGCACCCGTCCGAGCCCTTTCGTCGACTGCTATCAGACGAGAGCCGCCCACAGATAACCCGTCGCATGCTTCCATGATCGATCATGTCACTGACTATCCACACATCCACGAAAGAGACCCTGATGACCACGGTCACAACACCACGGGTTAGTGGTCTTGCTGCTGCTACATGATCGCTCACAGCTGGGTGGGCGACTGCAGGCGGCGGTGTCGGTCGACATACCTCTCGTACTCTTGCCAGCTTGTCCATGGAAGGCAAGACCTGCGTCGTCACAGGCGGTGCACGTGGCTGTGCGTACCCTCACAGTCGTCCACTTGCTTGCCGGAGCTGATGGATGTGCACAGTGGGCAACCTGTTTGTGCGTACCTTTGTCGAGAGTGGCTCCAATTCGGTCGTCATCCTCGACCTCGACGCTGAGCAGGCGAGGAAAGCGGCCCAAGATGTCGTCGACTGGTTCGTCGAGCACGGTGAAGCCGAAGAAGGCGAGATCTCTGCTACCGGCATAGGCTGCAATGTCGCAGACGAAGAATCTGTCAAAGCTGCCTTTGCTCAGATCAAGGAGAGTCACGGTACGCTTGATGTACTAGTCAATTCTGCTGGCATATGTCACAATTATCAAGCCATGGACTATCCCACCGAAAAGGTAATCATGCCGCAGCTTCAGAGTATACCCCGATTGACAGCCCGTCACAGTACAAGCAATTAATGAGCATCAACGTCGATGGCTCGTTCTTCTGCGCGCGCGAAGCCGCAAAGCTCATGTCAACTGACTATGGCGCAAAGGGAGGTTCCATCATTCTCGTTGGAAGCATGAGCGGCTCCATCATCAACATTCCCCAACCACAGACGCCCTACAACAGCAGTAAGAGTGCCGTCAAGCACATGGCCGCCAGTCTTGGCGTCGAATGGGCCGGCAAGAAGATCAGAGTCAACTCACTCGCGCCCGGCTACATGCAGACTTCGCTGCTCAAAGCAGTCCTCTCGAGCAATCAGGCACTTGCAGAGAAGTGGGAGTCCATGACACCCATGGGACGACTTGGTGACCCAGAAGATCTCAAGGGTGCCATCGTGTTCCTTGCCAGCGACGCGAGCAAATTTGTCACTGGCGTTGACCTGCGCGTTGACGGAGGCTATTGCACAACTTGATGGCCGACTTCGACTACTTCATTACCTGCTCTTGGCTCACGACGACGGAACATGCCCATCATCAGATTTGACACGTTCGGCATTTCAGCAAAAGCAATCCGGTCTTCACATGTCACACTACGTGCTAGTCACGCATAGACGCTATTGCAGCGAAAGTATGTATGCAACACAAGCGCTTCTGCTAAACCGCTATAGTGGCCTTTCTTCGACCAACATCCGTGCGCGCGAGTCTGTGCATTGACCTAACCCGTTTTCGATCTTCAAGCCTGGGAATCTTTCAACGTGCTTGCCCGCACGGACAGTGCTATGGATATGCACCCTCTGCCTGTCCTGAGCCATCTCTTGAACTATCAAGGCTCCCGACATGCCTTTGTCAGAGATGAAGGGGGCTATGCTCGCTCAATATCGTCTAGGCTTGCAGGAAACATTCGCACACGACCCAATGACCGATATGTCTGCGGCCGAAGATGACATCTTGCGACCCTTTCCAACCCTGCACGAGCCTGCTGATTTTCCACCTGACCTACCCTATCGCCATTTTGACTTGTGCAGACCGGCTTTACCTCATAGCCACTCCATGCCCACGACCAGCTTGACTGCTCTCATCACCGACGAGGAGAACCTACTGCGACGGTCAGGTGCACACGCAAGAACAGTCTCGGATGCACATCCTTTCGCTCGAGAATCAGCGCTGTACTCAGAAGGCACTGCCTCCGATTTTCTCTCCTCGCCTGCGCAAACCCACCTGCTCCCTTTCCCAAGCTACGAGCAAGACGCAAGCTCTCAGACCTCGCTGACCAGTATTCAACCTCTGCTCGGATTTGGAGCCTTCAGAGATCGCCATGATTCGTCCTTTTCGAACTTCTCAGATGCCACGAGTAGCTCTGGTCAGGAACCATATGACATGTTTTCGTCTTACGAGCGCAAAGCAAGCATCTCATCGTATCGTAGCTCGGGCCTTGCGCTCTACTCTGCCTCGCCCGTTGATGCGGAGGCCCCGATGCTTCCAATGGACAGTCTCTCCATCGACACGCGGGCTCTTGTTCACAGTGCTCCTCAAGCTGATCATCTTTCGCTAGAAGATGTGGAAGATCCAATTCTCAGCATTGCACGCGCGAATGCTCAGTGGCACGGCATCGACGATCAAGAGCACCATGCAGGCGATGTAGCTGTCAACTCTGAAGTCGCAGAATCTATTTCTGCAGACGAGAGCGAAGCCGATGGCCTGCTACAGCCCCGCACTCGACCTATGCAAATACCTCGCATGGATCCGGAGGAATTCCGTCAGCTACTCGCACCTTATGTCCGGCAGTATCTTACATCGCGCAATCGCCTACTCCTCGGAGAGCGTAGTGTACTCGTCCTCACCAACAGAACGTCGCAAAAGAGCTACGGCACCGAGAAGCGATTCTTGTGCCCAAGTCCAGCTGTCATTCTCCTGGGTTCGAGCTGGTTTGCCAAGGACGAGACCGTGGCGAATGGTCAGCCTGATCTGATTGCACCTCGCGTCTTGATTTCGATCAGCGGCAAGAATCCAACTCAAGTAAGCTCGTACAGCCCTTGACGGACTCAAGCTGACTGCGTACGCTCGACAGGAGGTCGCGCCTGAATGGCTGGCTGTCTCTGGCAGAACGTCACCCGAGAACACAGCATCGACATCGGATATGATCGTTGCTGGCCGTGGCGTCGGACGGCAACTCTTCATCTCGGATGTCGATGACAAACGTGTCGAGGCAATCGTTCGCGTCGTTGCCCCAGGAGAAGGTCGAGACATCGATCGGCTAATCGGCACTTTCAATTCGAAGCCGATCAAGGTCATCTCCAAGCCAAGTAAACGGCGTCAGAGCAACAAATTGTCAGATCTCTGCGTGCTTCATGGCTCAACAGTCGCTCTATACAACCGTCTGCGCAGTCAGACGGTCTCGACGCGATTCCTATGTGTCTCTGGAGGTGCCAGCATATTTCCCGGCACCGACTGGCAAGACATGACCGGTGAGCCAAGTCACTTTGCAGCAGCAAGCGATGCCTGCTTCGTTGCTCGAAGTGACGCATGGGACCCATTCATCGTGTACCTGGTCGATCCCTACAAGACCTCAAGTGTGCCAATGGCTACCAATCCTGTCATACCTGGTGCGCCTGCACCGCCGGCGAACGCGCTGCCCTTTGATCAAGCTCGCCCACGTAATATTTACTACAATCAGCCTGTCGTCTTCCAGTGTCTCGCAACTAGCGTTGTCTCGCCTGTCTTCATACTACGAAGGATCGACAAGGGTGACAGCGCAATCGTCGGAGAGACCTCCAATGCGAGCGGACGTGGATCGCCTACTCTTCCAGCAAATAGCTATGGCGAACGCCGCGGGGATCCGGTCAGTCAGTTGCAAAAGGTTGCACTTGAGATCTGGTCCCCGGACCCAGCCTGTGAAGCATCTGCCTACCTTGCCTGTCAGGGTGGCGGTGTCGGTCTACACCGACCTAATCACGAATCGAAGAGACCTTCGTCAGCAATGCCGCCGATGACTCCAGATACATCGTCTACTTGGTCAGCCGGTCTTCACTCTGCAATATCCGCCGGTGGCTATTTCAGCAGCAGCACACCGACTACGTGGCCATGGGCAAAGCTAGAGGGCGTCCCAACCAACCTTCGAGTGCCAGACTCCGGAGTGAGGCTAGACGACGAAGAGCCAAGCCGTACCTCAGATGCTGGCAAAGCGCGCAAGCCTCGTAGGATCGCATCGAGCGCCAATTTGTATCTGCCCACACCGAACGCGCGGCCTCGGAGAGCGTCATTGAGTCTCGGTTCAGCAAGCTCCGCATCTGCATGGGTTTCGAGCATACAGTCTCAGCCTACCTTTCGTTCCGAATCACAAATCGACGTTGGCGAACCGGCTGTTTGGACAATCGCTGGCACAGACCGTAAGTTGTCATCGTTCTCGACCTGAAGATAATGGCTGATACTTTACAGTCAATCGACACACGTTCTACTGCCCACCTGTCCTGCTAGGAGGCCTTGCGGCAGGTTTCGGTGGGGATGCAAGCTCACCATTCAGCACGCCAATCCCGATCATGCCGATTGCATCTACGCCCAGGATATACGAGTACGGGCCTGCTTCCGAATCAGACGAGTCATCGGCTTCGATCGGCTTGATCAATCTTTATGGCGAAGGGTTCGAGAGCACGCTGACACCCTGGTTTGGTGACACGCCCGCAACTTTTGTTCAAATTCGCTCGGCGGAGTGTATTACTTGTCTACCTCCCAAATTCAATAACAGCACGCCCCTCGAGCTGCCAGTCCTGCGTGCGTCTCGTCTGCCATCCACCGTGCATGCGCTGATCTGAGTGAACAGTCGTTCGTGGCGATGGTGTCATCTTTCCATCATCACTCTCGTACGTATTCCCGGCCCTCAATGTATGATTCGACTTGTTGTGGTTTTACTGCAATATAATAATGTCTAGTGCTAGAAGCAGGGATCAGCTCCCAATCATGACCGTGCGGATTATCTCTTCGAAATGATGCCAAAATGATGCGACGACAGTCTGGTCGAGGCCAGCGGAATCCTGCCAGAGGATGAAATACAGCTCGCCGCAAAAGGTATAGGCGTATAGTACGATGCGGCCAGCGCGCTGTCGTCCAGCGCCAGCATAGCTGTGGAATGCAATGTCGGGCATTTCGTCCGGCTTGAAAATGACGTCCTGCATGACCCATCAGCACGATCACTTGCTCAAGATGTCTCGAACAAACCATATTGCCCAGGAAGCTGAACCCTAGGAGGAAAGATGTCACTGTAGGCGCAGAGATCTGCTTTGCGGGCTCTCCTTCCTTTTTGACTTCGATCACAGCAGGCGGCGGCGCGGCTTTCGCGCTACTAGCCTCTTGCGCCTTCTTTTTCCTCTGTTCTTCTTGCACCTTCTCCCACGCGATCGATCGCTTCTCTCGCTCTAGACCCATGAGCTTCGCGCGACTGCCCATCCATTGTGACGTGATGGCGGCAACAGTCTGATCTCTTGCTGTCCGAGCACGATGCCAAAACAGTTGATCCTGCGATAATGAGGGTGGCAGCAATGCCGGCAGCTGGATGAAAAAGTAGCCAATGGCCATCGAGACATAAGATGGCTCTGCAAAATCATCGCCGCTCGTGACAGTCGCAAAGCCTTGCGTCGGTCGACGGAGATGCTTCGGTCGCGGTCGCACGTTCATGGCGGTATCCATCATGATTGGCATGCGTGTGTCTAGATTGGGCTGTGCTTTGGCAAACGCGAGGCCAGCGACAGCAAAGGCTGCGTGCGAGACTGTGACTTCGTTCTTGCGGCAGTTGTTGAGGATCTTGGCTGTATCTGAGACCGAATAGGTCAACTCAGACCATTTTGTATGTCTAGGACCGGGCGTGGCAGTTTTGGGGAAGGAGTGGCCACCTAGTGGCTTCCTCTGGGAGGATTCAAAGTCGATCTTTGCAGCTGCCCAGGCAAACTTGCCCCACTCTGACGGCGTGTCGATGAGCATCTCTACGACTGTTGGGAATTTGCTCAGTGCCAGAGGTTTCTGAGAGGACGTCAACAGCAGGTAAGCAGGGACTTTCGTAGGATGACTGAGTACTCACGATAGGTTTCTGGTACTGTGCCAACGGATCCGAAGATTGATCTTGCAGGGCCATGAGAAATTCCTTGCCAAAACGATTGATTGCCATGCCGTCGATGATGTAATGGGTCGCGATGATGAAGAGACTGTAGTCTTGTGTCTCGTCTGCTGTCTCGCCGGAGGGCTCTGGTCCGGTCGAGGTGATGCAGAGCATTGCCGAGCGTTCGTCGCTCAGTATGCGCGTATCGTTGAATGCTACAGAGAGCTCCTCTGACCATGCATGTTAGCTTCTGCTGATCGCGCAAACCTATCTGGCGCACCTTCAGGATCGCGCTCGTAGCGCAGATCAAATGCCGAGGCTGCACTGGCTTTCGCATCATCCCATGTCTTGGGCGTGGTATATCTATCCCTTGCGTCAGCCATGCTATGGATCACTCCAAGCCGAAGCTCACTTGAACCCGATATTCTCATAGTCTTGAAAAGTGACAGATGCGGCAAGGAGGGGATGATTGAGTCTGAGCTTGGTCCAGATGGCGAGTACGCGCTCCCTTGAGACGAGCCGCTTCTTGGTTGTAAAGTTGATGCGCAGCGAGACATCATTGACGCCTGCAAATTTCTCTTGGCCTGGCAACGTTCTAGCGCCAAGATAGTAGGAGACCTCAGTAGGACCCATCTTGCGCCATACAGATCCTGCCGTATAAATCTTTGGTAAGCTCAAGCAGTCACTGATGAGCGAGCTACTCGCCGTCTGGTTGAGTCTGCCAAGCATACAGCGAGTCTGCTCTGCCAGGCAAGCGTGTGGACCGCATTGGAGGGTCTGCGATCTTGAAGTTCCGTCTGCCGCCTGGCGCAGGCGAATCTGGCTTCTGCTGGTTCGAATTGAAGCTGACCTGGCGGGAATGGGCTCGTTGGGGCGTGCCGGGGGACTTGAGCGCACTCGCAGTCGGTGAAGCAGGCCCGGTCATTCCGTTGGGTTGGACAGAGGTATCCAGCGAAGGCTTAGGCGAGCTTGAGGGCATAGACGGCACGAATGCAGAGGCCAAGCTTCCCAGAGGATTTGATGCCAGCTTGGACAGGCCAGTGTCGCCTAGGGGAGGTGCGCCGCCTGACATGATGCACGACGTCTAGCTATCGAGTCCGGCGAGCGGCTGCGTGCTCTATCGGTCCAGCTTGTGCGCAATGGTGCAGCGTCTTGCGATGAGCTCGAGCGGGGGTTCGCAATGAGCAGAGCTAGCGCTCGATGGCTTGGATATCTGACGCAAGCCAAAACTATCTGAGCCAGAGCAGACGCGGGAGGATTTGCTAATCGCCAACGCTAGCCATCTACGTCGATCCCTACCGAGGTGGCGTTCGACAAGACCGCGTACGAGGCTGTCTCGGGAGTTTTGTCGCATTAATATATATCTCTCGGAACACGATGCATTATCCGTCCTGGACATGACCTTACAATCCTCCGCTGACACAGTGTTTCAGCGATCACTCAAAGTTGAAGTAAGTCGTCACATTCTTCTCGTTATAGTTCAGCTGGAGCGTCGTTGGCGCGCTGATAGCCCCAAAGAGCAGCGAGGATTTGGCAGTGCTACGTAGCAAGATGTCAACATCGTCATGATAGAGACACAGCAGGACGAAGCGTACGCATTGATGATGCTCGCAACGTCAAAGTAGCCGACAGGGCCGCCAAACGCATCGAGGAGGCCCAGCGAATTGTCAAATCCTTGGACGAGCTTGACATTGGGGATGACGGGCGAGCTGACGGTCTTGCCAGCTGCTACCCTGAGAGCCGGTTTGAATGTATAGCTGAAGGACGCATAGACCGTCTGTTACTTGATCAGCGAGCGTCATACGACGCGGCAGTGGCGAGCGGACCTTGTTCACCGACGCTGTAGCTTTGATCGAATTGAGATAGAGATCTTCGTTGAGGATGCCGTTCTTTGCCAATGGGTTGTTGACAAAGAAGGAGGCCTGAACGAGGTTGTCTTGAGGGGCAGTGTCGACTGGGATGAAGACGGAAATGTTGTTCAGCAGACGAGCGGCGCCCTGCGGGCATCCCGTCAGCTCACGCAGGCATAAAGGCAGATCATCTTACGAGGATTGAGCCGATCGCACTATTTGGGTCTGGCTTGGCTGTCGTTGCAGCAGCAGCGGGCTGTCAAGAATACATCAGCGCCTGCAGCTCGAGCAAATGCAAAGCACTCACTGCAGCGGCAGCATAGCCAGCAAAGGCAGCAGCAGCGACAATGGCGGAGAGCTTCACCATCGCGCAGGAAGGAAAACCTGAGACCTGGGGAGCGGGGTAGAAGGCAGGCCTAGATGGGTCTTATATGGCAAGGCTGCATCGGCGTTCGTCTTTTGAAACGCGTCTGCCCTTGAACTTTGTGCAGGGTGCCGATTGATCGGTCAGACCGGCGACCGACTAGACGCTTTGCAGATCGCTGATCAGGTGTCAGGGAAGAAGACACAGAGTCCATCCGGATCAGTCAGCGATGCTTGCGCCATTCGGCCAAAGTCTTTCGTTCTTGAGCGGATCGACCGCTTGACGCGGAGTCCTCCTTTGACGTAGAGGCATCATTCTGTGCGGTATGACGGGCCGGGCACGGCAGCACGCTGGCAGAGACAGTGATGATCGCCATCACAGCAGCAGTGTAAAATGTGAGATTCGTCAGCCTTGTGCGCACAGAGGGAGAGCCGAGCATGCGCATGGTGGGTGAGCGTGATACCGACTTGCTCGTGCTAAAGGACCGACTGATCCCGCACACGGGTGGCCGCTCAGCTTTCGATACGCTAGATGCAACTCCCAGTGTCTGGGATTGGACTGTCAGAGGACGCCAAGGTGAGATTGAGGGCGAGATGCGTGACAGAGCAGATGAAGATGCCGCCACACTCCGCATACTCTTCCTTGTCGCAGGACTCGTCATGTCCTTTGTAGAGGCTCTCCTGCCTGGCATCGAGAGCAGAGACGCTTCCAGTCTGAGTGAGCCGCCACAGATGCATGGGAGTCCATCGGATGCTCCTCGCATACTTGCAAGACTGTCTGTTCTGAGCGTGTCGACAGCCCTCTCAAAAGGCAGTCTCGGTCGATGTGAGCCGTCTCTGCACGATCACACGGGCAGACTTGCAGTATCGCTGCCCTGTCGACCTTGTCTGGCACTGGATCGGTCTCGAGTTTTGCTTGTAGCGGCGCGAAATTGTCAAGGCGACGAGCACCAGCCAGCCAGGCTCGAGTGCGCTCCGCCCAGAGCCACCTTTCCACGTCAAAGCCACTGACACTCCACTCAGGCTCAAGCTTTCTCGCAAGCCCGGAGCATGCACGCTCAGCAATACTGACACATCAGCCTACAAGGAGAGGCGGCCTATCAGTCCCAAAATTGTTCCTCAGCCTGGATGATGTTGGACGAAGAGGAGGAGACGCTCGACTACGGTCCAGGTCTAGCAGACACTGATGGCGAAGAGGAAGAGGATGAGGATGACGTGATCAGTCTAGGCGAGCATGAAGCAGACGATGTGCCCGCGCCTGCGATTGAAGAGGATGCATCGCCAAGTGCTGGTCAGTCGAGCCTGTCCCAGCCTGTGTTGGCAAAGCTGACCGAGCTATCTGCAACACAGCTCGCGAGACAAAGGCAGCAGCCAGCAAGGCAGCCTATGTCCGACCTACCAGATCGAGTGCCAGACAAGCAGAGGCGTCTACATCGGCAAGCACGAGCAATGATCGTCAAGACTCGCCCACTCGCTCCACACGTAGCTCAGCTCGTCTCAGACAGACATCAGATGATTCGGCTGCAGTCTCTGAAGCTACTCAGTCCGTCGCAAAGAGTCGTCGACAGTCCAAGACCACAAAGGAGCCAACGCCTACCAGCGTCACACGGCCTCGCACGCGACAGCAAAGCTCATCAGATGCCAATGCAAATCAGTCAGAGCTCGAAGCAGTTCAATCAACTGGGCCTGCTGAGCCTGAGATTCCCACTCGCAAGACCAAGTCGCTCTCGCCTGCAACATCCGGCAAGCCGAAGCTCGACTTGGTACCAGGATGGATTGCAAGGACCAGCAGGGAAGGAAAGGTGTACTACTTACACAAGGCGACTCGCAAGTCCCAATGGCACCTGCCCACCGAGACAGACACGCAAAGGATATTGAATGAGCTGGAGAAGCCATCGCCAGAGACTAGTCAAGCTGCAGAGGTCGAGCCGAAGCTCGAAGCTGCTGCCGTGCCAGCTGTGGCGACAAAAGCGTCATACAGTGGTAGACGCAAAGGCCGAGACATCTCCATAGCCGCTGAGTCAGAAATCGCACCTGCGCCGGCGATCGCAGGACCCTCATCGCCCAAGGCGACAACGCAAGAAGCTTCAAAATCAGCATCCAAGACCAACGACTGGATGAGCGAAAGGAGCAGTAGTGAAGACCTTGTCATGATGTCAGTGTGGCGCCATGTTACAATTGCGGGTGCTGACATCCCGGCCTGGCGCGCAGAGAGCAAGCACAACCGCAAAGTCAGATCGGAGTTAGCCGCCAGCAAGCCGTCGATGTCGGAAAGGCAGACGCGATGAAGCAGGAGACACGCAAGACAGAGATGGACTTCCTCCAGCCTATCGAACGCAAGCAACCGCCACCCAAGTTCGAGCCGACGCCAGAGGAGCAAGCCGCGCTGACCGGGCAACAGCCGAACGCACCTGCAGTCCAGAAGCATAGCTACGAGAGGCCTGCTCAGCGCAACGGCAGGCAGCCCACGGACGCGTCTCGGCGGCTTTCGCCGGTTCAAACTACCGACCAACGTTCGCCCCTCTTTCGCACTGACAGGCATGTCGGCAGCAGAGCGTACCTGGCTCATTCGCAACGCTCGCCAAGTATGAGCACCGTCAATCTGCCGCCCGGCGAAGGGGCTCCTGTCATGGCTCAAGCACCCACAGAAGCAGCGCTGCTCGCGCAAGCAGGGGGTGATCGGGGCGGCGTAGATACCGATGCGGCAGTTGTCAGCCCTACACTCAGTCCTACTGTCAGGGCAGCGCGTACGGCCCGTGAGATCCTTGACGACTTGTCGAACAAGATGCGTGCAGCTGCAGCAGAAGAAGAGCTGATGCATAGAGACGCCACGCCGCCGCCTGTGCCGATGCCGGACAACGATGTAGACGCGAACATTCCTGGCAATCCTCCGTTGGAGAACTTCGGGCGAGGCTCTCCCCGTCAAGCTATGCTAGAGCAGCAGGTGTCAAACCCAGATGTGGCAAAAGAGCTCGGCGACGCTCAGCTGGCGACTGCCATGCAAGAGTGGGGCGCTGAGGATGCTACGGCAGCTGCTGTGCCCTCTGTCCCTTCCCACACGTCTGCGGGTTTGACACCGCCGGAGCCCTCTGCGCCTGCCGCGATCGTCGATGCCTGGTCTACGCCCATTCAGCTGACGGCGCCGAAAGCTGTCCCGAACCAGCTCGGCCATTCGCAGATACCACAGACCTACGAAAAACGCGAAAGCGCGAGCGGCAGTGAGCGCGGCAGCTACAACGGTCGCGCAGACCCAGGCAAGCGCCATGGGTACGACAGACGCGAAGCCGGACGCGAAAGCTATCGTCGACCCGATTCGCGGTCAAGCGTTATTCGAGAATCTGCACCTTCGTCCGTTTCGACAGCGATCTCTGCGGCCGCCGAGACTCGATGGGGTCCGCGGGTGAACGCAGCGGTGCCAAGCGGTCAGCGCAGCAATGAGTATCGCAGCTTCGATGGACGCAGCAATTCGGCGGCAGGCTATCAGCAGCGGAATCCCATACAGGGCAGCTATCACCAGCGAGGCGCTCTTATTGACCAACATAGTAGCACCGCAGAAAGCTCGTCTGCGCCTCATCCAGCCGGCGTGATATCGACTGAAGCCGAAGCCGAATGGTCCGTACCTATAATCTCGGCACCGCAATCCGACGGCCGCGGTGAGCGTGCAAACCAGCGTGACGGTCAATCTGGCCGAGACGCTGCGCCAAGGAGCTACGAGAGGCGTGGGGAGAGCTACAGTAAGGAAGAGCAAGTCGCCAGTCTGCGTAGCTCCGGAACGACCCGAGCACCTGATTCGGTTGCGTCAAGATCGGCTGCTGGCTATGTCGACCGGACAAAGCCATCGCCTTCAGGCGCAAGTGCGGCCAGCTATAGCAGTCGCGAGTCTCGACAATCACGCGAGCACTACGGTATGCGCAATACATCTGATAAGCAGGATATGGGACGCAATCACGCAGAACCGGCGGCATCGCCTGCCGAAAGGGGCGCATGGTCTGCGTCGCGTGTACCGGCTTCACAGGTGCGCAACTTGAACCAAGCGGAGGACGCGCAGAGGCGTCAAAGCTATGGCTCTGCTCGACATGAACAGCAGCCTCGCGTTCACCGCGAACCCGAGGCTGCACCGCCCGCTGATGAAGCTGCAGCTCTCGAGGAATGGTCAGCGCCTGTGAGCGTGCCGTCTCAAAGGAATAACTCCTCAGCAGTCAGCTACAATGGAAGACAGCCAGGCTACGCCCGTGACATTCACAACACCCATCGTAACCCAGGCGATAATATACGTGATGCCTACACCCGAAACAGCTCCCGTGACATTGCTGGTGCTGGGCCATCTATGCGAGGGCCTTCAGATACTGGCTGGGGTCTTAAGTCATCGACCCCAAGATCGGACGAGCCAGCAGCGTATAGTCGACCAAGCGAGCGAGCAGCCGATACTAGCAAAACAGAAGATCGCCACTCCGCTTACGATCGTCCGCGCACTTCGAGAGCACCGTCGCCGTCGCTTTATGATCGAGCGCCGAGCCCAAAGTCCTCTGGTCAACGCAATGATCACGACGTCAGAGGTAGTGCACTTCAAGCAGCGCTGGCAGAGCGGGGAGAGCCGCCTGTCAAAGCTACACCATCTGCTCCGACAACGACCTCTCGCAGGACGGATGAATGGTCTAAAACGCGCGAAGCGCAGCGAGGCTCTCTAGAAAGTTTCAACAGGGCAGTCAACGGCCATAATCAGCGTTCATCCATGCCAGAGCGCGAGAATCGACCAGCTCGCCCAGATACAGCGCCCTCTCATGTCAAGGATGACTGGGCGAATTTCATGAACAGTGGAGCGTCGCGCAATAAGCAAGACCGTCGAGAGACCCGTCAATCGTCGCCAGCGCCTTCGACAGCTCCGTCATCGAATGCGCTTGGTGGTATGCATCCTGCCCGTGCTGCTATGTTGGGCATGACGACTCCGATGCCATCTGCAGCCGGTCGCTACGACAGCCCCCGCAGGAGTGGGTACGCGCCAGCAATGACTCGGCAAGCAGACGACACGCAGGCATCAGCACGGCTAGCTGAGCGTCATGAGACTCAACAGCGATACGATCGCGGTGATAGAGCTAGCGATGCTTCGCAGGCTGCGACACCAGCCGGGATACCTGCCTGGGAGCGACGAAAGCAGCCGAACGAAGGTTCGGCAGCTTGGCCTGCGCCCATCGGTAGCGCGAGTACACGTCCGTACGGATCTTCAATGTCTAGCAACGAAAGACATCAACGATCGCCCGAGCCTGACTTCTCGAACAAGCGCAATCGTCCAGTTCAGACAATGCCGGAAGATGACGTAAAGCTATCACAACCTCAATCGAATGCTGTGCCCGGCATTCATCCAAGTCGGCTGGCATTGCTCAGTACTGGGCAGAGGCCGCAAATCTCCAATAGCACCGGCTGGGAAAGGCCTGGCTGGAATCGTAAGAATTCAGAACCCAATCCGCCGAATGATCAAAAGAATGGCTGGGGCAACCGCAACACATCGGACACAGTGCAAGGCGCGGCTAACAGCGGGCGAGATGACGCAATGCCACCCCCGCAAGGTCCTGTCCGAAACGATCACTCGGGTTGGAGCAGTCCTGTCAAGCCTACTCTTCAGCCTGCAAGCCAAGCCAGTACATCGCAGAACGAGTATGGCTGGAGTCGGCGGCCACCTACGTCTGGTGACCCATCCACCAAGGCCTCATTCTCGCGCCGCGCAGAACCGGTCGGGCTAGCAGAGCAAAGCAGGCCCGTTGCACTCGCCCCGAGCCCCTTGCCTAGCGCTCGGCAACCTATGGAGCAACCGAAGCGGGCTCAGAGTCCCATCGCAGGCGTCTCTGTTGATCAAGCTCGGGATCAACTGAGCGAGCTTGATCCAAAACAACGCGATGGAGTCGGAAATGTAAGGACGGACACCCGTTGGGGTCCGCGCGCACCGAAAATTGCTCAAGGTAAGTCAATTCTTCGTCTGTGAGACCGGGCTAATGAGCTGGCAGATGATACAACAGCTCCCGAGACAAGCTCTTCGGGCTGGAGCGACAGACTAGGACCCGCGCCGGATCGTAAACGACGCGCGAACAGTCCTCGCGATGCACAGTCCGACGATCGGAGCAAGCCGATCGATGCAGAGAAGTGACTGAGTTTACCTCTTGCCTTAGAGAAGCGCTGACAAACGTCTGCAGTCTGAGCAATGCTGCTACCCTGCTGGATCGACTGGGTCCAGCAGGCGCTGCTACAGATCAAGCTCGAAGCAAGAGAAGGCGTGGCAATAATGATCGCGTTCGCTGCACTCCCTAAGTCTCTCCTTCAAGCCCTGACATTTTGGCCTGTTCTCAGAGAAATACTCCGCCGCCGCAGACGAAGCCGCTAGTGCTCAGAGTGCACGGACGCGCTGGCAGATGAGCACAATGCAGCCATTTGCCATTTATGACATGACAACAGGATGTTACCTACATTGAAGTCGTGACAACTTGACAGAGACCGATCGTACCGTGCGCTAACGGATGCTGTTCGAGTGGGTCTGCCTCGCTTTCCTCTGGCTGAACGTGCTCGAGGCGATAGAGGACACCGGTGGCAGGATCTTGCCAGAACTCGGGAGTGAGGACGTGGTCCTCTTCTGGCTGTGCGAACTCGTGTTCTACTGGCTCTGAGGTGCCCACCGAGTCTGTCGAGGTGGTCGCCGAAGCCGGGCTAGTCCGCCTGCGAGATCGTCTGCGCGGTGTGCCGGGCGAGCCGAGAGGGCTGCCCGCTGTCTCATCGATGCGAGCCGAGGAAGCACGGCGAGAGCGACGAGAAGACCGTCTAGTGGGTGTGAGATGGTCTGACTGCGTGTCGCTAGAAGCCGAGGAGGTCGACGCGAGTGTCTGTTGGGCAGCCATGGCTTGCTCGTACGTCAAGATGGGTGGATCATCCTCTTCGGACCCTCTGCTCGGCAAGGTGTGATCATGATCCTCCTCATCTGGCAGCCGTATGGGCTGCTTCCGGCTGAAATAGCTCGTCAACCGGGTGAGCCAAGCAGATTCGAGATCGTTCTGCGGCTTGTAGACACTGCCTACGTGTGAATGGAGCGAGATGGCGTCTTCCTCGGCGGCTGATTGGCCTGTGTAGGCTCTGTAGCTTGCTAGGAGACTCTCGGGCGTCTCCTGGTCGGGTCGTTCCTCACCAGGCTGATGGGCGCTCGAGGCAGCTGCAGCCTCACGTCTCCGTCGCCTGCGTCGGCCACAGCAGCAAACCGATGCTCTGAGAGCGTCCCTGAGCGTCGGTGCGTCCATAGCTGGCAGATGTCTGCCTGGCTGACGAGCTGCTGGCAGTGGGCACCCGTCGACGTTCCGCTCGAGCTTTCGCGCTGACTATCGCAGCCGAGTTTCGCTGTCGAGGTGAGGATGGCGGAGTCGCAGCCGCTGCTGAGTGGCCCGAGCTCGGTGCCAGCTGGTCCGACGTACACGCACTCGCTCTACCCGATCGTCAATGACCCTTTCAGTGCCGAGAACAGACTAGAAGCAAGACGACGGGCTCGGTCGAGGTTCCTCAAGAGCTTGCTCGCCGGTCTGGCTGTCTGGGCAGTCACCGCCGTCATCATATCTGTCTTGAGCTTTGGTGAGAGAGATTGGTGGGACAGAAGGCATCAGAGAGAGAACCTGCCGGACGAGGCGCCCAGTCCGCCGAGAGCAGACGGCCATGCTGTCAAGTGCAACGGCTGGGGCGATGAGCTATCGGATAGCTACCATCTCCCGGACGGCTACTACGCCCGGGTAGCTCGCTTCGAGCTCAGCGTCAAGCCGGACGACCTCATCTTCCTCAAGGGCACGGGTGCATTCTCCAATGGCGCAGTCGACTTTGCGCTCGACGATGATCTGTCGGTCGATCACGTCACAGTCAAGGTGGAAGCGCAGTACAACGACCCGAGATTGCTCAAGCTTGCCAATGTCTGTCAGATGACGAAGCGCTCGTCGGATGAGGACTATGTCCACGGTCGCGAGAGTGGCATCGGGCTCTATACGCCTTTGCTCGACTCTGACTTTCCAGGCGAGCAGCTCTGGTTCAGGGTCCACTATCGGCTCTCTCCCAGGCTGGCCAGTCTTGCCGGGCTCGTCGTTTCTGCTCCAGTCATGCGGATCACAGGCGACCTCCCTACTTTGCTCTTTGACCGCGTAGATCTGCAGTCCAACGATGCCAATATCGACTGGGCCCGTCTCAACGGTCACTCAGTACGACTGCTGAGTAGCAATGGGGCACTCAGAGGTGACTACAACGTCTCGCAGAGCCTCAGCCTGCGCACCACAAACGGCGCAATCGATGTAGCCGTCTCTCTTTTCCCTGTGCGGAAGCTCCACAAAAGGCTGCCCGGGCCGCCACCGACGATAGAGAGCTCCACTGATCTCTCTTCCACCGTCATTGCCACTACAACCAACGGCATGATCGATCTGCGTTACATCGCTCATCCTGTAGGCCAAGAGCTCCACTCACTCGTCTCGTCTACCAATGGCAAAGCCAGCGTGTCCCATCGGCCCACATTCGAGGGCGACTTTGAGCTCTCGACCTCCTGGGGCTCTGCTGTGCTCTCCGGTCCGGACAGTCAGTCTGATCCCTCGGGCGACAAGCGAGAGCGCGTACTCGATGTAAGAAGGCGAGACACCGGCATCTCGAGCAGCATCATCACCGGCTCAGTCTATTGGTCAGATCATGACGCACACAGAGATCGCAATGCGAGGGACAGAGGCGACACGAAAGTGAAGACCTCGCTCGGCGCAGCTTCACTCCATTTCCAATGAGTTCAGGGATGATGTCAAGATTGCACGATTGTACAGACAAGCAACAAAGATGCTTCTGGTCTAATGTGAATGTGTGTGCGTGTGTCTAGTGTTTCACAGTGCTTGTTGCTTTGCTTGTACTGCTCGATTTGCTCGTTGAAATGGGCTTAGGGGTGCTGCTTGTCGTCTTGCTCGAGCTCGTGGCCGCTAGACGAGCGATAGGTGAACTGGCAGCAGCCCCAGCAGGTATCGACCAGAGAGACATCCTCCCGTACGGTCCGCCGCAGTATGTGGTGGCATTTGACGAGCATGCAGCGGTACATCCTCCAGCGATCGGATCAGCGAAAGGTACTGCAGGCGTTGCACTGGTCAATTTCGAATCGCACCAGCACTGGTTGCCACCTTCGAGGCCAAAGTAGGTATAGTTGGTCGATGCTTTCTGGCAAGCTGCGGCGCACAGCTTCGGGGAGGCGAAGGATGTACCGAGGGAGCGCGAGAGAATGCGAGGCGAGACCCGGTCGACGTAGCAGCCTTGGTAGTTGCTGCCTGCGATTGGGGCAGGATCGATGAAGACGCTTTGCTGCCAAGCGGTGTTAACGTATGCCGCTAGGAAACGCGGACCGCCGCCGCCTTCGGTGAGGTTGCCGGATGCCATGGCGTTACAGTTTGCGTACGAAGATGGCGTGGGCGCAAACTGAGTCGTGTTGCCGCCCCAGCAGGCAACGCCGTTCTCGAGCCCACAGTACCTGAGGCCTTGTGCAGCACAAGCGCTGGTACAGCCCTCGACGGTCTGATTGTTACTGCGCGACACTGCTGTCTGCAGCGCATACATGGCTGTTGTTGCGTTTTGCAAGGGCTGACAGCCGACGTAGGACCAATTGCCACTTTGCATGACGGTTCCCGGCGTGCCCATAGGCATCTCGACACCAGGCGGTACGATCAAACCGTTCCAGCTTGTCAAATTCGTGAAGAGCGAGGGCGGTGTGGGGTCAGCAAGGGCAGCTGCGTTGGCAGGCCCGGACGTGATTGGGTTGTTACCCGGCAGGGCAGGTAGAGTGCCCATGACTTGCTCGTTGACGCTCTGACTACGCTGACAGACACCGGCGGCCTGATACGTGGTCGACCAGAAATTGGGTCGCAGTGTGAGCACCTGCTTTTGACAATTGCCGACTTGGCCCGTGCTGTTGGGATCGCAGGTGTCCAGCGCAGCCTGAAGCTTGGGAACATCCCAGCCGCTGGCAGAGATGCTATGTGAGCTCCAGCGACCTTGGAGACAGCAAAAGACTCACTTGAAGAAGTCACCGTGCATGCCGTAGCCGGTTGCGTCTCCATTCGCGAGCACAATGGGTTGATTGGGATTGAGAGCTTGCGAGAATGGATAGTCAACGTGATTCCAGTTTTGCTCGAATTGCAGGAAAGGTAGCCTGACAGGATGCGTGCTCGGACAAGTGCCTTGGATGACCTGACTGGGGTAGGCCATGTGCGATTTGTGGTCTGCGGAATCGAGGTTCTTGCCATCCCAGCATTGAGGGAATCGAAGCATCAGGCGCAGCGCGAGGTTGCACGTCTGCCCAACGGGCAGATTGTAGCCATCGGTCGAGCCGTCAGCATTTTGCGGCGCACTGGAGCCTCTACAACTCCAGGCGACACCTTGCTGTTCTAGCGAGGACGCGTTGAAAGAGCGTAGGGCAGAAGTGCCTGCTAGCATCTTGAAACCTGCTGGAAAGGCTTGTACAGTTTCGTTGCCCACCGGTCGACGCATATAGTACGCAAAGATGCCATCTTGCTGCTTCAGCGCAGTGAATGAGCCGTTTGCCCAAGCAAAATAGGGCATTGGCGTCCAATAGGCGCTGAGATCGTCTACGACTTCGCAGCTCGAGCAAGGTGCCGCACGTAGATCAGCATATGCTGCGGTGGGCGAGATGGTCGCGGCACCGTGGAGTACGTGGGCATGACTAGAGAAAGTGCCGGGCGAGACGATCGGATCGATCCTGTCATGCCCCAGAACATGGCAACCGACGCGAAAGAATGCACGCGCGCTTTGTGCTGATGCCGTCAACAGGATTGCTCCTGTCGGTACCTTCATTGCGTCTTTTGACTTGCTCAAGCACAGACGAGCTGAGCCAGTACTTTATGGCTCGTCGATGTCCCCCTCGAGCCCATTAGCGCTCTAGCGAAATTGTAGCCAAGATTCTCCCTCCGTCGCGCTAGAAACCATGTCGGAGAATGGATTGATGACGTTGCAGCAGTTCCTGAGAGGCAGTATTCGTAGGCAGGCGACAAGATATGCATTCATGACGTGCGCCGGAAACGGAAAAGGAGCGCGATTTTTATCGCGAACAAAGTCAAACAGAGTTTTGTCGGACGACAGTTTGGGCGGACTGCAGCGACAGGCCTCAGCGAATGCTCGTGGCCGCTCGTCACTGTCGCCGGATCAGCGCTGAACATGCACGACAGCTGACGACAGCACCGCAATCGGCAAGTCGACAGTGGCCTTCGCCCCATTGGCTGGGTGTCGGAGCTGTCCTGTCGGGTCTCACGACAATCTGGCTCTATCAGCAGGGCAAGCCGAAGCAGCCCGGATACCTGTCTGCGACCTACTTCCGTCGCCTGACTATCAATGCAGTTGACAAGATCAACGAAGACACGTCTGTCTTTTCGCTTGAGCTGCCCACCGATCATCTCGCGCCCTCGAGTGTGAGACCAGAGGCACTCCAGTCTATCCATGTCATACAGCCCGAACTGCAAATCGAGCGTCCGTTGACCCCGCTCGATCTGGATGCGCTCGACGCACATTCCAGCAACAGACAATTGCGATTGCTCGTCAGACGATATGAAGATGGCGAAATGTCGAAATATCTTCACCGACTCGGTGTAGGATCACAGCTGTTTGTGCGTGGACCTACGGACACCTACTCGCTCGCTCAGCTACCCCAATCGACACGGATCATCTTCGTATGCCTCTCCTTATTTCGACGCGAAAGATTCTGACGGGCACGCAGCTTGTGGCTGGTACGGGCGTCACACCAGCAATTCAAGCGCTTCACGAATATGCGCGCACGCCAGACATTTCGCCACAGATAGATCTGATTTATTGCTCGCGCGATGAAAAGGCTGTCTACCTTCGTGACGAGCTCGAGGAGCTCAAAGCTAAGCTTGGAAAACGGCTGACGATCCGACACCATCTCGTTGCCAGCTCAGGTCGTCTCACGATAAAGCAGCTCAAGAGGATCTGCGGATCACCAAACGCAGCCAAGCCCATCAAGATCCTCGTATGTGGCCCAGAGTCGATGGTCAAAGAGCTCGCAGGCCCGCGGGCGCTGGATCGATCAGACGGGCCTTTAGGTGGTCTCCTGGCACAGGCCGGGTACTCCGCGTTTCAGGTCAAAAAGCTGTAGTCTGGCCAGCCATTGCTCGGCAACCAGACAATGCGGTCGAGTCTGCTCGCTCTTGCGATTGCCGCCGCTAGCTGTCATGCTGCAACACTCTGGGTTATAGGCGATTCGACAGCAGCCCAGGGCGGCCCAGAGATGATGCCCGGCGTGGTAGGTTTCGGCGCCTTTCTGAATGACTACGTGGACATGGAGGTCATGAACTGGTCACTCGGTGGTGGCACAATCAGGACGGTGACAGAGATTGGCATTATCGACAAGATCGCCACACTTGTCAAGCCTCACGATTGGGTTGTCTTCGAGATTGCTCATAATTCACGAGGTAGCCGCACTCTCATGTTGGCAACGCGTGCTCTCCCCCGCTAACAACTCAAGGCTAGGCGATCCGGCAGTCTCACACAAAGCCGACTGTCCTGACGACGGCAGCCACAAGGCTATCTGTCATGCAGCCAATGGGCAGGTCCCAGTCAACGTCCCCAAACATCGCTAACGCTCTGTGATAGCGCTCGTGTCTCAACGTACTATGCTTCGCTTGTGAATGCCATGTCGCTGCTCAAGGGCAAAGGTGCCAAGGTTATCGCTGCTACGCAAACTCCCAACAATCCCTGGGAGACGGGCAGATTCGTCTATGCGCCAGCCTCGCTGTCAGCAGATACGCAGGCTGCAGCTCGAGCTGTCGGCGCCGAATTCATCGATCATGGGGCAACACTCGCAGCATCCTACAAAGCGCTGGGCGCTGCAAAAACGAAGGCGCTGTTTCCGATTGACCACACGCATACCAATGAGGCTGGCGCCCGTGTCGCTGCAGCGGCATTTGCCAAAGCGGTCATCTGCAGCAAGAGTCTGCTGTCGCATGCTGTCAAGGATGTTGCGCTGCCTGCAGAATGTGCATAGGTCTCAAAATGCAAATTGCCGTTCTGAAATTCTGGGAGGGCTGCGATCTGCGCGCAGCCCCGCGCCGAGTCTCCTCCGCATTCTTGAAGCTGGCAGGCAGGCTTAGAATTTAGTCGCCGAGCGAGACTCATATACCCATCAGCACACAGCCGACCACGGTAGGATCTGGACTGACCGTCTGACGAGCTGCGGACCGACGGATCAGCATGGCTCACTTTCTACCTTGCGTGCCAAAGCCTAACCATCTTGTTCTCATAGATGCTTGCTATCCTGCCGGCAAGGCATTGGTATGAGTCACATCTGACATTCCTTTGGGTGTATAGCTGATAGAGGGTCTATGGGCAGGCAAGCAGCGGCCCAGACTATGCGCCTGACAGCAACTCGGTCTCAAAGCTTGTCTACTATTGCTCCATGAAGCCTCACAAGTCCAACAAGGTTGCCAAAGTTCTTCTCACCAGAGCACAAAAGGATGCACTCAATCCGACGCCGACAAAGGGCAAGCCAAATCTTTGCATCACCCTCGCCATCTTGACAAAGCTACTCGACGGCTGCCGTCAACACCTGAGCTACTTTGCAAGGGAAGCCATAGAGATCATCGAGCTCGCAGCAGCCGTCAAACAGCCCGGTCAGCCTGAGTACAGAGACAATGAAGTGGCAGAGAGGGCAGCCAGCGCTGTACGTCCCTGTCTTGTTCCAGTGGGCGCGACTGAGCCAGCCGAACAGTTCCACGCATTTGCTACTTTTGCAGACAGCGCATCCCTCGGCATCGACAATGAAGTCACCCGCCGCTACCTCTATGTTCTCGCTCAATTCGGAACCATCGCCAGAGAGCCTTACGGCAGAGACAAGTCAATGGCTGCAACGTGCGTGGCTTGGTTCATCAGACAGGATTGCACTAATTCGCTCCTACAGCGGACGCCTGATCGGCCTGCACGTCATCGATGGCGCGGTTGTGAGCGATATCATGTACACGTCAGAATTCTCGGATCAGGTCAAGCACATCATGCCCGCCTTGCTCTTCAACGCAGCAGACCCCAACATTTCACTTGACTTCTTGGAGGCAGAGGCTGCAAAGACAGACGCCGAGCTCAACTTCAATGAGCATCACACCATCCGACGCCCTCTCGCCGATCGCAAGCTGCTCAGCATCAGTGTCTCTGGCAAGGGCGAAGATGAAAAGTCAGAGGAAAAGGTCGCGGCTTCTGCTGTCTTTACACTCAGGTCCATCTTCAGACTATCACACAACTCCCAGCTGGGCTTTGCGCTCGACTCCTTTGTCGATTGGGCAGACAGCTTTGACGGCGGTAGAACATGGCAGAGAACAGACTGGCTCTGCTGGCTCGCGCAGAGCATGGTGCAATGGACCCATCTGCAATACCGCTTTGTCATCATCAATACCCTCCTCGAGAAGCTGCTGGCCATGAATGGCGTCCGTAATGGTGTGACCAACAAACAGGTCTCGCTGCTTGCAATGGTCCAAAGCGTCTTGCTTGGACCGACTAGCATGGTCGGCTTGGGCATTGGCGACATCTTGGCCCAGCTGGTCTCACTTATCATCGCACGCGCTCGAGTAGGCCCGAAGGACGCCCTTTTGCCTTACGCAACTTCCACTATTGCCGCCCTAGGCACTCACGTATATTATGCCGATCAATATAACGATCTAGCTCAAGACATCTTCGAGGCCGTCGCAACCATTAGAGAGAGCGAAGATACTGGTGACGAGGGCGCTCTCTCACCTCAACAACGCGACGAGGCGACACGATCAATCATAGAGGCTCTCGCCAAGCTGCTCCAGCAGGGCGCTCGCTCGAGTCGCATGGTGCAGGTCCCCGTGCCCCTCAAGCGACATGAGCAGATCATGGCTGATGCTTCGAACGACAAGCGATCAGAAGCCCAAGAAGCTGCAAAGGCAGCAGGTTCGGAAGACCAGAAGGACGCGACCGGTCGCACTGTGCTCAAGATGCAGGCTACGGTCAATCGCAATCCGATTAGACCAGAGGTCTGGCAGGATGGTCTCGCCGTGATGGGCTCCACAGATCCCACTGTCAGGCTCGCTTTTGGTCATGCCAACCTCGCCTGGATCCGCACGGAGCTCTTCGCAGACACCAAAGGACTCGACACTGGCTCGAGCGACGCATCGGCAAGTCTCGAACGCTTCTTCAATGCGTACAGCGCGCAGGTTTTCGAATTACTTACCTCACGGTCGATTGCTGCCGAGCGCAACGCTTCTGGGCCGAACTCGCGCAAACGACAGGACTCGAGCATCAGAAGATCCCCCTCGCTCCCTCTATTGAGCGATGCCGTTCTTGCGACGCCCGCCGACTTCTCAGTTATCAAGGCACAGATCGAGCACCTCTTTGCACAAAAGTCAATACAATCGCTTCTCGCCGGTGTTCCTATGCTGCTCGCACTTGACGAAGAAGCAGGCACCGCCTGGGCCAGCAACGTGGGGGATGGGGGCAGACTAGGCGAGCCTCAACGTCGGCGTGGATGCCGAGAAATTGCCGCTGCTGGCGTCATTGCAGCTGGCCATGCCTGGCAATCCAGAAGCGTTCTCTCGGCTGCGTCTGAAGCTCAAAAGTATCTTTCGCCTTCAACCCTACCCACGCTACCTTCACTCGACGCTGTATCGGCTCCTCCACCCACGTTCTTGAGACAGGGCGGCGATCAGGCTGAGACTGGTTTTCCGGTTCTCAACCGGAACACGATCATTGATGGCTTTGCAAGCGACAATAGCGTTCAATCTGCCTCTGGACTGTCTGCGACGGTGCTGAGGGAGACACTCAATCAGCGCTGGTCAACAGAGCTTGCTATTCAAAGAGGTACGTCCTCCTGTCTGCCTAGTGTCGAAGCTAACGTTGTCTCAAATAGCCTTTGCAGGTACTTCCGGTCGGCAGATCCGCGAAAATTCCCCGGCACAGTCTATCAAGCTCGTCGCGTCATCGAAAAAGCCTCCGACGGCAAGGTCACCTTCTATTTCTGATATGCGCAACGCTCTCGGCTCCTCAGAGGGCCCTGCTGCCGCACCAACTGTCAGCCGACGTTCGTCTGGCTACGGTTCGCGTCGCATCTCGTCTGTACCGACGGCCGAGCAGCTCAATCGCCTGGGCCTGAACGAAGCACCTGTCACTTCCAATGGTTCGGCAGATACTTCCTCAAAAAGGTTCGCGCTTGGAATTCATTGATGTTGGCCATGCTGATGTCGCGCTGACACCCTCAGATTGTCCCTGCTGACACCACCCTACGCCTGAACACTGTACCAAGTTTATCATTTGGATTTTTTTGGCTCCGATCACACGCGTGGCCATGCAGGACGCGTTGATGTAGCTTTGAGGTTTGCAGCGATTCCATGCGAGGGCGAGATGTTCGACTTGCTTGCATGGATCAGCTGTGATACGTTCGATTAGCGTGCAGCGTTGCTGCAGGTCCGAATCCCCTAAAAAGCGCTTCCCCTTCTGCGAGCACCCGCCATCTTGACCCAGCGTTGCCAGACGATTGATACGTAAGGCACAGATACAAGCGAAGGCAACAGACTCAGGACTCACGGCGATGGTCCTATTCAGCTTGTTTGCTGTCCTTCTCGCGAGCCAGCTCGTAGCCGGGCTCAACGTCGACCTAAAGAACGTTGACGCGGGTCGCTTGGTGACTTCGAAGTACGAGAAAGCAATCGCAAAGGCAGCACGATTAGCCTCGAACAAGCCAGGCTATGACAAGGACCTCATCTCTGCGGACAAGCTGGACGCTAGCGTCTACCAGGCATATCTCGACTACGCGCAAAGGACTGGCATGTTGGGCGTACGCCGAGTGAAAGCCACAGGTTCGCCGCATTTCAACGACCTCGAATTAGTCGCGGTCAACGGCAGTACGAGCTCGGTCAAAGTGCCCGCATCTCCCGGCCTCCTCAAGTCTTGGAAAGCGGCATGGCCAGCATTCTCGACGACACTGAACGAAGTCGTCCCATTCGCACAACAAATCGAGGTCCTCAACGCGTCCAAGAACGTCAAGCTGGCCAGCAAGACCAAGGTGACAGCAGCAAAGGCATCGCCAATCGTCCAGACGAACGCGAACAAGTGCCACGTCCAGTGCCCCTCTGGCTTCGTAAGTCTTGCCGACTGTTCTCTTGCGCTTTGGGCTTAGCATGACGGCAGACGACTGTACTGAATGATAACCGTGGCGCATATTGCACATCGACCTTCACGGGGATCTATCACGGCAGACACTACACGAAGTATCCTATCCAGTGCTTCTACTGGAAAATGAGGCGAGTCTGCTGCTCTGACGATCTTCAGCCGGACTGACATGTCCTCACAGCTATGGTGGGCAGAACACCTATACAATCACCAAGGCAGGCACCGCGAAAGCATACGCCTGCCCCGATGCGACCTGTGTGGTCGGCGGCAAGTCCAACTTTCCCGACTTTCCTTTCGCTGCTGCAAAAACGCCTCAAGCTGTGGCTGCCCAGGTGGCTGCCAGTATCTTCAGCAAGTAGGAAGACGCTTCCATTGGAACATCATATACGCAATTTAGATCATTTCACTTCACGCATCAAGCTCGCTCGTCAAGCCCACGAGCAGATCATGTACTACCCCCATTAGACGACGGGCACAAGGTGTACTACAATGCAATCGAACTAGGAAGTATGCCTGCAGACTCAATTGTCCGTCTCGTTCAGCTCCGAAGCCTTTTTGAGGACATTCTGTATGCGCAAGTCAGCCTGGGCTTCGTTGCAATGCTAGTATGCGCACGTTCTGGCCCTGCTTGATATGCACGGCAGGATCATCTTCGGTGCCCTTCTTCTTTATCTATAGAGATTCATATGAGCTCCAGACCAGCATAATAGCAAGCGAGACTGGCCTCGTTGCCCCGCTTCGACTCTACTGTCGTCGTTTCAGCATTGATGCTTTCCACCTTTCCTGAGGGCTGTCCAGAGCCCCAGTTCCAGCTGACCTTGTCGCCTGAGCCCAAGCATCGATCAGCAAAGGAACCATTGGAGACTGACAACGCGCACCCTTGTCGATGTTCGTGTTCTCGGCCATTACGATTGTAGATCTGTGGATCGTTCGTGCAAAGATGCGCGACTGAATACTGCAGATGACAAGCTTTGTCGCCCTTTACAAGAGAAGGAAGATGCAAGCAGCCTAATGCCGATCTGGGCTGGCTCGAATCTGACATCATCGGCGTGGCACACGTGTCGCGCTCTAAAGTCCCGTGACCTGATGCTTGCCGCCTTTGCCGCCAAGGTAACTCGCACTAATGACGGACGAAGCTAGCTTGTCGAAGCTCAAGGTAGCAGAGCTCAAGGTAGGGCTTGCTCGTTCGCACATGGTAGCGATCTGACCTCAAGGCAGGAGCAACTCAGCGCACTGAGCCTTCCTACCACGGGAGTAAAAGCAGAGCTCGTCGCCCGACTCGCAGCCCATCATGCTGAAGCAAGCAGCAAGAGCGTACCCGCGACCTCCACCGTAGCGTCTGCCAGTCCGGACAAGCCAGAAGCGAAGAAGGAGACCGCCGCCGCGACAGAGCCCGCGTCTGTCGCAACAGAGCCACCCAAACCTGCAGCGTTGAGCGAGGAGGAGAAGCAAGCGAGGATTGATGCAGAGTTGGCAGCGAGAAAAGCACGCGCAGCACGCTTCGGCTTGCCTGAGCCAGAGGCAGACGCTCTCAAGGCGCGCGCTGAGAGGTTTGGTACAGCCAAGGCATCTGCAGACGGCGGCGAAAGCAAGGCGAGACCTGCCTGCCTGGCCATACGCGTCATATCTGACGTCAGATGCACAGAGTGTATCGCAAATCGATGAGGCTCTGGCGGGTGGTCGCAAACGCAAAGCAGGACAGGGCAAGGCCGCGACGAATGGGGAAGCTACCAAGACAGAGGGACCCGCGAAGGATGCCAAAAAGGTGAAGAAGCAAGAGGCAAAGCCAGTCAGCAGCACCACAGAGGCCAAGAAGCCAGCATACGTACCTGACGCGGCGGAGCTGGAGAAGATGAGGAAACGAGCAGAACGATTTGGCACCGTGAGCGTCCAGCTATGGTTGATAGCAGGCTAAAGCTCACAAGTCTCACAGGAAGAAAAGGTAAATGTTTCAGCTTAGTCTTGCTAATTGTCTCGCGCGAAGTGTTGTGCTCTGCAGTGCAATCTGACGTGCTACATGGTGAAGACTGTCTTGCCAACAAGGCGTTTGTCAAACTTTTCGTAATACTCTGGTGCAGCGTCCAGAGGGACCTTGGCCTGGATGAAATTATCCCAAAGCTTAGGGTTCTCCTTGCTGACCTTTCTCAGCAATGCAAGGGCCTCTTCGAACAGCGAAGAGACGGGACATCTGCCAAACTGGAATTTGATGTTCTTGTTGTAGAGCTGGATGCCTTTGAGCGTGATGTCATGAGTATGAAGACCACAGGAAGCGATAACGCCTCCAACGCGGACGAGGTCGATAGCCAGCTGAAGCGCATCAGGAGCGCCCACAAGCTCGAGAACTGCATCCGGTCCTCGGCCGTCAGTCCGCTTCTGGATGATTTCGACAGCCGAAGGGCTCTTTGCGTTGAGATCAATCGGTATTGCTCCATGCTGCTTGGCCAGATCTAGTCGATCTGGCACTGAATCGATGGCAAAGACAGTCTTGAAATTCTGCGTGGCTGCTGTGATCGCGCACAGACCGACGGGGCCGCAGCCAATGACGACGGCCGTCGCACCTTTCCGCTCGGTCTCGTTGAGCATCGTCCATGCATTCTTGCTCGCAAAGAACCCGGTCGGCATGATGTCCGCCATGATGACCAAATGCGAGCTGGGCACATCCGTCGGCGCATGGAAGAGTGTCGATTCACTGTGGGGTACCCTGACATATTCGGCTTGAGCGCCGTCGAGTGCTATGCTGCCGAACAGCTTGGAGTCTTTACATCGACTCGAAAGGCCTCGTTCGCACTGGAAGCATTGTCCGCAGGAGAGCGTGAACGGTGCCACGACACGATCGCCCTCTTTGAACGACTTCACACCTTCGCCGACAGAGTGCACACTACCCACGAATTCGTGGCCCATGGTGAAGTCATACTGTGGCTGAGGGGGATGCCCGCGGTAGACATGCAAATCCGATCCGCAGAGCGCTGTCAGCTCGACTCTGACGACGACATCGCCCTCGCCAGCCTTCGGTATAGCACGCTCCTCGATCACGACCTCATATGGCTTCTTGATCACACATGCGCGCATCATCGTGCTACTTTAAGCACCAACCCCGCGCTCTGGTTATTCCGGCAAGAGAGCACGGTGGCAGCCGGGCTGACGTTTGTTGACAATCTACAACACGCGATATAAAAAGCGAACGGTGCCTTCTTGGAAGTCAGCGCACATTGCACTCGTTGGCTGGGCCTTCGACAAGTCTCACTCTGTCTCGACGTCTTCTGGCAAGACCTCTATCACCTGGTGTGACAGAGTAGAGCATCACTGCATCGTAGCAGCTGCCGGTCAGCCTTGCTCTTTTGCCCGAACACTTGCACCCACACTCGTTCATCTGCATTTGCACACAGTAAGCTCCCATTCTGCCTTCGAGCTTACGTACCTGATGTGTTCGCAACAGATGAAGCAGTTTAGATCCGCTGCCATGGCCTCGATGGCTCTGCTCTGCTTGCTTTCGAGCACCTTTATCGAATCTGCGGAAGCACTGCCTACCCGCGCATCACATTCGCTCATGGCACGACGAGAGCGACTGGCCAAGCGTCATACTCCTTCTGCCTCCCTTCAGAAGCGTGCCAGCTTTGGCGTGCAATCGAACGCAGGCGCTAGCCCCCCTCGCACATGGATGGGCAAAAAGATCGATTCGCCTGCGTCTGTCGTCGTCAATGCTGAGCCTGTGTCTGCCGACGTCGGCAGTGCATATACCGATTATGCGTCCGACTCGACCTTGGTGAAGCGCGCTGAGCCGCTTGCTGAGGTCTCTGCAGCATCTGCCTCATCTGCCATGCCTACTCCCACTCTTGCCTTTGGCAATTTTTCGTAAGTTCTGAAGGGCATCACAGGCGCACTATCTGACCTCTGACGCCAGCATTACCAACGTCTCTTCTCTACCCACTTTGACAGTCACTGAGATCCTTGTGCCTACCATGGTTTCGACGCAAGTCCCTGTCGGTGATAAAAACGTCACTGAAGAGTCGATTGCCTATGTGCCTCAAGCGCAAAACGCAACGAGCTCCGAGAAGATTGCTTCTGGCGTGTTTCCCGGCTCGAATGGCGGTGTCAAGCTGATTAGTGGCACACTCTCGATTGCTTCATCTTCATCTGCCGCTCGTCCGACCGTCACTGTCAATGTCGTCGTCACCGCCACCCAGGACTCTGCCGTCACGGATAGCGTCACGTCGACAAAGACGAAGGAGGCCGTCGATGCCACGAGCACGAAGCTTTCTTCCACTGGTATCATCAAGGTCGCACCGACCAGCATCACTTTTAGCTCTTCTGCGCCTGCAACGTCCAGCAAACCCGAAAGCAGCGCCAGCGAAACCAAGACGAGCGCCAGCGAGACGGTGACCACCGATAGCGAGACCAAGACGAGCGCAACCGAGGGCAAGACGAGCGCTACTGGATCTAAGACCAGCGCAAGCGCCAGCGAGACCGCCAAGAGTGCAACGGAGTCTTCCAAGACTACCTCATCAACGCATATGACATCTGCTTCGGTCACAGCGTCGTTAGAGACGAGCAAGGCGATGTCTGAGACTGCTAAGACTTCGTCGAGTGCCTCCTCCACCGCGCGACCCTCATCTTCCGTCAAATCTGAGCCGCCCTCGTCGAGTATGTCCAAGACTTCATCGACCGATAAGCCAACGTCAACGAGCAAGCCATCAGAGACGGCTTCGTCAATGTCGAGCGCTTCGTCATCCTCAATGAGCAGCATGCCCTCTGCTACTGGCTCCATGTCCAGCTCAATGACGAGCGCGTCGAGCACGATGTCAAGCTCTGCGTCGTCCAGCTCGAGCGTCACGACATCTGCTTTGCCCAGCTCTTCAGTGATCTCTACATCGTCCGCAGCTCCGACTTCCACGACCGTCTCTTCCTCGGCTGAACCTACTTCGACTGACTCGTCAGCCTCGAGCGCCGTAACAGACGCACCCACGTCTACTGCATCGACGCCGTCGACGACCAGCAGCGCTGCTACAGACTGCAGCTGCACCAGCGCATCTGCTGAGCCATCGATGGGCCTGCGAAGACGGGGTGTTCCCTTGCGTATGGAAGCTCGAGCCGTTTGCGATTGCTCCACATCAGCAGCCTCATCAGATGCGGCATCGCCAACGCCGACCGTATTCTGATCTGCTCGTAGTGAGCATTGCTAACGACTTTGACGACATTAGGGCAAGCGGGCTTATAGGGAAGAGAGACCGAGAGATCTGTAAGGATAGCAGCTGTAATTTAATCTCAATGCATTCTTCTACTTGACTCGCTTCACCATGGCGTCGAACTTTTGACCGACGGGGAACCCTGTAGTCAGATCGTGAGCACGAAATGCATCGCATATGAGTCTGCATGTCCGCCTTACCAAAGATGAGCACGGCAGCACACCACTTGCGCGTGTCTGCTGTGCTGACGCCAGCTCTTGAGCATTTGACGAACATCAGTATCGCCTCGAAAACGTCTGCGCTAGCATGAGCAAGCGCAACTTGTCAGCATGCACAGACTGACGGGCAAGATTGAGCAGGAGAAAGATGCCGACGACGGTGGACTGGCCGCCAATTGCCTCTTTGATGTTGCCGAGCGTCGTGCCTGGCTGTGCCAGGTAGAGACCGGCTAGCGCCAGAGCTCCCGGTACGAAGACCGTCAGTGCTGGCCCCGCTGGAAACGAGAAGGGCACATGTTGCTTCGCCATGACCCTTTCGGATGATGATGGGGCCCGCTGCCGTCACCGGCAATCTCGAAATGACGCGTCAGATCGTCAGAGTCAAACTCGGTGAAGGCCTGCCGACTATCACGATACCGCGGCGACGTGTCGGACTGTTCCGCCAGAGTCAGGTCCGTCTCACGAGCTTGGGGGGCGAGGATGGCGGTCCAGTCGAAGCTGGCGATATCGCCCAAGGCGCTATGGACGGACTTTGCCGCCTTCTACGTGCGACATCGGCAAGCAGCCCAGCATGTCATGACCACCGGCTTCGCTGTCTGGGTCATCGGCGGCGCAGCTTATCAGATGAACCCAAAGAAGAAGTCGCCGGCTGCTAAGAAGAAGGCTGCTAGCCAGCAGAGCTTGACGACGACCGAGAAAGAAGCGCAGGACGCTGCTGCCACGGGCGCCGCGTCTGGTCCGAAAGGAAAGCGAGGTCGCAGGCGGAAAGGGCCGCGTGTGGAGGTTCGTCGGAGGCAGGCAAGCACGAGCAGGATAAGTCGCTCACCCCCAGCGTGCTTGACAGGTTGACGCGGTCTTCTTTGAGCGACTGAAGCGCATACTGGCAATCGTGATACCGTCATTGAAGTCGAAGGAAGCGACTCTGCTGCTCCTCCACTCCTGCTTTCTCGTCTTCCGGACGCTCCTATCTCTCTATGTAGCCGATCTGGATGGTCGTATCGTGTCCGCACTCGTGCGAGGTCAAGGCCGCCAATTCGTCTATCAGATCATCGTCTGGATGACGGTCGCCATACCCGCCACTTACACCAACTCGATGCTCACCTACATGCAGTCAAAGCTTGCTATCGCTTATAGAACCCGTCTCACAGCTTACGTGCACGAACAATACCTCACCGACACCACTTTCTACGCGCTCGGTAATCTCGATGACAGAATCAAGAACGCCGACCAACTCATCACCGTTGACATCAACAAGTTCTCGCACTCGCTTGCAGAGATCTACTCCAACCTCGCAAAGCCACTGCTCGATGTCGTCATCTATAATTTCCAGCTCTCGCGCAACGTCGGTGCCGAAGGCTTGCTCGCCATGACTATCATCGTACAAGGCAGTGCGAGCCTGCTGCGATGGCTCACACCGCCTTTCGGGCGGTATGCCGCCGAAGAGCAGAGACTAGAGGGCGAGTTCAGATTCGCACACTCGCGACTGATCGAGAATGCCGAAGAGGGTGCGTCCGGTATGCTGGACAAGTGAGCCACACTGATCGCCACGGTACAGTCGCGCTATACAATGGCCATGAGATTGAGAAGATGGTCATCGAACGCAACTACTTTGGTCTCATCAAACACGTCAATAAGATCTTCAGATTGCGGCTATGGCACAGTATGGTCGAGGACGGCATTATTAAATGGGTCTGGGGCAGTCTGGGCGTAAGTGACCGCATGCTTGTGTCAGAGAGAGACGCTGATTGGCTCTGGTCAGCTATGCATCTGCGCCATCCCGGTCTTCTTCAAGATTCCAGGCGTCAAAGCCGGTGACTTCGGCAGCCGGACTGAAGGCTTTGTTACCAACAGGCGATTATTGCTGTCATCATCTGACGCATTCGGCCGAGTCATGTACTCTTACAAGGAGTTGGCCGAGCTTGCTGGTTACACATTACGTGTCTCCGAACTTCTCGACACGATGGAAGCGGTCAAGAGCGGGCGATTCGACAAGAAGCTCGTTAGCAGCGCAGGCACCGAAGAAAACCAGAAGGGTATGCATTCTATCGCTTGCTGAATCATTCGTCTGAAATCGATCGGCAGTCCTCTCGAATCGCGGCAAGATCGTGCCATCTGAAGACGGCAGCATCATCTTTGACAAAGTACCGATCGTCTCGCCAAACGGCGACATTTTGCTCAAGAGCTTGAGCTTCTGGGTCAAACCTGGCGTAAGTCGTCGTATTGGAAGCAGGTGTGCTAGCCTGACAGCCCCACAGAATCATCTGCTCATTGTCGGGCCCAACGGGTGTGGCAAGTCGTCGCTCTTCCGGATATTAGGCGGCCTCTGGCCAGTCTATGGCGGCACAGTAACCAAGCCACCTGCGTCAGACTTCACCTATATCCCCCAGAGGCCGTATCTCTCGCTTGGCACTCTTCGCGATCAGATCATCTACCCCAAGACGCGAGCAGAAATGATAGAGCGCGGCGTAACCGATGCGGACCTGATGCGCATTCTCGACGTTGTTCAGATCGGACATATTGTCGAACGCGAGGGAGGCTGGGATGCTCAGCGCGAATGGAGAGACGCTCTATCAGGCGGCGATAAGCAACGGCTGGCTATGGCCCGACTGTACTACCACTGCCCGAAGGTAATGCCTTCGCACTCCCTTCTCTTCTGCGCTGATGACAGAGATGCAGTACGCTATCCTTGACGAATGCACGAGCGCGGTCACACTAGAGATTGAGAAGATCATGTACGAGCACGCTACAGGTCAGTCGTCTTCATCTCAGCAGCGACGCGGGCATTAATATCCTGAACAGAGTTGGGCATCACGCTCATGACGGTATCTCACCGACCCTCGCTGTGGAAATATCACAAGTATATTCTGCAATATGACGGACAAGGCGGCTATGCGTTTACGGAACTCGACGCAGAGAAGCGACTTGCGCTCCAAGAAGAGGTATGCTCTGACTTTGCTTCACACTGACAGTATGCTCACATGACTCGCTAGAAACAATCTCTAGAGCACAAGCTGCTAGAACAGCCCAAGCTCGAAGCACGCTTGGTCGAGTTGCGTGGAGCTATGGCTTAGCTGTTCCTTATGTCTGTATGCAAACGTGTCGTGCCAATCGTCGATGGGATCCGCGATCAGCCCGATGCCACGCGGCAAAAGTTCGGCCAGCGTCGTCACAAATTCGCGAGGTCGAACCGATCGAAAACTGGTGGAGAGTGACTGTCCATCGCATCCTTATACCCCACAGAGCAGTCGCACACGCAAGTTTGCAATCGGGACATTCAGTAGAGCAGTGATCACCCTCAGCAGATCAGCCAAGATGACAGGACGGAGCATCGCCATCGCTCTCCTGCGTTGCGATCTCAGAATCCATGACAATGCCATCTTTCATGCCACTCACTATGGCCCCACGGCGTCCAACATCACACACGTACTGCCCCTCTATGTCTTCGACGAACGCCAAATCGAACTGTCAGGTCTGCCAGATTACAAACGCAAGGGTCCGCCGGCAAAGACTCGTGTCTGTGGATTCTGGCGCAGCGGCGCATTCAAGGCAAAGTGAGCTCGATCTACGACTCCGATGCTCAGGCGCTTACTACTGAGCTTGCGTAGATTCTTGACGGAAGCTGTCTTTGACGTCCAGAAACGGCTGAGATCTGCTGGATCGGATCTTGCCATCCGATTTGGAGTGCCAGAGGATGCGACGATCAGCTTCATCAAAGCGTTGCAGAAGAACGGTGACACGGTAGAGGGCATCTACCTACAGAGAGAGGTATGTTCGTACATGGTCGTGTGATCTGTGACTCATGTGCGGTAAAGCTCTGTGTCGAAGAGATAGCCTCAGAGAATCGGCTAATGAAGGGTGCTAGCGCGCTGGGCGTCAAGGTGCATATGTACGATACCAAAGCGCTCAGTAAGTGGTCGTGTAGCCACCGCAACCTATGCTGATGTCGTCCGTTCGCAGTTCATCCAGATGACCTGCCATTCAAGGTCGACAAGACACCCGATGTCTTCACACCCTTCAGGAAGCGTGTCGAGGGGCTGAATGACAAGATGTCTCGCCCAATTCTCAAGACGCCGAATCACTTCAAACCATACCCCGAGCCTTTGCCCGACTCAGACGCGTACGGCAGTCAGTTGACAGATCGGAAGCGCGAAGAGGTGCTAGCGTACATCCTCAAGCCGTTGAGTGGTACAGAACAGCATCAGAACATCATGGCGCAAAAGAAGGATCCTTCCCTCATCAAGTCTGCATTTCCCTACGAAGGTGGCGAGACAGCTGCTTTGGAGCGCCTAGATTACTACTTTTTCCAAGGAGCACCACCACCTGCTGCACGCTACAAGCAGACGCGTAACCAACTGCTGGGACACTCATACAGCACAAAGCTGTCGCCATTCTTGTGTATTGGCAGCATATCGCCTCGACTGGTCATGAAGGCAGTAGACGATCACGAGGCGAAATTTGAACTTACCCAGGACACGTATTGGGTCAGGTTTGAGCTACTGTGGCGCGACTACTTCCTTTACATCTCTAGGAAGTACGGTGTCAACCTCTTCCTGCTCGAAGGTTTCGAAGGCGTCACCGATCCTAAAAAGGCGGCCAACAAAGTCGACGACTGGAATGATTGGACCGAAGAGGAAGCCTCGCACGGAAAGCTGTCACGATGGCTCAAGGGAACGACTGGCGTGCCTTTCATCGACGCCAACATGATCGAGCTGGTCGAGTCCGGCTTCATGTCCAACCGCGGTCGTCAAAACGTCGCAAGCTTCCTCACCAAAGATCTTTACTATGATTGGCGTATCGGGGCAGAGTACTTTGAGTCGCATCTGGTTGATTACGAGCCCTGGTATGTCACACTGATGAATACGTCGTCTCGTGCATGCTGATCCCAAGTTACAGCGCGAATTATGGCAATTGGCAATACGTCGCGGGTGTGGGCAACGATCCTCGCGCATCTCGTCAATTCAATGTGCGCCGCTGTCTCTGTGCTTCTGACCATGATCTGACGCGCGGCCGCAGCCTATCAAGCAAAGCAAAGACTACGACGCGCATGGCAGGTACATCAAGCACTGGCTGCCAGCCCTGTCCAAGCTATCGGCATCCAGTGTGCATACGCCCTGGCTGCTCAGCGACGACGAGCGAAAGCAATTCGATCTGACGGAAAAGCTTTACCCCTCTCGCCCAGTCTTAGAGCAACAGAGCTGGAAGTCGCATTATGACCGCCGCGAAGGCCAGCGCAGCAAATCTCGCGGTAATCCCAATGAAAAAATTAGGGGCAAGCAGTCCTCAAATCGTGGCCATAGCAGGCCTCAGCAGCAACGAGGTGTACGGACGAGCCCAGATCATTCTTCGTCCTAAATATCTCATGATGTTCACGTATTTGCATGCTGTTGCCACCACACAGAGTCTACGCCATCGCAATCCAGCATTGAATGACAGACAACATCGATGCATACAGATATTTGACCGAAACATCAATGAGAGCCGAGTACGCGATTGCTTCTGTCAAGCTCCAGATGCTGCGTCAGTGCACTCGCCAGAATGATTTCGGGTGCATAAATTGGCGTCTTCGGCTGCGTCTTAGTATATGGCCGCCAGAGCGCGGCATCTTGCTCGCTACTGATGATGATTTTGCTGTCATCCTTGCCCATCAGACGAAGCGCAGGCAGGGCCTTTGAAATTTCGCCGCCACCAGCGCGCACAACTGACTTGAGCAGGTCGTACGATGGGCCTAGATTGGCCGTGCAATGGAAAGTCTTGCCAGAGAAGACTTTTGTCTTGCGCGCTGAGGTGAGTGAGCGTTCGAGTCTCATGCCCCATTTCTTCTCGCCTTCCGAGTCATCGAGCAGATAGCTCTGCTCATCCAGCCAGAAGCCGGCTGCAAGGCTGTCCACGATCCATGCCTCCTGCACGAATATACGTCCAAGACAGACTCCAGCCATAAAGTTCTCGGTCCGAGTGATCCCGCCCGCAACGATGTGAGTGGCATCCTGCGCAATCTTGGTTGTCTTTGCGCCCAATGCAGTCATTTTCTGCGCTCTTTGTCAGTTCTACGAGAAGGATCCCAAGTCGCACACACTTTCGCTATGCTGTCGGATAGGCGCACACCTGTCGTAAGAATCTTAGGATGCAGATTCGCCGCCCGCTTCTTCGTCTGATCGCTGTGGCGCGGAGTTAGCGCGCAGTATGCCAACGAGAGACGACAGACGCACTCGGCTTGCGGAGACGCGCGCGACTCCGGTGAAGGCTCATTGAGACTGATGTTCTGCAGCGGCATCTGTCTTCGAGGCTTCTTTGCAGATCTGGCAGGTGCAGGCTGCTCGGGGAATTGATCGGCACCTATCATTGAGCTCTTGCGTCCCTTCTTAGTGCGAAGCTCGGTGGCAAATTTATTGGCATCCGGCATGATCTCATGTAGTCTTTGTGTAGCCGCTCTCGCTGCGCCACGTTTCTGATTGGCAGGCAAAATAGCTTCCGGTGCGATGTCTGCTCGAGAATGTGAAACACTGCTTTCCGAATCTGTCGAGGCTGATCTTGTGCGTGATCGCTTGCTCGAAGGGGGCGTTGCTCTTCTTGCTAGCGCCTGTTCAGTCGTGTCTTCTTTGGCATGCGATGCGTTCATCTTTGGAGTCAGATCTTCCTCAGTAATCGTCTGTTGGGTGACAGCGCGCCCCGGTCCCGGCGGCGTGACAGCTGCCTTGCTGGGACGCGCGCCGTCAACGAGTTCCTCCACAAGGATTGGCTGGCCTTCGTGCGCGGTTGACATGATCTCGTCGGAGACTGCCGAAGATTCTCGTCTTCGCACCACACTGTCTTCCTGAACGAAGGGCTGCGCAAAAGGCGAGCTGGAGGGCACGAGTATATCTGCAAGCGCTGCCTCGCTCGCTTCTCTGTCGGCGATTGCTGCTGGACATCGACTCCAGTTGACGAGATGTTCGTGAGACAAGGTGGCTTTTCCAATGGCATGAGCGTGCTGAATGTCTGGCGTTACTTCTGTATAACGAGGTTCGCTCGTACTCTGCAGCTGCCACCGAGCAAATGAATCGTGAAGCCAGAGATGGTTTAGAATCGGCCGATGCGTCCTGCGAGCGGCTTCGACTTTCCGCCCTTCGTGGCTGCTATAGAGTCAGCGTCGTTGATCCAGAAACGAAGGAAGCATACTTTGCAGCAATGACATGTGTTGTTTGGGGCGACATGCCACCGGCGTACTGGCCACCCATTGCTTCGATCAAGCTACGCAGAGCGTCGCGAGGTCCTCCGACGTAGGCCGATATTGTAAAGAGCTGAGGAGAGGTTAGTAGGCGTTATATTAGAGCACGTTCATCTGCTTACGAAAGCGTCCATGCCCGGCATCGGGAAGGGCGATCTCGGATAGTCGAACATGTCCGTCAAAGGGTCGCAGTCCTGCCCGTTCAGCGCTTTCAACAACCATTGAAAGCTACCAATCTTCTTTCGCGCTTCGAAAGCCTGTGCTCGCTCATCAGAGCTGCATACAGTGTCTCGTCCAATCGCCTACCGTCCAGTATTCCCATCCGGCACGCTCCTCGCAGACAAGAATCTCGCAATCGGATAGGGCGCTTTGCTTACTCGCGAGACTGGCGCCTTCGGAGCCGTCATAAAGGCGAGCGCCCGCTTGCTTCGCCTTGATCTCAAGCACATCTTTCTGGTTGGAGCGCATGCTATCCTGAATGAGCAGATAGATAGTTTGGCCTCTCAGCGAGGATTTGGCAATGGGCGAGCTAGAGGGCTGCATCGTATGCGTGATCAACTGGCGTGCCGGCGTAAGGGGCGCGCCGAGCGGTGCGCTCGAGTCTATTACCGCGTCGCTGGTCGCAGCGGCTGCAGGACCATCGCTCGATGCGCAACGCGGCGTACAGAGCGCATCTGGCTTCGGCCACAAGTACGCAGTCTCGGGTAGCGCTTCTCTGGTTTTGAAGCAGTCATCAAACCTGCCCGAGCCCATCAGCGGTGTCCTAACTTCTCAGCTGCTGACCGACCAATGAGGCAAAACGACTTTTAGTCTGCCACTCGGGTAGATTCCATGCTCACTAGCAGCCCGGTAAAGCTCCTGTACAAAGACCATCAGCACATGTGGAGTGCGCCAGAGGGCGACTGACCGTATCATCCGTAAGGCAGCATGCGTGAGTCACTTCTGCGGTAAATTTGGGCCGCCACTGTCCTCCGTTGGTAGTGATCATGGATCTGAGCATCTCGCTGTCTGTAGCAGCCAGCTAATGCGCGCGCCTCAGGTTTTGCCGCAATGCGAGCTGATTGAGCACTCACATTGTCGTCTATGCACGCAAACACGCCAGAGAAGATGGCGGTCTTGTCTAGCGAGAACGTCGCGGTATCGTATGGCATCATCATTTCCCAGCATTTCTTGACCCAGGCTACCTGTACATTACGCGAGGAAATGAATACCTCCCTGCATGCTCGCGCACGCGCACACGCACCGACACTACATGCACTGGTCGAGCATGATGGATTTCGATGACATCCTTCCCTTCTTGTAGTGATCTTGGTAATACGCCGCGGCGGTTTGCGAGCAGTTTGAACTCTGGAAAGTCTTGTGTCGCGCTGATGACATGAGTGACTTGCTCGAGGTCGAAACGAGCCTCAATCGGAGTATCATTGACATAGGTAGAATCGTAATGCCCGCATGGCAAGGCAGACATGGCGCGCAAATGGGAGCCCAGCTGGGCCTCCTCGTCAACGAGCTAAGGGGCGCATGATGAGGTTAGCCGTACCTCATGCCTGGCATTATCGGGGATTGATGTGTCGATGAAGAACGATACGCCCCTCAGCAGCTCCGATCGACGCTGCTCGTTCGTGATGATGACCATCCCGAGGCCCCGGAGAGTCTGCGAAGATGCGCGAAATCGCGCGGAACGCGAGTCAAAGTTGTTCATCACGTGAAGAGCGACGATGACGATGATTCGGATGCTGGGCGTGCGAGTGAGTCTCCTGGCTTCATGACGCTCATCGCTGACATAGCTGTCTGCAGACACCTGTGCGAGTGCTGACACAGAGTCTGGCACAGAGGTGTCACTCCTCAGGCCCGAAAGGCTCGCCTCACGCCTCTACAAGCGGAGGTAGTGCGCCCTTGAGCGAGTCTACGCAAGCGCCCGGTCAAGCACCGGCAGTCGATGAGCTACCGAATACAGCCAATGAAATTGAGGCACCAGCGCAGCCAGGGCCAGGCGGTATTCCGCCGCGAGCGACGCCGATCCATTTTCAAAAAGACGCCAAGCAGACCGGCGAGCAAGGCATACCAGAGGGAGCAGACAAAGATGCATCATAATGTCTACATGAAGAAATGACGTCGGTTGACTTGCATGTCTGGCTTCCACTCCCATTCCAGCTCGGCAGAATCTGTACCATTTTGCATGCCGAAACCTTCAAGTACGCTTGCGCCTTTTTTGAGCTTGCGAGCGCCAGGCAGTGCCGGCTTAGGCTTGAGCTGAGGTATACGGATCCGACCTTGGCTGTTGTGCGTGCGCGGCTTGCCATGGTTGTTTCGCTTCTTCGGTGTGGGATTGTCCATTGACTCTATCCGATCACCGTCATCATCCTTTGCAGGCTGATCTGGCGGCGCTGGCAGGCCCGCTTCTTCAGCTGCATCGCGTTCGTCCTGATCGCCGTTCTCTTCGCCCTCTGTCTGAGTCTTGCCGCCTTCTACCTGTCTCAGCATATCGGCTTCGATGTGCTCGGTCTGGTGGCTAGATCCGCCTCTGGCTCGACCTCCACGCTTTCGACCATGCTCCAGGGTGCCTCGCTTGATCCAGCGCAGCTTGAGCGTAAATCTTGGCCCGATTTCTTGTAGCTTCGTCCGTATATCCTTGTCCATCCCACGCTTCTCTGCTAACTCGGTGCTTATCTTGCCCTCTGAACGAACCGCAAATGCGTAGCGGAAGCGTCTGAAGAAGACGAAGTCGCGTTGGTTGTGAATTGCGACGACCTGTCGCCCTTGAATGTCGGGCATAGGTGGAAAGAGACCTTGAAACAGACGCCCTACACTCAAACCGATGGGTGTCGAGAAGTTGGATAACACAAGCTCTGGTGCATGTGCTGTCGGCCTTGCGTGATCGCGTATCTGCTTACAGCCTAGTATGGATGTCAGACGGAAATGCGCTGTTGGGCCTAAAGGTAGGCGTGTCATCGTCAAAGAACCTGTCCAAGCACTTCAGCGCTGACGTCTATAGCGACACAATAGCCTCACTCGGATGCTTGTGGTCCTCGCCGACGACAATGAGAGCGCTGTAGCCGCGCTTTGCAGCCCACTTGCACACTTTGCTCAGTTCATGGCGCGGCGACTTTCTAGGGATGATTTCCGCCAACATTGGGCCTCCAAAGAGTCCCTGTAGCTCCTTCAAAAAATCATACGTCGCTGGTGTGGGGCGAGGCGCAGTGGTGAGCAAGATGCGCCCAGTCATACCAGCTTGCTCGTCCTCGTCGTCCATTTCGGCGCCATCAAGGTCAATATTGCGTTCCGAGGAGGGGCCTGCGACCGGCTGCTGCTTTGGATGCTTGATCGGCTCCGGAAAGAGATCTTCCAACCCTGCCAAGTCGATGACCATGCCATTCATGCCATCGTCAAGATTGAGCTCCTGTGCGCCCTCATGAGCTGCCTTGAGCTTGACAGGCTGCGTGCGTGGATCATCCGTGCCGTCCTGCTCCCCCATCCATTGTCGAGTATTCTCAATGGTTATGGGTACATTGCGAGCCACTCTCTCTTCCCTCAAGCTGGGATCTTCTTTCTCAGCTTTCTTTTGCGCTAGCCTGCGTTTGAGCTTTTCCTGCGACTTTTGCTTCTTCTCGATAGCATAGGTGCTCGTTCGGCGATGCCTGGAGAGCCTCTCCTTCTTGTCTGTCTCGACCATGTCGTGCGCAAGCCGAAGCAGAAAGCAGGCAACGTCGTGGCCGCAAAACGAAGCTGCAGAGAATGAGCGAATCAGTCAAAAGTATTCGTCGAGGGGTGTCTAGCCACGTCATCGTCATAGCAAACCTGATCTGATTAGACTCGATCAGCCCTGACGGCGCCACGCCGGTAGAGAGGCGTCGATCGGGCACGAGCTATATTTAATTGACAGAGCGCGGATATCACTGATTTCGCGTGCGGAAGGCCACGAGGTCCAGACCCGCAGTGCAGCCCAGCAGCTCCCCGACTCTTGCATCATATGATGCGGATTCCTTATAACGGCGAGCCCACGGTCTCTCGCTAGTAGCTCTATTCGCAAAGAAGCCGCATCGTCTCACAAACACACAAAGCACAGCAGACATCATGGTCAGTCAGACTCGCTTTGTCGGCAGCGTCGAGCAGCGTCTGCCGCCAGAATGTCTCCGCGTACTTGTGATGTATGCTGACCTCTTGGGCGAGGTAGAGCAACCTCTTCAACAAGGCAAAGGAGTTCGCCAGCTCGAACGAAGGTCAGAACCTCAAGCAGAAGTTCGGCGGCGGCGGCAATTCGAACCAGCAAGGTCAGTGTCCATTGTCTGTTACCTTTCCCCCACGTGCGGTGCTGACTTCAACATACCATCCCACAGGTCAGGGTGGCAGTCAGTTTACTCGGTAGCTTCGCAAAGCCTCTGCTGATGATGCCTGATTCAGACTCGGACTCGTATGATCAGAATTCAAGCTCGGGCGGTCAGGATGACAGCTACGGCCAGTCGCAGGGCGGTCGAGGCCAACAGGGCGGCTATGGAGGCGGTCAATCCGACAGCTACGGCCAGTCCGGCGGCCAGTCTGGTGGTGATAGCTACGGCCAGTCTGGCGGTCAGTCAGGAGGCGACAGCTTCGGCCAAGGCGGTCAGTCGGGTGGTTATGGCCAGCAGTCCGGCGGCGACAGCTACGGTCAACAATCTGGCGGTGACGGCTACGGCCAACAGTCTGGCGGCGACAGCTACGGTCAACAATCTGGCGGTGACAGCTACGGCCAACAGTCTGGCGGCGATAGCTTCGGCCAGCAACAGTCCGGTGGTGACAGCTTCGGCCAGAGCGGCGGTCGCGGTAGCGGCGGTCAACAAGACTCGTACGGCCAAGCCTCTGGCGGTGACAACTACGATCAGTCATCTGGCGGGGCAAGCTACGGCCAGTCCGGCGGTGACGACTCGTCGTACGGCCAGCAATCAAGCAACCAGGACAGTTACTAGTTGCTCTGCATGACAAGAAAAGAAGCACAACGAAGGGGGTTAAAGTCACTATGATTTCATTCAATAGCACACACGACAGACAATGAAGGCTACTCACACACTCATTGGTACCTGTCGCGATGTTGGCGCGCTGAGGAGAAAGGAGTTAAATAATTTGCCATGACCTCTTCGATATGTATTAGAGGACAGCCCTCGTGGTACATACTTTTATCACGCCTCAGATCATGATTCTGAAGCGTAGGCTGCTGCTGCTTGGTTGAAGCCTGTATCAAGGGGAGTGACGGTGGCATTCTGAACGGCAGAGACGATGCAGGCAGATAAGTTATCGACTGCGGTATGCAGGTTGGTGATATCAGTCTTTGCGATTGAGCCGAGCTTGAACGAGTCGAATTGCGACTTCTTGTTGATCAAACTCGTCAGTGCAGCCAATGTGGGAGGCGTGAGGTTGTTGACGACCGTCTGGATGACGGAGATGCCGTTTGCGGCAGTGAAGCCAGTGGTCGTGTTACAAAGCGAAGTGCCATTGTTGATCTAGACGGCCAATTCAGTGACATGGTCTAGTAGCTCACAGTGGAGACATACATCTTTGATCGTGGTCAAAGCTAGCGAGTGAATGGCATAGGCCGACGAGTAAGTCAAATTGGCGACGGCCAGCGAAGTGTTGAGCTTGTTCGCGTCCGTAGTGACGACAGTAAGCTGGTTCATGAGCTGCGCAGGCGTCGTAGCAAGAGCGGACGAGGCGGCGGCCAGTGCGAGGCAGAGTGTGAAGCGCATCTTGCTGATGATAGTGGTCTTGAGAGGGTTGCTAAGTAGTGCTAGTGTGTCTTGTGCGAGCGAGTCGAGTGGATGAGGAAGATGGAGGAAGCATGGCTCTTATACCTGTGATGAGACGCTTGGACTCATGGGGTATGCGAGGATGATGTGTCCACGAAGTGCTGCCGGCAAATGCCAAAGTGGGCGATTGAATGGTATGATCGGAAAAGAATCGCGGAGGCCTTTGTGCAGGCGTTTGTACGATCTGCAACCGTTGCGCATACGGTCAGGGTACAGTCTGGACAATGTCGAAGCATAGCCTCGAGAGTGAGGTCGGTGCACGAAAACTTTGACTGCGGAGGTCCGGGGTAGATGCTTTGTTCGCGATGGGAGAGTGACGATCGGGCAAGGATGGAGTGAGATGCCGGTGTTTGAGCATCACTACATCCATGTCTTGCGCGACAAGTCGAGCGAGGAGGAAGTGCACAAGCTGTATGCACTCCTGGACCAGAATGGAGCGGTTTCGGTGGACGAGATCGAAACGAGCGAGATTGTCTTGACCAAGTTGAGGAGTCAGCCCCGACTCGAGCGTTCACTCGGCTCAGCAGCTCGGGATCAGCTCATTCTCCGAGAAGCATGGGCGCACGACTCTATCTCAGCGGGACATGAGTTGCCGGTCGATGCGTATGTCCTACTCAGGCCGGCCGCCTATGGTGCGCAGAGACCGGCTCAGGTCACTCGAGACAGCGGCATGAGCGATGCAGAAGACCGGTCCCATGCCTTCCCCGACATCATCAAGACCGGCAGGATTCCGTCTGATCTCTGGACGAACGCTCGCTACTCTTGTATGCGATTATCGCCCCGAATATGCATCAATGAAGGTTTTGTGCGCCGCTTAGCAGTCATCAAGGAAGAGCGAAGGCTCACTGGCAATGCGAGAAGTGCGCTGAGCTACGCTGTTGCCATCGCTGCTCTCAAAGCTTATCCTCACATGCTACAAAGCGGTCAAGAGGCAGATACCATCGTAGGCACTGGCCCAAAGATCGGCGCACTCATTGACGAATATTTGCGCACTGGCACACTCGCAGAGGCTGATAGACTAGAGAGGCAGTCTCGCTTCCTCGCACTGAGGCTCTTCACATCGTCTGTGCATGGCATCGGTCCTACAACAGCGCGCACGCTCGTCGATCGATTCCATTGTCTGACATGGGACGATGTCGAGCGAACGATGCGAGAGGATCCAGAGGCACCCCAGATTAGCCTCGATTATCGAGATGAGATTGCCCAGAAGATCCCGCGCTCAGAGGTAGAGAAAATCCATGACTTGGTCAAGCTGCAGCTCGACAAGCTCCAACCTGGCTGCTTGACGATGCTCACAGGCGGCTACAGACGGGGCAAACCATTTTCGAACGACATTGACATCTTGATCACGCATCCGCACGACACTGTACATGGCTTATTGTCGAAGCTCGTCAATCGACTTCAGCACAAATCACTCATCAAGGAGATCCTGTATTATACCAATGTCGGTCTCAGTCAAGCGTCCATCTAGATCATGCTGATGAGGTGTCTAGCAAAACACTAATCGCTCATTTGATTTTGAGAGCAAAGCGAGGAGCTCAACTTCAAGCTCGTTCGATCAGTTTGACAAGTGCTTTTGCATTTTTCTGCCGCCGCAAGCGAGTGGCCAAGCCGCTCTTCATCGGCGATTAGACTTGATTGTCTCGCCTTGGGAGAATTACTGGACAGGCGTCGTCGGCTGGACTGGCTCCACGCAGTTCGAGCGTGATCTTAGGCGGCGCGCCAAAGATCTGGGCTATAAATTTGATAGCAGTGGGCTGACGACACGTGCCGACGAACGTCTGATACAGCTCGACAGCGAAGAAGCCGTCTTTGCTGCTCTCGAGCTCGACTATGTCCCGCCAGAGTTGCGCAATGCAGACGCGGCTTCGTAAATACCGCCGTCCTCTGCGAGCCACTTCTTGATGAAGGCAAGCTCGCGTGCGTGGACTGATTTGATTTGAGATGGCTCGGCCGATCGATTGAGCAGGCCATTCTCGTCATAGTGATGTCCGCCGCGGGGAATGAGCCAGAAAGGCTGCTCATCGGTGTCGTTGCGTGGAGGAGCTACACTAGCGTGCGGTGTTGCCTCCACCCAAGCATCGAATTGTCCATCGATGAATGCAAGTCTATCGTAAGACAGACCATAGTCGCCGTAGGCGTTGACTCTGCTGATATTGGGCCACATGGGGACGTCTCTTCCGAAGCTCTGTTGGCACGACTTGGAGACGTACGCTAGAGTGATTCTTCGAGAAAGGAGTGAGGTGACGTTGAGAGGTGCAGCAGCAATGTGATAGCCCCACTCTGTACAGACCTGCCATAGCCAAGCACGCCAGGGCCCGTCTTTCTGGTACGCCCTGTCATCGTATGTGCCGAAACAGGCGTCCTGATCTGCTCCCTCTGGACAGACAGCCGTGACATACTCTCTTATCCAAGCCGCATACGCGCCGAGTGCGTTAAAGGATGCATGAGCAGCGTAGCTTGGGAGGAGCGAGCTTGTAAGCGCATCTGGCACGGCAGAGTCTGTGCTCGTCAGACGGCTGCAGAAGCTTGCAAAGACATCAAGTCCGACTGTTGAGTCCCAATTGGCAGCTTGCCAGTAGTTCAGCGGTGTCGTCAAGACGTTGACAAAATCTGCTGGCACTGTCACATTCTCGAGTCCAAAGACGCGCTGCAACCGCCGCGTGAGGTCGGATCGCTCCAGATCAAGCATCGAATCAACAAAGGCTACGGTATCGACGATGCTCTGGATGCATTGCTTCGGTCCTCTGAGTCGGATGGTCTCCATGTATTGCCAGAAGTCTACTTGCGCATGAGTTACTGCTGAAGATGCGATTGCGCCGAAGAAGATGTCTGGGTAGAGTCGCCTGAGAAAGGCAGACTGTGCGCCTGCATAGGAGCCTCCAATCGTGATTCTGTGCTCTACGCTTGATAAGCTGAGAACGGAGCCTGAAGGAAGGCTCAAGTTTGCATGCTGGGCAAAGTGTGCCACGTCAGCTAATGCTTGCGCTGTTGTGAGGTACTTGAGATTGGCGGGCTTCCAATCTGGCCCGATCAGACTCTTGCCATAAGCTCTATGTTCGAGTATGATGCTTGATCCGCCCGTGGCTTCCGACATCAATCTGAGGATACCGGTACGCATGAATGGCAGCCGACCTGCGCCTGACGTTTCTCCGCCATTGAGGATGTACACCGGGCCGCCGGCGACATAGAACTGGTTGTCGAACCAGTAGCGAGCCCTGAATGTTGTGCTGCTATCGTTGAAGTGATCTAGAGGCAGCGTGTGCCATGCTTGCTTGATAGGGTCCGCGTCCAGACTCGCGTCATTGCTCGTTTGGAAGAGGAGTGCTTGATCCTCGTCGGGTCTTTGTCGCTGTGCATGATGCTGCGGATGGAATGCGCCGATATGATGCAAGGCGGTGACCGCAGTCAAAAGCTGAAGGGCAACGAGCAGATGCATGGCCTTGGCGAGTAGATCGCCTGATGCATCGATGAACGATGAACGCGCGTGTCGGCCGGCCAGTGACAAGTTTGACAAGGGCTTGCAACAGGCTAGGAAGGAGGCTGAATGAATGAGGACCGCTTGTCGGCCGCTCAGATCGATTTTCTGGCTGGTACGGTAGCAGGCATCGCTGGTCTGACCGTCGGCCATCCTCTCGATACGCTCAAAGTCAGACTGCAACATCAGCCACCATCGTCCTCCTCTCGCAGCGCATTATATACCCTCCGGCAGATTGTGAAAGCAGAAAGGGTCAGCTCCTGATGCACAAGCTACGATGTGGCTGATTGGACGAGAGCAGATCCACGGTCTCTTCAAAGGTATCACCTCGCCCATTCTCGGCGTCGCTGCCATCAATGCATCCGTCTTCACACTCTATGGCATCGGCATACGAGCTCAGCTCAGACACACGCAAGACATACCATCACTCGCTCAGGTAGCAGTCGCAGGCAGCTTGTCAGGCATAGGCACATCGTACGCCCTGCGCTGAGTAGGCAGAGCGCGTCTGACGACGAGAGCAGGTTCCTCACTTGCCCAATAGAACGCATCAAGATCATCCAGCAAGCCTCGACGACGCTCCATCAGCCGTCCACATATGCAGTCGTACGACGCATTCTGCAATCATACGGCTTTGCCGGGCTCTACAGAGGTCTGTCGGCGACGATGCTGCGCGATCTAGGCTATGGTGCGCCGTACTGTCCAGAGGCTCCTATCGCCTGTCTCATGTGAAGATGCAGGGCCGTATTTCTACGCGTACTACGGCATCATCAGACTATTGTCACCAAGGATGGCAGTGCCAACGCCGAGCGACTCGGTTGCGGCCTCAAGCCTGTCCGAGACGGCTGCAACCAGCACGTCGACGCTGTTAGTCGCAGGAGGTGTCGCAGGCATTGTTGGCTGGGCGTCGACTTATCCCCTGGACAGCATCAAGACTCGTATACAAGCTAGCGATGCACAAGCATTCACAACTCGCTCGAGTGCGCCTTCTCGCCCAGTCTCAACGCTGGCTACCATCCGGACCTCACTGGCTTCATCCGGCAATCGACGCAGCTTGCTCGCAGGCCTGGGACCGACACTACTACGCGCTGTGCCCGTGAATATGGTACGCTCGAAGTCGCAATGCATCTCGGAAGCTGATCACATCTGGGTAGGTCACATTTGGAGCCTATGAGCTCGTTCTGAGTAGCTTTAGATAGACTTGTCGTTGTACATCATCGTAGAGAGTTCGTCAGCGGATATCAATTGACGCGATGCGCGATGTCGTGGCAAAGCTCGCTCGGTGATAGCTCGGAGAATCTAATCGATCTCAGTTGACTCATCGCCGGACGGAACGTACGTTGAGTGCTTGAGCCTCGGTTCGCGCATACACATCACGCCCAGAGCGTATCACGAAGTTTGCAAAGTACGAAAGACAACCAGCGTCAGCATGACCATCGGATCACCGATCAATCTGCCCAAGTGGCTCGAAGACAACAAGGACAAGCTACAACCGCCCGTGAATAACTATTGCATCTACGATGGCAAGGACAAGATTGTGATGATCATCGGAGGACCCAACTCGCGGAGCGACTATCACTGGAATGAAGTACGCAACAGTCAAATCTGTCATCGCACGATCTGACGTAGCGCAAAAGACCGAGGAATGGTTTTATCAGTACAAGGGAGCGATGCTGCTCAAGGTTGTAGACGATGGCAAGTTCCGCGACATCACCATAGGGGAAGGGGAGATGTTCCTGCTACCAGGCGAGCTACTGACCTCCTGATACTTTTCGCGATGCTAATGCCTCCTCTTCAGCGAACACGCCACATAATCCTTGTCGCTTTGCTGACACCGTTGGGCTTGTGATTGAGCAAAAGCGGCCGCCTCAAGCGATAGGTGAGCGCCAAGTCTACAGCGTCAGGAGCCGAGCTAATGCGACTGTGAAGACCGATTGCGTTGGTATTGTCCTTCCCCAACACACAAAGATCCCCATGTGATCCGCGAAGTCTCATTCCACTGTACAGATCTGGGCACACAGCTCAAGCCTCATATCAATGCCTGGATGACCGATGAGGCGCTGCGCAAATGTCCAGACTGTGGCACCGTCGCACCACCAAAGTGAATTAGAAGTTCGTCCTGCTTGTTGCAACCCATTCTATACGTTACATGCCGATCAGCCGTCCTCGTAGCGTACGCCCATGCTTTGCTTGACTTCCAATCCCAGCGTCTTCATCTTGCTTGCCTCGATACGCTGTCGCTCGATCTTTCGGAGATCTTCGAGCTGTTCGCGCGTGAGAAAGGTATCGCTCTGCTTTGTAGGCGCTCTGCCTGCTTTGCGCAGTGCCTCTTCGTCCTTGCGAAAGTCGTACTCGCTCGTGTCCTCGACTGTCTCGCCCATTCGTACGGCTGACATCCGCTTCTCGTACGCCTCGAGGTTGTAGTACTTTTCATGCGCTGCAGATCGCGTCAATGAGCGGCCGCTTCGACGACAGAGCAGGCAACTCACGGAGCGTGACAGTGTTGTAGTCCTCGGCAAAGATCTTGAACATCTCTCTCCGTTTGGCGTGTGTGACCGTCTCTGGGTTGATCTTGCGCTCCTCCATGAGCCATGCATTGAATTCCATGTCCTTGGTGAAAATGTCTGCCTCGTTCAGGATGCCTCTCGAGCCATATTCGTGGCCCACGACGCCTAGCTTCTTTGCCTTCTTTGCTTTCTGTCAGTCATATGAGTATAGCCACAGCATCCAGCATTGCAGACTCGCCTTGGCTTCTCGCCTGACCCGCTTGGCCTCTTTACGCGCTCGACGCTCCTCGCGAGATTCTTCGTGTCGATGCGAGGACCGCCTGCGCGAGCCAGATGCATCTGAAGACTCTGATTCGCTCAGGGGTGTTCTACTGCGTCGTGAGCTGTGCTTGCGGCTCGAGCGGTCATCGCCACGAGGGTCACGTCGGTCGTCTCTGCGATCCCTTGATTTATATGCTCTCTCCCTGCTGTCGTCGCTCGTACGATGCCGTCGATCTGCGTCATCCGGACGGTCGTATCGTGAGGTTCTATGTGCCGTCTCTCGCCTGTCATCTCTGTGCGAGTGGGTTCGGTCGTCGTGCTGCCTGTGAGAGGACGAATAGGTCGAGCTATGCCGATCACGATAAGATGTAGAAGGCTCGGGCGAGTATGAGTCCCGCTGACGAGCACTGCCAGACTGATGAAGAGCTTCTCGCTCGCTGTCCCGGGCTCTGGAGGACATGCTAGCCTGGCTAGAAGAGCTCCCACTGGGCCCTGCTCGGTCTGATCGACAGTGCCCCCGTCAAATTTTTGACCGTTCAGCTCGAGATAGACGAAGCAATGGGCAAGTTGCCGCCTGCTTGGGGGAGTAGCACTGACGAAGGCTCGCAGGCATGACAGCCGAAAGCTCAGCGACAGCGGCTGCACGCAACTCGGCGATTGAACAAGCCTTGCTGCTCTCAAACTGGAGCGACAACGACATCTCTCTCCCTTTGTCCCCTGTAGAGACGCTGCTACAACATATCTGCCATGGTCGCTACAGCCAGCTCCTCACGTCCAAGCTTGTCAGATCGCTTCAGCTGTTTCGGCTCGCGACAGACGATGCAGGACGGCCCATCGTCTCGCTTGCGTCGCAACAGGAGCCCAAAGAGTGGATCATGCTAGCGGTCGGCATTGCGCTGCTTCAGGCGTTCGTGCAGACGAATTGGACCGGTCCAGAGGTAGACCTCTCGCCATTGGATCTGATCGACTCAGCGCCAGAGGGCGTCAGCGAATCAGCACTCAATGATGCCGCCGTGGCTGCTTTGAGCTTGGCAGGCGAGCCAGCATACCACCTCGCTCGCAAGACGAGCTTCTTGCTTATCGCACGTGAACTGGTCGCGCAGCCCAGCAGTATACCCTCGATCGCGCTGTGGCGATTGCGCGCTGGCATTGTGCACTTGCAACTTCTCGACGAGCCCGTGCCTTTGCCTGACCCTACTCTCCTGGCCGTAGAACGATACCGAGACGTCGTACTCGCTTCACTGCCCGACAGCGACGAGCGACAAGATCTGATAGCGACTGTCTCACTCGAGCTTGGGCTCTACTACAGCCTCATCTCGCAGAACCAGCCCACAGCAACGAGAGCCGCGTCCGATCTGTTCTTGCGCGCGGCGACAGACACCAAGCTAGAATACAAGCTCACCGGTAGACTGGGCAAGCGAACAAAGTTCCAGCAGAAGGAAACCAGCCAGCTCCTCGTTCTTGCCCAAAGTCGTCCGCGCCAACTTTGGCAGCCACGCACGCAGACAAAGGCAGGCGAGACCAACGGAGCAGTGCCTGACATGCCGGAAGTGCATGCCCTCAATGACGACACTTTGCTTGAGCGTACAAAATATACGGCAACATCGGACGAGTCCGCGCAATCCGCTCTGGACGCTCTCGATCCCTCGCAGCAGCCGGCATTACACCCCCTTGACCAGAGTATACTCCTTGCCCTCTGTCTCAATATCAGCAACACTTCGCCAGCGCATGGTCTCACGACGCTTCAGATGGGCGCATTTGTCACTCGGGTGCTCGATCACCCAGAGAATTGGACAATCTACTCCATGGGATTGCTCATTCGCAGTCGCCTGGAAGCGAGCCGGTCTCGCACAGTCGAGCGTGGACTGCTGCAGATGCAGAGCTTGGTCGATCAGCTCAGGCTCGAGGGCTCCGATGTTGAGCGTCCGCCACCAGAAGATGATCATATCATCGAACGGGAGAAAGGCGCTCCTGTGCAGGAGAGGTTGCAGTATGTCTACGATGTCGCCGCGCCTGCTCGATGGCATCTAGAGGCCGAGCTAGCCAAGCGATTTCTCGGCTTGGGCGTCGTCAAGAGCGCCCTGGAGATCTTCATCAGACTCGAGATGTGGGAGGATGCTGTCAAGTGCTGGCAAGCGATCGAGCAGCAGCCCAAAGGGATCGCTGTCGTCAAAGACCTTCTCGAGGGCCGCAAGGAACAGTCTGATGAAGTCGGCCTTCGCATCAAGGGCAAGATCTCCGACAAAGCCCGTCAAGCTAAGCTATGGTGCTTGCTCGGCGATCTCGAAGCGAACGCGGATCACTACCGCAAAGCTTGGGAGCTCTCTGGCAAAACCTCATCCCGAGCCATGCGCAGTCTCGGCGTCATGCTCTTCACTCGCAAGGATTACCCCGGCACGATCGAGGCGCTGCGAAAAGCGCTGGCAATCAATCCGCTCTTCGTGCGATCTTGGTTCGTCCTGGGATGTGCAGCGATGATGAGCACGGACTGGCCGACGGCAGAGGAAGCCTTCGCGCGCTGCGTCTCGCTCGACGATGAAGATGGCGAATGCTGGAGCAATCTCGCTTCCATACATCTTCGCCGGACTGAAGAAGCTGCCACCGGTAGTGCGACTGCGCCTACGGAACTTGGCGATGAGGCCATATATGATACGGGCAAGGTGCCCTACTCTCGCAAGCGAGCTGCATATGGCTGTCTTCGTCAAGCCGTCAGATATTCGTACGACAGCTGGCGAGTCTGGCAGAATTTCATGATCGTCAGTGTCGATGTTGGCGAGCTGACAGATGCGGCAAGAGCGCTCGGTAAGCTGGTCGAACTACGAGCAGATAAGGTCGGCGACGAGGCAATAGACTTTGAAGTTCTCGAAAGACTCGTCAATGCGGTCACACGCGGCAAGAGTTATGCAGAGTTGAGCGCACCACCCGTAGACAATTCTGACGAGACGGACGTCGGCCCGAACTCGAGCAGAGCGCTCTGGCCACGAGTCAAGGATCTTTTTGAACGGACGCTCTTGCCACGAATCTCATCCGCGCCACGCCTCTTTCTCGCTTATGCCAACTTGCTTTACTGGGCTGGTGACCTCAAGGGCTCAATCGACGCGCATCTCAAGGCATACAGATGCAGCTCAGCGGTCAAGGACGAAGCCGCCAGTCAGCAGTCAGTCTTCATCACAGCTGCTCAAGAAGTGCTAGACGTCGTCGACGTGCTGCGTAACATGGGATCAAAAGAAGTCGACGGTCAGCTCGTGCTGGCCGATTGGCGCTACCAGGCCAAGAGTATCGTGCGAACTTTCCTTGCTCGTACAAGGACTAATTTCGAGGAAGAGCCGGCTTGGCAAAGCCTCAATGAGGAACTGCAAGATCTCAAGTCATAGCTAGACGCTGTAGACTAATGCAGACATGATACAAGCGATCCTCAGCATTTACTGCACAGTGAGATCAGCTGAGAACGCTCATAATAAAGGTGAGAACGCACGTCGACCTTCATCGTCTCTGCCTTTGCGCGCTTGCCAGCAGCCTTGCGCGCCAAGATTGCAGTGCGGTCCTTGTCTAGCTTCAGCTTAGTGATGACGACGTTGCTAGGGTGGATGCCAATCGGAACAGATGCGCCGTTGACTGCTCGGATCCCATCAGCTCTCCGACCTTTGCAGTGGCGCGTGGTGCTCACCCTTTTCTCTGACGATTCGCTCGATGTGAATGACATACTTCTTGCGGTAGCATGCAATGACCTGTAAATGCTGTCAGCCGAGTTCGTTGTATTGTCAGAGCAGCCGCTTGCCTTGCCCTCCTTGCCAGCATTCTTGCCGCGGACGATCAGAACTTCGTCGTCCTTGCGGATGGGGATTGACCTCGCCGAGTGTTGACCTCGCAGCTCTTTGCTGAGAGTTGCTGCCATGCGCTCTCGGCGCTCGGAGCTCGGCGCACCGCTGCAAATCAACTGTTAGGCGCAGTACTTGCTTGCTGCCAATGTAGCACATACAAGTGCGCGGCTCGCTGCGTGCGGCTTGATGATGCTGCAACTGGATTGACATTCTGGTAAGCTCGAGCATTGACAGACTGCTGACGCTGCCTACCTCGTCCCATCTTCACGCTACTTACACGGTGGCTGCCAGATTTGATGTCGTTAATGTTTCTCTCACGCGGGGATCTACCACGTGTCACCGTGTCACCTTCTCCGTCGTGGCTTCACCTGCTTCACATCGCGAGGTCGCAGCCAAGTGGCACAAAGGGCAACATGCATACAACAACGATCTACTTGCTAGCATGAGGAGTGTCGGGAAAGCTCGCCACTGTCGGAGTCTGGCTGGGGTCAGTGTCGCCTCTGAGGAACGGATGATGCAATAGCGCGAGCGCGCTGGGCCGCTCCTCGTGGTTCCTGTATGATTCTGTCAGTCTCTTCTCCAACCATTAACAGAATAAACGTACAGCCTGAAGGTCTGGCTGAGAAAATCTTCCGCTTCGGATGAAATGTCCTCTGGCATCTCCGGCGATGTCGACTGTCCAATCTGTACAAGATGCATCTCTTCAGTCTCTTTCGATGGCGCGATGGATGCGAAAAAATTTACCCTGAAGATGGCCTGCATCTGCGTCAGATTGGCCCAAGGATGGCTGCCTGTGAGCATCTCGACGACGAGACAGCCGGTCGACCAGATGTCAGCTTTGTTTGTGTAAGTCGTCTGCTTTACTGCTTCTGGACTCATCCAAAACGCCGAGCCTTGCATGGACGGCCGATGGATGCGCACGGTGGACAAGATGCCATCCTCGACGCGCTTAGAGATGCCAAAATCTGAGATCTTGACGACGCCCTTGTTGTCCACGAGAATATTGGCGCCCTTGATGTCGCGATGAATGATGCCCTTCTCGTGCAAGTAATTGAGCCCTTGCAGGATACCTCGAAGGAAGTTGCGAACGAGCGTCTCTTCGAATGAGCCATATCGTCCAAGCAGAGCTGTGACTGAGCCGCCTGCTACGTACTCCAGGAAAATGTTGAGATGATTTTCGTCCAAAGAGGAGTCGAGATATTGCACGATATTCTCGTGCTGTAGGGTCTTCAGCAGATCAATCTCGCGTTCGAGCGCAACGATCATAGCCTTGCGTCGCTCTTCGTTATGTGATGATCCCGTCGGCCGTTCTACTTGCTTGACTGCCATAAGCGTGCCGTTCGTCGCGTTCATGCCAAGCGAGACTTGTCCAAACGAGCCCTGACCGATGAGGACACCCTTGATCCACTTGATGGACGCTTTCGACCCTTTCGATGTGATAGCTTGCGGACCAGCAGCATCCGGCTTGCGATCTTCACTTTCCTTGGCTTCCGCCACATCCGCAGGTTCTATACGATCGAGGTCCGGTGAGAGCGAGGTGGCCAGCTCTTGCTCGAGATCGTCATCTTCGTCGTCATCCTCATCCAGCATCCAACTCGTCGTGCTAAGCCTACGATTCTCAAGTTCGGCAGTAACTTCATCGACAGTGAGCAAACTGGCGCCATCCGAGTCGCGACCACTCCGCGCAACACTCAATCGGCTGGAAGTCGACAGCCTGCTGGAGCCACTGTGATGTGATCTGAGCGAGGGACGGTTGCTGGCAGTAGAAGTCTCTCCATCCAGCTCTGGCTCTGAGATTGTTGGAGGACTATGGATAGGACTAATCGAAGTCGTGCCAAGTAGCTCGCCCAGCTCATTGACCTCATAAAGCGATGTCCCGTCCGAGCCTGAGGTGCGATTGAATCTTTGTGATCCGGTCGAGCTGCCGCTGAATCGCGAAGAACCGACAGAGTTTTGCCAACTTCTTGGCAAGCCTTCGCCGGACTTCGGCTCAAGGTAGCTTTGCCTTTTAGCCATAGACTTGCGCATGCTGGTTCGTGCAGTCTTAGACAGCATCTTCTTTTCTGCAGCAGGGAAATAGTCGGCCAGATACGAGGAGATGAGCTCTGATGTGGGGCGATGGCCGAGGAAGCTGCGCAGGGGTCCTTTCTGGCTGCCTGCTTGGCCTGGCTGAGGGGATGCATCTGCGCCTGACATGGCATCTGACCAATCGAGCAGGCCCGACATCACACTGATCGTGCTCGCACGATTCTGCTGGGTCTGTCGCTTGCGCTCAGCAGACTGCTGACTGCTTAAACCATGATGCTGATAATCCTGCTCTTCATCCGAATATGTTGACTTGACGGGCGAAGCAGGCTGCACACTGGTCAGAGGCACGCGCGAATCCCTGATCATTGGCGCAGGGCTCATCGGCTGAGGCGCAAAGTCAGTCTGGCTTTCTTCACTCTTGTGACGCAGCGTAGGATGCTTTGACCGCCAGTCTTCTGTATTGGCAAGGTGATGCAAACGCCGCAATGTCAGCCCGCGCTGCCTCTCTGGCCGACTGATCGACTGGCATATGCCGATCAGCTCGCTCTCGGTCAACGCTTTCACTGCCTTGGGAATCAGATGGATCCCTTGGAGCAATTGTTTGACATACCTTGTCCATCGGAGCTACTTGCAAAGACGCCCCATCCTTCCATCTCGACAAAGGTGTCATTGCCAGTATAGGCAGCGGGCGACGGCCGTTGACCGGCAGAGATCTTGCCAAATTTCCGCAAGGCCTTGTACATGATCTCGTTGGCATCTCGCGCATCATCAACGCTGACGAGCTTGCTGATGCCATCATCGCCGATAAACTTGACGGTCTTGCGCAGTACATCCTCCAGTGGAAGGGCATTACTTGCGGCCGACACAGACACCAGACCGCCTGGCGTGGAAGGCTTGGCAAAACTGCCCTTGCCGACGATGTAACCAACATCTTTTCGCGCTTCTTGGCCTTGTCGTGAGCCAGTAGAGAACGAATCGTAAGCAGGCGAGCTAGTCTGAGCATATGGATGTGAGTACGTGCTCGTCGAAACTGTTGCCGAGCTATAGCTGCCCGATCTTGAGCTCGATAGACTCGGCAGCGAATTGGGGTTGACGAGTCCTGTGCCCGTGAGGGGGTTGTTGCTTTGCGAGCTTCCTCGCCGATGGGACAGACCGAGGGCAGTGACATTGCTGAATATGTGACCTGATCGACTCGCTTTACGCTCAAGCCTGACCGGCGCTTGTGTCTCGGGATTGGTCAGACTAGACCCGAACACGCTAGGCTGTGTCGCCACGACGGGCGAGGGAGTCGTTGTCTGTATTGATGGCGCCTGAGCAGACGAACCAGATCGTGAGCGAGGCGCGGTGCCAGGCGGTGGTGGCAGGGACGACTTCGGGGGTGGTGCAGGCGGAGGTAATGTGCTTGCCACTCGCGGTGCGCCGGTAGTGGGCGAGTCTTGGCCGCGCATGGTCGTGTGACCGTTGACCGCGATGGAGACATTCGACCCATTTGAGGACGACGCAGAGGGAAAAGGCTGCGCCGACTGCGTGCCCGTCGCAATTGAGGCAGCACTCGCACTTTGGTAAGCTTGACCGAGCTTGTCGCGCGAAGAGGAGCTAGGCAGGTGTAGAGGGGGCGGTATTCGGTAGGTGCCTTTGCTAGCTGCGAGTCGCCGCGCACCCAGGGCGGTTTCGCTCGGGGCAAATGTATTGCTGAGCGGCGAATTTGTCCGCGCAAATGCAGCTCGTTGTGGCGAAAGCTGGGGCGATGTATAACCTGCCTTGTGGGAAGGACTGGGGGGAGCGAGCGAAGAAGTGCTACACGCCTGACGCAATTTCTTCACGGCGACGACGATCTTGATCCTATCGCCTACGCTCTGTACGCCTAGCTCCTTGAGAGCAGACTGATCTACATCCAGCAAGACAGCCCCCGTGATATCGTTGTTGCGAAACGTCTGAGCATGAGCGCCGCACTTGTTCTCCTCTAGCCATCGTGCGACTTCTTTGTCTCCCCAAGAAAGAACCCATTGCAGTCGCGTCTGATGGCCAAAGGCAGAGCTGCCGTCGGGCACCTCGAGCGTGGCTCCATTGGCGCCCTGTGGACCTGCAAGACCGTAATTTGCTCGTGTCGGCGACCGAGTCGAGCTTGAGACGGGCGAGGCGACAAAAGCCTCCCGCAGTGGGCTGTGGGGCGCGCTCGAGACCGAGCTCTTCCTCGACATGATGGAGTAAGGTCTATGTCGCCCTACCGATCAGGACCTCGCAACATTTTAGTCAGACACAAAGGCAGTCAGTCGAATGGAGATTCGCGACGCGTCTCACAATGAATTGCCATGTTGGCGGTCAGCGCGGTCTCAATTCATAGATAGTGACAGAATCACTAGTGCCCCCGCTTCCGACGAGATCCCTGTTGCCAGAGGCAGTAAACATATAGCGTCCAGTATCATCGAGCACTGTCCGAGCATACCATCGACTCAGCACGGAGGCTCTAAGATTCAAGATAAACTGACCGATATCAGAGATCGTCGCGCCATGGTGGCCGGATATGATCCTGAACGGCATCTTACTCGCTGGTCTGGAGCTGGGCTCGCCGTCATCCCTATCGAGGAACCATTGTCGGATGTTGTCTTGGGAAGCGCAGATGATCTGTCTCGAATTGGCCAGAGAGCGCACAGAGCTGATCGCGCCCGAACCGGCGGGTAGCCTGAGTGTCCTGACTTGTCTCGCCCGAAGGTCGTAAAGGTCGACCGTCTCATTGCGTCGTCCGACGATGACAGTCTGTCCATCTGCTGTCCAGCTCGCTTGAGCAGACCAAGGCGGCGTTTTGCTTCCGAGCTCGAATTTTCGTGCTGCACGCGCATTCGAGTCTTGTCTGCGGTCCCAGAGGAGAACTTGGCCGTCTATGCCGGAAGCCAGAAAGACTTGATCGCTCAAGGCAGGTAGTCCAGGCTCGAATGCGTTCGGGACAGAACGGCCAGATTTCGTCACAGGCTCCAGACGCACGCTTTCGGACAGTATGGATGGATCTGGCTCGCCATCGCCGTCATCGAAGAGCGAGTCGACCGACTCTGCAGGTGATTGCGTGACCGTCACGTCGCCGTCACCGTTCATTCGGTCGGTTGGATCGTGATGACCATTCGTCTCGGGGATGCTGCCATCTATGAGTGGTCGAAAGCTCAGTGATGATATCTGTCCCGTCATGCCTTCATACGATCTGATGGCTTGGCCCGTATGCAGATCCCATTCGAGCAAGTTGGCGTCCCAGCCGCCGCTGATGACGCTCGTCTCCTCGCCAGCCAAAGCAAGCGCAGATACAGGCGTAGACCGGTGGCCCAACCGCCCTTCTCCGACACTGCCAGGTTGGAATACGTGGCGTATCTGCCCCTCGTCCAAACGGACAGACCAGAGATGGATCGCGCCCGAGATTGTGCCAGACAATCCCCAGAGTTCCTGACTGTGTATGGCGAGACTGTACACGGGTGAAGGCTCTGGACCGGTATGGGTGAGTCCTCTGGGACCATATTGCATGGTCTGAGGAGCCAGGTCCAAGTTCTCCCAGTAGCCAACGAGAACGCCCTGGGGAGCAGCATAGTGACCTGACGGGATGCCATGGACTGCCTTGCCGTGCACATTCTTTCCCGATGTCCGCGTGATGAGATTGTCGAGCTCTGTGAGGCCGGCGGTGGTATCTCTGAGGGCGTACCGTCGTATGAAGCCATCTTGGCCGCCTGTGAAGAAATGGTTCGCGCCTGACGGCAAGGCGATACACTGCACTTCTGTGCCGTGGGGGAGCGTGACGAGAGAATCCATCATGATCTCGGAGAGGATGGGCCTCCTCCTGCTGGCCAGACGCTCCATCCGCTCTTGGACAGACTGGGCGTAGATCTGCGTGGTGGGCTCCAGCGACCGTTCGGCGCCTCGCTCAGACTGTGTCCTCTCGTCCTGCTCGTACTCGATCGACTGGGGATCAGGCTGTGTCTCCGAGCTGGCAGACTGTCCCTCGAGCTCGTCATCCTCTTCGAGCTCATCTTGATCGTCTGCTCCAAACTGTGAGGTGCCTTCCTCCTCTCGCTCTTCGGTGAGCTGGATCTGGTCATCCTCAGAGTCACTCGAGGCCGAGGAGGACATTGCATCCCGCTCTCGTGCGCCGGTAGAGCTATGAGCGTGCGAGTCGGGTCGATCGTCAGGCCGAGCTGTCGCGCTCTATCGACTTGGCCGGGGGTGTGTGTGTCCATCAATCTGATAGGCCAGACAGGCCTCGAGCTCGCTAGACACGCCAGTCGGCTGCATCCGCCATGTCTGGTGAGATACAAAGCTCTGAGTCGCCCGAGCAGCGCTGATGCGGCATGATGATTGGCAGGCGCAAGGGAGAATGGTGAAGCTCGCATTGCACTCGATACCGCCTCCATGATCCTGACTCTCCTCCCTCGCTGGCAGTCTTTCCCACCCGTCAGAACCTGCAGCTCGTCAAAGGCCGTCTGAAAGGCGCTCAGACCGGCCACTCGCTACTCAGTGCGCCCAAGTACTGTCGGCCTGCTCTCGGCGCTGATGGTGCACATGTCCCACAGAGAAGAAGGTCGACGCACTCAAGAAGCGCTTCAGGACGATCACTAGCAAGATAGACGAGGTCAGCGGGTTCAAGCTGGTAGGCTGTGCCTCCTATTGACACCCTGTCATCACAGGCAAAGCGAAAGATGGGCAGGATCATGCAGCTCGCTGCCTTTTCGCTCGCAGAGGTCAACTACTCTGCTGGGGATATCAGCTACCAGGTACAAGAAGCGGTCTCCCAAGCGACGTTCCGGGTGGGCACGAAGCAAGAGAACGTCTCCGGTGTCGTGCTACCCAGCTTTGAAGTCAAGCGCGATAAGAGCGATGGCAATGGTCCGTCCGCCTGGGCATTTGCACGTAGCAGCTGACAGCGCGAGGACAGGTGACTTCAATCTGACCGGTCTCGGACGAGGCGGCCAGCAAGTACAGAAATGTCGAGAGATCTACGCCAAAGCCGTCGAGACGCTCGTCGAGCTTGCCTCGCTTCAGGTCGGCACGGTGTGCATCAGCATGCCATTGCTGACGTACAGTCCCGGCAGACGGCTTTTGTCATCCTCGACGAGGTCATTGCGATGACCAGCCGGCGAGTCAATGCGCTCGAGCATATCCTCATCCCCAAACTCGAGAACACCGTGTCCTACATCAATTCCGAGCTCGATGAGATGGACAGAGAAGAATTCTACAGGCACGCCGTTTCTTCTCAGTTGGATCCGTCCTGATCGTTTTTGCAGACTCAAAAAGGTGCAAGGCAAGAAGCAACGTGATGCGGAAGAAGAAGAGGAGAAGAGAAAGAAGCAAGATGCACACGAGAGCGAGCAGAGTGAGGATATGCTGCAGACAAAAGATCCAGATATTGTCTTCTGATCACACGAGATCATGTAACATCATGCAGTGCGCACTGTACCTTTTCATACAACAACATCGATATCGCGGCAGTGTCAAAACAACATAGAACCAACCCTTCCTCCTTACTTCTCATGCTATCTGTTCATGCTCTCTCTGCTCTTCACCTGTGCCTGTCTCGACAGGTTCACCATCCTCGGGTGTTGGAGGTAGTTCGGCAGCTTCGAGCAACCGCCGCCTGCTGGCGCGCGTGCTGCTCGCATAAGCTGGCGTCGGTGCTTTGTATGTGTCAAACTGCTTGCGCGTCCTGAGCTCAACATCAGTGAGCTGGTCGTAGAAGACTGACCCCATCGCCCTGCAGTTCGCGCAGCATTCCTTTGGCGAGCTCGCTCGCATCGTCAGTAAAGCCAGCTGTGAGCGTGGGGGTCGACGTTTTGGGCGAGCTGGTATCGGGCGCAGCTCGTCGCGTTCGCTTCGATCGTCTGCCTGGCATTGTACCTTCGCGTAATTTGGTAAAGAGATCGTCCATGACGCTGGCAGTCTCTTCCGGATCGATTGCCGGCTCGGCCACCGCTGCCTCGGTCTTCGCTTGCGTTGCCTGCAAACTCCCCATGAGTCTGGTAGTGTCAGACAGCGAAACACTGACCTGACGGCGCTTCTCACGTGCCGCTTCTTCTTCGGCAAGCGTGGCGTTCTGTGCCTTGACTTTCTGTGCATCAGGGGCCCATGGTAAGCCCAACGTGATTCACAGCAGCCTCGCCACTACCTTGTAGGAGGTTGTGAAGACTTTGAAAATGCCGAAGAATTCCGAGCTCGTTGTCGGCCGATGATCCTCGCCAAAGTAATGTAAAGTCTCGCTGAATTCGGCTCCCGCAAGCGTGAAGAGGTCGACGAGTGTCTGTAGTCGATCATCGGCTTCGCGCACAAAGGGAAACATCCTGCGAGGGTAGCCATCGTCGGGCTGAAGCTTGTCAATATCTTCGAAGTTGGAGCTGAGTTCGCTCCGAACGCTCTTGAGACTAGCGCGGAGCGATGCCATCTCTTTCCTACTGTCCTCAAGGCTCACTGCGCCAACGATCAGTCACAGCGATCGCTTAAGATTTGGAAAGTACCCTTGTGAGCCTCTGAAGGCATGGTCAGCTCATCAAGGAAGCCCTCGATGCTTTGGAAACGTCGCGAAACTGTCCGCTCGAGGAAGTGTAACAGCGTGATGCCATTGGATGATTTGGTGTCGACCATCTGCCATACAGCTGTCAGACCATTCTTTGCTTGCATAGTCATAAGATTTACCTTGTTGATACTACTGACTCGAAAGCCGAATGCGCCGCCTTTGAGACCAGTAGAATTGAGAAAGTTACCGATCATCAAAATTAGGTTGAGCAGCTCTTTGAAGCAATCAGCCTTCTTTAGTGCTCCGCAACTCGCCAGGATCTTGTCGACGCTCTCCTTGAGTGTCGCATATGTCTCGTCAAAGCGTGCACGATAGAGCATCCCCGTTACGCGCTGCTCTAGCCGTTCAATCTTGAGCAGCTCGACCATGAATCTGTCTGCGATCTGCAGAGTCGCAAGCACATCGTCTGTTGCATTCCGATAGATGTTGAGCTTGCCAATGTCCTCTGACGAGGGTAAGATAGGCTTCAATTCGCCCAAGAAAGTTTCTGTGCAAAGACTCTCGTCGAACCTTAGTATGCGGCTGGCAACGTCGCGAACGCCGAGCGTTATGTCGCTGACGTCGGCAGGGAGCCGGCCGCGCAGCAGCATCTCGATCTTCTGCCTTGTCAAAGTGCTGAGGACTGAAGTTAAGATTTCCTTCTTCTTCATCACTTTGGGCACGAATTGCTTGGCCTTGAAATCCTCCTCCATGGTCTCCAGCGTGCCATCGGAGGATAGCAGCCGCGCGATCTCTGCTTCATCAATATTGATGTCTGCCCAAACTGTCTTTGTCGTCTGGCCTTTCGCAATATTTTCCCATTGCAGCTGCTTCATCTTTTGCTTTGCAGTAAGATAGACATCCTTCTTGCCGTTCTGACCCGCATAGAATGTCGTCTGAGCCAGCATACCTGGCGGCGGAGGAGGGGGTATACCCGGCGCCCCCGGTGCAGGCGGCGGTGGCGGCACTATCGAACTGCCCGCCGGTCCCACAACGCTGCCTCGAGGAACAAACATGCTGCCCTTGGGCCCAATCACATTGCCGCCTCGACCGACGACCTTGTCGCCCAAAGCGAGCTGTACGACACGGCCGCCCGGAGGCATCGGCGGAGGAGGAGGCGGAGGAGGTGCTGGTATACCCGGCGCTGGCGGTGCCGGCGGTGCTGGCGGCGCGGGTGGAGGAGGAGGCGGCGGCGGAGGAGCTGCTTGGTCAGTGCCAGGCACGAACGGAGGAGGAGGAGGAGGAGGCGGCGGCGGCGGCGGTGGTGGTGGCAAAGACGGTGCGGCTTGAGCTTCCACCGCGTCAGTGTTGGATGCAGCCGCATCCTCAGATGCTTGTAAATCGGTTAGCCGCTTTGCTGATCGTACAGGTCGAGGTGTGGGCGAGCCAATTAGAGGCGATGCTCCGAGTACGTCCCGATCACGCCGGCCGGAAGGACTCGAAGGCTCGCTCTCACCGGCAGACAAATCTTTGGGATCCCCACTTTGGGTACCGCGCGCACGTATTGCGTCGAGTATGCCTGCCGGCACGGCAGTCCTTGCAGGTGACTTGTGAGGCAGGCCTCCCGGCGAACCAAATGCTGCTGCGTTCCTAGCAGACTCTGCTGGCGACGAGGCGTTATCTGTATCATCGCTGGTTGGGCTGTGCACGCCTTGTGGCTGTGGAAGATTGAACATGTGCTCTTCTGGCAGGAGTACGGTACTTACGAGGTTCGTAGTACCCACACGCAAGGCCTCTTCGATCTGCTGACGCGCACGATCACCGACATCCTTGGTGATTCGACTCTTTCTGTCTGACTTGTCGCGTTGGCTCTTACCCGAGCCAGAACGCTTAGGTTTGTCGCCTTCCAGAGTTCGACCCTCGAGCCTGAAGACTGCTTTGGTCCGTTGCAGCTTCTTCTCCATTAGATCCATGAGCTCTCTACGATCGAGCACACCCGTCTCATCCTGGACCATTTCGAGTGCACGTGTCTGCTTAAGCATAGTGAAGAGCTCTCGCATCCTCACTTCTTGCTCCGACATCTCGCGTTGGTGCTGCCGTTCGCGCTCGTCCATTTGACTCTGCAGCGCTTGCGTCGTCTGACGAGAGATTGCCAGCGCCTGCTCAGCTTGCGCCAGCTTGGCCTGAAGCTGGGCGGCATCGCCGGATTGGTTTTGCGACAGATCAAACGTCAAGGCATCTTTGTCGCGCTGTAACCGTCGCGCAAGTTGCTCGAGCTCTTTGTTACGTTTCTCGGCGTCTTGTAATCTGTCAGAGTCTGTAAAGCGCGAGATCAGATTGGCGACGTTTGTACCGAGTAGAGATCTTATGTCGTCATCGGGCCCGCTCGTGCGTTCCATCGCGACTGAGCTGACCATCATATCGATCAACTGAAAGCATCGCGTCTGCGTCTCATCGTCCGAACGAAGCAGGAGCATGTGCTGCAGCGCCGACAGGAAAAAATCGAAAGAGCGCTTGCCCTGCAAGTTGGCAGACAAGACCTGAACGACGTCGCGTGGATCGGAGAGCTCCTTGAGAGTGCCAGCTTGAAAGCCGGACAGAAGCTCGGCATGATCTTCGGCGGAAGCAGACTCATACTGCCCAATCTGACGCTCGATCGTGCTATGATTGAAGCTTTTCAGCTTCGCGAAAATTCTCTTGAGACCCGAAGAGTCGAGCTGAGAGCGCAGATGGACCCGGATTTCACACTCTTCTGGTAGCGAGACGAGCGAATTCATGAGCAGCAGATTGGCAAGCGCGTAGTCGCCTAGCGCGCCATCCAGGCCAATGCCGCCCGAAGCGAGGTCCTGAGGGGCGCGCGATCGCAAAAGCTTCACCTCTTCGCTGACACCGACCAGACTGCCCATCTTGCCCCTACCATCAATGGTGGCTTCGAATGTACTGAGCCAAGCATCGAAGCGGGTAGTATCGTTGCGCACCGCTTTGAGGTTGTCGAACGCTTTGAGTACATAGTGATGGCCTTGCGGATATTCCCAGTGCGCCAGAAAAGTCAGGATCTCGACAACGGTCTTCCGTGAGGCTACCTGGGCTGAGACGAGAGAGAGTGCTACGCTGGATATACATACAGGATGCTGTATCGCGTCGTCTGCACCAATCTGTCAATGTAGTCCATCAGCGACGCTAGCGCTGCCGCTCGCAGAGATTATTGACCTTGTTGTTAAGCAGCGTTTTGAGACACTTCAAGATCTCATACTCGAGCTGATGATCAACTTCGCGTTTTGATAATGGCGCTTGCCTGTTCAAATTCGCCAATGCGTTTGCCAGCACCGACTGGCCTTGCATCTCGATAAAGGAGCGTAGCCATGAGATCTCGTATGTGCGTAGGCCAACATTGAGGTTAGCTACTGCCCGTGCGTCGATCGTATTGTCCAGGAACTTTGCGAGATAGTATTCTGGCTTGTCCTTTTGAGTTCGTGAGGAAGATTTGCTGGATGTTCGTACGCCGCCGATACTGTGCGGGATGTTTGCACGCTTGGCGGCCTGGTGCTCGCTCAGCCTGTGCGTATGTACGAGCTGCCACTTCTTGTCGACGGACCAGGACAGCATGTCATTGAGAACTTTATCTCCTTGTCCTTGGAGACCTCTCGTGAATATCAGCTCTTCGAACATACGCTCGATCTGTTCGTCCGATTTTGGTCGTGGAAAGTGAAAGTCGGACGCTTCGCTCGTCATAGACAACGAGGCCATGCTAGGTGCAAGTGAGACGACTGACGGCGCGACGGATGCCGCCAGTGAATGTGTCGAGTATGTTGATGAGCGGACAGACGTGCGCGATGGATCGAAAGCATTCGGTGGGCGATCGAGCGCCATCGAAGTTCGAGGCTGCAAGTGCGGCGGCGCCGAGAACTGAAATTGAGAGGGTATCGGTGGCGGAGATCTGCTGGCAGTGGGATAGATAGCCCCTTGCACGGTAGCAGACGAGCTTGATTCTCGTGATGGCCGCTGTGGCAGTCCACGGTCTCTTTCTGAGATGCTGTTGCGGCCTGGTGCGTCGCCATTGATTGATCTATCGAGACCGATTGATCTATCGAGACCGCTTGACGTGCTTGCATAGAGCGCCGAACCATTCAGAGGAGGGACAGCAGGTATCGGCTCAGCATGTATCTGCCTGAAAGCAGGCGGACGATCGATTGACATCCTGCCATTGTCGGCCGACGAGCCATGAGAATAACTGCTTTCTCCAGATAGGACATCTTTTCTCATGTCGCCTCTGCTTCTCGCTCGCTTGATAGTGCTCGTGGATGTACTGTGCTGCATTGCAGTAGCGCTCAGCTGATGTGAGCCATTGGGACGCAGCGAGGAAGCGCTTGACGGTCTCCGTTCGGGTGCAGGCGGCGAGAGCGGCAACGCGCTTGGCGGCAGCGCATGTTGAGTAGAGCTCCTGCTAGCCACCGAGCTTGCTCTACTCACGCCGGCCAGTGCCTCGTAGTAGGCCAGAGATCCTTCCTCTGGCGCCTCGCTGACCGACTTCTTCTTCTTGCTTGAGAACATCGCGACCACGTCAAGTCGTGGGGGCTGCTCACTTGCCGACTCTTCTTGGAAGCTGACTATCGCATACAGCCCGCCATCGCAGCATCGTCTAGAACGCCAGAGACTGAATGCGAGCTGCTATGAGGCTCGTCGTGTGTGCTCGCGCTCGTCGCGTAACGAGATCGTCCAATCCAATTGACGTGGCAAGCCGGCAAGCGACACACATCCGGCAAGATGGCATCTGCGGCTTACGTGGACCATCTCATCTCTCGCCTGAGAGCAGACGTCGACTTTCTCGAGAAGCACAATCACCTCAGCGAGGCAGATGCACAGACTATCCGCACTAAACTACGATATGCTGGCACGAGCACAGCCTCGACTGATCTGGCTTCAACAGCTGCGCCAAGCATTGCCAGCCTGACCCAAGAGACCAACAACCTCGCGTTAGCAGTTCCCAGTCCTCCTGCTGCGAGCCGCTTGCCCGTCACACCGCCTGCCAGGCCCGCCTTGCCCGTCAGATCTGACAAACCTCGCACGAAAGCGCTGTGGTCATACACCGGCCAGACGCCCGACGATCTCACGTTCAATGAGGGCGACATCATCGAGGTCATCAAGGTAGAGAACGAGCACTGGGAGCGCGGCACCTGTCTGCGCACTGGCCAGACCGGTCTCTATCCTACAAACCACGTCGAACGTTTGCCGGACACAAACAGGAGCACCTCATCTTTCAACTCGATCCCTCCACCGCCGCCCATGAACACGTACAACAGCTACCAACAGCAGCAACCATATAGCGCCCCTCCGCCTCCTGGCTGGCAAGGACAACCCATCAATGAAAAGTGGCAACCCAATTATCAGCAGCAGCAGCAGCAGCAGCAACTCCAGCCTGCGCCTCCGCAAGTCGTCGTGCAGCAGCCACCCAAGGCAAGCTCATTGCAAGTGCAATACATACCCGGGCTGACGCCTATCTCTCACTTTGCAGAAGCATGGCTTCCTCTCGGGCTCGACGGGCAACACTCTCAAGCACAGCGCTGTTGGTGGCGTCAGTCGTTACCTCTTTGTTTTTGGCTTGCGCTGACGCTCCGCCCTTAGCTTGGTTTCGGTGCAGGCAGCGCTCTCGCCTCGGAGCTCGTCCATGGTATCTTCTAGCTTCCCTCATCATGTTCTGTGGAATCACTGCATAATGTACATTGTTTGACAACCATCGAGTGTTACATGCAACATAAGCGCCGTGCGTTATATGTCTATATGACGCCCATCAATTATCTGTCTGAGCGTAACGTGCTCTGGTCTGTCGACTGAGCTGTACTGCATCAATGGCCAGATCGAACAACTTGAAGAGAAGGCCGCAGTAGATCACAATGGCGTCCACAGCAACGCCGAAGCCAATGATGGTCGCGCGAACACCGAGTGACATGAGCAACAGGATCAGGTGCTGTGCCGATCCCTTGACGCTCTGTCTGAAGCGCGCTACTGACACGAGAGCGATGCCTCGATTGACCAAAGGCGAATCGAACAAGACAAGGAGTGGCGCAGTGAAGAGGAAGAGAAGCGCTCTGACGATGTTCTCTCGCGTGACTTGCGGCATCTCCTCTTCGTATGCACGCCTGTGTGATGTCCGCAGGGTACCGCTTTGGGCAGAATGACCATCGGCTTGAGAAGTGAAAGTGTGTACGGTCGGTGTGCGTGGGTATCGTCTTCGTGCTTTTTGTGCGGTGTCGACGTCTGAGAAGTAGTCTTCATCGCCAGGTACGTCAGGCTCGCCGTCTTCCGAAGCGCCGATGATGTTGATCGCAGGTCCAGCTTGACAGTTGAGCTTCGAAGGGCGTTTGCGTAGGTAGGCAGGACGCGGCGGCAGAAAGAACGACACTTCCTTCGGCTTGCTGGGTGAGTCATCGCTTGCACCCGCGCGAAGTTCAGAAGCTGTTTTGGCTCGTCTGAGTATTGGCGCTGGTCTGAGAGGAGGCGATGTTGTGGGTACTGCAGAGGCAGAGACTGAGCGCAACGGTGACGACGCGCCTGAAGCTGTGTTGCTGCGCGGTCGCATGCTTGGTCGTACAAACTCGGACTGATAGTGCGTTGGCGTTGCTGAACCACTCTGCTCATCCACGCTTGCCCTGCTAAGCCTCGGCAGGATTTCGACGAGGATGGGTTGATCAGAGGCGGAGACATCATCGCCGTACTTGTCCAGATGGTCGACGAGATCAAAGTAGGTGCCCTGGGACGACTTTTGTGGTACGCCTGACAGATTGTCGTCATCGTCTGTGCCATCTTCCACCCAAGCAGCTCGCCACGATACGCCTGGTCCGGTCAGTCCGGGCAGAAACTTGTTGTGCACAGGCGAGCTGGCGTCATCTTCGTCATCGGAAGTCAGGGAAGTATTGCACTCTTCGCTTGATGAGGTCTGCGTCGCACTAGGAGTGCCCAGGGATGAAGTCGACCGGAAACTCGCTGAAGACAGAGACCCGAGGCTCTCATCTGAGGCCGTCCTGGCGTGTATCGAATGTATGAGCGGCTTCGCTTGCACTGTTGCTGCACTATCGCTTCGTTGATGGGACCCAAAGTCTTGCAGGTCGAGCAGCATGATCGTGCCGTCCGCCATGTTGCCGTATGAGCAGACTGTTGCGCTGCTCATTGCGTCAGCCTATAATTCTCTCTGGCCGATATAATTATGCGCACTATGTTTGAGATGCAGGCTGCTCCGCACAGTCCTGCTGAGGCTCGAGCGTGTCGCGGTGACAAGATGGAAGAGGCCGTGTGAGGTCGAAGCGTCGTGCTAGATGCTGGCGACGAACACAAACGACCAGGACACCAAGTTTGCAGATGGCAGCACTGGGTCTGGCCGAGCCAGTGTTGCCAGACACTCGCGACTCACAAATGCGACGATCAGCGTGAAAAAGGTCGTCGACGCTGGATGACACGACGAGGTGTATGCGTGTGCGCCTTTGCCTTCTTCGGCGACGACAGGACAATCGCGTCGCGCGTTCGACGATCCCAAACCTTATTCGGCAGGCTAGAAGCTCACGGTTGCGCTCAGGCTCGCGCTCGCTCAGTCCTATCGCACCTGTAGCAGAAATGCATATGCCGTTCTGTGTATCTTGCGAGTCATGAGCAGTCTCATTCTGAGTATCACGCCGAGCGAAGTCGATACTGCCGCCTTGCCGACGGTATTGGCGACAAGTGCCTCGCCACTGAATGCGCCAACGTCTGCAGTCACTTCGACATCCTCATCGAGCAGTCAGGCGGTAGTCAATACACCGATCCATCAGCTGCCTCTCAACATCATTGCCATCTCCGCTGTCGCTCTTGTTGTGCTTCTGACAGCGATTGTGCTGGCCTTCAAGGTCATAGAGCGAGCAGACCGACGACGAGACGCTGCACTGACGACATTCGTACATGCGAAGACAATCAAGCGTGTGTGGCCAGATCGAAAGAGCGAAGATGAGAAAACTGGCTCATGGTCGAGCGCAAGCAGCGCGATCGAGCCAGTCGCTTTACGACTGCCTGTGATCGGTCAAGTGCGGTCGCCCGGCACACCTATCATGACCGAACAGCCTTCGCGCAAATCGCAGCGCCCGAGTCTGTTTGACGATGCGATACGTGTCGACCAGACCATAGAGAGCCGATCAGATCCATTCAAGCGATCAGTGGTCGCGGAAAGGCTATCCGAAGAGACTGTGCGATCGATTCGTACACCAGCGCGACCTCCTCGTCCGGCCAGCTTGTCGCTTTCTGCCTTTCAGTGGCCACTGGCGAGTGCCAAGAGGTTGTCGCCCCCTCCATCTATCGCTAGCTTCGATCATCCCTTTGACGACTCGCCGCCGTTCTCGAGCTCGGCTATGTCAACGCTGAGCCAGAAGCAGGCTTTTCAATGGCGATCAAGATTTGCCAGGCTTGCTTGGAACGGTCGTAGCTTCAGCATTGCGTCCAGTCGAGAGTCTCTGGCAGATCCGAGCGTCAAAACGTCGAGCTGGCTCGAGTTCAGAGAGCGTGACTAGCTAGCGAGTGTATTTTGTTGCCTTTTGCATCACCATTCGTTCAAGCCTTTGACGCATCCAGGTGCTCGCGTGATACCTATTCCGCCGCGCAAGAGATCCGGAATGATCTTTCCATTCTTGATTGTTTGCTCGAACTGCAAGACGAGGATCAGCCGGGCTTGATAGATTCCTATGGAGCGCACAATTTGCTTGATATCGCCCGGTGTGACTCGACCATACCAGACCATCGTACCTTGCGGGAAGGCAAGGATGACATTGCCAGCGTAGCGATGTCCGCCAATGTGAGAGCACTTGACGACGGCCACCCGCGCATGTCGTGTGTCCTCTGAGATTTCCCTCAATCGATTCTCTACTGCTGCTCCTGTCTGTTCTGCGTCTATTGCATAATCTTCTATTGGTTTCTCGTCTATCTCGTCTAGATGCTCATCTACTTCCCATCCTTCGTGGGAGCACTCCTCCTTGATCTTGTCAATGAGCAACGGCGCAGCAATGGAGCATTTCTTGTCTCGTCGCTTGTGAGAGCACACGAGCATGGTGACCAAGTACGGCAACGGCTGAGAGCGCTCGTGACTTGCAGGGTCAAGCTGGCCCGTCCTGCGCGTCGTCGAGACGAGATGACGCTGGACAAGATCTGCAACTGGCTCCGGTTCGTTCTTGACTCGCGTGATGATCTTGTAGTCCGGAAAGATCAGGACCGATTGCGAGCTCGGGGTCGATAGATGACTTCCGTTGAGGATCGTCACGTTCGACGGCAAAGCCTCGTCGCCGTCACTTTCGCGTACCAACGAGGGATGGACGCCCGAACGTTCTTCCTCTGCAGCTTTGGACAATCCGAGCTTTTGCATAAAGCTACTGCCTGCTCGAGGCTTAGCCGGCCGTCTGATCCGCTCCGGCAGCGCCTTGAGCTGCTTGCTGTACTGCGCTTCGATCGTGAACGCAAGCGAGCTCTGATCGTCCATGACATCTCGGGTCCAATCGGATGCGCCGGTCGAGCAGACGACAAGCCTTGCGTAAGCATTGACTGTGCCTAGCAGCTTGGATTCTTGATCTATCTCCTTGTCCGTCGCTCGGCCGTAGCTAAAGTCGCAGTCCTCCTGACATGCGTCATCTTGACATTCGCTCGAAGCCGACGATAGAGGTACCCCTTGCGCCTTGAGCTGTGCGAGAATGGTGGCCTCGACCTGAGGTCGCTTGATGTGTGACACCATTGGCTGTTGCGAGCTGGCTTTGAGTGATCGTGTCCTGAATTAGCCGAGTCACGCGTACGACGCACGACGTGTTGACGTCAATCGCTTGACATGCTCGATCTCTCGTGCCAGACCCGACTTGATTCTGCAGCGTCTTCCCTCGTTTTGTCCGCAAGCGCAGCTCCCCTAGTATCCTCAAACACTTTCGCCCACGGACGCTCGGCCGGGGACTCCACTCCTTAATTTGCGTGTCAGGTACCTCTCCTGTCGCAGAAGAGGTCATCCGTCTGTCGCCTCGATCTCCTCAAAAACTCTGTCATCGCCCGCTCGATCGCGCGAACTTCACCTCAGACGACCGAGCAGAGCTTCTCTCGCCGAGGCTAGCGTCAACGAGATGGCGTACAAATCAGATGACAAGGTCGTCATCGCTGCTGAAGAGCATGCAGAAGAGCGAGCGCCGTACGCTGCCGTGACTCGTCAGCCACAAGGCAAATATACCATCAGCTCGCCGGAGGGCAAGTCAAAGATTCCCGCCATTCTCATGGTCACCTTTGCTGCCTTTGGCGGTCTCCTCTTTGGGTATGCGATCGCTCTTCACCGCTATTGGCTCATCCTGAAATTGACCGGACTGCGCAGGTATGATACCGGCTACATCTCAGGCGTCAAGGCTATGCCCTTTTGGCTCCAATCGTTCGGATCGCGCGATGCATCCGCACCCTCGGGTTACAGCATCACTACTGGCCAAGACTCGCTCGTCACATCCATTCTCTCCGTTGGGACGTTCTTCGGCGCTCTGATCGCCTATCCTCTGGGAGATCGACTTGGTCGCAAGCTCGGTCTGCAGACTGCCTGCGCTGTCTTTTCATCCGGTGTGGCGATGCAGACTGCTTCGAACAGTATCCCACTGTTCGTCATCGGTCGCATCTGTGCCGGCCTGGGCGTCGGCATGATCTCTTGTCTCGTGCCCATGTACCGTAAGCTTGCTCGCCATGTCGTCTGCGGCTTGCGCTGAAGTCAGGCACAGAAAGCGAGTGTTCGCCCAAATGGATCCGTGGCGGCGTTGTGGCTTGCTACCAGTGGGCCATCACGATTGGCCTTCTACTCGCCGCCATCGTCGTGAATGCAACCAAGGACATCAACAACAAGAGCTGCTACCAGATCCCCATCGGTCTCCAGTTCGTCTGGGCTGTCGTTCTAGCCGGCGGAATGGCACTCTTGCCCGAATCGCCTCGCTACCTGATCATGAAGGGCCGCAACGAAGAAGCTCGCCAGTCTCTCGGTCGTGTCCTCACCGCAGACGCAGACAGCACCGAGGTCAGTGAAGAGTTCGACGACATTGCGACTGCTCTCCAGCACGAACGAGAAATCGGTGCCACATCCTATCTCGATTGCTTTCGATCTGGTGAAGGTCGCAACGCGCTCCGAACGTTGACCGGCATCTTCCTCCAGGCGATGCAACAGCTCACCGGTATCAACTTTATCTTCTACTACGGCACTACCTTCTTCCAGCGCTCGGGTATCAGCAATCCGTTCCTCATCACGATCGCTACCAACGTTGTCAATGTCGGCATGACCGTTCCTGGCATCATGCTCGTCGACAGACTCGGTCGTCGGTGGATGCTCATCTACGGAGCTATCGGCATGTGCATCTGCGAATATCTCGTCGCCATCATCGGTGTCACCATCTCGACTTCAAACCAAGCCGGTCAAAAAGTCCTCGTCGCCTTTGTCTGTATCTACATTGCTCATTTCGCTGCAACATGGGGTCCGCTTGCGGTGAGTAGATCGCCCAGTAGCTCGAAGATATACTGATCCCGCGTCCCAGTGGGTCGTCTGTGGCGAAATCTTTCCTCTTGCTATCCGCGCAAAGGCCATGTCCATGTCGACCGCGTCGAACTGGTTCTGGAACTTCATCATCGGGTACATGACACCTTATCTCGTCGACGCTGGACCAGGTCATGCTGCGCTCGGGAGCAAGGTCTTCTTCATCTGGGGCACAACTTGCTTCGGCTCAGCAGTGTTTGCCTATTGCCTCATACCCGTCCGTGTTCGCGCGTTATCATAGAAGTGAGCTAACAGAGCAAGTCACATCTGCAGGAGACAAAGGGCCTATCGCTCGAACAGGTCGACATTCTCTACAGGCGCAGCAGCATCCGTGGCTCAAACGCGTACCGTGCGCAGATGCTCGCTGGTGACGTGCATGCTTCGGACGTGGAGAAGTAGTAGCATAACTGGGTATCACCATTGCATCTGGCTGAGTTTGTCGAAAGTCGTAGTGAACTGAGCGCAACATGCGATGGATCAGCGCGACGCGCGCTTGCAAGTCAGTGAAGTGACGGGACCGCAGGCCAGAGCGTGAGAGCGGTCGATTACGCTCTGAGCTGGCTCGCACTGCATTCTTGGATCTGCATCTGTCGAAAAGCTGGCAAAAGGTGCGTGTGCGGTGATGCGCTCAAGACAATAGCTGACGGGTATGGGGTCCTTGCCAACAGACGAGCTCGGCCACTGCCGGCGGTAGCCTCTCATGGCCCACCTACGCGGCCAACGACGGCAGTATGCGGGACAACAGGGAGCACAGCCTGAGCAGCGACACATCAAGCAAGAGTCATTTGACGCTGCCTCGTCACTCTTTGGCAATGCAGGCACGGGCGGCGACGACTTCTTTGCTTCTCCTGCCGCACAAGCGCAACAGAATACTCCCTTCCAGGCCGTCGTAGAGGAGCCAGAGCAAAAGTATGATCCTTACGCGGACAATGACGGTCAGGCGGCTTATGGCGCTCAGCAAGAGCAACCTCAATATGGCGCCTATGCGAGCTATGACGCACAGGCAGACGTCTATGCTGATTACGACCGCTCTCCCGTCAACGGCACGATCGACTTGCAACCTGCGCCAAGCTTCCAAAATTATAACAACACCTACTCTGCTCCTAGCGCGAATGAGCGGCGACCCTACCTTTACGGCGACCCACAGCAGAACGATTATGGAACGCTGCAGAGCGACGCCGCTGGCTACGACCAGCACGCCACTTACGGTGCTCCCACTGAGGATCCCTACACGAGCCAATATGCGGCATATGCGCCGCAAACGCAGAATGGCATTGATGAATACGGCCTCTCTGACGACGTCGTTGATGATGACGACGAGTATGAGAAATGGGTCAACTCAGTCTCTGCAGCTCCCTCCGCCCCACCGGTACAGGCTGCTCAAGCCACCACGAATGGGTACGGGGCGCAGGGCCTGGCAGAGTACGCTCAAACGGCAGCTACTCAGCCAGAAGTGGAAGACATTCAGCAGCAAGAGCATCATGCGCAGCAGCACTACGCTCAGCAGTATGTTCAGCCTCAACCCGAGGCTGCGATCCAATCACAGACGTACGCTAATGGCCATGGCCGCGCCTATGCTGCGCCGACTTCGCCTAGTGCCGCCTACGACATTGGTGCTTCTGCAGACGCATTACTTCCTCCGAAAAAGCCTACACCGCCAGTACTCGCCATCGATACTTTGCAGTATACGCCTGCCGAGCAAGAGGCTGCTGACGCCTTGGATGAGATTGAAGACGAGTGGGGACTTGGCTCGCCCAGCGATCTAGCAGAAGAGACGCCCAAGTCTGCGGAGTCTGGCGCACAATACGCTCAGAGACCGATGACGCCGCAGCAAACTGCGCCAAAGACACCAACGATCCTGTCGCCTCCTCCGCCGCCGCGTATGCTCACACGTCAGCCTCCGACACCGAAATCGAGCGCTAATGGTTTCACCTCTGCCCCTGCTCAGCCAAAATCTCCCTCGATCAAATCTCCGCCTGCGTTTGCGCCGCCTCCGAAGTCCTTCAAATCACCGACAGCGCCTGCAAAGGCTAGTCAGATCGTTGCTGCCGCGGAGCCTGCGTCGAGCATGGCGATTGCGCCGCAGCCAAAGCCGGTGCCAACAAGTATGAAGTCACCACCGTTGCGAAGTCTCAAATCGCCGCCGCTAGTCTCTGCACCAATCAAGCTGGCAGCGCCTGTGCAACAAGCGGCGGTCAATCGGCCGCAGGCACCTATGCCGCCGCCCAGTATGCCGACTGTGACGAGTCCAAAGCTACAGCCAGAGCCAGCCATCGATTTTGGCGGAGACGATGACTGGGGCTTTGATGACGAGGTCGCTGTGCCTGGTGAGGATTTTCTGCGTTCCAAAGACATGCGCTTACCAGAAAGCAGCGTCAGCTACGCCGGAGCCTGCCCTGCCAATCGGGGAGCAAAGTCCAAAGGTGCCAGAGCTGCGAAGCCAGTCCACCGAGCTGCAGAGTGAGCCCGTCACGACAATGGCAGCGACAGGAGTTCCCAGCAAGGCGCCAGTGGAGCCAGTGCACGACGATCTGGGCGAAGATGGCTGGCCTGAGGTGCCAGAAGACTTGCTGCAGGAATCAGTCATGCCTGAGGCTATCGCCGATACTTTGCCTGTGCCGACTTATCAGCCCGTTGAGAGCGAACAAGTCGCAGTACAAGCAGAATCTGTGCAAGAGTCTGCTGAGATACCAGCAGAGGAAACGGATGCACACGCCTCAACCCTACCTGCAACTATAGACGATCCGTACGCTGCTTACTCTCAACCGCAGACTGTGGCCAGCTACGCTTATGACCCATACTCACCTTACGACGATCGGCCGGCTCAACAGCCGCTAGGGGCCCCCGACTTACACGTGTCTCCTTCCGCGAACGCATATGAGCCAGATCAGTATGCACCTCTCGAGCCGGCGGAAACCGAATACACGCAGCAAGACTACAGTAGCACTGATTATACGTCTCAGCCGGGGGACGTCGATCAAGCTCCGCAACATTATACACCTGAGATGGATACGACACGAGCGCAACTCATCGAGGACCCATATGCTCAAGCTCCAAGCGACGTGGGACGCTATGCGCAGGAGCAATACGCGCGTGAGGCTCATACGATCGAGCCGTATCAGCAAGATCAGTATGCGCAAGATCCATATGCGCAAGACCGCTATGCGCAAGAGGCAGAGGGTCTGGGGCAGTATGCAGAGGACCCGCAAGGGGCGCAAGCGGATCATCAGGCGGCAACTTTGCTGGTCAGCGAGGACACGTCAAATGGCTACGCGCAACCTTGTGATCCATATGCGCCCGCATCATCGCTTGCCCAAGAGCAGCCGGTATCGACCTACGAAGTCTACGCAGCGCCAAAGATGGAAGACTCCTACACGCCTTCTGTTGAGGCCTACCCGCCGCCCAATCTGCCACTCCATGCAACGGCTGCCCCGCGCGAGCTGAAGCGTGAGGTCGCTAGTCCACCTTTGCGACCATCAGAGCTGCCTTCAAAGCCTGCGAGATCGAGCAGTGACGTCTTCGATCCCTACGCGCTGCCTCGGCCAAAGTCTCGCGCTCGGGCTGCGCTCCGACCTAACATGTTCTCACCGCCGACGCCTTCCCAGAGCCAGCCAATGCCGACGTCAGCTGTATCACAGTCTGCACAGATAGCCGATCATCCAACGGTAGAAGTGGCAGCATCGATGTCTCTACCCGAAAATGAGCCGCAAGTACAGCCATCGCCCCGCGCATTCGAGTTCCAACAGCAGAGCGAGCCGTACAGGGCAGATCAACTTGGGAGAGACGAGCGGCCGCCAATCCCTTTGGCCTGCTTCGCATTCGGTGGTAAGCTTGTGACATGGTTCCCGCAATCGACCGCGAGTCTATCGAGTGCTTACGGCCAGCCTTTCAATTCGACCGTCCAAATTCGTCGAATCGAGACAGTTATGCCGAAAGCACCTATCAGCACATTCAATGGTCCACTGTTCATGGATGGAGGCTCGCGTGCGAATCATACGAAAAAGCGCAAGGAAGTTCAGCAATGGCTAGATACGCGCGTAATCGAATTGGAAAGGCAAATCGAGAGCCAGGCGACACTGGTCACTGGTTTCGACTACGGCTCTTCTGATGCTACACGTACCTCAGAGCGCGTCCGAGCGATAGAAGAGAAGCTTGTCATGCTCAGGCTCGTTCGCATCCACCTCGCGCACGAGGGCAAAATCTCCGGACTGCCGGCCATCGACGATGCTGTGCGCGCCGTGCTGCTGCCTGCAAGTGAACAAGAAGGCGTGGAGAACTCCCTCAGTCTTCCAATCGCTGCACAATTGTCACACGGGCGGCAGGCTACTGGCGAATCAGCAATTGCATCATATAGCATTATGCCGAATGACGTTCAGCTGCTGCAGAAGCTGTTGGTACACGGCAAAAAGCAGGCCGCTCTGCAGCACGCGCTCGATAACCGGCTATGGACTCACGCGTTGCTTATTGCAAGCGCAATGGATAAGCAAACGTGGCAAGATGCAGTTACGGAATTCATCAAGGATGAGCTAGGCCCGCAATCCGGCGGTGGGAAGGATACAGAGGCTCTGCGCGTCGTCTATGGTCTTTTGTCGGGCGCTGGCGGAAGCGCTGTCCATCAGATCGTGCCGCCTCGCTCGCTCGCGTTCTTGACGATGATGCCATCTGCGCCTAGTCAGCTTTCTCTGCCCGGCATGGCCATCTCGCGGGCTGCGACACCTGCATTCCAGCGACAGGCCGATCCAGATGCTGTGCCTGCTGTGCCAGCCGAGACTCTCGACAAGTGGCGGTCAATTGCGGCAGGTATAGTAGCCAACAGGACTGCTGGCGATGCACAGGCATTGATCGCTCTTGGTGATCTACTAGTGCAAAACCAGCGTACTATGGCTGGTCATTGCTGGTAAGCAAGATATTGTCCTGATTGCTATTGAAGCTGAGCTCGATGCGCAGCTATCTCCTTTCGCCGATCGCGAATATACTCGGCGGACCAGATATGGCCGGAAGTCGCTTGCGTGTCCTCGCTCGACATTCAAGTCCGTCAGTAGAGGATAGCATCGAGACTGAAGGTGTCATCTTGACCGAGATCCTGGAATATGTCGCCGCGCTACTACCGACGCCGAAAGGTCAAGAGCCATATCCAGGCATGGCGCACCTGCAATCATATCGCTTGTGGCATGCCTGGCAGCTTACGGAAGTCGGGAACAACTCGCAAGCTCTCAGGTATTGCGAAGCGATCACAGCGACACTGAAGCAGCCCTCCCGCGCGCCGATCTATTACCATGCCGCGCTTATAACTCAGCTACAGGATCTCAGCGAGCGGCTCAATGCGACTCCGCAGGTCGACGACAAATCCGGCTCCTGGGTTACGCGTAAGATACAGAGACCGACGCTAGACTCCTTGTGGTCCAACGTCGGCAGCGGCTTGACAAAGTTCGTTGCCGGCGAAGGTGACGAGGGATCTGCATCGCCAGTACCAGCTCCGCAGCCGCCAACGCCGGTGCAAGCGACTGCCTCTCTGCCCAGCGTCGGACCCTTCTCGCATTACAGCAGCATTTCACCCGGCGTCATCCCGCCGGTAGCCTTTCCGAGTGGTGCTAGCGAGCCAGAGGATCCTATGCCTGCTGGCCGTCAGTTTACCCGCGGTCACGCGCATCAGCGTTCAATCTCGCTCAACGTCACGTCGACGTATGGACCGACCACCTACTCTGCGCCTTCATGGGCGACTCAGCACGATCCGTATGCGCCATCGAATCTGTCTCACGAGACGACGCCTCGAGACTCAATCGATTCGTATGCGCCGCCCACGTGGGGCGCTCATGATCCGCGAGCAATATCGACATTCGAAACGGTGCAAGAGAGCAATGAAGACGAGAGCAACGCTTCGCTGTCAAGACGCGATGAAGACGACGAGGATCTGGGATTTGGCAATTCAAAGCCGCGCAAGCCCGTCAATGATACCGATGAGCCACAAGATGGATCAGCCGAGCCCACATCAGCGAGCATCAGTCGTTCTACCTCTGCTGGGCCACGGCCAGGTGAGAGCAGTCAGTCGCGCCTGGCTATTGCGGTCAGTATTAGCTAATGTGGCCTATGTCTTCAGCTCTCAAGCCTTCGCCGTCCTCTTCATGGCTCGGAAGACTCTTCAAACGTGATGGCACAAGTCCGGGACCGATACGAGCCAAGTTGGGCGAGGAAACCAGCTTCGTCTTCGATCCTGTCTCAAAGCGGTGGGTCAACAAAAAGGTCAGCTCACTGCTGTCTTCACACTTGTGCAGGCTGACACGAAGCGTAGGCCGGAGCTACAGAGAGCGAAAGCGCTGCTATGCCACCCCCGCCACCTCGACGATCTCAAACGGCGTCGCCTGGCGCTTCTATGAGGGCTGCGCCTCCCGCGCGCTTCACCACTGTATCACCGCCTCGGTCGATCACAGAGGTGGCTTCGCCCGTGACCTCGGGTCCACCGCCGTCCCTGACGCGAAGCATGTCTGCTCTGCCGACCAATCCGGCGGTCAGCAGCATCAAAGCGAGTGAGCCGCCACCTTTGCCCTCACCGCGAACGTCAAGCGCGGGCAACACGCCGCCTCCACCGCCGCCGAGCTCTCGACCGGGCAGCGTGGGCAAAAAGAAAGCAGTACGAGCAAGATATGTAGATGTGCTAGCGCAGCAATAATGGATGACGATGCTTTGCTCTGCCCACATCCTTACGTGATAAAGATATACATAGTGACAACGTTATCTAGTGAGCGATCAGGTCAGCGAGTCTCGCTCGTCTTCGGCGAGTGTCTCGTGAGTCGCTGCAGCTGGCAGTATCTCTGTCGTTATTGCCGGTTCTGCAGTCGGTGCAGGCGGGACGGGACGATGACGAGCTGGCAGTGCAGGAGGTTCGGCGACGGTGACTTCTTCCGCATGAGGTCGAGCAGGCAAAGCAGGCGGCTCTGCTTCCTCGACAGCATCGGTGAAGCTGTTGTCCTCTGGCCTCTCTGGCTCTGCAAGCTCGAATGCGTCAGAGAAGGGCGAGGGAGCTGTCTTGCTACCGGCCGTCAAAGGTGGCTCGTCCGAGAGATCATGCTGAGCTAGATCGCCCGTGTTGTCAACCAGTAAAATTGGCTTCTGTCCGTCAAAAGCGGGCAGAGCTTCCGTGGCAGACTCATTGTGATCCACATGAGGCAGATCGGCCATGCTCGGGCCATCGTTGACTTCGGTTACGGCATGACGAGCTGGAAGGGGCGGCGGTACAGCAGGGACTGCCCGACGTGCTGGAAGCATCGGGGGCGCATCTTGTAGAGGTGCGCCAAGATCGCCGTCCTTTGCAGAGACGGCATCGTCAGAGTAGACCGAATCCGCGCTCGAGTCTGCCGTGGTACTGGTGAGGTAAGCTGGTCGAGGAGCATGCAGGTCCACGTCACTTGGTGATCGCAAGGGACTGTGGAAGCGCGGTGATGAGATCGAGGGCTCGGGGGATGAGAGCGCTTCGAGTTCTGGTCCTCTGAGGACTGCCGAGTCTGTCTCGCGCATCTTTCGATTGATGTCCGGGTCATCTATCCCGAAATCTGCCAGACGAGCAGCAAGCTCCTCGCGGTCTTTCTTGTCCTGCTCGTCCTCTGCTTCTGGATCGAGTCGATGCGGTGGCGCAACATATTCGTCGGCAAGCGAAGCGCCTTGAGGAATGAGATCGGTGGCAGTAGCCAGGCCGGATGCAGCTTGAATGGTCTGGATGAGACCTCTGGATTCATATGGGACCGGCATCTCGCCTGCGAGGATCTCTTTTGCAGAGACGCGGCGGTTATAGAAGCGTGCATTCTCGTCGTTTCGCTCGATGACGATGTTGCCGTCGAGCTGTAAGCCGCCGTAGAGACCTCTGCTCTTCGAGTATGACCATACCGGGGAAGCCTCCACGCCGGCCTCGAGAGAGACGCCGTTGCCGATAGGACCGGCGGCGACGCTGAGTTCTGCGCCTAATGTCACGCGCGGGTTGGCGAAGGAGCGAACGGCTGCTTCTGTCCTGAGGATGAGGACGACGTCATAAACCTGTGCGTGATGGATCAGCATGCGATCCTGACAAGGTACAGCAGGAGACCGACATCGACGCCGGCCAAGAAGCCGAACCCTATGACGTGCAGGAGGATACCAGATGGGCCAGACCAGGTACCCGACGCGTCTTTGGACATCACAACGCCACTGCCACCCGCGCCGGAGAGGATGAAGCCAGTTCGAAAGACGGTGAAGATGCATATTCCCCTGCAGCTTGCTAGTGCAGACGAGGGGATCTTCTTGATGATGCGTTGCTTCTTCTTCTCGTCATAGATCGTGTCTTGGTGGTCCAGATTGCCGGTCCTATCGAGTGTAAAGGTGCGCAAGATGCGAGCAGCTTTGGAACACTCAAGGTCGAGACTGGTCGGATAGAATGCCTCTATGCCGAGCTTAGCTGCACGGCGCAGCAGTCAGCCTTTCGTCCTCCTGCTACGGCCGAGTGGGCTAACCCGTTTGCTTGTTGGAATAGTGGCCAATCTTATCGGCCGTCTTGTAGAGCTGCAGGCACCAACATGAGCTCGCTACATGCAGCACAAGCTGCTAGCGTACGCCATCCCAGCCTGAACGTGTGACACTCTTGGTCTTTCCCCAGAAGCCCGGAGACTGACTGCCGGATGCGGTGCTTGCAGAAGGGAGTGCAGCGACAGTGCGTCTTGGCGGCGGCGGAGGCTGCGACATGCCGATAAGTGCTGAGCCAGGCGGCGAGTAAGGTCCGCGGCTGTCGCGTCATTGACGTTAACATTCGCCCTTGCCGTGGACTGGACGATGAGCTCGATGATGGGCACACTGCCGACCATGCGTATCATGACTGCACCGATGCGCTCGCTTGCTTCGTGTCGCCAAGTGCCGGCTAGCGTCGCTGCGCCGAGACTGCTGCGTCGAAATTACGCCAGCGAGTCGGACGACCCGATCGCACAGTCGCCGTTCTTTGCCAAGCTAGCCCAAGCTCCTGGTGCGATCGATGCGATAGAGAAGCTCACTGCCTTGCTCGAGCGAAAGACGGGCAAGTCGATCAGGACAGGCGAAGTACCGAGTGTGGCGGACTTGTACAAGCTGTCGTCGGATGAAGAGCTCAAAGAGGCGACAAAGCGGATCATGACCATCCTCAAAGAGTCCAACATCGAGTTTGACGAGCAAGATCGTGCGACGGCGCTCGAGGAGATGCGCAAGCTCACTTCCGGTCAAGGCTGGCCAAAGAAATGACAGCTCGACCCCCTGTCCATGACGGGTGACCAGAGCCTTCCTGCCGGCGTTTCAGCTCTGGCCTGCATCAGAGTAGCTTGCCTCGCCCGTCGTCAAGCTGGCACTACAAATTCAGCTCGTCGACGGCCTCCCAAGTCGAGCGCCGCTTCTTCGACCTGACATTTGTGCCAACACCCCCGACAAAGCTCAACGCTATTCCTACTCGCCCTCACCGAGTCCCAAAGATGCGCTCAGGTAGAGCAGCTCTGCTCGTCAGCCTCGTCCTCGCTCTCGCTTTGGCTTCACAAGCCAAATCTCACCATCATGGCATGCGCCGCTCGGCAGCCACCCATCTCAATGAGGCTGGTCCTTTGACCCAACGCTCCTCGGTCGAGCAGGTATGTCATGTCACGCCCATCAATCTCTCGTGGTGGTGCTGACGTCGAGTGATCAGGAGTACGAACGCCTCGCTCGTCATGTTCCTGCTGCCCGTCGTGGCCTCTTTGACATCCTCAGGCGGCACCCGTCCGAGCAGAGTCTAGCCCGTCGCGACAGTTCTACCCATGGCTCTGGTGGTAACGGCTCGGGCTCTGGCTCGGCGCCGGGCTCTGGCTCAAGCGGCAAGCAATGCAAGAAGCCTGCCACCCCGACCAGTGACAACGCTACGCCGCCTTCAACTCAGCCTTCTTCGCCGGCCGCATTGCCCAATCCACCTCCTGCACCTGCGAACCCAACCAAGACAACTTCACGTGCCGTTACTACTTCGGGTCAGCACATCGTGCCAAACAACAAGGATGTCACGGGCAACATCACCCCGGCCTCGAAGCCCACCTCATCTACTCCTCCCTCTACGCTGCCCAATACGCCCGCCCCGTCTACCACGCAGCCCGGTTCGCCTGCTCCTGCAACAACGGCGCCTGCAACACCTGCTACACCGCCTAGTGCTCCATCTGGCAGGACATGCAAGAGACCGGCTAACCCTAGCTCTACGACGACCCAGCCGACCGACTCTGATCTGCCGAGCACTTTGACCGCGCCACCGTCAAGTCAGCCTACACCGCCTGTCGCCGAACAGCCTTCGAACCCCAACCAGAAGGTGGTCTCAGAGGCCAAGCAGCCGTCTGGCGCCAAGACGCCCCTCGAGGAGGGTCACATCACGCCCGCTCATGGTACTCACCTCGGCTTGCACCTCACGCCCGAACAGACGGTTGGTACGCGACAAGGCTTCCAGACTTGATGAGCTCCCTTGCTCCTCCTCGATCTGTTGTAGGCCGTGCATGACTGAGCTGGCCTCGTTTGCATGCAATGGCTACATCGGCGTGGAAGGGATACCGTTCGCGAGCGTTGGCGAGCTGGGCGCGTCCTTCCTTTGGGCGGGAAAGGGCGTGGCGGGCAGGGTGAACTCGAAAGCGTCGGATTCGTCTGCTTCTGGTATACCGCCAGCTCGACTGCCGAGTCGAAAAGCAGCGCCGAGCTCCGCGAATGATGGCATCGACATGGCTCGTGACAGGCCTTGATTCTTTGCGGGCGTGGCCAGAACGAGGGTCTCGCTCGACACCGCTCCTGCTTGTTCGTCAGTCGTGGCACGCAAAACTCTCGTTCGCAGCTCACTCTTCGGACTGCTCAGCTTTCGCTTGTTGGCTTGCATCTGCTTGCTGCTGATACCCTTCTTGGCTTGTACCTTGGGCTGCGACTTCACCCCCACTTGTACTTCGCGATTCCTGAACAAGTTGCGACTGGTGATGCCACCACTGGTCGAGCGCGCGAATGTCCTAGCGTGCTGCTTGCTGAATATACTGTCTGCGTGCAGCAGATCTTTCAAGCCGGGTCGATTGTCACCTGTAGCAATCATTGCGCTTGTCTGAGATTCGCTGGCCGTGAATACTTTCGAAAGAGCGAGTGAGCCAGTTGCAGTGGTGCTTGAGGATCTACGAGCTTCGTCGACTGATCTGGCCAGTCGAGCTACATCTTCGACCGGCTGTTTGACCGGCGAGGTCGCAAAGATGTCGTCTGGCGACGAAGGAAAGAGGCGTTCTCGACAGGAGGCCAGTAGTTCGTCAGCAATCAGACCACTATAGTTTCCTTCCACGCAGCTTTGCCAGAATTGCTGAATTGGGTCGAGCGGCAGTGCACTGTCATCAAATGGCGACTCGGAAACAGTTTGACTGAACTCGTCAGATGTACCGATAGATGACATGACCTGCTGGAGCGCGAGGCGTTCTACGAGCATGTCGATAGTGCGCTCAGGATCAAGATGTGCTCTCGTACGTGACTTGTTAGGCGATGCTGAAGAAGCGCGAGGCCCCTGAGGAAACGGATCACAAACGAGCTTTTCGAGGAGAAGCAGTATCTGCAATTCAGCCCTGGTACACGCTCAGCGATGATCACGAGGGATGCCGAAAGCCTCACTCATTCGTTGCGAGCGATTTGATCCACTGATGCTTTTGCGAGTTGGTCCATCGCGTCGCTGTATGGGTCGACGCTGATTGAGAGGCTTGCGCCGGTGGCTTGTAGCGCTTCATAGCTTGGTAGATGTAGTGCGCCTCTGTGTCTGCGGCAAGACTGCTGAGCTGCTCCTCCTGAGCACCCTCCAACTCGTCTACGAGCTGTGGCATCTCTGTCCGCCAACGCTTGTCGAGCGTTTCGACGGGCATGATGGTCGCGTAGAGGAACCCAACGAGGGCATGTTGGTCTTCTGACGCACGCTGAGCCCGACTGGAACGCTTGCGTAGTCCTTCGGCATACTGCTTCATGGTCTGTTACCCAGGCCGTTGAGCATGTGTACGCGTACAGAAAGACAAGCGCCGACCTGCGCATCGCTGCTGGTGATGCAGCGCTCATACTCTCGTCTGAGCCAGTCGACATCTGACACTGCGGCAGGCATTGCAGGCACGGGGCAAGGTACATCTGCTCGAGATGGGGTCGTATTCGAGTGCCGCACTGGATGATCAGCAGCGTTCGAGACGGGTGCCGTTGGATAGCGCGGGTTCTCTGGCCAGGGAAGAGGGCATCCGTCGAGTTCTATGCGATACAGGAGCGGCTCCATGAGCGGCGCATGAGGGTGTGTCGGCTGTCCGTCTCCTGCAGGCGCGCGCTTCCTCTCTTGGTCTCTGTCAGTCGCTCAGCGGTCAGCCGTCGCAGCACATCGTCTAGCATGGCAGCAGAGGTCTCGCGCAGGTCTGCAGAGCCTGTGCTTGCAGACGATGATGAGCAGGTCATCGACCTCGGCCGGTCTGAGCAAGCTCAGCCTGAACCTCTCGCAGCGGCATCAGATCTCGAGCTGGGCCAGACAGCACCGACAGAAGGAGGGACGCAGCCAGCAGAGCCTCTCGTGAAGCGCAAACGAGTCATAGATGATGAGCAGTCTGTCAAGCGGAGCAAGCGCATGTTTGGCGTCGTCATGGGCACCCTCAGTAAATTCAAGGAGGATACCTCAAAGACGACCAAGGCGACCCAGAAACGCAGCGACTTTGAGCAACGACTGGCTGACAAGCTCAGAGCCGAAGCCCAAGAGCTTGCTGAGCGAAACGAACGCGCAAAGCGCAAGCGGATACTGAAGAGTGCTGTCACTGCAAAAGAGCTCGAGTATGACCTCATCAGAGCAGCAGTAGGATCATCATGCCGATCACGAGCGCAGTGCTGATGCAAGGTCACGCAGTATACCCGTCAGAACTCAGATCTCATCAGTCTAGCCGGCTTTCTGTGCGCGTCAGCTCCAAAGGCGAGTTCGAGCGAAAGGTATCTGCTCCGGCCGGCTCCCATGCCGTCGCTTCCCCAAGCAACCGTCTTATCGTCAGACAGCGTGGCTATGTACTACTTACCGAAAAAGCTGCTGCCAGCGCAGCAGGAGATCATCGACAAGCAGAAAGCCGAGGCTGCGCGGCTGGTCGAGGAATGTCGAGCAGCCTGGGCGACAGAAGATGCAGAGCGATCAGCAGAACTCGAAAAGCTCAAGCAAGAACGCTCAGAGGGTCTGGAGCAGATTGCAAAGGAAGAAGCTGCCATCAGCGTCAAGCAGAACAAGTCACAGAAAGACGCGGGTCAGCCCGTCCGTAATCCTGACAGCGCCCCGCCTGTCAAGGCTGAAGACGTATCAAATGCAATACAAACCGACGAGAAGAGCCCGATCGACAGCGAGAAGACAGTCGGCACTGCCTGACTCGTCTGACCATTCGATACAAACATCGGCACGACCGGCATCGACTGTTGTAAGACTTGCATCGCTTTACAGTAACGCTGCCATCCGCCCTTCGGTTGTATCGGCAGATCTGCTCTGCCAGAATCCGGCAGCCAAAGTGATTTCATCTTTCTTCCGACTACGGGCTTAGATTCGCGCGATCTCCGGACTTTTTCTGCATCAATTTCTGTTCGATCGAAGCTCACTCGTCATGACTCTCGCAGTATAAAGTCTCTCTCACTTCCTTGCTTCTTGCTCGTCCTTGCAAGCACCCAATAGCAATATGTTTGCACGAGTGGCGACCATCGCCATCTTGGCCTCAAGTTTCGTGTCTGCTGCCCCGGCGGCTGCAGATGTTCCCCTCAGCAAGCTAGGCGCTGGCGTCAAGGCACCCTCGACCGGCACCACCAACACGTCTGGCTATGCTGAGCCTATGCCAGCCGGCTTTGTCCAATCGCCCGATTATGCGGTCAAGAGCGACTTTGACTTTCAGTCGCTTGCGCTCGCTCTCCACCAGGAGTGGATCGAGCTCGCCATCTTCCGAGACGGCTTCGAGAAGTTCTCTCTGGCGGAGTACCAGGCGGCGAACCTGACTGCCGATGACATGTACCTCATCAACTTTATGGCCGACCAGGAAGTCGGTCATTCTCACGTGCTGAGCAATCTGCTTGGCGACAATGCGCCAAAGTCTTGCACGTACAAATACCCCTACAGCGATGTTCGATCTTTCCTCGAGTTCAACATCGAGCTCACACGCTTTGGCGAGTCGGGCGTATACGGTTTCCTCGAGAATCTCGACAACAGAGCGGATGCGCAGATCTTGCTGCAGTCCATCACGACCGAGGCCCGTCAGCAGATGGTCTTCCGTCAGCTAGAAGGTCGCTTCCCCATGCCAGTCTACTTTGAGACCGGCATCACACAGTCCATGGCCTGGACCCTGCTGTCGCAGTACATCGTCTCCTGCCCTAGCCAGCCTCAGAACCTGACCTGGACGATTTTCCCCCACCTGAACGTGACCGACACGAAGCCCCTGTCGCTCACTTCTGGCGCTGGCGTTTCGCACAATACCACTGCATTCTCCGCACCAGGCGATACGATCACGCTCGCATGGGACGCACCAGGCAAGAAGCAGGGTCCTTACGATCAGTATACCAAGAAGGGCGCTTACGCGACCAATTCGAGCTCGAAGTATGCTGGCTTCGTCTCGCAGTACAACGTTACCTGGGTCGAGATCAACAAGACGAGCACCTATGCGGGTACTGTCATCCAGCCCGGTGGTGGCGTGTTCAACCTGCTGCCCTCCGATACCGCCGTCAATGGCACCATGTTCATCGTGCTTGCGTCTGACAACCCCCACTTGACGCCTGCCAATCTTTCACTCATCAACAACTATATCACTGCCGGCCCCGCTCTCTATGCGAGCGGTTAGACAGGCAGATCTCCACAGACGCAGTCATTCAGAAGTCAAAGTCAGTCAGAGTATCATGGCAGAGTCGGAAAAGCATCAGGCCATCACCGCGCCATGGATTATCACCGCGCTATGCGCTTAATTTGTCAAAGTCAATGCACATATGTTGCGATACTATACAGTCTGGAGCCTGCCTTCTTATAGCTTCGGCAGACCTGCGAGCATCTTGTCTAGCTGTGCAGTACTGAGTGCGGTCAGATCAGAGCAGCCGCCGACGAGATGCTGCACGATGGTTCAGGTATTTGCTCCCCCAACAATCATAGATGCATACCGTTGAGATGTAGATCTGGGGTACCGTCACCCTGCCGACGCCCTGCTTCTTTGCAAGGTAGGTCTGAATGGCATCGCCCGCAGGATCGTGGTCGAGCTCGAGCACCTTCATGTTCGCCGACTGGCCTTTGTCCGAGAGGATCTTCTTGGCCTTGACGCAGTAAGGGCAGTAGGACTTGCTGAAGACGGCGATCGGAGCAGACTCGATCATCGAGTCGACTCGCTTTGCGATGGCTGCCATCTCTTCGGGAGTCGCAGAAGGTGCGACGAAGAATCTCTTGACTGCTGTGACGATGTGACTCATGCGCTTCCTTGCGAAGATCTCCTGGATGGCTGTCAATAGATTTCAAGCTGAGCCGGTGTCAAGTCGATGACGACGTTGGCAACGAAGCGCGCCGTGTCAGACGAGGCACCGTGCGCTGACCCTCGTACAGCTTGAGCAGGCGGATGGCCCTGCTGAGATGTCGATAGCAGTCCAGCCAGGCCTGCAAGAGTGGGACGAGACAGATGACACGCCTCAGCACGAGCAGCACGAGCCACGCTGGGGTGAGCTGAGCGAGTCCGAGGAAGAGGAGGAGGGGGAGGAGACGGACCAGCTCGAGATCAGCTCGCAGGATGATGTAGAAGACCATATCGCTGCTCGCAATGGGCGCCGGCAAGGCTATGGCGGGCGAGACGCAGAGGAGGGAGATGCGCCGTCTGATCAAGGCACGGGCTTTGTCGAAGTCGTTGCAGGCATTGCTTCTGCTAGGCAAGCGCAGCGCTCCCAGACCGACAGTTGCTGACCGGTACTCACCACAGTATCTCGCCTGCGCCGCTGTTGATGGCCCATGCATTCTACTTGACCGGACTGCCCCTCGGTATACCCGCACTGTACATCACAGCAGCACTCTACTGGCTTGCTCGGATCACGCTCGACGTCCAGGCACGCTATGTCGGGGCCAGGCATGTCTAGCCTCTGGCAGGAGTTGAGCAAGCTCATAGCAAATGGGCAGGACCTATTCGCGACTGGCACATTCAGTCTTTCCTACCGCATATGGCGGACACGTCATCGGTCAGCTCCTTGTGAATGCGACCATCCTCTTTGTGGCCGGCGGAAGAGCGGTCGTTGCTCTGATGAGCGCCACAGATATCGTACGTTTGCCGTTCATCGGATCACATCCAATTGACGCGGCGATCAGTTCTGTCAATTCTTTCCGCACAAGCTGCCCACCCTTGCCCGCATCATTGTGCCCTTTGTCATCACCCTCATCTTCGTATGTCATCCTCTCGTCAGAAAGACTCGCATCTCATGAAAAGGGAGTAGCTCATACCGGCTGCATCTGCCCCTCGTCGGCCGTTCTTGTCGGAGAAATCCTTTCCGGTCCTCACACGCTTGCCGCTTCTGTCGAATGCGCTCTGGCTTCTGGTGCTCTTCTTGATCGGCGTGAGGGCAAAGCGAATCGACTGGGATGATCCCGATACGATCGCATTGCCGCCAGACGATCATGGCGACGGCCTGCTCCGTCACGAAGTCATGGGCACCAGCGTCTGGGCCGGCATCGGTATGAGGCCCTTTTGATCGATTAGGGTGGTCATGCTGAAGATGGCCCGCAGCCATCATGGTTTTCGCTGTTGGTTCGCCTCGCAATCTCGTCATGCAGTATCACCGCACGCGACGGGACATGTTTGCGAAGCCTAATTCGAAAGCAGTCAAACTTGCGCAAAGGCACAAGGCAGAAGCTGCTGGTTTCATTGGTATCGGCGTAGCGACTGCTGTCCACATGGGCTGGGGTCTCGTTGGCTATCTGGGCATACCGCGCGGTGGCAGCAAAGGTGCGGGCCAGTCTGTTCCAAGAATCTCACAGACTGAGGGCTTCGAGCAGGCGACATCTTTTCGTTGCTACCGCGGCGTGACGGTTGGATCATCTTTGCTCGCGTGCTCATCCTCTTGACGCTCATGCTCAATCTGCCGTCGATCATTGCGCCAGCGCGGGATGCCCTCGTCAGGCTGACACGGATGCCATTTGCGCCGCACGGTCATACCGGGCAGCATCATCTGGTGCCAGAAGAGGACGCGAGCACGCACGAGGCGAGCGAGGGCAGGAGACGTCAGGCGACGCCAAAGACTTGGGATGTCAGACTTGCGATTGCAGCAGTCTGGCTCAGTGCTGCTACCGCTAGTGCAGCTTTGCGAGAGGCAGCGCCGGGTGAAGCGGCGCTGGGAAACGCCGCAGAAATCATCGGATGGGCAGGCACCACGACGCTCAGTTATATCCTCCCTTGTACGCCCAACCATCTTATGAAATGTCAAATAGCTAACGGAAAGGAGCAGCACTGTTCTTTATCGTGCTGTTTCACATAAGGAAAGCGCGGCACATCTTTGTGTCCGACCCGGCAGCTATCGCCCAGGACACACTCTTGCTCAGGAAGGAATATCAGTTGCAGAAGAGACTCAGCGGACGGAGGATATGGCAAGATCTTGGCTCGTTCGGTCTGCTCATGCCACTTGGGCTTGTGATCATCATCCGAGGTGCTATAGCTGTCAGTAAGCCATATTGATGTTGTAGACCTATCTTGACGAGGCTTAATTGACTCACTCGTTGACCAAAGTCGCGTGTAGCGTGCAGCCGGAACGCCAAGCGCGCCGCTCCTTCCACGATCTGGCAGGCCAGCATGTCCGATGAGTACATAGCTGCGCCAACGAGCAGTGCAGCGGCCTATACGCCCCAGTACAGCGGACCGGTGACAATCTCCAGCGAGAGTGCAAGGCCAGAATATCATGCATCAGCGACTGCGCCTTCACGCGAACCTGCGAGCTATTCATCGCCGCTCGTACCGACCTACGTCGCGCCAACGGCAGACTCTGCAGCCGCGACAGCTTATGAAGCGCAACCGCAGCTGCCTCAGCAGATAGCTGTCCCCACTTTGCCGGCTACAAGTACGGCCGATAGAAGCAAGGGCAAAGCGAGAGCGAGAGTGCAATCTGCTCAGTCTACTGCGGCTACGGGTACATCTGTCTTGCCCGTAGCGAGAGTGACGAAGATCATCAAGGCCGACAAGGACATCAGTATCTGCAGCAAAGAGGCTGTGTATCTCATCTCGGTCGCGACAGTCAGTCGTCCATCCTCCCCGTGCCTGGGCATACTTGATGGGGACTGAGCCGGCAGGAGTTCTTCATCAAGAAGCTCACAGAGGCAGCGTCGACGACTGCAAGGTTAGAGAAGCGCAAATTTGTCCAATACAAAGATCTAGCGACCACAGTAGCCAACTCTGACGAATACTTCTTTCTGGAGCGTGCGTCTCTTCTCATCTCCTTTTGCGTCAGCAGCTGAAGCCAGCGATAGAGATTATACCGCAGCAAGTGAGCCTGTCGACAGCATTGGCGAAGCGACAGGCGCAATTCGGCGTGCCTCCGCCGGCTGTACACGCTGCGCCTGTGCCCCTTGCGGGCGAGAACGGGATAGACCTGTCGACGCAGACGAGCGAGAGAGGCTCGGTCGATTTGCCAGATGTGCCAATCGCGAATGGCGACACGTATGCTGATCGAGCCGAGAGCGGGTCAGAGATCGAGGACGACGCCATGCGGCTCGACGGGTGACGTGCAATGCATCACAACTTGCTCTCTTCTGCCGCGATCGCTTCCCTGATCGTACGCGCTACGAGCGTGCCATCTTGTTCGTTCAGTTCCGCTCGGCCGCCCATGACAAAGTCGGCAGGTTTCTTCCATTTGCGGGAAGTTTTGCCGTATGCAGGTGCGACGACAATGTGGAAATGCACGTGGGGCACGACTTGCAGGTGACCGCTGTTCGAGACGACGTTGAAACTGTGATCTTCTGCGAGCATGGCTTCCTCTGAACCTCCTTCCAGCGTCTTGATCGCTCGACATACAGCGCGAGCAATACGGGGTAGGACGCGACCTATGCTCGCGCCGATAGCATCTGGCAAGTCCGACACTTTCTCGTGATGCGCTTTGGGGATGACGAGCGTGTGACCGCGCGAGATGGGCAGGATGTCGAGGATGGCGATGACGTCTTCGTTCTCAAAGGCAATGTGAGCGGGATCGCCGTCGTTGATGATCCCGCAAAAGGGACAAGTTGGATCGGATGGTCTGCTCTGCTTGATCGTCTCGCCCCTATTCTCGATCAGTGAGATGAGATGCGATGTCATCACGGCCAATGTCTACGGCTGAGGCTGCTCCTGTATGGCGCTGGGTGTCGGGCGATAGGCAACAGTCGATAATTTCCTATCGCGACTCGATCAGCGCTCACCTCGACGGTCGACGGCAAGATGACGTGACGTGGCCCGGCAGGCAAGCATGTCAGAGCTCACAGCGACCAAGCTGGCTCAGTACCAACAGCTCAACTGTGACTTGTTCCTACACAAGAGCTATCACGCACCTCGTACCAGCAGAAAGGAACCCGACGCCTACAAGCAAGCAGTCTTTGACCGTGGTCACCGTTTCGAAGCTGAGATCGTTGCCTATCTCCGATCCGAAGATCGCATACTCGATGTGAACTCACTGAAACCTCGAGATGCGCTCGACGCTATCGTCAGAGACCCGAGAGACGACTTCTTTGTCGTTGGGTTTGCCGCACGAAGCAACTTGTCTACTCACTTTGAGCAGCATGACACACCACCGGTCCGCTTTGGTACCTTCAAGCCTGATTTCGTTCACATCACAAAGATTGAAGCGGCCATACATTGGCACCTCATCGACGCCAAAATGTCACATCAGGTCAAGCCGAGCCATTTTGTTCAGCTGTACTTTTATCATCTCTCGATGCTAGATCTCTTGCGCAACCGTGCAGATGAGACTTGGATACCTTCTGAGGATATGTCAGTTTGGCTGCCGTCGCATGGCGTTGACGGCAATCCCGCAAGAACGCCAATTCGATTAGTCGCGAAACGCCTCGATAAGATGTTTTTTGGTGACATACCGCAAATGCTTGGGCGGGCAGAACGCGAAGTGGACTACCATCTCAACCCGTTATGCAAAGCTTGCGATTTCGAACCGTCTTGTCGTGATCGGGTCAATGCAGAAGGTAGACTGGGCAAGATTCCTGGTCTATCGCACGCAGATCGCCATACATTTTTGTCACTATCAAGACATGAAGGTTCATGCAGTGTAGACGCAACAGAAATAGAAGAGCTTGACTCGCTCTTGCATAGTCCGAGCAGAATGGCTGAAAGATCAACGGCTGCACCCGAAGCCAGCAGTCGATTGCGGAAAGCACTCGCTGTCAATAGTGACGGTCAGAGCAATATGCTCGAAGCAGCAAAGATGTCGAAAGTTATGGCAACAGGCCGTCGATCTGGCGTTCTGTCTACAGCCGAAGTGCGTCCACCCTGCTGTCTATCCAGGTTCCTCTGACGTGGCGCAGGACGTCGCTGTCATCTTCAGTCTGGTGCCCGATCCGAATGCGCTCGATAGCGACATCGTCGCGTTTGCTGCAGCCACCTACGTCTCGGATACGGCTGTGGTCAGTCAAGAACATCGAAAATTGCTTTCGATGCCACAGTCGGGCGACGCAGCAAGCTTTGTCAGGATTGCTGCTCGCGTGCTGCGCCGAGTCATTGCTGCCGGGCTGACTGCTCAAGTCTACGTCAGCCAGCCTTTCGAGCGAAGTCTTCTATCCAGTCTAGTCGTTCGGAATGCGCTCGATGATAGAGTTGAGACGGACGATCTCAGAATGCTCATCGGATGTCTCTGTGAGGGTGCTGCTGCCCTTGCGACGCAATTTCAGCCTATCATCATTCGCGATGCCCTCGAAGTGCTCACGAATAAAGGCGCACTACAAAAGACTGCGCTCGTCGCTTGCGCAGCTCGGCTCGATCTCCCAAGCGACGGCTCGGTCGATGAAGTACGCGAGCGTATCGCCGCTAATTTACAGACTCGCTTTCAGGGTAAAGGGAATGCGGAGGTTGACGGTCTCAAGGTTGTTGCGTTGCTTCATGAGATCCCCCGCGTGCTCGCGATCCCCGTACCGGGTTATCTGCACACGCAAGCGGTCTTGGCTGCGCTCTCTCCCCCAGACGCTCGAGACCTTGCAGACGACGAGCAGCTATACGCTCAACTCGAACGCGGAGGGCTGGAGTCAATCGCTTGCTCGCTTTCTCAGCGCACGCTAGCCTGTCTGCAAATACTTCAGGCCGCCCGTACAAAGCTACCGATCTTGACTGGAAGGCCATTGGAGCATACACTGCTGCGCTCGAGTTCGATCATGAAGCCGATCTTTTGCGACGTCTGTCATCATCCAGCACTCCGCAAGCTTAGCTTCGTCACACAATTCGAGACACTCTCCCGGCTGGATAAGCTTGTGACCGGTCGCATTGATGATACCAGCTCGATTGCATCACTGATCTTCCTTGGATCTTTCAAGTCAGACGGCAACGTATGGTTACAACGCTTTCGGGTCGTTCAGGGCGCCTTGGACCCTCCAGCAGAAGCAAACGGCTTCCCACTCTACGACTACTTGCTTGTCAAAGCTTCAAATCACGTCGATTTAGCCGTGACAGGCTTTCCCGATCTGGCGCTCAGCAACGCGCGTGTGCCTTTAACATATGGCGCAGCGGCTAGCTGGCGTAGCATGTCTGACGAAGTCCGCGAGAGCGTTCACTTTGCGTCGATCGAGAGCGTCGATGACACGCTTGTTTGCTTGCGGACATGGTCAGACCCATGGAAGCAGCCAGAAAAGGGTAGTGAATATCAAGTCCATCTGCGCCTTACCGACTTTAGCTTTCGCAACATTTTGACAAGGCTAATGATCATCGATATCAGCTCGACGCAGTCGCTACATCCTTTCGTATCTCTCGTGTCTGATGCAGATGCTTTTGCAGCAGAACCATCTTTTGGTGGCTCAGCAGATGAGCTTGCCAGAGAGGCACAGATGTCATCATTGTTTACGGCCCTCAAAGGCCTACGTCCAGACATTGCGCGTGTCGCATTTCAACCAACACAACGACGCGCGTTCCGTAGAATGCTAACCAATCGCCTCAGCGTCGTTTTCGGTCCGCCTGGATCTGGCAAGACCTCGACGATTGCCCTGAGCTTACTAAGGCTCTGCGACATCGTCCGCTCTACTAATTCCAAATCATGCTCAACCATCTTCATGACTGCCATGACGCATGCCGCAATCGATCAGTTTCAGGCACGAGTCGAGGACTTGAAGGCCCTGATGAAGGACATGCCTGGCTTAGACACCGACTTCATTGATAATCTCGTACTTGAGCGAGTCCGATCTGGCACAACGCACCCAAAGCCTCAGAGTCCAGCAGGATCAACTGCCTGCTATCTCGCTACAGTCTGGCAGCTCGCAAAGCTTAGCGATCGCTTCAAGCTAGAGGCAGATTTGATTATTGTCGATGAGGCCAGCCAGCTCAGCTTGACGGCTTTGGCAATGGTCACACAGCTGTCGCAACACGGTAAGCTCTTGCTAGCCGGCGATCCGCGTCAGCTGGGCCCGATAATTACTGGCACGGTATGTCTGTCAGACAATGCGAGCTTGTCGGAAGCTGAAAGACTCGTTCATGGCAGTATCCGCCTCAGGACGCCTACCTCTACGGCAGCTCACTCGACTGTGTGCTGTATCGTCACCAGGACTCCGAGTCTCAGTCGAGCTTTGGTATGGGCGTGACGCAACTAGAAGAGAACTTCCGTCTCAACCCGGATCTGGCCAGCTTCGTATCCACAATATACACGCGACGCTTTGTATCGATGAAGCGTCGAGCGCATGACCAGGTTGCGAGACGGCTTCAGCTCCATCTAGACCGCCTTGCGCGTAGTCCCACGCGCGTTTTATTCTCCAATATTGCATGCGCAATGCAGGGCTTGCCATCGACACTTACGAAACCCTTTCGTACAGCGCCCATTTCTGCCGAGCTGCATGCCTCTCTCATCAACATTGACCTCTCACAGGCTAGCGCTCGATCACCAGCTGGGTGCGCAGAAAGCGAGGCGCAGTGGATTGCCCGTATTGCGCATATTCTGCTTGATGCTGTCGATGACGCGACCGTCTTCGTGGCTTGTCCACATAGAAAGCAGCGTCAAGCTGTTCGACAGGCCTTTGCACAGGCGTCACAAGCCTCACAAAACCTGTCCGACCTGGTTGGCAGCCTGACGCTCGAGGAAACCCGGGCCTCGAGGATCAAGATCGAGACAATCGAGCGATTGCAGGGTGCAGAGGCCACATTCGTCATCGCTTACTTCGCCAGTACAAATGCGGACAGCCTTTCGGCGACTGAGCTAGAGTTCTTTTACGTCCGCGAACGACTCAACGTAGCGCTTTCGCGCGCCAAAGAGCTGTGCATCTTGCTTACTTGCGATGCGGTCCTGATGCCGCCGCTACAAGCCATCAGCAGTGTCGCTAGCCGGGAAGGCTTCGCGTATCTTGACGAGTATGTTCAGCGAAGCCATCGTGCTCGCGTCCAATTGTAGGGTCGTGCTAAGTCACTTGTCGTTGTACACTTTGCATTCGCATTTGTCAACAAAGTATGACATCATGAATTGGGGATGAGAATATACATAGCATTTACAGACTCAGCGGGTCGTCCGCTCCGAATCAGCTGGACTGACACTCCTATCAGCTCCGCCAGCCATAGACGTGGGCGAGTCGCAACGAGGCAGAGCCAAAGGTGTTATGGAGCCTTCTTCGGCTGGCAAAGGATCGATCTTGGTCGGCATGGCAGGTAGCCATGCCTCGGTTCCGCCGAGATCGCGAGCTTCTTGCCACGTCATCCTCACAGGGGCATAGACGACGACTGTTTCTGACAAGCGCCGACGTGATCTGCCTTTTCCTTTGCTTGCAGTCGGCGTGTCATCACCAGATGATTGCCGTACTGGCGCAGAGACGGGTCCGATGCCCAACCCGGTGCGTGTAGTATCGAGCATGGGCAAAGCTTTTGTCGTCATCTTGCTATCGGGTTCTATCTGCTCGACTGAGCTCGCTAATATTGGCGAGTTCCTCGGAGCGCCTTCAAAGGTGGGTGGCAAGAGCATGATCAGTGAATGTGGTCTGTTCTTCCTGCTCCTGTGGTGTGCTGCGGAACCAGAGGAGCCAGTCATTGGCGACTTGATGGATGATGACAGACTAGGCGATCGGATCACTCCTGTCGTCTCTGCCTCGATTGCAGTGACCGGCAGAGAATATGACTTGATAGGTGAGTGAGGCGACGTAGCGCTGAGAGACCCTCGTCTGACGTGACCTCGCTGATCGTACGTCACCGTCGTGGGATTTGGACCACCGCTGGACGACGGAGTACTGAAGCTCGTCGGCCTCGAGCGTGCGGTACGCTCGATATCACTGGATCGCTCTTTGAGTAGAGCCTCTGTTGACTCGAGCTTTGCATAATTCAGTTCTGAGCGCCGGGCGGCTCGAGCGACGATACGGTTCCAGTAATGGCTTGTCGCAACGACGAGACCAACGCGGATGCAGACGAGAAGGATCATAGCCAGCGCAGTCAGCGCAACGAGGAGGGTCCATCGTTCCTCGCAACTCTCGACGCCGAACCCGCCTTGACCCAGTACGGCATACGAAAGCGTCTTGAGGAAGCCGGTATCGTCGCCCTGGGTGCCTTTTGGGAGGGCCTGCATGATGTTTGAATCGCGGCGTGTCAGGAGCGCAGAGACAAGGTCGCGCTTGACGAAACGGCGGCGTGCATCTGTGTCGAGCAGGGAAGATGCCAAAGTAGGCCGATCGGAGTCGCCTAGGGTAGTTCCGACGCCCGACCAGAATTCGCCGGATGTAGCTCGTTCGCAGATGACATGCTTGAACGAAGCTTGGTATTTCTCGGTCAGGTATAGTGCCGTTAGCGTAATGGAGGAAACGATGAAGAGGAGCAAGTCCATGAGTGAGTAAAGGAAGAATACGTTCAATGTAGCCAAGTGTTGCTGCGTTTCATGGTCAGCTTCATTCGGCTTGACAACCGGACTGAGATCCACCTTGTAAACAGCGTGGAAGCCAGCAAGGGCGGCAATGACGCCTATGGTCGAGTATAGGCGACCCAGAGCGAGTGCGATACCCATCCCCAGCGTCGATGAGGCATGCGGGCTATCAAAGGATACGTGCTGAGCGTCAGTGCGTCTGTACGAGGGTGGTGCAGCGTTTGCTTCGAGCGAGACGGTGCCCAAGTATGAGAATGCCCAGCAATGAATCACGAATGTGAGGCAAGCAAGCGCGGCCGCTGCCAACCTGCGCGTACGTTGCCATGAGATCCTAACAGCATTAAGCGAAGCGCACGGAGCACACCTAGAAGTGAACAAGCGTCTGCGTATGCGCCAAGGGAAATCCGTCCCATCTGGTCGCCTCCTGCTCATGCTAGGCGACCGCCTTGGGCTACCTGAACGTGTGCGGAACATTTCCGCTTTCTCTTCACCAGAGAGCAAGCCATTTGAGGAGCGCTGGTCGTTGTGGTCATCATCTGAATCGTCAGACGAGAAACTAGGCATGTAGGCTCGTGAGGATGTCTCTGACCGAGCGCGCGATGTGCTTCTCAGTCCGGGAGGGACATACTGCCTCCACAGTGCTCTGAGACCTCCGAGCGTCGACTGTGCACGGGGCTTGAGACCCCGTACGTGCCTATCAAACAGCCTTGGGTCTGGCGTTCCCGTCGATGTCGGCCTTGATGCGGCCAGTCCGACGTTTGAGTTTCTACGCTTCGTTGTAGAGTCGTCCATCGTGTCTGCGATCTGCTCGCCCGGCAGAGTGGGTGCGCGACAGAGGCCAGTCGAGTGTACGTCGCCTCTGTGATCAGGGAGAGGCGACCGGGCTTAACACGCCGAGGATTTGACGGGTGTGCTTATGCGGCCAAAGACTCTGCTCATCTCTTGCTGTGGCAGTGCGACTATCGACAGGATGACATACGAGGGCGACTCTGATCGTCACAGTCGTTGATCAGACCAGTCAGTCAGCTCGATAGATCGACAGTCTCGCGAGGGGGGTCACACGAGTTGTCCCACATGGATGCGAACCGCGCCGAGACGGGAGGTGGCGAGCTGCTGGCTTGCCGCGTGCGCGCGCCAGTGACGAGCAGGCCGCTGCTGAATAGATGGGCGATACTCTCAAGGATGCGCCCGAATTCTTCGAGGTCTGCCGGTTGATCCGCTTTCTAGCAGCTTGGCTGACCTTGTGGCATCCCTGTCTCGCGCTTCGACCCTCCCGTGTGCCATTGTCGAGCTCAGCACGACGTCGGCTCCTCGCTCATCTCTCGGACAGAGCAACTAGGTCAGTAGAGCTTGTTGCGCCAGGGCAGGCTGCTGAAGCAAGCATCTACAAGGCACCTTTCGGGAGCTGGGCCCGCCTGATCTCTGTCACGTCGTCAAAACTACTGGCCGCTCAGGCAGCAAAGATGTACGGATGCAAGAGGCAATGCGCTCGCTGTAGCTTACAGCACTTGCTCTTCGACACAGCTTGGATCATTCCATTACGTATCTGGTGTTACCGCGACTTCGTCAGCCTCGCTAGCAGCGTATCTCAATGTGCGCTCAGCTTGCTCCCGTCAATGCTACAGCTGACACGAGCTACAGTCACTCACCTACACCATCGATGGCGTTCCATCTTGGCTGGGTGGAAAGTCTCGTAGCGACTGGAAGATCAAAACGGGCTGCTACTGGTATCTCTGCGTTCGCACAGCGGATCGTCAACGCTGAGCGTTATGCAGCTGCTTCAATGCCTTTTCTCGCGTCGACGTGAGAGTGGAGGTCAAGATACCCGGCGGCGTAGATGCTTACGTTATCGACTTGCGAGGCGAGAGGCAGGCTGCTTCATCTGAGCAAAGCAGCAAGCAAGCTTACCAGCAGCTGCAGGCACGATCCAACGCCGCAGATTTGGACAGAAGTTTATCTCTCCTCAATTCTTCGCGCCATCCTCTACGCTGATGATCCGGCGTACCGGCTTGCGGGATACAAGAAACTCGATCCCATACGCGACATCGAAGACGAGCATCGTTTCGTCGCTGCAGCCGAGCAATGCTTCTCTCAAGGCTGGCTACTAGGCAGCGATCCCGAGATACAAGTCGCAACATCTACGAGCAATCACCTTACTTCTGCCATCATGAAGTACTTTGGCGACTCTTATAGATGGGAGCCAGCCATTAACTTGTTCGAAAAGCTGGTCGTGCGCGATGGCGAGGTAGCCAGCCTGCTCGCAAAGGCATATATCTCAATGGGTGTGTCTGTCAGCTTCTAAATGCACGGGCGCCAACTGATGCTGTTGCAATCGGTCAGACGAAGAAATCAAGGGCATTCAGGTCTTACACCGCGCACTGCAAGACCACCCCCAATCATACCCACTCCTCCATGTACAGACCGACTTTTTGCGCTCAAAGGTAAAGTTCTGCCATTCGCATGAGGCAACGCGCTGATACTTTGCAGGGCGAGCATGCCTGGGCGCTCAGGCTGGCCACAAAGGCTGTCAACTGCGCCCCGTCGGAATACGTGACGTGGGCCAAATTGACAGACGTCCACATGGATCTCAAGCAGTGGAAGGAGGCTCTCCTTACGCTCAATTCCTGTCCTATGTTTACCTACAACGACCGAGATCTGCATCGCATGGGCACGCCTGCGCGGACACATTTGCCGATAAAGCAGTTCATTGCAGATTCCGACATACTTGACGACGATGACGACAACAACGAGGCTGACATTGCTCTGTTACGATTACCAGCGCCTTCGCTCAAGGGAACCTTCGCGCACGCCTACGCGCTGCTGTCTCGACTAGTCAGCGTGATCGGGTGGGACGAATTGCTCAAGTGCAGGAGCGAAGTCTTCGTCATGGAAGCCGAGTACGCCGAGCATAGAGCACAGCAGACCGGCCCCAGGCGGGGTAGCGCAGCCCTGCTGAATGGATCGACTGCGGACAGCATTGCAGGTAGCGAAGAAGCCGATGATGATGCGTCGACCCATGGACTCAAAATGAGCGATACAGCCGATACGTCACTCGCAGCGCCAGACATACCCGACATCAGCGTATCATCAGATCTCGAAGATCATTCTGTCGACGCTGTCCGGAAAGGTTCCGCTGGCGAGCTGTCAGGTCAGGCAGATGGCATCACGCCACCTGTACAGGCGGTGCACGATGACAAAACGGACAGATCGGACGCCGCTGACACCTTTGCGCAAGATGCTTCGCCTATTGCCGGGTCCTCCTTCCAGAACAAACGACTATGCGAGCGATGGCTTGACAACCTCTTCATGGTACTCTATGAAGATCTGAGAGGTGCGGCGTGCTTGAAACAACGTACTTACATGCTCATGACTTTTCGTGACGCAGTCTATACGATCTGGAGAGCAGAGCTAGCTCACTTCAAGGCTCAACAGCTAACGTATCGCAAGACCGGTACCGAATGGGAAATCCTTGGCGAACTCGCGCAAAGACTGCACCACAAGGAAGAAGCGAAAGAGGCCTACGAGCGCGCGACTCAGCACAAGTTCAGCGCGAAAGCATGGACAAAGTTGCTCGAGTTCTACGCGGATGAGCGTGATGTGCCGAGATCTCTGGCAGCTGTGGTACGCCTGGCGACATATCAGCATCGCTGGTACATGGAGATGTCGGCAAGTCTCTCTCTCTTTTGACGAGTCTGCGATATTGCAAGCTGACTAGTATCGTGCAGTATCCTACGACGGTGGCGCAGCAGCTGATCAAACTGATCAGATCAGAGGGCGTGTCGAAACTGAGCTACTCGCTCGTGTCGATGAACCTACAACCCCAGATCCTGGCGCTCTGTCAAGGCTACTTCCGCTATGCTTCGACGTTCCGCGTAGAAGGTCACGACTACTAATGATCAATCATGAATGCATCCTTGAGATCGATCTCGCCAGTCGCCTGAATGAGTGACGCGTCCGTCCTCTGCGTGCCTCTTTCGAATTCTCATCAACCCTCGAAGGCGCTGTGGTAGGCTTTGCAAGTCAGTGCATGCTTCGACTGGTCAACAGGAGACTAGGCATAGCCAAGCGATCGCCTCTGCAGACGTACAGACCCGCACGAGGGCCCAGACGATCGATGGCAACTGCATTGTCCTACGATGCTCCCAAGACGCTAGGCAACTTTGATCTCACCAATGGGCCTCTCGATCTTCGGCAAGAGCTTGGTAGGGACATCAAGCTATCCAAATGGGTCTCTCGCAAGTCTGGCCTGCGAGTCGTTCACGTCGATGTCGAAGGGCCACTCGTACAAGGCTACCTGACAGTGGCGACAGAGATCCACGACGATAGCGGCTGCCCCCACACCCTCGAGCATCTCGTCTTCATGGGCAGCGAACGCTTTCCCTACAAAGGCATCCTCGACAGTCTCGCCAATCGCTCGAATGGCAATGGCACGAACGCATGGACCGACACGACTCATACTGCTTATACTGCTAGTACAGCAGGTAGCGATGGCTTCTTGCGGCTACTGCCGATCTATCTTGATCATGTGCTTTACCCGACGCTCACTGATAGCGGCTTCACGACCGAAGTCTATCATCTCAACGGAAAGGGTGAAGATGCGGGCGTGGTGTACAGTGAGATGCAAGGCAGAGAGAACGGCAGTGGCGACCTCATGTCACTCAAGTGTGTACAACAGGTCATGTTGCCCGCAGACAACACTGACTGCTGAGCAGGCTACAACGGGCACTGTATCCCAAGGGCTCAGGCTATCGCAGCGAAACTGGCGGGCTGATGGAGGCTCTGCGCATACTGACTATAGATCAAAGTGAATATCGTGCTCGCTTCTTGTAGCGTGCATAGCTGACGCGATTATCATCAGTCCGCGATTACCACCACTCGTACTATGTACCGCATAATCTCGTGCTCATCATCACCGGCAAAGTTGCGCCCACCGAATTGCTGCAGACTCTTCAAGACACCATCGAGCCAAGCATAGAGAAGCACGGACAAGCCCAGGGCGTGAGACCGCCGGGATTCAAGCGGCCCTGGCTTGAGACGACTTCGAAGGGCGGCGCAGTCCTAGACAGCACACGGTCTGAAGAAATCTCGTTCCCCGAGCAGGACGAGTCAAGCGGCGAGGTCCTGCTCAGCTGGCTCGGTCCACCTCGTGATGACTTCTTGTCAGAAAAGGCGCTCGATATCCTCAGCACATATCTGTCTGACTCACCCGTCTCGCCCATCTACCGCGATTTGGTTGAGATCGAAGAGCCACTCGCCACGGATCTTGGCTTCTACGTCTCGGACCAGGAGAAGCATGTGCTCAATGTTTACGCGACGTCAGTGCCGACAGAGAAGCTGAACACCGTCAAGGACAAGGTCATCGAGGTCTTCCGTAGAGTCGTAGAGTCAGGCATCGATATGGAGCGAATGGCCATGCTTCTCAAGCGCGACCGCATCAAGATCCTGAGCAGTCTCGAGAAAGACGCAAGCGAGATCTTTGCATCCAGCGTCATATCCGACTTCATGTTTGGCTCAATGAACGGCAAAGATCTAGAGCGATCGCTTAAAGAGCGCGAACGCTTCGAGACGCTACAGACTTGGTCGGCGGAGCAGTGGGCTGAATTACTGCAAAACTATTATATCGACGGAGCGTGCTTGTCAATCGTTGGCAAACCGTCTGCTACGCTTGCCGAGAAGCTCGAGAAAGAGACCTCAGCACGACTGGAAGAGACCAGGGCAAAGTATGGCGAAAAGGGTCTAGCAGAGCTAGCAGAGAAGCTAGAAGCGGCGCAGAAGGAAAATGACAAAGAGATTCCCAAGGAGATCTTATCAGACTACAAGATCCCTGATGTCAAGTCCATACGATGGATAGACGTCCAGACTGCACGAGCTAGTGGTCTCTCGCCGCCGCTTGGATCTGCTGCTCGCAATGTGCAGGACTATATCGAACGGGACAATGTCAAGCTACCCTACTTCGTTCAGTACGATCACGTCGACAGCAACTTTGTTGAGATCAACGTTGGCCTGTTCCCTACTCATATACCTGCGCATCTTCGCTCTCTTGCGCCGATCTACCTCAGCTCGTTCTTCTCGCTGCCGGTGACCAGGGAAGATGGCACGAAGCTCAGCTTCGAGGACGTCGTCAAAGAACTCGATCGTGAGACAGTCTCGTATGACATCTCGCTCGGCACTTCAATGTCAGAGATCTTTGAGCTCACTATCAAAGCCGAGCGTTCCAAATACGCTACCGTGATCGCGTGGATCAATGACTTGCTCTTCGGCAGTGACTTTGACATCAATCGGTGCGCGCCTTGACTGCACACTGGCATGCTAAGCTGACTTTTGGGGAGCAGACTCAAGATCACGGCATCCAAATTATTGCAGAGCTTGCCATCAGAAAAGCGTGACGGCGAGACCATCGTGTCTGCCTTGTACCTCAGAGCGACATCTGACGCTGACAAGTCAACGCGACGCACGCTGAACGTGCTCGACCGATCAGAATCGATCTCAACATTGCTCAAGCGACTCCATGACGAGCCTGAGAAGGTGCAAGCTGATCTTGACGAGTTCCGTACAGCACTCACAGCACCCGGCTCCATGCGCATTGGTGTATCTGGCAACATCCTAGGCATAGAGAAGCCAGCCGCGGCTTGGACTGAACACTTTGCTCAATTTTCGGCTCAAGACCAAGAACCATCGAAGCAAGCGAGAACGGTGAACGGCGGCTCCCCCCGCTCCAGTCAGGTCGCTGCCCTTGATCCCGTCTTGTCGGGTCGCGACGTGCTCAGCAAGCTCGGCCGGCAGCCTGCAAAGAAGGCATTCCTGATGAGCATGCCATCCATCGAGAGCAGCTTCGCATGGCACGCAGCAAAGGCGCCGACCGATCTCAACCATCCAGATATTCCCGCTTTGCGCGTCGCCTGCGCGATCCTCAACGCCATGGAGAGCTACCTCTGGAAGTTCATCAGGGGTGCCGGGCTGGCCTATGGCGCATCGATTCGACTCGACGTCGAGCGTGGCTTCGTCATCTTCCGAGTCTACAAAAGTCCAGACAGCAGCAAGGCCTACCTAGAAGCAAAGCGCGTGATGAGCAAGCTTGTCAAGGGCGAAATCGAGCTGGACGAGCTCACACTGGAATCGGCAAAGAGTAGCATGGCCTACTCTGTTGCTAGTCGCGAGTCGAGCGTGTCCGATGCTGCAGCTGTGTCGTTCATCAATCAAGCGCTAAGAGGTCTACCGCAAGATCAAGAACGCGAGCTGCTCAGACGTGCAGGCGAAGTGACCGTGAAGCAGACCCTAGCTGCACTTGACAAGTACATCCTGCCAATCTTCAACGCGGACAGCTCCATTGCTGCCATTGCATCAGCCAAGTCAAAAGCAGACGATATTGCTACTGCCCTCGAGAAGGAAGGCTTCTCTGTCGAGCGCACAACGCTCGAGCTATCTGCAGCCGAGGAAGACGGCTCATCTGGATCCGACTCCGGCTCAGAAAGCAGCGCATAAATGTGTTGTTGTCATGCATAGAGTGTTCAAGCTTATTCTGCTTCTGCTTCTTCTGCGTGTTCATTTACTCGGTCTTTATTACAATCTTGCCGAATGCTCCCTTTGCCAGATGCTGGTAGGCTTTTACGACATCGCCGAATGCGTAGACTTGATCAATGATTGGCTTGACATTGTGCGCGACCATGATACGTTCGTTGAGCTGCTCGAACATTTGAACCGAGCCGACCATGATGCCACGAACATTGGCCGAGCTGAACAAGATTGTGATTGGAATATTGTCCTTTGAGTCCTTGGGCGGCGGCCCGCCGAGAGCACCGATACAGAAGACGCCACCATTCGGCTTGATGCTCTTCAAAGACTGCATGAATGTGCCTGGGCCGCCCACTTCGAGCACTTTGTCCACCCCAATGCCATTGGTGAGCTCTCTGACCTTTGTGCTCCACTCTGGCGTCGTGCTGTAATTGATCGTCTCCCACGCGCCTAGCTTCTTGGCGCGAGCAAGCTTCTCGTCGGAAGAAGAGGTGATGATGACTTTGGCACCTGCAGCGACGGCTTGCTGGAGTGCGTGAATGCTGACACCGCCCGTGCCGAGGAGCAAGACTGTCTGACCGGCTCTGATGGGCTCATTGAAGCCGAAGAGAGCTTGATAGGCTGTCAAGGCGGCACACGGCAGAGTAGCACCTTCCTCGTAGGACAAGTGGGGTGGCATGTGTACGAGGCCTTTGGCTTCAAAGCAACGGTACTGAGTCAGCGTACCGTCGACTGGGCCGCCCAACGTCGTCGCCCAATACTCTGCCTTCATATCGCCAGACTGCCACTCGCCCGTAAAGGTAGTCAGTACCTTGTCGCCTACTTTGAGCGTAGTGACATCTTCTCCGACAGCGATGACATCTCCTGCTCCGTCACACAGGGGAATGGGTCCGCCGTTCTTGGATTCGATGGGCGGTGGGTAGTGTCCCTTGAGGATCATCTGATCCCTGTAGTTGAGAGAAGTTGCCCTGATGTGGACTAGAACTTGACCACGCTTCGGGGCAGAGACGGGCTCTTCGACCTGGAACAGGCTAGTCTCTGCATTTTGCCCGCCGGCTTTGATTCGCCATGCCTTGCTGGTCGCTGGCAAGTTTCCTCCTGACATGTTGCTCAAGTCGAACCGAGCTCTGCTTCAATGTCCGAGGAAGATATCGCTTCCCCTTGCCACTCGCTTGCCGCATTGCTAAGCATGCGTCAATTGTTTTCTGGCGTCAATTGTTTTCGCCACAGGGGCGGGACCGGGCCGCGGAGTCCGGCGACGTCGGCCAAACCGCGATTGGCGCCTGACATTGATGGCATTTGACGCGACTAGTGTGGCCTACAAGTCTGCCAGCTCGACCGGACACATTGTTTATTGAAAGCCCATTGATATTGCGACTTATCTGATGGCCTAGAAGGTGGGCGAATGCGAGGATGTGCGGCGGAAGGCTCTCGAGAACTTCGGGTGCGCCTGTCGGACTCTTTGACCAGCCGCTGCCGATGTACTGCTGAAGACATGATGGGCCATCCCTGAAGGTGCTTGCTGACTTCATTCGACAGTGTATCTGCATTCGCTCCCTAAATGCTAATAGCCTTTGCTTACGCCGTGGCACGCTCGCCAACACTGCGACGCAGCACACGAGCCATCGATGTCCGCCGCAGTTATGCACAGGGTCCGGTATCTCCTGGTACGAAATATCGCAAGCGAAATCAGCGAGATCAATGCGTGAGCTCATCAGGGCTGCATACACGCCCTCTAGAGGCCATGTCAATCGTAGCAAAGAAGCTGACCCAACTATGAGCGTGTACACGTCGGACGCAGGCCATTCAGCCGCTCAATGGATCAGAGCTCGCGCAAACTTGACCAGGCTGGCCGTCGGCACGGATCCGAATGGCTTCCGGGACTCTAGTACGAGCATTCAGAGGGACAGCGTGGACCGATACCCATTGGGATCTCATGGAATTCGTCCGGCCGATAATTCAAAGCGGCATCCCTGAGAAGCTCACCGGATTGTCCGAATATAGGTCCACGCATGCACAAGGGCGACTAGCCGCCCAATGGGTGGATGCATGTCCCAAACTTGGCTCGAAAGATTCGAAATATCGGCCCCCCAAACCGGGTTGTGCGAGGCATACCGTTGTCTTAGATAGTGTGAAGAGCTGGCCTGCAGTGACCTCGCTAGACCTCGCGTGTCCGAGTGTGACTTTAGCGATGCTCGGGGAGCCCTGGTCAGTTCACTGGCTGGCCGGGCTCGGTCTGCTAGATACGAAGACTTTGACGGTGCTATGCAGCTCTTATCGATCATGCGAGCACATAGTCAGACATTTACAGATATCAGTGTCTACGTAAGGGAAAAAAAGGAAGCGAAACCACCGCTCTAGGCCGCTCGCAAGATCGAGTTGTTATGCCTCTTCTCAGCGGCCTCCGAGCCGCCGAGAACATCAAATTGCTAGCCTCTGATTATAACATGCCGGCCTTCATCACACTATCGACGATCATGCCGGATTGGACCATCTCCGCCCCGCATGTGGATCTGCCAAAGTTGCCCACGCCTGCAAACGTCGGAGTATCCGCAGGATGCAGGAAGGCAGGCTTTTTTCAGGACTCGATAACAGCGAATGGGCTGCTGACGACGAGCCGGGCGACGACCATCACGCAAGCGGAAGCGAGTTGAAGCATGTGCCACGTAATTATGACGACTTCGAATTCAAGCATCAGCTGCGCAGTTTCTGAGGGCACGAGAACTCGCGTTCCGCCAAATGGTGGATCGATATACTGCCGAGATCTTTCACCGCGGACGACAAGAACGTGACTCCCCCAAGAGGCTTTCGCAGCTAGTGGGTTTGATGGTGACCCTCGCAATGGATCTGGCCTGGAAATGCTATGATGCTTCGCGTTGATCCTGTACCGCAATATGTGCATTTCTTGAATTGAAGGTGTGATCAGACTCGGCTGGTTAATATCAATGGAATGTGGCAATAGGTTCAAGAGGTATGCAGGTCAAAAGTGGACCTGCGCAGAACCGTGAGGAGACGTGACACGTGATGCTCGACGTGACACGTGACTGGCGTCAAAGCTGAATCAGCTGAACAGCGCTTCGGTGCTACAAATGTTGCGTGTGCTGGTGGCTACGAGTGGTAGCGTGGCTTCCGTCAAGCTGCCGCTCATTGTCGAGGCTCTGAGAAAGCATTCGGACCGGCTGGAAGTCCAGGTCATTGCAACAGAGCATTCACTGCACTTTTACAACGCCGACAAGCTGCCATGTAGGGTCTGGAGAGATGCTGACGAATGGAAGGCAAGCTGAAGCCTGCGTGCATGCTCGCTATGCTCATAGATCCGAGCATGCAGGACTGGGACAAGATCTCTGACCCAATAGTGCATATCGAGCTCAGACGATGGGCTGATCTCATCGTCGTCGCTCCCTGCTCTGCCAACACGCTCGCAAAGATAGCCAATGGCCTCTGCGATAATCTGCTGGTATGCAATTCGCAGGCGGATGAGACCCGAGCTCATGATAGGAATAGACATCTCTCTTGCGCGCCGTCGACCCGAGCAAGACCAAAGTCATCCTCTGTCCGGCGATGAATACGCAGATGTGGCAGCACCCGCTCACAGCGATCCAGCTCAGTATGGTCAAAGACGTTCTGGGCTATCAGATCATGGGTCCTGTCAGCAAGAACTTGGCTTGTGGCGATGATGGCATGGGCGCAATGTCGTCATGGCAGGAGATCGTCGATGCTGTCGTCTCGGCCGCTGGCTGAGCGCACTGGAAACATCGTCTGCAGCGGTGAGGTACAACAACACATTTCAATACAGTCATCCTGGCATGACATACACGCTCGTTCGAGCCTCTGACTCGACACTGTCAGACGCGCCAGGCTCTCGCCACGAGGGTCGAACGACGACGGCCAGTTCGCGCAGTGTCGGCTGTGGCGGTGGGAGAGCAGGTTCTGCATTTGCTTCCGAAGCAGGCTGAGGCGGCGGATCGACGACCTCGTACACTCGCAGACGCGGTATTGTCGTATGTCCCGGCATGCCAATCGCCACAAGGGCAAAACGCAACTCGCGCTGTCGGCGAGGTAGGACACTGAAGCGTGCGATCTTGCGCGGACCTGCGAAGACCCAACTTTCCGAGCTATCCATTTGCGCAGTCAATTTGAGCAATCGTGTTGGCGAATCATTGCATATTGTGAACCGGATTGAAGTCGGCATGTGCAGCCTGATCACCGCAGGCAGGTCTACCGCCACTGCTACAGACTGTGCTGTTATTTGCGGGTGCAGCACAACAAAACGTGACGTGTTTGCAGGTACTGACTCGGGCTGGTCTGTTCGGCGCCAGCAGACGACTAGATTGAAATCTGGCTGGAAGTCCGCGTCGATCTCGGCTTCATGCGCGCAAGCATAGCCGGTTCCTGGCAAGAGGTCTTGATGAGGCTGCGAGGTATTTCCCGTCTCAGGCAGAACCGTGACTTGCTCTGAGCTGGAATGCAGCACCACATCCTCGAGACTGATAGCCGATGCGCCTAACCAGGTCAGTGCTGAGAATATCGATAGAGATGTCCGTTGCATTGGTGCGTCGATGGCGAGAGCAAGTTCGGGCAAAGGTAAAGTTTCCAGTGTCTGCAGAGTAGACGTGCAAGCAAAGGGCGCTGCAAAATCAAGCTTTGTCACCTCTGCGATGCTGTCGAGCGTTCTTTCCGTCCGCGACTCCTCGGAGATCCTCGGTGTGATCATCGTCTCAAGCGAGCGAGAGCTTGCCTCGCCTGTGGCTCTGATCCAGAAAGTTTGAGTGATTGTCTGATCCGGCTGCAGGAAGTCAGTGTCGAATGTGATCTTGACAGCTGCAGGATCAGAATGCATATCGGAGATGACACATTCTGCGAGGCAGGTCAGTATTCAATCACATAAGGCGGTCAAGGCATACCTCTGCCTGGCTCGCTGATGCAAGCAATGGTCACCGAATATGCCAGTGCGACGCTGTCGATATTGCTTATGCTTAATTGGACTTGACTGACATCATCGATGTACAGTGCGGAAGGCGGCTCTATGACAGCTCTCGCAAGTGCAGGTCGTCGTGTGAAGCTAATAGTGCATTAGCCTGGCTCAGTCTGCTGGCTCACATGCTCACCTGCAGCTTGTGCAGTCATTGGCGCTCGAGAGCAAAAAGCTTTGCAGTTCTTGCGAGACGGTATCGCGTCTGTACCATTCGAGCGACGATTGGACGTTGGCATTGCGCAGTTCGAGTGCGATGTCATAGCTTGATGACGTCTTGGCCAGTTCAAGACGCTCGAATGCAACGGTGACTGGCTTGGAAGATCTGATCCGACCCGCAAAGATCAATGTCGATCCTCTGCTCCAGGCCAGAATAGCTTCTGAGGTATCTGCATCATACAGGGCAAGCCTCGAGCCTTGCTGATGTTGACCATTCCATCGAAAGGTTTGCGAGTTCTCAAAGGTAATCTCGAGTGAGTCAAAGTCGACCTCGTCTAAGAAGTTCGTTTGCGACGAGATGCTGAGTTGAAAGAGTACCTCTTCGTCAAGGTATGCTTCCGCTTGCCAGAAAGCGATCCGCGCCTCGACGAGTGCTGACAAGCCTGTCAGATCTAACAGCACAGAGCGGTCGTGTTCGGCCCCAGATTGGATCGAATCGAGCGCTCGCAAGCTATCTACTAAGCGCCATTCTGCTGCTGGCCGTTCGCAAGAGCGGATTGCTGCTTCTGCAGTGGCAAAGGCGAAAGCTCCGGCATCATTTGTATCCCGAGCGTTCAGTTTGGCAGATTGGGCGACATTGCTCATCATGTCTAGCCAGCGATCCTTGCGGTAGTGCTTCGCAATTCTCTCGTGGAAACGCAATGCCATCTCGGCATTGTCAGATTCGTCATGTACACGGGCGATCTGACCTGCGATGTAAAGACTCAACCGATTCGATCTCTGCCTCTTGAAAATTTCGTATGCTTTACTCAATAGATCGATGGTGAGCTCATCATGTTTGATTTTGCCTTCGTATTGCAGTGCCGGTGGCAGAGAAGACGAGTGTCCATTGCTGAAGCCGTTGACTTGATGCGTCTCCGCCACAACGCGTAATCTGAACTTGTCTCGTCGGTTCCGGGTGCAAAGACCAGCCATGAGATAGAAGTGACCGGCGTGCTGGAGGAGGCGTGCAGGTGAAGAGCCGGTGGGAGTCTGTGCAGGTGTTGGGGTTCTGGTGCTTGCAGCTAGTCTGGGTATGGGCAATCTGTAGCCAGATGCTACTGCCAATTCGACAAGATCGGCTAGCGAGCGATACCTAGGGCACGAGTTAGAATGGAAGGCGAATGTCACAGTGAACGTACTGCTTAGCAAGCCAGGACCAGTATTCGTAGGTCTCCTCGCCGATGCCCCAGCCGTTGCATAGCTCACGGAACCGCGCGAGATGCTTGGTGTACTGTACAACGACGCGCTCTGGCTCGTCGGCGTACATGTAGAGCTTGCATATCTGTCGAGCGAATGCAGAAGATCAGCCACCTTCTTGCAGACGCTCGCAGGAGATGCTCGCCTTGAGGTTGATACAATCCGCAAGCACCTTTGCTTCGGCCCACCGCTTCGTTCGAGGCGGCATGAGGGCTGTAGACGAGAAGATCTCGAGGAGGGCATCTGAGCAATCTTCGTAGTGCTTCAGCGCGACGTCGCACTCCTGTCTGAACTCTGCAAAGGTGGCCATCTTGTAATCGTAACGGATGCTCCAAGCCTGAGCAGACAAAGGCTGAATCTTTACAGCTTCGCTGGATTTGGGGATGCCATTAGTTGCGCTTGATGGCATAACCGCAGATAAGATAGGCTTCGGATTCGAATGGATTGGTACTCGACTTCGCTTCCTTCGGGCACGCCGCCCATGCTCCTTGTAATAGTCTGCAGCGGAATCGTAGAGCTCTGATCGCAGGCTGCTCGCAAAATTTTGCGCTTCTTGTACAGATACTGGGGTGATGACGAAGAGTGCGCCGCGTGACTCGAGACCAGACTGTCGGCGGATGTGGCTTAAACGAGGATCAAGAGATGGATCGTCGAGCATCTTGCGACTTGTGAGCAAGACGACGGCGAGCTTGACGTCGCGCTCAGAGCATAGCTTCTTCCTATCCGATATCTCGAGGATCATCTCGGAATCCTTGACCTTTGTCATGACTTCCAACTCCCCCTCGTCTTCATCCTGCTCGCCTGGCCGTCCGTCACCTTGATCGTGGTCGCGCTTCATCATTGAGGGTTCCCATAGCCTGAGCACGAGTACAAAGGCAGCAGGCACGAGCTCTCTGTGCTTCTTGAGCCAAATGGGAGCCATGAGACCATCAGGATGTAGAGGCGAGCTGGCTGTCAGCGGCGAGAGAGGTGAATGCAAGGCCGCTAGGTTGCTGATGCTCTGGCCGGGCGCGCTTCTTGCCTTGCGCGATGGAAAGCCTACACTCTGCCGTAGAGGGGACCGGTCATCAGCTCAGTCGGGCGCGACAAGAGCGCTCCAGCTTGCCTTGTCGACAAAGATGATCCGAAAATCGGCGCCGCTGCCTCTTGAAGGGTCCCATATTGTCTGAGGCGCTGGACTCTTGGCCATGAGAACCTTTCTCAGCGTGGCCCTGAGCCGATCGAATGGATCTACTGCAGCATGACTGCTCTCTGAGCTGGACAAGGCAGCTGCAGTCGAAGGAGCGACATCACAGCCTGCGACAAAGAGGAGCGGCAGATGGTGGGCGAGGAACTCGAGAGGGAATCCCTCCATCCCGTTGCGCTCCCTGTCGCTCTAGCGTGCTGCCAAGGCTGTCATACTGGCTGCTAGGCGCATCGTTCGAGGCAGTTGACGTTGATCGACGTCGCGCCTACGTGTTGGCGCTTGTTGGCAACGACGACGTTCGACGACGCAAATAGCGCTGGCGAGCCTTATCCACGTCACTGCTTCGGCGCCAATGCTCGGCAAGTCTCGACGGTCTTAGGTCTCCTCAGTCACCGGCTAGACCGCCGAAGCCGCAGGGGCGCTTACAATCGTCGCCCATTCGCGATGGATCTACTATCGCAGCGTTCGATGCATGCCGAGCCTCTGCTCTCACTCATCCTCAGCCAGCATGAGCACTATCCGGGAGAAAAGCACTACAATGCGCTCAAGAAGCGCAACGCCTTGGTCTCTCGCCAAGGTCAGCTAACCTGACGCATCGCGCGAGAGACGCTGATGTTGGCAGACACGATAGACGACGACGGCGAGCACCTGCCGACAGCTGCAGATCTTTACATCAAGTCGCTCCCTGGCTTACCCTCAAACTCGACTCTACAGATGTGGTCGGGCGAGATCCCTTCGCAGCCTCTCGATGCGGAAAGCGAAAAGACAGATGCACACATCTTCTTCCTGCTCGTTCGCAACCGCCATATAGCCGACAAAGAACGTCTCGTCATCTGGTTCAACGGGGGTCCGTCTCACTCTCATGGACAGGAGCACCGACCTAAGATATGCGCAGGTCCTGCTTGCTCCTCTTTCGATGGAGCGCTCATGGAAGTCGGTCCAGTACGCGTGCAGCCCGGTGGCGACGCGCTCAGGGAAGTGGATGATGCTTGGAACACGTACGCCAATGTCCTGTTCGTCGATCAGCCCCCGGGAACGGGCTACAGCTACGTCAGCACTGACAAATATCTTCACGAGCTTGACGATGTGAGCACACCGTTTGCTATCAGGACAATCTCTAACGCTTCGGCAGGCATCCAATCATCTCATATCGTTTCTCAAGTCGTTCTATGAGATCTTTCCGGAGTATCGAGCAATGGACGTAAGTCAAGCAGCTGCCAATCAGCCTGAATGGGGAGCTCATACCTTTTCGGTCAGACGTATCTCGCAGGCGAATCCTTCGCCGGCCAATATATACCCTACTTTGCAAACGCTATTCTACAGACGACTTTGATACCCACGCGGTTGCAGGGTCTGCTAATAGGCAATGGCTGGATTGATCCCTACGCTCAATACTTGTCCTATCTCGACTTTGCCTACGAGAACAAGATCATTACCAAGGGTAGCGAGGGAGCAGGACTCGTAGAAGAGAAGCATAACGCTTGCAATGAATCACTGCAGCGCAAGGGGAGAGATAGCTTGCACATACACGAGAACGACTGCGAGCCAATCCTGAGTACGATACTGGGCACGACGAGACAGACGTACATTCCCTTGCTGTCCCAATCTGATGTTGCTCAGTGTAATCGCAGGGTGAACGGAAAGACAATGTGCATCAATACCTACGATATCAGGCAGGTCGTATGCGCTCATATCAGAGCGTTACTGACCCAATGTTCGCAGACTAACAGACGAATATCCGTCATGCGGCATGGGATGGCCAAGCGATCTGAAAGACCTCTACAAGTACTTGCCAGTGCGTCTTTGCGTCTCGCGTCGTCTCGCGACAGAGGCTAATAGCAAGTGCAGCGAGAGGATGTCAAATCTGCCTTTCATGCGGGTTCCAAGGACGGCGCTTGGGTCGAGTGCAGCGGTCCGGTTGGTACCAACTTCCACGCTCACAAGAATAAGCCGTCTATCACTCTCCTGCCAAAGCTTCTCGAGCAGATTCGTCAGTCGTACCGCTGCTGATCAGTTGAAACGCTGATCGCATCCTTGCAGCGATCTTGCTCTTCTCTGGCGATCAAGATTTGATCTGTCATCATCTTGGTACAGAGCGCTCCCTGGCAGATATGACGTGGAATGGTGCCCAAGGGCTAGATGTGCGCGCTGTCCTGGTCCCAAGAGTGTCGCTCATGCAAAGGATACATAGGGCGCAGAGGCCCAGAGCTGGTGGGTAGACGGCAAGCCAGCAGGCACCTGGACAGAAGCTCGCAATTTGACCTATGTCCTCGTCGCCAACGCATCTCACATGGTACGCTTTGTCTAAGAGACGTACACGAGGCTTATTTGCCTTTAGATTGGCGTCGACGTGCCAGTGCCGTCGCATGATATGCTGTTGCGGTTCCTCGGTGCTGACCTGATGTCGGCTGCTGGCTCTGCGGCCCGTGTACCGAGCAGAATAGGCGACGAGCAGGAAGCCATCATCGGTGAAATCAAACCAGACGGCAGCACGCTCAATGTGACAGCCGATGCTACTTCGAGCAGCAACGGTGCGACCATCAGCGATACCTCTTCCTCGCAACGACCCGAAGCAGTCTACAATGCCGGCTCAGCTGCTGTGATTCTGCTCATCGTCGCTGCTGCAGTCGGCGCATTCTGGTGGATGCGCGGCAAACGCCCGCAGATCCATCGCAACGGCGTGGGCTCCTACAAGGATACGGGCTCTGATCTTGGGACGCCATATCGCAACAGTATGCAAAGTAATCGCGCTTCGCGGTACCTTGCGAGCAAGAAAGGCAATCTCGCTACAATCAGCCAAGAAGGCGACGATCAGCACGAGCTAGATGAATTGGTGATACACCAAGAAGATCGCTCGAATCCTCACGAATCTACTGATCAACTCCAACGGCATAACGTCGGCGGCGGAGAGACGCTGTTTGCGCTTGCGGACTCCGACGAGGAAGGGGACATCGGTCGTGAAGACGAGAGGTAATGAGCAGCATTTGCAATGTGTGTTGTACATTTTCAGCAATCACATAATGATCTTGCAAGCAAAATAAACTGTGTACGGCTACAATCGTGTAATCTGTGATGATGTCGGGTATCGGGCTTTCTTCAGATACTCAGCTTCTTGCTAGCTTTCTTGTGAGCCTGCGCGCGTAGTTTCCGGCTTTTGGCCTGCGAAGCCGACGACCCGAGGAATCCTGCACGAGCTGCATTGACCAGCTGTGACTTGTAGTCACCGGACTGCGGCCAGAGTCAGCAAGGAGCTATGCGCAACCCTCTTTGGACGTACCGCATCGAAGAAGATCATGCCAGCCAGTCCCTGCTTCTTCGCCCAGGCGGCCTTGATCTTGATCGATTGAGCATCGTCGTAAGTGTATAGATAGCCGGTCTTGGTGTTGTATAGGAAGGGCGTCGAAGAGCAAGAGTCCCAATAACGCTCGTAGTCACCCAGCCCGGTCGTGCCATCTTTGCTCAGCTTGCCGGTTGTGATGAGCGCGTCGTAATTCCAGACTGCGCCATAGCCCTGTTGGTTGCCACAAATGTCTTTGCCTGGCTTGTCGTCCGATGCGCTGCCTTGTGGTGCGGCAGCGATAACCTTCTGATAGAGCTTCGAGGAGCTGCCGCTGACGGTACGTGTGGACACAAGGCCGCCTTTGGCAGTCGCGTAGACATACCCATACGCAGGCGCACCGAGAACGATTTGGGATTTCTTGAAGCCATAGGATACCCACCGCGCTACGCCATCGATAGCAGATGCACCAGCGCCTTCGTCAGTTGCGCAGGTAGAAGCCAGAGGACCGTTTGGTCCACTTGTCGCAGTCCATGGACCGTAGACATCATAGTTCATCAGACTGATGAAGTCGAGATTGGCTGCAAGGACGCTGAGATCTTTGGTATAGGTCGTCCCGTCAGTGTCATATAGACCGAAGAGGTTGACTGCTGCACTGAGCCGATAGCTTGGACCGACAGTCTTGCGCAGCTGTTTGACGAACAGGATGAAGTTCTGCGTGTCTTTCGCAGAGACAACGTTACAGCCAATGCCGGCGCCGTTCGGATATTCCCAATCAATCTCGATGCCGTTCAGCTTGTATTTTTTGATTGTCTTGTATATACTCTTGGAGAACGCGGCTCTGCCTGTGGAATTGCTAACGAGTGAGCTAAAGTATTGTGAGCCTGTCCAGCCGCCAATGGTCAAGCTGACAGATGCCTTTTGCTTCTTTGCATTCGTCGTCATTGTCTTCATAGTCGACGGATTGGCAGGAGCTGGAAAGGAGAGGTCATAGCTATGCCGTTGAGGTACAGCCACGAACCAGTCGGCATGGGTCAGCTTTGTGAAGTCGAGGGTGTTGACAGGATCGCTGGCTGCGCTGTAGGATGGCCAATAGACGCCAATCTGAGGGCCCCAAGACTTTGCTGAAGCGGTGGAGCAGAGCGCCGACGCTGTCAGTAGTGCCAGGCTGAGCATACTGTTGAAGAGAGTGTGGTTGCGTAGCTTTTGGTTTTGTATAGAATCGCGTTGAACGGACGCGTTTGTGTCACGTCACCGACAAAGGCGCGCGGGGCGCTCGATATGCATCTAATCCAGTATGACATATTTCTGCAGATGCTGAGGCACAGCGTCGTAGAGCTTCTTCTCGTGTAGCCACTTCTTGCTGAAGAGCCTGGTCTGGTAGCGATAGGCGCCATCGCACAGGATGGTGACGACTGTGCTGCCTTTGCCGAGCTTCTTGGCCATTTCTGCAGCGGCAACGACGTTGAGCGCTGCAGATGCACCGAGATAGAGCCCCTCTTCGTCTAGTAGTTTGTAGACCATCTTGATCGTCGCTTCGTCTGGTATCAGTAGCGCGTCGTCCATCTCTGAAATCTCATTTGCCATATTGTTCGTCACACGTCCTTGTCCAATGCCTGCGTTCTCTCAATCAGGCAGGGTGAGAGTGCCCATCCGCAAGATGCTGACCTTCAGTGATGCTACCGCCTTCTCGTTCCTTCAGCTTGCCGCCACTCTTGATGTAGCTGTACAGCACGCTGCCTGGCGGATCTGCGAGGTAGCACTTGATGCGGCCGTTGCTCTTGTCTTTGAGGTATCTAGTGACGCCGGCAAGGGTGCCGCCTGTGCCTGACGAGCAAGTGAAGCCGTCTAATTTGCCGCCATCAGTCTGCTCCCAGATCTCTGGGCCTGTCGTCTCGATGTGCGCCTGACGATTCGCAACTGTACGCAGCAGACCAAGATAAGTGCTTCGGTCGACATCAATCAGATGCGCACGCACCATTATCGAATTGATCCGTGTAAACTGCATTGTCGAGCTTCTCTGCGTAGCGTTTCGCCTGATGATTGAAGTTTTCTGGATTGTCGTAAGCTACTGCCGGCACAGGATAGACCTCGGCGCCGAGCATGCGCAGCAAGTCGATCTTCTCCTGGCTCTGCGTCTGCACAGATTCGTCGAGTGAGCTATGTCGCACGACAGCAGAAAGCACTGACGTTTGGCATAAAGATGACGAGTCGGTAGCCTTTCGAACGACAGACATGCGCCAGTCCGATACCGGTATTACCCGCCGTGCCTTCTACGACTGTACCTCCCGGCCTCAGCGTCCCCGCGTCCTCTGCATGCTTGACGACATAAAGAGCTGCACGGTCTTTGACGCTGCCGCCCGGGTTCTGAAACTCCGCCTTGCCCAAGATATGACACCCCAGCTCGTCCGATAGCCTTGTTATCCTGATCTGCGCTTCAGGCGGCATAAGCTCGAGCACACAGAGCAGCAGTCTGCTGACCAGAGGAGTATTGCCGAGTGCGCCAACGAAACCCTCGACCGTTCGATGGGTCGCGAGCAAGCGCCGTGATGCAAAACTGCCTTCACTCGCCATTGCGCTCCTCGTGAGTGCCGTGCTCGCTCGCGAGGCCTGTCGTAGCATCGCCTGCCGAGCCCGTCAAGTCTGGCAAAATTGTAGGCGGAACGCACTCGATCGCTCTCCACATGACACGCGGGGAAATCCACGAAAGAAGGCGCGCGCTCGACACAACAAGGCAAGCGAGCGAGCGAGATTGATTAATTAGTCAGGCACAGGGAGGAGTGGCCACCCGAAGGAGAGGCGCCTCTCGCAGGAACAGTGAGCTAGACGTGACACGCTAGGCTACCTCGAAGCAAGCAGCGATCGATCAGCGAGACCCACCCGAAGTGCAATTCAAGTCGCGCGATCACCTTGGCACGCCGTACGACGACTGAGTTGCCGCACTTTGCACAGCGCGAGACTGTTTGCTACCGCCAGAAATCTTGATAGACTTTGCTTTGCGCGGTCCGGCAGCAGAATCAGGCTCAGTCGGTCAAGATGGGCCTCAACATGTCCAAACTCTTTGGCGGCCTCGTTGGCAAGAAGGAGATCAGGGTTCTCATGCTTGGTCTCGACGCTGCGGGCAAGACGAGTGAGTGATGCTGCATCGACTACTTCACAAGCGAGGTACTGATGTTGTGCCTCTCGCTTGCTTTGTCGCGCTTTGACGACCCGTGCAGCCATTCTGTATAAGCTGAAGCTCAACCAGTCCGTGACCACCATACCCACAGTCGGCTTCAACGTAGAGACGGTCTCGTACAAGAATGTCAAATTCAACGTCTGGGCAAGTCGCCAATGGAGTCTGCAGGCTCGTGACGCGCTAACCCAATTTCCTTTCGCTAGGATGTGGGTGGTCAGGATAAGATCCGGCCGTTATGGCGGCATTACTACACTGGCACCCAAGGTGAGCTCCTGCATACCACCCTCTGTCAGCTTGCCGATGGGCGCGCAGGGTTGGTATTCGTGATAGACTCGCAAGACCGCGATAGAATCGACGAAGCAAAGCAAGAGCTTCACAGGATATTGGCAGACAGGGAGATGAAGGAATGTCTCTTGCTCGTCTTTGCCAACAAGCAAGATTTGCCAGGAGCGATGAGCCCGACGGAAGTCACAGAGCGTCTGGGTCTACAACGGATGCGCGATCGCAGCTGGTACTGCCATCCCTCCAACGCGCTGCAAGGCGACGGTCTCTTCGAAGGTCTTGCCTGGCTCAGCCAGAATATTCCACGAGGCGAGCGCCGCTCTTCACGATTTCTCAGTTCTGCTGCTGACATGTTCAAGGGCAGGAGCGGCAAAGTGATGCTTCTCCGCAGCTTCACATTCGCAGGTGCCGTGCAGGTTTCACGATTACCCAAGCTAGTTCAGTGTATCGCATTGTATCACTTCCCTGCAACTTGTGCTCGATCTGCCTGCATCGAGCTAGGAAGAGACAAGGTGGAGCATGGTCGAGAGCGATTGGACGATCTGATCGCCCATCGCCTTCTCGACGGCATCTTCCAAATGCCGCTTTGGATCTTGCTTGCCCACGTGCCGCGTCTTGAGTTGTGCTGCTGTAAGGGTGGACTCTTCCTCGACCGACTTGTTGTACGACTTTGCCAGCGTCAACATTGACTGTCACCTCGTGAGATTTTTGAACCAGTATGGAGCAGAGAAGGACTCACTTTGATGGCAGCTTCATTGCCCTTCTTGTGCTCCTCAAAGTCCTTCAGCCTTAGGCCTTCTGTCCAGGACTGCTTGTGCAGGTTGAGTAGCATAGATTGCTCGAGATCGGTCTTGCGGAAATTGATGGCAAGTGAGTAGTAGTGCCTGTTGAGGCCATGAATGAGAGCCTGGATCGAGGGTTTGGCGACATGGCCGACGTTGGAAGTAGACTGGCGAGGTTCTTGTCCTATCACTGTAGACCCAGCAGATCCTCAGTATCGGCTGCCATGATAGCCATGCGAGCTTACTGGCCAGCGTGGGAGGGATCAACCGAAAGGCGTCGATGACCACTTTGCCCTTGACAGACTGTATCGGATCGATGACGACTGCCACTGCGCGCGGGTCTAGTTGCTCGAACGACTGTTGCACGGCGAGAGAATGAGCGGAGGCAGCAGACTTGAGCGTCATTTGCTGACCTGTTGCGTGCTCATGTCGACACTCGACAGCCAGCATCCGAAGCCTGGATGAGAGTGATACCATCCGACGACAACTTCGGGCCTGCGACGAGGTCGTGAGATGGCCAGAGAGAGAGCAAGGGGCGATGTCGCGTACCTCCCGGTCTGCTTGAGCATGTCCATCATCTTGGTCTGGTAAACGGGATCGACAGCTTCTACGCTCACACCTGTGCCCGACTGTGGCATGGCAAAGACATCGACGACCCGACTGTACGACGCTGTGAGCGACAGACCGAGGCAAGAGGCGTGCTCGGCCGTACACGGTGTAGTCATCGACGAATTCGCCTAGCATGAGGCCCATGACTTCGAGAGGGACGCCTTGTCGACCGTGCTTGAGCATCTGCATGCCTCTCATGAGTGTGCGTTTGGGCGTACTGGCAGGTGATGAATGACCTTGATGAGCGCCAGAGAGGAGATGTAGACCATCTCAGCATTGTCATTAGCAGGCGAGTCCTGACACGCCGTCAATCAGCCTCGAATACCTATCGAGCCCGCTCAATGAACGCACGCCTGACTGAGCACTGTTGGCACCTCCGCCACCACCCATCTGGCCTAGCATGCTTGCGAAGTCCATCCTGGCGAATGCGCTTGGAAGTGGTCGACTTGCGCGTCTGCTGTCGGAAAGTAAGGCGCCACCGACGGAGAGCGAGTGAAGACCGATCGATCATCGAGTCCACGCCCGCGTCATCTCTGAAATGCTGGCTGTCATCGCGACGCCCAACAAAGTCCGATCGAGCGCCTGAGGAGCAGTCCGGTGACAATCAGAGATGGTCAGACATGTTGCCGTCATACAAGGCTCTAGCCGGTCAGCGAGAATGGCTGTCTGGTCCCTACTGGCACCGTGCTGAACGAGCTGCACACACAGAGGACTCGGACTTGCATTCAGCCGTCACTTGCTCAACAATACCCGCCTGCACGTCGTCGGCACCTCCCGAGACCCAGAAAAGGCTCGTCATGCTATCCTCAAGGATGGCGACAAGTCACTAGAGAAGCGATTGACCACGCTCGAGCTCGATGTCCTCAACGAGGGAACAATCTCTGCTGCTGCCGAGAGCGTCAAGTCATCCCAGGGAGCCGAGTGCCTCAGGTTGCTCATCAACGTGTCTGGCATACTCGACAAGCCAGAGAAGTCGATCATGAAGCTCGACGCAGACACCTTGCGACGGACGTTTGAGATCAACACGTTTGGCCATCTGTTGACCTTCAAGCACTTCCTGCCGCTCCTCCCAACAAAGAAGGAGGCCAAGCAAGACGGCTCTGAAGATCTTGCAGAGGGTCTGCTCAAGCCTGATCTCTCAGTGATGGCGAGTATGAGCGCTCGCGTCGGCAGCATCGCAGACAACAAGATGGGCGGCTGGTATTCCTACCGAATGTCCAAAGCAGCCGTCAACCAGGCTGTACAGACGCTCAACAGAGAGCTTTCCAGTCGATCAGTCGGCTCAAGCATCGCACTCGCCCTCCATCCTGGCACCGTACTCGGTACAGATCTCTCTTCACCCATCGTGGATCCCAACACGAAAGAGAAAGACGGCGTCCACCCGCCAGCAAAAGCTGCACAGCTACTGCTGCAAGCAATCGGTAAGATGGGCATTGACGACGGTGGCAAGTTCATCGATTTTGCCGGCAAGGAGATCCCATGGTAGATCTCGTTGACACGCTGTTCGATTGTCGCATGCACATGAACCTATAGACGCATGAACTCAATCGCTATTGGCGTCAGTCTGCCATTCCTTCACATCGCATTCGGCCGTCGCTGTAGTGCTGTTCAGGAGAGATCTCCCGCGCGTACGAGTGACGCACCCTCATACTGAGTATGGCAATCCCGCGTTGAGTCTGCTGTGATCAGAGGGGCACAATCGCGATGCACTCGTGGCTCTGTCGTCTCATAGTGATCTGCTGCCAGGTGAGCAGGGCTATGGTGCAACCTTTCATACCTTTGTGCAAGTGAAGCCATCTAGCAGCAGCATCAGTGTCTGAAACGGATAAAGGTTTGCGACGCACATCTTCATGCGGTAATATGTTCGACAGCAGACCATGCCTTGGACTGTCCAGCCCAGCTCCCAGTGCTGTGTCACCCCCCGTTGACCCTTGACATCGATGGCCAATTGAACACGATCCTCTTCGATATCGAGCAATGCCACCCGAGTTGTGATGTACGGCAAAGACTGGTTAACCCATAAGCTTGAGTGCAGATACAAATCATCAGACACACGAAGCTGACTTGCGGCTCGACTCTCTTGTCCTTTTGCTGGAGCTCCACAGAGATACTGGCAGGACGATGTGGCGAGATGAAGAACGGTCCTAGATACCAGCAATTCGCCCGGCAAGAGTCTGCGCCAGTGAGCCGGGCACGGCTCTGCGACTTTCGGTTGGCCTACAGGTGATCTCGTAGTTGATCAGAGCTGGGCCGGCCTCGGCGACTTGTGCCAAGGTCGCGTTGCTGTTCAAGATTTGCAAAGGAGGCCATGAAGAAAGAGCTGCTTCGGACGAGCTGTAGAACACATGGGAAGAGCTTGGCACAGTAGCTGTGACAACGCTGAGGACGAGTGAAGCAATGCAAAGAAGGGTCATTATATTTGCGATCGCCATGAAGAATTCCAGGATGCCCAGGAAGAGGCCAGGGACGCGACGAGAAGCAACCCCTTGCTGCTACAGAATGCGGAATGCAACGAGACAACCCTACAGAGCTACAGATGACTAGTCGTGAATGCTAGTCGAGAGCAAGTCCTCGTCCCTCGACGCGATCTTGCTCATCAAATGCGGTGGCACAAAGCCATTGCTGACCACGCGGTGCGGGTTTGCAGCAACGGAAGGAAGTCGCTCGGCATCTTTCTCCATCGTCTGCAGCACTTCCTGAGCGGGAGGTCGACGTTGCATCGTGGGTGGATTAGCGAGCGATGCGCTCAAGCTCGACACGCCGACGTTGCGTCGTTGATTCGCGATTGGTGCAACCGCTGCGAAACTGATCTGCCTGGACTCGACAGTGGGCGTTGGTGGCATGCTCTCGACAACGGTCGCAAGCTGAGATTGTGCAGCGGCTCCGCTTGTAGCAGCTCTGCCCCTCAGGGGCGGCACGAGCATACTCTCGTGCTGAGGAACTGAAGTCTTGCGCTCGTATTGCCAATCGCGTGGTGGCGAAGGACCTGCCAGACTAGGCAGACTTATCGCAATTGGCAGCGAGGTGGCAAAGCCATAGCTACTACTCAGGTCCTCTGTTGGCTTAGATCAGCTTCGAATTGTGCCGACTTCAAGCTGCGCACCTTCTAGCGAATCGCTTGGCTCTTCGTCCCTCAAATCGGCAAAAGCAGCTCTCATGACCATATCGCGTTTGCCGCCTTTGCGCCATCTGCGCGAAGATCGATGACTGGGTGTGTCCGTACCGAGCAGCTCGCGTAGCCGCCTCTCTTGCTCCAATCGCTCGGCTGCATCCATCCTTGCACCTGGGTGATCGTGCGCCATTTCGGAAACACTGGCAGACATGCTCGACGCAGGTACATCGTCAATCGAAGCTGTAGTCGTGGGCGGTGATGGCGTGCCGGGCGTCTTGGGGTCCTCCTCGGAGGTCGAGCCCAATTCGTCCGCATCCTCCTCGAGGCCCTCGTTCTCGTCTTGCTCATCTTCATCTTCGTCGAGCTCTTCGTCCATCTCAAATACGCCTGTCCCTTCGTGTTCCTCGTCCTCATCATAGTCGTCTTCGTCAGTAGGCGGTAGATCGCTTAGCGGTCCTCGGGGCGACAAGGAGGCGAGTGTGACAGTTTTGCGTCCTTCGGCAGATCGCGATCGGGTGGCCGCCATTGACAGACGATCAGGCTCGACGAATTTGACATGGCGTGACTCTTTCTCGTCCTCGAGCGCCGCCTCTGCTGATCGAGGCGATAGTGCAATGTCGGGTATTTCTACCTCGGCCGGTGGCGAAGGCCCGTTGAGGCGTAAAAAGCCGGAAGATGACGAGCTCAGGAAAGGCGGTCGAGACGGGATCGAAGAAGACGAGCCCGAGCGTGCGTGACCGCTGTGAGAATGCAGGATCGATGTCTGCGTATGACTTGCGGAAGAGGGCGTCAATGCATTCAGAGGCGTAGTGGCAGTGACTGCTTCTTGCAAACGAACAGCCTCGTCGCTCATTGGGGGCGAGAAGAGCGGAGAAGGCGTTGGTAGATTTGACGCATTCGCGCTTGTGGCTCTATGCAGCATCGCAATGGCCGGGGCGTCCATGAGATTGGCAGGACCGTCCGACGAGCGTCGTCTGGCAAATGGCATCGACTCACTCGGATCGGGAGCCATCAACGGCGAATCGTGTGCCACTGGCGCATCTGAGCCAAACCCGCCTTTCGAGATACCTGCTCTTCGTTCGAGGAGATCTGCTTGCTGGTCTAACCGCCTGCTAAAGTCGTCATGCTCTTTTCGCAATTGCGCGATCTTTCGCTCGGTGTGCTGCTTGTGGGCACGCACGGACTCGCGTACGGTGTCGCGTATGGTGCTCTCATCCGTCTGAGCAGCACTGTTGCCGGATGTTGCAGTCAGCGAAGATCGTCTGCGCGTCCCGAGACCGCTGGGAGTGATCGCAGGCGATCTGTGATCTGCAAGGGTCGAGGCCGGACCAAGGGAAAGAATCGGCGGATTGGGCACAGAGTGCAAACCAGACGAGTCTGTCCGCGAACCAGTCGGCCTTGCTCTTATACGGGGCGAGCCTTTGGGTGAGATGGCTCTGCTGGGCGTTGAAGCAGTTGAAGGTGGCAGTGAAGTGGGAGGGCTGATCATGTCGACATAGGCGGGCGAGGGAGCGTGAGGCGTGTTGAGCCTGACCCTGAAGCAGGGTGAGTAGCTCGGATCCTCGGTAGCAGCATCAATTTCATCCTCCGTCTGTGCGCGCTTTCCGATCAGCTCCGGTCAACAAACGTATGGAAGAATGTGACTGACGAGCAGAGATTCGTCCAGATGACAGTACATCCCTTCGGCGGGCAACACGAGCGAGTCTGGAGCGTGATGCTGCTGTCTGGACGATGACAAGCTTGGCTGTTGATAGGTCGCGAGTCGTGTGCCACAGTTGAGACAGCGCAAAAGGATCATATTCGGCCTGTCGATAGTATGCGCTGGCATCGTCGTGTCCTCCTCAGATCGTACAGCAGGCATGAAGGTAGATTGGATCAAGCGTGGATGCTGTACCATCATTGCACGATGGTGACCTTTCCGCTTGCCCAACCCTCTTTGGGTCGCAGATGCGTGAAGAGGCGAATGCAGTGTCTCCTGACCGCCGCCCTCGTCCAGCAACATCTCGACATTGAGGCACTGGCAAGCATATCGACGGCCCTTCCTGCCCGTTGAGATGCCCACGCCGGGTACCTGGGTCGAAGATCCACTGTTCAACTGCGGCGAGCCTGCACGCGATGAAGACCCGGCGCTGACGATGAGTGGCCTCGTCGGGGGACGCTGTGCTACACTCATGCTGTCCCGTCCTGACGATCGGGTCGAGTCGAGTCGAGTCGAGTCGAGTCGAGTCGAGTCGAGTCAGTCGGCAGCTGGAAATTTCCACGAACAAGTCGGCCAACGCCTCTCGTCGATATCCGGGGCACGCCCTGCTTGCTGGCCAAGTCAGAAGCGACGATCCATTGCCACATCATCATCGAACGTACAGATGGTCAACGCTCCCGAAGCGACGAGCCAGCAGGGCAGTATGAGCGTCCCTACGTCAGTCGGACAAGCTCCTATCCTGCCTGATCAGATGTCACCCGCCACATCGACTGAGCCGGCCACAGCAGCAGCAGCATCTCAGACCGGCAGCGCCAGTGCTGCTGCTAGTGCCCTACCGCCGGACACTGTTGCCTTTGCGAGCAGACTGTTTGAGTGCGCACGCAATGGCGATCCGGATGGACTGCTCAAGGCTGCACTCACGCAAGGATCGATAAGCAATTTAAGGAATGCCAAGGGGGATAGCTTTGTCATGTTGGCCTGCTACCATGGCCATGTCGATCTCGCTCGAGCCGTCTTGCAAGCAGGCGGCGACCCCAATATACTCAACGATCGTGGTCAGAGTCCCCTGGCAGGCGCGATCTTCAAGAACGAGAATGAGATCGTCGACTTGCTCATCGAGCATGGCGCAGACCCATACGCGGGCACGCCGACTGCAGAGGAGACTGCTCGCTTGTTCGGCAAGACAGATCTGCTCGAGCGACTGAGGAACGGTCGAGGGAGACCTGCCTGGGCAGCGCCTGTAGGGCCAGGGACTGCGACCAGCGACACGCCAGCGGAAGAGCCGGCAGAGATAGGTATGCAGGTAGTGCTACTTCCTCGCTATTGCTCACCAAGTCTGCAGGACCTGGCGCATACGGCGGTGTCGTCGAGGCCAGAAGGCGCGAGCAGGCAGCACAGCAAGCTAACAGGCTGCGCGATGCAGCAAGTCAACAGCTACAGGAGTCATGATGTGCATTTGTAACATATCACATCCACCGTCATTCTTCGAAAGCGAGAATCTCATCAGATGGCAAAGTGAGCGCACCCAAGCTGCCCTGTGGATCGCCATCGCCGCGTATGCTGCTCGACAGCACGAGCTCGAGCATCTCGCGATAAGAGCCACGTGTGATGTCTCCATCATTGTCCAGCTCTAGACCGAGAAAGATATCTGCCACACGTTGAGCATGCGATAAGCGTCTGATCTCTGCCTCATCAGGCTTTGGACGGCACAATTCTGTGAGCGAGAAGTCGAGCAGCGCTGCTGAGACTTCACGAGCACGTGCGATCAGATGTGAGGGCAGACCGAACTGAGCAGCGCATGCAAGCGCGTGCGATTCTGTGGCGACGCCCTTTGCCAGTTGATAGAGGTAAACGATCTCCGCGTCTTCGTCGTCGTCTGGCATTGCACCGGCGAAAGTGATGGCCATCTGAGCAAGCAGCACGCCTCGTCGCTCGAGCTGCAGCATATTCGTCTGGAAAGCCGAGGCATAGTGAGTTGTCAGGATCGTTCGTGGACAGTCTGTCCCGCGCTGACACAGATGCTCAACGAGGCCGCAAAAGAGACTGATGCCATCGTTCGTCTCGGTCCCTTTGCCGAACTCGTCAGCGAGCAAGAGTGAGCGCGGGGTGGCATTGCGCAGCATATACGAAACTTGCTGAAGGTCAGAAACAAACAGGGAAGCTGGATTGGTAGCAGATTCGCGCGTCTGCACACGCGTAAGAATGCGATCCGTCAGGCCGATGATGGCGTTGTCGGCCGGTATATAGCTTCCGACATGAGCGAGAAGGACGATCAGAGCGACAGCTTTGACGTAGACACTTTTGCCGGAGAAATTACTGCCCGTCAGAATCATGACGGACCGATCCACGTCCATCCGACTGTCGGATGTCTCGCTTGACTCGTCTTCGCCCGTGTGCAGACCGTTTCCTGCCACGAGCGAAGTGTCGTTGCCGATGTAGCGATCGAGAAGGGTCTCGAGCACGGCATGTCGTCCCTGTCGGATTCGGAGAACATTATCGCTCGTGATGACTGGACGTGACCAGGCAAGGCGTTTTGCTGCATCTGCCAGACAGACAAGCGCATCGAGCTGGCCAAGTAGATGCGTTGCATCGTGCAGAATCGTCTCGGCGCTCATCACTTGAGCAGTGAGCTCCTCGACTATGGCCACATGCGCTCATGAGCTCATGAAGGAAGCAGACGCCGGGAGCGCTACCAATGTCTATTTCGAGGTCAGAGATCATCGAGGCCAGGTCGCCATATTGCTCGTCAAGGTCTTGCATTTCGGATGTCTTCCAGTAGCTGAAACATTCTGTACCTGATCATGCCCGTGAGCCTGCCAAACAGCTGAACGCAAAAGACTGAGACTGACTGAATTGGTATGTCCATCCCGGTAAATCGAGCTGCTTTGGATCTTGACCAGCCTTGAGTGTGAGCGAGCAGAGGTAGCCAAGCTGCTGACGGGTTCACCTTGATCGACGGGAGAGCGCAGCAAAGCTTGCTCACCTGGGGAAAGTAAACGACATTGAGCGCGTCGCATACGTCTGGTGAGATCTGCACGCTGAGGTGTCGTGCAACGTGGGACTGCGATTGTGTCAGCCGCTGTGAGTCGACGACTGGAATGACATACGAGGTCATTTGGCAAAGATGCATATTGCTGCCGGTACTGATCGAGTTGAGCGTTGACGCCATTCTGGATGCAGAGCTTGCCCTGGAATCCACTCTCGTGCCAGTCGATGCGATCTTCGATCGTAATGAGCAAAGCCTCGAAGAGTTCGACGTTGACGCTATTTGCGATCTGCAAGGGCCGTCAGTTGGCGTTTGGGTTCATGAAATGTACGCACTTGGAAGAGCAGAGCAGATGTCTGTAGATGCGTCAGGCCAAGGAGCTGCTCGCGCACTTGTAGCGCACTCGAGAGCATCTATCAAGTAGTCTCATGAGGAAAAGCGCTACTCCAGCTGGTTGACTGACGGTGGTGATGGCGCGCCAGGTCGGCGTTGCATTGCCTTGACCGCAGCGAAGCTTCTCGAGGACGCTCGCCGCCTGCTGGACCTTCAGACAGGATCTGAGATCGTACATGATATGCACTGTGGAAGCGTCGTGAGAAGAAGCATCCGCATAACACGATGATGCTGACAATTCTCGGGTCGAAGGAAGCAAGCGATTGCCGTCTGCCGTGCTTGAATGACATGCGTATCCAGCGATGGTCGGATGATCCACTGACGCAACGTCGTTCGACCTGCCGCCGAACGAGTCGTATTGATGACATCTGCATAAAGCTCAGATACCTCGACGGAGTTGCTTTTGGACGCGAACCAAAGAGATTTGGCATCTTCGCGGTAGATGCGTCATTCCGCCCTGCAGCATGGCTGCCACTTGCAAACACTTGTAATGCTCTGCGTGTGGGTGGTGAGATTGATGTCTACGCACTGTCTCGCTGGGCCTACACGAGCGAATGAGTAGAGATCTGAAGGACAGAGGAGAGCGGCATCAGCTCGATCGAGCTGATCTTGCTTGAGGCGACACGGGGACGTGCAGAGCTCTGGCGTGAGGTGTAGGGCAATAGGCAGCCAATGCAGGCCAGGGTAGCAGGCTGATCGAGATCGAGTCTGCTTGACAGTCGGGCACCTCGCGTGAAGAGTGATTCATCTGATTGGCCATGCTTCGCTCGCTTTCGGCTCCGCACGATGTGCGATAGACCAGACTGATCCGACTCTTCGCTCGAGGATACGTCCGGTGAAGCGGGCGCATGCTTGGGCAGATCGAGTTCGAGCAATGCTGCCCGACCTGTTTCTACCGAGAACTCCTTGGCAGGTCGAGTTTCCACAGTAGCAGTTGCTGACCAGCCCGACACTGTACGATACGTGTGAGCGATGACAGGCTGTCTCGTGACGATGAGGGCACGAACAAGTCTGCTGCACCTTCTCGCTGAGACTCAACTCTGCTTTGGTACTGATCAGAACGAGCGATGGTTTGTACTGCTCTAGAACTGCCCGTCCCGCGCTAGACTCAGTCACCGGCGACGTGTCTGAGCTCTTAAGGGACTTGCTCGAGACGAGGAGATCACGATGCGGACCATCTTGCGCATCTTCGCTGATGAGGAGGGTGCCGCTGTTCGAATCGAGCTGTACCACCGCCGTTCTGCCTCTGATCTCATGCACGGCCATAATGACCTGTGAGGCTGATGAGAATGCCTTGAGAGGGCATATTTGTGTGACATACCTGCGAAGCTTCGACGCTTTCGTCGAGATCGTTTGTGTCGAACGTTGGTAAAGTCGATGTGTCACAACCTGGCTCGCTGAGTGGTGTGAAGGAATGAACAGCAGGCTGCGAATCGAACGCCACGCGAGGAGGCATCTTCGGCGAGTCAGTGCAACCCGGCAGGGGAGATCTTCAGGCAACGCGTCATGACCCAATTCTTCAGCCAAAGGAGTGCATTGTATGCATCGAAGGCGACAGAGACAGACAGGGCTTGTCATGAGATCGAGATCGTCTTGGCCTGAGTATCGACAGGCTTCTTGGGGAATGTGATGGTCAAGATGCCATTGTCAAACTTGGCAGTGATCTCGTCTGATTTCAAACCTTGAGGAACACGCAGGGAGCGCTGGAAGGAGCCACGACGGCGCTCAGAGACTTTGTAAGATCCCTTGTCTTGCTCGCTGATGGTCTCAGTCGTGCCCTGGATGACGAGTGTGTTCGATTGGAGCTCGATCGAGACCTGACAAAGCGCGTCAGCTTTTACCATGATGGAGTCATGACAGACCAACCTTGTCCTTTGGAACGCCGGGCAACTCCGCTTTGATGGTGAAGTCCTTGTCATTCTCGATGACATCGACAGCGGGAGCAAAGCGAGCAGGCGCGAGTGTCATCGCCGTGGAAGCCTCATTGTTCTTGCGCGGTCTCTTTGTGTTGTCAGAGCGTTCGTCCAAAAGCGAGTCAAAGATGCTACTGACGGCATGTCAGCCATGACTCTCGACGGACATTGATCTGGCACTTGCCTTGTCACGTCGCGCTCAAAGTCGGGGTAAGAGAGCCAGTATGCAGACATTGCGGTTGCTTGCTTGTGATGATTTGTCTCTTGGATGCTCGAGAGTGCTGTGAGTGGAGCAGCAAGTCATCTGACGGGGTTTTATGCCCCGTGGAAACATCTGGATGTTCGCTGTGTCGAAACATCCAGACAGTGAAGTCGGTCTTCGAGTGACTTCCAACAGGGGTCGATTCAGTCGTCACCCCTATCAGTGCCTTGCAACGCCCTCTATCTCAAGGCGCAGGCTGATCCGTTGAGGCCGTTTGCCCACCAATAGGCACCCAGAACGAGGACCATGAGGATCTGACCGACTGCATAGCTGACGAACGCGTAGAGGTAGGCATGTCTGTGTCGTATCGATCTGAGTTCGACAGCAAAGGTGGAGACAGTGGTCAGACAGCCACAGAAGCCATCTGACAGACCTTGTAAGACGCCGCATGATGTGATGGATCGATCGCCGGTGTATTGCAAGAGGAAGAAGAGCGCAATGAGAGCTGTACCGATCATGTTGGCCGCAAAAGTGCCCAAGGGAAAGTTCGGTGCGACAGGGTTGAGCTTCTTGGCTAGCCACCATCGTAAGATTGCGCCGGGAGGAGCAAACACGAGGCCAAAAGTGACGATGCCGCGCCAATCTGATCTGAGTCCGCATAAGACAGCTGCGCCTGCCCAGAACAGCGGCCCTAGAGCGAGAGCCAGGACGTGGCTGAGCGTCGAGGTGCGGGCATGACGGCGATAACGAGGTGATCTCAGTATACGGGCGATAGGTAGGCGCCTGAGCAGCAGGAATTTGCCGAGATGAGAGCCAAAGATCAAGCAAGCAACCGCGATGCCGAGCGTCACGACGGTCTGGCCCAGTGCGTCCATGAACTGCCAGCCACTTCAGGGCATGGAAGGATGACGATCATGTTGCTTACGTTGTGAAAGCCGTGATGGTCTTGATGACGTTGGTTGCTGTACGCCTGAAAGACTTCGAGCATCCAGGAGGAAAATGTGGTGACGGAGCCTGCCAATCCGGTGGACAAGCCTGTATAGAGGGGCGGATAGCTGTCCTCATCCTTCAGTACTCGATGATGTGCTTCTGAGCGCCGGACGGACTAGGCTTCCAGGTCTGCACGCATGTTGACTGCCGCCCCCATGATGACGCATCCGAGTATTTGATCCCATGCGAGCGGAAAGAGCGTCACACCGCCATAGGAGCCTGCAGCGACGACAGCCTTGCGAAGCAGATCACCCCATATCGCAAAGAAGGTGAGCAAGCTGAGCGTGGACAGCAAAGTGATCAGGTCAGGCACATCGGGTGGTGTATCCGCTTGTTCGCCTGCTGGCTGCTCGTCCTTGTCGAACGGGGCATGCTGCTGAGACCCGATCGACGAATGGCTCTCGATGTCTCCACTTGGCGGACGAGAGTTGACAGGTTCATCTTCGCTCGCTATCGCTGACATCCAGCGAGCGAGCGAGCGCTTCTCGGGCTTCACAAGCTTCGAGCGCGGTTGTCAAACAAAAGACGCGTTGCTGATATTCTGATCGACTCGAGCGCGCGACAGGATCCCAAATGCTCGAGGACTCCCTCAGCTGGGTCCACATTGCTCTCTTTGTCGTCATCGCATGCGTGTCTGTCCTTGTCATGGGACTCTTCTCGGCCGACAAATTCCCTCTGGTCGACAAGGCGAGCTCGTGCGACGCTGTCCATCCCTTCAGACTGACGCGAGGCCATGACAGCATGTCTGGGTCGGCGGTGGCTCCGAGGGACTTGGCCTGGCTTTTGCATGTCTTGTCGTCTCCGAGGGAGCTCATGTCACGATAGCCGCACGCAATCAGGACAAGCTCGCCGCGGCAGTCAGACAGATTGAGGCATGCTTGCTCGTCCACGTCCTTTGAGTCCCAAAGCTGATATCAGCCGGCACAGACCCACCGCACGAATGGCAAGCAAAGGATACAGTCCATTCCCGTCGACCTTACCAGCGCATCTGCCGTTAGCGCAGCCTTCGACCAAGCACAGCGTCACGACGACCGCGTGCCTGATTATGTCGTCTCTTGCGTCGGCGGCGCTGCTGGTGTACTAGGCTACTTTACCGAGCTATCAGCTGAGCAGTTCGAAAAGGGATGGCGTCAGAATTACATTGCTTCACTCTGGCAAGCACGAGTGAGTGCCTGCTGCACGGACGGCGCAAGATTTGACAGACAGTCCTGTCCAGGAAGCGGCGAGACGAATGTCACGACAAGCGGTCAAGGGCAAGATCGTCATCGTCTCCTCCGTGCTGGGCTACTTCGGCCTCGTCGGCTACTCTGCCTATTCTGCACCAAAGCACGCACTCCGAGGCCCGTCAACGCACGCTCTGTCCAGGCACTTGCTGATCTTGCCTTGACAGGTCTCACGGATGCGCTACGGCAGGAACTCCAGATGTACGGCATCACTGCGCATTGCTACTTTCCAGGCACAATCTACTCGCCTGGATACGCGGAAGAGGAAAAGACGAAGCCCAAGATCACAAAGCAGATGGAAGGCGCCGACGAGGGCATGTCACCCGAAGCGTGCGCGCGCGCTCTTCTCGCCGGTCTGCAGAAGGGCGAATGTCATATCACATCCGACCTGATTGGTCATCTCTTCCGCAATCGCATGCGCGGTCTTGCGCCACGTTCGAAGCCCCTACTCGATACGGGCTATAGTATCATCGCATCCGTGAGTATTGCGAGGCGCATGGCCCACCCAGCTAAGGTGCCTGCAGATCGCGATACCCATTTACCGCATCTTTTCGGATCGGGAAGTCAAAGCACACGCAAGGGATCATGTGCCGACTCTGACCACCAAATGAAATGCTTGTGTTGCTACAACATGGTTCGCAGCCTCGCTACTGAGTCTGCGTAATCAGCTTCCGCTGCCGCAAGAGTACTTGTGACGAGTTGGGCCCGGTCGTCGCTGGAAGCCTGAAGATACTGATCAACGAATTGACTGATTGGGGTTCTTGAGAGACTATGCGGCAAAGGCACATCAGAGCGTGCCATTGCGAGCAACAGCGTCAGCTCTTTCAAGTTGCCCTCCGTCTCGGAGGTACTAAGCTGCTCCGAAGGCGTAAAGATGAGAGGACGTAGAGCGCGCAAATCGTTAAAGTCTTGCCCTAGATCGCCAAGCGAAAGTCGCGATTCGCCAAGTAGCTGACTGACGGAGAACTCCAAAGAGGTCATATCCGTCGCGATCTGTAATTGGCCAGACTCGTTGACCGGCCGCAACAAAGCGATATGGACCGAGAACCGCCGGACGGTGAAGCGCGCCAGGTCAAGTGCCCACTCGCGTCTGAGTGCATCGCATCGCAAGCTTGCCAGCAGATCTCGTGAAAATGTCAGGATCTCAAGGACAGTCGTCATCGGTCGGCTAGGGTCTCCGCCAGCTTGCACTTCATTTGCAGTCTTGGCAAAGTTCTCATCGTGCAGACGGCTGAGGTAATCGCGAAGCTCCTGCCGAAGCATCTGCCAGAGCGGACCGAGAGTACTTTGCGCCTGCCGCTGTGCGCGACTCACACTAGTCAGCAAAAGCTGCTTGACGGACTGCAGAGACTGGTCGAGAGCTTGATTCAGAGGCATGTAGAAGTGGTACAGCGCATTAGTGAGCTCGACATTGATGGACTGGGCTTGATTGATCCTGTTGCTCGTCATCGTGATCGACATGGGATCTCTTTGAGTCATACTTTCTGTCCGTCTTGTGAAGTTTTCTGCGATCTGGCCCGCCGCTTTCGCCATCGACACTACTAACAGAGGGTCAAAGCGCGCAACATCGAGCTCATTGAGCAACGATCTCGCGAGCGCGAGGCCCTCTCTTGCGCCAGGCGGCGATCTCGAGCCACCGGCTACTGCGGCTGACAGTGCTTCGCTCATCCTTGTAGTCGCTTTAGAGATATATTGGACCTCGAAGACGCCCAATGCGCGAATAAGCAAGACTGTCTCTGGAGTCTGTTGCGTCGACGTATAGGTTGAATCTGTGGCAAGAGATACCGTCGATAGAAAAGTGTGCATCAGGCGCAAAAGGCGGGGATAGCTCGCGCTAAGTGTCTGCTGCACGAAACCGGACGCACTGGATGCTTCGTTCGATTGTCGTTCAAGCATTTGCGAAAGTGTGGTCCAAAATGTATGCGTAGGTCGCTGCTCTAGCGTCCTCATTGCTTCTTCCAGAAATGTCTTCTGCGTTTCTGGGCTTTGCTTGTATTTCATGACTTTCTCTAGAGTGTAGACTTTAATGCAACAGCCAGCCATATCGTCTGTCAGACTCTGTAGTCGACCCCATAGCGCCTGCGAGAATTGGGCGAGATTCTGAGGCGTCGGCTCTGTCCGCGCACGAGACTTGTAGACAAAGGCAGGCGCGGCCGACAGACCAGAAGGAGCGTCTGTCGCGCCAGCTTCCTTGGCCATACTAGCCACATCAAAGGCATTCCGTATGCGAGACGCAATCGCATCAGACAGGTCCACGATCAGAGTGGTGACAATCGTCGACATGAGCCCGAAATTGTGTGCAGCTTGTAGCGCAGCTCCCAGCATCGCGTGATCCTACAGACAAGTCAGCTGAGCATGATATGCTTGACAGACTTTGCGCATACCAGATTGGCCAGGCCGTCTTGTATCATGTCTTCCATCTGGCGGACGACCTTTTCACGAGATTCTGCGATGCGTGGCGAAAGCTGAGCGACCGTTCTGACCGTCATCACATTCTGTTGCTCATCTTCATCAATGGTCGCATCCGAGGTTGTGTTAGTCAGACGCTCTGTTGCGCAAACAGTAAGCGAACGGCCTGTGTTGCTGCAGGATTGACATACCGAGCTTGGTCAGCGAGAGTGCAGCTTCTGGCACAAGAGTCTGCAGGCGTTCGTTTTTGAGAGTTTTGGGTATATCTGACGACGTCGAAGCCTCCCAGTCGGACATCAGTGAGTCCAGTCGCCTGGCCAAGGTCAAGAAACGATCTGTGCTTCTGACCAGCGAAGAAGCGCGTCTTAACCTGTCAAGCTGATCCAACGCGGCCGAAAGCTGTTCGTACGGCGTCTGTATCTTACGCTGTAGCCTGTGTACGCATACTCAGGATTGCAATCTTGCAGCTCCCCATAACGGAATCACCTCGAGATGCCTCCTTCGACTTCGGATAGGCCTTGTCTTACTTGACGTAAGCTTTCATCGACTGTGGTGACCCGCGCCGCCTGCGACAGGAGCTCATCGTGATGCCGAGCGACCTGTCACGCCACGCAATCAGGCCTGCCATGCCTCGTGATGCCTGATGAGCGTGCCTGATCCTTGATTTGACGATTGAGGTCATCAATGCCCGCATTTAGCCGATTCAAAGCTGCCGTGACGTCCTCGCGCGCTTGCCTCTGCCTGTCTGGAGCAGCAGCAGCAGGCGGATTGTCGACCAAAGCGCTTGAGGAGGAGCGGTAAGGCTGTCCATTGAGGATAGCAGCCGCGTAGGCGTTTGCGTCAAAGCGGTCGCCTAGAAAGACCTCATACTCTGCAGAGCAGCTTATCAGCCCCTGGGGGAGCATGTATGACAGTGTATAATATACGTTTCGGGATGCTCAGCATGGAGGGACAAGTGGTCAGTTTGGTCGCTCAGCCCACGCACGACGTGGCAGGACGTGCTTCGTCTGCGATCGACGACGTTCCTTTCCCGAAGCTCGCGAAGCTTGGCGCAGATCTCCCGCCCGCGCTGAAGCCTCAGCTCGGCTTGTTGCTGCGCTATCACAGCCCGCGACTACGCCCGCTGCTGCTGCTGCTGCTGTGCTGACGTTGGACGATATAAACTGTAGACCGCCGGAACGCTGTAGACACGCAATATGGTACGCCGTTTCACACCTGCAAGAGACCGACGGCTGACCTTTATCACCTGGGCACAGTGGAACACTCAGGATGAGGACTCTGACGACGAGTCCGTCATGCGGTTCCGCACAGGGAACTACAGACGACCCAGCACAGCAATGTCGATCAACACGCTGGCTTCTCGCGACACGGCAGCCGACATCAGCGAGTACACTCGTCAACGACGCACCTCTGAGCAGTCGACAGCACCCGCACGCATAGGCAGATCACAAGAGGATCATGGGTGGTCTAGCCATCCGTCAGGACTGCAGGCGCAGAATGAGAGACACCATCTGCGCGCTCTCAAAGACGCCAACATCACCCTCGATACGACGAATGTACCTCAGGCGCTACTGCGTGGACTCAGCATCCGCAAGCTCAAGCCCAACGAGGACGGAACGGCATACTATTGCGAGCCCGGCGGATTGATGCCCACCATCATTCCAGAGGACCAGTCGCCTGTCACCCCGACGGCTTCGGTCGCGGGCTCACTCTACAGAGGCTCGCGAGGTCGTGCAAATGCGAGACCCTACCGACCTCCTTTTGCGCCTGCGGAAGATCTACTGACGACGGAGCCCGTCAGTGAGGCTCCTCGGCGTGGATTCAGCCTTGTCGACCCTGGCGTCGTCCCTCGTCCTCATGCAGACGGCCCAACAGCGGCCGAAACGACAGAAGTCAGCGGAGACGGGATCACAAGGAAAAAGTCGCTCAAGGATCGACTTGCTCGCGGCGTCTCACTGCATCGACGGAAGCGTTCCTCATCTGCACCTCCTATGCCAACTGTACCTCTCGCGAGCCCCAGCAGTTTGATTGATTCGCCCCCACCTGGCAGGGATAACAGGCTGTCACGCTCTAGCAGTGTGAACCAGAGCTCGCCGCGAGACGAAGGTGCTACCGGCGAATTCAAAGGGTTCGTCCGAAAGCTCAGTCGAAAGAGACCGTCAGCGCGTCGAGCTCAAACGCTTCCGACTGTGCCCGAGTTCAAACCAGGTAAGCTTGCCTAACATCATGTCTGTCGATCAGGCTTATTGGTCACTGCAGCGCCCATTTTGACACCCATCAAGCTGCATCCGCCACCTGCTGTTCTTGGCCTGCAAGCAATCCCGCTGAGCTCGTTTGCGCCTCTGCCGGCTGTGCAACCCAAGGCAGCGTCTACGCCCTCAGATTGCAGGCAGACAGCCTCACCCGCATCTGACCGCAGGGTTGCACGCCCGCGATCGCGCAATCCCTATACAGACTCCTGGGCATCCGATTCGTATGCGTCTGAAGAGCTCAAGCTCTGGCCGACACGAGACGAGGAGCAGACCCCTTATATACTCACACGCACTCGCGCTTGATCACTTCCCTCTTTGTGTTGACATTCATTTCTTTACTTGTGTGTAGCCTTTAAGTTCAGGGACCAAAAATCTGTAGCGATTATGCAAATTCTACTTGGGGTACAGCTATGCTGCCGCCGTTGCAGCGGTAGCGTCCTCAGCTTTGCTCTCCGTGATTTCCTCGGTCGTATCATCTGCGCCCTCTGCGACGACTTCGGCTGTCGTCTTGCCTGCAGGAGCAGCGGCTGCCTTTGTCTTTGCTTCGGCGTCGGCAATCTTCTTCTCGATAGCGGCTATGCGCTTTTTCGTTTCCTCGTCCTGATGCTCGACATACCAGGTCTTTTTGGTGGAAAGCTGCTCGATGACCTTTGGCAGATCGCTGTGCGAGACAGGAGGCGTGACGTCGAATGAGATAAGGGCGGCATAGGTCGACATGGGCAGACTGAGCTTACCGCTCGAAGGAGCATTTGATTTTTTGCTGCTCTTCTTCTTCTTCGAAAGACCGCCAAAGTAATCGTCATCGTCTTGTGTCTTCTTTGCTGCCACCACACTGCCTTCGGGAACGGCTTCGTCTACTTTGCGCGTCTCGAGCTGGGGAAGCTTGCTAGACGTAGAGGCCACGTTGAGCTTGGGCTCTTCGATGGCTGCCGTGCTTTCGCCGGTCATTTTCTGCAGATACTCGACGAGCGTCTTGCAGTCTTCAATCTCGCGTTCATATGCGGGTGCCTTGGCCTCCTCGAGCAGTCTAGCATTCGTCTCTTCGCGCTTGGCATCGTCATAAGCTTGCCTTTCTGCCTTTTCCTTTTCAAGTCGGCGGTTGCGATCCTCAGTCATCTTTTGGTCTGAGATCCGTGTGAGTTTTGACCAGTAAGGGAGCTCGCGGACCTACAGTACTTGTCATTAGCCTCACGGAAGGCAGCGCGCTCTGTTTTGCGCAGGTTGTAGATTTCGTCTGCCTTCTTTTGGAGCGCATTTCGTTCGTCGTAAAGCGCGCTGCGACTCTTGTATGCAGCATCTCCGTCCTTCTGTATCGCGTCTAGTTCACTCTTGATAGTCGTGTAGCGATCCGACGCAGCTTTCGATTCTGGGTTATCCATCTGGGCTCTGATCTCGTCAATCTTTTTCTTGTCCGCCTCAATGGAGTCTCCTTGGCCACCAAAGCCTTCGATGACCTTGCGAGACTTTTTGAGGTTCGAGATCTCTGCCAGAGCACGTTTCTCGTCCACGAGCTTCATTGTGCCTGCCTCGACCTGCTTCTCGAGGGAGCTAAGCGCGTCGCAGGGTAAGCGCCGCTATAGCGCAAGCAGGGAAGAAAGCCTGCCTGATCTGATTGTCCACCTCTGTCGTCGAACGATACTTGGACTTGCCACGGGAGTCTTGCAGCTCTTTCGACTGCTCACGAGCGTCAGGGCCAGCACGAGTGAGCCGTAACAGGGGGCGTGCCTTGCGTTGAATGCCATCTTGCAACGACTTGATCTGATCAAGCGCTTTCTTCCTGCTGGCAGAATAGGTCGATTGCTGACCACGCAGCTTGTCGAGCTCCTCCTTGAGTACCTTGCGTCGCTCTGATTGCGGTCCAGACGCATTCTTGGGGTCAGAGTCGTTAATTTTAGCTTTGATGCTTGCCTGACAGCAACGCTCTTCAGTCCGGTCCCGTGCCCACAAAAAGGCGCATAGACTCACGACAGCCTTCTGGGCGGACATGAGCTTGGTCGTCAGCTCTTCTTGGCGCTTGTCGTAGGCGGCCTTGTCAGGCTTGCCATGCGTGCTCGCCGTGGCTTGATCTGCTGCTTTAGCTGCCTTGGCGTCATTGATGGAGCCCGCGACAGCCTTGCCGAAGCTGCTCGCAGCGGCATCTGCCTTTGCACCGCTCACTGGCGCTTTCCCATTTGCCTTGGGCGGCATGACTGCGGTTCTCGAGAGTTATTTATGCTTGGCAGGTCTATAGGCGGCAGAGCAGCGCGTCGTCAAAAATTACAACAGGAGACACCAAAGCGTGGTTCCTATCTCGTGCATTCTGAGCTCAGGCTACGAGAAAGCTGGGCTCGCATCTCTTCGCACCCGTTCTGCCATCTGCCCAATGTGTGAACACGAACCAAGGATTGGTGCCTGTCCGCATCATCAGCACAGCTCCTCGCGCGATATCGATTCGTAGCTCACCGCATTCGCCCGTTCGCTGCCTCGCCATCAATATCAGCAGTCGTGGTCTGTTGATAAGCGCTGCAAGATTCATGATGTCCTGCTCCTTCGCAGCGAATCTGCCCAAGCGAGTTTGTGTGCTCGCGACGCGATGCATCTCTTGCGCCCACCAGCTCACTGCCGTCACGCTCCCGCCAAACCAAGCGCCTGCGAGGTGATGAGTGCCAGCTTTGCGCGTGCAACATTGAGTTCACCTTGAATCAGATTGGCGCGCAGAGGGACAGCGCTTGCATTCGTGTACGAATCGAGCGCGTCTGCCATCGGCAGGTTCTCGACGGCAGAAAGCATCATTCGATCTCCACTCGTTCCGAAAGCTTCGTCCAGGCGGACGTCAAGATCACTAAATCGCACTCTAGTTTGACTTCTGAATGCGCCTGCGTCGACCCAGAAGAATCGTTCGGACTTGAACGGGTTGCTCTTCGTTGTCCTTTCGAGGAACCATGCCTTGGACATCCAAACGGCATACATCAGTGTCGAGTGGATGCGCTGCTCAGGATCGAGTCGCCATTGTTGTTGCAACCATTGCTGACCGCCTAGCTCGAGTATAGGAGGCAACGTGAGCGCAGAGGCTACGGTCACAATCTGTAAAGGGCGGGTTGATGTGCTTGGTCCGTGCGCAGCCTGCACTTTTGCTACGAGATCAGGCGAGGTGTAGAAGACGATGGGTTGCTCGTTCGCTCGTAGGAAGTTGCCCAGCCATTCAAAATACTGAGCAGGCGGATGTCGCATTACATCGTTGGGGTCGAGAAAGAGCGCCGAAACAAGAGTAGTGCGGTATTCAATCTGCAAACCGTCCGTCGACCAGACCTGGCCAGAAAATGCTGAATAAGACCACTTTCGAGATGTGACACTGGACCCGTGACGGACAAGCACGAGTGAGGTAAAACCCCCAAAGAGACCAATCGCTGCGCAGAGCGAGCATGCTGCCAAGATGACTTTGACTACCGCAGATCGCCATTGAACCCGGCTCGGCTCGCGCAAATCCCCATCCGATAGGAGTGGCTCGTCTAGATCGAGCTCGTGTTTTGCCATTGTCAGGCGCTTGCGGTAAGGAGCGCATGCTTCAGATTGTGACATTTGACCGGTGCATAGAACAGGGCCCGAGCGCAGAAAAGCCTGAGCGTCGTCTACTCTATTTCCTCGAATTCGTATGCAGACTGGATGCGCGGCTTTTGCCTTGGATTAGCTTCGTTCGTCATGCCTTGCGAGCCTGCTCGGTGAGACCTTGAGCATGCGTGGGGGAAATGGTATGACAGGCTTACGCTTCGATGGCGTCGCCGGTGTTGAGGGATCAGACTTGTCCACTTTAGGACTTGCACTTGAGATGGCTCCTGACGTGGGCTCAGGCGCTCTAGAGCGTTGCGCATTGCGGCGCAGCTCGTTCAGCTCATCGTTCATCTGATGTCCAGGATCAACCAAACGCAGATCCTGAGATTCAGAGCAAACCTGGTCAAGAAGGAAGAAGACGCCGAATGGCTGTGCAGCGGTGTCTGAGAGCGGACGGACTTCCAACGAAAGCGATGCCTTGTGATCGTGCTCTGGTGTGATGAGTATTCTTGCTCTGCCTTGCTCTGCAGGGATCAGATCAAATTCGATACCGCGCACGAACACCGAGCCAGCTGCAAATCCGCGCTGATAGTCGATGAAGCGTCTGGTTTTTCTCTTGCATAGGTCGCTGATCTGAGCAAGTGAGTACGTTGCTGACCAATATTGAAGATGAAAACGGCCGCCTTCAATTTCGAATTCCGCAATAGCAGTAGCAACAAGAAGGCCATCATTGTGAGCAAGATACACGATAGTAGGAGTAGCGACGCCGGGCTCGTAAACGATGGCGCGGCCATGAGCAAAGTCTGAGAGATTGTCCATTGCACACGGATTGCTCGGAAACCTGTTGCCGACGCGCCTGATACTCAACAAGCGCGTATACTGCTCAGTCAAAACGCTGATATGTGCAAGGACAGGATACACACTTATTACAAGGCCATATACTCGGCTATAAAACGACGCCAGCCAGCAACATCGTCGGTATGCAGGCGGCAATTATGTTGAATCTGCTACAACGTGAGCGACATCACATTTAGCGGCGCGCCCAACTGACCCTCAAGCTATGTGATCTGCCTTGCGTGCAGGCTATGTCTTGCCACAGGCATTCGAAGAGTCCGATCTCCGTCAGTGTCATGGCATCGGCATCTCGAATGCTGACCAGACGGAGTTTGCTTGCCGAGGTTGCGACGGGTATTGCGCCCAGCACTTCTCCATTGACGACGCTTGCGAGATCATCCAGGCCAAGATATCGGAGCTGTGACGGGTAAGCAGCGCTCCTGAGCCACTTGAGCAGTTCCGATCGAGAGATTTGTGTGCCTGATAGGTTGAGCTCAATCAATTGTGACCACCGCTGCGCGCCGATGAAGCATAGGTCTGGCAGATGTCGCATAGATGTCATATTGAGGTCAAGCTTCTGCACTCGCGGAAATACTTGTGCTAGCACGTCCGCGTCCCTAATGCGAGCGCAGCCGGCTAAGTCGAGTTGGATCAAGCTATTGCGACTGCTTCCGAACGCGCGTATGATGTCTGCTTCCGTGACTGATAGCCGCGTGAGGCTCAGCGCGTGCAAGCGCCGAAAGTCGAGAATGGCCGTCTGCGCAGCAAACGCTTGCCAAGACTTCGGCGAGCCCGCGTCGAGAGTGACTGAGTGTGCAGACGCGACTAAAGCGGGCGACAAATGTCGCCAATCATCTTCGATGGCTAGCATAGGATAGACAGCCCTGGAAGTACAAATATCGTGCATCTGTCCATGCGCGTGAGCCTCGCTGGGTACTTGCAGGCCGATGACGTACTAGCTTGGAGACCAAGCGCATGCGAAAGCGTTCCACTGGCGGAAGCTCAAGCAGAATAGCGCAAATGAGCTCAGTCGGTAGCTTTGACCAAGCTGACTGGAGCTTTCGCCGCTTGGCAGGAGCATCGAATGACGCCAGGAATTGACTTTCGGATCTGGGCATGGGCCGGATTGTTGGCTGGTGCATAGCTGACAACCGATCGCCTGAAGAGTAGCTATGACATCGGAGACGTTGTACGTATGCCGACTCTAAGCAAGTGAAGAAGCTGACTCTGCCTGCAACTTCCTTACGCGGCGGTGATAAGCGAATCGATGTCGCTGTCCGCCATCGGCGCCTCTGATCAGGTCTTGCATCGAGCAGCAGACGGTCGACGTCTGAGAATACATTCGGCGTGTTAGCAGTGATGCAGAGCATCATGAAGATTTGCTCGACCTGTTGCCCATGACGGTGGAAACGCTCACTCGCACACCTGTTGACATTGCTTTCCACGTGACCTGTTCATTTGCGCGTATCGCGTGACGCAATCTCTCACGCTTGCCCTGCCATGCTTGGAGGAGCTAGGCTGCTCTTGCGAAGGATGTCGACGGTTGCGAAGGATCAGAATTGCATCTTTTGCAAGATCATCGAGTGCGCTATCTGCGAAGGGACGGTGCAAGTGCTGAAGCGAGCTTGCAGTGGCAAGATACCGAGCATGAAACTTGCGGAGACGGAGAAGACGTAAGAGAGTCTTCCTGTCGTTGCCTGACATGCTCGCTCAGCGTGCAGATCAGATTGGCATTCATGGACATCGGACCGATCGCCAAGGGTCATTCTCTAGTCATCCCAAAGTGCAAGCCCCGACCCGGAGACGGTCAGATTTAGAGCTGACCTCGGCATTGCCAGATCATGCTGCCAAGTTGCACGAGCTGCCGGATGAGCACATGGCGGAGATCCTGCCTCTAGCAGGCAAGATCGCTCGTGCACTTGGCTGCCAGGACTACAATGTCTTGCAAAACAACGGCAGAATTGCACATCAGGTGAGCTCTGGCTGAGGCGTATCAACGAGGCATGAATGACAGTACTCGGCAGATGGTGGATCACGTCCACTTTCACAGTATGCACGGCTATGTCTGAACTGATTGCTGCTGAGCCTGAAGCGCAGTCATTCCCAAGCCAAACGATACAGAGGGTCTCGGCATTGGCTGGCCAACGCAGGAGGCAGACAAGGAAGAGCTCAAAGCATACTGCGACAAAGTCAAGGAGAAGCTATAAGCGTCCGCAAACGGTCGAATGCACCAATATGACGCGTAGTCCGAGCGTGCCTTCGTCGCGTCGTCGCTTTGATCTGTCTCGTTCATTTCCATCGTACTTGCACTGATCATGAGCTTGACTGCTTCTCGCTTGATTCAGCTCGAATGGCAGCAACGACTCGCAGCATCAATGGGATCACACGCAAATAGTCAAGCCTCGCCAATATCAGATCGACAATCAGCTCAGATCTCCCCAACCGACGAACTCCAAGTCGAAACGCCTTGCGAGGTCGAGCACAAATTCTTGAACGAAGATAGTGTCACACTCGACTACTTGGCAGAGCTCGATGAGTTCACGCTCGTCGCTCCTGCTGGCATATCGCTCGTACCCATCAGCGCGCCCAATGGAGGAAGAATGGATTCAGGGCAAGCTCGGCAATCCCGCACTTCGCTCAGACTGGGTCATCGTCGCCGCAGCAGCGCAGTGATCATCAAGGCAAGCTGATCATGTGCTCAGGGACCGATCTGATATCGATACACAGTCTGTCCTTGTCAAGCTCAAGAACAGGCTCAGTTCGAGACCGACATCCTCGTCGCATCTCTCAATGCCGGTGCCTGACGAAGAGCTTGGCTCACCGGCAGGGCCAACTCTCACTTCTAGATTGAGCTCGCAGGGGATCTTGCGTCACTCGAGATCATTTTCGCAACCTGTCTTCTCCGCGCGGGAGGCAGGCACGGTCAAATTCGAGATGCACAGTCACAAGCATCGCTCGCTCAACTCGATAATCCCCATCGACGGTGGACCCGGCGCAGCACCACTGTCGGTATCGACGCGCTATTCGATGCCAGACTACCTCTCTGTAGCACCGTCTATGCTTCTTGAGGGATCACATGCGCATATCGAGCATCTTCATCCACCAGAAAGGCACTCTTCGCTGCCCATCTCGGTTGCAAGACGCGTCAGTCACGCAACACTCACAAAAGGTCTCAAGCGTGCGCCGAGTCAGCCAATGATCTCAAAGCCTCTGCGTAAAGCGTCGCAAGTGGACTTGGCTCCCAAGCATCCAGAACTCGATCTGTCGATCTCGCCTGGCGCTCAAGGCGGCTGCGGCAAAACACTGCCAACGCGCCCTCTCGTCCGCGGAAGAGATCCTGCATTTCCAGTCAACCGCCCCACCATCACAAAGAGACGTCGACTATCTGGCCTGCCTACGTCAGCACGACCATTTGCTGTTCAGCCGGTCCCGTCGGACAACGTGTTCGATCACTACGGCATCGGCGAGACCGAAGAGGCGAGAGAAGAGCTATGTATTCGCCATCACCGCGATTTTGGTCAGCCCGTTTGCGCGTGAGGTACTCCGCACTCTAGCCCGATCCATGCAGATCTTCTCTGAATCCTGACAGACCGAACGGGATCGCTATTGGCTGTGATCGAGATTCGATTGCTTTGAGGAACGCGACTCGCTGAACATAATTCCCTGCGAGGCCATCCTTCTTGATACGACTCAATGAGCTGACACAAGCGAGCGACCGCAAGCAGTATGCCGACGTTAGCAGAACTGCGCGCCAAGCCGGCTGCAGGCGACCTGGCATCCAGACGAGATGGCCCGCTACCTGCGCTAAATCTGGGTACCTTGCCGGGCGCGCTGGGCTCAGACACGGCGCAGGCAGCTATGAGCGGCTCTGGCAGCTCGTCTAAAGTCCTTGAGCTCATGGGCGACGGCCCGGCAACGCCTAGCGAAATAGACGAGGCTAGCCATGCCAATTTCTGGTCGGGCAGGAAGGCTAGTCATGCAAAGAGCGCAAGAGATGGCTCACCTTCAGCCTCGCGAAGGACCTCGCGAGCACAGAGCGGAAGTCTACGCCCGCTGGAAGCCAATTCGCCTTCCAATGGAGACCGGCGAACGTCTGCGTTCCCGCATCTGCATATGTCGCCTAAACGGCGCAAGCCATCCGACAACACAGCGATGCCAGGCGGGCCTGTGGACAGTCTGAGAAAGTCAATGGACGATGGCACATCACCTCGAGCAAGCTTCAGCGCGTCAATGCCTCCGAAGACTGCGCCCGATGCCATCAAACCGTTTGCAGCCTCACCGACGGACAGCTCGAAACTGGCCAGGCCTGCTTTCAGCCTTCGCACCGAATCCTCGGACAAGATAGCCACCTTTCGTGCGCTCAAGGTGCAGCATGCGACACAACAAGCGCATGGCATGCCCTTGGGTGCACCATTATATAGCCCGGGCGATACATCTGCGCCGCTTCCGGGCGACCTTTCGCCTCGCGCGATGGATGACTCGTGGCTTGGTCGCACCCCGGGTCAGCGATCCCTATCGATTGCTTCGATCTTGTCAGAAAGCGAGGCTAGCCTGGGTACTGCTTCGCCTAATAGTCAGCAGCGCGTCAGCAACTATCCTGCCGAAACGCCCAGTGCTGGCGAGATGAAAGACATCGTGCCATTCCTTTATCCCGAGCCAGAAGAGCTGTCACCCACCGAGTTGTCACGCTCGCGACACGCATCTATATCACAGCAAGCGATCAAACGCCCCAGTCTTATGCGCAATGGCAAATCGTCCTCGAGACTCAACATTGAGCCCCTTGACTTGTCAGGCGCAGGCGCAAAAGCTCACAAGCGAGGACTGCTCGCCATGCTGCGACGCAAGAGCAGTGCAAAAGACGCCCTCCATGACTGTACGCTTCATTGCTGACCATGCGGGTTCCGGGGCTGATGCGGCATGTAGCTTTCCGAACGGCCGGCGGCTCCTTCTCATCCATCACTTCTGGTATCGCTCCAGAAGATCAATCTAGACGCAATTCGCCGCCTAAGCTCGTGCCAAGAACGCAAGAGCTGCGGAGCAAGCGGAAATCAGGCAAAGAGAGGCAAGACAGTCTTTCGGTTCCACCAAACAATGGCATGTCGCTGGATACAAATCTCTCGTCAATGGATGGCATCATCAATTTTGATGCGACCCCACGCTCAGCGTCCCGCGACATGGATGGCATCCCGCCTTCACGTACAGGCTCATTTCTCGATAAACCTTATCCTCCTGGCCGACGAAGGCCTTCAACAGCCCCTTCATTGCCCGCGCCCAGCGAGGGCGCTGCTGTCTTCACCTTAGCCGATACCCGTTCCCGCAAAGCGCCTGCTCTAGCGGGCGATGGCATCTGGCAAGCTGGCTATGGAACGACTTTTGGGGGTATCGTAGGCAAGGACACACCATCCACGCAAACGCGCAGACCGTCATACGTCTCTTCGGATGGCAATGGCGCAACCGATATTCGGCGAGGCTCGACATCGACCATGACGAGCGTATCGGGCGTTGGCGGTGTAGATTTGGCGAGCAAGCCAGGTAACTTCGTGCCTGGTGCCGCATGGACTGCACCAGAGAGCTGGGCAGTCAAGGGCGACCTTGTGCCTGATGCGGATTCCACTGATTCTGACGAGATTGGCGACGATGACGGCGAGGGCGAAGAAAAGCAGGACAAAGACCAGCCCGGGGATCTGGACGCATCCGTTATCAGCTTGCCTGCAGCTTCACGCATTGCCACAAGGCGAGGCAGCGCAATCAGTCTCAGAGGACAGTCCAGCGGTCGTGTTGATGGATCGACCAAGCGACCTAGCACCGGAACGAGCACAGTTTTCCGCATGCCGAATGTCAGTCCTTTCCCGTCGAGTATAGCAGAGCTGACATGAATGCGCAGTTCACGATACGCGTCTACAAGGCTGATCAGGTGCACGCGACGATCTCTGCGCCCGTCAGCACGACCGCACACGAATTACAAACAATGATAGCCCGACGTCCAGGCTTCGTCACGCTCAAGGGAGCCAGCTACAAGATCTTTATTCGCGAGCATGGCCTAGGTAGGTCACTTGCAGTAGAACCTCGTAATGAGCTCAACGTACGCGCAGAGCGAGTCATGGCTGGTACTGAACGGCCTTTGCTGCTTCAAAGGCGCAGACTGGAGCAGGCAGGCTACGCGGACATCGATCGGCCTGAGGATCTAGGACGCGAGGATCATAGCTACCTTTGCAAATTCTCTTTTAAGGCAGAGACAGCTTTCACGTTCGAAGCTGTGCGCTCAGTGCTCTGCCCGACTGACACACGCTGACGCTTGCGCAGGCTGAAGAGACGTGGGAAGGCTTTCAGTATATCGATCTGCAAGCACGCAGTCTCTCGACCGTGCCAATCTTCCTTTACCGGCATGCGCATGAGATCGTCAGCCTCAATCTGTCCAGGAATCCTAAGATCGATTTGCCTGCCGACTTTGTCCAGCTATGCACGAACCTGCGCGAGCTGAGACTGTCGAACCTGACGATCAAGAAGCTGCCGCAGAGTATCAGAGAATGCCCTAGCTTGACTCGACTAGATGCGTCTAACAATCGCATCGTCGAACTTGATCATATCCAGTTGGACGAGGTGACTGAGCTGACGTCGCTCAAGTTCCACAATAATCGCTTGTGGTCGCTACCGGCCTATTTCAGCAAGATAACTGGGCTCAAATATCTCAACATTTCCAACAACAAGTTTGACACATTTCCACCCGTTATCGCATCTCTCGTCTCACTCGTAGACTTGGACGTCTCCTTCAATCTTTTGACGGAGTTGCCAGAGAGCATGGCAGATCTGCTGCAGCTGCAGCGCCTGATTATAAGCGGCAATGCCATCGCACGCTTACCGGCATCGTTTGCAAAGCTTGTCGAATTGCGCGAGTTAGACTGTCGACGGAACATACTCGAGGATCTGTCCGTGTTGGCTGGCATGCCAAAACTCGAGACTCTGCGATGTGAGCACAATCAGATCACATCCCTCAGCTTGGACTCGCCCGCAATGCTTGCGTTGGAAGCTGCCCATAATGCCATTACGAAGATTGCGCTCGTCCAGATGGCTTCCAGCCTTACTTCTATCAATCTGTCGCATGCCAAGCTGACGAGTCTGGACGACATATTCTTCCGGGAGCTGAAGTCGCTCACTGCGCTCGTCCTCGATAACAACCAACTCAAGACCTTGTCAGAGTCATTGACTGAACTCGAGCGACTTGCAAGCTTCTCTTGCCGCAACAATCTGCTCGAGGCATTGCCTGAGTCTATTGGCAATCTAGTGCATTTGACGCATCTCGACGTATCGCGCAATGATCTGTCAGCGCTGCCCTCATCCATCTGGCTATGCCCTGAGATTGTCTCGCTGACTGCGTGCTCCAATCTATTGACGACCCTGCCGGATGTACCATCGCCAGTCGAAGCAGAGGGCGAACGGAAGCAAAGTGTCGCCGCGGGCGGCCGAGAAAAGCCCCCTATGGCACTCTCGCTGCAGAAGCTGTATCTTGCCGACAATCAGCTTCCTGACGGAACCTTGGCGGCAGTTGCTACCATCTCCGAGCTGCGCGTGCTCAACTTATCCTTCAACGAGATCTATGAGCTGAAGCGAGGAAGTCTGTCCAAGCTGAAACTCCTCGAAGAACTCTATCTTAGCGGCAACGAACTCACGACACTCCCAGAAGAAGATTTTGCCCGTTTGACTGATTTGCGCATCCTCTTCCTCAACGGCAACAAGCTACAAACGTTACCGGCCGAGCTTGGAGAGATTACGCGTCTTGAGGCGCTCGACGTAGGTAATAACATGCTGAAGTACAACATCGCCAATTGGAGCTATGATTGGAATTGGTGCGGCACACCTCAAGTTCGCTTACTATCACTGATATTTCTTCAGGAATTGGAATCTCGAGCTTCGGTATCTCAATTTATCAGGCAATCAACGCCTGGAGATCAAGCCAGCAGACGTACGGGCGATGCAAGCGCAAGACGGGCTGTCTGCAGCCAAGAGACGCAATCTCAGCAACTTCAACGCACTCCGCAAGCTGCGCATCCTCGGTCTGATTGACGTGACGCTTACCATACCGGTCATTCCTGACGACACTGAAGATCGGCGCGTGCGAACGTCGTTATCAGAGATCAATCAGATGGCATATGGCATCGCTGATACCCTTGGCAAAGCGCATAGTCTTGGTATGGCCGATCTCGTCGTCCCACGTTTCCGAGGAAAGGAAGACGAGGCGCTCTTCGGTCTTTTCGATGGGAGAGTGCACACAAACACCGGTGGTTGTCGCCTGGCCAAATATCTGCAAGACTGCTTCGCTGCGTCAATGTCCTTCGAACTCAATAAGCTTCGCGAGGGCGAGTCAGTGGAAGAGGCAATGCGGAGGACCTTTCTTAATATCAATCGGGACTATGGCAACATTTTGCAGCCGCTCTTTGATATCAAGCGCAAAGAGTCTGGCGACAATGCCGGCGATCGCGCACTTGCCGTCGGAACCAGCGCAGCGGACGTTCGCAGTGGTGCATCGGCAGTCGTGGCCTACATCAGCAAAAAGCAGCTTGTCGTGGCTAATGTCGGTGACGCGCTAGCTGTGATATCTGGTCGATCAGGATCAGCGCGAGTCTTGTCCGCCCACCACACGCCGATGGACCCGGCAGAAACAGCGAATATCCGCGCCGCAGAAGGCTGGGTCTCTCCTAAGGGACTCGTCAACGATGAAGTCGAAGTGTCGCGATCTTTTGGCTGCTTCCATGTCTTCCCAGCGATCAGCGTTCGTCCTGCTGTTTTCACTGTCGACCTTGCAGACACCGACGACTTTGTCATTCTTGCCAATCGTGGTCTTTGGGACTATATGTCTTATCAAGGCGCAGTGGATGTTGCTCGTAGCGAGCGGGCAGATCCGATGCTGGCTGCCCAGAAGCTCCGAGATCTTGCGATTGGCTATGGATCGAATCAAAACATCATGGTCATGGTAGTGTCGGTCGGCGATCTCTTCAAGCAGAAGAAGCCACTGTCGCGCGGCATTGGTGGCGCACAAGCTGCCGGTGATGACGATTATCAGACTGAGCGCAGACGTCGAGGCTTTGGCAACGCGCCAGGCGAGCGCTACCTGACTTTGCTTGATCGTGAGGTGCCACCACCTGTGGGAACGCTCGCCTTGGTCTTCACCGATATCGTCAATTCGACGTCGCTCTGGGAGACGAATCCGGGTATGCAGATGGCCATGCGCATGCACAATCAGCTCTTGCGTCGTCAGCTGCGCGCTATCGGAGGCTACGAAGTCAAGACGGAAGGCGATGCATTCATGGTCTCTTTTCCGACTATATCAGCCGCCATGCTGTGGTGCTTCACCGTCCAGCTCGAGCTTTTGCGAGAAGACTGGCCAACATCAATTTTGAATAGTGAGGATGGCAAGGAGGTGCTTGGCGCCAACGGAGAGATGCTCTACCGCGGTCTATCGGTTCGCATGGGCATTCACTGGGGTCAGCCGGTATGCGAGGCAGATCCCATCACCCGTCGCATGGACTACTTTGGCCCTATGGTGAATCGATCCGCTCGTATCGGCGCCGTCGCCGATGGCGGTCAGATTGTCGCGTCCGCAGATGCTATCGAGCTCATCAAAGCGATGATCGATCCCTCAGATCTCATTGACGCGCGTAATGGGTCCGAAGAAGATGGAGACTGGCAATCAAATCTTGACGAGAAGTCTCAGCGCGACATTCTTGCCATCCGAAAGATGGGCTTCGGCATTACCGAGCTTGGCGATCGCCGTCTCAAAGGCCTAGAGACGCCCGAATTCTTGTCCCTGATCTATCCCAAGGAGCTTGCGAATCGAATCAAAAGTGTCAGTGCTGGCCAGCTTGGTGCGAGCAGCAAACCTGCCGAGATCTATGATCCTATTCCACAAATCATCGACGTCAATCATGTTCGCCAACTTGCTTTTATCTGCTTGCGCCTCGAAGCACTGTCGGCAGGCAATGCGCCCGAGGCACAGACGGCTTTCATGAGCCTGCCTGTTGGCGCCTCGCCTCTCGTCGGCGTCAATAGCCGCGATCATTTCCACTACAAGACCCGAGTCCACCCTCACTTGTTGACGTATCCGACACGAGCAGATGCAACAGACGAGGAACTTCTTGCCGTTGTCGAATCGTTGCTTGTCCGAATCGAAAATGTCCTGGCGACCTACACGTTACGGCAATTGGGACCCTATGCCGACGTGCTCAGCGTCCTGTCGGAGCTCACGCGGCAGGATCCGAAGTATGTCTTGCACGCTTTGTCACTCTTTGCACAGACTGCATGATTTGTAACAACAAACATCTCTAGACTTCGTGTTGTAAGGTTTCATATCCCTCGAAAAGTAGCAGTGTCCGTTAATTCGATGGGACTCTCTTCGCTTGCGGTCAGTTCGTGAGCTAGCTGGACTGATTGAGGAGCCGCGTCGTCATTTTCAGAGTGCCTGGTGCCCCAAGCCACCTGCTCACACTGGTCAGTGCGGAGATGACGGGACGAGGAGGATCGCATACCTCGTGCAAAGTGAAGAGCGCATAGATCTTCATGGCTGCGAAGTAGTAGCCAAAGATGAGCCAGACGGGGACATAAATCAGATGTGTTGGGTGCCGGTACAGATGGGGTATGAGCTTAGCAGTGCGGGTGATGTGCAACCAGACAAGATACGATATGAGGATGTTCCAGGTCGGCAGGTGATAGGCGTCAGGCCCTGGATCTCGCTTGCTCTTTATGCAGAGATAGATGACAAGGCAAGGACCGATCCAAAGTGTGACTGGATTGAGAAATTTGTCAATCATGGTATACGTCGTGTAAGGATGGCGAGACCAGATGTAGCGTTCGACAAAGACAGACTTGAAATCCGATCGCCAGGTGTTTCGCGTCCATCGCAAGACTTGCTTGAGAAAGCGCCAGTCGGGTCTCATCGTACTCTGGAGTTCTGTGGCGGAAGAGCATTGGACATAAGTCTTCCAGCCATGGCTGACCATCCAGCGAGTGAGGAACTTATCATCGCCAGAATTGAGCGGGTATTTGCCCAGCCAGAGCTCATTGGTGAATTCACGCAGGAATTCCGGATCTTTGAGTATCTCGGTACGATAGGCAGCAGTGCGACCTGACAGGCACGGCACACCGCCATCGATGTGAGTCGAAGCGGAGATCTCTATGTTGCGGATCGACAGACGGAAAGCAGCCAAGACTTCCCAGACTGTCATGTGGTTGCCGACCGACTTGACGACCTGGGAGGTGCCAACACCGCCAATAGACGCATGCTCGAAGCAAGCTAAGATGTGGTCAAGCATGTGTCTCGGCCAGAGCGCGTCATCATCTGAAAAGACGACAATGTCTGTCGATGCAGCGGCTATGCCGTGAGCCATCTGGAGACGTTTGTTTGCCCTGTCGATCGAGAGCACCGAGATCTGCGTCGACGGTTCCTTTCCGTCCGCCTCAGGTTTGATGTCGACAGCTGCGGACGCGCTCGACTGGACATGCTGCCAGGTCTGCTGGATCTGACCAGCCATCTCTTGCATGGCCTCTACACGGGAGTTCTCGGTGACGATGATGATCTGGTACGGACGGTTGGCCAACCAAGTAAGGGCGGCTCGGGCGAGGCTTTGCTCCGTATCGATTGTGGGCACGATGATGGTGACATCGCGCTCGGGTGTATAGGTGCGCTCTGCAGGCAGTGGTATGGGGCGATAGGAGGCCCATGCTAGCAGTCGGATGACGAACCACAAGTAACGGTAGAAGCCGATGACGCCTAGTGGCACAAAGACGGGCAAATGATCCGATGTGAGGTACAGCATCACGCGAGTCGTGCACGCCCAGGGCGGCGAGCGCGCTGTGGACGGACGTCAACGCTCTTCAAATGGTCCGGGTCGACAGGACTGCCCGAGCATGATGACCTTCTTGAGCTTACCTCAGTCTGCGGCGGCGGCGACTTTTCCGGTTTTGCCAGCGCGCGCGTCTTTGTGCTTTGGCTAGCCGCAACAACCGGCTGACTCCGAACAAGATGCCGACGCTCGGCCAGATAGCCCTCAAGGCAGTCCGGCCTAATCAAGAGCTGGCAGTCTCCTATGCACTCCTTGCTGCCGTCCTGCGTCGGCGGAGATACACCCGCAGCGAAGTTATCGCCTTGTTCTTGTTATCACTCAATTGGCCCAACCTGCCCTTTGTATGGCACGTGCGGATGTTCATTCGTGTGCCGCTCTTCAGGCTACGGGTATGGCTGTATGCCAACGGATGGCTGAGCCCACCCAAACGGAGTCTGAGCCTCGGTCTCCACGGTAGAGAGCATGCACTGGCGGCGATAGGTCGTTCGCCCTGGGCCCTGCGCAACAGCTTCTCTCGATATGCAGGCTGGGCTGGCATAGACTGGAACAACCACCTCTCCAATTCTTCGTACGCGACCTCGTTAGACAACGCACGCATGCGCCATCTGATCATGGTCTGGGGATCCTGTCTACGCTTCGACGGCGTCGCGTTCGCCCTTGCTGGCACAGAGTTTGAGTACATACGGGAGGTACCCATGCTAGAATCTTACGAAGTCGAAACGCATATCCTCACTTGGGAGGACAAATTCGTGAGCAGTCGTTGTGGTTTCGGGGGCGTGCTAACGAACGCGCGCAGGCTTACCTGTTGCACCGCTGGCTTATCAAACCCTCGGGCAAGGACCCCAACGAGATCAAGGGCACGCGAACGGGCAAGCGTGCGACAGTGGCAGCCATCGGGCTTTCGAAGATCTGCTTCTCGGTCAGCACCGTGCCACATCCCAACGCGCCCGATCAGAGCAAACGTCGAGTACGCCAGACAGCTCATCCCGGCCGCGTATTTGCATTGTCTGGCTACGGCACATCAGTCTCCAATTGGTCCCTAGCTAAAGATTTGCGAAAAGCGAAGCAAAGCCGACAATGGCTGGCGGGTCATCCTAACACGATAGCACCTACCGATATTGGCGATGGTCAGCTAGCCTTTGAGCAGAAGCGAGCAAGACTCGCAGAGATCCTGTCTAGGCTCGCCGGTGGTGACCGTAGTGTCTGGCGTGAGCTGCTGAAAGCTTCAGACGAGGACGAGGCGTTGTGCGCAATTTAAGTTACGCCGATCCCGTCGACCCGCCAGATAGATAATCTGGATCGTATGGTTCTGCTTGTTGCACATGTTCTCACTGCGCGCTCCTACTCAATCGCAATATGGTCTTGGCAAGAGTGTGTCAGCTCGTTGGAGCATTGATCCTCGCACAGTTTGCCTGGCGTATTGCTAACGCAATCTATATGTACTTCATCCGAGCCCCAGACTTGCCGACTTATCTCTACCCCTCCACAAGTGGCGTACGCCCGTGGGCACTCGTTACGGGCTCATCAGATGGCATAGGCAAAGCGATCGCTTCACAACTCTATCAGGCTGGCTTTTCTGTCTACCTTCATGGTCGCAATGCCGATAAGCTTGAGCTTGTCAAGAAGGAGATACTCAGCCTGCCCGCGAATTCTGTACAGACGCTCAGCAATGCTGCACATGACGTGAAGATATGGATCCAAGATGCAGCTGCAGCGGAGATTGACTACGACAACTTTGCGCGCACTATCAGCACGCTGCACCTCACGGTGGTTGTCCACAACGTGGGCGGCTCGGAGGCGTACACCAAGCCATTCCATGCACAAACTCAGCAAGAGCTCGACAAGATCATCAACATCAATGCACGCTGGCTCACTCAGCTCACACGCGTCCTCATCCCGATCCTGAACTCCGTTGACGGACCGAAGCTCATGGTCAACATTGGCTCTTTTGTACGTCCGCCACATCGTGCATGTATGCAGCGAGGCTGACTGGCAAACATGGCAGGCCGGCAGCTTTACTGCGTACCTCTATCGCATAAGTTGCTCGGGCCCCTGCTGACCATTGCGCAGGCCGTATCTGGCAGCATACTGCGGCAGCAAAGCATTCGTTCGTATCTTCACTCGCACAATGTGCGCGGACAACGACTTTATGCGAAACATCGGCAAAGGTGCAAAGCATCCGATCAGGTATCAACACATTGGTGTCGGCAGTGTACGCTCGGGCACGAACCTCGCCGAGATAGGATTTGGTGTGCCCGAAGCCAGAGACTTTGCCCGAGACCTGCTGCGTCACATGGGCGGACCCGATCGCGACTTCGCTGCCAGTCCTGCGCAAGCTCTGCAGGAATTCATGATCAAATGTTTGCCGCAACAGACCGCCGAGCTGGCGATCGGTAAGGTTATGCGCCAGCAATACAAGTATTGAGTCAAGCGTGTCCGCCGACGAGCCCAGCTAGCGTACGTGCTGCTGAGCGCAGTGAAGGCTGCGGTGATTCGATGCAGGTATTGAGGGCACTGAGGAGCTTTTCGCGCGCATCTTGCGGCAATGGGGTGCTGCTCCCAGCAATAGCGAGCGACAACAGATTGCAGCTTGTTGCCCTGACTTCTTCTGGACTATTTGTGTCGCTCACAAAGTCAGACAAGAGATCGAACGAGCTTTGCGCGCTTCTGCTGCTAGTTGCAGCTCGCGTGTTGATCAGCAAGATTTGCATGTCCTCTTGTAATGCCTTTGCACTTGCGAGCATGATGAGAGCATTCGCAGCTTCGAGAATCAGGCTTGGGAATCCTGCGCTACAGTGCAGCATGTCGATCATATACACGAGCACAGGTGGCTTTGCGAGCTCGGCACGTGCTTCTGAAACGAAACCTCCTTCTGTTGCGCTCGAGAAGATGGACTGAATCGCTTGGGCAACAGCCCGAAAGCTCTCGAGCCGCAATTTGGGAACGTCTGTTTGAGCGTTGAATGCCATGACGGCGTCGAGATGGTACATGGCGAGCAGTGCGGCTGATTGAACTGTCCATCGACATTCTGTCTCAGTGCTGAACAATCGCTCTGTCAGATCCCTGACCTTGTTTTGTGCAGCATAACCGCAGGAAACCCAGCGCGACGTCTTGCAAAGGCTGTGCGAGTCTGAAAGTGTCTGATAGCAGAGTAGCAGCACCCTCGAGATTGGCTCGCGTGCCGAGTTGCGCTCGTAAAGCAGCTGAACACACATCAGATCGGTGAGAATGCTTAGGAGAGCGCGCACGAGCTACGGCAAGACGGCGCAAGAGACCCATGGCACCGTAGCAGAGCTGCAGCGACGGCGTAGCTGGATCGATGCCGACTGCTAGCAGTCGTTGTACACTATCCAATAATCCGTCTAGGCTCGCAATCAGCGACGAGCGTTCTTCTGCGAGCAACGATCAGCAGCGCAAGCGGATCCACAGCGGACCTACCTGTCTTTGCGCAGTTGGCGAGAATGAGGAGCGCGCAGCTAGCGAGCTCGTTTGCAGATGCGGCACCGACAGTCTGCGCCTGCTGCTTGTAGCTTGAGATCCAAGGCAGAATTTCAAGGCCAAGCGAATTAGGGTCGAAACGAGCGCAAGCATCTTCGCTGGCCAACGCTACAAGGACCTTGATGAGTCCTTCGCGAAGCGCTTGGGTTGATTTTCCCAGCTGCTCAGCCAGGGTTTGCTGCGCGCACAGACATGACAGGCGATGCAGAGCTCTAGCAAGTGTGACGGGTTGCTCGGAAGTCGCAAGCTCAGCGAGCAGGCGCGCCGACTGTTCAGTGCTTGCCTCGACAATCTGAGTAAGCTCTAGTGGTACCTCGAGGTGATCCTCTGATAGGCTCGATGCAGGCAAGAGATTGATGCGTGCGATCAAACCGGCAACGACTTGCACTATCGGTATGGCGTTCCTTCGAGGTTCTGCCTTGAGGTCAGTACGTCTTATGAGCATCTCGGTGTACCTTACCTTCCGAGAACACATCGGACACAATGCTGCAGATCCAAAGCGGCAATGGCTCCGGCGTAGCATCGCTCGCAAGTAAAGTGAGCATCGCGTCGAGACAATTATCTGATCGGCTTCTCGCGGCCAACGCATCTTGCGCAGGTGCTGCTGAATAGTATGAGCAATATCAGTGAACGAAGCGCGCACACTTGCCATAGTCGAGGGTCAAATTGAGCAGAATGCCAACAGACGTTCTTTGAGCCGCTAGCGCGTCTATGCTCGCCGGCTGGTCAAGGAGCATGAAGGGCGATATGCACGACAACACATCGTTGTCGAGCAAATGTTGTCTGTTGACGTCTGTGCGTACACACAGCTCAGCAGGTGCTTAGGGGATGCATTGGCGCGCTTGCCATTGTCGATGCAATAATTGCCAAGCACACGAAGCAGCTGCCCTTCTGCTCTTGCTCTTGGCTCAACTTCGGCTGCCGTGTGCCTGCGAAGGTGATGAATGACGGTCTCCACGAGGGTCGTAGAAGCAGAAGCAGCTCTCGTGCTCACTAGACTTACTTTTAAGCCATATGATCACGCGATGGCCAGCGTGCTTACCTTGCGCAAGCTCGCTGGCAAGTCGCTCAGCAATCTCGCTAGCATCCTGCCACTTCTCACCCTCCAATGCCACCCGCAGAGCATCGACCTCGTTCATTTCGCATCTATGACGACACGCGACCGCGACATGCTCCATCGATCCCTCCCTGGCATCCTCGACGGAGATGCACTTCGATCTCGGCTACACCTCGCCCATCAATCCCGCCGGAGCAGAGCCTAAGCTCTCCGTCTCTCAAGTCTGGAAGGGGCTTGTCCAGAAATGCAGAGCGCCCCAGGCATTCGTGCCGGCCATCAGCGAATGCGAGATTCTCTCAGAGGATGACAACGGCCTCAAGCGGATGGTCACTTTTCAAGCTGGCTTCGGGCCTCCAGCTGGCAAAGTCGAGGAGCACATCACCTTTCAGCATGAGCTGCGGGTGGGCACTTGCGGACTATACAGTCGCCCGAGCTCATGACAGTGAGACAGGCTGACTTCTTGATGGTCGGCAAAGGCAGTCAGATCAGCAACATCATCACGCCTGGCAGCGGCGAGAGCGATCTGTACCTCACCTACACCTTTTCGTTCAACGAGCCCACGATCGAGCCCGGCACACCGGAGGCAGAAGCAAAGCTCAAGCAATACACTGAGCAAGCCAAAGGCGTCGTACCCCGCAGTGTTGATGAGATCCGCGACATGGTCAAGCAAGGCAAGATATAGCATCACATGCAACTCGAAACGAGGTGCAGAAGAAGTACAGCAACGTCTACTGGGTATAGGGTGGTGCCTCGATGTATTATATGGAAATCACATATGCGAAAGGACGGTCCTCATGCCGTCTGAATCGACGATGAGAGCCTGCCCATGATTGTAGCCTCGGCAGAGTGTGATGGCCTCGTCTACGATGCCGCACTCTTTGAGGTAGCGCACGATCGATACCGGATCGATCAGAAAATCAGAGTCGCCCAGAACGATGTGCAGATTCTCTGGCGAGACGTCGGGCAGCTCATGCTCCCACAGGAGCATATCGGTCCATTGGAAATCCCGTCCGATCGTATGCGCCTGTACGGACATCAGCTCTGTCTGATCAACGGCTAGGCCAAAAGTAGGACGTACATTGCCGAGTTCGCGCGCGACAAAGTAGCCGAGCAGAACCTGAAGGCCAGTTTGCCAGGGCTTGTACACAAAAGTGTAGCAGACGTCGGCCTCGTGTAGCAACAGAGACACAGGGTCCACGAGCACGGTGCGCGTGCACAGTTCGGGTGCGCCTCGCAGCAGCCAGCCCAGGACCATAGTGCCATTGCTATGAGCTACGACGGTCATCTTCTTGATGTCCATACGAGCGCAGATATCCTTGATGGCGGCGACATGCTCGTGCTTGTCCGGAGGACTGAGGAAGCGAGGATGCCAGATGAGTGCAGAGATGTTGGGCTGAAGCAAGATGATGACTTCTTTATCTGAACGCGCCAGATGCCGCAGGAATTCGACTGCAAGCTGCCGTCAGCGGGATCACAAATCAAAGGCTTAGGAATGTACCGTATTGACCAAGCCCAATACCGAGGCCATGCAAGAAGCAAACGGGAAGCTTGCGCTTTTCGACGCCCGGCGCATCTGAGGACGTGGCCGGCTTGACGAGGAATTCGAGACCGTGGCTGTGACGGAATCGGAAGCCTCGGAAGAGCACGAGCCAGGCGTACATTCTATGAGAGCATGTCAGTCTCGGTCTGAGAACACTGAAAACAAAACATACAAGAGAGTGACGCTGCTGCAGACGACATAGTAACCCAGGGGGCGGCTCATGACTTGCAACTTATCGAGAGTGAGCTTGAGGCACCGTATGTCAGGATTGTAGCCCGGCGGCACTCGACTTTTCAGTCTGGGCTGAACCCAAGTGAGCGTCTCCTCGATCAAGCGCATCGTCTGCGGATCCTTGCGAGCATCTTCGAGCGTCACACCGCCCATAGCCCATGCCAGCCATTCCCTGACATTGTCCTCTCTGATGGACGAGTACGGCGCGCCTGCGAACCAGCTGCGAAGCTTCTTTCTGAGCTGAGCAGCAGACTCGTCCGTGACCTTTGTAAAGTCTGGCTCCGTCGTTCTCGGTCTGCGGCCATTGACTGTCTCTTTCTGGATACCAGTAGACAAGCATTCGAGCAAGATGCCTCTGATGTGCGCCTCATCTAGCTGAACGGGCTGGGCAGGTTGATTACCCTTCCAGCAAAGGTACTGATAGAACAGCGAGAAGAGGGCTTCACAGATGGCGTGGTAGAAGCAAAAGGTATAGAAAGCATTGTGCGGAGCTGCCCGATTAGGCGAAATGAAAAAGTGCCAGCCAAGGAAGAGCCAGCATGCAGGTGTGATTGCCCAGACGAAGCCGGCAGGGAATATGCAGGTGACGTAGAAGCCTAGCGTCTTGTGATGGCCGGCAACGAATTCATCGTCATGAGTATAGATGATAGGCGATTCTCTCTTGTCGTGCCCGTTCATGACAGCGCCTTTTGCCTGGGAATGTCACTAGACCCAATGAGGTGAGTCCGAGCTTGCGGAGTTGATGGGTCACCCCGGTGTCAACAGCAACGTCTTTTCAGAGCTTCTGAAAATGTCAACGATTACGTCTCGCGTGGCACGAGACCAAGATTCTAGACGATGACGGCGATCCGATCGCGGCCAATTTATTCGAACGGGCGAATTTCGAGTTGACCGCGTTGCCGCGTTGCCGCCTGGCCGCGATCAGGCCGTCTGCGCCCAAAAGTATGCATCTGGGGCTACACAAAATCACGCACATTCATTCTGCCCCATGACAAATATTATCAGACGGGGGGCACTGCTCATGCCTTCGAGGACCGCACCTTGTTCTTACTGAGGAGCAGGTCACGAAGGCAAGCATTCTCCGAACGGACTTCTTGCAGCTCTTGCGAGAGTTCATCGATGCGAGCCTTGAGCATCTTTGCATCTTCTTCAAGTGCCGCCTCGCGCTGCTTCTTCTTGATACGAAAGCGAGCTAAAGATGATGAGAGCGTCAGCCAGGCCTCGTGCTGAGTATGCTGCAACGGACCAGAGGCAGCTGTATTGCGACGACGGCGATCTTCTTCGACTGCAGCAGCGTTGGCAGCAGCGATGGCTTCCTCTGACATGCGAGGATGAGTGACGAGAGTGACGCCAGAAGGCAAGACGGTCGTGATAGCCCCAGAAGGCGAGACAGCATTGGATGTATTGCCCGCGAGGGGAGCTACAGTTCCCACGCCTGTCGAATGAGAGCCGAGACTCCTATCGATGAGAGAAGCGGCGGGAGATATCCGATCGGTCTCAGAGACTTGACTGGGCGCTCTTGAGTGAGTGGGTCGAAATGACTTTATTGAACGAGTAGCGCCATGATCTGCCAGGTAGGCATTGAGAGTAGCAGCATCGAGGCGATCATAGTCAACGGGAGCAACGCTGGCGAGTGTGTCCGCGCGTGGGGCCGTTGGAATATGCAGCGTAGTTGAGCCCGGCGTGAGGGTCGATCGGGCTGCAGTCAGAGACGACGCTCCATCACGCGTGCGCTTGCGCGATTGTACCGAATTGACTGTGTTCTGCAAGTCTGCATAAACAGGCATCTGGTCTGCTTGTTGGTGAAAGAGGCCGGTGTCGATGTCTCTGGATGACTGCTGCTCGGGTACCTCCGGGCTGGCCTGACTATAGATGAAGTCGGCTCCCGATCCGACGAGTGACGGAGAGGCATAGGTAGGCGAGACGGGACTGTCGGCATCGAAACCAGACGAGAACTGAGTGTTCGACCACTGATGGAGGCTGTAATCGAGCAAATCGGATGGGATCGGGTACGACAGGGCCTCTGGCGTGACATTCTCCGTTAATCCGACGGGTGGAGAGTTGTCGGGCGTAGGCAGGAGGTTGAGTTCGGCCAGTCGAGGGTCGAACCAGCTCGCCATGCTGACGTTCCACACGCTCTAGGGCGGATAGCAAACTTTTTACTGCGCAGGCTTTGTCAGACTGAGTGATCCTCTTCTGCCGCGCCAAAGCGTTCCTTGAGCCAGCAGACTCGCTTCACACTCCTTCTTGGCCTTCGCCCTAGGTCGGGGCAGCTGCTACTCCAGCTGTACCCTCGTCGTCAAGCTGATTTGGAATTCCTTTCCTCGACCTTCGTGGCACGCTTCGTCTCTCCCGAGTGGCGGCGCCGGCGGCACAGCGCGCCGGCCAAAGCTAAGCGACTGCCTCACTCATGGTATGTCTTCGTCTTCTCCTCATGCGGCTCGTGGCTCATGAGTTGTCATAGTCAAACACACTCAGGCCTTACCTCGCATGCGTGCGATCGACGCTCACAGCAGCACTATCCGTCGAGAACTTTGCCTCACAGGTTCGCCCACATGCTGGGCGTCTACCACCGAGCTGACATGGTTTGCAGAACGTCGAGAGGCACAATGTGGCAGAGATAGAATCTGGCAAGACGCCTGAGATCTTGCTGACGCCGCTGCTCATCTCGCGTAACGCGTCTGAGCAAGTGCTCATTGAGGCATCCATCAATTCCGTCAGGCTCAGTATACGCATCAAGCAAGCCGACGAGATAGAGCGCATACTCTCCCATCAAGTGCGTCTCGGTGGCTCCGTCTCAGACGGATAGGCTGATGACGAGAGCAGTTCACGCGCTTCTTGATGATGAGAGCAGAGAACTTTGTCGTTTTGCGTAGGAAGCCAATACAAGGCTTCGATATCTCCTTCCTCATCACGCACCGCAACGCAGAAGAAATGCTCAAGCACAAGCTCGTCGACTTCGTCATCCAGTAAGAGACCTTGCACAGAGTGGGCTGTTTGGCTAAAGTGCTGAACAGGTTCATGGAAGATGTCGACAAGGAGATCAGTGAAATGAAGCTCTCGCTCAATGCAAGAGCACGTATCGTCGCAGAGTCCTACCTCTCAACCTTTATCTGACGGAGAGACTCCAAAAGCTATCTGTTGTTGTACAATCACACGAGCCCTCAAGACCGCGTGCATATGCGATAGCACGCCAGGGTGATCATTCGCAGATTGTGACCGGAGACTGAGCCTGCAATCTCCTGTCACACAATCGAGAAAGGCGCTCTTTCTGTCTTGCGGGGGCAGCTCCCCGGATCCTGCCGTAGTGTGCTTGCCGGACGGGTGCCACTCATCGCGCCAGCGTGACCAGAGTCAGTATTCAATAGTCGCAGAAAAACGCGAGCTCTTATGTACAGTACTTGTGGCTCCAAAGATGGAGCTGGCTGGACCCAGTAGTGATCGCGCTTGATCTCGCATGGCTGAATCCGCCATGTCAACTGATCTCATCAGCAACTCGGACGTGTACCCCAGTACGACCCTCACAAGATCTGGGCTGCTCTCATCTCCTGCGCGTGATCTAGTGCAATCGCTGACATCGCGCCCTGCGATAGCCTGTGAGAAATCAACGGTCGGCGATGCTAGCTCATGCGCATATCTCAACGTGACACGCTGCGGGCTAGGCACTGTCTCATCGTCAGATTCTTGTCGCAACATGCGTCGTCAATTTACTCGTTCAGCGCTTCCTGCATGCCCTCTCGGATCTTGAGGCGGCTTCCTTGTCGGTTGACTGCATCGATCCCAAGCCTGGTGTCACCAGCAAGCTGCAGCGCATACTGCTAGTGCCAAGCAAAGTTTAGATCTCACCTTGCATGCTCATCGCACAAATTCAAGTATCGCCCCGCGTTTCATATTCAAGTTGGGTATATATCTGGCGGAAATTCGCACGACTCTCTTCACTCCACTCGACCCGACCCGACGCGATATGGCACTGCAGCCTCGCGCAATCGCTACTGGAAGCCATAGAAAAAGACTCGCAACCTGTTCCATGATGGCCAATTCCAGCTAGACCGAAGCAGCTCACCGTTTAAGACCAATGATGGATCGCAGCTGCCCTGTCGCTCACGGCTATCGTCCTGAGGTTACAACGTCTAGCCAGAGGGAGTAGGATGTCCGACTCGACTCACACTTGATCGCTTAGCTTTGATGCCATTGCGAAGTCGCGCTCAGGAGCACTCCTTGCAAGCCTTCAGCATGCTGTGTCTTGTTGTTACAATCGATGCATGTCATTAGATGCGAACTTCTGCTGCGATCGAGTCATACTGGCTTTACAAAGAGTCTTGCTCGTGATGCGGGCAGCGTGGCAGGAGCAGATGAGCTCGGCATGCCATCTGCAACAGCGACGCGCGCAAAAACCTTGATTGAGCTGGCTGCTAGTGCGCGTGAGCTGTCTAGACCGTTGCGAAATGCAGCCCGACTGGTGGACCGCGCTCGCTGCGTATTTGACGGCTTCTTAGGTAGTGATGAAACGATACTTTCTGGGTCGTGCCATAGCAAGCGTTGAAGGAAGTCAACTGCGATCTCGGGTTCGGCGATCGACTCGGCATGCGAAGGTAGATATCCTCTTTTTGTGTCCTCAATGAAAGGGGAAACATTCGACAGACAAGCATAGACGACTGCAAACACGATCAGCAACTTAGAAAGCCACGAGAGAGTAAGAGGTGAGACGCACTAAGGCCGATCGAGCAAGCATCAACGGCCTGATCGTAGCCGGTCTTGCCGTTGCGATATGCAAGCACCTCTGGCGCTAGACTGTTGGCAGTGCCACATTGCGTCGTGAGGTCGACGCCAGCTTCAAACATCCGTGCAAGGCCAAGGTCTGATATCTTGCAAATCGGATGCTCGTCCCTTGTGAGCAGTATCTGACATACGCCGCAGATGAGCTTGTAACGATCTCTACTGTGAGACCCACGCTTTCGGGCTTCATATCTCGAGGAATGTCGCCATATTGGTGGAGGTGCGCAACGTCCGAGCAGATCATACGCGTGATTTCAATACGAGCAACAGCTGCTACGACAGGATGGGCAGGAACTGCTGCCTCATCAGCGCACGATCCTCGTGAAGTGATGACAGACGTACTTGGCCGAGAACGGCAGATGGCAGGTTGAATAGATCTCGCTTGATGGTGAAGCAGAAAGTGCAAGGCACAGGCCGACCCGTTGGTGTAAGAAGCACGCAGGTCGTCATAACGGCTTGCGTCGTATTCTCGAAAGCATGGTTGCTGAACGCTTCATAGTACTCTACAACGCTCGACGAGTCCATGATCTGTCCTTCGTTCAGCTGAGCGCATGCCGACATGGTCGCGAACATACCTCGTAGATGAATTTCTTGGCCAAGAGATCTTCGGGCGTCCACTCGGTGAGCATGCAGAACTCGGCACCGACCAGGCAGATCTCGCATGTCCGACGCCAGACGACCGTGGGCGTGCCAGAGAACGAGATGAGCTTGTCAAACTCCTGCAATGCTTGTCAGCTCGTCTGCATTGTGAGTCGGAGATCTACACGAACGATGAGAGATCGCTGGAAGCACTTCTCGATGAAGACCTCGTCTTCTTCGCTCAGTGGCATTTGTAGTGCTATCAGACTCGGTCGGTAAATTGCGAGCGCTCTGACAATGCGCAAGATGTCATTCTTCTCAAATCTGGCCCAGCGTCCTCAATGCCTGGTCACATCAAGGCCAGGCATGCTGACCTTTCTTTGAGGTGGCGGATGAGGTAGTGATACGCTTCCGTATACGGATATGGCCGAGTGACTTTGTCGTAAATGTCCTGAGGATGCATGACGCCGGCCCGACTGGCATAAGCTTGCTGTTCGGGCAAGGGACCGGCAGGTGTAGGCTGTGCGAGCGACGATTGGGACGAGCCGGAAGGGAAACGCTCATAGGCCGGCCGGTAGCGAGAAGAGCTGTCTGTCAGCACGGGGGAGAGAGGCGGTGGTTGTTGCCTCGCGCTCGCACCGGGCGAGGTGAAAGATCTGCCAGGCTGATCGAAGCCATTCGAAGATGAAGCGACGGCATTGGTCGACGTCGAGCGCAAGGATGATGTCGCACCGCCCCGACGCGGGCTTGTGTGGTCCTGTTGCCTCTGAAGGTAGCTCAGAGGCGAGTGGGAGGAGGGCACAGGTGGTGCAGGCATCTCCTCTGATTGCTTCGATTCCAGCAGATTCTGCAAGTCGTTTCGCGAGAGATACTCGACTGGCGCGCTCGATTGTGGATGAGCCGTCTGGTTGTCTTCCAGGCGCGAGAGGAAAGAGGCAGGACTGGCCGTCTCGAGAGGACCTGGACCGGCATATTGACCGCTACTGCCTTCACTTTGCGTGTCTGCGCTAGGCGACATGCCCATCCCGTTACCGTGAAGCATACTCGACAAGATGTCATACTCGAGATTGGCAGCTTGTGAGTCAAACGCTTTCTTGCCTTTGGCCCTGGTCGCATTGCCATTCTCGAAAGGGTGATCGTGTGAGGAGGGTGCGGTCCGCCTCGTCAGCTCCTGGCTGGGGTATGGCAAGCTCGAAGTAGACTGTCGAGGCGGCCTTGACGGGTGAGCAGGCTTGTGAGTGTTCGTGGAAGGGCCAGCATCAGACGCAGGGCTGTAGAGAGGCAAGTGGGGAGGTTGTGGAGGATGCTGGGAGATGACTTCGTCGTCGAAATCTCGCAGGTACTTTGCCTTCTTCCTCGCTGCATCCACACAGCTATCTTCCAACCCTCTGGCTTCACATCTCGCGCAGGGACGAGAGGCATCGCACGTCATGTGAGCCTTTTGACAGTGCCCACACGCTCGAGACGTCTTTCGCTTTGCCTTGCCATTTGCACTCATCTCATCGGACGTTCGCCTGGCAACGGTCGGAGCACCCATTCCTTCGGCCAGTCGGTCTGCCATTCGGCTTCCGCGCTGGCAGCTTTATGCTAGCCCGTCGCTGGTCGTGCTCGGCTATTTCGTGAAATGTCAGCGCGATGACATCCAAGGAACAAGTTACACGTCAGGGCAAATCGAGACAACAGCAATCTAGCTTTCACTGTAGGGGTAGTCCAGTCGGGTGTCCTTTCTTCGCCACAGCTTGCGCCTGTTCAGCAGCATCAGCGCGGTGCATGTGGACTCATCAAGCAGGAGCGCACTTCTTCTTGGTCATGGCGTGTTCTGCCCAGACCTCTGCGCAATTGGCCTTTTTGAAAGCTCTGATGAAGCGTGGATCCCTGTAAGATCGATGAGAATCTGTCAGTGCGCAAGACAGGGCAAGGAGCTTGCCAGAGCTCGCTGGCGATGCCGAGATCTTTGCAACATCTCATGAGCGCATTGGACTTGCAACCCTCTGTCGCTGTTGAGACCCCACTGGGATCGAAGAACTCTTGTTCTCCTCTTGCAACTGATACCAATCTGCTGTTCGAGTCAGCGACTGTGTCTGCGAGCGGTACAGAGTGAGCTTGCCTGCCGAGACAGACGAGACCATACTCTCGCGAGACTGTTCTCGTCGTCACCGTCGTCTCCCCTCGAGGAGCCAGACCCCATCCTCCAGGTCCGAAGGCTTGGTTGAGTATCCGCCGATACTTGATCTCTGGCAAGTAGAGCAAGCCATCTGCACAAGAAAAGTGACTCAGTCAGACCTCCTTGTCTGAGAGTTTGAGTAGATCGACGACGTGCCTGGCTTGATCTCTATATCCTCAGGATCGAGAGGCTCGAGCAAGACGTTGGCAATCTCTGCCGAGAAGGGCTCGACCGATAGACCAGAGAAAGACGTTGACCAGTCTTGGGGATGAGAGACAGATGAAGCCAAGCCTGGGCCCTCAGATAACGAGATCTCTGCCAATTGAGCGGATGAGCCCGGAAGGGGCGTGAGATCGGCAGAGGACGTCGCTGGGTGTTGATCGATGGCGATGGACTGGCCTGGTGAGCCTGTGGTGGCAGACAGAGGCGCAGTGCCACTGGCTGCAGATCGCCTCGAGCCTGGCAAGGCTCTGACATAGAGAGGCACTGGTCGTGCTGCGGGTGCTACAGTAGGCAGTACAGTCCTTCCTGCGCTTGTCGTGAGCCATCGTAGCCCACGTGTGGGTGCGGCCATGGTCTGTTGCTGCTGGGGGAGGAGGCTGTCGTCACTCACTCTAAATTGAATCGCGACTGCACGCTACACGGACCGGTCACTCGATGATGAATGAAGGCAGAGTCAGAGTCAGATGGCTTGCTTTGCGCGGTACAACGCTAGCAATGCCTGTGCTACCTTTGTCGCTGCACTTGACGGCACCTTGGGCTCGCCATCCTGGCCAGGCAGACCGGGCGGTGGGAGCAAGTGTACTTGCGATGGCAAGATTGCTTGCAGACCGTCGAGCAGCACACGCGAATCAGCAGGTAGATCGATCGCAAGGTGTTCAGCCTGCTCTGAGTCAGCCTGTGCGTACCAGCATGTGACGGGGAACAGCTGACGAGGATGAAGTAGCTCAAGGGCGCAATGTCACCGCTGGTGGCATAGCCAACGAGCACTCGCATGTCATTGACGAGCAGCACATGCCCCGTCAGACTGAGCTGCCGAGGGCGATGTTGCCAGCCTGTGAGGGTGCCCGTCGGGTGTGCCTGAGCCTGCCTTGCACCCAAAGGTCCGCCCACGAGCTCTTTGAACGCGCTCGCTTCCACGACCATGCTCGTCGTCGCTCGTGTTGGATCGACAGCCAGCCTTGTCGGATCATGAACGCTCACGAGCAAGTCTCCCGTGGTCGAGAGCGAGACGGCATGCATCACTTTGGCGTTCGAGTTGGCTTGGCCGGGCTGCACGAAGCGATAGACGTTCATCTGAGCACTCCACGTCGAGTCGTAGTGAGCCTGCTCTGTGTGTCAGCTGACAGGCCCGACGAGGCTCCCCGAAGGCACTTGCGCCATGCAGATGGATGAGATTCTGGCTGAAGTCCTGACAAGTCGCTTGTGCTCTGCTCGACAGGCTGACCACGCTCGCTTCGAGCGACGGCGTCTTCAGGCTCCACTCTCGCAGGATCATGCCATCGCCAGCCTCAGGGAAGGATCAGTGGGCGTCCGCAGAGAGCCCGAGGGTGGAGTCAAGCCAGCACGGGCCAGCACCAGCACCGACGACGCGATTGAGCCAGTCAGCCAAACAGCAGGGGCGGCATCCGGGCAGCGGCATGAGCGTCGAAGAGCGCCGGCAAGGCGTGCGGGAGAGCGATGGGACGAGCAGGCCAGCAGGATTGCTAGCGACGAGGAAGCTCAGCAAACGTGAAGCCTTTGAGCTCATGTCTCAGCCCCGTCGAGCTTCCTCGTCCACTTATCTCGACTCTGACGTCAGCCTGCGTGAGGCCTCTGACATCCAAGCCGTACCGCCACCGGAACAATCGCTCGAGACCTTCAGACAGGTCGAGGGTCCGCAGAACAGGCTGAGCAGGCTCAGGCGACTCTTTGAAGCGCTGAAGCAAGGCAGCAGTCGGTCTGCACAGCCGAGCGCAACCGATCACGACGACAAGGCGGCCCATCTGCATCATCATACATATGCGGACGAGCTGTGGCAGCAGTGCCGCGAGGGCGAGAACGAGCAGACGTTTTCTAGCTTTGTGCGGTACGCCGAAGCGAAAGAGCACGAACTCTGGAAAGTGTTCAATGAGCTCGACCGGAATAACGATAGGCTGCTCGACGCTGCCGAACTCAGAGCTGCACTAGAGCGCGCAGGTATACAGACGAGCAACGAACAGCTCAAGAGCTTCCTGAATGCTATCGACAAGGACAGAGACGGCCACATCTGCTTCAGCGAGTGGCGCGACTTCTTGCTCTTGCTGCCGCGCTCCACCTCTGTTCCTGAGATCTACCACTACTACCAGCAACAGAGGGGTGTGGCCAGGCATCCCAGTACTGTCGCCACCCAAGACGGCGACGTGACACTCGGCGAACGGACACAGACAACCAACAAAGCCGCGCCTCCGCCAGTGACGCAAACTCACCATCCTGATCCCAAGGGCAAAGCAAAAGCAGTAGACGAGCCGTCCCTTCGAGACCAGCAGCAATACGTACAGCAAGACACGCCGCAAGATGAAGAGGACGAGGAAGACGAGAGGGGCATGTTTGACGACTCGCTCAAATACTTACTTGCAGGTGGTATCGCAGGCGCGGTGTCCCGTACAGCGACAGCACCGTTCGACCGACTCAAAGTATATCTCATCACCAATGTCCAGAATGTGTCTGCGCCGATACCCAAAGATCTGGTCAAAAAACCAGGAGAGGCTTTGAATGCGACAGCAGAGATCAGCAAGAAAGGCGCCCGAGTGTTCAGGGAAGCGATAGCATCGATCTACAAGCAAGACGGTCTCAAGGGTTTCTACATCGGCAATGGTCTCAATACCATCAAGATCTTTCCAGAATCGGCCATCAAATTTCTATCGTACGAATCCTCCAAGCGCTTCTTTGCCAAGTATGTAGACAATGTCGAGAAGACACGCGATATCTCAGGCACCAGTCGCTTCTTTGCCGGCGGCATCGGCGGCCTGTCGAGTCAGCTGTCCATCTATGGCATAGAGACGCTCAAGACGCGCGTCATGTCAAGCACGGCCAACAAGCTCAAAGGCAATGCACTCGTCATCGCGACCGCGAAACAGATGTGGAAAGAAGGCGGCGTGAGAGCTTACTACCGCGGCCTGACCTGGGGTCTCGTAGGCGTCTTTCCTTACTCTGGCATCGACTTTGCCTGCTTCGAGTTCCTCAAACGCGCCTACCAGAAGTACTATTGTACAGAAGAGATGGGCCTCATCGGCTCGCTTGCATTCGGCGCCTTCTCCGGCGGTGTGGGGGCTGCATCTGTTTATCCCCTCAATCTTGCCAGAACACGACTGCAGGCCGCAGGAAGCCCAGCCCATCCTCAGACGTATGTCACTTTGCTGCCAGAAGTCGTTGGTGCTCATGTCTGCGCAGATACACTGGCATTCGCGATGTGGTCAGCAAGACCTACCGTCACGAGGGTGTCAGAGGGTTCTACAAAGGCCTCACACCTACCATTCTCAAAGTCGCGCCAGCAGTATCAATCTCATGGGCCACGTACGAAACTGCACAAAAGTTTCTGTTCCCGGCGGGCGAATCGCATGCTGACGATGATGACAATGCATAGAACTTTGCACAAAGTCACAACACGATGTTACTTAGATTGTCTCCTTAGCAGGGCTAGCCCCGCGACTCGCCGATGGCGAGGCGCGACGGCTTTGCAGCGGCGTAGCGATGTAGGCGAAGATGTCTGCGTCCGCATCGGACCCAAGTGCTAGCTTGCCGCCACCACCACTGAGACCCTGAAACACTCCATCTGAGAATCCGGGTGGTAGATAATCATCCCAGAATCTGCGCCATTCATGAGCAAGATCGATTGGGCGGAGCACATAACGCACCCTTTTTGAGACATGAGAACGTCCATAGACTGCGATGTGAGTGTAGACGCGTCAAGGCGGTCAGAAGACGTCATCTCCGTCTGCGCGAAGACGGGCTGGCCCTCGTCCTTCACAGGTACTGGCTCGCTATCAGCGCCAAAGACTGGCGCAGATGTGCCTCCTCCGAATGAAGTCGCCGACTCCGCGGTGCCGCGCGAGGGTAAGCGACTGTCGCGGGGATTGATCTTGTTCTGCAATAGAACGCGCAGGAACGAAGCGTAGAGTGCGGGAGTATGCGTGTCACTGACTGCGCAGCTCGCTAGCGCATCGGCTACGCCTCCTACGAGCTTCAGTGTTGCTTCTTCGTCGCACAAATGAGAGAATTGTGGCTTGATGAGTTTGAGCAGGAAGACGGCCGAGTAGGAGATGTAGATGAACTGGTTGTCTGGTGCATAGCGAAGGTGACCACTTGGCGCCATGACGTCCCGTGCAAGCTCGCACACTGTGGTTGCGAGCGTATTGCAGACTGTCCAGAAGTAGGTCGTATCCGTGCGATCGCCATCTGCACTCATTGCATCATGCAGCGCAAAGCTCGAAAATTGCAAGCAGTCTATTTGCAAGTCAGCTGTGTCAGAGAATCAGATCGACTTACTCACAATAGGCGAAGAAGAGCTCGAGCATCACAGCGCGATATTGACCAAGCTTGGCTGTACAGATCGTTAGCCTGACACAAATCTGCAGCGACGGAGGTAGTGCTCACAAATGGGTTCACCTTTCGGCCGATTCTCGATCCCGATGCGTTGCCATTGTAATCTCCAAGCGTCCATTTGCGCACGAAAGCCTTTGTAGATCAGCGGGCTGCACCAATGTCAGCATCGACGCAGCTTCCATAGAAGAAGCTCACTAATTGAGATGGGTATTGAGCCCTGATGGAGAGTTCTTATCCGAGTAGAGCGTCTCGAGAATGCGTGAGTGGATCCGATGCATCTCTACCATGCATGCCAGTCCGATATCGAGTGAGGAAGCGGAGCGATCTTTCCACCACGAGCCGGCATTGCGGATGATATAGTCCTCGTGTACAGACGAAGGCTTGCCACACTGTGAAGCGAGAGACCGGTCATTGATAAAGCATGACAGCCATGTTCGTTCGCGATTGAGTAGCTCGCGCTCGTGCTGGATCTGGACCTCCTCATCAACTGAATCCGGCAACTTGACCGTCGACTTGCGGAATAGGTTGAGATCCGTAGCCATACGGATCGCTATGCCTGCAAAGAGCCAAGTACGATCCTCTTCGTATCGTTCGGCAGGCTGGAAGTTCCACAACGTCAAGAGAAGCAAACTTTGCACAATCTCGACGCTTTTGTATCCGCGCACAAGCACACTGCGAGCAGAGTCAGCGACAAGGTGTCGCTTTCGTGAAGCAGACTTACTCGAATGCGATCCGACGAGCAGCTGACATGACCTTGCCGAAGAGCTCTGGTCGTTCAGTGTAAAAGCGAGCAGCTATTGCGCAGATGGTCGTAAAGAGTAGCGGAGACCGAGACGCAACGAGCGCAGGCGTGTGAAATGTTGGGTCGAGAAGGCACTGATGCATGTTGCAATGTTCAAAGAAGATCGAGAAGAGCTGTACCTCGCGCTGATCAGCAACGGCCTCTGGCGCATGAGCCACAGCCTGACCTGTACGACCTCTTCGATCGTGACGACCTTGTCAGTCAGTATGCTGGGCGGCATTCTCTGCTCGATCACGATCTTCCGGAGCGGCAGAATGTTCATCGGTCCGGGCTGGAACCAGTGAGGATCCGCCACGCCAGCGAGCTTTTTCGGTGCGCTGCCTTTCTCGTCGCTCTGGCCTTCTGCAGAGGCACCCTGGAGAGCAGGGTCCGGTCCGTCGTGCAAGCGGACCTTTGTACTTATCTTTTGCGCGTCGCGACTGATGCTATGCAGAGAAGCTTCGGCAAGCAAGCCAAGCGGATTGAGATTGTTATCGGGCAGTGAGTGCAGACGAGGCGAGACAGGCCGACTGATTTGATCTGACCGTCTTGCGGAAGCATCTGCCAGCGCGAATGTGACCGCCGCATTCTCCTTGATGGCATTGGCGGATGCACTCTGCGCATCGTCTGCATTGGTTCTGCGTGGACCTTCATAGTCGATCCGCATGGCGTCGTCGTGGGGAGCGCCAGAGACCATGCCTGCGGCTGCCGCAAGAAGAGACGGATTGCTCGTACTGATCGTCTTGAGCACGCTATCGAGGGTCTGTTCCATCTTCTTCATCGAGCGAGCCATTGCCTCTGTCTTGGTGTTCTTCCTCTTGCCTCGCTGTGAGGCTTCAAAGATACATTCGTGGCCGCCTGCTTGGCAGCGTTTGCAAGGCGGACCATGTTCCGCACCTACGCAGCGCATCTTGAGCCGGCGGCAGACCTGGCAGGCGCGTGAAGATCGACTGTTCTTGACTTTGCCATCTTTGCCGTTGGCTTTGGAGGCTTTTCCCTTTCCCTTGGCTTTGCTCGAGCCGTTGGCTTTGTGTGCGGAGGCAAGCGACGGATCAGATTTCTTGCGCTTCCTCGACCGAACAGAAGTGATGTGTTCTTCCTCCTCATCCTCCTCATCCTCCTCGTCCTCCTCGTCAGACTCATCTTCCTCCATGCTGTCCTCGTATTGCACACGCGAACTATCCTCGGAGATGGCTTGGGAAGCAGGCGACCTGCTATCGTACAGACGGTGGTACTGCATCTCTGGCGAGCGCATGCCTGCTCGTCCGATCAACGGCGGTAAGCGTTCTGACCCAGGAGCGATGGGAGCGCCCATGTTAGGCGAATCGAGCTTGGAGTACATCTGCGAGCTGCTCGAGGGATTCGCATAGTAGTTCGCGGGAGCTGCGGTGTAGCGTGTGCCTGGGTAGAGCTGTGGCTGTATGTGAGCGGGTGCTTGAAAGGGCGACACTGTGGTTGGTCCGCTCGAGTTGCCGAGGTAGCTGCCGCCCGATCGCATGGGCGAGAAGGCGGGCTCGTGCTCCCTCGGTGGCTCTGGTGAGCCTCCCCGACTGTTCGAGCTGGGGTAGTGCCTGCTCATGGCAGCTCAGGTTGTCGTTGCAATGGCGGGCTCTGAGCGTGAGGCGGTGTGCCTCCCGCCGTTGAACTGCTGGACAGCTCCAATGCTGGCTCGAGTGAGGACCTTGTCTCAGCGGTGTCGGCTGCGAGCTTGACAGGGACTATAAAGAGGCCGAGGCCATGTTTTGTCCGCTGCTATGGGGAAGACGTCACGTCTCCTGACTGCTTGGCGTGTTGCAGATCAATTGAGTATTGGGCACTGAGACGTACATGAAGCCGACTGCAGCGCTCGCACGGGACCTGCAACCAGTACAGAAGCTAGCAAAGGGCTTCACACAGTGTTCCCAAGAGGTACAACGAGCCAGACAGGCTTCCATCGTCGGCTGAGGGATCACATCACAGGCTGCGATCTACGGACAATGCATCACTGCAAAGTACCAGGAAGTCGAGAAGGGCATGTGCAATCAAGAGTTCCTGGCTTTCAAGGACTGCGTACAGAAATCTGTGAGTGTCCAGGCTTGATACTCGATAGCAGGTTGTGATGAGGAAGCAGGTCGGACGAAAGTGGTGATCGTGTCGAGCTAAGTGAGCGCAGCGATGACAGTTCCGAAGCGTCTAGCTTCCGCTTCGGCGTCGACCAGACTCGATTCTTTGCCGAATTGCTTGGGCAGGAAGAGATGGCTCTCTATCGCCACAGAGTCAGGTGCCGCGTGCCTCTTGCTTATCACCCACTGCGAGCTGCCTGTTCGCACGTATGATTCTGTCACTTGTGGTGCTCTGTCAGACATGCATTAGCACACGCGATAGCATTGTGCCAGGGGCGCACAGTCTCTGAAAATCCCAAACAGCACTGATAACATCTGCCTCTTGACCGCTATGCTTATGACCTGACCATGATTGTGTCTTTTGCGGCCATCTCGTCGTTGTCGAGAGGCCGGTACCGGAGGCGATGATACAAGAGCGTCGATCGTATTCTGCCCTCTCGACATATGCGCGCTCTTTTGCCTGAAGTACGTCGTGCAGCTCCTGCGCAAGTTGCTTTGTTTGCAAATCTCCTTTCTCGTCGTCGTCTGAGACGATGTATCCGAGCATCAAATAGTCGATCTGCATATCAAATGAGCGAGATGGTCACACGAAAGGAGTATGCGCACCTGTTGCCAGACTAATTCAGTACCTTGTGTCGAAGCAGAGTCGAGATGAACCCGTATCCGACCGTGTGCATCGTCCTCGATGATATCGGGTTGCGCGGCTTTCAGTTCTTCGCCGGTGTCCAGCTCGACAGGCGATTCTATGCTCTGTTCTTTGAAGGGCTCTGGCTCGAGCTGATCATCAGGCGCAACCTCGGCAGGCTCCGCAATGATGCTGTCTTTTGGCGAATCTTTGAATCGGCTACTGATATGATTGGCAACCGTCGAGCTCGACTCGGAAGCCGTCTCATCGTCACTGTCCTCTCCGACTACTCGCCGCTGCAGCTTCTGGTCTCGCAGTGCATCGGCAATAGCAGCTTCGTCCACTTCCACCACATCTGGGCCCTCCGTACTCTCATCGTTCTTACCGTTCTCTCGTGCGATGGCGGGAGACGCCCGACCTTTGCCCCAGCTCATCGATCGAATCCATCCTGAGCTCGCTTCGGGAGGTGGCGTGGACGCGTTCGATGCGTCTCGGCTACCCATTCGTGTGACTTTGGCGATTGTGGACATGCTGGGCACATATTGGCCGACAGCATTGAGCGAGCCGCCTAGGCCCAGGGTCGGCACTGTCCACTTTGACGTTTCTTGTGATTCTTGGGCGGTCGCAGCAATCGCTTCCGCTTTCAATTTGGTCTTGCCCTCGTCCAGCGGCGCAAGTGGGTGGGGTGCAACCGATTGCAATAATCGCACAAGTGCCGAAATTTCGATAGGCGTGCAGGACTGATCCGTTGGTAACAGGACGACTCGGTTGCGCCATAGTGCAAAGCACCCACGTCCGCATGACAGTTTGTGCAGAGCCTCGCGCAGTTTCGCATGTTCTGCGAGCGCAGTAAGATTGAGTGACCGGCCTTCTGCGCCAGAAAGAGACGACAGCGGCAATGCGTTGATCTGAGCTAGATACTCAGAAGAGCCCAGAAGCGATTGCTCGATGTTCCATTGAGCGAGCCATATTGTATAGAACAGCTTGAGCAAAGCTTCGAGCGTAGCGCGTCCTTGACTGTTGAGCAGTTTGGCAAAGGTGCCGTTGCGTAGCTGTCTCTCGCGTCAGAACCCCTTGTCGATGAGAAGCGGTGCCTGTACCTTAAAATCACGATAGCTGGCGTGCAGACCGCGCAGGAGAGCCTCGTCTTCGAGTCCCTCGTCGAGGGCAACAGTGGGCGCATTGGATCCACTTCTGCTAGCTCGGCAGGGCAAGTCAATGGCCTGTCATGAAGTAAGCCAGCGTGTTGAACAGCGCGCATGAGCGTACAGCATGGAGCCAATAGCCCGGTTCAGGTTCGGCAAAAATCATGCGTTGTCGCGCCGAGTGGACACTCTGCACAGCTTGATCTGGCCGAGACATCATCCTGCACTTTGCTTCAGAAATCTAAGATATAGGTTGAATTCGATGGAGTGTGACCTCGTGAAGTCGACCATGCCTTGCGCTAGCCCAATCCGACGCTGCTGGCGTTCTTGTGCCGAAGTTTGAGATACATGGTAGAAAAGCACATCGTGACGAGTCTCGTCGTCTTCGGTGGCTGTGCTCGGTCTGGGCAGGTCTCTGTTCCATATGGCGAACCAGCTCAGGCTAGGGAAGGGCAAGCTGGCCGACATCGTCGCCGCCGCCAGCTGGATGATCGATAATCGACGCGTCGTTCTGTCTCGTTCGTTTGCCTATCTCTCCCTCGAATCTTTCAACGACGCTAAAGGCTTCATCACTGACTCTTTCACCATCGTATGCTCTCGCGCTTACCCTCGTATGGTGTGCTGAGCTGTGTACCGCTTGCAGCACTGTCAACGCGACAGAACACGCTCTGACGAGCACCCAGGCACGACGCCAATAAACAAAACATAGACACCATGCGGGCAGCTCTCTGTCTCGCACTTTGCATCACCCTAGCAGCGAGCCATGTTTGCGCTATGTCTGCCCAAGCAAAACATCTCCGCCGGACAAGTGTACAGGCACACATGTCCAAAAGAGCTCACAAAGCGGCATCTCATCACGCAGCAAGCAAAGCCAAGAAGTCTGCCAACAAGACCAGCAAGAAGAAGAAGAAGGTGACGAAGAAGAAGCCAATGCCGAAAACAACGAAACACAAGCCTACACCGGCAAAGACTGCATCCGTCAAACATACCACCACGATGACTAGCAAGGTCGAGACACCCAGCACTGTCAAATTTACGAGCACTAGCACACACACCACGACTACTACGACAAGCACGACAGCAACTTCCACGTCCACTGTTGTCCAACGATATGCGCTCAATCAGACATGGGCAGGCAAGAACTTCTTCGACGACTGGGATTTCTTCTCGGACGCAGACCCCACGCACGGCATCGTCAATTTCCTCAACGAGTCTGCCGCTTTCGATGCCGGGCTGGCTTACATCAATTCCGCAGGCAATCCTGTACTCCAGGTCGACGCCAATACGACGCTTCCGCTAGGCGTCGGGCGCAATTCTGTCAGAATCATGTCAAAGACTGGCTTCGAACGCGGTCTGCTCATTTTCGATGCGCTCAAAATGCCCTATGGCTGTGGCACATGGTGCGCAACACTCTCTTTGCGTCTACCTACCAGCATGCTGACATGCAAGCGCAGGCCTGCTTTCTGGCTCCTCGGTGACCCTACTTACCCATGGCCAACGCAAGGCGAGATTGACATTGTCGAAGGTGTCAATCTCAATACGGTCAACCAGATGACGATCCATACTAGCGATGGCTGCACGCTCCAGACTCCAATGAAGGCTACTGGCAATATCGTCGCAGTGACGGACTGTAACGCGCTAGAGAATGACAACACCGGCTGCGGTGTGCAAGACACACGCACGAGTTCGTATGGTGCACCTTTTGCCCAAGCTGGTGGTGGTGTTTTCGCGACTCTCATCGATGATTCTGGCATCGCCGTCTGGTTCTTCACACGCAAAGCCGTTCCTGCGGATATCACTTCGGGCAAGCCGACGCCGAGCAAATGGGGCCTACCTGCTGCATACTACAATTCATCGACATGCCCCCTGGACACTTTCTTCGGACCGCAGTATATGATCTACGACATCACTTTAGGTGCGAATGCTAAAGCTTCTCACGAACATTACTGATGCATCGTCGGCGCAGGAGGCGACTGGGCAGGAGGCGCTTACCCGTGGTCGGGCTGTCCTGGCAATATCACGTCGTGTGTAGCAGATCCTACCAATTTCGAAAACGCCATCTTTGAAACCAAGTCGATCAAGCTCTACACACTCACTTCATAGCACCTGCACGTTTCACGCTCTTGTATCAGCTTTGGTATCATGCATGTCTGTATCAACAACATCCAACCGTCTCACAAGTGTCAATCTCGCATCCGAGCGGGTATGAAGCGGCGCAGCACAAATTCGCGCACTGTGTATCGTTGCAAGCATGCGGGTGATCGTAATTCGTCTTCAGTCAGATTCGGTATCGTCACATAAGCAAGTACAAGCGTCTGCGAGGATGGGATGAGTCATTGCTGTGGGGCAGAGGGACAGGGGGTATACCTTCTTGACGCCAGAAGTGACCCTGTTGACGGTCGCGAGCCATCGCCAGCTCGTGCTCGTTTCCTCGATCGAGTCCATATCGGGCCGCGTAGTCTCATAGGAAGGCATGACCAGCACAGAGAATCTGTGTGACCTGATGAGCATGAACAGCAACTCCGTATACACGGCACAGCCTACTCTGCGTGAGTTCCAACGGGACCCGCTCCGCCTGTGAAGGAGCCATCCGCACCTCGGTAGAGCAACCAGTCGACGCAGAACTTTGTGCCCGATCGGCAGACCCAGCCCAGTGAGCGATAGTGGTGGTAGGTGACATAAGACAGTATGAACGGGTTGTCTGCTCGGAGAGGCTCCCGAAGGTCACCCTCGTCCCAAGGCTTGGGCGGCCGACAGAACAGATCCCAAGCTTCGATGATACTCAGATTCTCGTTCAGTTCGGGGTGCCGTAGGGTGATACTGCCTAGCGCGAAGAGCAGAAAGAAGGCTTCTTCGCGCTGAAGTTGCAGATGCTCGAGATTGTTGCGCGTGTAGTCGAGGTCCTCTCTCCTCAGCACTTCCGCAGAGGGTCCTGCAGTATGCTCGACGATAGGTGCGGCTACTGTTGGCCCTGATTCGAGCAAAACAGGCTGACCAGAGGCAGCAAGGGCTTTCTCTTTGGCCTTGTTAATCTTCTCCACGCGTCGCTCTTTCCGTCTCTCGGCGGTGACTTGCTCAGCCGTAAGGACTGTGCAGTCTGTGCATCAGTGATAGCCCCGTACCAGATGTTGAGGTCATATTTGCACCTTTTGAGCCAGTCAGACGAGCCTGTTCTCTCGCCCACCATGAAGGTTCACTGCGAGAGTAACTGCCCTTTCCAAAGAAGCCTCTCCGCCAGAGCGCCCAGGCATCCGTCTCGTTCGTCACCCACAGTGAAGCTGTACAATCATCCCAGACAGCTTCGGGGCACTTGAGGAGACGAGATGAAGGAGGTAGGTGGGTGAAGAGACCGACGATGCTCGAGCGGAATGCCAAGGTTGACTGGCGAGTGAGTGGTACGGGATGGCCGTAGGCTAGCGCCTTGAGGAGATTTGTCCTCTTGCCGGCGAATGGGACTCCTCCCGTTGGCGGAAGCTCCTCCATGGCCTGGGAAAGCCCTTCGAAGGACGGACGAGTCAACGTTGACTTTTCTTGGGCAGGCGGGTGCCACGTCAGTGCGAATCTGCTCGCTGCTGCTGGTCAGACGAGGACGACGAGTTGGGGAAGATGCCTCGAAGACTGGCCACACTGGTCCCTCAGACGGCCTCGCAGCTCTCACGAGCAGGGCTCATCCCTCGACCAGCATGGCTCACACCCGTCACGCAGCACCCGCCCGCGCCCTCGCTCGTCAAAGAGCCAGTCCTCCGAAGTAACGACGACCTGCCTCTGTCACTCCAGCGAGCCTATGCAGGCGTACAACGCAAAGGCGCCCTGATGGCCCAATCTACTTCTGCAGGGGCCGACAGACCGGCGAGGCAGCTGGATGGGATGAACCAGAGGAGGAGAGCGAGACGATCGGAGTTGAGGATGCCCAAAATTCGTCCGATGCCGATTGCCTACCCCATCCAGGACAAGATTCGATCACAGTTCTACATCGATCATCCTTTCGAATCCTGGCGAGCGCAGTCCTTTGTCGAGTCAGAGGTCGTCAATGAAGAAGATGAGGCTTGGACTCAGAAAGGACTCGCTTGGTCAAAGTTAGCCCAGAAGACCCGCAATCCTCGTGCAGAAGAGTCTGTGCTGCCTCTTTCCAGCTCCTGAGAGGCTGACGTGTAGGAGCGAGGACAGTGCAATACGCTTTGCGGCCCATCTGCACGAATCTCATAGATTGCCCCTCGCACGCGCCTACTCTGAAGCCTGCGCTCAGTATGCAGCCTTACGGGCAGCAAGAGCGACTGCCATACAGTTTGCGAGACGCGAAGCTCTGGCGTATACCCCTGCCAGGTCCAACGAGCTCGTCCTGGGTTCCAACACCCCTCGGGGCACGCTCAATGCAGATCGATTCCTACCTGGCTACATAGACCGCGGCATCCAATCAGAAGGCAAGACCTTCGAAGCATGGAACGATCCCGATCTGTTCGGCGGCGCTGCCAGTCGGTCAGGCGACGAGTATCTCGGCAGAACGCTCACTCATCCTCGTCCCATGGTCGAAGGAGGCAAATTTGCCGGTGTGAAGGGCTACATGGACGATCTGACGAACGTCAAGGAGAACGTGATCGAGGACCTCAAGGCCGAGCTGACGGAGGAGAGTGATAGCAAGACAGATGGAAGCAAGCGCACTGTGAAGAGCTACCTGGACATCCTCACCAGCCTGAGCAGTAGCCGTTCCAGCAAGCCACCCGCACCGGCCAAGCCTCTTACGAAGTAGATCTGTTGTATCTCTCTGCCATGGATGCGCGTCTCCGGCCAGAGTCTCGAGTCCGAGATGGCTAGAGATGACAAAGACGTCAAAAGTAAAGTCGCGGTTCGCGTCTCTTTGACATTGCGCTATCTAGCTCGAGCAAAATGTCAGGCATACTGAGGTATGGCGACATGCTCGCCGTCAGGTACGCAGCCCTTTCCTCAGCAGGTGGGTGCACACGCTCAAGTCAGCATGTTGCACAGCCTGCGGAAGCAAGACGGACCGAATCTCGCGCTCGCGCTCGACGTCAACGAGAGAACGCATGCTGAGCTCATACAGCGCTCCGTCAGTCCGGCAGAAGACTACGTAGGTGGCGGTGGCAACACCTGTGCCTCCTGCTGATGTCGCTATCATATCTCCGCAGAATAATCCATCTTGGGTTCATCAGCTCTCGTCAAAACTGCTACCGAGCGCCTACAATGGCCTGCCGAACGAGCCTTCGAGCCCGTGGCACGAAATGGCTTCCGCACATATCGTCACTGTGCTCCATCTGAACGAGATCGATCATCGGGGCCTGCAAAGACGTGATCACATTGCCGCTTACCTCAGTCACGCCGTGCTGGTCAAGTCAGTACACGGCCTCATCAGCATATCATCCGATGTGCTGAGTGGTTTATACTCGGCAGTGCATTCATGCGATGGTTTTCGACATCCGGCACACCCAAAGGCTGGTCATTGCCCGTGCTCTATGGTATACTGCGCGACTTGCGCGCACTCGCTGCACTGGTGAGCTCATGACTTGTACCGGGGCTCAAAAGCGAGCTCACGCCTTGGCAGGCCGATGTCGAGCTCCGGATGCGAGACGAAAAGGCGAACAAGCTCGAAGAGGCATCGCGCAGTATCACAAAAGCCTTTACTGCCTGTCTAGGTGATCGCGCTACCAAATTCGAGCAATCCAAGCGCTTGGGCACGTACCATACTGCTTGCCTGCTCTTCAAGACATACTTCAAAGTGGGTCTCTCGCGCTCGTGTCGGCCGTGCTCATGGGTCATGGCAGTTGAAAACAACGGCGCTGTGCAAGAACATCATACGCGGCATCGGCTCTGCGACTGATCTGCCGCCTCTTACTGTGTTTTCCAAAGCAGACCAGATCACGTACAGGTCAGTCTACCTCTGCGAAACGTCATCCGAGCTGAAAGACGAGCACAGGTACTACATGGGCGTCTTTGCCTTTTTGCGAGAGGATTACCAGGCGGTGCGTGGGATTGTTTCGCCACATCATAACACTGAAGATGCAGACAGGCGGAATCGGAGTTTGTCTTTTGCTTCGAGCAATGCTCACGGACAGCCAAGAGGAATCAAGAGTGAGTCTACTCCCTGTCAACCAAAGCGACTGCTCATGCATCTTTTAGGCTGATCCTGGGCTATCTGATACCTTTACGGTTGCTCAAAGGTATCATGCCGACCGCGCTCCTGCTGCGGCCGTTTCCGGCTCTCAAGAATCTATACGGGCCTTTCATCACTGCGTACCGAAGAGGCGATGTCAAATACTATGACGAAGCGTTGCAATGGGCGGAGAGACGTCTTGTCGAGCGATCGTGCTACCTCATCGTCGAAAGAGCAAGAGAAGGCTGTTTGCGTGGCTTCCTGAAGAAGACGTAAGACCTATCGATCGCTCGCCTGAAGCTTGCTCTGAATTCTCTTGCTGGTTAGGTGGCTCTGCTCGCAAAGGAGTACGAGGATGTCGATACGGACGTTTCAGTCAGCACTGAAGATCGCAGGCGTCGACATGGAATCGGACGAAGTCGAGTGTGTCATCGCCAACATGATCTACAAGGTACTTCCAAGGCCGAAACGATACAGCTCCTCTGACTCCAGGCTTTCAGGGTCACATGAAGGGCTACATATCGCATGAGCATGCTATCGTCGTTCTGTCCGCCAAGGGCCCTTTCCCTCCGCTGGAAAGCAGACTAGCCGTTGTCGTCGCGTAGATGCATCATCATCGGCACGGCACGCACTCACGTAGAGGGCGTTTGAATATTTTTTTTGATTATTTGCGAGGAGAGGAAGAAGAAGAGAAAGGATTCAGAGGAATCTCTCATAGATCATGCTCAGCGCTACCTGCCTAGCAAATCTGGGCTCCTCAGCTCGTAAAATTGACGCGTCAGATGGTTTTTGAAGTTTTCGTCTGACAGGCCAAATAATCAAAGGTACCAACGAGGAATTTTCTGAAACACGAAGCCCCTATCAGCTCCAGGCGTGCTTTACCGCCAGCTGGCGGTAAGATCGCGATCACCCAGCCGGGAAGCTTGCCTGCGGCGGGGAAAGAGGTTGACAATTATGAGAGGACGAGATTATAGACGCGTCGACGCGATTCACCACGTCATCATCAGCGCCCTGGCAAAGTACTCACTCATCTGTCTCATGGTCCGTGTAATGGCCTCGAAAGCGTAGAGGAGCCCAACACTGCATCCTTAGAATGGCTGCGTTGCGCATATTGGGAATACAAAACAACCCTACGACTGACCATTCAGCTTGGCACGATTGACTCGCTGTACAGAGCAATGATGCGGCTTCTACTTGCAACTAGTCTTTGACTTTGTGACGGCCAGCGACTGAGTGCGCGAAGCGGGAGACCTCGAGCAGCCGCAGTGCTATGACGCAGGGACCAGTCAGTTGGACGTGAGCGGGGAGATATTCCGAAGTAGTCGACAGTCATTTCGAAGGTATCGCTCGGATCCCTGGCCTGCGCGACTTTTCGGCGCAGACGACGTGCAGCAAGGCGCATTGTTACCCATGTGAGAGGCAGAGAAAAGCCAAGAGGACAGCCATAGGCAGCCATGCGTACGTCAGATGGCAGATCCTCTTGCCGACGACTCTTGAGCTATCTGCCACTGATTTTGCAGTACTCCTTGCACCGGCATCGATACGCTCGGCGAGAGGCTGTCTCCGAAGAGCTACTGATTGTGTTCGCTTGTTTGTGCTCGCAGTATGCCTCTTGACGTATCGATGACCGCATGTTAGGCTGAAGATGCACAGGCGGCGCCAGTGGACGGATGCTTGAAGCTGTTATTTCGAGTCGAAAAGCGTACCGCACTGATCATGCAGCACTTCTTGATTTATCATATCAGCATGGAATACAGTCATCTATAGCACAACACATGCCGGTGCAAGCTTGCTAGTATCTTCCCCAGCTGCTTTTGGCTGCAAACCGCCGATTCAAGCCTTCTTGGGTCTAGACTCGGCGGCGTCGCGCAGCAGAGGTCCTTGATACCGTACAGAAGAGTGATGTCTGTCGTACAGACCCATGCGAGCATCTGAGCTGCCAAATTGCGGGTATCAGAGCTACATACTGATAGAGTCTTGCAGTGTCTGTATCTGCGCCGCTTCGCCCTTTTCCGCCTATTTGCTGCACAAGATACTACTCTGACATTACGAAAGTGTAGTGAGGTATGTTACAGAGATCAGGAACGGGGCCGAAGGCCTCTAGAGGCAGCATTGAGTTGAGGCGGTAAGCCAGAGAACAAAATTTGTAGCGCGCTCATATTTAACGGCCCGCGAAGCCGTGGCGGTAAATTTGGCGGTAAACTGGCGGTAAAACTTCTACGTCAGTGAGAGGCAAGCCTCATCATCCCCATTACCGCGCGCCTGTAGAGCCACCAAGCTAGATGCCGACTGCAAGCTTTCTCGAGGCGTCACAGCTGCCAATCGTCGACGTTGCGCCCTTTCTGAAGCCTCTTGCTGGCTCTGATGGCAGAATACACCTGGATGAGGTTCTGCCTTCGTGCAAGACGAGTCCACTGACGCCCGACCTGAGCAACGTCACGTTCGCGTATCCGCCGACGAGAGCTCAGCAAGAGTGTGCAGAGACACTTCACCAAGCATGTTTGCGCTATGGCTTCTTCTATCTATCAGGTCTAGACGCCCTCTTCTCTTCGGCCGACTTTGACAAGATCCTCAGCACGGCGAGATCCTTCTTTGAGCTGCCAAGCGAGACCAAGGAGCAATTGTCAATCTCAAACGGCAAGAGTGACGGGGCTCGAGGCTATCAGCGTCTCAAACAGAATGTCACGCTGGGCAAGCAAGACTGGCACCAGGGTCTCGATCTCTACAGACCGCCCGACAACATAGATCCTACTCAACCGCTTTGCGGAGAAAACCAATGGCCAGCCCAGTCCAGTATGCCTGACTTCCGAAGCACTGTCGAGGAACATGTGACCAGGTGTTTGCTGCTCGGCTTCGTCGTCACTTACGTGATGACGATAGCGCTCAAGATGACGAAGGAGGAAGCTGACGCGCTGAGAGCCAAAGTCGAGCAAAGTTTCTGGGTCATGCGAATGATTGGCTACGATCGCTTAGACGCACAGACTGACTCGCTATCGTGTGGAGAACACGTGGACTATGGCAATGTGACGCTCTTGCTGGCCGACGAGACCAAAGGCGCCCTCCAGGTCTTCATCCCTTCCACCCGACATGCGCTACAAGAGCGACACGACCAGAAGCTGACCGACTTTCAGGGTCAAAGAGGCATCTGGATCACGGCCGACCCGCTACCCGGAGCCCTCGTATGCAATGTCGGCAAGATGATCGAAATCTGGTCGAACAAAATCTATCCGGCAACGCTGCACAGAGTCATTCATCGAGCGGACAATTTCCGTGTGTCCGTACCTTTCTTCTTCGAGCCAGCTCTCGATGCGTCAATAGAACCACTCGATGCTGCCATGCGCCTACAAGGCCCAGAAGCGGCCACACAACGTGAGCAGGGCGTCGTTTATGGCGCTTTCTTGCGATCCAAAGTAGCCAATAACTTTGCAAGCGAGGCGAAGAACAACAACAACAACAAGACCTAGCACCATGTAAACAGTGGATCTGCGTTCGACAAAGTCAGCACAGGCTTCGCATACAGGCGAGGCGCAGCGACTGACCAGCAACAATCGGCTCGAGTCGTTCGACAATAACAGTACGTCTGCCCGTCTCAATCTCGCCCGCTTCGCTCGCGCCGTCTGCTGCCCATTCGCTACCACCGTCGATCGAGCCGCCACTGCTGCCTGCGTATCTCGACTGTACACCCGACACACGAGCGTCGTTGGTACTGCCACTTCGAGCCCTGTTGCCGAAGAAAGATCTTTGGGCGGGCGACACGAGGGTGGCGCGAGAGATGCGCTTCGAGATAGGACTGGTAGCGCTCAAGATGGCTTGCCGTTCGCTGTCGACAGACGCGCGCTCTTCTGCGACGCCATATGCTTCTGCAACAGCAGAGATCTGCTCGTCCTGGAATCCAAACGCGTTTTGTAGATCTTGCTCTTCACGTTGTAGTCTTTCCATGTGCTCGAGTGCAGCAATGCCTGTTGCGCCGCCAAATGCATCGCCTGCTAGATCAAGTCTTCGAGCGGCAGGTATCGGACGACTGGATAGGTTTGGGCCACTGAGCATTCTTTCCATCGTGCGTGGCCTCTTGGGCGGTGGTGACCGAGTGAAGTGTGACTGCGTCCGCAAGCCCGCGCCCGGCCGAGGCGTCGCAGTCGCTATTGAGTGTCGGCTCATGGGGGCCGTGACAGGCGAGATTGGTCGAGCAGCTTGGCGCGCTGTCAAGTCATCGATTGAGCCCGACATACCTGCAGGCTGCCTATTCGGCGTCGAGGCGGCTGCAATCAGTTCCTGCGTCAACTGATCGGCTGAGACTTCTATCTCGTCATCCCATACGAGTATCTTTGACCGACGACAGAGCTCCAGTGGGCCTTCGTCATCATGCGAGAGCGATTGTACGACGTTCCATGCTTGGCCTTTGATGACAGCCATCTGCTTCTTGAACATCTTTTCGTTGAAATCTTCGTCGATACTGAAGACTTTGCGAAGCTCGAGGGTCATCTGTGCCCACCATGCAGGCGAAGAAAGCAAGGGTAAGAATTGCTTGCGTGTTTTCTCAGAGAACGGCATGCCGATGAGTGACGCTGGCAGCCAAAGCCAGCCGTAGGTATAATTACGCCAGCCCTTTGGATGCTCGTGCGGAAAGGCCAGACTGTTATCGATTGCGGCGAGATGGATCGTGCCATCTGAAGTCTGAGAAGGTGGCCGAATGGCAGACATGCCGGGATGAGCCGACATTTGCTCCTGTATCGGCTTGAGCGTCCTGTCCTCAGGCGGTGAGGGCGCAGGAGGATCATAGCGGAGCATAAAGTTGTCCGTTCCCCTGTCCGTATTGCGCATGAGGTAATCGAGTATGACGAGCTTCTCCAGCTCTTCACGGAATTGCTGCATGAGGGCGGGCGTCCATGCGAACGGTCTGGCGCCGTCTGGGCTTGGAGAAGGCGGGAGCGGACTCCTGCTGCGATGACCTTCCTGCTTGTTCAGCTCTTCTTCGTCATCATCGTCTGCGACAGCTCCTGCGCGGCCGCATAGCATCCTGCAGGATCTGAACAGTCGATGGCGAGGATGACGCCTGCTCTTCTCGTCCGTGTCTTCCCAAGCTGCACCTCCGGGCCAAGGATGCTCCTTGAGAAACACGGTCGCATCGGTGTAGCCCGTAACGAAGACTTGGAAACTGCCTGGCTTGAGCGGGAGCGGCTTGGGATGCTTCCCTTTGGCGCTGTTGCGATCGATCCAGTCGTAGAAGAAGCTAGGACTGCTAAGCTTGATGACCTCTGTCCTTGGCACGATATGCGTGCCTAGCTGTCGATCGAGGACGGATGCAGCTTCCTCTGAAGTCACACACGCGATCAATCACTGGTACCTGATGATCATGAGATGTGCGTACCTGTGACGTAAGACAATCCTGGTATCAGGCAGGCTCTGCCGAACCCGATGATGCCGCCGAGCTCTGTGATACAGTCAGCTGTGATCAGTCGGCACCTTACAGACAGGACGCACTTCTGTGGACCCATTTGGTCCATTTTGGATTGGCCGCGCTGCGAGAGTGCAAGTCAGCGATTTCGCGAGTACCATTGGCTTCACGAACCCGTATGGCTCTTCGTCCTTGGGCTTGAAGATGCCCAGTGTCTTCCTGTCGAGATTGCGAGCAAAGTAGGAGCCAGACGAGCCTTTGGCATTCAGTCTGGGCTGCACGTCCATCGCTATGGCCTCGCGCACTGCATCGGCCAACGCGTTGAACTGTGCCTGGGTCATGACCGGCTCATTCGAGAGCGTCTTGATCTCGTGAGATTGCTGCCATGCTATGTCTGGCTCTGCAGGCTCGAAGACTGATGCAATGATGGGCACTGGCTCGAGTCGAGACCGCGCAGGCAAGGCTTTCCTCCGCTTTCGCTTGATCTTTTGGGCGATCCGGTGTCGCCAAGTACGCAGGCGGGCATCAAGATCACCTGAATTGAACGAGCTCACTGCATCGACGGCTGTCGTCGTGGCTTGGGCTGCCTTGTTCGCTGCTGTTTCGGCAAACTTGCCAAGCGTAGAGGAATGCGTTGACTCCGGTCTGCCGTTGCCGGTCTCCCGCAGGGTCCCTCCGTCATCCTTGTCGAGGCGGTCGGTGTCAGTCAAGGGAGCATAAGCACCCGCCATGCTGAAATACTCGCCTGAAAGACCGGTGCGCTGCTTTGGCGCGTCTCGCTTGAACTTCGCGTTTCGAACTCGCTCGAGCGCTCAGGTGTCATGATCATGATCAGGCTGCAGACTGCACTACAACAAACAGGTGGTGCGCGGGTCTACTTTACAAGGTCTTCCTCGTCGTCTGCATCACGCGCTTGGGCGGATTCCAGATCCTCGTCATCGTCGAATTCGTCAAATTCGCCGGCCCAGCCGTCCTCGCTCTGAGCGGTCTCATCTTGTAGCGACATGCTCTGCGAATACGATAAGGTGAGACGGTAGATGTAGTACGAGGTCGCAAATCCAACGAGTGTGCCGAGTGCGATGTAGGCTGCATTGATGCGCTTGCTCGTCGCGTCTAGCTCGTGGTCCGGGTCTGCCAACAGATAGATCCTCGAGCCCACGAAGGAATGTACGAGTAGCTTTGGCGTGATGGTCAAGGTCGCAATCTAGTGTATCACCCCACGCTCTGAGCTGTAGTACAGCGCAGCAGAGGGCCTGACCCACCATGAATTGTACGAGCGAAACGGCTTCGATGGATGCAAGTGCAGCGTTGCTATATGCAAACGGAAACGGACAGAACCGGACGAGACAGATGAGGAAGAGGCCCTTCTTGCGCATGGCGTGTTCCAGTCCTCTGAAAGTCGGGCCATCTCGCAGGGATTGTCCTTGGTTTTTGAGTACTCGTCGGCAGATCAGGAACGAGACCGCGCTGCCCAGCAGACAACCTGCGCAAGCTACAAGCCAGCCTCTCCACATCCCATAGGTGAAGCCAGCAAGGGTGAGCATGGTCGAATACCCGAAAAGTGGCGGGATGGCGGTAAGGATCATGGCGAGGATGAGAAAGAGAGCGCCGAATTGGTATTGCCTCAGCCTGTCGGCGCCAGCGACGAGCCATCTGAAGATCTGTGATGGACCGATCACGACAAAGGCGATCAAGATGGCGATATTGACTGCAAAATAGACGAGCAGGCCGAGTTTCTTTGCAGGCGAAAGTGCATCGTACCGATCGCGCAGACTGACCAGTGCCTCGTTGCTCTGCTCTTCTAGCGCATGCAGACGGTCCCGCAGCGAGATCGCCATTGAGGCGATGACCAGGCGTGGCTTAGGTGTCGAGCATGAAGGCCGCTAAGCCGGTCATTCCGTCGATGACAACATCGCCAAGCAGACGCGACAGTCACCAGACAGACGATCACCGTGCGGCCGGCCCTCGTGCCATGGCAGAGGCTTACACCTTCTCAGCTCGGCCGACGGGCTCGAACCAGCAGTCTGCCGCAATGGACCAGGCCTATGCAGACGTCGTACTCCTCTCGCAAGCCTTGTCGAAAAGCAAGCGTGTCACGTCGGTGAAGCCAGGCACTAGCTCTCACGAGGAGCTGAGGCCTCACTTGCAATGCCAGAGAACGCATGACAGGATTGCTGCGCACCTTCGACGACCGTCTTGTTCGGCTAGAGAAGTCAGTAGTCGGCATCAACCGCTCAACGACAGGACTTAGCAAGACCCAAAAGAGTACGACACCTGCTCAGCGCGACGAGCTAGCGCTGATCAGTCGTGCAGACGTGGAAGCAGCTCTCGTAGCAATAGATGCGCTCCTGGGCGGACATGACTCACTCGAGCGAGAACGCGCTATCATCACCAAGGGGTGCGCCTCGTGTCACTGGTCACACTCGTACCGACTTGACAACGCCCTGTGATTGCAGGCCAAGGGACGACACGACAGCGTACATGGCCTCTATGACGCGCCTCGTGACATCGCTCAAGCAGACCGGCTCCATCACACTCAACGGTCCGTTCCAGCAAACAGGCGTCAACTCGCACGAATCTGCAGCTCAGATGAGCAGTCTCCTCGAGACGGGCGCCAAGCAGATCGTGCAACTCTTCACTGCTCAAGTCAGAGAAGCGTCGCCTGAGCGCGGTATCGATCTACGCGGCCAGACTGCCGAGACTGCTCAGTTTCCGCCAATACCCGCTGCGCGCATGGACTCTCTTCGACAACTTGCTGCCTTTGTGCAAAAGCTGCCGAGTCCGGCAAACCGGCTGGACGTAGAGATGCAGAAAGCGTACGGCGAGATCAGGGGGAAATTCATGGCCGCTTCGTTGGAGCCAGTCGCCAAGCAGGTCGTCGACTTTGCATCATCTCAGCAACCATTGATGACCATGCCGATCTGGATGGACCTCTTCTTCGCATTCGGCAGGGCATGTCACATCTTCAATACCTGGTGTCTGGCTCACTTTGTGTCTGCAGAGCGAGTATCAGTTAGCCTCGAGTGTCTTTGCACCTTATGCGGCTAGCTTCATCTTCAAGCAAGTCGTGCCGCCATCTCTGGCACTCTTTGCAGAGACCGGCCAGAGCATCAACGCGATCATCAAGAAGGATGTCTCCTCGAGCGTCGCAGTAGCTTTCGAAGTCTACGCCGCCCTCAAAACACGCGAAGACAGATTCGAGGAGCTCATCCGGTCCAAGTCGGGCAGACGCGAGAACGAGCTTGTCGACCTTGCGCATGCTTTCCGTGGTTCTTGCTTGCGTAGTTTGCCAGAATTCCTCGAAGAGACACGAGTAAGCCTCATCTCCTTCGGCAAAGGGAGATTTTCATCCGTTGCGCAGGCATGGGGGATCAAGCAGCTGACGCCGACGGAGAGTATGTCAGCAGCTATAGCGACCATGACGGTCAGCGTAATCAACTTTTTGCGGCAATTATCGCTTTACCAGGATGCAGCCGAGGGCTTCTTACAAACGCTTGGGGATGGCAATTGGACATTCGGAGCCTCTCGACCCGGTCCCACTGCTACTCGCTCCAAGGGACAGTCACTGCTCTCGAAGTATTCAGGTGAGCAGGTGATGGCTCGTCTGCACTGCTCAGCGGTTGATAGTATTTTACTTTGCTCACAGATGATGTCTTCTATACTCTGTTAGGCGCGCTAGACGCGCGAACAAAGAGCCTACGGACGCAGCGAGCAGGCGTAGCAGCCATCTTCCTGCTCAACAATCTGACCTACGTCCGACGCGAGATCCACTCGAGCGGAATCGATGATGTGCTCAGCGAGCAATGCGAGGACGAGCTCAACAAGCGGAACAGGACTGCCAAAGCTGCCTACCTCGAGATCATCGGTCCCCTCGTTGGCTGTCTCATGGATGCAGCACCAGAAACGGGCTTGCTCAAGACGGGTCTGGGTGCGGTAGGAGTAGGGACGGGCGGACGGGACCGCGCTGAAGTCAAGGACCGGTTTGCGAGATTCAACGAAGCGCTCGAAGAGATCGAAAACCTCCATGCTACTGCCAAATTAGCATCCACAGAGCCAGAGCTCAAAGCGAGACTGCAAGACGAGACTAACCGCATGGTCTTGCCTACTTACAAAGCCTTCTTCAACAAGCACAAGACGGGCGAATTCACAAAGAGTGGGCTTCTCCGCCCGCGCATCGACTTTCATGCTGACAATTGCTGAGCAGATCCATCACGGTATCTTCGCGTTGATCCTGATCAGTTGCAGGCTCGTCTCAACGCACTCTACCAGTAGGTTTAATGCAACATTGCTCGTCTCGATGCATGGCGACAACAATTCATACAAGAGTGCTTTGCTACGTCTGATCATGTCCTTGTGCCCGTTCTGCTACTTCTCTATCGGCCTAGATTCGAGGATCGTGATGCTCTTGAACCATTCGTCGTTCATGACGCTCTCAGTGTTATATCTCGTCTTGATGTTAGGGTCGAGCATGTGTTTGACCAACGATCGACATTCTCGCGGCGAGACGTTGCCCAAGGGTGGCGGACTGGGCGATTCTGCGTACGCGCTGACGTAGGATTGATAAGATGGATCTGATAGGCGAGCTACCCTCCATGGCAGTTCTTGAAACTGTCATCCAGTCAAGGATCAGATGCGCATGGCAGGCTCAGCAAACATCATGACTGACCACGAGACAGTAGAAAACAACGGCGGCAGCCCATACATCGACCAGACGCGCATCGTACTCTGAAGAGGAGGAGTTAGCTCGATACATTGCCGAGGGCAAGTCGGCGAACCTTTGTTGTCGAATTGTTCAGGTGCGATGTAGGGCTCAGAGCCACAAAGGCCTTTGGACATGTGCGTCTGCTTCTCCCAACACATCCTGAAGACGTCGGAAACGCCAAAGTCTGTGATCTTGACGTGTCCGAATGCGTCAAGCAACAAACTGCAAACGATGTCAGCCTGATGCGTGAGGAAGCGGGCAGACTGCATACTTTTCGGGCTTGATGTCGCGATGTGCAACGCCCATGCTGTGCAAGTAATTGATGCCGTGGATCATCTCCTTGAAGTACGAATTGATGGTGGGCGTGGACATGTTGCCCTTCTTGATCGCACCGTAAAGATCACCGCCACTGAGACAGGGTCAGGCTTTTTGTCTGGCAAATACAGTAGAGACATACGGGCAGTATTCCATGACTTCACACCAATGTTGCTGCTCGTCTTGAACAAGATCGACTGTCTCTACGACGTTTGCGTGATGCAAGGTCGACGAGATGCAGAACTCTGACGTGAGCTTCTTGACGTATTCCTTCTCAGTCTCGTTTTTTCTACGTTTGCGGAACTCCTATTGGCGGCACATTCAGCACCGTTCACCGAAATCAGTGCACCTTGCTGACCTTTACAGCGTAGAGCCGCTCGTTTGTACGGTCCCACTTGTGCGCAAGACGAACGACCGCAGTCGCACCTTTGCCGATAGCGACCTTTTCGCAGACGCCGTACTTCTTCAGTAGCGACGTGGTCGACGCGGGACCTTTGCGCGAGCCTTCGTAGTGGCTCTCGCCATCCGATTTGCCATCGTCTGAGCGCTTGGACGTGACGCTAGATTTGCGGGCCATCTTAGGCGCATGTCGGTCGACAAGGTCCTTGAGAGTATTAGCCACACCGCCCTCTTTCGACTCGGACTTTTTGCTCGTACTGGGTTGACGAGAAAGCGCTTGCTTGTCCTTCTCTGATGTGGACTCACGACGAGACAGCGCAGGCTTTGAAGGCGCAGCTTTGTGATCGTTAGCGATAGCTGAGCCTTGCTCTGCTGCCAACGAATCACGAATTTCCAAGGCAGCCATGGAAGCCTCGGGCGGATGGTGCGCTTCGGATTTGCTCTTTCGCCTCAAGCGGAAGCCACTGTCAGATTCTGCGCCCGACTCCGCGCCAGACTTGTGGGCTGCCGCTTCACGCCGAGCATCAGATCCCTGGAACAGTTTACCGAATACGGATCGTTGCCTGTCGTTGGGCGGACGAGGTGAAGGTGGCGGCGGAGGCGCCATGACGGCGGCAGAGCTCTGATTTGCAGACTGAGAGCGAGCTGCCACGGGCGCCTTGACATTATCGCCCTGCGCAGCTTGAGAGGCAGAGCGAGGGGTTCCGACTGGTCTTGATGGACTCACGCTTTCATCCGCATCACGAGCGAATGTAGCACTGGGTGCAGGTGGTGGACCACGAGCTGCAGGTATGTCGGCAGCGACGGAAGAACCGCCTGCATCGCTGCTGGCAGACACGCTGGCACCAGGTGTAGCGTTGCTACTCATACCTTTCTCTGGCGTTTTGAGCAGGTGCTGGTGCAGATTCTGATGGTGAGGATGCTGGCCGTGACCAATTGAGAGGCCTGCCTTGCGCAAGTTTGTTGCCGAGAGAAAGTTGCTCGAGTTGCTCTCTGGCAGCTGGGGCGTGCTACTTGCGCTTGAGTGATTGGAAGATCCATTGACTTGGCCCGACTGTGCAGCTTCCGTCGAGGGCACGATTGGCTTGATTGCTTCTTGAAGCTTAGAACCAAGCTCGGCGTGATGGGTAATGATGGGGGCAGACGACATTGCAAGCTTCTCACTGCCATCTACTTCCGACACGGCGCTCGAGACGGCGCTGGACGTTTGAGCATTGCCCGGCCGATGATCGCCAGCAGCAGAGGATGCAGGAGAAGTGGCGAGGTCGAGGCCAGCTTTCGATCCTGCACCTTCTTCTGGGTGGTGGGTCTTGTGCGATTCGCGCTTGCCGAGCGGAATGCCCGTGCTGGCTGTCTTCTCGAGATCTGCCATCGCTTTGCTCTACGCTCTGGATCTATCACTGGCTAGCGCCGACTGCGCGATGAGGATGTGGATGTGCAAGACTTTTGATGAATCGCCAAGGCGTCGAGAAACGGAAGAAGCGCCGTCGCTGCTCAAATGTGCAGAGCACTGACTGTTGTCAGCAAGCCGTGCTATAGGGCCAGCATGACGAGCGAGCACGAGGGCGATGAGATCTGGGTGAGCACGGGCGGTCGAAAGCGTGCGCCTGAGGCAAGCCCACGGGCGGCGGTCTGTCTGCTCGTCCGCCCTGTGACAGAGGGACAGATGCCGGTCCGCGCTATCGGACTCGGTTGTGACGGTTCTGCTCGTCAAAAGGCAAAGGTGGAGCTCGGCTTAGCAATCAGGAACGTCGCCGGAAAGGCTGGCCTTCCGCCTGTCGTTCGCGTGTCGATGCAAGCGTACGATCTAGCAGAGTACGATCCGCGTGCTTTCTAGCGACTTCGACCGCTGCTGACTGTCACGAGAGCGATATACTTTTCGCCTCGTCCAGTGGCTCGCTTTCGCTTCCGCGTCGGCGCGGGGCTGTCCCCGTAAAACTCTCTTCCCCGCCGCAAGTCGCTCGCAGCCCAGCCAATGCAAAGAGCACATGCCTGTCACGCGCGGCGGCAAAGGTAGCGTCCAGCCGGTCTCCCGAGTGTAAAGCTCACTCGTCGTCAGACCGCATCCACGAAGTCGCCGAAGTCCTCACACGATGCTTCCACGACGAGTGAGCGCTTTCTCGCAAGCCGACGCGGGTCTGATACAGCGAGCAGCCCGGTCATCCACTACTTCCACAACGCACTCACTCCCGCAGCAGAGCGTGACATCAAGCTGCAGCACTTCATCGCCCTCGTCACCGCTGCTGCGCTCGCTGGGGCCTCGCTCGAGGAAACGCAAGCATACAGCGGCGTGTCGATATGGATGCCCCCAGGCACAGAAGTGGGCGGCAACTGGATTCATATCTTCCAGAGCGGCCTCGTTGGCCTGATCTATAAGCTAGGCTGGGGCTGCAAGAAGTTTCTGTTTGAATACACTTCACATTCTCACGCGCTCGAAAGGATCTCTGTCAGTCGGGAGTCGTGGTACTTGTTCTTTATTGCGACATTGCCGGAAGCACGCGGTCAAGGACTGTGCAGCAGGCTGATCGAGCCTTACAAGGAGCTGGCAAGGCATGAGGATAAGCAGATTTGGCTCGAAGCGACGACGGAGAAGAGCAAGGCGATCTATTTGCATCTCGGCTTTCGCGTCACCGGCGAATTCCGTCTTGGCAAAGGCAGCGCAGCGTCCAATGGCGATGTGCAAGCCGGCGGACCCGGCGTGCCTGTTTGGGGTATGCTGTACGATCCCAGGGAGCATCCAAAGTGAATGCAATTGGTTCATGCAAACGCTTCTGCCTGGTCATAAACGCCGATGAGTGCCTCTGCTTCTTGTAGCATCGCCTGGGCTTGACGGGCTACTTCGCTATCCTTGGGATTGTACATGATAGCGTTTGCAAACATGAGCGTGATGTCTCTTCGAAACTCGATCGAATTGGTGATGGTGCCGTCGCGAATACGCTTAGTGATGCCCTTGAGACTCATCGGTTCTTTGATGAGTGCAGAGTAGCCGGGCGCATCGGTCTGCTTGACAGGCTCACGAAAAACTGACGCTTTGGGATTCTCGACGATCTGGGTATGTATCTGCAAGATGGATCGCTGGAATCGCTTGGCGCTTGCACGGTCTTTCTCGGGCGTCACCTGCATCTCCTCGCTCTCATCTGTCTTTGCGCGCTTCTTGCTTCGATCAGAAGGAGCGGGCGAGGGTTCAGTCTGAGGCGTCGGGTTACGCTTGCGCTTGCTTGCACCTGTACACGCATCGCTGTCCGATCAACGGCTGACATGGATTCGTAGAGCATGCGTACCTCGAGCAGGCTGAGTCTCTGACTTGACCCGTGAGCCGCGTCTAGCAGGCATCTCATCCTCATCCTCTGCGTCTTCCTGCTCATCTTTCACGCTGGCATCCTCCTCCTGCCCGTCCGTATCTGGCTTGCCTCGCGTAGAAGTCCGTCTCGTACCCAATCGGGTAGCTCTGTTTCTGGACCTTTTCTGAGGCGAGCTCGAATGATCCGCATCCTCTTCTTCGTCAGATCCGCCGGCGTCTGAGATGATCTCGATGGGCGCAGCCGCGCTCGAACGAGTGCTCCGTCCCGAACGAGGTTTACCAGACTGTTCGCTACCGCCCTCGAGTATGTCTTCACCCTGTCGCAAGGTGTCATCTTCTTCGTCCTCTAGAATCTCTTGTATCGCTTCGGTCTCGATCGACTCGGCAGTCTGTCCAATCGAAGGACCAGCTCTAGTGTCCGGATCGGACCTAATTCTCGAAGAGTGTCGCTTGGTCAGCGAGGGCGGCTCTGGCGGGTCAGGGTCTGCTTCTTGTACGACGGCGTTGGCATCTGCGCTCTGTCTCCTTGCAGATTTTCGCGCAGAAGCGGGAGGGACGACAGGTGAAGTCTTTCTATCTGGAGATTTCTTTCGCGCGCCGGGTGAGACGGGTCCATCGGAGCTCACGACTGGCGTGCTCGTGGACGCTTCGGGAGCGGCTGGCTTGAAGACGGTCTCGGGCAGGAGCGCTTTGATCTTGTCGTCCCAGAGACCATTGTGGATATCGGCAGCGTCTTTGAGATGACGCCTGGAGAGGACCTCTTCCGCTCGTATGCTCGTCTTGAGATCGTCTATCCGAGCTTGATAGTACGTTCTGGCTAGCTTGAGCTGTGCTCGTGCTGGATGAGGGAGCTGTACATCAGCCTGACCGACTGACGGAGGAGTCTCTCCACTCACACTGCGGCGTGACAGCTCGTGGCGGCGCTGCTCGCGGTCTGCACGCCCAAAGTGAGCACTGTGCAAGTCACTGTAGCTCTCTCGGGGCTTACACTCCGTTGTCTAGCTCGGCAGTGAGAGCTGCATAGGCTGATTGACACGAGTCTGGCGTGTAGCCGTTGGCGGGTGCGTACTGACTCATGAGTGCCGCTACTTTGGCCCATGCTTGCTCGCCCTCTTGATACACCGCCTGGGAGAGTAGCAGGCGATCTCTGTTGGACATCTTTGCCGCCAGAGTCGACATTGTCTCGGTCCGTCGGGTTGTCACTTGTTCGCGTGTTGGATCGCCTCGGCTACTCGAGGAGGCCGAGGCATGGAGCTGCACGACAAGATCTACTACAAGCGATCAGAGTATATCGAGACTGTGCGGCTGCTTGCGGTCTTCGATCAAGGCTGGACTCGACTGAGACTTCATCCATTGCTGCGCAGGACACGGGTAACAAGGTCAGCAAGCGCTCGACCATCTGCGGCTCCTCCAACATCGTCCTAGGCGGCAAGACTATCATACAACAGGGCTCCATCATCCGAGGCGATCTCAGGCGTCAAGGTGCGGGCAATGCCGTCGTGGTCGCCATTGGGAGATACTGCCTCCTAGGCGAGAATGCCGTCATCAGACCGCCCTACAAGACCTATAAAGGGCTAGTGAAGTACCGCCGATGATCTCCATCTGCTCAAATGGCGACGATCGCTACAGATCGTTCAGTTACTATCCTCAGAAATTGGGCGATTTTGTGACAATAGGCGCCAATACGATCCTTGAAGCTGCACAAGTCGGCAGCCTGGTCGAAATTGGCAAGAACTGCATCATCGTAAGCTTCTTTTGCTCCTGACACGTTGCGACCGCTGACACAACACGCAATCAGGGCCGCTTTGTCGTCATCAAAGACGGCGCGAGGATTGAAGACGATACTGTCGTTCCGCCAGGCACGACAATTCCTTCGCTATCTGTCTACGCAGGCTCTCCAGGTCTGTGTGCCCTCCTGTCCACTCCAGCTTCAGACCTGACCTACGCTATACTCACTAGCGCGGCTGGTCGCAGAGTTGCCAGAAAGCGCGCCTGACACCATCGAAGCGCGCGCCAAGGCCTACTACGCTCACTTTGTGCCAGGGTAGTCCCATAGACTATCTCCCTGCTTGCGCGATCTCGCAGGCGCATCAGATCAGGACCAGCCGACTCGGTTGCATCAAGGGGCGAACAGACGACACGAGGCGAAATAGCTCAGCCCGATGACGGCACAGCATTTTCTGCATGTCATGCAGCACGACTTTTGCAAGGACTCATGCTGGTTGCATGCGCAAGTCATCGACGGCAAGGCTGTGGTGGGGCTTATCGAAGTTGCCATGCTCTGGGGCATCGTGTCACGCGACTGAGATAGCGCGAGGGCAGTCATCTATCACCACGGGGCTCTCGTGTTGTGCTATCTGCAGGACTGGATCTTCCTCCCGACTGCTGGCTTGCTTGTCGAGCTCACCGTGAAGTCATGGTCCAGCCCTTGAGCCCGCAAGACTCGACGCCCAAGCCGTACATCGTCTCACCGCTGATAAGATCGGTCTTTCTCTCAAAACGTGTCGGCCTGTACGTTGCGCTGTCCTCCCTAGCGTTCAATGAGATCTGACACGTTCTGTGATGCCAGTGATGTTTTTCTCAAGATGGAGAACATGCAACCCTCGGGCAGCTTCAAGTCCCGCGGGGTAGGCAAGAGGGTCGAACGCATCGTTCAGCAGCATGGCAAGGAGGCTGAAGTGGTCCGTTTGATCTGGCTCATGAGTGCCGCATGACTCATCTCAGCTGAATCACGGGCAGGTCATCGCATCGGGTGGGAACGCAGCTCTGGCAGCAGCATTCGCCTCTCGCACGCTCGGCGTTCGCTGTCAGGTCTTTCTGCCCGAGTTAACAACACTCAAGATGGCCGAGAAAATCAGAGCAGCAGGTGCGACCGTCACAGTGGCAGGGAGAGCGTTCAGCCAAGCACAGGAAGCTGCCTATGCCTACTGTGCAAAGACGTCCAATGCTCACTACGCGCCTCCTTATGATCACCCTGATGTTGTCGACGGCAATGCTACGATCATGCCCGAAGTCAGAGCGCAGCTTCAGCAAGAGCACGGCATATCAGATCTGAGCGGTGTCATCTGCTCTGTCGGCGGGGGCGGTCTGCTCGCAGGCGTTCTGACCGGAATGGCACGTGTCGGCTGGTCGAACGTCCCCGTCTGTGCAACAGAAACGTACGGAACGCAATCGTTCCGGCTCGCGCTCGAAGCTTCACTGAACAGTAAGCCCGTTGAAGCCAAAACACCAACGCTACCTGCAATCTCGGGTGTAGCCGTCTCGCTCGGCGCAGCCACGGTATCGCAAGACGTCGTACGGCTTGCTCTGGAACACGAAGGCTTACTGTCTAGCATAGTCATGACGGACGAGCGCTGCTTCGATGCCCTCAAATGCTTTGCAGCAGATCATCACACCCTTGTCGAGCCAGCCTGCTCTGCTTCGCTTGCGCCTTTCTACGACGAATCCGAAACGCTCATGAAAGCTGCTTTCCCGACTATACGCCCTGGCGAGACTGTCGTCATCATCGTCTGCGGTGGTTCGGCTGTCGATCTAGATGAAGTGGCACGATATGAGCAGCTGTTCAAGGAATCTCAGGGTGATCTCGGCGCCATCTCGACCATCCGCAAACCGAGCAGCAAGCAAATTGCAGCATAGATTTGTCAGTCTGTAGATGTTGTCCCAATAGCGTTCGCTGCAATAGTGTGGATATGCTTGAGCTCGACAAGATCTGGGCTGAGCTCAGGAAAAGGTTTGACGGGCCAGCGCCGCCACTGCCATAATAATTTGTCCAAATTGCCGAAGCACGCAACCAGTCCGAGGCAATGGCAGACCAGGCAGAGCAGAACATCGAGGTCTGGAAGATCAAGCGCCTCGTCAAGTCACTCGAAGCTGCTCGAGGTCAGCACGAGCGTCTCGGTACATGCCCCCTTCTGACTTGTCGGCGGCGTAACAGGCGCGGGCACGTCTATGATCAGCTTGATCATCCCACCCCGAGCGCAGATTGCACAGATCTCCGGCATGCTGACGCAAGAATACGGTACAGCATCCAACATCAAGTCTAGAGTGAATCGGCTGTCTGTTCTTGCCGCCATCACGTCGACACAGCAACGGTTGAAGCTCTACAACCGCACTCCCCCCAATGGGCTCATTGTCTATTGTGGCACGATCCTGACGGACGAGGGAAAGGAGAAGAAGGTCAACTTTGACTTTGAACCCTTCAAGCCCATCAACACGTCGCTCTACCTCTGTGACAATAAATTTCATACCGAGGCCTTGGCTGAGCTGCTCGAATCGGATACCAAGTTTGGCTTCCTCGTCATGGACGGCTCTGGTAGGCTCTCGTGGTACAACGTCAGGTTTGGGCTGACACGAGCGGACAGGGTCGCTCTTTGGTACACTCGCAGGCAATACGCGTGAAGTGATCCACAAATTCACCGTCGATCTGCCCAAGAAGCACGGTCGTGGTGGTCAGTCTGCGCTCCGTTTCGCCCGTCTACGAGAGGAGAAGCGTCACAACTATGTCCGCAAAGTCGCCGAACTCATGGTCCAGCATTTCATCACGAATGACAAAGTCAACGTCGCCGGGCTTGTCCTTGCTGGCAGTGCGGATTTCAAGACTGAACTCAACCTGTCAGACATGTTTGACCCGAGGTATGCTCTGTTGAGAGCACTCGTAGCATCTGGCTGATCGCTGTCGTGATCTAGACTGGCTTGCAAGGTCATCAAGGTTGTGGATGTGTCGTACGGCGGTCTGAACGGCTTCAATCAAGCTATCGAACTCGCCGGAGAGTCGCTGGCTGGCGTCAAGTTCATCGAAGAGAAGAAGTAAGTCATGCGTCATGCTGATTGTACGCCATCTGACCTTGTGACCAATCAGACTCATTCAAAAGTACTTTGACGAGATCTCCCACGATACGGGCAAGTACTGTTTCGGCGTGGAGGATACATTGCGAGGTCTCGAACTGTCAGCTATCGAGACGCTCATCGTTTGGGAGGACCTCGATGTTACTCGCCATGTCTTGCGCGCGTCAACCGGCGAAGATGTGGTGATCCATACCATGCCGCCCGTCAACCTTTCTGCTACGACGACGGCAGCTGCAACAGACGGCAAGTCGACCGCTGCAGGTATCGCAGCCCTCTCCGACATTGACCGAGCCAAGTTCATCGACAAGGTCACCGGGCTAGAGATGGAGCAAGCGCAAGAACCCCAGAGCTTGCTCGAGTGGTTCGCAGAGAACCACAAGAGCTTCGGTGCTGCGCTCGAATTTGTCACGAACAAGAGCCAAGAAGGCTCGCAATTCGTCAAAGGATTCGGTGGCGTAGGCGGCCTGTTGCGTTACCGAGTCGACTTTGCCACCATTGCCGACGCACTCGATAGCGGAGATGTCGGTGCCACGATCGTCTCATTGGTACCTTGGCTGACGTGGATCGGCCGCACAGGAGTTCTTCGACTCTGACGAAGAGTGACGGGTGCAATCGCTCTCTTCCTTGTCGCTCAAGTCACAACTCTGTCGAGTCGGACGCTCGAGGCAGAAGGAGGGAGTCCAATCGGTCTCACTCTGGAGCCTCAGCTGTGCGCTCGAGTCTTTCCCGCCCCGCGGCCTCACCTTGTCAAGTCTTGCTGCTTATTGACGGCCTTTTGCCTGAACAGAAAGAGGCGGTCAGATGAGACTCGAGCGGCTCTCATGTCTGAAGTCTTGTGGATATACTAGCAAGTGTAATGCATACCGGGCATGCCCTGTCATAACAACATCGGAAAAATGGAGAAACATCGAGCTGCACTCATTCACTCGTCCTCGTCGGAGTCTTCCACACGCTGACGCTTGGTCTGAGGAATATCAGGCAGATCAGCCTCTTCGTCGTCGTCTTCCTCATCGTACTCGTCTGCCGTCTTGGGTAGCTTACGCTGAGGTGGCGGCCTGCTGTCCGGTTCTGGCGTCAGACCGTCTTGGTCCTCTTCAGGCCCGTCGAGATGCTCGTCCCGATCTGCTTGCCTTGCCGCTGCTTTGGACGCTGCTCGTTTGGCCAGGCGGTCTGCTTCGTCTATCCAGTCTGAGAAGACGTCGATGGGTTCCGACAGGTCTGTCAGACAGATTTGTCAGCACGAGCTGCTGGAAGGTCACAGGAGGGTCCATGGACTCACGATTGATGGATGTCGCATACTTTGCATGACAGTCTGTGCACTTGAGTGTGCCCACGAGCTTCTGCCGGTCCATCGTGACTGCGCAGGTCCCTGTGTGACTGGACAGCTTTAGCTCTGACACAGAGGTCGAGCAAGCCCAGAGGCACGCCTCACCCGTTGCTTGGCAGAGCAAACACCGGAATGACTTGTCCAGCGGCTGCGCTCTGAACTTGGGCGCGAGCTTCTTCGATGACTTGCGCTTGCCCATCCTGAACGCCGAATGACTCTGCAAAAATGAAGGCGACTCTCCTTTTTGGCGCGACGGGCTGACTTCTCTGAGTCTCTGCCGGCCTGGACTGATAAGCCATGTCACTCAAGACCGTCAGGCCCAAGCCCCAGGCGAGAGGCTTCTCCTATTCTATCCCGAGCAGAGCGCCCAACGACTGCGACGATGCAAGTGAAGATTCGCCCCTCATCCACGACGAGCCAGACGAGGACGGCTGCCTCCATCCGACTTCGAGCTCCCACCGACATGAGCCTTGTCCGCCTGATCCTCATGCAGGCCTGCCTGTCTACCAAAACATCCATCGAGTCCGGCGGGACATCATTGCGGCGGTTGAGGATCCCTACACGATGGAACAGCTCAGTTCGCCACGAATGAATATCCACACTGTCCGTCCACTGGTGGACAAGCTCTACGACATGCACGACATTTCGATCATCTACTGTCTGCTCGTCAACCGGACCCAGTTTCTCAGAGAGCAGAACGGGCGGAGCCATCAGTACTCCGTCAATTCGACCCGCGCAGGATTATGTGAAGTCGTCGCCATCAAGATCATCAGGCGGCTCAACGAACGCTATACGGGCAAAGAGGGTCTTCTATGTATGTATGCTTGGGTATGACTTTGCTGCCTTTCCTGACCCGGTACGGGCTGCAGTGCTCGCCAATGTCCTCGTTGGCGGATTCGAGCCTTTCCAGAATGCGCCCGATGAGACCATCAAAGAGCACCGGACAGGTCTCCATTGGGCAACGCAGAAGCGCGGAGGCTATGAGCGCAAGCTGACCGCACTCGAGGTCGCCATCATATCAGAAAGCAAGGCCTTTCTCGCTGCCCCTGCCTGCCAAAAAGTCGTCGACGCCATCTACCGAGGCAGACTGGTCTACACGCCCACGACATTCTTTGACATCTTGCCAGATCACTACAAACACAAACCCATCAGTATCTATGATCCTCGCAAGGCGCCCTTGCTCAACCATTATCGCTTGATTGTGCCGAGAACACGGAACTTCCTCGAGATACTCCAATTCATCACCCTGCTCGCGCTCTTCATTCTCGTCATGGAAACCAAACAGATAAGCTACATGACAGTCTATGAAATCGTGTTCTGCGTCTTTGCGATTGGCTACGCACTCGATGAGGTTGCATCGATCTTGGAGCACGGCTGGCAAGTCTACACGCAAAACCTCTGGTCTTTCCTCGACGTCACCTTCATCTTCATCTTCTTCACCTACTTTGTCACCCGCGTACAAGGCCTCAGCGAGGGAAACGACGAGGTCGCCTATCTGGCACTCAACATTCTGTCAACTGGCGCGGTCGCCCTGCTCCCAAGACTGGCTTTCAATCTCATGAGCGAAAACATGCTCTTCATTTCTCTAAGGTTTGGCTCATTATGTCTAGCGATACCAAATGCTCAGTCTTTGACAGGGCGATGATGAGCGACTTCATGCTGCTCATGTTTCTGGCCGTCTGGTGCTTCGCTGGCTTTCTCATGTCCATGCGCTGGCTCGACGAGCTGGAAGTTCACTCGGCTGTGACCATCTCCAAATGGATGTGAGTGCCCAAAGCTCGCTCAGAGTGCCTGCGCTCATACGGTAGAAAGGATCTGGATCTGGTTCGGCTTGGATGGCACGGGGATTCAAGAAGCACCGCAATTTCACTGGCTCCTGGGGCCTGTCCTCATGGTTAGCATGCCATGCGTGCTGTATGCGTAGCTCATGCGGAAGCAGGTGGCCTTTGCCTGCTTGGCCAACACGCTCCTGCTGACGATTCTGGTCTCCATGCTGAGCAACACATTCTCCAAAATTGCCAACAATGTCGGCGCAGAAGTACAGTTCCGACGAGCTGTGCTCGTCTTCGAGGGCGTCAAGAGCGATGCCATTTTTGCTTATCAGCCGCCCTTCAATATTGGCGCAATCATCATCATGTTGCCGCTCAAGTTCTTCGTTTCGCCGCGTTGGTTCCACAAGATCAACGTCTGCGTCATCCGAGTCCTCAACGCTCCCATGTTGCTGTGCATCTCGCTCTACGAACGCGAAACACTCTGGAGACAGAATGCGAAATCGCAAAGCTGGCTCACGCAGAAGCTGGAGAGCTTTCAAGTCTGGCGGTCCAACTACTTCACAGTCCACGGCGACTTACAGGCCGTCTTTGAAGCCGAACCGCCAGAGGAAGCATACGACAACTATTCCGACATTGCTATGCTGGAAGATCATGCGGATCAGAGTAAACAGCACGAAGGGGGTCATGCTGACGATGAAGACCGCGAGAGGCACCAGCGCCGGCTGAGCAATGCGGACAGTCTCGTACCGCAAGGTCTTAGTGGGCACCTCTCGCATCTCATTGGCGCGATCCAAGGGGAACGCGAGATCAAGGGCGCACCCGAGCGTCTCGAACGTGTCGAGGCAGCAGTACAGCGCATGGAGAAGCTGCTGGCTAAGATCGCTTCCAACTATGACGATGGCGACGATAACGACAACGAAGAAGAGTCTCCCAATGCGCCTGACTGATGCAACGCCTGACTGATGCAACGACAATGCTATAGCTTATGCCGTCGGGATTTCGACGCAATGGCTGCGAATGCGACCTGCACACAGCCGGATCAGCCTCGCCATCGCAGTCGATGGCTACATACCTGTGGCTTCCCCGTCTCGAATCGCTCGACTAAGTTAAACATCTCCCGATGATTGACCGCTTCGACCTCCAGCGGATTCAATGCCGTCTTCATTTGTTGCTTTATCATTAGTATCTGCAAGGGCAGTTCAGTGTTGTTATACCGATGTACGGTTTGTCACGCACGCTTGATGCGTCTTTATCTTGCAGCAGGTCACGAAGCTCGGTGTGAACTTGTCGCTGAAAGTCTGAAGCGTCCTTGCTCGCGACAACGCAATTGATGAAGCCGGCTTGCTGCAGCCTGTCCGCACCGATCCTGCGCCCGAAGAGGAGGACTTCGTTCGCAAGCGCATGCCCCATCCGTCGCGGAAACGTCAGGCTCGATGCGCCCTCGGCTACTAGCGAGAGCGAAGCGAAAGGGCAGAGCAAATAGAAGCTCTCCACTGTGTAGATCAGATCGAATAGACCAAGGATGGCAGCTGCAATGCCTATCGCTGGCCCTTGGCAAGCCGCTACGAGCACTTTCGGGTGTTCGGCAATCGAACGCACGAGGTCGCCGTTGCCTTGTGCAGCCCTCCTCAGCAGGGCTGCCCGTGGCGCTTCGCCTTCACGGTCAACATCACGATTCTTGACGTCGGCTCCTGCAGACCAGAAGCTTCCCTGTGCTTGGATGACGGTGATAGTGATGTTCGGCTCGAGTGCAATCTCACGGAGCAGCTGGGACAGCCGCCGCCAGAGATCGAGTGTCAAGCCGTTACGTGTCTCCTGCTTTTTGATGGTGATGATGGCAAGCGGGCCGTCATAGACTCGCTCTATGTGCTCACTCATGGCAAAGTGTGGGGTAAGGAGCGCCCTGAGAGCAGAGCAAGCGCGCAAGACGCGACCAAACCTACTTCCACACAAAATTGCCACAACCCGAACTGCAATGTCCATGTTGCGCACACCCCGCGCTGACAACCTCTCTAGAATCATACCAATGTCGAAGCTCTATTTTGCCAATACTGGCTGAGGACACAAAACGGCTTTCAGCGTCTTTGGAGGCGTCTGGCCGGTCAAGCGATGCCAATGCTGCGAAAGCGCCAGTATATTCGACTGTTGGGCGGCACTATTGCCATCGGGGTAGTAGATCGAGTACGAGTCAGAATGCTGCACGTAGGCGCCGCAGCACTGGTCGCCGGTTGTGTAGGCATGGCCAAAGACGGACCAGGCCATCGAGCCGACGTAATTGGTCTTCTCCACCGCGCTGATGTACGATTGCAGCTTGCTATAATCTGTCCAGTCGAATTCTCCGATCAGGAGGTTCTTCTTTGCACTCTTGGCTAGTGAAAGATCCTTGCTGAAGATGCCGGTGTTGATCGGATAAAGATGATCGCTCGCGATATCAATATATGACGATTTGAGGCCCGGCGCAGTTGCACCAGTCGAGTCTGCCGACCAGTCAGAAGAGGACACCAGCTTTCTCAGAATGCTCACAATTCCATAGACCGTCAGTGCCATCGATGATGAGCTGATTTGGCGCGAGATGCTTGATGAGACTGGCGATGTTGTTTGTGAAGGCCAAGGGCGGATATCCTTCCCTTCCAATGTATGCGCCCCATTCATTGCCAGTTTCCCAAGCGATAATGGTTGGATCTTGCGCATACGTCAAGCCGGTGTATGGATTTTTGTGCGTGATGAACGTTTGGATATAGCTGCGGAAGGCGTTGAGCGCACTCGCATTGGTGTAAAATGCGCTGCCGTAATTGCCAGTCGATATCCCTAGCCAACGAAGGAATGTGTACTTGCCCCCGGTATAGTACTGCACACAGGCTCGATCAGCGGCATTAGGCGCCAATATCAGAGAGACGTGCCTGGTAATCATCTCCCAGGGTGATTATAACGCGAAGACCATATTGGCCGGCGGCGTAGACCGCATAGTCGATTGCGTCCCATGCCTGTGCATTATAAGTATCTGCGAGAGTCTCAGCTGATGTGAACATCCCGAATTACGAGTCTTACTTAGCGACGGCATAAGAGACAAGGAATTGCCGTACGAGATGCCCAGACTCAGCGCACGGATCGTATTCGCGCCCATTGCCACTGCGATTGCCATTGCTTCACGCACTCGACCCTTGTCTGGATAGCTTGGGCTCGGCTGCACGTTCTCGTCGAGCCCGAGCCAATATACGTTGGGCCCTGCCATGCGATAATTCTTGCCATTCAGCAGCAGATTTTGTCCAGAGCGCTTGACAAAGGCTGTTGGCTTTGGCAGCGTTCCCGTGCCAGCAATAGTGGTTGCGCCTTCGGTGTAAGTGACTGGACACGTACTGGACGGGGTCGCTGTTGTCGCAGTGACTGCCTTGCTGCTACTGGCTGCCGTCGCCTTCGTCGTGCTCGTAGCCTTTGCTACCGTAGTTGTCTTCTTTTTGGTGGTCTTTTTCTTCTTCTTTTTAGTCTTGCTGGCTCGCTTGTGTACTGTTACTGCCAAGTCATCACGCTTGCCGAAGCTTGATAGGTGAGGGTGACCGTGGCGAATGCGATCCATTGCGGCTTTCTCATGCTCGTGCAGCTCTGCTGTTTGCTTGGCCGTTAGCGTCTTGATCTTCTTGGAGGCGTGATGGTGATGTTTATGACCATGCTTGCTGATCGAGCGTTGGCCGGCATGTTTGGCAAGAGCATCATGATGATGTGCGGGCAGTTTCGCCTCGCTGAGCGGTAGAACAGTCGACAAGGTGACGACCAGGATCGCCAGACCGGCCAGCGGGAGCTTCATCGCAAGGATATAGGTGGCTCCTTGTAGCGGACCGACTTTGTGTGTGCGTGAACCGCAGCCATTGCAGCGTGTCGCACCTCGAGTCTGCAGCAGTCCCGTAGATCCGTCAAGCGGTCTTCCGCTCGAGCGATAATCAGGATTTACAGCAGGCTCGAAATGGTTTCGATCACATGTTGATATCGCGTCGCGCTAATATCAAATCGGAATACTTCTTCTTCTTCACGCTGCACGCGGAGCCTAAGCCGTACACAATGTGCTGGCCCACAAGCTCGCAAGCGACACGATGCATTTGAGTCATCTGCCACTAACCGGCTTCATCTGTAGACAGGCGCTCGCATGCAGTGTGTGCAGAAGGCAGGAAAAGGGATGCATGTAGACCAGCTACGCGCTAGTTTGCCCATCGCCACGAGATGGGTACCCTGCCCACGGACTGAGCCGAGCCTGTAGACTCAAAGAGCGTAGGCGATAGATCGAGCGATTGAGCATAGCAGCCGGCGCAGAGATCGCCAGCGATACCCACTACTGTTCGACCAGTTGCATGATTGGTGATGATGATGGATTTACCGCACTTGCGCATGTCAAAGTTGGCTGCTTGCAAAGCGACTACATTTGACTGAGCGGTGTACTGTGGGCCACACTTCGAAACGCCTGTCGATGGATCATAGAACGTCGCAGTGCCACCCGTATAGATTGGCGAGAATGGCGCTACAGACTGTGATAACGTCGTACTCTCTGAGGGAGGCGTCCAGACAGGCGTATACGTCTGTGGCTGTTTCCAGGCCGTCGTGACCGGCGCGACGGCCTGGTACGAGCTTTCGTCAGCCGATGGCTGCTTCGGCGGATCGGCCGGCGGCTTTTGCTCGACAGGCGGCGTTACAATCGGTGGCTTTGTGGCCGGAGGAGTCGTGGGCGAAGTGGTAGGCGACTTGCTGGGCTGAGAAAGTACGACATTCTTTTCCTCGCCAGTGACTGAATCGAGATTGCCCTTCAGGAGCTCAGGCAACTCTTGCTCGCTGACGTCTGGCTTACGATAGGACTGCTCTTGCGGTGAGCCGGCTGCGAGATTGCTGTCATGCTGGACAGCAGGATTCTGATCGTTGGATGGCCTCGGCGGCGTGGTGACGACGACAGGCTTGGGCTTGTACGTGTTCTCGTTGTAAGAAGATGGTGCAGGCGGCTTGTAAGCGAGCTTCTCTGGCTTCATGATCTGCTCCTGCTCAGGCTGGGCCGACTTTTGCACAGCCTCATCTGATTGGTATGCTGGCTGATGCTCAGGCGGTACTGCTGGCGCAGAGCCGGTGCCGGCCGGCGTGCAGCCATTCGCCTGTCCCAGAGGACAGCTGTCGCTAACATCAGCCCGGCCTCGTCTTCCAAGCCGCGGGAAAATACAGACCTGCCGAAAGCGCTTGTGCCCTCAGGATCAGAGCCGAATTCATTCAGACCCTGAGGATGGTCGCCGAACGGGTTCGTGCCGAATTCCGAGCTAAGATCTCGTCGTAGATGTCCTGCATTGGCTCCTTAGTAGCGTCTGGTTGCGATCTGCACAAGGCTTACCCGACTTGGAGAGCTGACGATGGCTGCGGTCGATATCGCCTTGGTGACGGTGGCGCCTATCAGCCCTCCAGCCAGCGGAAGCTGATGTGCAGAGGAAGAGCACAGTGAGCACTGCTGCAAGCGATAGTCTCGCAACCATGTTTGTCATTGAAAGAGAGTGATTGGTCAATGCGAGGAGGATACAGAGAAGAGGATTCACCAGACACGAGACGGTTGTCAAGCATCGTCGATTTCTGATGTCTCAGGACCGCGCTAGCCGAGGAGATTCGCGATGCGTGCGTGTGCGGTCAGGCTCTGGTGCACAGCGCAATGCATTTCGCTCAACGTGGCTTCGCGAACCCCACAGCGGGCGGTCCGCCGGGTCCTTGAAATGCAAGGACGAGGTAAGCTGCCTTGATAAAGACGTCGCCTAACAGGAAGCCCCCGCCGATGAGATCCTCTCCAATGATACCGCCGACGCAAGCACCCGTCCCGCTCGAGCCAATATTGAGATCCTGAGGATTGAAACTGACTTGCAGGGTGCCGAATGAAAGCGAGATGACACCCGAATAGTCACAAGGGATCGAGTAGGATCCTTGCGGTAGTTCCGGACTATCCAAGGCTTGCGACCCTTCGATCTGAGCGTAGATGGCAGCAGCGATCTCGGGCGTCGTATAGGCGTAGCTACTGCCTGTGTCGATCTGTATGCAGATGAGCTGACCCTCCTGAGACAGGCAAGATGGCGTACAATGCACTTGATACTACTCTCGACAGCTATCTGTCCATTCACGCTGATGCTCGAGGCCTCGATCTGCCACCAAGCTGCTTGGGTCACAGGAACCCATTCGATCTCGCCCGAATAATGTGACTGATCTGTCGCACCCAGTGAGAATGTCGATCCGCCTTGTGTCCTACTGAAATAAAATGCCATGAGAGGTTGATCAAGCTGAGGAATCAAGTTCTGCGCCCAAGGCATTTGCTGGTTCGAGCTGATCGCCTCAAAGCCCAAGCCGAGAATGCCCACTGCAGGCGTGACAATCTCGCTAGTTGATGTGATGGCGCCGAACGCTTGCTGTGCCACCGAGAAGGGGCCAAGTGCGACGACATCGGTGACCGTTGTACCGCTGGCTGAGCCACTGGCATACTGTATCTGGAAGGGCGCACCACTATCCTGAAATGTGCTGGACTGCTGTGTTTGGAACCCGTTGCCGTAGATCTGTACCTGGAAATCGGCCGAGCCGGAGTCGAGAAGGATAGGTAGCTGCTGTGCAGGTGTGCCTATTGAGAGCATGACATAGTCTGCAGTAATGTCAGAGGCAATCTAGCCCGAGGGCTCCATGCTCACAGCCGAGATCAATTTGGCCGGACAATTCGGTCGTGACGGGGATGGTGGCATGGTTCCTAGCCAGCAATCGACGCCTGCCGCTCGTGGTGAGGGTGTGATTGATGCGAGACCGGCGAAAGGTGGCAACGCGTTCGATAGGTAGATGTATGTGCGCTGCAGAAGCGACGTGATCACATGCCAAGAGCAAGGCGAAAGCTATTTTGCAGATCATCTGGTCGTGGAGAGCCCGTCATGGACATGATATGCACAGAGGAAGTCACAGTCATGGCGATGGCAAGACGAGTCAGTCGAGACAACAAGCAACAAGTCGCGTGATGACGCGTTCGCGTTGACAACAGCCTCTTTGCCGAGCTACGCATCGCGATGATGCAGACTCTCTGGAAGTCACAACATGCATTCCCAAAATCCCGGTGTACAAAGCATTCAGAGAGCGGCAGATGGGACTGCGTAGTACTGCTCGCGTTCGACATCTGCAGGCAATGGCCGCTGTATGGCACTGCAGTCGACTGGCTTGTAGCCTCGCTCTTGCATGAAGAGCACGTTGTAGCCGTACTGGCACCACTGTGGTGCAAGTAATTGCAAAAGCCGTTCGCGCACGTCTGGCTCGTAGATGTCCCAAGTGGCAAAGTTGCCCGACTTTCGACTCTTGTATGCCTCATGCTTGGAAGGCGTCTGTTCGAGCGCGCAGGCGATCGTCTCCAGCGACGGTCGCTGACCGTCCGGAAGCAAGAAGTTGACGAGCGAGCTGGTGGTCGTCAGTGGACTATCGTGCAAATCTTCGTATCGCATCAGAAGTTGAGGGATGGGGGCTAACGTCCAATATGCTGAGTGCATCTTGTATTGGTTGGCGAGAAATGCTAATGAGCGCCAGTGCTCGCGCATGTTAAAGGTTGTGAACTCTGCTTTTCGGCTTGTGTGTTTCTCTGGAGTGAACGGGGTGTTGGTGAAATGCCAGAGAGAGTGAATGGAGTCCAGCGGGTTACGGACAACACGAACAGCACGGTCGTAATACTTCCAGTGTTCCGCAGCCGCAGTGAGATTATCGTATTGTCTGCCGTGGCCATGTATGAAAAGCGGCTCGTGCGACTTGACGAAAAAGGAATTGTTACGCCCTGAGCACTCGTCTGTAAATGCCGTTGCCAGCATGCGGTCGCAGTAAAGAGCGCTTGTCGTGAAGCCTGTTGTTCTTTCGACAAGCGACCGTGTCCACGAGTTTCCGCTCCGAGGAAAACTGGCGAAGACAGTTTTGGGCAAGTTAGCGAGATCCGGATGTCTGACCGCAGGGCGCTCGAGCGCCTCGCAGTTCGTGGGTTTCATAGCTGAATAGAACTGCGATTCCCATGCGCCGCCAGACAGACTGACATCTTGTGTACCAAGCCGACCGGCGGAAATGTGCGACGTGCTGATCGAGGCGATAAAGCCAAATAACAGTGGCACACACAGCGGCGCTGCGTACTGTTTGAGCACTACATACTGACGTTAGCTGGGTAGTACGCTGCCACGATGGGTACGCACGACTCGGCTTGCTTCTGCGGGCCCTCATGGTGCCAAATTCCGGCGGGACGCTTCCGTCATCGTCAAACCGCTTATCAAGCTTGATCCAAACGCCGCTAGCAACAAGGCCGACGCCAGCCCATCCAAGCAGACCCACTTGCGTAAACGTGCTGAAGAGAAAAGCATTGAGCAGGATCGAGAAAAACTGCCGACAAGTCATCAGCATCGCACTGGTCAGAGCGCCATAGACTGCGATGGTATTGAAAAGGACAAGCAAGCCGGTCGTTGCTGTGGCTGATAGTAGCGCGATGTCGATCATCAGGGCTGGTGTCCGCATCATCAGCCAGATGGAGTGTCCCACCGTCGTCGACAGGGCGCCCAGACAGACGAGCAGCGCGATCAAGGCTGCCCAGGCGTTCACCCAGACCATCTGCGTCAATACCGGGCCGCCCTTTGCAAAAGGATTAGCTTTGGCCGCAGCCGGGGTCTTGCCGAAGACGGTCTCTTGCGTTGTGGATGTCAGAGCGTCGAAGAACAGATAGCCCAAGAGAAGCAAGCCGCCGAGGATCGTATTGCCATCGCCGTGCGCCTTTGCATGACCCGCTTTGCCGGGCGACGAGACAGCGTAGGCGACAGAACCCGCCAGCACGACGGCGCCGGCGATCCATTCTCGGGTCTTATAGGTCTTGCGATAGACAAGTGCGCCCACAAGCAAGACTGGAACCATCTTTGTGCACTTGGCTATCGATTGGGTCGTGAAGCCAACATGCCGCAAAGCATCATATTGACAGAATGTGGCAGCGAAATTGCAAAGCGCGACGGCGAGATAGGCATGTATGGGGCTCGTTGGCTTTATCTTGTCCCAGACGGACTCGTTAGGGGCGTACACGTGCTGACTTGAGCCAGTCGGCCAGAGTGTGATGGTGAGACCGACGAGACAGCTCAACAAGCGATTGCAGAGCACCAGTACTGATGATGCAGTGAATCTTTCTTTGTCTGGGCCTGCCTCGCCAAGCATTAGCTTGATCGCAATTGGATTGGTATGCCTGACCATATTCTGACTTCATGACCTTCTCCTGCAAGACACCATAGGTACTATAGATCGCAATGAGAGCCGCGCCATGAAGGGCCAAGCCCAACAGACTCTCCTGACGAGCTGGCGCGTTGATGATCAAAGGCTTCTCCGAAATAGGTGAGGGCAACGAAGATGGTGTGCCTCGTTCGGGCGACGAGTCAACCGCCGAGCGGTCCAACAACGGCGCGAAGCTAGCTGCTGAGCTATCGCGCGAGTGAATTTGGATGCCTGGCATGCTGAGAAGAGAAGACAGCCAGCGGTCGTGATGATAATCTTCTTGATTGGTACCCCAGATGACTGTGCAGGCTTGCCGCAACACCGATGCCTTTGAAGTGCGCTCGAGAACTCGTCAGACGCCTATCAAGCTTCGCAATCGGGCCCCCGGGTCCACGGCATGAAACATCCCCGTGCTTCTGCTGCATGATGCTATGGCTTGACATTTGGAATGCAACTTCTCCCTTATGGCAAAATGTCGCTCGTGTTCCGCCAAGTCCTTCGATAACTGCAGCGCCTCGCAGATCACCGATCAAGCGGGGCCTCTTCCATCGGACTAGATGAAAAATATCAATTAATTGCGAGCGCCACCAATCGTTGAGCGCATGTCAAGGACCGTCAGCTCAGGTTCCTATACACAAGCTAGTAGCAGTTCCGGAATGTCGCAAAAGCTCTTTGTTGGGTACGTCAGTCAGTCATAATCCGGTGATGCATCCTGCCCCCCAAAGTCAAGCGAGACAAAGGCGCACTCTCGGGTTATGACGTTGCGATGCTCGACCTGGGCAATGTGGCCACTATGACGATGGCTGCCCGTCCTCGACGGTCATCGGTAGCTCTCATTACATATTGATGACCTCTACAACATACTAGAGTCCAGTCGCGGCTAGATCATCACCGCCTCCTGTGCGCATCCCTCGAAAGCAAATGTGCTATGGCATTCTCTCATCGGTACTGACGGTCATTGCGATCCTCTTGCTTATCAACTTGTATGCATCACAGTGGTCTGGCCTGGGCCACGACCGATGACTCTCTCTTCTCTGCCTTCAGCCAATATGGTAGGTCCCTCTCCTGCCCGAACGAATTTGCACGTTGACACATTTTCGCCAGGTGAGGTCACAGACTGCATCGTCATGAAGGTCTGCATCGTTGTCTGAGTTCAGGGTAAACGACTGATAGCATTCACAGGATCGCGAGACGGGACGTTCGCGCGGATTCGGCTTCGTTACCATGTCCGACCCTGCTGCCGCTGAGCAAGCCATTGAAGCGCTCAACAACGGCGACCTCGACGGACGCCAAGTCCGAGTCGACAAAGCTGCCGACCGTGGCGCGGGCGGCGGCGGTGGTCGCGGTGGTGAGTTTCCATGGTTGCTTGCTGTAGCTCTCCGCTGACGAGCAGCTCTAGGCTACGGTGGCGGCGGCGGCGGCTACGGCGGCGGCGGTGGTGGTTACTCCAGCGGTGGCGGTGGCGGTGGCTACGGCGGTCAAGGTATGAGCACGCCGGGCACTTGAGTTTCCAAGTCTAAATTTTGCTCACGCAGGCGGTGGCGGTGGCTACCGTGGTGGCTCGTCAGGCGGCTACGGCGGCGGTCAGGGCGGTGGCTACGGTCAGCAAAGCTCTGGCGGCGGCGGTGGCGGCGATCGCTGGTAATCCCTCGCACATGCTCAGCTCAGCTTTGACGACTTCTCGTCAATGGCTAGAGCTAGCGTTTGCTCAGAAAATGAAATGAATATACCAGACCGATATCATCAACGGTCATGCTCTCGTGCCATCCTACCCCATCCCACCTCTTCCACCTTCCTGTCAAAGCCTGCAAACCCTTTAGCCGATCTCCTACCGAACCTCATCAGAGGAACGATAACCAGTCACGTTTCGTTCCTTTTCTCAGACAACAGTCAACACCCCAACCTATAAGTCAAACCGTCAAGACCCAAGAGTCCAGTCAGAATTACGAAGAAACCTAGCTTGTGCGAGCCTGTCGATCGTGGCAAGCCTGAACGAGCAGCCGTTTCGCTCAAGACCTCAGAATGATCAATCAGCCAGAGTCAAAGTGCCCTATCAAATTTGCGATCCGACCGACCTTATCAAAGACCAATCCCCGCTCAAGCCGCGAAGAAGCATAGGAGAATGAAGCCATGCTCCCAGATTCTCGAGCCTGCGGAGCTTGAAAAGTGCAAAGCGAGCAGTCCAAACGGTGTTGTCTTGTTGTAGACAGTTGCAGCGTCCTTTTCTCAACTCGTGTGCAACAGCAAATGTACAACAATAACACGGGCACGCAAAGTCGGTGCGACTACTTCTTGCGACGGTGCCGCTCATCTTCAGAAGAAGCTGTCTCTGCTTCCCTCTGCTTGAATTCGAGGGACTGCGAGGCCTGTGATCAGCGCCGGTCGACTTCAGTACGAACGGCGTGCCTTTTCGTACGTATCTGACGAGCGACTGAATAATCTTTCGTCTTCTCTGACGTCCTGGGCGGGTATGCCGCTCAGTCTGTTGCGTTTTCGATCGGCCATGGCACTCGAGCTCGAGCTGGCTGCAGGCGGTTTGAGGTAGGCGTCGTAGCCTTTGACGATGTTGCCGAATGCAGGCAGCGATGAGGATGCATCTGGTTGAGCAGAGAGGTAGGAAGTCTCAAAGGCATGTATGTTTGCTTCTAGATTGACCTGCAAAGGTCGTTAGCAGCATGCTCAGTCACGACATAGCTACTTGCTAGGTTACGATCGATCTGACGCTTGCGGGCTACAGCTGCAGTGAGATCTCTTCGCGAGTTCTCCAGGAGCTTCTTCAGGTCAGCTGGTGATAGCTGTGCTTCGCCGGTGCTCATCGTACACGCCGCGAGTTATTGCAGTCTTGCGTTGAACGTTGGACGCGCGTCAAGTCCATCACGAAGCTTGGCTTGGCGACGGACAGCATGCAATACAACGTCATAGCGCACAGCGCGGATCATTAGTAGCCATTCGATTTGACCTCGAAGAACCTATGCTAGCGTCAGCGATTGTTTCTAGCAGAGATGAGATTGTACCTTTTGAGGTAGTAGATTTGCCATGCGCACACGACTGCCAGCAAGAGCATCTGCGCAAACGACCAGTACTTGACCCGATCATTTGTCGACTCGGCAGCTGTCACTCCGGTCAGTTGAAATTGTTGCAGTGAAGCGCGAGCACGGACTATTGCGATGTAAGCGCTCGCGCACGACAATGTACTCTTGTTCGTCCTTGACAGCTTCGAGCGCGTTGGCGAGGGCCCTGATCTCTTTCTCTATTGGCGCGGTATGGCCTGAGCATACTCGTAAGTACAGCATGCTTGATGAGGTGAAAGATGCGCACCATCGTCTTCGACATACATGACGCCGTGTACATTGAACGAGACTGTTTTGACAGCCACGGTGCTCATCTTATTGGAGAAGCAGTACGTGTATCGCCCACTATCATAGGGCATACGAAGGTTGAGCGCATGTCGAATTTGGGATGCAGAGCACTGACTCTTTGAAAGCGACAAAGTCATATGAGCCCGTATCTTGCTTGGTGTTGGCATACATGACATTCTCGTCCGGGTCTGTCATCTGTACGTTGGCAGGCTCAGTGCAAGCGAGACTAGCACAGAGCTGAGCGAGCCTCAAAGTCTATGTCGATGTGGCCACCGCCAGCAACTTGATACGTCACGGTCATCTGCCAAAGCATGAGCCTGCTTGCGGCCTGAGCAACACGCTGGACCCACTTTGTCTTCTGCGTGCAAGTCTTCGAAGAAGCATTCTTCTGTCGCAGGCTGCATCTCGATGGTGTGCGCTCGTGCGACCATCACTTGACTTGTTGCTAGCGCACATATCAGGAACAATGTGGCTTGCTGCAAGATTGACCGCCTTCGGTTGCCAGTCCGTCTGCTTTTGCATCGCTCTGCTGATCTCGCTGGTCCAGCCGAGGCCACTTTATCTGGCCAGTCTCGTGACATCTGTTGAAGTGCGATGGTTTGTGGACACGGCGCGCGCGACGCTCGACAAAGTGCGTGCTAATCTGACTCGCGACGTGCCATGACTTTACTTCGAGACAACAGAGCTACAACACAACAGACTCACAGAGCTTCGATCAGATCGCTCATCGACAGCGGCTCATCGTCCAGATAGCCAAAGTCGCTGTCATCCTCTGACCATCCTGCATCGTCATCACTTTCGTACTTACTGTATCACCACGCGAATCAGAGTGCTGCAGCGTAGCACAGTATCAATGGCGTACCTGGCTGATGGCTTGGGAGCAGGTCTCACACCAGTGCCGTCACCTGGTGGTACGCGTCGCGCTTGATTTGCTGCCTTGATCGCATCCCGTCTGGCAATGATCTGCTGGTAGGCGATAGACTGCTCCAGTGAGATCGCATTTGGCGCTTGCGTCTATGGAGCCCCGACTGCTTCAGCAGATGCAGGCATGGCAATGCTAGATCAAAACGCACATGATCTGCCGGTCCAGATTGTCCATGACGGTCTTGAGAGGGCATATCGTTTACGCTACTTGCGGCGGCCATGATGACGTCGTCTGACATGCCACCCGGGTCCGGGGGATCTCCTTCTAGATGCGTACCGTCGAGTCTTTTACCGATTTGCTTGACATCTTGCAGCTCCGAAATGCGGTTCTCGATGTTTGATCGGCGCGTTTGCACTCCTTCGACTCCACCGGGCAAGCTCTGGGCTAGACGTCTGTAAGCGTACAGAGCACGAGGTGCCCATAGAGTGAGCCGGGGCACCGACAGCAACGATGATGAGATGATAACACTTACGGCTCGTTCAGCAGGGTGAGTGTTCGTGCGAGCATCTGTTCGAGTTCGTCCATGTTGTAGTCCGATAGATTGCGCTCCTTGCCCTTGCGAGTAACGCTCATCCGGGTGGGCAGGAACGGACTGACAGGCTGTTTTGGTCTCTGGCTGGCCGGTGCTCGCGCGGCGTCGTATCGAGCTGAAACTGCTCCCTTAAAATTTGACTGGCCATTAGGAACGATAACAGATGATGTCGATACCGCAGGAGGTAGCTTCAGACCGTTCATGGCGCCTTGCAATTCGGCTAGACCGGGGCGGTTCGTCACTGACTTGCGTAACACGTCATTGTGGCGATTACTAGAGACGCGCCTTGTTTTGATAAATCATCCAGCCGGTTCAGCTGCAAAACTTGCTTTGACTCACCTGTCAGGTCAGTGATGAGGCCAGAAGCAGCGCGAGTACGCTGATCGTGGCTTTGTATACCTTCTTATCGGTGCAGATCCGTCAAAGCGACAGCTAAACACACTTCGCAAGCAAACATGTCATCGCAATCTGGCAAGTCAGGCAAGGTCGGCGGCAAAGGCAAGGCCGGCAAGACTGGCGGCGAAAAGTCCGCACAGCAGACACGTTCGTCTAAGGCTGGCCTGCAGGTATGTCATCTTCTGGTTCTGCTCCCGCTTCGACGAGTCGCACACGATCCTCTCTTCTGGCTCTTTACACGCTTCGAGCGGCTCCAACATGCCCCAGCGTCTCTGCTGTGCGATTTCCACGGCGTCTATGACATCTATACACCCAATGACGCGTGCAGAAGCGCGAGGATGGCTTGCTGACAAGTCTGGACCGATCTGACAGTTCCCCGTCGGTCGTATCCACCGTTACCTCAAGCAACGCACCCAGAACAACATGCGCGTCGGTGCAAAGGCTGCCGTCTATGCTTCCGCGATTCTCGAATACCTCACTGCCGAGGTGCTCGAGTTGGCTGGCAAGTCTTCCCTCTCAGAGAGCGCGTGCACTCTGGCTGATCACTCTCCTGCGCGATCAGGTAACGCCGCCAAGGATCTCAGAGTAAAGCGTATTGCTCCAAGACATCTTCAGCTTGCCATTCGTGGAGACGAGGAGCTCGATACGCTCGTAAAGGCGACCATCGCTGGTGGTGGTGTCCTGCCTCACATTCACAAGGCACGTCTCACTGCTGCCCTCTGGCGTTCTGAGGCTGACGCATGTCTGTACAGAATCTGCTCGCCAAGACGGGACCGCCCAAGGGCAAGGGGCCTCAAGGAAAGGGCGTCGAGGCTTAATCGCGTCTCTTTCTCCTCCTCACTGCTGTGCCAATGTTTACGCGTCTCTGTCAGCCCTTGTAAGACAGCACGACGCTGCGTCGCAGCAGTTCTGCCAGGGTATTCGAAGACAGTGCAAAGACCAAGCAGGATACCCTCGCCACCTTGTGCCTTATACTTTTGACTTTTGCTTCCATTTTTGTCGTTTACAACGTGTGCTTTGCTCGCCTGCCCTTTGATCGGGAATGCTCTGAACATGCGTGGACATGCTATGGACGGCATGCTCGGCATCAAATGATGCAATACGCTCTGTACCAGCCGAGAGGAAAATAGATCTGCGAGCGGGTCTGGTTGTTTTCCGTCAATGATCGACACTTGCACGTGTCGTAAATTGCTGACCTTCTGAGCCACAAAGACGCATCCCTGTCACACAGCAGGTCAGAGCAGCACAGCGCGACAAGACCGTCAGCAAGCGCCGGGCCAGAACAGGATCATTGAGCTGTTCGCGACCAGCCTGCTGCTCACCTTGCGAGCGTGCCTTACCATTCGACCAACACGCTGCCAAACGTTGCGGACTACGCATGACTGCCACCCACAACATGATACCTAGACCGTAGTCCGGCACGTAGCAATAGTTCCGTGGCTTCGAGAGGCAGCAAACGCTCGTTGACACTCATTTCGAGCTATACCCGTCATTTCACCGCCCACAATTCTCTTTACGGGAGCAGCTGGCCTGCAAACAAACCCGCGCAAGTAGTGGCTGAACCGCCAACTCGACTCAGCACTTGCGTCGGTCTGCGCGAGTCAATATGGCATCTCATCATCAGCAAAAGGCAATCTCGCGCGAGGTCAGTGCTTTGTCGTGTCTGTCCATTTGCAGTGGCTGACGCACACGTACCAGCGCTCTGCGATAGACAATGCAGGCGCGCTCGCTACATCTCCAAGCGTCTCTTTGACGCTGGCCGCGTCGCAGCTCTCACTTGCATCCGGCACCGCGCCGGTCCCATTGAGCACGACGGGCAGGCAACACTCGGCAACGGCTTCCCATTCCATCTCACCTACCACGAGCTTCAAGCAACGCAGACGGCCGTCAGCTTCGAGCATCTCTGCGTCTTACAAATCATCTCCTTCGACCGGTTCAGGCTTCACACTACGCGCGACAGACCCCGAATTCGAATCTGGCAGCATGTCGAGACGCAGAAGCTCCAGCAGGATACCCTACTCCAATAGTGTGTTCCGAGAGGCAGGCGGCAGTCAGCGCCTGGCAAGCTACACGGCTCCTAAGAATCGCGACCTCGGTCAGCCAGTACCTGCGCGTTCACGCGCTGCGCCATCTAGCACTCAAACGCGTGTTCTTAGCGCCAGTATGCCCGTCGTCTCTCGCTTGCCGCGTCGTCCGTCTGCTACAGGCCAATCGACGGCCACAGAGGTACTCAGCACAAGCGCGCAAGGTCCGCAGAGAATGCCGAGTCGATCCTCTGCGTTCGCCGACAGCGACGACGAGGAGCAAGACGAAGAGAACGAGGAAGAGGCCCGCGCGCCGAGGAGATGCGCTCGTGGCGAGACACGACAAGTTGCAGCGCCACGAGAAAGCAGCGGAAGCCGTAGCAGCGGCGGACGGAAGACGCTACAATGCGAGAAATGCGCCAAAGTATACAGACACCCACAGTGTCTCATCAAACACCGATGGCAGCACACGATGGTGACTAGAAGCCCTCAAGCTGCATTAACGGAGCTGATACTCGTTGGGCAGTATTGGAAAGAAGCATCAAAGCTCATGCTGTCGAAGCATCAGCAAGTCGAGTTGCTCGAAGCTGCGGCCATTCTTGTCAATCCGCAATCGCTTCCTGCGGAGAAGGACTATTGGCCAGCTGCAGTCTCGCCTCCTATGTCAGGTTTGCTCGGCTCGGAACAGCTTAATTCGGAGATCCTTCGACAGAACTCGCTCAGGATGTCTGCCGCCATTGCTGGCTCCTTGCACGAGAATCGTGCGCAGTGGGGCAGCTTCTCGCAAGGCGGCATGGTCATCAAAGGGAGTGCAAGCATCTCACAGGACCTCAGCGACTTCGAAGACGAGGAAGAGGAGGAGGATACAGATGAGCTCGGCGATCGCGATGGCTCAGATCCGTCACTGACAGCGTCTCATCGCGAAGGCAGTGGCGGCGATGAAGGCATGTTCGACCTCGACGAGCAAGATGAAGAAGACGGCACAAAGCTCATTTCATGGAGTAAGGGTGCGCCAATAGAAGCAGCAGCATCTGTGCCTATTCTTGGCTATCAGCGCAGACGCTCCGGCTCGGGAACCACAAGCGAGGAGTCTCGGGGCAAAGAGAGTGGCTACGCAAGCACAGCAGCTACTTCGCAGCACGATCACATCCGTCAACACTCGGCAAATGCTGGCAAACCCATCGCAATTCAACCAAGCGGTTGGCATAATTCATCTACAGCCTATGCGCGTCACTCGCATCTCTACCCGTCTCCGTCCGTGTGGGAGGTGGGTACTGCTCAGCCGCAAAACTTGCAATCTGCGATGGCGTCCTCGGCGCCACCTATGGGCTTCTTCGAGGTCGGCAAACCGACCTTCACTGCCGAATTTGCGGACAGCGACGTTCGAGATCAGGCTCGTACGCGCACCGAGACGGTAGCCGAGGTGGACGAGTATGGGCGACCGATTCAGCACGTAGCGTCCCAATCCGATGGATCCACCATCTCACTCTCGCCGGAAACGCAGCAGTCAGAAGTTACGGCTAATTTTGACATTGAGATGGATCTCGAATCATAATCAGTGCTGCGAGTCACACGCAGGCTGAACGAAGGAGCGGAGTGCATCAATAAATCTGTTGTTTTTGCAAGTCATCCACCATTTGTCAATAACAAGATGCTCTTATGCAGTTGCAGTGCCGTTGATCGTAGCCGGAATTGAGATGGGCTTGCCAACCGCCGTACATGCTTGTGACGCCGAAGCTGCGCCCGTCTTGTAATCATCGGCACTGCAACTGGCCATTGCGCACTGTGTAAAGGCTGATATGAATGGCAAAGACTCGCAGTAACATTGCACGAGCGCCGTGTCAGCTCTGCTGTCCGTCTCAGCGCAGCTTACTTGACGAGTGCCAAATGACCTACGTGTCTTTGCAGCCGCTGACCGAGGTACTCTGGGAGTAGCATGTCTTTACGCATGCTGGCGTCGCAGCGACGAGCCGTGCCTCGTCTGCCATCGAGAGCTGACCGCTAACGAGGCCAAGCACTGACACCGTGAGTGAGATAATATGAAGCGTGAACATTTGCGAACTAGTCGTTCCTAACGTGGTTTTAAATGGCACACACTCTAACAGTGAGAGCTGATGAGGACGTTGGATGCTGATATATGCAAAGTCTGTGCGGTGCGAGAGCTCGCGAGAGAAGCGACGGGCAGACGGACCAAATGTCGTACGGCGCGGCGCGGTAGCAAGCGCACGGACCCGTGCCTGATCGATGCCGGTAGCTGAACTTGTTCTCGATTGTGCACAGACTGCTCAGTCTCGGATCGTGTCTAATGGGACGGACCGAGCAGGCTTCCTGGACATGTAAAGTGGCGATATGGTGAAGTCTTCTATCCAAGCCACTTGACAAATCGATAAGATGATGCAGATCTACGCCGCCCTACTGACCATCGTCGCTGCCCTTACCGTCATCAAAGGTCAGGCGATCTCGCTCGGTACCGAACCAACATGCGTTAGCCAGTGTTACGTGACCTCTGCTCCCTATGTTACGGGCTGCAACTCGCAAGACCAGTCGTGCTTGTGCCAAAATGATAGCTTCGGTAGCATCATGACAGACTGTAAGAGGATAGATCTAAATCGCCTTGGATCGCACTGATGTCCGTAAAGGCTTTAACAAAACGTGCACGTCGACACAGGATCAGAACAGCGGCATGACCTATTTGCAGAATCTGTGCAAGACGGCCAACACGACCCAAGCTGGTCTTTCCACCGTCACGATGACCGCAACCACCAGCATCCCCACGACGGTGATGCAGACCTCGACCCTGGCCGGATCTGCCATCACTCAGGCTCCTGTACCTGCAGTCGTCACATCCGTTCTCGAGCGTGTTCATCCTTCGACGCTTGCAGCTGCAGCGCCAAGTGCAAGCCCGGTCGCAGTTTCGGTCAGTCTCCTGCAGTTTTATCCATGCCAAAGGCTGACACTTGCAGCAGTCCTCTGGCTCATACAATGCTGGCGATATCAAGAGTGGTCTCGCGATCGCCGCACTTGTGACCATTGGTTTCTTTGTCGTTGCCGTCTAATAGATGCATGTTGCTGGTAATTGTTGTTGTGTGCGACGATACAGAATATCTGCAAGACAGAGGGTCAGGTGCGTGTGTACGTGCTAGGCTTGACCGTGCAGACCGTTTGTCACGAAGGATCACGTGACGACGCGTCTTGAGCCGATTGCAACCACTGTACTGACAACGATCCGAAAGTCCAACGGCTGGCAGAGCGACGCAAGGATGGAAGCGCTAGGCGAAGCCTGGCCTGATGCAGAAGCAGCTACTCCTCCGTTGCCGGCAGATCTGCTTCACAGAGGGCTGGAAGCGAGCGAATCGACCGCGCCAGTGGAATTAGACTGCGGTAGCATCAAAGTCCTCGATACATTCCACTCGAGAGCAGGGCAAGCATCGACGCCGTCTTCCACTGGATCCTCAAGCAAGCAAGTCAGTCCTGATGTCCGCCCTACAGCGCGATTCGACGGCGTTGGGTCTGCCTACTCGTCTGTCATCTTCAAAAGTCAAGCGCCAAATGTCGAGCTAGAACGGATAGCGCAGGCTTTGCGCGTCGGCCAGAACGAAACAGCGTCAGACTTTGCAAGCAGTGGCACGAGCGCACCAGATCTCAAGCGCATGTTCGCTCCACCCTCTTTGCCGGCCACAGCGGTCGCAACGCTCGAATTAAGTTTGGGCAAGGAACCCGTCGGCGAAGAAGCCTTGAACAGTCTACAAGAGACAAACAACGATTCGATGGTGTCCATGATCACTGTCGTGCCGCTCGTGCCAGATACACCAGCACGAGATGAGTCTGGCGATGTCACCCAGCTTGCCACGAGTCAGCCTGCGGATGGCCCGATCGCAAAACCAGCTGATGACTCGCTACCACTTGCAGCAGAGGATTCGCTGCCACTTGCAGCAGAGGAAGGTGAGCTCTCTGATGATCTCACACATGGCTTCGAGACTGACTCGCAAGGGCAGTCGCAGCTAAGCCAAGCTTGCGATTCCCTCACTTGTCTGCTCCGGCACCACATGCATCAGCCTTCAGCTTCGAATCGCCTATGCGCGGACGTATCTTTACCTGGCGCAATATGCCTCACATGTCAGCCGCTTTCACCGGAAAAGCAGTCGACTTGGCTAGCTCGCCGAGCGTCAGAACGACAATCAGCGCACCTGAGCTCAGTCCGGGTAGCTTTTCGTCATCTGAAGAGAGCTCGGAGCTGGTCACTTCGATGAGGCAGGAGGAAAACATAAGGCGAAACTCACACGATGTGAAGCATCTAGAGTCTGGCACGGCAGCTGCCGCTGTCGCTCCACCGCCTGCACCTGTGCCTATGCGCACTTATGTGTCTATGGCCGCCTCTGCTGCTGCGAACATGACAACGCCTGGCCGCGAACAAGTGCCACGACATGTGGAGCGCGAGTTGTCGGCGGCACTGAAGCCGCTCGCGCTTTCTGCGCCGCCCACACCTCATGCACCTCTGGACAGCGCACCACCTAGCAAGGTACAGCTGCAAATGTTTGGCATGAACATGGACACTATTACGCAGACCAAGCTCGAAGGCGTCCTTGAGGTCATCGACACTTCCTTCTTTGATTCGACGGATCATCCCGACGACCTTGAGAGCCAAGGCTCAGAAGCGGGGACCGACGAGCAGATCGTGGAAGAAACGAAATGGGAAGAATCTTTTGTTGAAGATTCTGTCGACTATGACGATCTTGAGGGCGAAGGGGATAGCCGCTCGCTCAGCATAAGAAATCGCAGCCGGAAGCGCGTCAGGCTGAGTCCTCGCAGCGAGCGCGGGTCAAGCTCACCCGATGAAAGCCAATCCCGCTCTCAGTCGCGCTCGCGTAGCAGACGAAGTCTGCAAGCACGCAAGTCAGATGTCCGAGACCACGGCAAAGCGGCAAAGCAACTCTTTGCGCACCTGCAAGCTAAGCATAATGATCCGATGGCCCGCTCTTCCTCAGTCTCTGTCAGCGGCGACAGCGTCAAAGGAGGTACATGCGGTAGTGCTTCGAGCTATAATTGGGCAACTGGGTCATCGAGCGTTGCCGCCAGCAGTCAGCGTCATGTGTCTGCATCGAGCTACAGTCAGCTCTCCGCTACACATGAGGAGCCACAGGAAGGGAGCGAGGGCAAGAGCATCTCGGCGACCTCAGACGTACAAACAACGCAGCTGCCCGTCTGCACACCGGTGCCAACTACAGTGCGTAATCTCGCGCGGCCTGGCATTCAGCGTGTAGGCGCAACACCGCTACCTGAACGACTTCAAGCTCGCATTTCAAAGCGTCAGTCCACGCCGCCAGACGGCGCCGACCAGAGTGATTCTCTTTCATCTCCTACATCGCCGATGCCGAGCCCCAGTGCAGCACATGAGCGAGGTCAGCCGCCTGTCTTGCAAGTGTCTGCCCAATCTCGGGTGCCGGGCCTTACTACAATCCGACCGGAGGAAGCTGGCCCGCATCTGGCGGCTAGTCAGCATGGCAGAATGGTCTATGACAGTGATCGACAGCGCTGGATCAATCTGGTCAGAATGAAGCAAAGCATTGCGTCGTCTGGGCTGCAACAAAGCCTTGTCGAAAGAGCGGAAGATGACGCCGAGGATTCAGGCACGTCTGAGGATGAGGATGTATTCGGCGACACAGACAGCGCGCCATCACCCTCAGCAGCATATCAGGAAACTACCGGCAGCGAAGTTGCTGTTGCAGAGGCCGCGCCAGCGAATGACGCAGACGACGGCGCATCTGATGTGGAAGAGTCTCCCCTCACTCTCTTCAAGGCTATTCACAGTCCTGTGATAGCTGGGCAATATGCTGCGCCGACGTCAGAGCCGATCGCGCCTGTGAAAGAAAGTACGCCGAACTCGCAACGTCGACCAGCCCTCAAATCTCGCACAAACATTCCTGCCTTATCGCATATGACGCCTTTGGAGCACAGATTTGCCGGCACGCCGAGATCAGTCAGCTGGTCGGATGTGAAAGATGACTCGCGTGTGCATCTCAATCTCAGCAAGGATCTAACCGAAGTCAGTGCGAAGGCTGCAGAGCTTCGTCGTCTCGGTCGGTCATGTGTCACACATCCTCGTGCTCTCAGCTGATATATGTACAGCTGTTGTCTCCGGCGATGCTCAGGAAGATGCGCTCTTCTCGCGTGCTATCGAGCGAGCCGGCATCGCAGAGATCAGTATACTGCCGGCGTCCATCAACGGATTCACTGTACAGACATTGCGACAGCCCGACCCGGTTTTACAGTCTGCTTTGCTCGCATGCGAGTCTGACAAAGCTAAATGGTCGACTTCGAAAACGCTCGTCCTCCGTCAACGTGCATTAGCGTCCGTGGGCGATCTGCACGAACACATGCCCGCGCTTGAGCAGGCTGACGTGTACGTGACATCTGCCCTCGTATTGTCTGATGCTGATCAATAGACTAGGTCGCGTAATAAGCTCGAATCCGTACTCGGCTTGCCCAACTCTGCGCGCTGTCTGCTGGTCGATCACAACCTGTTTCGAACAACACACTCTTTTGCGCATCTTATCCACCTCGAGCGCCTCGATCTCAGCCACAATTCCTTGACCAGTCTCGAAGGCCTGGCTCAGCTACCTCATCTGCGAGAGCTCAAGGCAGACAACAATCGCTTGCAGTCTCTCGATGCTCTTTTCTCCTTGTCTGGATTAGCCCGCTTGAGCTTGCGAAGCAACAAGCTGGCGGAGATCCGCGTGCCAAAGCGTACATGGAGGCATCTCGAGATGCTTGCCCTCTCGAACAATGCCATTACGACCGTCGAAGGACTTGACACATGCTGGCGCTTGTCGATGCTGGATTTGGGTATGCAGCGATAGCCCACGCACTTGATCTTGCTCATGCATATTGCAGATCACAACAAGATGAAGAGCTTTGCGCCGGCGTCGGCAATACCGAGTATGCGCGTCTTGCGAATTGCTCACAACAGACTGCGCTCTTTCGATGTTGCCGCCTTGCCAAATCTGTCAAAGATCTACGTCGATGGCAATCATCTGGACGAGATCAGCAATATTCATCAGCTGCGGCGTCTATCGATGCTCAGCATCTGCGACCAGACCGATGCTGTCCTGTAAGCGCGGATGTGCTTCTATCTGCACGAGCTGACGAGGGATCTACAGAACACTGACGAGCAGTACGATCCGCGATCTGACACGATTGTGTCTGCGTGGTAAGCCGGCAGCATACTATGCGAGCTATGCTGACGCTGCAAGCAGGCAACGCGATCACGAACAGCTTGCCGTCGACGCCGCTATACAGCCTGACAATGCTCGATTTGTCAGCATGTCAGCTTGTGGAGCTTCCAGCGGACTTTGCATCCGTCGTGCCCAACTGTCGCAGCCTCAATCTTGCGCACAACTTTATCCAGGATCTCTCGCCGCTCGATGGTCTCGCTCGCCTTCAGCATCTCTCAATCGTCGGTCTACGCGTCAACAGCTGCCGCGGCATTGTTTCGGCTTTGTCGACCATGCCGGAGCTCGAGTCGCTAGATGCGAGGTAGGCTGCCTTTAGGATAGCAAGGTGTGATACTGACTGCTTTTACAGGCTCAATCCTTGTACACTGGCTTTTTACGCTACAACGATCGAAGGCAGCACGCGAAGAGACGTAGAGACCGCATGGCAGACTGCCGATGCAAGATATCGCAAGACTCTGCCGGACATCTACTACGTCAAGCGCATGACATATCGAGCGGCCATTTTACAGACTTGTCCTCGCATGGATCGACTTGACAACCTGCCTGTCAGTGCAACAGAGCGCACGAAGTTGGAGCGACTCGTCAGTGGTGTTGTAGGCAAGCAGAGTGCTGGCGTATGATCTATTGCAAGCGGGCGTGTATCGGATCGATGGCTTGTGTCGTAAATTGTTATCATTATCGGCAAGTCGCGTGCCCTCGTTGGCTTGATGAGTCACTGAAGATGCCCTCGAGAGTGACAGCGATAGAGCTATGGAACGATACAAAGAATGACGAGACACTCGCCAAAGAGCTGACTACATCGGCGGTCGACCTTGGGTTCCTCTATCTCGTCGGCGTACCCCAAGATGAAGAGCAAGTGATAAGGCAAATGTTCGCGCTCTCTCGACGCTTCTTCTCCGCATCGCTCCCGGACAAGCAGCAATACAGCATGGAACTGACCAGGAACAACCTCGGCTATTCTTGTGTCGGCGGAGAAGTGCTAGACAAGCAAACGCCGGATGCAGATTTCAAAGAGGTCTTCAACATTGCCACGTCGATAGATGGACAGAAGCAGGCTCTGCCCGGGTCAATACAGGAGGAGCTAGATACGATCAAGAAGTTCCAGTCTATATGTTTTGCGCTGTGCCATCGGCTGCTTGCGCTGCTCGAGCGCGGTCTAGGTCTCGAGCAGGGGATCTTCACGGATCATCACACGATAGCGGGCAACCCGAGCGTCTTGCGCCTGCTCCACTATCCGCCCAGCTCTGAGCGTTCTACAGAGCTCCGGTGTGGCGCACATAGCGATTATGGCTCGCTGACTTTGCTTGCGCAAGAGTCGACGCGCGGCGGATCTGGGCTGCAGCTCTTGCCACCGAGTGAACCTGCCGGAAGTGATCACTGGATCGACGTGCCTGTGCTGGATCATGCCATCCTCGTCAATGTAGCCGATGCGCTCGAATTTTGGACCAACGGCACTGTCAAATCAACGATCCACCGTGTGCTCGTGCCCCAGGACAGTCCTGGCCTGGATCGCTATAGTATAGCTTGGTTTCACCAGCCGGACGACAAGGCCATACTGAAGAATGTCATGCAGAGCTCGACGTCTGGCTTGCGCAAACCTAGCCTGGCGGAGCTTTCGAGGATGGAGGCCAAAGGCGTTGCGCCTGGCGAAGTGCTGACGGCCAAGGAACATCTGTGGCGACGGCTGGGCAGCACGCACGGTCATCTCAAGGCTGCAGCTACAAACTAGATCCGTTCCTGTTGTACTCTGTAGCAAGATTGCATTCTCCAACACTCACTCGTCCTCACCCTCGGCCGCGCTGATGTTGGTCTTTGGATTGAAGAAGAGCGATTCGCGACCCCATGGGAACTCTTTCTTGCGGATGTTGTTGAAGTCATAGACCACTGTGAGGCAGCATGAGCTCGATGGCCGTCTCTGGAACGAGAGGACATACCTCGCTCGGGCAGTTCCCCACCGTTCTCCTCTTTGATGTGTTCGAGGTGTTCATGATGCTCTTGCTCGAGGTTGCTGATCGGTTCGTATCTTCAGTCAGCTCAACTCGCGGATGAAGCAAATCGACCGACCGAACGTTGAGATAGGCAATCACTGCAGCAGGTATAGCGACATACAGGCTGATCTTGCGCCAGAGGTCCGCAGCGCCCCTGGCATGCTCATGGATGTGCTCTCGCTCTTCGAAGAAAGGGCTCTTCTGCTGGGCGCCGCCTCCGGTCACTTCTGTGTTGAGCGTGAGAGGCGAGCCTTGTGTTGATGCATGACGGCGGCCGGGCACGTTAGCTGCAATGAGAGTTAAGAGCTGCCATGGGTGCATACGCTGATCATATACGTACCGATAGATCGAGCACCGAGTGCGACTGGGCGCACCGCTCGTAGGAACATGGCAGCTGTCTTGCTCGTTTGCGCCAAACCGAAGCAGGCGCCAGCTGATTCAACCCAAGTACCGCTGATTTTCTCCAATTTATTCAAGTTGGCGTGTCGAGACGGCGGCGAGCAGGGAACAAGCAGCGACGCTGATGGCCGGTCTAGCACCTCCGCCTGGCTTCCCGGGCTCCTCATCGAGCTCTGTGGACGTCAACATGGACTATGCGCAGATCGAAGCGTACCAGGTCAGCCCTGTGCTGGACTGCACCTCGATCGTCACTCACCTCTCCAATTTCTTCCTACAGGAACGACCTGCCATGTCGCAGGAGGCACTCGATCTCAAGAAGCGCAAGTGGCTCAACTTCCAAGCTCGTCGATATGGGAGCGCCCAAAAGACTGCGATCGTCGATACGGGCAAGCAGGAGTTGCCGCCCGAGCATGTGAGGAAGATCATCAAGGATCGTGCCGACATGTCCAATCGCAAGTTCAGATCGGACAAGCGAGTACACTTGGGAGCGCTCAAATATGTACCCCATGCCGTCCTCAAGCTCCTCGAGAACATGCCCGCGCCTTGGACGCAGGTCAAGGAGGTCTCGGTGCTCTATCACATCACTGGCGCCATCACCTTCGTCAACGAGACCCCGAGGGTCATCCCGCCTGTCTATCATGCTCAGTGGGCCTCCATGTGGCTCGCTATGAGGAGAGAGAAGCGCGATCGTCGTCACTTCAAGCGAATGCGTTTCCCGCCCTTTGACGATGAAGAGCCTCCGCTCGACTATGGCGACAATATCATCGATGTCGAGCCACTAGAAGCTATACAGCTCGAGCTCGATCCAGAAGAAGACGGTCCGATCATCGACTGGTTCTACGATGACAAGCCGCTCGTTGATGATCCGTCACATGTCAACGGGCCCTCATACAAGACTTGGAACCTCACCTTGCAAGAGCAAGCCAATTTGTATCGTATCGGTCGCACTCTGACCAGCGAGTTTACCGACGCCAATTATCACTACCTCTTTGAGCCCAAGGCCTTCTTCACCGCAAAGGCGCTCAATATGGCGATCCCCGGCGGTCCCAAATTTGAGCCTCTCTACCGAGACGAGAACCACGACGAAGACTGGAACGAGTTCAACTCGATCTTAAAGATCATCATCCGTCAGCAGATCAGGACAGAGTACAAAGTCGCTTTCCCGCACCTCTACAACTCACTACCGCGCTCTGTTCACATCTCTGCTTACCATGAGCCGCCTACTCTCTACGTCAAGACGGATGACCCAGACTTGCCAGCGTTCTACTTTGATCCCGTGATCCACCCAATCTCGTCCCGGTCGATCGAGGCCAAGAATGAAGTCATGCCGCACGAAGACGTTGTCTTTGGCGTCGGCGAGCAAGCTGACGACCAAGAGGATGACTTTGAGCTACCTGCTGGCGTTACCGCCTTCCTCGACGGAGAAGAGCTAGCCAATGACAACACTGCCGACGCTATCGCGCTCTGGTGGGCTCCTTGGCCTTACTCGCTAAGATCCGGTCGGACGATCCGGGCAATCGACATGCCTCTCATCAAGCAATGGTACATGGAACATTGCCCACCGGGACAGCCAGTCAAGATTCGCGTGTCTTACCAGAAGCTGCTCAAGTGCTACGTCCTCAACGAGCTCAGATCGAAGCCTCAGAAGCCCGTGCCTCGCAGGTCGCTTTTCAAGGAGCTCAAGGGTACCAAATTCTTTCAGACGACGACGCTTGATTGGGTCGAGGCCGGCTTGCAAGTCTGTCGACAGGGATACAACATGCTCAATCTGCTGATCCACCGCAAGAATCTCAATTACTTGCATCTCGACTACAACATGAATCTCAAGCCGATCAAGACGCTCACTACCAAAGAGCGCAAGAAGTCGCGCTTCGGAAATTCCTTCCACTGTGAGTCCTGCGAAAAGTCTATGCGCGTAAGCCTTGCTGAGCTATGCACAACCCAGTGATGAGAGAGATTCTTCGACTGACCAAGCTTATTGTCGATTGTCATGTGCAATACCGGCTGGGCAATGTCGATGCTTTCCAGCTCGCGGACGGCCTACAATTTGCTTTCGCTCACGTCGGACAGCTCACCGGCATGTATCGATACAAGTACAAGCTCATGAGACAGATCCGTATGACGAAAGATCTCAAGCATGTCATTTACACCCGCTTCAACACTGGGCCCGTTGGCAAAGGACCCGGTGTCGGGTTCTGGGCACCAGGCTGGCGAGTCTGGATATTCTTCCTGCGCGGCATTGTCCCACTTCTTGAGAGATGGCTCGGCAATCTGCTAGCTCGTCAATTCGAAGGTCGAAACAGCAAGGGCATTGCTTCGACGATCACAAAGCAGCGTGTCGAGTCGCACTTTGATCTCGAGCTTCGAGCTGCCGTCATGCACGATATTCTGGATATGATGCCATCTGGCATCAAGCAGAACAAGAGCAAGACTATTTTGCAGCATACGTCTGAAGCTTGGCGCTGCTGGAAGGCCAATGTGCCTTGGAAGGTGCCTGGTATGCCTGTCGCCATTGAGAACATCATCTTGAGATATGTCAAGCAAAAAGCAGACTGGTGGACTTCTGTCGCTCACTACAATCGCGAGCGAATACGTCGAGGCGCCACCGTCGACAAGACAGTGTCGAAGAAGAACCTAGGTCGATTGACTCGATTGTTCCTCAAGGCGGAACAAGAACGTCAGAACTCCTATCTCAAGGACGGCCCCTACATTTCTGCTGAAGAGGCGGTCGCCATCTACTCAGCTACGGTGCACTGGCTCGAATCGCGCAAATTTGCGCCGATCCCGTTCCCGCCGCTCTCGTACAAGCACGACACGAAGCTCCTCGTCTTGGCGCTCGAGAAGCTCAAAGAGGCATACAGCGTCAAGGGGCGACTCAATCAGTCTCAGCGAGAAGAGCTAGCGCTTATCGAGCAGGCTTACGATGCGCCTCATGAGACGCTCTCTCGGATCAAGCGACTCTTGCTCACTCAGCGTGCATTCAAGGAGGCCGCGCTTGAGTTCTTTGATACTTACCTGACTCTTATTCCCGTCTATGACATCGAGCCGATGGAGAAGATCACGGATGCCTATCTCGATCAGTTCCTCGCATTCGAGGGCGACAAGCGAGGTCTGTTCCCGGCGTGGATCAAGCCTGGCGATTCTGAGCCGCCACCCCTGTTGGTCTACAAGTGGTGCCAAGGCATCAACCAGCTCGATCAAGTCTGGGAGACGAGCGAGGGCGAATGCAATGTTCTCATGGAGACCAAGCTTAGCAAGGTCTACGAGAAGGTCGATCTGACATTGCTCAATCGACTCTTGCGACTTATCATGGACCACAATTTGGCCGACTACATCACGGCCAAGCAGAACATCGTGCTGACCTACAAGGATATGTCGCATACCAACTCGTACGGCATGATCAGAGGTCTGCAATTCTCGGCGTTCGTCTACCAGTACTATGGTCTCGTGCTCGATCTGCTCATCCTAGGTCTGCAACGCGCTTCGGAGATGGCAGGACCGCCGCAGTTGCCCAACAACTTCTTACAATGGCAAGATACTGCTACAGAGACGCGACACCCTATCCGTCTATACTCGCGATATGTCGATGTCATTCACATCATGTTCCGCTTTACTGCCGACGAATCGCGGGACCTCATCCAGCGATATCTCAGCGCAAATCCTGACCCAAACAACGAGAATCTCATCGGCTATAATAATCGCCGCTGCTGGCCACGTGATTGTCGAATGCGACTGATCAAGCACGATGTTAACCTTGGTCGAGCTGTCTTCTGGGACATCAAGAATCGCCTGCCTCGTTCGCTGACAACCATCGAGTGGGATGACACCTTTGTCTCAGTCTATTCGAAAGATAATCCTCAGCTACTCTTTGCGATGTGCAATTTCGAAGTGCGAATCCTGCCAAAGATTCGCAACCTCAACGAAGAATTCACACTACGAGACGGTGTCTGGAATCTGTCAAACGAGGTCACGAAGGAGCGAACGGCTCAGGCCTTCCTGCGCGTATCGGATCGCGGGATCGAGCAGTTCACGAATCGTATCCGGCAAGTGCTGATGGCGTCCGGCTCAACAACCTTTTCGAAGATCATCAACAAGTGGAACACGACGATCATTGGACTCATGACTTACTATCGCGAAGCCGTAATCCACACCAACGAAATGCTCGATCTACTTGTCAAGTCAGAGAACAAGATTCAGACCCGAGTCAAGATTGGCTTGAACAGTAAGATGCCATCGCGATTCCCGCCGGCTGTATTCTACTCGCCAAAGGAGTTAGGCGGTCTTGGCATGCTTTCGATGGGCCATGTCTTGATACCCCAATCTGACCTTCGTTGGAGCAAGCAAACCGACGCTGGCATCACTCACTTCCGCGCTGGCATGAGTCATGAAGAAGATCAACTCATTCCCAATTTGTATCGCTACATTGCGCCATGGGAGGCCGAATTCCTCGATTCAGCCCGCGTGTGGGCGGAGTACGCAACGAAGCGTCGCGAAGCTAATGCGCAAAATCGGCGACTTACGCTCGAGGATCTCGAGGACAGCTGGGATCGCGGTCTGCCGCGTATCAACACATTGTTCACGTTGGTCTTTGACTCCACAAATGTTATCTGCTCTGACTCTTTGTGCAAATCACAGGAAGGATCGCAATACGCTTGCTTACGACAAAATGTGGCGTCTGCGAGTCGATTGGAAGCAATACCAATTGCCAAAAGCCAATCCATTCTATTGGACGAGTCAGCGCCACGACGGCAAGCTCTGGCAGCTCAACAATTATCGAGTCGATGTCATTGCTGCCCTTGGCGGTGTTGAAGGTATCCTTGAGCATACATTGTTCAAGGGCACCGGTCATCCCACGTGGGAAGGTCTCTTCTGGGAAAGGTGCGCGCAAATCTTGCTTCAGTCGATCCGTAGCTGACTGTCTGTTGCGCTCGCAGAGCATCCGGATTCGAAGAGTCGATGAAGTTCAAGAAGCTCACGAATGCGCAAAGATCCGGTCTCAATCAGATTCCGAATCGACGTTTCGTAATGTGGTTCAGTCCGACTATCAACAGAGCGAATGTCTACGTCGGCTTCCAGGTTCAGCTTGATCTGACGGGCATCTTCATGCACGGTAAAATCCCGACGCTCAAGATTTCACTCATTCAGATCTTCCGAGCGCATCTGTGGCAGAAGATTCACGAATCAGTGGTCATGGATCTCTGCCAGGTCTTTGACCAGGAACTCGAGGCGCTGCAGATCGAGACGGTACAGAAGGAGACGATTCATCCCAGAAAGTCGTACAAGATGAACAGCAGCTGTGCCGACATCCTGCTTTTCTCGTCGTACAAATGGAACATAACCCGGCCCTCGTTGTTGACGGACAATCGGGATGTCTTGGAAGGCGTCACGTCCAACAAGTACTGGATCGACGTGCAGCTGCGATGGGGTGACTTCGATTCTCACGATATCGAACGGTATGCTCGTGCCAAGTTCCTCGACTATACGACCGACGCTTCCAGCATCTATCCCAGCCCGACTGGTGTCTTGATCGCAATCGATCTCGCGTATAACATGTACTCGGCATACGGTCACTATTTCCCCGGCATGAAGCCTCTCCTGCAGCAGGCGATGGCAAAGGTTATGAAGGCCAACCCGGCGCTGTTCGTCTGTCGAGAGCGCATTCGCAAGGGTCTGCAGCTGTACAGCTCGGAGCCCACCGAGCCTTACCTCACATCAACGAATTATTCGGAGCTATTCAGCAATCAAGTCATTTGGTTCGTCGATGACACGCAAGTCTACCGTGTCACGATTCACAAAACCTTTGAGGGCAACTTGTAAGCAGTCTCAACATTGCCAAATTATTTGCTCATGCTCGGTATCTGTCATACAGGACAACAAAGCCTATCAATGGCGCTATCTTCATCTTCAATCCGCGAACTGGCCAGCTTTTCCTCAAGATCATTCACACCTCAGTCTGGGCAGGTCAGAAGCGTCTTGGACAGCTCGCAAAGTGGAAGACCGCGGAAGAAGTCGCTGCGTTGATTCGTTCGCTGCCGGTTGAAGAGCAACCTAAGCAGATCATCGTCACGCGTAAGGGCATGCTCGATCCACTCGAAGTACATCTTCTCGACTTCCCTAACGTCACGATCAAGGGCTCCGAGCTGCAGCTACCCTTCCAGGCAGCGATGAAGCTTGAGAAGTTTGGCGATCTCGTCCTGCGAGCCAGTCAGCCTCAGATGGTGCTATCGTCACTCTACGACGATTGGCTCAAGTCAATCTCGAGCTATACGGCCTTTTCGCGTCTCATCTTGTTACTGCGTGCACTGCATGTTAACAACGAGAAGACGAAGATCATCCTGCGACCGAATAAGACGACGATCACCGCGCCTCATCATGTCTGGCCAACGCTTGAAGATGAGGAATGGATGCGCGTCGAGATTGCACTGCGCGATCTCATCCTGGCGGACTATGCCAAGCGGAATGCTGTCAATACTGCCTCGCTCACATCGTCTGAAGTGCGAGACATCATTCTCGGGATGGAGATCCAAGCACCTAGCATTCAGCGCCAGCAGATGGCGGAGATTGAAAAGTCGGCAGAGCAAGCTGCTCAAGTCACTGCCCTGCAGACCGAAACGGTCAACAAGCATGGTGACTCGATCATCACAACCACGACGACCAATTATGAGCAGCAGACCTTCTCGTCAAAGACAGACTGGCGCATCCGTGCAATCAGCGCAACGAACATTCCGCTTCGTCTTCAGCACGTCTACGTTTCGAATGAGGACATCAAGGAAGAATTGCCAACACTCGTGTTGCCGCAGAACGTTCTCAAATCGTTCGTGTGCGCAGCCGATCTGCGGACGCCTATCGCTGCCTTCCTGTTCGGTCAAGTCGCGCCTGACAACAGTCGAGTGGTCGAGGTGAAGGCTTTAGCGATGGTGCCTCAGCGAGCCAGCCAGCGCTCTATCGAGCTCCCTGCGAGCTTGCCGAACCATCCTCTCTTGGGCGACCTCAAGATTGTCGGCGTGATCAACACTCAGTCACAGGATTCACAGAATTTGCAGCCGAACGATGCTATCATGTTCGCCAAGCTGATGGAACAGCATCCCGAGATTGACGGCTCAAGTCTCTGGCTGACGGTCGCCTTCACTCCTGGCTCGCTGTCCCTGTGCGCATATGCTCTGACGCCCAAGGCATTCGAATGGGGACGGAATGCAGATCCTTCGGCGCCAACAGGCTACAATCCTGCCAGTATGACCGAGCGAGCTCAATTGCTCATTAGCCCAAAGATCCTCGGCAGCACTTTCGTGCCAACTGGCGATGTCTGGAACTACTCGATTGGTCTCGGTCCCCAGTTCTCGACGTCTATGACTTACACGATGACGCTCGCCGGCTCGCCTGCGCCTTACTATGCTGCACAGCACCGGCCCCAGCACTTTTCGCAATTTGTACGTCTTCTCATGCATGTGACGCATGCATTGCTGATCCTCTGGCGCCACAGGTTGCTGCTGGATCAGAGGACGTCATCGATAGCGACCTCCAGGATGCCTTTGCGTAGGCTCCCAGTATGTCTATATGCATGATGACTTGTTGCAATGCTACAACAGAAAGTTGCGCGTTCGGCCAAAGAAGGCATTGGACAAGCCTGACTGATTGATCATGGAGCCTGCGAAATGGCTGATAAGTCCCATCGCCCTAGCGCGTCTGACGGCTTTGCCCATTCTCCGCTGACTCTTCCAGCTGAGACCCGTGGCTGCGCGTGTCTGTATCTTGCCGACTTGGGTCAGATAGTGCGAATGCAAGAGCGGATTGGTGGGCTCCTTGAGCGGATTGATGCCGAGGTGCATGAAGGGATCGGACAGATGGACATCTGCCTTCTTGGGACCCATCTCATGTCGCTTCCTCCGGACAGGCTTGTTGTCCTTGAACATTTTCTTGGGCCCCAGATCTTTGGACGCAAAGACCTGTCATCAAGGTTTGTCTGAGCGCATGCGACCGTGCTTGCATCGAGTAGAGCTGACCTGGTACGGCTTGATCTTGTTCTCTGTGGGTATCGTCTTGCCATCGCTGGCCAGGCCTGCTAGCCGTTCTGCAAGAGAGTTAGCTCGATCTCTGCTGAAGACGGGTGGGACTTACTCGACAGATCTTGGCCTGTGAGCGATCTCCTGCTACATGTGCATGTTGGCAGAGGCCTGACGAGCCTTGGAACCTGCTGGCCGAGCCTCAGCGACATGTCGCCGTCGTCGCCCAGTCGTTGAAAATCGCGGCAGTCGTGCAGTCGCGGCGCTCTTTCTTTCACTTTCTCTGTGGCTCTGCGATCAGGCAGCTGTACCAAGTCATCGGCTCATCATGCAACGTCATCGACTGGAGCGGGCTCTACCTTAGACACCGCTACTCGAGGCTTAGCAGGGGCTCATCGACATGTCAATCAAAATGCCGGCGAGCGTTCGCCCCCGTGCGGCTCGCTCTTGCAAGTCACCCGAGACAGCCAGGGGTCAGACCCACAAGGCGATCTGGTTCGTTCACGATGCATCAAAGTCACTCACGTCATCGCGACTGTGCTGTTCTTCGCCGCATGGCACAAGATAGCCTGAAAATATTGAGCACAATCTCAAGCCTATTTTCGACCTGTACACAATACTCATGATATCACTGGAGGGAAGCTTCGAAGTGCACGAGATTTAACTCCAGTATAACAATCTATTTCAAGGTAAGGTCACAAGACTGTACGGCTGTTGGTAATTGAGCACTGCTTGGTTTTCGGCAGTGTTGCAGACACGACACAGTCCGTTGAGCTCGCGAGTTTGCGAGCGATTAGTGCATGGCGCCTTCACGCATCTGATTCGACCATCTGTCGAGTGCTGATGTTGCAATGCGATCCAAGTCGGCAAGAGAAAGATTGATGCTGCAAAGTCCCGCTTGCTGAGACGAAGATCTTCGACAATAAAATTGAGAGCAATGTCGGAAACCCGGAAATTGTTCTCGAGACGGGCTGCCCGCGATCTTGTCGTTCAGGCCGAGCAGGAATGTGCGGAGCTTCCAGTCGAGCAGACCGGGCAGCACGAAGTGGAGGCGCAGGAAGGGCAAGCCGTCTTGAAGATCTTCTTCCTTCAACTCCGACCACGCTTGCTGGACGTCAAAGCTATTTCGAAAGACCGTCCAGGGGCGGATATCCATCCATTCCATCAACTGATTGTAACGCAATCGTGTCACTGTGGCAACGAGCAAAGGATCAACGCGGTCAATGACGCTCCGTTGGAACTCACCGAAAGCTACGCGAAGGAGGTGCTCTAGGGTATAATACCTTCCTTGACGATGTACATGATCGTGAATAAGTGTCAGCAGGTACCCCACTCAACTCCACATCTTGCATCTTGAAGATGATAGCTCCTGGGACGATACCAGAAGCACTTGAATCGGATGCCGACGTGGAATCCGTTGCGACCATCTCGCGCCACGTCGTGATCGAGCCCTTATTTCGGATGCCCGGCCAANCTAGTTTCCTCTGTCCAGCCAGACAGCCGACAGCTATTCCACGTCCAGCCCGACGTGGCGATTTCACCTTCGGCGAGCGTATTGAAGCACGATTCCCTCCTGACCGGACTCGATTTCTTGCTAGTCTCGATGGCGCTATCTGTTATCCGGATTCTGCAAGCGTCGTGTAGCGCATAGTGGGTTCTGCCTCGAACAGATTCCGGAAACGGCGGCGATAACAGATAGCGCCATCAAGACTAGCAAGAAATCGAGTCCGGTCAGGAGGGAATCGTGCTTCAATACGCTCGCCGAAGGTGAAATCGCCACGTCGGGCTGGACGTGGAATAGCTGTCGGCTGTCTGGCTGGACAGAGGAAACTAGGTTGGCCGGGCATCCGAAATAAGGGCTCGATCACGACGTGGCGCGAGATGGTCGCAACGGATTCCACGTCGGCATCCAATTCAAGTGCTTCTGGTATCGTCCCAGGAGCTATCATCTTCAAGATGCAAGATGTGGAATTGAGTGGAGGCAAGAAAATTTTGGCCTTTTTACAGCCTCATTCAGCTCCGCGTCGAGGGCACCCCAACGAACACCCTTATTATTCTTGCCTTCGGAACGGAGGCGCGCATGCATTGGTGGCTTCGCATCGAAGTCATCTCATCAAGCAGCGTTTGTCTGCTGGCGCCCTGTGCGAAGACGCGGGTGAGTCGGAATAGCTTCGCGTCACGCGTCAAATGCATCCATCGTCCATCTTTCTTTGCATGCTCTCGCATCGAAGGCGCGAGATGTGTGGTGGCTTCGGCTCGATCTCACCTGACGAAGCATTCTCTGTTTGGCTTATACCAAAGCAAAGGCGCGAAAACGTCACGTCTCCATAAGTTCCCCGAGTTTCCCCACTGGCTTTGCCAGCGGCGAGTGCATCTTTCGCGGACGACGCGAATGTAAAGTCGCGCCCAACTTTCGAATCTCTCGCACCTCCGCTCGCCGCAAGAATTGGTCGACAAACCGCCTTTCTGTCAAGATGACCAGGTGCGTGCTCTCTGTGTGAGAAGGCAAAAAAAGAGAGAGAAGCCTGTGGGAGGCGAGCGTGGATGCGATGATCTGGGCCGAATCCTCCGAATTATGCGGAGGAATACTCTAATATGCGGTGACCGGAGAGCAAGTCGCTTAAGGATAGCGAGACGCAAAGGATCGACCTAAGCCGCCGCCTCCGACATGTCGCCTCCGCCCTTCGCTGCTCGGCTTTGACTCCATCTCCACTTGGCAACTCAGCACGGGAGTGAGCGACCCAGCCTTAGCGCCATCAGCTGGTGGTCGCTCCTCCCTTCGCTCTTGGTCAGCCCAATCTTCTACTCCGCGCTCGTGTGACTCTGCTAATGCTTAGCCTGCTCTGTAGGCACTCGCTCGACCGACTCTGGTCGCTTGGTCTGCTTTCACAGCGCGTCAAGATTGCCGACCAGCAATGATTGCATTCCTTTCTCACATTTCGCGTGCTTTTCGCTCCGTACGACCCAGCGCAGGATTGTCGCTGAGTTCTCGTGTTATCACACGACGGCTCAATGTCAGTGTATCGGACCCTCAGTGTATCTCTCGCGCCGATAGCTCATCCATCCGTGATCAGCCTTTGTCTGCACCGCTTCGTTCAGCGCTCTCGGAGTCACCTGAGCTCTGCCTTGCTCTCTCACAGAATTGTGCTAAGACTGTGGCATGATGTCATTGAGAGTGTCGCGCTTGAGTCGGCGTCCACTGCGCGCGTGAGCTTGTGCGAGTTGCAGTCGGTCGTGGCATGCGAGATCCGCAGGGTCTGTACATCCTCACTCAGACACTAGAGGCGACACTACTACCAGATGCTGCCGTCCGAGCTGCGGCAGAGAAGCAGCTGCTCGAATGGGCAAGACGAGACGCTGATCCTCACGCTGTCTTCTACGAATGTCTGCTCGATATCGTCGCCGCCAGGGACCATGTCAGCCTGGGAGCTCGCACACAGGCCATGCTCATCTTCAAGAACGGTGTTGAGAAGTACTGGCGCAGATCATCCGACCGGTGAGCGACTTTCCGCATTGACGAGCTCTTTGCTGTCGTCAGGTGTACACCATGCTCATGGGGCACCTCTTTGCCGCTTACAGTGGCCTGCCCCAGAGTACCAAGATCAAGCTGAGACGTCAGCTGCTCAGTCTCATCGAGGAACCAGATCGCTCAGTCCGTTTGCTCGCCAGACTTTGAGCTCTGTGGCTCACCCTTGCTGTCCCTGTCCAGATTGCCAATACGCTCTCGCTCTGCATTGGCAGGGTCGCGAGACATGACTATCCGTCAGAATGGTGCGTGTTCACTAGCCACAAAAGAGCCTTGTGTCAATGAAGCGTCGCACACAGGCCGACGTTGCTCACGGACCTCCTGTCTATCTTGGCTCAAGGCGATCAGCAGACTCTCCGCGCGACCCCTTCGCTGCTACTTCAGCGAACGTTGCAGACTCTCTTCCAGGTCGTCAAGCTTCTGGCAACGAGCACGCTCGCAAGGGGACGTCAGATCGCAGAATCCGCAAGTCTCTCGCCCCTTTGCGCGATGCGCGTTGACCCACTTCAAACGATAGCTCGGAGAGGACCTCTTTCGGCCGGTCCATGCGCTCCATGAGCGCTTGCGAACGTCGTGGGATGCTTTGCTCAGCTCAGGTGGAATGGCCGACGAAGCACTCGCTGTGCAAACCGCGCTGTCATGTCAGACTTACAAGATCCTCTCAAAGCTCGTCATATTCGGCTGGAAACAGCAACGCGAGTCCGAGCTTTGCCGTGTGCGCTACCAGTCTCAGCCGCTCTTGGCTCGTTACTGTCCTCCAAGGCTGATCAGTCAGGCGAGTGCTTTAGGCCTTTTATCATTCGTCTATCGAGAGCTTGCCAAAGATCGTCGCATTACGAAGAGCTTTTGTGGAAGCCTTGACAGCCGCAAAGGGTGATCACATACTCAACAACACTACTTACAATCTTTTGGAATCCATCACGCGCATATGTCTTGCAAACGCAAAGTTCTTCCGCAAGTTCTGGATACACCGCAAGTCAGAGCTGTACGCGATGGGCAGCATTGACGCGATGATGTCGAATCTGTGGCTGCTTGTCGAGCATGCTAGCACGGACATCGAGGCTCTCGTATCAGGTCAGACCGATCTGACTGATCCCACTCGTCGATAGCTGATAGCGCTTACTGACAGATCAAGTGACTGCCATATACCCAGAAAGACTGCTCGTACAAGGTCTGATCACGCTGTCACTTGTCTTCGGCGAGCCTCCCCAAGACATGGCCCGTAAGTGACTGCAGTCCCTGTACGCACGCGAAGCATGACCGAGTCACAGCAGAAATGTCGGATGCAAATTTCGCTCTTCACTTTACACGGACAATCGCGACGAAGCTCTTACCGCTCACAGATGGTGACATTGCGGCCTACAACGATGACGCAGAGGCCTGGCTCAACGAGGAGGAGGCTGACCGATGGGAATACAACCTCCGGCCAGCATCTGCGCATCTTTTCTCCATTCTTCTATCAAGATACCCTCGCGGCTGTGCTGCCACGCTCGAACTCTTAGCGCAGTCTAGCCAAAGTTCGTGTCTGGCTGACTCGCTTTGAAAGCTCTGAACGGAGACAGGAAAACAGATGACGAGAGCTCGAGTGCTTCTCGGCAAAGAGAGGCATTGTACTACGCCTATGGTCTAGGACCCACTGCATTGGGACCCTACTGCAACATCATTCGCATGATCAATGATAGCATTCAACGAGACGCCCTTACTATCGAGCCAGGGTGCGCATTCAGATGTACTTACCTAATGCGCAGCTCACGAGCTGGCTAACAGGACAGCGCTCCTCCGACGACGCATAGCATGGCTGCTTGGCGCGTGGCAAGAGCTCGAATTGTCGTCCGACGAGCTGCAAGCCATATACCCCCTTCTGGTGCATCTCGTCGTTCCCGGTCCAGGCAGAGATATCGCTGTCAGACTCAGCGCCGCAAAGAGCCTCAACGAATGCAATACCTGGCGCTTCTCGGAGATCCTATTCGAACCGTTCCTACCGCCTGCAATCGCCGGCCTGACATCGCTGCTGGCAATCGTCACGAGTCAAGAAGGACAGAGCAAAGCTATAGATGCCCTTGGCAATATCGTGGCCCGCATGGGCACTAGAGTAGGTTGCAACTGTGCGAGCTGATCCTAAGTGCTCATTCGCTTGCAGGTCACTCCCTACGCTCAAGAGCTGCTTCAGGTCTTGTGCAAGCTTTGGAGCCAAGACATCAACAGCCTACTGCGGATTTCGATCGTTGTGGCGGCTACCAAGCTTGTGCAGGCATGTAGACTGCCGGCGCAGATCGAGAGCGCCAAAGCTGATGTCTTTGTCGCAGGCTGTCGAGACCGATTCGGAAGGTCTGCATGAGCCTCTGATGACCATCTTGCATCAGTGTCTCGTCGTCGTGCCGCTGCCTTCCCCTGAGACCCGGCGCAGGATGCCTGGCGAGGCCAAAGCACCCGGGCTTAGCTATCTGCACGAGGACGCGCTCGAGTTGCTTCGCGAGCTAGTCGCCCAATCGAACGAAGCGACTTCTTCCCTCCGTACCCTCATACCCGTCGTTATCAGCATCATCGCATCAGCCACGGACACGTTGCTGCTCGGCCTCGAAGTCATCAAAGGTTACTGCTGGCTTCAGCCATCATGTCTGCTGCCTCATCTGCCGAGTCTCTGCGCTGCTTTCGACGACATCGTCGAACTGCTCTACATTCGACGCGACCTCAAGCCTTTGCTGCATTGTCTGAGCATCATCATCAAGACCCAACAGAGCGCTGTCTGGGCGCCCGATACCGCGGCTTTCCTTTTGGCGCGGCTTGCAGCTCTGCTCGAACGCGAGTACACTGAGACGCCGATTGTCGTGCAGCTGTCGATTTGCTTCGCTCGCTTCTTTGTGTCCGATCCTTACACTAGCATCGAGCTGTGCCAGCGCATAGACGCACTAAGCGCGAAAGAGCCGGGTCATGCCTTGCGCCTAATCTTGCGCACGTGGAGCAGCAAGGTGAGCATGTGACTCCTGCTCACGCAGCGCGCTGATGACTCCTTGACCAGTTTGACAACTTTGCAGAAGCGCGGCACCGCAAGCTGGTTGCGTTAGGCATGTCGGGAGCTATCAGCACAGGCAGCACGGTTGCGCTTTCGATGCTCGCCGAACTCGTTCCTGCTCTCAACGATGCACTTGCCGAGACGGAAGAGACGGCAACAGGAGAGTAAGCACCCTGCGTTGAACTGTCGATGCAATGCTGAGTCTTTGTCTCCGTGATAGCGCGGATGCATACAAGAGTGGCTCCCCGGACGGTACGGATCTTGGCGACTTTCTAGAAGCCGAGAAATCTGCGCAGGCTGTCCGCAGACAGGCGTATCTGCAATATGATCCGGTCCATTCGCGCAGACTGATGACGAGTATCTCGAACGACTTTGCATCTGCCCAAAGGGCCGCCGGCGGCCTCTTCGAGCAAGCATTGGGTCAAGTCGACGAATACTCGATCGGCGAGCTAAAGCAGAGATTGTCAGGACGATTGCAGGGCTAGGCCACTAGTCCTCGCATTGGTAGACAGGGACGCTGCCCTCCCTAGTCCTCGCATTGGTAGACATGGACGCTGCCGTCGTCACCGGCACTGGCAAGCAAGAGATGCACACCCGGCCAACGGGCATCATGGTCTGACTGTGGTTCGTCATCCGAGTCTTCGTCACTGGATGCATCTCGTCTCCTCGTCTTGCTAGGCTGGAAGCGGCAGAACGATACTGCGTTGACGTCTGAGACGCCGTGTGCTTGCTCTATGCTATCTGCGAGGTCGACGTGACAGACGGTTTCTTCACCTTTGCCGGTCGATGACTGCTTAGACGTCAGTGTCAGAGCTAAGAATATTTCAGGAATACTCACTGCACGCCATATCGCTATTCGTCCATCGCCGCCTCCTGTAGCGAGAATGCCAAGCGATTTTGAGCCACTGGTTGCTGCAGATGAGGTGGCAGTCCAGTCCACAGAGTAGATGCATCGCTCGTGAGCTTCGTCGATGACCTTGACGCACGTCCACTTCTCTTTCTCACTCCTGCCCACTCGAAAGGCTGAGCTCAGACCCGTGTTCGTGATTCGTGTGCGATGCCAAATTCTGAGGGAGCGATCGTCCGAGACGGTAGCGAGGTAGTCGCCATCGGGCGAGAACGCAAGTGACCATACCGTTGATGTATGGCCTCTGAGCGTATGACATACAAGCCACTCGTCATCGTCTTCTGATGCTGCGTACATCAGGATGGTATCATCGTAAGATGCAGATGCGAGCAATTCCTCTTTGGGGTGCCAGGCGATGTTCTTTACATCCTGCGAGTGATCCATCAGGACTGCCAAGCACTCAAAATCGAAGCTAGGCGTGGCTGTACAGCACAATGACCTCAGCATGCCTTCGCTTGCCGATCGGGCAAGTGCGACGTACATTCCCAGACCCAAACTGATTTATCACGCCCGCTTGTTGCGATGAGATTGCCATCGCTGTTCCACCGCACGGCCTTGACTTCGCTCTCGTGACCCTCGAGCGTGCTGACACACTCCCAATCCTTGTCTACCGCTTCGTCCTCCTCATCTCTCAGCTGGCCACCCGCGCGACCATCTGACTCGTCATTCACTGCATCCTGATCGATCTCCTCCCAGATAGAGACCGTCGTGTCGAATGAAGCTGTCGCAAGTGACCTCCCCTGGGGATGCCATGCGATATTGCGTACGGTGCGAGAATGGCCGGTCTGAATGGTGTTGAGCAGATTGAAGCGATAGGCTATCCTGCGTTTGCTTGCAGGCTGAGGTGGTGCCCCCGCATGGTCAGCCTCTTGCGAGTGGAGCAGATGGCCAGACCAGTCGGGCGAAAAGGCGTAGAGCCGCACCGTCTTATCGCCGGAGCAGGATGCGAGGATAGGACGAGTCGGATTCCACGCAACCGCCCATGCACGATCACTGTGGCCTGCAGGAGGTACGTTGAGCTGAGCAATGGGTCCCACATCCTCGACGACAGCCTCTGCGTACCTTCCAAGCTCGCTATGAGCTGCAGCATCGCACAAGACCGCAAGACCACTCGGCCAAAGTAGCGCAACTCGCCAGCGTCGCGACGAACAACTTTTCGACGAACATCTGCTCGACCTTTCAGCCAGATGGAGGGCCCAGTAGCGTCCACGTCAGCGCTCATCAATGGCGATAGCAACAAGTCAGCCCCAAAGATGATCCCCGTCCGACTCAGAACGACGACGAGCCAGTACAAGATCCCCGAGTCACAATATCTCGTACCGGCGGATTGGCGACGGTATCAGCTCTCAGAACTCATCAACAAGGTCGTCGGCACAGGCAAGGCACTCCTTGCTTGCAGCCACAACCTTGCTGACAGCCGCGAGTGCTTGCAGACGCGCCCGTGCCCTTTGACTTTATCATCTCTGATGAGCTCCTCAGAACGAGCTTGGAGCTCTACCAGCAAGGCAAGGGCTTGACAGAGGTACGCCACCGATGATCTCTGCTTCCATCTGAACTCACGTGCTACGGCAGGAAAGCGTGCTCGATATCGAATATGTCGAATCAACTTTGCCGCCTCAACGTCTTTCTGCTTTCCAAGTCGACGACTGGATATCAGACATTGACTCGAGCAGACCAGGGTATGCTCTCCTCTATGAGCATCATTTGCATGCCTCACATAGTCTCTGCAGGTACTTCCTTGCATCGTCCTACTCTTCACAAGTGCACGTCTACTCGTCAAGTGCCGAAAAGCTCGTTACGCTCTCCGGCATGACTCAGAGCGCTCTGTCAACTTGCTGGCTTAGCAATACTACCGGTAATAGATACGACTATATTGCTGCCGGCGGCATGGATCGCATTGGCAGAGTCTGGCGACTCGATCGCTCCAACATAGCGACGACCGCGCGCGACGCGTTTTTGCTGCCTCTGCACACTGCGCCTATCTCGTCTGTCAGATCAGCAGGACCGAGTGCAAACGGTGATAGAAGGCTTCTGACAGCGGGTTGGGACGGTCTCGTTGCTCTCTGGACATTGAGAGACGGCCAGAAGGAAGACGATGCAGAAGCAATAGACACAGACCCCGATAATCTTGCTCGCAAGAAGCGTCGCAAGCAGAACGGCACGAGCAGTGCACCAATACGCAAGGCACCGACGCATGTGTTTCATTCCCACAAGGGCGCTGTCACGCGAGCTATCTTCGATCGACAAGACAACAATGTCGCTTACAGTGCTGGCTGGGATCATACCGTGAAGACATGGGATCTTGAGACAGGCAGCGAGGCCTCGTCAAGGGTACGCACTCTTTGCTGAGCCTATATGCACACTGCTCATGCGAAGGAGCCAGAGCTCGGACAAGGTCATAACCGATCTGGACCAGATGGCAAGCAAGAATTTGCTCGTTACAGGCAGTACAGATCGACTAGTATGCTTCTGGGACTCGCGCGAAGCACTGTCGACGATCTCATTGACGCTATCGGGTCACAAGTCACAAGTCTCATCTGTTCGTGCTCACCCCATCTCGCCTCTGCTTGTCGTGAGCGCCTCGTTCGACTCGACCATGCGGATATGGGACGCGCGATCACCTAAGCAAGCACTCTTTACAATACAACGCGAGGCGAAACCTGCCTCGGCGGACAGCAAACCTGTGCCTGGAATAGGTGACAAGATTCTCAGCGCAGCATGGGATGGCCAGATCATTGCGAGCGGTGGAGAGGACAAGCAGATACAGTTGCATCGTACAAATGTCAACACTTAGCAATGCAAGTCTACATGTCGCTCGCACCATCCGAGTCCCAATCAAGGCTCTCCATAGCGGCTTCTGTCTCTGCGTGAAGCTTGTCTAGACCTGTCATCCTTTCCAAAGCTTTGCCGTCTGCGCAAACGTCGAGCACCATCTCGAAGCCACGTTTGAGATATTCATTGACAATCTGTGCTGCGTCAGATATGCAGCTCTTGCGCCGAGCAAGGTGCGTACCGTCTGGCTGCAGCCTGTGCACTTGTCATATGCTTGTCCGGTGATCTTGAGCGTCTCAAACCGGCCCAGCATGCCGCGGAGCTGATGTGGCACCAGGCCAAGGACAGACTGTGTATCTTGTTGTGCTTCCTGCCCCGGCAGTGGTACATCTGACAGTGCGTGTGCTCTGCAAGCCCGAATGAGAACTTGAGGAACACATAAAGATGGTTCCTTGCCCTTGAGGGTGCTGGAGAACAGAGCACATCAGTTCTACTGCCGTTGCAGATGCAATTGCTGCTAAGCCAGGCCGGGTGACTGTGCACATTTGGTCGAGCGTGCGATCTGTCAGAGACTGTCGCGCCGGATCAGCGGGCCCTACGTGCAGCACCGCCAGAGCTTACATCGATTGGCGCGACCAGATCCATGCAGTAGTAACAGCCGAGACGATCGAGATTGACGCCCGTCGATTGTGGCTTCTTTGTAGCATCCGCCGGCGGCAGCCCGTGTCGCATGACGAGGAACGAATCGAATCCTAGGGCTGCATTCATGACCAACTGTAGAATGCAGCGCTCAGCGATAGCACCGTGCTCGGGAATGGCAACGCACCCTGCCTTTGGCAGCGCCTAGCATGGTAGGCAGCCAGCGAGACTCCCGCGAGTCCATAAGAAGGTAGATCACGTCGTGCTCGTCGATGAGCCTTTCGAGCTTTTGTACAGTGGCGCGCGTATCCTCGACAGCTTTCGGAGGTACAGGATGACCAGGCATAGGTATAGACATGTGGATGCCAGTCGCATTGACGGCAGGATATATCCGTTTGAGCGCATCTGCTGCAGCTCCTGCTTTCGGCTTGCCGCCTTCTAGACAGTCTTTGAATTCGAAAAGCGGTTGTCTGACGGGATTGGAGAAAGACACAGTCGAGGAGTCGACGAGAGTGATCGTGCGTACTCCCCATGCCTGCTCGTGCAGCATCAGCGAAGCGTCAACAACACGACTTGACTGACCAGGAGGCTTCGCGATACATAGCAGCCGAGCGTGCCAGCGCCAAGAAGCAGGCATTTTGTCGTCTTGATCTTCTCGAGGTCGAGTTCTGGTAGTATCCTCCACCGCATAAGCTGTAAATTGAGATCGATTGCTTGATCCGCCAGTCTATGCAAGGCATTAGCTGCGTATTACAGCAAATCGTTAAATCTGACCTCGTAGGATCCATCATGGGGCCCAAGTCGGCAAGACGTGGTCCTAGCTTACCGGCTGCGTTCTTCTCCCATCCCACTGCTGCAGGTTGCTGTCCTGATGCCTGCGCATCTCTGCTGACCGTGATCGTTCTGGACTGAGGCGTGCCGTCACTAGCAGGCGCACGCAAAGCGATGACTGTGACTTTCCGAGCTTCAAAGGCTTCCGAGAGATAGGTGAGTACATTTCGAGCTGGCCAGCCGAGCGCACTTTCGTGGGCAGATGGGTCGACGAATGCAACCGTCGGCGCGTCACTCGCATCGAAGAATGTACCGAACTCGCTGAGCTTGCCCGCGACGAGTCTTCCCTGCACACTCTTAAGAAGACACGCGGCGCTGTCCTCTTGAGATTGCGCTGCCCAATCTGCCATTACTTGCGCGTGCGCGTGATCCTGTGGCGCGACATGAGACATGTAATGCGAGCACGAGAGAGCCCGCACCGCTTCGGCGTCGAGCGTTGTGTATGCAGAATCGCATTGCCATGCAGGCTGTGCGATGAATGAGGGGAAGCAGAACCAGTAGTAGTACTTGTATTTCTTCAGATCCGAAAATGTGAGGACATGGAAGGTGTTCAAGCTGTTTGCAGATGTAGGTCTCGTGGTGCAGGCCGCCCAGAGCTATGCAAGGGTCAGACGTGCTCCTCCCATGCTGCATCTGCTCACTTGGCTAGCGTAGGCCGCGAACAGCGCCGGTTTGTCTGCTGATTTGAACTCCTCAATGGTGTTGAAGTTCTTGAGAGTGCCTCGTAGCTGGACTTGTCGTTGCGTTGGCGGCCCTGCAGAGAAGCTCTGAGAGCCCAGCTCAGTCGAGGGTCGCAAGGGTATCGCTTTGCTTGTCTCCTTGTCGAGCAATCGTCTGCCCATGGTGTAGGTGCCCCATACGTCGATTGGCTTGTCATCCAGCTTGAGCACTTCGATCTTGAGCCGAGTGAGTTCGTGCCAGAAGCTGACGTCCAGCGATGACTCAAATGGCTCAAAGGCCAGCAAGGGCTTGCTCATAGGCGCGTTGTCAAGCGGATGAGCAGGCTGCTCCAGTAGGACGGCGCGGCGCGTCGCGATGCAATTTACAACACAAGCCCACACAGAGCGATGAGAGCCAGAAGGACAGCTGAGCGAGCGCCAGAGAGGTGCGGAGCATCACTCGACTGGCCACCGTTGTTGCCGGAGATGCTCGTGCTCGGTGTGCTGTTCGTACAGAGCTTGCTTTGAGCCTTGAGCGAAGCATCGACCGAGTCGCACGTCGTCGTCGTGAGCAGCTGCACACCGAATGACTTTGTTTCGAAAGAGCCGGTACCTGTCTGCACTTGTACACCGGCAGCAGCCGTCACAATGTAGAGATCCTTGGATACGCCCAGCGTCGTCACTGCTTCGCTCAGGACAGCCACGAGATCGCCCGTGACATCTGTCACTGAGCTGTGCGCCACGAGCGTGATGACTTCGTACGTCACAGATGGATCCGAATTCGTGTAGACGGTCCAAGTGCTGCCCAGAGCCGTCACAGAGCCATTTCGCGAGCCTGCTGGCGTGTAGCCTTGGGATGCCGTGGGAACGATAACGAGGTTGAATTTGCTAGTAGGGTCAGCTTGTTGTCCAGTGGCGTTGGTGTTGAGCCAGAGTGCGATGACGGCGCTTGCTTCCGAACTAGCGGCGTCGAAAGTGAAAGCCCAAGTGAGAGGCATGGACGTGATCGATCCTACAGACAGGCCAACAGCGGTTGCCTGGGCGTTTGCATATGACATTGGCGCTGGGCCCGGAAAATTTTGCCAGCTGGTCTTGTAGCTGCATCGATCATTGAGCCTCGGCCAGAGAGCGATTGTATCAATTTTGGAGACTTACCTGAGCAAGCCATCGTGGCATCCTGTTCCCTGAACAGTCTGATTTCCTCCTAATGAGCCGCTGGACAATCGGCGTCATGATCAAGTGTGGCAGCGAAGAGCAAATCTCTCACCTGAACAGATTGCTCTGCAGCTTGTACTGTAGCGAGCAGAGACCGAGCGCGTTGCCATTGGCTCCGGCCAAAGGCGCAGTGACGCCGCTGATCTGGCGCGGATGAAGCTTAGAGCGAGCTAAAACGAGTGTGGCACTGATCAGGGAAGCTAATAAGACGGTCCGCATTCTCGTCGAGATGATTGGCGAGCGAGCAACAGGTCAGGGAACCTGGATCCGTCGCGAGAGTGGGGTCGACACGTCAACGGCGGTCGCGTGCGTTACGAGTTGCAGAGTTGTCCGTGCGCGTCAGGCCTTGACAAAGAACGGGTGCCAAAGAGTGCGAAGCTCCTGCAGATTGCGAATGGTAGCATCGCCGGATTTCTCTGTCCCCTTGCCGTGTTCGTCGAACCAAACAGAAGAGGCGAAGCCCATGGCTTTGCTGCCCCGGATATTGAGTGCAGAGTCGTCCACAAAGTAGTGCCGGGAGACATCTGCTTGGTCCGTGTAGTCGATCGCCTCTTGGTAGAACTCGCGCTCTGGCTTGCAGCTGAAGGTCGGATGTGCATAGTTGCATGAACAGACACCTTCAAATTGGTCTATGACGCCCAGGAGCGTCAGAACGCGAGTTGCATGATGGTGATACGCGTTCGTGAGAGCCCAGACTCTGACCTTGCTGCGATCCAAGTCTTGCAGCAGCCGACGAAGCTGAGGATCAGGCTTGAGTATCTCTTCGAGTGGCAAAGCGCGATCACACTTTGCATCATAGTCGAGCGGATCTATCTTGTGATGCCTGACCAATCCGCGTATAGCGAGCCCATACTCGGTGTAGTATCGATGGTGCAGCTCAGTCGCCTCTTGCTTGGGGAAGCCGAGATCTGCACAAGGCACGTTGGCTTTGAGCGCGTCACGATGGAGAGCTGCTTACGTTCGAAGTAGGCTTGGATGAGTGTGCCCATGCGTTGATCTATGCCTGCTGATCTCGAGTAGCAGCAATTGTCGATATCGAACCATATGATCGCCTTGTCTTGCCACTGCTCGGGTCGCGGCTGCAATCTGGTCAGATTGACCGTTCGAGAGCTCTCTGGTGAGCCATTCGTGTGACTGCTGGCTTCATGCGATGCGTGACTGCCGTCTCGAGTCGGTGGGGCAGCACTCCTGTCTGCGTGCAGCGTCATGATCAGAGGCTGACAGCTTTGTGATGTTGCGAATTTCGATTGCAAGTCGCGTTCGGCCGCAGTCTGCCCGTCGCCGCCGCTGCGCACAGCTGCTGTTGTAGCGCACTATGCTCACTGCTGCGACTCGAGCATAGTTCATCGTCATAGTGCTCTCCTCGGACGAGCATCGCTGGCCATACAGCCGCGTCTCGAGCCTAGAAAGACTCTCAACACAGCATCGCCGTTCCCGTTCTAGCCAGTCTATACAGCCGCCATGATGAGCGGTGAGCCGCTGTTAGGACACCCCAACGGCGGATCTCGACACACAACACCACTCACGCGAGTATCAGACCTGATCAACGTCCTCCGCGCTCGCAGGCGGATCGTTCTACCCACTATCGCGCTCTTTGCGCTCATCTGCATCTACACCTTCAAAGGCTCGGACAGCCTCCAGCTAGCCGAGCAACTGCCTTACCTCAGCCTAGAAAACTTCCAGCATCCCATACCCGAGCTCATCAAGGCAGCCAAAACAGAAGTCGATCGACGGGAGCGGCAACGGTCAAAGTCGCTCAAAGAGGCAGTTCACACCTACAAGGCGCTCTACAAGCGAGACCCGCCAAAAGACTTTGAGAACTGGTATGCGCTGTCGATGCAGTTGCACTCGAAGCGAATCGATACCTTTTCGGACATCTATGACTCTACTTTGCCGTACATGTCCATGCCGCCTAGCGAAGTCAGAGCGCGTCAGGAAGCTCTTTCTGGCTTCGGCAACATCGGTCGCGTGCGCGTCAGGGATGGCAAAGTCATCCGCTACGACGCCATGGACGCAGACATACGTGGCGACAATGTCGATTCGCGCAAGGCTGTAGAAGAAATGCTCGTCGAGCTTGCCGATCGTTACAACGTCGTCTTGCCTGACTTTGACATGCTCATCAATGGCTTCGATCAGCCACGTATGATCATGCAGTATCGCTTGCGGCGGCAGCTTGAAGAGAGAGCAGAAGCAGGCAAGGTGAGAGAGCTGGATCCAGACGAGAAAGTCAATTGGCACCTCATAGATCACGAAGACGTGAGGGCATGGGACGTCATCAGGCGTTCATGCCCGCCAGAAAGCTTCTCTGCGCGCGCGAGCGTCAAAGAGCCGCTCGGAGAGAATCCAGTGATAAGCGACAGATTTACTGCTCCTTTTGCCACAAAGCACGGTCAATTCCTCTACAACGCTTCGGCCGAGATGGACATATGCACCCAGCCAGACCTCGCCGACCTGTCAGCCTCATTCGTCAGACCGCTGACCTATGTCTGGTCTGACCAAGCTTTCCCGCTCTTCGGTCAAAGCAAGATCCAAGGTCACAACGACATTCTGGTACCCCCATGGTGGTACTGGTTCAAGATCTCTCGCTATCTCGAACATGAAGATGTTGCGTGGAAAGCAAAGTCCGAATCGGTACGTTCTCGCCAGAGCATGCTGGACCTGTCTGATCGTTCGCGCAGATCTTCTGGGTTGGTGCGTCTACGGGAGGCTGGTCACGCGAACACGAATATCGTGGCTGGCTTCGCAACCGAGCTGTCAGCCTATACAATCGTCCGCACCGCCTCGAGAAGGTCGAGACTGTTGTGCTGTCGCCACAGGATTCGTCAAAGTCTTTCGAGGTCGACCTGCCCGTACATCTGCTCAACTGGGCCTTCACCGATATCGCATTCAATGGTGTCGATCAAGGCGATAAAGAATCTTTGGCTTTCCAAAAAGCCGAGGAGACGTATCGCTTCACAGAATCGCGTCCCTATTCTGCGATATGGGCTCACAAGCTTGCCGGTGACTTCGATGGCACTGCCTACTCGGGTCGATTCTTGGCTTTGCAAGAGAGCAATTCTGCCGTCATGAAGTCTCGTCTACACAAGGAGTTTTTTGATGACACACTCATTCCTTGGTATCACTACATTCCCTGGAGTACCCGGCTGACCGAAGGCTATTCGATCTTTACCTACTTCTTCGGCGTACAGAAAGTCTTCTGGCGGGCTAACCAGGACAATCCGAACCCTGACGGCGCACACATCTCGCCATCAGTCAGGCACAAGTCCATGTTCGCCGTGGCACACGATGCAGAGCTGCGCGATATCGGTTTGCAAGGACGTGAGTGGGCAAAGAATGAAGTACGGAGGGAAGATATGTGTTTGTATATGTACCGGCTTGCTCTGGAATGGGCAAGAATCACGAGCGACGACAGAGAAGCTATGTCCTTCACGTTGTAATTTATGCAACTCTACATCCCGTGTGATATACAAGTGTGCCAACAAGTGACCTTTTGGTGATGTTACGTAACAACTTACAAGCTGCCAAGCTCTTGAGCGATTTGCGATAAGAGAGAACCCAGAGGGCCGAAGCGCCAAGTGGGATGTTCGACAGATGCGATGGAGACACCTTGCGATGGTGAAGACCGGCTGGGCGTGATAGGTATGATGGCAAAGCCCGGGCTCGGCGCAGGTATGATGGCAAACGCAAGTCTCTTGGCAATGCGAGAGAGAGTCCGTTTGACTGCGGCAGCGGGCGTTGCGCTCGTGGTCACTTTTGAGCTCGTTGCCGTTGCAGTCGTCTTGACTGTGGTTGTGCTGGACGTCGTGGTCGTAGCGCTCGGAAGGAAAGCGCTACGATAAGCATTGAGTAGAGTGTGAGTTGGTGTATCGCCGCTCAACTCGAACATCGATAGACCAGCCAGGCCGTTCTGCTTAGCAAAAGTGCCTTTGAGTCCCATCGATTGCGCGTCGTCATAGCTGATGAGAATCTCAGCCTTGCTGTTGAACAAGAATGGTGTCGAGCTGTTTGTGTCCAGTACCCGTGTGTATCCATTTGCGCCGGCTGTGCCCGCGCTATTGAGATATCCTCCGGAGATCAGAGCAGCAAATGTAGACTCGTCGAGCGCATTTGCTGCCGCGGTATTGCTGACGGGTCCACTCTGGTAAAGGTAAGATGTCGTTGTGCCACATTTGGTGGAGGTCAGGCTGGTCCCGCTGGTGCTGAAGGCATGACTGTATGAGGGTACGCCCAGAATGAGACGCGATGCTGGCCAGCCCGCCTTTGTAAAGTATCGGACTGCCTGGTAAGCGCTGAAAGGATTGCCGGTCTGGGCCGAGCAAGCGTAAAGAGGCGCGTTCGGACCAGACACACCTTGACCGTACGGACCCCAGACCTGCAGCAGGCAAATGAGCTATTGGTAACCGGTCAGCAGGAGCACTGACATCGTAGTTCATGAGCATCAGGTAGTCCACACTGCTCAAGAAGCTCGAATACGTCGTGAGAGCGTTGCCGTTCGCATCTCGAAGACCTCCGACTGAGACTGCCAGAGATATGATGGGCTTTGCGCCGAGGACACTCCGCAGCGTGGTCAGAAAGAGAGCAAAGTTGGCTGTATCATTCGGGCTGATGACATTGCCTGAATTGCCCTGTTGACCTGGATATTCCCAGTCGATGTCTACGCCCGAAAATCCATAATGGGCGACTGTCGCGTTGATCACCTTTGCAAAGGCGGTTCGGTTGGCTGCATTGCCGACATCGTAGCTGAAGTAAGCGCTACCAGTCCAGCCTCCGATGGTCAGCGAGACCGATGTATTCGTTTTCTTTGCGCCAGCGATGGTAGCGTTGATGATCGAGTCTGTCGTACTGGAGAAGGATAGGCCGCCATTGCCAGTGGTTGTGGCGACAAAGCTGAATTACTTATCAGCTTTCGTAAGCTTTGATCATCATGAAAGCATACAAGTTGATATTGCTCAGCGAGGAATACGGTATATTCGCGGGGGAGAGGCTGCTGTAGCCTGCGTAGTATGCGCCAACGTATGGTTTCCCTGTGGTTGCTGCCAAGACACGCGTCGACGAGAAAAGAGCCAAGAGGAGGCAAGCCTCGGCGAGCATCTCGACTGCGAAGGAACCTCTCGAGGTTTAAAGGAATGTGTGCAGTCGCAATTCAGTCGTGACCCTGCTGCCAGCGACTCGAATCACTTTGCAATGAAGATTGGCCAGACCAGCCTCTCGGCATGTGATCGGGGAAAAACGCGCGAGACAAAATGCAAACCGTGTCCTCATCGCGAGGCGAGCGTGAGATGCTGCATGCTAGGATACAATGAATTGCTCGTGATGTCTACGCTGTGCTGGAAAACCCATATGATGATCATTCACATGTGACAGATGCGCTCGCATTGCGCTGCGGCGATGATGAGAAGCCGGGTCACCCCGAGGATCCAAATGTCGGCTCTGTAGCCGCATAGAGGCCTTTCTCTTGCTCGTCTTCTTCGCCACCTTCTTCGGCGTTACCTTCTTCGTCTTCGACTTCTTCGGCTTTGACTTCTTCGTCGGCTTGCTAGCCTTCTTCGTCGGCTTGACAGGCTTTGCAGTCGTCTTACCGGCCTGAGCGCTTGTCTTGCTCGTGCTGTTGCTTTTCAACACAGTAGAGGTAGTCGTCGGCTTCGCTGTGGCTGTGGCGGTGGAAAGGGTACTGAGCTTGGTGGTCATTCTGATAGACGATGTTGTGGCAACTGTGACTGCGGACGCTGTTGCAGTTGAGGTAGAAGACACTTTGCCTGTCGTGGTCATGACCGTGTACGCAAAATTCGAGCTCAGGCTTGATGTGAATGTTCGTATAGAATCGACCGTGAGGATTGTCGAGCTCGTCGATTGCGTCGGCGTCGTCTTGACAGACGCGCTCGTACTGAGCGTCGAACTGGCATGAGCGGTGGTGCTTGCTCCATTCGAGGTAGCAGTAGCTGTCGTGACACCCGCAGTAGAGGTTGCCATCATCGCACTACCAGTCAAGAAACCGCTTCGATACGCGTTGAGGAGCATGTGATCAGCTGTATCGCCGCTGAGCTCGAACATTGAAACGCCGGCAAGACCATGTTGCTTTGCAAAAGCGCCCTTGAGCGACATACTTTGAGCATCATCGTAGCTGATCAGGATCTTCTGACTGCTACTGAACAGGAAAGGCGTCGAGCTGCTCGTGTCAAACAGGCGAACGAAGCCGCCGGCACCTGCCGTGCCTGCGCTATTGAGGTAACCATCCGCAATGAGCCCAGCGAAAGTGGTCTGATCTATTGCGCCAGCAGGTGCCGTATCACTTGCAGGTCCAGCCTGGTAGAGCTGAGACTGAGCCGAGCCGCATGTCGTTGTGCTCAGACTAGCGCTAGTAGTACTGAAGGAATGGCTGTATGATGGAACTCCAAGAATGAGGCGCGAAGCTGGCCAGCCTGCCTCTTGAAAGTATGAGACAGCTTCTGAGGCACTGTAGGGATTGCCGCTCGACTGTGATGAGCAGGTGTACAGAGGTGCATTCGGTCCCGAGAGACCCTGGCCATATGGGCCCCATATGTCATAATTCATGATCATTAGATAGTCGACACTGGACAAGAAGTTGGTATACGTCGACAAAGAAGTGCCGGCAGAATCACGCAATCCTCCGACTGACACTGCTAGCGAGATGATCGGCTTCTGTCCAAGAGCGCTTCGTAAGGCGGTCAGGAAGAGAGCAAAATTGGCTGTGTCGTCTGGGCTAACGACGTTGCCTGCGTTGCCTTGTTGGCCAGGATATTACCAGTCGATATCGACGCCTGAGAAGCCATACCGAGTCACTGTCGAACTGACGAGCTTTGCAAATGCTGTGCGGTTGGCTGAGCTTCCGACATCGTAGCTAAAGTAGGCACTCCCAGTCCAGCCCCCAAGTGTCAACGAGACAGACGTATCAGTCGACTTGGCGCCTTCCACTGTTGCCTTGATAGTTGCGTCCGTAGTTGAGGAGAAGCTGAGACCGCCGTCGATTGTCGTCGTGGCCACAAAGCTACGCCAAGTCAATCTACGAACACGTAGGGGTAAACAACGCACAAGTTGATATTGGTCAAAGACGAATAGGGTATATCAGTGGGACTGAGCGAGCTGTAGCCGGCGTAGTATGCGCCAACGTAGGGCTGACCTGTCACGGCCGCCTGTACATGTATAAGTAGCGACAGACCAGACAGAAGCAGAAGCGGGGTCGACAGCATTATGGCAGATTCGGTCCGTTGTGTCGTGACCTCAAACGAGTGGGGATATATACATTGTCACTGATGGCGACCTATGAGCAGCAGGCGGACGCCTCTTGGGCGGCAGAGTGAGCAGGGAACTGTGTCAACACGTGCAATGTTGATTTCGCGCGAAACCCGGAATATCAATGTCAAATTTAGATCTGATGATGGCAGCGAGAATGAGTAGATGCATTAAGCCACCAAATTGTTGTTGTCATTCTTCTGCAGATCTTCTTGGATCAGGTTCGCTTTCGCTCAGTCACTTGATAGATTCGAGGTCGTCATACTCTCTTGA